TCAGCCGCCCCGTAGACACTAAAATTGCAGTGCAGCTAGGACCCCTAAGCCTGATCAATTTGATTAATGAATTTCAAAATGAGCCTTGTTGATCTTAGTTGACTTGATCAGCCGCCCCGTAGACACTAAAATTGCAGTGCAGCTCGGTCATCTACGTTTGGATAATCCTTGTCGTAGGATCGTGTGTTGATTCGTACAAACTTAGAGATTAAACAAAGACACGTGTTAGCGTGTCTAATGCCTTCAAAAACACGAAAATTGCAGTGCTGTCTGTTCCGCCGGGTTGTTCATCTGTGGGCTTTTTAAATGTTGTCGCGAAGCCTTTGGATATCGTCATGTGTTGTCTTGCAACAGCCGCCGACGATAAAATGTTGGAAAGGGCCTTTTTGATGGGCGTTATTCACCACATCGGCCAATTGTGTCTCCCACGGAAGCTGCTACGAGGTTAGCAACTGATACTAACAGCCTTCTCCACAGCTTCCGACAAGTTGAGAGTGTATCTTACCCTGTCTCCAGTATCAACATCTGGTTTCTCCCATTTCTGCGTTGTCGTGTTATAGACCTCGCCATTGGTGCCATCTGGATACAGCACAAGGGTAGGTATAGTTTGTATTTCGTCTTTAGCAAGCAATTTCGAGATGCTATTTCCGAAAAGCTCGACAAGATGCGGGAGTTTATGTGTCTTTGTGCAGTTTATACCAACACCCCACGGGGCAACTCCATCACTCATGGGTGCGAGAGCCGCTGTGACAACTTCCTCGATTGAAGTTCCGTCGGGCAGAGTGTGCATATAATCAGGCTCCGTACCAGGGAAAACACACGCTACCCAGAAAGGGACCGTAAGTCCTGCCGTGTGCATAGCTCTCCTTACAGCGCGGATCTCATCTAGTCTGGGAAGCGTCTCAAAAGCGATATACTCCACGCGACTCAACAGATCGCCATCGGCTTCCATGAAGAGGCGCAACCGTTCCAGATGCCATTGGAATAGAGCATCTTCATCATTATGAAGATCATCGTATTTTCCACTATACTCCTGTCCAGGGATCATACAGGCACCATACGGGCCTAGACTCAATGCAATTTTCACTTGCTCACGACTCCCTTTGGCTTCCTCGGCAACTTGTACCGCAGTCTCCAAAAATGGTCCAATAGCATTCCGTGGGATGCCATTAGGGAATTCAGCTGTTTTTGTGCGTCCAAAACCTTCAATTGATGCTTGATAGGTGGCAGTTAGCAGCACGTCAGCGCCGGCAGCGGTAAAATCCCGCTGACATGCTAGAAGAGTAGCAGGGTCAGAGATGAGCATATGAGACGACCATAATGGCGTTGAGGTACTGTTGAATTCAACTCCATATTTGTCTTGCAAAGACGTCCCCAGGCCGCCGTCTAGAATTTTGACATATGCCATTGTGACTTTTATGTTCAACGTTTATCTCAGAAATTCCCCGCCGGTATCGCTGTGTTGGCTTTCTGCCGATCGCGTGCTTCACCTGCTCACCGCCCTGATTATAACAACAGAGACGGAAATGGAATCGACGATTTGTTTATGTTCGAGTGCTATTTAGACTTAAGCGTACCCTGGAGATCGCCTTCCCTCCTGAAATCAGAACTCGGAGATACATTTTAGAAAAGAACAACAGCTAGCTGATTACCGGAATCCTGAGCAGCCGAAGTGGAAACATATTTCCATTGGTCAATCATAAGTACGAAGTCAAATCAGGTTAGGTAGCATTATCTGATCGTATATTCAAAAAATAGTCTTGCTATGGATAATGTTTTGTCTCTGAGGAACTGTGTTATCTGTGTCAACGCTGGATGAGCGTTGGAGATGAAACCCTTTGCCGTAAGATCGGCGGAACCTTAAATGACTCATACTTGCTCATTATTGGTCGGCTACGCGATGATCTATAAATCGAGACGTTTTCAGATCGAGGAATTGCATGATTCTATATGTAAATGGAAGATTATCCCTCAAGTCACGCAGAAAATAGTTGAACGAAAATGAGTGCATCAACCAACCCATCCCCTATCCGCGCTCTCATCCCGAGCCTTTATATAGGCAGGCATACTCCAGGACCTTTGAATTCCATAACCGATGTACCTGGTGTTCTCGTGCACACTGAGTCTGTCAACAAAAAACCATCAGAAACCGAGCGTGGACACGCCATCAACACCGGGGTCACTACTATTCTCCCCCGGCGCGATTGGTTTGACAATGCCTGTTATGCAGGGTACTTCCGATTCAATGGCAGCGGCGAAATGACCGGCTCCCATTGGCTCGACGAAACCGGTCTTCTCAATTCGCCCATTGTGCTCACAAACTCGTTTTCGGTTGGCCCTTGCTATAGCGGAATTTATCAATATGCTATTCGTGAATATGCCAAGAATGGTAAACCGGCGGATTGGTTTCTTTTGCCTGTTGTTGCTGAAACTTGCGATTTATATTTGAATGATATTGCGGCTATGGCTGTTACTCCTGAGATGGTAGTTCGGGGGATTGAAAACGCATCTAGTGCCAGAGTTCGGGAGGGGAACACTGGTGGAGGAACTGGCATGATCTGCCAAGGATTCAAGGCTGGTACTGGTAGCGCAAGTCGCTTAATCGAGGGTATCGAATTTGGTGAAAAGAAGACGTACACGGTCGCGGCTTTGATTCAGGCGAATTTCGGTGCCAAACGAGACTTGCGTTTTGGTGGTGTTCCTGTCGGCAGAATCATGATGGAACGAGAGCAAGCCGAAAACCCATCAGCTACGAATCAGGGTACGACTGACGACGAAGAAAAAAGACTGGCTTCAAAAGACGGCAGTATTATTGTCGTTCTTGCTACGGATGCCCCTTTGCATCCTGTCCAACTTCAACGCCTTGCTAAASGAGCCACTGTGGGTGTGTCACGAGTCGGCGGCTGGGGCTCAAATTCCTCTGGGGATTTGTTTCTCGCGTTTAGCACTGCTGAAAAGATTCCGAGAAGTCCTTCGTTCTCTTGGAAGCCGACTATAGAGCAGACCGTGAGCGTTGTGCAGGATGTCACTATCAATGCGTTATTTGAAGCGGCTGCAGATAGTACAGAAGAGGCCATTTATAATGCTTTGGTAGCGGCAGAGACTATGGAGGGGCCGTTGGGAGTATCCAAAGCCATTGATCACCAAGAGCTGAAGGAGATAGTCGAGAAGTATATATGATGACTACGAGAATTGAACATTTTATGTCTCAAGGTATCCAGAAAGGGTTGTAATTTTATGTCATGTACCCAGGTAGCTTGGCTCAGTCTTGTAGACACTAATAGTGAAGTACACACAATAGTTGCTTTCCCCCTTGAGTCTCAAGGTGACGAGTCCAGGTAACAACGTTTGCTACCTGCATTCATTGAGCGTTTAAGTGCAATGCTCAACATTAGAAACATCATATCATAAAGAAATGTGAATTGTTGAATGACGACTAGTGTCTGCCACACCAAAAGCTTGAAGGACCGTCGGGCCGAGGCTTATTACTTATTGAACTAGCGCTTAATCACATATATTTTATTCTCAACTGTTTCTTCTCTTAGCTCGTGTCTATATCATCCAAGAGCAAAATGGTATGTGCTCGATATGAGCCAACAAAACGCACACAGAATTCGATGAACGAGGACGGCCCATAGTATATTGACACTAGCATGCGCCATCTGCAACACTAAGCTTAAAATCAACCCTAGTACATTCTCTCATCTAATCATCGACATAGATGAGTTGCAAAGTGGATTTGGTGGGTCCCCACGAGCCGAGGCTCCGAGTACATGTGATTGTGCCTGAGGCAACGAACATTCATCTTTTGCTGAAGGTTCCATACCTTGAATTAAGGTTGTACATAAGTGAGTATAGCAAGTCATATGTTACTTTGATATACAGTCATAATGGAGGATGGGGTGTCCCCAACGTCGGGGCATCGAGCAATGCATCAGCCTACAAGATATCTACTTTGGCCAATCATATAGATGAATATTCCTTCACGTTCACAAGTATACTCCTCAATCATACCAATACCAGCTATGCATCAGATGATGTGACCAGGCAACAATGATACTTGCATCCATTGAATGTTGAAGTAATTGCTACGACGATGTTGGATCATTATTCTGTAAAGAAAATGTTGAATGACGATTAGCGTCTGCCTAACCAAACCTTAGGGGACCGAGGCTTGTCGATCGTCGAGTTGAGTCGCGGATTAGTTCTTAATTACGTGTAATTCCCATCTCTCTCCTCTCAGCTTATGTATATCCTCGAGGAGAACGAATGAAATACTACAATAGGTGATAAAAGCCAAACAAGATGCTGCTCTTCAATGAAGAATTAGCGGTAAATCTCACGATTTCCATCGTTGAGACAGTCGTGCTATTATCAAGTAGTACCAACTATGTCTCCGGATGGTCTTTCAAAGGTTTACTTTCAGTGGTGTTTGCCATCAACTTTGCGATTCAAGTATTTTGGGATTTGTTGATTTATCCGTTTTGCGTGAATCCTTTGAGACATGTTGCGCGCGTCACGGTACCTCCTCCCATCACCTGCTCGTGACTGCATGTTTAGAAAATCAACTGATAGAGAAAAAGGGCAAAACAAACCAAATGGGCATAATAATGGACTCCCCCCGCGGCCGCCTACCGCTCGAATGGATGCGCACAATCCCCAACGACGGCCTAATCCATTTCCGCGACACATTCCAACGCAGCTATCTCGTCGCCACAAACCATCAAGCCTTACTGGATATCATGAGTACGAATACATACGACTTTGAAAAGCCCTGGAAAGTGCGTGCGTTTTTAGCGCGGATTCTGGGTTTTGGGTTGATCCTGTCCGAGGGAAATGCGCATCGAGTGCAACGGAAGGCTTTGACGCCGGCTTTTAATATAAAGAACATTAGGAAGTTGTATACACTTATGTGGGACAAGACGGTGATTTTGTTGGAGCAGTTAGAAAAGGAGGCGAAGGAAAACCCGATGGAAGGTCTAAATGAGAATAGTAGGTCCGGGAAGATTGAGATGTCTGTTTGGGCGAGGTATGGCCTATGATCCTATTTTCTCTACTTGCAGAATGATGATGGCTGACTTTGGCAGTCGTCTTACACTCGATGTCATTGGTCCCGTAGCGATGGGCCGCGATTTTCAATCTCTAGTCAACAAAGAGAACAAAATTGCGGACAGCTTTTTAAGGATTCTAGAACCATCCCGCGAGAAATTGATCTTCCTGGGTATCAACTTCATCTTACCTCAATGGTTTGCGAGTCGTATTCCCTGGCGATTGAATAGACTCGTTGACCAAGAGACCGGATTCTTGCGCGCTGTATGCCATGACATCGTCCGTGAGAAGCGGGAAGCTCTCAAGTCGCATAAAGTTGATACAGAGGAACTCGAGGCGGATATACTGGGCACGATCATGTTGCGTGGAGAGTTCTCAGATGATGAGTTGGTGGATCAAATGTTGACTTTTTTGGCTGCCGGGGTATGTCCCATTTCCGTTCGTTCCATGACCCAAAGGCTAACGATGATAATAGCATGAAACGACCGCAAGTGCCCTAACATGGGCTTGCTATCTACTCTGCCTCCATCCCGATATCCAGACCCGTCTCCGAGAAGAGATTCATGCTACCATCCCCTCTGCCGAACACGCCATAACATGGAATCAACTCGAATCCATGCCCTTACTCAACGGGGTATGTCAAGAAGTCCTTCGCCTCTACCCTACCGTACCTGCCACAATCCGCGAAGCAGTCCGCGACACAACCGTCGCCAACACCCGCATCCCGCGCGGAACACGCATCATCCTCTGTCCATATGCAATAAACCGCAGTCCTCATTTCTGGGGCGAAACGGGAGATCAATTTATTCCGGAACGATGGATTGATACAGACGACAAGGGCAACAAATCAATAGTGAATCATAATGGCGGCGCACCTACCAATTTCGCGCAGATCACGTTTTTGCATGGACAGAGGTCATGCATTGGCAAGGATTTTGCGAGGGCGGAATTAAGGTGTGCGGTTGCTGGGGTTGTGGGCAGATTTGTGATGGAGATGCAGAGGCCGCAGGAGGAGATTCATATTGCGGGTGCGGTGACGACGAAGCCGAAGGAGGGAATGCATTTGAAAATGACGAAGGTGGAGGGGTGGTAATTCTTGGCCGTTAGGGCTTTGGTATAATGAAGTTACGATCTAGTACATTTTAGTACGTAATGTACATTGTTGGTATGATGTATCTGTCCAATGGGGTGATCGGAATATCAACCAAGTAAATAAGCCTGGTTTCGAATCTAATTCACGCATCTTGGAATTAGGTGAATAGTAGCCCGGTGAATAGGTTGCTACGGCCGAATGAACCGCTAACCGAGGCTAAACAAAGCTACATACCGTCTGTACGAGCTATGCTGCCGGAAGAGAGTGGTCCAGGAAGAAATTTTCCTGAAGCAATCACAAAGGATTATTTTCAGGGATATCGCAGACTAGTAGTACACTTTCACAACCACGAGCTGGTGGCATGATGCAAGATGCTAGCTCGTAGTCGATCACATCAAGATTTCTAGTTGTCCAACGAATTAGATGATATGTACATCGACGGATATTTTGCCTATGGGACTCAATTATTCGGGTCTATTCAGCCCTGTTCCAGATAAACTCAGCGGGACCAATTGGTGTAAGAGTTCAGAAAATGCATGTGTGATCAACTCATGTAACCGATGACCTTAAAAGTCGAAGCCATACTCAGTTGGCCGTGGAAATAAGACGCGGAAGAGGCGCTGTGATTGGTGCCTGTGCCGTGCCCGCTGTTGCCCTTCCAAGACTTCGATTTCCCCGCGAAGTTAAACTACAAAAAGAAAAAATTTCCTTCATTCTTCTTTTCTGTATCTGTCCCTTGCTTATCGCTCTAGCAATCTGACTGCAAATTAATTGCCGGGTGTCAACACTGGCCGGACAGTACTGTGGTACACACGTGCACACACATTACAACAAACGCACGCGACCCCCGGAAGAGACAGAAACAGACTGCAAAGGGATACACAGAATATCACATGATTTTCAGATTCGTCTTTGATTCATCTTTGACTTCTTGGACGAATAATGCAAGCAAGCGCATGATAGCTGTATCTGTTACTACTGCTCGCTGTTTATCTATCAACTATCTCTTTATCAGCTATACTAGCTAGTTGCAGTCTGCTAGCTCACCTACTAGGTTCATACGGTACTAGCCACAGCTGGAATCAGATAACAAAGTCCAGAAACTGACTGGGATTGACGCTGCCACACGCACCATCTTTCTACTCCATGCATCCTGAAGATTCAATATAAAACATTGACTCGGCACATTCTTCTTCTACACGCAAAGCCAGACCCTGGTTCCTCCTTGACCAGGTCCCCCAACGCGGCAATCACACTTCCCCGCAGATAACTACGTACTGTAAAAGTATTCCCCAAGATTTTCATCGACATGACAGGCCCCATCGACCGGTCTGCCGACGATGCCGCCCTGGCCCGTCTAGGCAAAAAACAAGTCCTCAAGCGTCGCTTTGATTTTTGGTCTCTATTCGGTTTCGCTGTTTGCGAATTGATTACATGGGAAACTGTACTAGCCCTTTTCAGCCAGGGATTTGAAAATGGCGGACCTTCCGGGCTACTGTATGGATTCATTATTGCTTGGAGCTCGACATTGTCCGTGTATACAGTTATCTCGGAATTGGCCTCTATGGCTCCTATTGCCGCTGGACAGTACTACTGGGTCTATATGCTTTCCTCCGAGAAGTATCGCGTGTTTGCTAGTTATATCATTGGATGGTTGACTTCGCTTGCGTGGATCGCCACTGTTGCGACTGAGAGCCTGTTTGCCGGTGAGATGCTCCAAGGCATAGTGTTTCTGGATTATCCGACCTACATACCCACAAGATGGCAGGGAACCTTGCTGACGTGGGCTGTCGCTCTGGTATCAACTTTTGTCAACGCTGTCATCCCAAGCATGTTGCCGCGCATTGAGATTGGTACGGTTGTGTTCCATGTTGCCGGTTTTGTGGTCATCATTGCGCTGCTTTGGCACTATACCCCGTCCTACCATAATGCCGACTTTGTGTTTCGCACGAGCTTGAACGAGGGCGGTTGGCCTACTCAAGGCTTGTCTTACTGCGTCGGTTTTTTGGGTAACGTCGCTACCTTTGTCGGTGCTGATGCGAGCGTTCATTTAGCCGAGGAGGTTTCAGACGCGGCGAGGACTATTCCCCGAGTTATCACTTCAAGCATGATTTTGAACGGTATCGTCGGATTTGCCATGATGCTTACTTTGTTATTTTGTTTGGGTGACGTTGATTCTGTTTTGGAATCGGAAACGGGATTCCCTTTTATTCAGATCTTCTATAGTAAGTCTGTGTTGCCACAATACGCTTGACATGATCTAACGAGAAAATAGATAGCGTTCAGTCAGTAGCCGGTGCTACTGTCATGAGTGCCATTGTTCTCATTCTGACCTGGGCCTGCGCCACTGGTATCATCACCTCCGCATCGCGCATGACTTGGGCTTTTGCGCGCGATCGTGGAACCCCATTTTCCAGGATTCTCAGCAAGGTTGATCCTCGCACTCAAGTACCCATTATTGCCGTCGGAGTCGTGGTTGTCATCGCCTGTTTGCTTACTCTCATCAACATCGGATCTTCTACTGCTTTCAACGACGTCATATCACTTACCATCACCGGTTTTTATGGTAGCTACCTAGTACCCTCTGCTCTTCTGTTATACCACCGACTCAAGGTCGGCAACATCTTACCCTACGGATCTGTTGTGGACGGACAAGATCTTGGTGTCAGCAATGCTGCCTCCGGAGTCCTGTCGCCTTCAGACAACGACGAACTTAACACCAACAAAGAGGAAAAAGTCGCAGAAAGCAAACCCGGAAACGGTAACACACCCATCTCAGTCATCGCCGCTGACGAACAGGGTCGAATCACATTTGCGCCTACCCAACTCGTCTGGGGACCGTGGCATATTCCCGGGCTGCTTGGAATTATCAACAATGCGTATGCATGCATTTACATGGTCTTTGTCATTTTCTGGTCTGTCTGGCCTCCTGCCACGCCCGTTGCGGCGGATACCATGAATTACTCTGTGGTCGTCACTGGCGGCGTCATTATTCTTAGTATCGTGTGGTACTGGATCAGAGGACATAAGGAGTACAAAGGACCGTTGGTTGACAAGGAGGTTATTGAGATTATCCAGAGGACTCAAGTTGGAGTAGTATAGGCTCCACTGCGAATTGCGCAGCGCTGAGCAGATTGGGTGGACCGAAAAAGAGTGATCTGTGGAGAAATATACATTGGGGGCGTATAGATTACCAGGGATTATACTTTGAATGTTCCTGTCTCAATGTGTGTTTGATAGAGTTAAGATACCATATTGTTAGTTAAAGCGTGACTAGAAATAAAGAGCGAATAAAACTGCTGCCTGATCTACTAGCCAAATGGCGCGGAAACCGGTTGTCGCACATCCGGCCGCCAAAAGGATTCTCGCCGATAAGCTAGTGCTTATGGCAAGCCCCCAGCTTTGATCGAAAATCTACATTAAGTACGTTTTTCCTTTGGATATATTCTTTGCTATTTTATGTATGAATAGAAATAGCCGCGGACAATAGACAATGCCATCGTGGAAACGCAAAATCAAACTCGACTCCAGAAAGGAGACTGATAGCAAAGGGAATGCTTCATCCGCATCTTCCGCATCGTCGTCGCCGACATCATCAGCTCACGCCCTTCTCTCCGCTGTACACGACACTCTGACAAACTCTTCCAGCCGTCCATCAAGCCCAAGTAGCACATCCTCGACCTCCGACTCGAACAATGACACTTCCAGCTCAGAACAAGTACCATCCCCCTCAGATCTCCATCGACAAGCCCGCCGCGATGCCGAATTCGGTCCCTTGGGCCATCCATCGCACCTCTACGCCTCCCAACACCCCGGCGGCGCAGTTCCAGACCCTATTATTGACGAACCACCTTATTTCTACATGCTCACTACCTACATCAGTTTCTTGGTGCTGATATTCGTCGGCCACACGCAAGACTTTCTGGCACGATGGTTCACACCCCACAAACACCGGCATTTGATGGTTCAAGACGGGTATGCACCCATCTACAGTGATTTTGATAGCTTCTATGCTCGGCGACTCAAGTTGCGTATCAACGACTGTTTTGAGCGTCCCACAACGGGCGTGCCTGGGAGATATATTACGTTGCTGGATAGGGAAACTGTGGATTATAATGAGCATTTTAGGTTTACGGGTACGACGACGGATACCCTCAATCTCAGCTCATATAACTACCTGGGTTTCGCGCAAAGTGAAGGCCCTTGCGCAGATTTTGCGGAAGACACGCTCCGAAAATCCGGGATTACGATGACGGGTGCGATTGGCGATGCAGCGACGACGACTCTACATGTTGAAGTAGAGCGACAGATCGCGCGATTCGTGGGCAAGGATGATGCGCTCGTGTTTTCCATGGGTTTCGTGACGAATGCTACCATCTTCCCTGCCTTGGTGGATAAGGGTTGTTTGATTCTGTCGGATGAATTGAATCATGCATCGATCCGGTTCGGCGCCCGGTTGTCGGGGGCAAGTATTCAGGTCTTTGCTCATAATAATATGGCGGACCTGGAAAAGAAGTTGAGAGATGCTATATCGCAGGGACAGCCGCGGACTCATAGACCTTGGAAGAAGATTTTGGTTACTGTTGAGGGTCTCTACTCGATGGAGGGCACGATGGTGAATCTGCCTGGTATTTTGGAGTTGAAGAAACGATATCGGTTTTATCTGTATATCGATGAGGCGCATTCAATTGGTGCCGTGGGACCTCAGGGTCGTGGCGTCTGCGATTTTTTCAAGGTTGACCCGGCCAACGTCGAAATCCTGATGGGCACATTTACGAAATCGTTTGGCGCAAATGGTGGCTATATTGCTGCTGATAAGGCCATTGTTGATAAATTGAGGGCTACATGTTCCGGACAGGCATTCGGTGAAGCACCCACCCCGCCTGTCCTAGCTCAGATCTTGGGTGCACTACGACAAATCGCAGGCGAAGAAATGGGTAAAGAGCGTCTCCAACGTCTGGTCTTCAACTCACGCTATCTCCGTCTCGGTCTTAAGAGATTGGGATTCATTGTCTACGGCCACGACGATTCTCCCATCATCCCACTCATGCTCTACAACCCTGCAAAAATGCCCGCCTTTTCACACGAAATGCTTAAACGCAAAATTTCTGTGGTCGTGGTGACATATCCCGCTACACCATTAGAATTGTCGCGGGTCAGATTCTGCGTTAGTGCGGCACATACCAAGGAAGATCTCGATCGATTGTTGATTGCCTGCGACGAGGTTGGCGATGCTTTACAGATCAAATTTTCGTCTGGGATTGCAGGTGGATTACATGAAAGACCGAGTCTGGATGAGATGGGGAAGAAAGGGGTTAAAAGGGAGAAGCCGAGGTGGAGAGTCGAGGAGGTAATTGAGAGGGGGGTTAGAGATGTTAAGGGGCAGCTGTATTAGCCCGCCCTTTGGTGCTGATGGATGATAAATGTGTATTATAACCACGGATTAGATTAGAGGTCTATTGACCTGCTTCTAGATAATGAATAATGTAATAGCTAATAACAATAAGGCATCAATGTCAGCAGATGCACTAAATGATTCTCTTGGGCCTCGATCGAGCATCTTTGTTGAATTTAAATCAATTTTGTGTATAGTTTGCTTCTATTTCCACTGATTAGCTAGTAGGTTGCTAAGTGTACCCTTGTAGAGGAAATTTATTTTATTCGAGAGACGAGGGATGGTGTTAGGGCTTGGGTTTGAGTAGCCCTAATCTGATACCAGTACAAATTCTGTCGCTATGTAGGTGGTGTTAATTCAAGTATTAGTAAAGTCGACACCCGAGAGAAGTCCTGGGGTCACTTTGATAGTTAAGTTTCATTGGATTAATCTGTAGTATATACAACTCATATGTACACAACCCTTACTGTACTTTCTAAGTATCTACCACATTTCAAGATTGGCCTTTCTGCACTTACTGATTTGCAGATACAGTGACACTACCCTCTTCGTATCCCTCATCTTCAGCAACAGGCCACTGATCCCCCAATCTATAGCCCTCCTGAAACGGATCCGATGGGTCAAGAACAACCTGCTTGAACGCCGTTATCCAACCTCGACCCTTGACTGTGGGTAAAACAGCAGGATACTTTCCCACTGTAGTGAGACCACGGATGCGGCTCACAAATTCCGTGCCAATAATGCTTCGATGCTTGAATATCTCGCCTTCCTTCAATTCGCCTCTGGCATGCATCACGGCCAGTCGTGCGCACGTCCCCGTACCACATGGACTTCTATCAAAGCGTCCAGGAGAAACGACCACCGCGTTGCTAGCAGCTTTGCAGCCATCTTCCTCGATTTTGACAGGCGCAGTGAATGCCAGCACACTAAATCCCGTAATACCATCATTCTCCGGATGCACTGGTCTATAAACCGCTCTAACGGCCCTCTTAATTCGCTCCCCAACATCAACTAACTGCCGCGCAAACCGATTATGAACCTCCAACCCAACTGAAGTAGCATCAACCAGAACATACATCATGCCCCCATACGCAATATCAACTGATATCTCCCCAATGCCCGGCACATCCACCTTCATATCAAGCTCCAACACAAACGAGGGGACATTGTTAAACTCCACACTTTTACATTTTCCGCCTTCACACTCAGCAGTAACAGTAACTAATCCCGCCGCCGTATCAAGTGCCACATCCGTAACGGGCTCTTTCATGGGTATCATCCCCGTCTCCAAAAGCACAGTCGTCGTGCAGATTGTATTTGATCCAGACATGGGCGCATATTCATTACTCTCCATGATCAGAAACCCTGCATCTGCTCGCGGATCACATGGTGGAAGGATCAGATTGACGTTCATGGGCGCGCGGCCACGGGGTTCGTTGAGAAGGAACTGGCGCAGGTCGTCCTTTTTGGTCTCAAAGTAGCGTAGCTTTTCGAACATGGTGCTTCCGGGGACGTCTATCACGCCGCCTGTGATTACATCGCCGACTTCACCTTCGGCGTGGCAGCCGACAATGGTAAGGGAGCGTTTGAAGTGCATGGTTCACTCAACTTGGGGTCCGGGGGATGGTAGGTATGTCAAATGAGCTGCGGCTAGAGCTCTGCTGAGTAGGTATCATAAATGATTATTTCAACAACTCAGGAGTAACAAAATATACTATTTTAGTCCTTTTTGCAGAAAAAGAAAAGAAACCTCAAAATGGTCACGCGGGCAGTTGGGGGTGTGGGGGATTGCTAGCTATATCGCTTTCGTTATTCTAATTTGGACTGGAAAGTCATCAAGGAGGCTAGAAGCTGTTTTCCCCCTATCCTAAATTACTTTGAAAATTATTATAATAGAGCTTCTTGACCGACTACACCGAAACATGTAGCAAGAAAGGACGTGAAATGAGAACGGTATCTCAAGAGCCCAAGCTCTAACTGTCCGCATTTCGTAGGTCTTACCTTGTCTTTACCTTGAATAAAGGCTAGCCTCCTGGATTATATATTCCTTTGATGAATGAAAATCTTCTGTTGCCTAGAGTCTAGAATGTCACTAACAATCAAGCTTGTCCCTGTGACTGAGTTGCTTCAAAAGGTGGCTTACGCTAGAGATAGCACTACCGCCCCCTCGTTCTCCACACAAAGCCCCAGAAGAATCTGTAATAACATGGTTGAACTGCTCTAACTTCTGCTGAAATAAAACAAACCCCGAGACTATTGTTTTACTTGATGCAAAATGAAATATAAAAGCAAGCAGACATTGAAATAACACTGAGATTAAAGCGAGAATAGACGTTATCAACATGAACATAATCCGGTAGACTCCAGATGTCATGAAAGCTCTCCCGGTACAACTTTGATCCAAAGCGCTTTCTACATAGCACACAATCTGAGTACATTCTTGAATCTTGCATAGAACTCCGTAAGTAACCATGCCAGGCCTACCCCTAAATGGGCTCAGTCAGGCCGAATACCACGACTACGATTCCAATCCAGATCCGTGTATCCGCGAGTTTCATTAATATGCCTCTCAAACTCCTCAGCTACTCCAATCACCTGCTGGAAGTGCTGGTAATCAAGCGTTGTCTGGCGGAAATGAGCTAATTGCAAAGATGTGCGTACGATATTTCGAATCTCTCGCCCATTTAGTACCACAGCAGCGAGTTCATTTATGTGGCTCTTAAGATCATCGATCTTGACATCAGGGTTCGACTTGCTTAATCCATTGATGAAGTTAAGCCATATCTCGTAGCGACCTTCGACGCTAAGAGCTGGGTAGTGGATTGCAAGCTGAAAACGAGATTTGAAAGCACTGTCAAAAGTTCCGATGCGGTTGGATGTGAGAATGAGAATTCCATCGTAATATTCGAGCACCCGTAAAAACACGGATACCAGCGCGTTACGTTGGAGGTCGGTCTCCCGACGCTCTTCGAGGAACACATCTGCCTCGTCTAGCAACACAACGCAACCCCAGATTGTGCCGATCAGCAGGACCGAGTCGAGATACTTTTCGACCTCCTCGGCATTTGTCCCGATATCTCCACATGTCACTCGATACAAAGGCTTTCGGGTCAGTTCTGCTACTGATTCTGCAGTCAACGTCTTGCCTGTTCCGGGACCTCCATGAAGCAGCATGATTAGGGCATTTCCTTTGCCTTCGATTATGTCAGTTGATTTGGCAGACACAGTATGTACAGTGACGAGGGCTTTGATAAGCTCCTTTTTGCTGTGTTGCAAGACAAGTCGGTCAAATGCGCCTTCGTTCCAGTCAATGTCTTTGATATGTTCCACGAGAAGAGTTCCTACGGCAAAGTTAATACTCAATAACAGTGTGCAAGGCTGGCAAAGTACTAACGCCACTTCTTGTCATGCATTCCAAATCCAAATATCTCATGAGGAAGGAGCAGGGTGAATGAAGAATCCGGCGGCTCCTCGCTCTTCATTGCTTCCATGCCTAGATCATCTTGCGGGGGAGAAGAGGTTCCGTGCATTTGTTGATAGGTAGTGCCATCGATCATATACCGTGGAGTCGACTAAAGACTTAATAAACTATTTTTAATGGCGTCGAAGACATAAAGAACTCACAGTGTGCAGCTCTAGAATCGAGTTTGGAGGATTATATGCCACAAACCTCGCGTGGCGGCACTTCCAAAATATCAGTCCCCTAGCTTTTAGTCGATCAACTACCTCGGATGACGCAAACCGTAATGGATATATTTCAAGCTGGGAAATCGATATTGGCTCGTCTGTAGGACCGGAAGATGGCCAAGCGAGTGACCAGTTTTCATCTTTCCTGTAAAACGACCCATTGAATTGCCATGACCACAGCCTAAGAGTAATCGGCCCTTTGTATCTGCTATCACCCCAAGGAGGTTGTACAATTTCTGAGTTTGGCGGTCTTGTAAGCATATAGGCCCGAGTATGGCCGTTTTCAGTGGTTACCAAGACTTGGTTAGAACCGTATAATTTTGCCATGTGCTCTTGGGTAATCAGACCCCCTGAAATTAGCGCATCAGCTTCTTCCCATTCAAGTTTATTTGTAAGTTGCATGTAGTCCAGTAAGTCACTTAGATGACGAATCTCTGTTGAATCAAGAGCACCAAAAGTACGTTCTTTGATATGACTGTAATAGTAGATCGAGTTATGCAGTATATTCATGTTCCCGGCAGCCTCAAGATGCTCGATTTCAACGCGGCTCATTCCAGTCACTGCTACCAAAGCATCCTTTAATGACTCGGAACGTATCTCCAAGGTCTCGGCTGATGGGTTCGCCGGGGGACTGTTGGTTCGCAGACTGAAGAAATACGGTCGGATCGAGTCAGGGACTTCTGGGTCGTCCGGTAATGGTAAGCGATGAAACAGCTTCTGAACAATATCGAGATTGCAATATTCAAAACAATAAAACCGTTTGGTAACGATGAAGTTGATATTTTTCATATAACGCTCGAGATACTTCGAAACGTCTGCAACCTTTACTCGGCCTCTGAGGGCACTCATCTTGCTGTCTCCTTTGAATAGTCTCGGATGATCGAGATACACGGCCAACGTTTCATGATCACTATGGCTCTCTGCGCATGAACAAAGAACGTAATACAAGATTATGTATGGCTTGTTGTTTTGATCGTTTTTTGGATATGGATAGGAAGGCTGTTCTTTCTTGGATTTTGCTTCCAGCTTCGGTGCTGTTATTTCTTCGTGGAAACTGGCTCGAGAATCATCACTGCTATTATTAGTGTAACTTTCGTGCTCATCAGGATAGCTCGTAATGGGGTCATGGTCAGGAATGCCATCGAGGTTTTTCGAGAAGAAAGGCGAGCTGCGGGATTCATATGGACGATATTTTCGGGGCATTTTGCTGTCTTTCTCTTTAGATCAACTTATTTACTTGTTGCGAAATGTTTGTTGAACCATTTCAGATGCAGCCAGCAATCAATAAATGTTATTCGATAGTTCAGCCTTGCGCGATACCCCGCGATACATACGGCTACCACAGCCTTGTCTAGCATCAAATCTGTACTACCTCTTCTGTTAGCCGCCCATTCTACATATTTATCAATAATTTCTGCACCCAGAGACAAAGGATATGCCGGAATACATGCCACTCTAAATACACCAAATGCCCGCTCGCCATGATTATCGAATCGGCTGGATATGCGCCCTCCCATTAGAATTTGCTGCGGCGCAAGCCATGCTGGATGAAATCCACCCCCGGCTACCGAATGTAACAGGAGATAGGAATAACTACATCCTCGGAAGCATCGGTTCCCACAACATTGTCATCACTTGTCTCTCAGCGGGTGTATACGGTACCACTTTGGCAAGCACGACGGCCACACAGATGCGGTTCAGTTATGCGTCGATACAGTGGTGTTTACTGGTCGGAATTGGTGGAGGCGCAGGCACATCAGATACCAAACCAGATATCCGACTGGGTGATGTCGTAGTCAGTGAGCCTATGATGCATTATGCTGGAGTGATACAATACGACTATGGAAAGGCAGTGCGGGGAGGTGACTTTGTGCGTACGGGAACACTCGACAAACCTCCGGAAGTGTTGTTGAAGGCACTGGCGCGGTTGAAAGCTCAGCATATGGTACATGGGAGTACAGCTCATCTCATTCATCAGCAAGTCCTCAGCAGGTATCCTCTTCTCCGAGAGGAGTTTTCTTGTCCAGGACCTCAAGAAGACCGCTTATTTGTTTCGGACTACAACCATGAGGATACTTCTGTTTTGACTTGTAATCGATGTGACCCAGCGAAGTTACAACACCGAGATATACGGCCTGACAGCTATACTAGAGTGTTTTATGGTCTGATTGCATCCGCGAATCAGGTAATAAAAGATTCGAAATTGAGAGATCAGCTGTCACAACGTTATGGAATCTTGTGCTTTGAAATGGAAGCCGCAGGCGTGATGAATGTGTTTCCTTCATTGGTAATTCGAGGAATATGTGATTATTCAGATTCACATAAAAACAAGAGATGGCAACGCTATGCAGCGATGGCGGCAGCGGCTTATGCCAAAGAGTTGATCCTTTTCATGCCATTATTTGACATGGATAAGTCGGTACTGGAGATCATGTCTACGCAATCAAGCCTGAAGGAGAAAGCAGTAGAAAAGAAGGAGCACTTGGCAACAATTTCAATGCCTGACAGACTGAGGATGCCTATAGACAGCCTGGCAGGTGGTCTCATGACAGGAATATTGTCCGATACCTACAAAAGCTCAACGAAATCTAATGACGCTTCTTCAAACCCGGAAAGAGACAAAGAAAATCCTGCCATTGATCAATCTCGACTGAGACATTCTTACTCACCCCGATGCAGAGCAGAGTCAGAATCCCGTGAAACTTCGAAAGTAGAAAACGACATATCTTTCAATCAGGAGAGTCCTAGAAATACCGTATCTCACTTACCACGGAGTGCCAACAGAATGCATGTGGAAGTTGAAAGCTTGCTAGAGAGAATAAGGCCGGAAACAGACCCCCAAAATATCCTTAATATCCGACTTTCTATGGCTCGCAAAGAAGGCTCTTGGCATCCCTGGCCAGGTGATTGTGTCGACATCTACCATGCTCTGGGTGATTGGTTTAAAAATGGATCTTCTCCCCTATTGGTAGCTCCTTCATCGGGACCACATACCAGGGTAAAAGATCTGGCTGTCGAAGTGATCAGATATTTGATACGACGGAAGGAGATACATGGCTCCGATTACCAAGTACTGTGGGCTTTAGGGTTGAACCATTCTGATCGCCCAAAGGATGAGTTACTTAAGTCGCTTATAGCTTCTATAAGCAAAGCCTATCCAGAGGAATTCCGTCAAACGTTAGCTCAAGTCGAGATCAAACCCAAAATTGAAGTCGACGAGGACGGACTATGGGTATTGCTACGGCTGTTGATCTCTCATATCACCAATGCCTTTGTTGTAGTGGATCCTGAAGACCACCAATTCATCTCACGGATATCAAATCTTGCAAATGATTGCTACATTAATAACGACACAAAGAGTAAGGTGAGATTCTTCATCGTCTTCAACGGCGCCGAGATACAATACGGAAGGGTCGTCAAGGTACCGCCACTGCCACCACGGGCGGGAATTCGGAGTTTTCTTAGAGAATCTCTTCGCTGGGAATCATTTAAACCAGAGTTTTGACGTACTGATAAACTTCGCAAATTCAGAGACGTCGTGTATGGATATTTGCCAAAAAAAAAATCGTCAAGCATGTTAGTGGATGTATCTATCCGAAAGTATCAAAGTCTCATAATGATGAAGGGACAACATTCATAGAACGAATCATGTTCTCAAACGATGAATTTAAAAATACGTTCGTTAGTATATGTTAAAAATTCCAATGATTCCTTTAACTTCCATTACACGTCACTCCAACCATCGCTCTTCATTCCCTATACAATCCCAGTGTCTTTCTTTCGTGCTTTTTCTGTAAATACCGTAATTTGGCACCTCGATCTTTATCATCTCGCGACAAATCCTCTGATATAGTAGGGTTGACAGAAATGCTCCAGGCAGTCGTTGTCTCTACCGAGTAGTGTTCTCTTCGTCTGATATCCAATGCGTCCTGTGGATTACCATGGATATCAAAGCTGCCATGCCCCGTTGAATTAACTGAATTATCAAGCGGAGATAATGTAGTGATTTCAGGCGCACTAAGATTGTCCAATGCCAACGGGGGTGATCCTAGTCGATCCAGTCTAGCAATACCAGGCTTGTCCGGTGCCAAACTATCCAATGAGGTTATTTCAGCCACAGAAGGTAGCTCCCGCAGTCGACCACGTCGCCCCTGAGTGTCGCTGCGCGTTTCGTCTTCGCCTAATTCCCACTTTGTTTGCCTTTGGCTTGGCTTCGCAGTGTCGTTCGTCGCCTCATCTTGATTCACGGAGCGAGAGAGAGATAATGCGCTATTAGATAATGGGGGCGGAGGCCAAGGTCTGTTTCGAAGGGAGAATTTGTCGTCCATTGAAATATCGGAAAGCATGCCGTTCTCTTCAAAAGAGAATTCGTCAAAATTCAAATCGGCTGTGGAAATTGTGCGACGCGTGATTTTGCTACCAGTCCATGACGCATTTAATGATTGCAACATCAGTTTCGAGATTCTGACTCACGGCATTGAGATTAGTTATCATTGAAGAGTTTCATTTGCCTTCTTCATTTGTTCGTGCCAAATAGCCGAGTATATCACTGATAGAATTGATCAAATGCCTCAGATATTTACGGAGGGAACTTGAAGAGGAAAGGAGGGGTTGAATAGGTAAGATGCATCATGACAAGGCTCGCTACGTTGGCAAGGCTGCAAACTTGTGTAATACCGCCACATCAATTGAATATGACATGCACCTACGAGTGTTCAAAGCGTTCTGATGAGATTATTACGGTCGAAAATGAAAGGTAAGAAATCTCCAACCCATGTTACATCTAGCTCAAATATTCTTGGGCGTCTTGATCTTTAAGTAGTGAAAGTACATCTTGCTTCATCAGACTACAACCATGTGCTCACTTAGCCTCCTTATGACGCCCAAATGAATGGTCCTTGCTTCTCAATAGATTATGATCTTCACGATTGGCTTTGGCATGGTTGGTTGAATCATTATCATGAGGTCCTTGAACATATAGTGATTTCAGCGTTAGCCTATCAAGCCTTTTTTGCAAATATTGTAACTTAGAAGCCTGATCGTCATCCTGTCTTGACAGATCTTCTGATATAGTAGATTTGAGGCCAACTCTCCATGGATTCGATGCTTCTGCCGAAGGACGAGTTTCTCTGGGCATCACTGTAAAGGTTCCGCTCCATTGACGTGCTGCTGGCGCGGGAGTATCTGGGGGGTACCAAGGATAATCCCAATGACCTGAATGAATGGCTGAGCTGTCCATTTTCTCTGTATCCTTCTGTAATGGACGCCCACTTTCCATGGGTGACCGCAACATTCCATTTGCCATACTTACGGAATCTGATTCTCGATCAGAGTCGAATTGAACGTAATCTTCAATTGTCCGTAGCGTCTTTGGAAGCCGCTCAGGGTCAATTTCATCAATCTCATCGGCGTCATGCTGTAGATATGCATTCGTCCGAATCCAGGCTTCGCGTGTTCTCGATCGTAAGTTGTCGTTCAGTTGCTCATTCGGACCTCCACCCCAAGTCTCTCTTATCGTGGTAGTGGACGTCATTTCGCTGCTAGCACAATATGCCCAATCCTGAACTTGAGTGAATCGCGTAACGTGAGATGGCTTATGGAAGAATAGGCTTTTCTCCGTCACTAGATAGATTCGCGCCGTGGGGTGTTCTTTCAATGGAGGCTGGACGCGGAAGCTTAGGTTTGCACTTAGTTTCTTGTTCAGTGAGCCAAGTCCCTTCCCTGAGGCGGCGATCGAGTCTAAGTTACCTTGACGCTTTAATAGAGCAGAGTCGTCGTGGGACAAGATTTCTAATTCGACTGGATCGCGTGAAGTACGACTTGAGGTTTCGTTGCGTACTGGTCTAGAACAAGGAGCAGTTGTATCCAGTACTTCGACTCACGCGTTCGAGGATAGATATCAGGAACGATGTCAGTTTGGCTCAATTAACAATAGAAACCTGACATAGAATGATCCGACCGGTCAGGGTAGATTGATCTTCACAAAGAAATTGACAGAGCAGAGTGAGCAAATGAGTCATGCATAATCACAAGGCTGGCCTCTTTGGCAAGGCTGGGAGCCATGTGACCTCAGCCACATTGAATGAGTATCGTATGCAACTAAGTATCACGAAGCTGCTATGATAACTCAATTGGCAGAGGCCAAAGGAAATCAAGATATTCCAAGCCTCCTAACTTTGATATCGCTACCCAATAATCTTCGTTGAACTTCGGTTGGTTCTTTAAGTCAAAGACGACATATTTGCCATAAAGAAACTTATTGTGTTCAGAAAGTATGAATGAAAGTATTTAGATTTCATACGGAGGTAGTTCGTTCTGGGTTCTGAGTGGGTAATTGGGGCTGTAAAGGCGCCAGCGATGATTACATACGGTAACGCTTATTCTCACCCATTGCCAGCTGCTAGTGAGTAGTTTTGTGTATTGTCATTACCATCCCAGATGCTTCATCTTCTCCACGCCAATGCTCTCTAAACAGTTACCAATCCAAGTAGACAATCATACTAAATTCCTTGAGATTTTAGAACAATGAACAATCTCAACGCGGAATGAATCGCTATCATTCCACTCGAATTGAATAACTTTATCCTGTAGTGAAAATAGAATTGGCGCTGTTTCTACACGGACAAGTACCCGTCCCTTCTTTCCCTGACGGGACTGAATGAAAAAATCCCATGGAAGGGATTGCCCTCAATAATTTTTTTTATTCAATCAACAAGGTCACATCGCATTGTGTCGGACTACTGTTTCGGTGACCAATTGACACATTTGGAACGCGTTCTACGTCAAGAATAAATCCTATACGATCGCAAAACCACAATCAATGAAGCGGACAAGTCACCAACAACGCCAACGGCGACGATGGTAGGCACCTCGCGATCATCGATCAAAGACTCGGTGCAACCACATCAAGCACACGCGAAAACGCCTGTCCATCCGGATTTTCAACAGCTTCGCGATGAAGGGAATCTTGATAACGGCATCAACCCCGACGATCGCGATCAAGACGAAGACGAAGACGAGCTACAAGTCACGCAGAATCCTACCAACGCAAGGCCAGACAACACGAAAAATTCACGAAAAATGCTAGCGACGAGCAAGAGCCTTCCCAATCTCAGGGCGCACACAATCAACTCCACTACATCTACAATAAAACGGCCTCGATTATCATCGTCGACATCTCCTTCGCCGCCGCCGCCCTCTCGCACTCCCTTGTCGCATGCTCCACGTTCTACTCCCCGACGACCTCCGAAACGCGCTCCGTTAACTAATCGCCACCCATCAGGTTCGCAACAAACTACGTTGGACAAGTTTTTCGGTGGAAATTCGATCAAGGATAAAAATACTCGCGCAGAGACTGAGACTCAAAGGCCGACGAAGAAGGCACGCTTTGAACGCGATGGAGATGCCGCTATCGGAGCTCAATTCACCACGTCTTCCTCGACAGCAGCAACAACAAATCAACAATTTCTTGACAACCGCGAATCCCCCGATCCGCTGAACGTCATATCGTCTCCTCCTAATGGCGATCGAGTACGTACGCGACAGAGATCGAATACCTTAACGACATCCACCACGACCGGAACCACCACAATACCTACAGAAACCACTACGAGCCGGTCCTCGCGGAACAAGGCACATCCAGTCATTATTGCTGATGATGCCACCACAACGAAGCCTGAAAACGAGGTGGGTGTGAACGCCCAAAGCAAGCCAACAAATAACACAGCCCAAGCCCAAGAAAAGAGATCTCTGCGATCACATGATGGAGGCTCCCGCTCGAGAAGTGAACTCGCGCTTTATTTCCCCAACTATGAGCAAATCATTAGTCTTGAGCCGGTGAAGACAGAATTTCTCGCTCCGGAGACAAATGTGACAATACTCGATGACCTGACCGAGCCGCCTCTTCCATTGCCCACCCTCCAATCGGGATCTCCATCGCGAACGAGGAAACAGCGCAACTCTATCGAGCAATTTTCGCCATTTGGGAATCCTCTGAATAATTTACACGGAGTTGAAAAGATTGAACTACCAAAAGTAGAGGACAGTGAACTTGGGGTTACGGATCCTTTGAATGAAAATGTCTACTTCAAAGCCCACCGTCGACACGAAAGGCAAGAAAAGCAACTACGGAATATCGAAAAAGAGCGAGCTCAACATGAAAAGATACAACTTGATCGTCTGTTAGATGAGCTTCAAGGTCATGATTGGCTTAGAGTGATGGGTATCAGCGGTATTACGGACACAGAAAAGAAGCTCTACGAACCAAAACGCGATTACTTCGTAAAAGAAGTTTCGGCATTGATAGGAAAGTTTCATTTGTGGAAAGAGGAAGAGAAACGACGCAAGCATGAACGCGAACAAATGCTTCTCGAAGCCGCCAATGCTGCTGCCGAAAAAGAAGAGCATGCCGTTGATGAAGAGATGTCTGAAAGTGAAAAGCCATCCTCAGATATTGACTCGAGCGAGCTGGATGCCGCAGCTGCTCAACAACTTCTACAAGAAGCGCGATCCGCAACAGCAACAGGTGCAACGACATCCTCTCCACCGACACCAGCACACCCTCAACCCCGTCGGAGACTAGTAGATGAATTAACCAGCACACCACCCAAATCTCGATCAACTCATCACAGAACAAACTCCAAACATGCCATACATACCACAACAAACCAAGACTCCCCGTCCAATTCTCAGGTCCACCATCCAGAGATTCAAGAATACGACGAGAACAAACCTTTTACATCCTTCTACCGAAAACGACATCTCCGCGACGCGGCATTCTCAAGTAGCCGTCGAGGCGGTCGCAACAGATCTGCATTTGGACAACCATTACCAGAGCTCATTGAAGAACGAGAATTCGAGCTTCCCTCAGAGATTTTGACGTCGAATATTGTCTTGTCCTTAGAACGGAAGAGGAGACGGTTGAAGAGGGAGAGTCGAGGTGGTTGAATGCTTAGAGTTTGGACATCATATATCCATACTCTTAACATGTTTTGGGGTGGTATACTTTGGGAGATGTATTTTTCTTACTGTGTCATTTAGCGAGGCGTTTACTCAATGTCAAGTTGCAACATTAGTATACCTAGGTCACTCACCATACAAACCATATTTTCCCTGCCAGCTGGAATTATCTTTCTCAGGCTGCCGCCGCTATTGTGAGGGCGCTCATGGTTCGACTCACTGAGGAGATTTCAGTCCAAATTCACACGCACTCACCAGCTCAGGGGGCTGAAAATTCCGACCCTGCCACCTCCTCGTGGTGCAGCCTGGTAGCATCACTCGTGTACGGGACTCGTATACGGGCACATATACAGACAGGCTTGGAATAGGGCTTAGAAAGTTTGCGCGCCAAGGCATACAGCTTACAAATGACTTCAAAAGAAGGTCTATATAGAAGCGGCTTTGGAACATGATGTACGCGGAGAAGAGGACTGAAAGATTACCCATCGAATTTGACTTTATTGCTTCGTACGTACGTACCTAAAGACACCTTAGTGCGCCCACAAAACCTGACTCTTTTATATGTATTGTGATATTAGAAATAATGCTACCAATCATAGTAGTTATCAAAACGAAAGGGTCCCTCGTACTTTGAAGTTTAGAAAATAGATTATATATGATGCAATAGATGGGAAATCCAGGTGGGACAGTTACTATCAGATTATCCGGATATTTAGAAGCAGTCTCAAGGAAGCTATCTGCTTTATAGCCCGTCATGACAGGTCACAAATGATGTCAACCCTATCTGCTGGAGGCCAGCAAAGCTAGCCGGCCAAAACGTCTATAAAGACCCCAGCTTTGGAGCCTCATGTATTGAGACAGACGGAGAACGGAGTACATCCACTCCTAGTAGTCATTTTCTTCTTTCCCTCCTTGTAGAACCACTACTGGTATTCAGGAATGGCCTGAACTAAACCCAGCAATCCGACAGATAGGTACCTGGCGAGCGCCATGACCCGTGAAACAGACTGAGCACGTAGTTACACTGTTACATCGTCTGAAAATAATTCAGAAGCGATTTGTGGACAGCAATTTCAAACGCGAGATATAATTCCGTGTTCCGCGCGTTTAATGCGCTTCTCGTAGTTTGGACTGCCCGATAAGCGCAATGCCCTACTTCTTGAGGATTGGTATATATAGAGCACCGGGCACAATTCGATATTTAAGTCAGAGTTCATACTACTTCGATGAGAAAACAGAGACTACTTTGCTCGTCTTTATTTTGGCAAATTCCAACCCGACTCCAGATTGGTTACGCATACTACACGATGTCCGAGAAGTCCTCCTCTCACCCCGACCTGGAGCGAAGAACTCCTTCGCCGTCTGTCACTCAGTATGGATCACCTGAAAGTACAGTTCAACCACCAATAGATCCGAATATCATTGACTGGGATGGACCGGACGACCCCGAGAAGCCGATCAACTGGCCGAGATCTCGCAAGGCAGGAGTGATTGGTACCGTCTGCTTACTGCGTTTTGTCACGTATGTTTTACAGAAATTGTGGTCAATAATAATACCAGCTTGAATGCTTACCAACGACATACTTAGTCCCCTCGCTTCTTCAATGATGGCATCAGGCATTGTCCAAATTGAACACGAGTTCAACACAACTACTGCGACCTTCACTACATTTACTGTGTCAATCTATGTATACATACCGTGGCCAGCCCAGTATCAAAGAAAAATGTATAATAAGCTGACAGTAAGACAGATTATTGGATTTGGCCTGGGCCCATTGGTCCTCGCTCCTCTCTCCGAAGTGTACGGCCGGAACACTATATACCATGTCTGCAATGTCCTCTTCACCATATTTACCGCGGCTTGCAGTCTGTCACCCAATGCAGAGGCCCTTTTTGCCTTCAGATTATTAGCAGGAATTGTTGGTGGTGTTCCCTTGACCAACGCTGGTGGAACAATCGCCGACATTGTTCCAGTTAACCGTCAAGGATCGTAAGTACCCGATACTTTTTACAGGTATAGATTTGCTAAGGCATCTTTTTGATAGCATTATGACTCTGTTCACTCTTTGTTTGCTTGTTGGGCCTGTCCTTGGGCCCACCGCAGGAGGATTTCTGAGTCAAGCAGCTGGCTGGTGCTGGATTTTCTGGCTTTTGACTATTATGGTAGGGCTGAAACTGACTTCCACAATTTAATCTTGAAAAAACCATTGTTCTAACATTCGAAAAATTACAGAGCGGCCTCGTCACTCTTCTTGGATTTGTCTTCCTTCGTGAGACCTACGGTCCAGTTTTACTTGAACGAAAAGCCGCGAAACTTCGTAAAGAAACCGGTAATCAGCTACTTCGAGGAAAGGGGACGTCACAAATACCATATCGCACAATTTTACTACGAAACCTGTCAAGACCAATGCGAATGCTTATTCTCAGTCCGGTCATTCTGGGGGTCTCTTTGTACATGGCGCTAGTGTACGGTATCATCTATCTACTCTTCACAACATTCTCGGTGGTTTTTCGGGATACCTATGGATTCAGCGAAGGAACTGCAGGGCTTTCATATTTGGGCACGGGGGTTGGAATGGTTCTTGCTCTGTTTAGTATGGGATGGTACAGTGATGCCATCTATACTCGCTTGTCAAAAAAGCATGGCGTAGAACTTCCTGAGTAGGTCAATGTCCTCTCATATTTCACTTGTCATCAAAAAGGCTAATATTATCACAGGTGTCGACTTGTTCTGTTTATTCCGGGCGCGGTTGCACTTCCCATAGGGTTATTCATCTACGGTCAGTTTTTATACAGCTTCTTTTCCAAATAAGACTCAAACCTCTTTATGTTTTTAGGATGGACGGCACAGTATAGATTGCACTGGATAGTGCCCATCATTGGAACTGCTTTTATTGGAGTCGCTACTACGGGATCATTTGTGAGTTCATAATCACTTCTTTTAACGTTAACGGTTCCTAAATGCCTTTTCGCAAACAGAATACAATTCAAACATATCTTGTCGACGCCTACACAGTATATGCCGCGAGCGCCATGGCAGCAAACAGTCTTGTTCGCAGTATAGCCGGGGGACTTGTTCCTCTCGGGGGACCAAGCTTGTATGATAACCTAGGACTGGGATGGGGGAATTCTTTGTTAGGATTTCTCGGGATTGCCTTTGCAGGAATTCCTCTCCTATTTTACCTGTACGGCGAGCGGCTGCGGAAGAAATATGATGTGGAATTTCATTGAGCGGTCGTCTTCTAGAACGCTGTTGATCATTGCATAGTTTTAGCTTTGAAGTCAGCTTAAACTAATACCTCCATGATATGGAGGATTTTTTTTTTCAATTTGATACAATGGGAATCTCGAAGATCTGTGGACGAACAAAATTAATTTCAATTTGTTGTAATGGATTTTTAGCTGAAGTAGAGAGCGATTGGATCAAGCTGCGAATATCTTGCACAGTCTCCAGATCCAAGACGGTGTTTTCAATAGCTACTAGAGCCTCTTCCGGTTTTACGCCAGAAACTAATCTCCTCCATTTATGGCAAATCTCTTCGTTCGTAACCAGAATTAGCCCTTATTAACTAATACAAATACTCGGAAAACATTATTATTATTATGATAGCTACCTGCAACCCCCTCTTGACGGGACCAAGCTAAACTTTTAGCCCTTAAATTTATACAGCTACCGATTACTACTTTACCATCACTTCACACGAGATATCCTAAACCGATTTGCAAAATATCACACAATCTAGAAAGCTAACAAAAGAAAAACCAAAAAGAAGGGAATACAGACACATATACACATTCTAGACCTCAATATCCTCTGACCCGCCCCAATTGAGAGTCCAATCAAACGGTAGACTGAGATCTGCCTCGGAAAAGGGATTGGAAAATTCAGAATCATTGACAAAGGAGAATATTCCTGGGGATAGTAAGAGAGATTCGGATGTTTGAGTAGAAGAGGTAGTGATAAGAGGACCATTGCTTGGTGTAAATGTAGATGATGTTTTTGATGACTGCGTAGAAAGTTGGATTGCCCAATCTTCAGAAGTTGCTTGTTCAGCTGGCTGCTGCTCTAGACGGCGCTTCTTACGCCTCGTCTGGCATGAGTTTGCCTGGTGTATTACTGCCACGCAAAGATCATAGCACCGAGTAGTGGCGCAAAGAATCTTCGAGCAATAAGTTGAGGTATGATCTGCTTTACTCACACTGCGAAGGATATCTACCGCACGTAAAAGCAGTTGAAGGTCATCCGGGACACATATAGTCCGAGGATATTTTAAGAGCCTCGCGAAAACTTCCAAGAATGCCACAAAGGGACAAATTTCGAATACTCTGCCCAAGTCACAAAGCGTTAATCACACAACTACCTGATTAAATCCGTGGATGCGACTCACCTGCGTAAGGCAGCCTCTTTTCCCCTTATTTCTGTCTGCTGTTCAAGATTCTGAAGTCTCGCCATAGTGGCACGCGCTTCGTTGAGGCACTTCATATCCCCTGCAGGATCAATGTTGAAGCGAATTACCATAATGAGACACATTCCGTGAAGAGTAAGAAGTTCGGGGCCAATATAATAGCATGGATGATGAGATGGTAGCAAGTCCGTATTAGACAATAACTGCTGATTTGATATCAGCCATTGTTGCAAGTCTTGCTCTATTTGATGGACCGCGTTATTGTGAGAGTTGGCAGACTGGCATGTCACTTGTACAGAATACAGGTTCATGTAGATGCGCTCCTGGATTCTGGCAAGGGAGATCCGAGCAAGGAACATCCGCTCGGAGATGTCAGTCGAGGAGGAAGAAGGTAGAGGTACCCCACAATCATATGAGGGCAACGTAAATGGCTTTCCGGTCAAGAAGAAAATGATTTTATCTAGGACAAACAGGGTCCAGAACAGATTCTTGCGTCCAGAGATAGTTGGAGAAGGAAAATGGGCCTGCCGGTGCAAGCCCATTGCTTTGGCACAGTGGGATGCATGCTCCATCAAAAGCTCTGCTACTTCTATTTGGAAATTATCGAGGGCAAACAAACACTGTTTTGCATCCTCCGTTAGCATGAGATAACCGAGATGTGTGTACAACAGATTCAGCTTACAAACGATGCCAGAGCTTGTACATTCATGATTCGTGGCTTGAGAATCCGGTTTGTATCTCTAAACGCACGGCGGAGATTGATAAGAAAAGGTTTAAGGAGCTCCGAGTCCATGTTTTTTTCGCTTGTATCCTGAGGGGTGTTGCGATATTTGGCTGACAACGAATGCAATGTAATGCAATTGAGAATGAGATAAAGTGCAATATCTGGCTGGTTATCTGTTTCTGTATAGGCTTTCTTGATGTATCCTTCGACCTGGTCGCTTGACTCAAATATTGGAAAGATGGGATTGATTTGCTCAAAAAACGGTTGTACCAAAGTCTTTACCAGGCCTTCGGGGGGAAGTGTCATTGGTTGATCATCATGGGATAGATCGGTATGGTCGCTGTGAATAAATGGTCGAAAGGCGTCCCTGACACGATTGAGATAAGCGAGCGTAAACATTCATGTTTTGGCTTTGACTGTCTGGGTCCAGTGGCGTTTGATTTAGTAATCGCTGCTCGAGGGCCATCCCAGCATCTCGCACCAACAGTAGCATGGAGCTCGACCCGTGGTGCTTTTCAATGCCATTTTCGCCTAATGCAACATGGTGACTATCGACCGATGAGTTAAAACCGGGCAAAGCCTTGGCATCAGACATAGCATCTTGTCCACCAAAGACTGAAGATCTTGTGAAATCATTGTTGGGGCTGTTCTGCTTCCTTAATTGCTTCTCAATGACTTCGAGTCGTGCATGAAGGCTGGAACTCCCGCTCGCCTCTTCCAACGCTAGTAGACGATTCTCGATGTCATACTTAGTGCAGAGTCCCTGTTACAATTTTTGTTGCACATTACACGGTGTGATACCGAAAGAATTTATATAGTGTACGGCCCGCTGCTCGGCAGATCGTCCCGCACCACATGAGGACCGGTGTTGGTTGAAATGGCGAAAAATTGCGAATTCACTTCAACGTGGGAGTGACCTATCAATTCACATGTAGCCTTACGCTTGATATTGGTTTAGTGGTGGGAGTATGCATAGTATGGTTACATGCCATGAACTGATAAGATCTTCTGCATAGTAAAGTACTTCCAATCCTTGCTAGGTGCCTTCTTCCGGAATCATCTGCGTGTGCGTATCCTTCGTAAACTTAACAGCCCGGTCAATGCATGTCTAATGAGAGCCATAGGAGCCCCGGCCGAATCCGAGCTTCAGTGCGATAAGGATAAATCTGGTCGATCATCTTTTGATACGATACGAGTGGCATGGAACTATACATCAGCGCCTCAAGCAAATATCACTCTCCTCTGAGAGAGGATAAATATTGACTGACTTATTTAAAACTACGTTCTAACTCAATCTTGTAGGCCAGTAATTTCTTTTATCTTTGTAAAACTCGATCAGGGTGCGGCAATATTATATCTGCATTGCTTCAACGGAGCCTATGAAACAATCGCTTATTCGTTTCCTGATCATGCCAACACTTGTCTCGTCAAGTTAGACGGTAAATCATGTCAGGTAGTCAAGTCAAGCCGGGAATTTAGAGTTGGCTAAAGTTGATTCCCAAATCAATATACCAATATCCTGCAATTGCGGTTGAGGGCGCTGTCCAGTTCGTGATAACCTTCTCATTAACAATCTGCTCGCCAGTTGCACTCGTCAGACGTACACCCAGTGGCAAATTAATAGGCCCAGCATTAGCCGGCAATACCCAGGCACCATATCGCTCCTGCGGATGACCCTCCGGGTAATCGGCCTCTTGGACAAGAGCCAACCAGTTCGATTGCCCATCAGGGCGTATCTCGAAGCCTACGATCGATCCCAGTCCGCCGGCATTAACTGCTGTAATCTGGAAAAAATATGGCCCAGCACTACCCCGGAGCCATAAGTATACGTTGCCTGCTTTGGGACATGGTACTCGCTTGTATTGCGTCGGGATCACGCCCTCGACTAATGTACCAGCCTGTGCTCGTGTCATGGCCACGTCGGATAGATCCAGGTGAATTGAACCGTTGGGGAGCGGGCAGCCGTATGTAAAGTCAGAGACTTCCTGGCATTGATCGACGCCAGGGCCGCCTGTGTTTGGTTATTTTAGAAAATTTTCACTAATAAGAAAGTAACGGAAACGACTTCACTTACAACACCATTTAGTATTTGCCGCACATGGGCAGCTATCGACAATCTCGAGGATGATCGGAGGTGAATATCCGGCATCAGTGGTAGCATAAAGTGTGCCGTTGGGATAAGTGCGGACCAATTCAAAGCACTCGCCGCAGGACAGGTAATTGTCTTGCTCCTCACTGGTATCCAAAGATGGCAGCATCGGCCAGAACTGTGTATAGTAATTGCCATTCGGTGCCGCGAAGTTGCCTCTAAGTGTAAAATTGGCTGGATCAGTGCATAGGTCGGGATACATAGAGCAAAACTGTGCACAGTCTTCACCCAAGTCGATTCCTGAGACACTGGCAGTCGTGCACATGCCATACAAGCCAAACCCACAGGCTCCTGCTGGGGTTTCGCCGAAATGGGTAGATCGCTACGTAGTCGGTGTTAAAAATTGAAGTCACAATAGCATCAGAAGGAAGGCGGTCTGTGTAATACTTACACTGTAGTGCCATGGCATGCTGGCGTTTACAGAGGTTATATCAGGATAGATGGTACCAGAGCCACAGTCCGCGTTATTGCATTCAAGGCTGGTATAGGGCACTTGCGTATGACTTGCTAGGGCTGTACCAGTCAGAAAGGTCGTCGAAGTGCGGTAAGGCGTCGTCTGGGTAGTTGGTGGCGTAGATGTCGTTACAGGACTCGTTCCAGTACTGGTTGGCTGTGGTAAATGTTATAAATGAGGTTTAAGACAACAGATTAGGTCCATTGATAAGGCCATACTCACAGTGCCACTGAGACATTGAGCATAGTATGAATCCTGTGTCTGGCAGGACCACCCTGTAGGGCAACAAGTTGCGCCTGTATACCCAATACCGCCACATTGGGAGCTTTTCAAGAAATAATGTCATATCAGAGACAGGGTATCAAAATAGTAACTATAACTAGGTGTCAAGGTCAACGTACTAAATGGAAGCACAGGCACTGGTTTGTTGAACGGATGGCTGAGCGAGGCAAAGCAGGCCCAATACCATATATTGGAAATCTTTTGTGAGCAGCATACTGTAGGTAATACTATAATCGTGTACTCGTTAAAATAATGGGCATGTAGTAACCAAACAACGAGAAAGACCGTTTACCGTTTCCACCGAGTAGATCTGCGGCTCGTTTTATACTGCCTAGTTAGATTTAATCCCCGCTAAAATATAAAATATTAGAAAGATTCAATGTTTTTCAACGCAATGCGCATCGTTGTTGCCATGTGACCCTCGACCCGAAGAGATGCAGCACCGTCTACGCTCCGCATCTAAAGCTATGCTAATCTATTCGACATCCGGCATTTGATGTCTACGATATTGATTTGACAATTATTCCTTAGTTGCGGGGTGATATCTTAACAACGTCATTATTTCCACTCAATTGTAACGGTGAGCGATGCAGTCTGGGGCTTATAGCGGAGTATCGGAAGCCTTTTATCTCTACTTACCTTACCCCTGCGGCCAGCATGATCAGCGTGAGACTGACATATATAAAGTTTAGGCTGAAGTATGACAAAGTATGCTTGAAATTAACAGAACCAATGAAGAGATCCCAAGTCTCCACTCGTGGCTGATTGTAACAAATTTGTAGTCGGATATGCATCTCACATTGCCGTCGATTTTCGTTCCATGTGTGTAGAGACCCCTTTGCTGGCTGTGGAAGCAGCATGCGAAGTGCCGAGCGGGTCAAATTTCGTCGAATAATTTGGGATAAACTAAACGCTATACTTAGAACGCCGATGATCAACCTGTGAAGTCTATGATTGTATTCTTGTCCAGGTAGTGTAGCATACTAGTTATACCCTGCGGTGATTGATCGGCTGAAGGTTCGTATTGAATATACAATCAATCAAACTTCAAGCCCCTTTAAAATAATCCATAGTTCATTGATTCATCTGCTTGGTTCAAATTCAGACACTAAGCCTCATATCAACTCAAGTACAAATTAGGGCTTTCCCTCCTAGCATCCACTCCACATTCTATTCTAGCTTCGAGTCCAAACTAGACTTAGCCTTATCATCATCACATTCAAACTCGCAGAGAACAGGTCTCTTCTCAACGATATCAGTGGGACTCGATGGCTCCGAAACCGAGCCTCCAGTATACACCATCACATCAACATCCTGCATCTCTTCATCCCGAGACGCTTCCGGACCAAGAATCAAAAACAGAAGAATATAAGCCCACCCCGCGGCTGTAAATATAGCAATTGCACGGCCATAATCATATCTCTTTGTACCATCTGGTGCCGGAGGAAGAGGGTATTTCTCACCATATATAGACTCAGCAGTAGTGACGGGTGATGCAGCAAGATTGCCCAGTTGATACGTAAGTCCCACCATCAGTGTACGTAAAGTATATGGAGCCAGAGTGATAAGATGTATGGGAATTGGGCCCCAGACACCGACGGTAGTGAAATGTTGGAAAAAGACACAAGCGCCAATTTTCATGCCTCGTGTAAGGATATAAGCAGGGAGGATCCCGGCGCCCACTATGCATCCACAAATCATAGTCAGTCGACGACCTAGAAAACCGCTGACATAGCCCATTGTGATACCGCCAAAGCAAGCTCCTAAGTTACCCAGGATTGAGACTATAGCCGCGTGCTCGGCGTCTAGTTGGACCTGGTTTTTGAGAAATGTAGGGTAAAGATCGGAAGCGCCGTGGACACATGCGTTGAACCCCGTCATTAGCAGGAACATGTAGAGAAGCAGCAGCCAGTTCTCCTTGATAGATTTGCCAGAGTCATGCATGAATGTCTTGAATTCACTCGTCTTTTTGGCCTCCTCGGTTCCTCTGTTCGCTTTCTGTCGGGTCCTAGCCTCTCGTTCGGCTTTGACCATCAAGAAATGATTTGTTTCTGGTAACCACCAGCGGAAGATTATTATTAGTAATGGAGGCCCGGCACCGAACCAGTAAAGACTTCGCCAACCGTACTTCGTTGTTGGGACGAGGGCTCGGTACATTGTTGACGCAAATAGACTACCCATGGCGGTCCCTCCTTCAAAAACACCCGATAGCAGACCTCTAGCATCTACTGGAAGGTCTTCAAGAGCGATCGCAGCAGAGGGGCCAATCAAACCTGCATAGTTCGTATTAGTTCATGGTTTACCTTGAGCCAAGAAAATGAGTAGAAAATTTTACCTCCCATTGCAATACCATATACTGATCTCACACCAATGAATTGAGGCAAAGTATTACAAAATCCCGATACTAATTCCAATACCATGAGAAGAACTAGATTGGCAATCATAGGCCATCTCCTCCCGTACCGGTCACAAAGAGTACCGAAAAGCAGGGCTCCGACAGGTCGCGTCATCAGCGTAACGGTTATAGCCTGTTAGTATCATTCTTTATCAGCTTGGATCAAGTATAAAGTGGTAAAGGAGCTCAATACAAACCCATGTAACAGCAGAAGCTGGCGCATCAAATTGCTTCCCCAACTCCGTCACCGTTAATGGCACCGTCGCATAATCAAAGGCATCCCAAGAGCGCCCACACACGCCGCAGAGAAACATAAGCCATTGTGCCCTAGTCACTCGCCTAAGTATTTTGACGGGACTGGTTCGCGCCGATATGTTGCTCCGATGAGGAACAAGGGTGGTGAGTCGTGTGGATAGATAATTAAGGATTTGGCCACGAGAGTAAAGCCATGGTTTCTGATCAGTGTCTTCTTTGGAGGTGCTCATTTTTTCCGTTCTTTTATTGATTGGTATCAGGCTATTGTGCCTGGAGATCGTCATTCGAATTTCATACTAAGGCGCGAAAGACGACCTTTTATACGAAAAATGAGTAGCGCACAATAGTGATGAATAACTGGTTCATGATTGTCAATGGAGGGTGGGTGCATTATAGCCCAAGATCTAGTCCTTGTTATAATACTTCTCATGAAAAGCCCATTCCTTAACTTGAAGGAATGCTACACACATGGGATGGATCGCTATTACTGCATGAAAACCACCTCATATGATCCGATCCACAGGTTCGCTCCATGCCCAAAGTCCGTTGGAGCAGGTATACACAGTCAATGAAAGATAGTATACGTTGAAGTGGCGCTAGACTACATAATCAGCATAACTTGATACTTGATTTGAGCGCATCAAGAAATGAAAGATTGGAATGAAACCGATGGTAGCTGTCAAGTCCTGGATAGTCACCTACATAAACCAATCGGGTAGGAATGCATGAAAAGAGGGAAAGAAGCATACTTCTTGCTTTATCGCCGTCCTTCTGATCAATTGTGGGAGCAAGAATTGCGCGTGTATCAGCTATGCTGCTTGAAAATTAGGGTTCCAAACGAGAAGAAGTATGATGAAGAATAGTGAAACTGCCTCGAGAAACGTACTAACGTTAGCTATGATTTTATTAGCTTTTCCTCATCGCGGGTTTTACGCAACTGAAAATTTAGAAATGCAGGCGATAGCTGTTAACTATCAAAATCAGATTCTTGGATGCTTGAATCCAACTGTGCGGCCCGGCATACGGCCGTGAGGAGATGCACCTGAAGGATCTGTACGAGTCATGGAATGGGACATGATCTAGTCAATCAAGGTCGAAGCGGTACTACTAGAAGCCGTAATTCAAGAAGAACATGTGTCTTCTCTGAAGTTGGGTTCTGGTCGAAGTTAGAATGAAAGCTTGCTTCCCATGTCTATGCCTTTTCCCGTCACTGGACAGATGCCATGAGTGATAAAACACTATAACAATCCTATTTCTTTTTCTAGACCCCTGAAAAGGAGAAAAAGGAAGGCCTGTTGCTAGCTAATAGGCGGATCAAAGACTCAAGCCGGCTGGTTCACCAAACTTCGAATGAAAAGCATTTTTGTTCATTGGTTTACCTCAAGTAATGTCCAAACCGATAAGGAAAGAATGCGAATTCTTCAAATCTAAGCAAAGATAGTGGACCATAATCGTTGATGATCAATTTAACCACGTTTCTAGATAATTTCTCTTCTTCAGCACGGCCATACTACCGGGTAACGTGCCGAAGAATCTCGCTGTTCCTTATGAGGATCATATCCCTGGCTACGTTCTTTGTCTTGGATTGATATCCCTCACGCGATCTGGCCGGAGCTTTAGATCTGGACTGTGATCGCATAAATCGTTCATATAATTCAGCATAAACCAAAATGAGAGACAGAGATCGCTTCTATCCGATTTCAACATTTGCACATTCTGCAGCAATATTATCTTTTTCCTTGTGATATGACCTATCAGCGCGCTGAGCCAAGTTCTCCACGTAGTATAAGTCTCTTTTGCTGAATCTAAACTTGTCAATTAGGCTTAAGCATCCGCGCAATGTCGGATTGTCACTACCGAATCTAGCAGACGTTGAACCTAGTAAGTATAGTCAAACTCAATCTTTATTTTTCAACTACTGTCTATTGGTACGAATATCATTGCGTATCGCTCCGAGCAGTAAGAGAAGCATTACTCAAAAGGCATTGAGATTAACGCTGCTTTCAACCCCTTCATTCCACCCCTTCTTATTCCTATAAAGTGGCTTGATTGATCCTCCTTACTTTAGTCCGCCGAACGTGAAACAGTAGACCGAGATAGCTCTACTCATTCCAATGTAAGTTGTCTTCATCTCTAGCAGAGGAAATAATAACAATTATGTCGATGGGATCTGCAATTTTGTGTGTGGCGAGTATTATGATTGTTGGGTGTTACACCAGTATGGATAAGAGTACGTTACGTACGTACTGTGATCGACTGCGGCGACACTGTTTGAGTCAGATGATCAAACTAAAAAATTAAATGCTCACCAGAGGACTTTATTCACTTTTCATGTGGAACTTGAATTCGGATTACGATAGGCTCGGGATCACGCGAGTAACTACCATCAGCCCTGGTTCGGGCTTGCCCAGAAAAAGTAGCCTGGATTGCTTTTGTACATCTGTCTAGAGAACTGATCCCAAGTTCCAGACTGTCTATTCTGATATAGTAATTTCAAAATGATTTAAACAGATCGTATGTATGTTCATGTCTCCAAGCAAAACGCGGCAAAAATAGATGCACCGTTCCTCAATATTCAACCCAGACTCCAACCTAAACATGTTATGTGCAATCAAGATCCCTGTAAACGTCTAAAGGCCGATTTGTCCCTAAAATTTGAATTTTTTCCTTTGTGTTCTAGTCCCGCGGTGTAGTGAAGATTTTAGACCTTCACTTTCCATTTCCAAGTATATCCCAAGCAAGTCCATCTTGTCAAGGCCAGAATGCATGATGCCCACACCAGTAATGATCCAGACCATATAATCATAGCTTTGGGCCCGCCTCTCTGCATCAATTCACCAGTAATAGGAATACTCACCAGTAGGCTGTTTTGGGATATTTTAGTCAACCCAGAGCTGACAGAAAAATTCTTAGACAGAGAGCGAATGACTTACGCAAAACTGACCACGGAATAGCAAGTCCCAAACCTTAGTCCAATCTCTTTTGCATCAGAAATCTGTCGAATACAAACGGGAGAGACACTGATGAATGAAGCTGTCGTTAATCCATATAGACAACTGAATATATAGAGAACAGGCACTGATTTCTGAAAGGGAAACAGCAAGACAAAAAGCCAGATCGTGGTGAGGAAAACAGCAACAGCAAGAGTGTTCAAGCGTCCGTAACGATCAGCTATACGCCCTGATACTAGACGACCGATCGTGCCAAAGCTTTGAGGTATGTTAGTTCGGTGGCTGTGATGTAGTATGGACCGAAATTAGGAGGCTCACACGTTCACGATGACAACTAGTATGACACTCAAATCCGCCGAAAAGCCTTGAGTTGTGATGTATGTAGGAAACATTCCGAGTAACGAGAAGTACTGTAACTCCAAAGCTATGCACCGTAAGTTAACTGCTTTTTTTGAGAATGCACTGAAAAGCCTGGCAATCCCCTGAAGGGCTGAAGACAAAAAAAGACGGGACTTACAAAATATACTCACAGTCATCCACGTAAACTTGAGATCTTTGAAACATCTCAAATCAATGACCGTCTTGGATGACTTCTTTTTCGGTAATCTTGCCCGAACCATGAATGAACCGAGAAGACACAGGAAACCAACGACAAATGCCAGTATCCTCATAGTCCACTTGAAACCAATATTTGAAAATCCTGCCCGCATCACAAAGGGGAACAAAATACCGCCTAAGCCACTACCGGCCAAAGCCGTTCCCATGGCCATACCAGCACGGATCTCGAACCAGTGTGGGACACAAGCCATAGCCACTGTGCTCACGAGAGCAGCGCCTATGCCACCGAGAATACCGAAGGTTAACAGAAACTGCCAGTAGTGCTTGCATTCGGCGAACAAAAAGAGACTGAGCATGAAAATGACGGAGCCTCCATAGACAAGCATCTTTGGACCATGCGAATCAAACAATGGGCCGATATAGACGCCTAGCAGTAGTGCAACAAACACAAAGCTACTTGATATCCAGCCGACATCGGTGCTGCTGTATGAGGAAAGTTGGTTGGTCTCTAGGTAGGACTGAAATACACCGACAGAGTTCATCATGCCATAAGTAGCCATAAGCAGGAAGAATGACCCCAGTACGACGAGCCATGATCTAGTTCCGCCATCCGGGAAGCTGTCTACCACCGCTGTTTCTGATGAGACAGGTGGGTGGTCCGAAGAATAGACTGCGTCATCTTGGCTGTCCCCGTGAGGTGGTACCAGATGCGTAATTGGCCTATCTGTGGTGTTCAGTAAGTTGCCGAAGGGGGTGAAGTTCGTCAGCTCGACGGATAATGTTTTGTGGCCATCTGATCCGGGCGAATGGTATACTTTGCTATTGTTGGAAGTCGATTGAATGATCGAAGATGGGCTCTGTAATGCCATTCCTCGCTATCTCTTTGTTGGTGACCGAGTTGGCAGTATCACTCAATGCCTAGGAAATAGCAAGGTACAAATTTGTTTTAGCGATTGGGCTCCATTAGATTGAGTCATTCACTCAATATTCCGGCGGGGTAGATAAAAATTCATTCCGTTTCGGAATTAGGGCTATCGCTTCAATGACCCAATTATGACTATTATTATTTTGACGTTTGATCTCGGCGAATCATGGCTTGGCCTTATTCAGATCCATAGGTTGCCTATTTTGGTGTAGTTAGCCCTAATCTTTCACGAGCTAAGCTCACGGAGCGGCGGTGTGCTGAAAAATTTCAGATGAAGCGCGTCATTTAAGCATTATCTATGATTGGATTGACCTGTCGACCATAATCCGAGAACATTGAACATGTCATTTAAGATGGATATAAAATACCAAAACACGTGCAAAACAAATCTACTTGAGTTGCATATCAAACACACTGTCATCACCTGCCACTCCACGTCGAGCCTTCCTCGACTTCAAAGCATGCCTCAAGCGAGCCGATGTCTAAACGATAAGTACCCGGTTCTAATCGCCACTGTTTAACCTCTTCATCCCAATAACTGAATGTGTGTTTTTTATCAAGGGTAATCTCAACGGATTCCGACTTTCCAGGTAGTACCCATACTTTTTCGTATCCTTTGAGCTCACGGGCAGGTCGCCAGGCCTTTTCGTTGGCAGGAGGCAACACGTAGGCTTGTACAACCTCATGGCCCGGGAAAATGCCCGTATTCTTGACTTGAACCGAGATTTTGATATCTGAATCACTCGTATTATCGATGACGAGGTCGGAATGCTCAAACGTCGTATATGATAGTCCAAAGCCAAACTCCCATTGCGCGGTTTTTGTGACATCCGGATGTCGGTAACCAATCTGAATACCTTCGGCGTACTTCAAGGTATACTCCCCATCTTCGTTAAGCGTAGCAGGGAAATTGTGGAACGTAGGAATATGCTTTTCATCGAACTTCTTGGGCCATGTCGTCGCCAATCGGCCGCTAGGATTTGCCTTGCCAGTGAGAATATTTGCGAGCGCTTGACCACCTTCCTGGCCTGGGAAGTGAGCATTAAGAACGGCATCGACATCATCGATAATAGGAGAGACATCAATTGGATTACCGCAGTTGAGCACCAAGACGGTCTTTTCCGAAACAGCGGCGACTGCCTTGATAAGTTTGATTTGCCGTTCAGGAAGGATGATAGTGTCAAGGTCAAATCCTTCAGACTCGTACTCGTGATTTCGACCCGCGAAGATGATACTCACGTCCGATGAAGCGGCAATTTGCACGGCTTCGGAAATGGATGTTCGATCGTTCACGTATTCCTCGTAACATAAAACAGCACCATGTGGATTGGGTTCGTAGTCATTTTCCTTGGGTATGCGAGCTTGGGTGAGAAGTCGAACAAGGTAAGATTTTCCAGCAAGCATGGGCACAGAAATGCGGCGCTCGAGACGAGCGGGTTCGAAAAGGAAATCTTCCATTGAGACTTCTGACTGTGTCGAGGACGATAAGACGCACTTATCTTCCACAAAGAGGGAAAATGCACCGGTAATACGAGCAGCCAAGGTGTGATGGCCGGTTGATGTGGGCGTGATAGTTGTAGATATCTCGTAGCTGAAGCCAGGTTCTTGGAGACCGGGTTTCAGATTTCGCACCATCGCAACCACGGGAACATGTTGGTGCTCGGTATGAATGGGAGTATCGCAATCTTGGTTGAAATAAGAGATATCAAAACCCGGTTTTCCGCTTTTCGATGTGGTCCGATCGAGGGGTACCATAGGAATGATACGGTTTGTGTTGACACCGCGAGCATATTCAACCAAGGATGGGACTGGATGAGCTTCCTTCAAACAGTCCAAAGGCCGCTGCAAGTATTGAGGAGGTGCACTCGCACTGCCACCACCACTGATAACGGGCTCAACAGCATGGACACCAATGACTGCAATCTTTGGGGCTTGACGCATGTCAAGCGGCAATGCGTTCTTTTCGTTTTTGAGGAGAACAATGCCTTCGGAAGCAATCTTCAAAGCCATTGCGTTGGTTTCGGGGTCGATTTCACCACGCTCAGGGGCCTGTGAATGGCATGTTTTCGTTGCATCAATAAGCTCAAGAACCCGGGCGACGCATTCGTCAATAGCCTTTTCATCGACAAGTCCTTTTTGTACATCTTCTACTAGTCTCTGACCGCGGAAAACCGCTGGGCCCGGCATTTCCAGATCGAGGCCGGCGTTTATAGCGGCGACACTGGACTTTGTTGCGAACCAGTCGGATATAAGGCATCCATTGTAGGCCCATTCATCACGCAAGACCTCTTTCAAAAACACATTCTCGGTAGTATGGACGCCGTTCAGTTTATTGTAGCTTTATACGAGCTTCAGCATTCTCACCGTGACAATACATAAGGATAATAATCAGACTTACCTGACCATCAAACCACGAGGTTCACTTTTCCTAAGCAACTCTTGGAAGGCACCGAGATAGATTTCCCTTACAGTACGGCTGTTATGAGATTCGGCGACATTGTACTGTCTTCTCTTGAACTCACTCTCATTACAAGCGAAATGTTTCGGACAAGCAGCCAGTCCCTGTGACTGAATACCGCGCACAATGGCTGCTGCGAGCTGGCCGGAGAGTAGAGGGTCCTCACTAAAACATTCAAAGTTTCTTCCACCGCGAGGATCGCGGTGAATATTGATAGTAGGACCAAGAATAACCTGCGCGGATTTGAGCTTGGCCTGGTGAGCTAGAGACTTCCCCAGTTCTTCCATCAGGGAATTGTTCCAGGTTGCGCCGTACAGCGTTGAGCTTGGGAAGACGGCAGTGGGTGTTCCATGGTGTATCTCGGAACCTTTCACACCGTTGACCGAATCGACGACCTAGATTAACAATACACATTAACTTTTTCCCGCAATCTTGGACCCCATCTGAAAAAGGTACCTTAAGAGAGGGAATGCTTAGTCTTGGAACTGAGCTAGAGCTGACAAAGTCGGTTCCAGATAGTAATGTCACTTTTTCTTCCAGTGTAAGCTCGTGCAAGAGAGATTTGTATGTGGATTGTTCTTCATAATGCGCTCGCTCTTCAGGCTTTCCTAAACCTTCAAGCGACTCGGAGCCTGGTGTATAATCTTTCCTTGAATCATTTATTTCATTGATAGAGATATTTGATTCAAACTTGAGCTCGTCAGCTGCAGGTGCTACAGAAACCCCGCCGGCATCCATGGCTGAGACTGTATTGATTATTGAAATGATGATATCAGGAAGAAAAGTAGAATGGGAGGAAGAGTAGGGAAGGCAAAAGACAAGAGCTTTGAGATAGAAACTCGGAGAGAGGTAGACAAGCGACAGCTAAGCTGCTTGAATTGCTCCATTATCCCCATTATCTTTTGGCTTGTACATCCATGATCCAATTCTCCGAGATTGATACAATCCACATCGAGAAAGTGGACGGAGTGGACGGCGCAGACTGAATGTCAGGTGATTTGTCCTATTACAGACTAGTGTCCGTGCCCCGGATATCCACCTCGGCATTTCCATCTCTCCACCTTCCACTTTCTACTTCCACTTCCTCACCTCCAGCTTTTTCACCACCAACCCCATGTTATCCCCGTCTTAGCGCTGTCGATATGCAGGCCTCGCCACAGGGTGTTTCAAAGCGGCAATTAAGATCACAAGCAGGCCGGCCTTCCGGTCCATTTGTATGCCAGAAATGCGACAAGTCCTTTTCGCGCATAGAGAATCTGACTCGTCACACCGAGAATCGTACGTGAAGCTCGGCTAGGGGGGTGAAAAGACAACCAAACTGAACATTGTATAGATAAAGCTAATGGCAAGTTCGCATGCAACGTATGCCAAAAACGTTTCACCCGAAGGTGAGTAGTTGATCATCCCTATTGACCGTTCTAACTGCCACTCTCCTTTCGATGCCCTAACACATCTAAGTGACATACTGAAACGGCATGGAAAAATCCATACTACCGAAGAAATTGAAGGGCGGCAGGCTTATCTTAGAGCAACGCATTCAGATACAACACGCCATCCAAACCAAAGGAATGAGGAGCAGTATCAACACCATCATGTCCAACCAGACATTAGACTACCGAAAAGTTCGGGGATGCAAATAGAGCGTACCGAGCCAGATTCGGGACATCAGAACATCGCCATACCAACCCCGATTGCCCTTCAGTCTGTCCCGGGAAATGGACACCTCACGGTTTCCTATGATGAAAGATTGCAAAATCGTATGCATGGATTGCACGGGACTGTACCTCAGAATCCAATGATGATACCATCGCCGGAGAGCGTGGCCTTTGGTTCATCATGGTCTGATGGTTATTATGGTATCTATGGCGAGGGTTCCTTTGATGCTGACTTAGCTTGGATACTTGATATGGCTCCAATGAGCTCTGAGACCATACAGCGCATGCAAGAGCGACTTCCGGTTGCGGGCCCTGCTCCTGGTTCTTTCGATACGTCACTTCAGATACCACAACAACCTACCCAGCAAGGAATTGGAAATATGTCTGCTGATTTTGGTAATGGTGACGAGTCAAGACATCATACATCTATCGAAAATCGAAATAATTGGCCCGACGAAGATGAGCTACCTGGTGTTGCACCAATCTCGGTGGAAGAATCAACATATGTCATCCCTGACTCGCGGTCGTGGGTGGACTGGGGAGAATTGTCCTCGCCGCTTGAGCGCCTCCAGGACGCACCCACACAAAGCTACACAGTGAACCCCGATATCCGAGCTCGTTTGTTACAAACGCTGATAGAGAATGCTTCATATAAGGATGGGCTTCTACCACCAGAAGATACCCAGTTTCCTGTTCCCGAAGTCCTAGAGCATTTCCTTAAGCTCTTTTTTGAGCATGTTCAAATCAGGTTCCCCGTAATACATCAGGCTACATTTTCGACTTCGACAGCCCCATCGTTCCTACTTCTTTCAATGATGCTACTTGGCTCCAGTCACTCAAGGACCAATTATGGAAAGTTTGTGGCAGCTTATTTGCGCCCGGTGGTTGTTATGTTTCAGAGGCTGCAAGCTCTAGACATATTATTGGTAAGTAGGCATCGGTTGGTCTTTCGTCTTGATATCGTTTCTTTGCTGACCGAGATCTATTGGTAGCTAAGATCGACGGATAACATCTTGACACTACTCTTTCTCTGTATTTCAGGTGCATGGTGCGGCCACAAAGTTGCTTTTGAATTTGCCGAAGGCGCTCGTGGAATACTTGTTACCGCTTCTCGTCGCTGCAAACTGCTCGACTGCCGCCCAAAGCCTTTACTCTCGGGCATGCAACAGCCTCGCAGCATGCGTACACGACTTAATGATAGCTGGAAAAACTGGATCAATTTGGAGCAACGCAAGCGGTTGGGTCTTTGTGTATTTGTGCGTTACTTATTATCTGATGTTTTCAGTTGAACAAAGCTAATCAACAACGTCAGATGTTCGATCTTCAATTCCCAGCTTTGTTTCACAATCAACCATACATATCAAAAGCTGAAACTGTCAACTTGGTACTCCCTTGCGCTGCTGCCTTCTGGGATGCAAAGTCAGCAGAATCATGGAAAGTACTCCTTGGCCCAGCTGAGATACCATCGTCGACATACTTCATGGTGCCCCTAGACACTTGTCTTCTGTACCCTGCTATCAAACGAGAAGCCCCTTACGCGCCCATTGACTCTTTCAGCAAGACACTTCTGATGTACGCCTTATTCACGCATATTTTCGAATGGCGACAGTCACTCAACATAGTGCTTCATTCTGCATTTATTCGCGGTCCAGAGCATACTACACCGGGCGAAGGGCTTAAGGAACGTCAAAGATGGCTTCAGGATGCACTGGAGGCATGGCTCAAGAATTATCATCGACCAGATGGTGATATTCGGAGTGATCGCTCAGGGGCAGCATCCCCTGCAGCTCTTCTATTATACTGCATTGCCGAATTATACATCGAAATAAGTATCTCGGATCTCCACCAATTTGCCGGACGTTCCGGGTTGAGTGAAGACATCAAACTAGCCGAAGATTCATTGCGCAGATGGTGTCGAAGTTCACGCTCTGCACGGACGATGCATAGAGTCCACGAAATGCTCGATTTAGCTCATCAGACTATTGAAAGCGGGCTTGCACATGAATGTGCTTTTGAGATTGCCGTCGCTCTTCTCACGGGAGGGTTGACTTGTTGGATGTACGAGAAATTAGGCGGACAAACATCATCTGGTACTCAGGTTAGTTTCCTCATTTTCTATTCATAACGTATCTTTGGAACTTATGACTAAACCTTTGTTCAAAGCTACGAATGGCAAGTGAAGCGCTTGAAAGAATGACTTGCTGGGGGATTTGTGCCAATTTTGCCCAAATACTGAAGAAGTTCATAGTATAACATTTACGAGACCTTACTATCACACTATACGCAGAAAAACATGGTTCATTGGCAAGATTCGATTTATGTACAGATAGCTTGTTACACGCCGCAAAAGAACTACCAACCATGTTGCAAAACTTCGTCTACCGGTAGTTCATCATCTGCTGGCTTGAATGGGGGCAAAAGTGCTCTGACGGGCCATTCCTCAGGGTGATAGTCAACCTCCCACTGTCTTATTCCCGAGCCGACAATGATAGAGTCCTTTGAGCCAGGAAGATGTACGTGACATTTTGTGTTCAACGGCACAACTACCTCCAACCAAAGCATCTGTTGATTCTTGTCGGGGTTATTCTTAATCTCCCAGCGGACCCGACAGCGCCCGTAGACGCTATGATACTCAGCCTCGGCCCACTGAAGATTACCCCCGGGGACAGGCTCAACCTTGAAGGTCTTCCAACCAGCATCAACCGGCTTCAGACCACAAATAGTCTGATGCATCCAGCTAGCAACCGACCCCAAAGCATAGTGATTGAAACTAGTCATATCACCGGGATTGATACTACCGTCGGGTAGCATGCTGTTCCATCGTTCCCAAACAGTTGTTGCTCCCATAGTAACTGGGTACAGCCAGCTAGGACATTCACGATGCAGAAGCATACGATAAAAGACATTTGATTTGCCGACTTTTGTTAATGCGTGTCCCAAATAGGGTGTTCCTGCAAAGCCAGTGGCGATCTTGAATTTGTTTCGTTGGCGGATTAGCATTGAGAGACGTTCTGCGGCATGGGATTGTTGTTGCGGCGAGTTGAATAGGTCAAATTCGATTGCAAGGGCATAAGCTGTTTGTGTATCACATGCAAGACGTCCAGAGGGTGTGATGTATTCATCTGCAAACATTTGTCGCAAATTGGCGGATTGATCCTGGTAGAACTTTTGCTCCTCTTGCGATTTGTTTAATGTGGCTGCGATTTTGACCATGAGCGCTGTAACATGAACCAGGAATGAATCGCAGACCATGTACATATCGGTCATTGCATTGACAGGATCGTCAGGGGGCGCACTGGGGTCTAGCCAGTCAGCTAATTTGAAACCATCTTGCTTCCAGAGTCCCGTAGTCTCTGAGCGCGGGATTGAATTCAACCAATCCTTCATGCTCTCATAATGTCGCACTAACATACTCGTATCGCCGGTAGTCGTATACAATGTCCAAGGCAACATCACAGCTACATCTCCCCATACCGCCTCAGCAGACTTTCCTGGGCCAAAATCTCCTAGGATGTACGGAATAACTAGAGGTACAACGCCACCAGCCTCCTTTTGCTCTATTACCATATCCTTCAACCACGATGTCAACATGCCGCTTACGTCAAAGAGATAAGCAGCCGTATCCCCAAAGACGTTGATGTCGCCAGTCCATCCAAGACGTTCATCGCGTTGTGGGCAGTCGGTCGGTATACCGACAAAATTGCCTCGCATACTCCATACAATATTGCTATGCAATTGGTTTAATAGTGGGTTTGAGCACCGGAAATTGCCAGTGACTTGCATGTCTGTGTGGACAACTACCCCGACGAAATTCTGAGATGTGAGGGGCGTTTTCGATTCTTCAGGCCATCCGGTGACCTCCACGTAGCGGAAACCGTGAAATGTGAACTTGGGCTCCCAGTAGATAGGTCCATTGCCGTCTAGGATCAATGTATCAAGACACTTGGCCGATCGCAAAGGGCGAGTCCCAATCTCGCCATTTTCCAGCACTTCGGCAAATTGAAACTTGATTGTCGTTCCAGCAGCACCATCTACTTGTTTCACTTTGATCCAACCCGCAAAATTCTGTCCGAAATCTAGAATCGTCTTGCCGGATGGCGACTTAATGATCTCCCTTACTTCGAATTCTTGCGTCTTTCGAATTGGCGGACCGTCGGGAGCGGTAAGAAGTCTTGAATATGAGGAAAATTCTTGATTCGTTTGCACATTCTTCCAAACAGTCTCTGAATGTAGCATTTCGCGAGCATCGTAGGTCTCACCGTCAAGCAATCCAGCTTCAACAATCGGTCCATGGGCCCAGCGCCATCCATCGTCACTTCCAATGCAAATTGTCTCTCTATTCTCCAACTCCACAACAATCATTGCTATGAACCCCAACCGCGAGCCGTAGATATTATGTCGTCGCGTAAAAGCTAGAGAGCCGCAAAACCAACCCTCCGCCACATCAACCTGTATTTCGTTGTCTTGGCCACTGAGCAAATTCGGGGTGATGTCATATGTCTGATAGGTAAGGCGTGACTGATAGGACGTCCATCCTGGTGCGAGAATATGGTCACCGACTCGCGAGTCGTTGATGCGAGCTTCGTAGATACCGTGAGCTGTAATGTAGAGTCTAGCGCGCGCAATGGCAACGTCGATTGGGCATTGAATATGTCGCCTAAATGTGACGGGACGATGTCTTTTCTCCGGCAGAATCTCTGTTGATTCATTCGGCTCGATTAAGCTGCATTTCCAATCTTCCGGCTGCAATAGACCAGCTTCTACCCGAATGGGCGCAGAGGCCTCGCTGATGTTGCTGCTGACTACTCCAGCCGCATCTGCACCTACACCAGACACGCGCACACGCAGATTGACCTGCTCCCGTGAAGTCAAAGCTTTGCCTGGCCACGGCACAAGTCGTGAATCTGATGAATCGACTTTGACGCTGTCTATCAAACTGCCGTCGAGATGTGTGACTTCGATTTCGTAGCTGGTCTGTTGCCAGTCTCGTTCTTCGCCGGCCGTGGTCCATGATATGCGTGGTTGGGATTCGCCGATACCGATAGTATTGGGCTCGTGGTGCTCACACCATACTTTTACGACTTGTACCATTATGAACGATTGATTGCATGCAGTTGTCGCTTTGTGTGTCTAGGTACGGTAAGCAAGAATTGAAGAGGTTACAACTCGGCACAGATGTCATTTGAGTACATCCATAGCATGCCGATGATAGCATGTCAGCATCAAGCACACCGAAATAATTCTCGGTGTGAATGAGGCCGAGTTGAAAATGTTCGATGGAAGCTCCACCCCCGCCGTCCACTTTGTCGGTTGTAGTTTGGGTAGACTGATTGCCGAGGTGGACGGCAGACACGAAGAATACAGTTAGACATAAATCCATTATATCCACGGATTGAGAAATGAGATGTCAGAAGATACTTATTGACATCGAATGTGGACTGACATATGTTTGTTCTGGTGGGAGGTGGAAGGTGGAAGATTACGACGAGTAAGATATCTACCTAGGTAGGTACTACTTATGTTGGGGCCGTGCTAACTTAACCACCATACATGTAGACTGCCAATTGAGAATTACGATTTGAATCTCTACATGGTTATTGAACAATACGGGCATACTTCATGTTAAGACCATTTCATGTAGAAATTCATGATCATCTCAGCACAGCCTTCAAGATCTCCCTTTCCTGCACAGAGAACATACTTATCGAATACATCCGTCTATCCGAAGCCATAAACATACTAATCTGCATGTGGATTTCAATATCCTTATAATTGCAGTGGTCGCGCAAGAAGTGGACGTTTCCTACGTCTGTCGGCAGGTTTCATGCTCATTCTTGGAGGGCTCATTGATCGGTCTAGTATTAAACCGATTGTCGCGTAGATTCAAACCCATCTTGAAGACGGGATATCCGACATTCATAACGCAGTCACTTAATACTCGACCAAAGCCATTGATATTGGCTGTCAACAAATCGTGGAGAAGCCGTCCACTCGCCCTTGTACAGGGTAGTGGAAGTACACGTATGTCCGTCCACCTCGCCGCCAAAGTGGACGCTCTTAAACTTTCCAGGAAGTCAATGCGGAGGGAAAAATCTGGAGATGCCGCAACACGTCTCAACCAGGCGGGAACGCAATCACTCAGCATGCTGACTATTACAATATTTATAGCACACGCACTACCCCAGGTTTCTTTACCGCCAAGGGTGTACTTGGGGTAGCATTGATCATCACCGTATCTACACTGCATTTTCAACTCTACTTGGTAACAGCATGGCAGCAGACAAGGTACAGGAATCCATCGCAGTTGAGCACATGGAATCCCATCGCGATGACTCAAAGCCGGCCGGGGGTGCGGCGATTGAGGAGTTCCTTCAGTCGGAAAAGGAGATTTCGACATGGCAGGCTATCAAGACGCATAAGCGGATCTTGGGTTATGGTGAGTTCACATCTTTCCCCTTTTGCAGATCGCGAGACAACAGACTGACCATAGTCTAGCCATCTTCTCATTTGCATGTGCCATGAACTACGGCTACGATACCATCTCCAACGGCTCCAGCATCGCCATGCCAGCGTTCATCATCTCTTTTGGAGCCGTGGACGAAGCCACGGGGTCTCTCTATCTTCCGTCTATATGGACGTCTCTGTGGACATCCATGACAAACCTCGGTCAAGCTATCGGTGCCTTTATGGCTGGKGCTCTTGGGCAGACAATAGGTCGTCGCTACACTGCGATGATCTTCGCCGTCATGTCAGTTGCAGGCACATTTTTACTCTTCTTTGCGACTAGCAGAGGAATGTTGCTGGTCGGAAAGATCATTAATGGTGCTGTTGTGGGTGGATTGATGTCTCTTGGAACGACGTACGCTGCGGATGTATGTATTCACATTTCTTTCTCACTTCTTGGAATGAGTCAAGTTAATATGGATGATTTAGATTGCCCCCATCAAACTTCGAGGCGCTCTCTTGCAGGCTATCGTCTTTTTCGCCGTGGCTATACAAGGCGTGAGTTTGGGCGTTGTTCGCGCTTTTGTTCCTAACATACATCCCATCGCGTGGAAAATTGTCTTTGCGATTCAATGGATCTTTGCCGTGCTGGTATTTGCTTTGTCATGGGTCGTTCCGGAGTAAGTCTTCTCGTTTTCTCCCCTACTCGAATCTAGTCTAACGAACTTAAAGATCTCCTGTTTTCTGCGCGGCCAAAGGCAAAGCCGAACAAGCTCGCCATGCCCTCAGACGTCTTCACGGTAACGACCCCGACCTTGAGCTCCGCTACCAAGCCATCGTCCACGCCCTCGAGGAAGAGCGCCGCCAACAAACCGCATCAGCGTCTTGGACCGAACTCTTCAAGGGCTCCAACCTCAAGCGAACCCTTACCATCGCATTCATCATGTTCAGCACCAGCGCAATTGGTATTCCCTTCTTGACTCAGAATATCTATTTCCTCTTCACCGTCGGCTTAGCCGCCACCAGCGTGTTCGACATTGGCATTGGTGGTTTCTTCCTCGGTGCTCTCTTCATCATTCTCGGTTGGGTATCAAACGACAAGATCGGTCGCAGAAGGTTATGGATTTATGGTCTAATTGGCAATTTCCTTGGCATGGTTACTGTTGGCGGTCTTGCATACAGCGGGACTCAAGGAAGCTACTGGGCCATCGGAATCATCATGTAAGTCCTGTTCCTCTTCACATAAAGCCGACGTGCTAATTATATTTTCCGTAGGAATCTTCTCATCTCCTACGGAACCTACGCCACAGTTGGCGTTGCATGGACAATCTGCCCCGAAATCGGCTCCCATCGCCTCCGCCAATACTCGCAGTCTGTCGGCTTCTTCGTCGGTGCCGTTTCAGGCTGGCTCTTCTCGTTTGTGACCCCGTACATGTATAACGTTGACTCCGGCAACCTTGGAGCTAAAACTGGTTTTATTTACGCCGGTTTGACCATTATTGTGTTTGCCATCTCCTGGTTCCTTATTCCTGAGACTGCTGGTTTGTCGGTTGAGGATATTGATAATGCGTATGAGAAGGGTACTTCGCCTCGAAATTTTTCGAAGCTTCGGGCAGAGTGAATCAAAAGGGATTCAGAAAAGCAAGAGGATTGATTGGTGATGGAAGATTTTTGAGGATTTCTAGTGCATGTGTCATGAGTTTTGGAGATGTAGCGAACATATAGCCTTTCAATACTATTTATGCATATGGTGCATTGTCTTGGCTTGCTATACGTAATGGAACTCAATCTACATCCAAAATATGTGGGACTACTGCGACAGAATTTACATCAAGATATGCCCTAAATTGCCCTATAGCTAGGATAGATAAGAAACACGCTGATAGTGTCAACGCGCTAGCGCCAGTGTGACAGGACCGCGCCCGAAACTCCTCAATATTATTTAATTTCTCCCCGCACAACATTTCGACTTCAGCAAACGCCACAGGTCAATTGACAATAATCGACGATAGTCGATAAGGGCGAAAATGCCTAAACGATCATCTGCAGTGATTGATACCACTGCTTCGCAACCCCAGGTCAAGCGGACCAAGAAGGTGATCCCAACAACTACAGACGATGTGCCGCAACCTGTCGAGACACCCTCAAAGAAACGTGGTCGTCCACGAAAGGAGTCTTTAGCTGCGAATGAGAATCAAGCATCTTCGGCGAAGAAGCGTGGTCGCCCAGCAAGAGAATCAAACGTCGGCGCGATGGAGCAACCATCCGCATCGAAGAAGAGAGGTCGTCCTGCTGCTAAAAAATACACCAGTTTCGGCTGAGGAAAGTGTCAGGAAGGAAGCGTTAGAGACCCCGTCGAAGAAACGAGGTCGCTCGGCAAAGGATGCTGCAATTGTGAAGAGTGCCGAGCCGTCTTCGGCAAAGAAACGAGGTCGTCCTGCGAAAGATGCGTCAACAGGGACAGCAAGCAAAACCACCTCACTCACGAAAAGGGGAAGACCCACGAAAGAGACATCTGCAGATACTCCAGCAAAAACCGCCACGAAGGCCAAGGCCAAGTCAACGCCGACCAAGAAGACTACTACTGCTCAACCCGGTAAAAGAGGTCGACCAGCCAAGTCAAAGGCCGTTGTCGTCGCCTCAACTGCAAAGAGCGGTTCCCGCAGCGCCAAATCCTCACCTCAAAAGACCTCATCGCCCAAGAAATCATCAGCAGCAGCAGCAGACTCCTTCCCTTCAACGATTGGCGACGTCCTCGAACTCAACAGCGCAGAAATCGAGGACCAATGGCCCGACGTAGCTAAGAATCTCAGCCTTGAATTCCACGAAGACGCCAAATCCAATATTATCTGGGGTAAATTCGATATTGGTATCTACGAGGGCTATCTCCGGCACAAGGGACTGCACTTGAAGCAGAAGATGAATTTCAATTATCGAAGCATAGAATATGGAACTGGTGAGGAGAAATGGGGTGTGTGCGAAGTCGAATTTCAGGGGCAAAAGTTCACGGCTACGTTCTCGGAGTGCGTTGGAGGTGTTTCGGTGGAAGGGGTCGTGGATTCGAAGAAGTCTAGTGTGAGCGGACATGATGCCTTGTATTTTGCGAATGGCTGGAAAGACTTAGCGTGAGATATGTGAGGGAATTTATCCTTGTTTGAGGGTTGGGGAGTTCTTTTGTTTCATTTTACTTTTGTATGTTTTGGTGTTGATGATTTCTTGTGCCTGGGGATGACTCAGGCAACGAAACCATGTTCCTCAATTATGCCGCTAGCTTCATGGGGCCCTCATGTCTTTCCTTTACAACGCATCGCAAAGCGAGTATCAAAATCAACATTTCGTCAAGCATATCATACTAGTTCACTTTCAACTGAAGTATACTGCCATTAACTCTATCACGTTCAATATACCATTACGATCGCGTCAAATCGTACTGACTGCACGCGTCTGAAACGCGTGCCCAAACCTTCCAGAATGAAGATTACAGAGATCGAAGGCGACCTCTTCGACGCCCCCGATGGCGCTGTGCTTATTCGTAGGATACTTCCTCACTTTTGTTTGGGATTTACTAACATCATACAGATGCATGTAACTGCCTCGGCTCCTGGGGCGGCGGAATCGCCAAAGTCTTCCAGGATAAAGTACCTACCTCCATCTCCATCGTTATCTACATAACTAACATCTCTCGTCCGCAGTACCCCGCAGCCTACAAAATTTACAATAAGCACTGCCGGGCCTTGCTCAAACAAAAACGCGCGCACACTGTTGTACACTCCGAAACGAATAACTCCAAAACCGTCAACCTGCCTCTGGGCACGGCCCTAATTATTCCACCCCAATCTCAAGACTATACCTCTTCTTCATCTACACCGGGAGGAGATAAAAAGAAGCACTGGATCGTATGCCTATTCACATCGCGAGCCTATGGCCGGGGTGTAAGTAAACCGGATGTTATTCTCGAGAACTCGGTTCATGCAATTCGAGATATGCGGAAACAACTCGAAGAACTATTTGAGAACGACGACGAAGCGGAGAAATGGGATGGAAAGATATATTCGTGTCGGTTCAATTCGGGTCTATTCGGCGTGGAATGGAAGGATTCGAAACGCATTTTAGAGAAGGAGCTGGATGGGATGGTGGGCGTTGAGGAAGTTGTTGTTGTGCGACCTGAAGGGGAGGGAAAATGATGTGACAGTGTCACGTGCTTCATTTGTCATGTTGCTGATGTAATATTGTTACTGAGGTGGGATGTTGGTAGTGAAGGTGGGGCTGATTATATCCCGCGCAACAGGGACGGGATCATTCTATTCTTCCAATCGAGTGCAGGTGGCAAGTATGATTATTTGTATTTAGTGCCAACTGCAAATTATTCACTCATTGATATACAATTCGCTCGTGATATGCAATCATGCCCGGCGCAGGTCTCCTGCGAGACACGTTGACTGTGTATTGTGTGGCGTGGGGGTTTCGTGACTAAGCGGTTTGTGCTGATTTGCGGGGTTCATAGGGACATGCAGCCGAGCAATATGTAGTATGTGGTGTACGTGGTGGCCAGCATGTATGTATGCCCGCCGTTAATCTTATAGATAGGAAGAGGTGGAGGGATTATGCACGAGTCACGGGGCATTGGATTACATGTAATCAAGGCTATTAATTGCCTACTATGGATCGATAACGGCATCGGACATCTTTGCGTGGGGGACGGCCACGGCGTTGTACTTATGCTCGGGGTCATGTTGATACTGTGGAGAAGCACTTAGTCGTATTTCGTTTCCCGTTTTTGTATATTTCTGGCTCTTCTTTTTTACTTCTCTCCTACAACTACCTGACTACTTCTGTGCTTTTTTTCTATTCAAGCATCTACATATATCAAAATGTCTCGTCCTCTTGCCGGCGGCGTCTACGTGCCTACAGTAGCCTTCTTCGACTCCAACGAAGAAGTCGACACGGCCACCACCGAAAAACATGCCGTCAATCTCGCCAAAGCTGGTGTTTCCGGCATCGTCGTGCAAGGCAGCAACGGCGAAGCCGTGCACCTGGACCGCGCAGAACGCAAATTCATCGCCAGCGTAACCCGCAAGGCCCTTGACGCCGCTGGATTTGATAAGTTGCCCGTCATCGTCGGCACAGGCGCACAATCTACCCGAGAAACTATTTTGCTTTCCAAGGATGCTGCTGAGGCTGGCGCGGACTATGTTATTGCCCTCCCACCTTCGTACTACAAGGGTCAAGATACATCCGCTTCTCGACTTCAGTATTTCAAGGATGTGGCCGATGCGTCACCGATCCCAGTGTTGATCTACAACTACCCCGGAGCCGCCAACGGTGTCGACCTAAACTCCGATGAAATTATCGAACTATCTCAACACGCTAACATCGTCGGCGTCAAACTTACATGCGGAAACACCGGTAAACTCGCCCGTATCGCCGCCAGCGTCAAGCCCGGTTTCTTTACTTCAGGTGGTTCATGCGATTTTACCCTCCAGACTTTGATTGCCGGTGGCCAGGGCGTTATCGCTGGTACCGCCAATATTATCCCTCGCACTTGCGTTCAAGTATACAAGCTCTACTTGGATGGTAAAGTGGCCGAAGCACAAAAGCTGCAGGCCATTGTTGCCCGCGCCGATTGGGTGTGTATCCAGGGCGGTTTCCCGGCAGTCAAGGCCGCGCTCAAGGCTTTCTATGGATATGGAGGTGTGCCGCGACGACCAACCCCTGCTGCTGATGTGCAGGCTACCAAGGCTAGCTATGAGGAGAGCTGGGCTGTTGAGCAGAGTCTTGCTTAGATTTGCTAATTGGTTTTTTACGATTTCTTAGCTATTTTGAGGTTACGATAGACTACCCATATAGTAATAGTACTGTTCACTCATGATAATACATTCTACGCAGACAAATGCGTCCTGTAAACATACCCGACGCTGAGCCTGAAATCAAGCCCGCCACCTGTGCTTGGGTCAATCGGTGTTTGAGCCGATGTTTTTACCCCGCGAAATACTGCGCGGCGCCCCCACGCTATCCCACTTCTTAGAGCTTCCTGTTCGGGACATGTGCCTTTCGACACTTGGCGGGCGTGGGATGTCTATTTCTGTTAATTTATTCAACATCTTTAATTGACAGATATAGAGCACAGCTCATACATCTGCCGTCTACAGCTCCGTAAAGATCACTCTGTGGGGGTTTCTTCTACCCCAGTCAGACGACAGCCCGACACACCCCGCATGAGCTCGGCCGATGCCCGTGTTTTTCTTTGCAGCAATTCGGGGGTCTCTGTCAGAGTCATTAAACAAAGTCGAGCCGACGAATAATTTCAGCTATGACGATCTGGTCCGGAGCTGCTGCAATGTAAATTAAGTATTGGTCAGATGAGGAAGTAAATAATGTGAATTGGATTCGTACTTAGACTTTACAAAGGCCAAAGTCCAGACCGCAGAGCTTCCGTTATAAACCCACAGGCTTCCCCAACTTTGTTCGTTCCTTTCTATTTTATTTTTCTTTCTACTCTCTCAATACATACTACTTCTTCATTTTAAACGATTAAAATGGCCAAAATAAAATCAATTGAATACTTCCGCGTTAAGCCGCGCTGGCTCTTTGTCAAAATCACCGATGAAAACGGTGCATATGGCTGGGGTGAAGGCACACTTGAGGGCCATGACCTCGCCGTCGAGGGCGCTCTGGACGAGATGATTACTCGATTGATTGGATATGAGGCTGAGTACGTCCTTCTCCTTCTCTTTTGCCTTCTTTTGTCATTCCACTAATTTGAATATACAGTGATATTGAGCACATCTGGCAAACAATCTGGCGTCTCGGATTTTACCGTGGCGGTCCCGTCTTCATGTCTGCTCTTTCCGGTATTGATATTGCACTCTGGGATCTGAAGGGACGCAATCTCGGTGTTCCAGTCTACCAACTCCTTGGCGGAAAAGTGCGAAATAAGGTGCAGGTATACGCTTGGATTGGTGGTGATCGTCCCGCTGATGTCGAAGTTGCTGCGTAAGCTTTTCCTCTATACTTACTTAATTAATAAGACAGGAACTAATGTGATTAAACTGGAATAGCAAAGCACGAATCGCTCAAGGCCTGAAATGCGTCAAAATGAACGCCACCGAAGACGTAAACTGGGTCGACTCTCCCTCCGTCCTTGACAGCACCGTCGAGCGCCTCAAGACCGTCAAGGCCCTCGGTCTCGATGCCGGTCTCGATTTCCACGGCCGTCTCCACAAGCCCATGGCCAAACAACTCGCCAAAGCCCTCGAGCCGCATCGCCCTCTCTTCATTGAAGAGCCTCTGCTCTGCGAACACCCGGAAGCTATCAAGCAATTGAGTGAATTGACCACAATCCCCATCGCATTCGGTGAGCGGTTGTACACTCGATGGGACGTAAAGCGGTTCTTGGAAGATCACTCCGTCGATATTCTACAACCGGATATCGCGCATGCAGGTGGTATCAGTGAGACGCGCCGCATCGCCACTATCGCCGAGGCGTACGATGTCGCTATTGCGCCTCACTGTCCTTTGGGCCCCATCGCGCTCGCTGCATCCATCCAGGTTGCGCTCAACACACCCAATTTCGTAATTCAAGAAATGTCTTTGGGTATGCACTACAACGTCGAAGCTGGAGATATCGATTTGAATACATACCTTAAAGATCAGACTGTCTTTGCTATTGAGGAAGGGTATGTTAAGGCGCCTACGGGTGCGGGATTGGGTATTGAGATTGATGAGGAGTTGGTGAGGAAGATTTCAAAGGAGACGGAGCCGTGGCAGTGTAAAGAGTTTTATGGTCCAGATGGAGGGATTCGCGAGTGGTAGTTTATTTTGCCGGTATAATAATGAATATATATAGACTTGGTTACGGTTAGAAATATATCATGGGTTCGTTATCAATACCTACACTTCAACTGCATCTGTAGATGCCTAAAGCGATTTGCATCTTGATTCCAGGTTGATCACGTCAAATGGCTATAAAATAGCTCAGATGAATAAATAAAAGAAAAATGCCCGTCGGAAAGAAATGCGAAGCGGCAAAGCAATATGCCGACGAACGTGGGGGAGCAATTTACTCATGAATCATCATCGCATCCCCACTGCGGAGAAGGACAGAACAGACCGGAGATGATAAACAGAAAGGAGAAAGATCCGATATTCGAGCATACGATCGGGGTGTGATCACATGAAGTCAGTGCTGTGGGGGACTAAATAAGAATAACTTTTTGTTCAATCATACTCATTAAGTACTTCATTTTGTCTTGACCGTTGTCAATTTATCCTGTCCAACTCAATACACAGACAGGCCGACAAAATGTCAATTCCATCCCTCTTCTCGCTCGAAAACCGCACTGCTCTGGTGACAGGCGGCACTCGCGGTATCGGTGCCCAGATGGCCATTGCTGTGGCCGAAGCTGGTGCCGATGTCATACTCGTCCAGGTACCGTTTCCATCATCCCATCTTTTATGCAAAGTTGATACTTACACACTTTAAAAGAGAGACACGTCAAATCAACAAACAAAACAAACAATCGAATCATTAGGCCGCAAAGCATTCATCTACACAGCTGACCTGTCCTCTCGCGAGGATGTCTCGGGGCTGACCAAAAGGGTTCTCGCGGATGGACATGATGTTTCGATTCTGATTACTTGTGCCGGGATTCAAAGGAGACATCCTGCCGAAAAGTTTCCGGATAGCGATTGGGATGAGGTATCTACTAACCTCCTAATTGGCTTTATAAATGATTTTTCATTGAATATTGGAGCTAACGGCAGATAGGTCCTACAAGTCAACCTCACAACAGTCTTCACTCTATGCCGCGACATAGGCGCTTACATGCTCACCCGTCCACCTTTCCCAGGCACAGAATCCACCTCCCCCAACGGTGGCTACAGAGGCAGTATCATCAACGTCGCCTCTTTAGTGTCTTTCCAAGGCGGCATCACCGTGCCGGCCTACGCCAGCGCCAAAGGCGGAATTGCGCAACTCACAAAAGCACTATCGAATGAGTGGGCTAGTAAAGGTGTGAATGTAAATGCGATTGCGCCGGGCTATGTGGCTACGGATATGAATGAGGCGCTTATAAACAATCCAACGAGAGCGGAGCAGATTCTGGTCAGGATTCCGGCGGGTAGATGGGGTAGTGCGGAAGATTTCAAAGGGCCGACGGTGTTTTTGGCGGGGAGAGCGAGTTTGTATGTTTCGGGGGAGATATTAACTGTTGATGGGGGGTGGATGGGCCGGTAATCCCTTTTAATCAAAGCCTGAGTTAGAAAGAGAATACCTAGGTATTGAGTAATGTTTTGATTGATCAACCACCATGAATAGACATCAATAATTCGTCAACCGTCCATTCCTGATCAATCCCAGCAGCAGCAGCAGCAGCAGTAGATGCCCCAATATTGCCAAACCTGCCCCCAAACATATTCAACAAACACCTCTCCACGCCATTCCTGGCCTCTCGGCTCAAGGACGTCAACACCTCAGTCATATGCAAAACATACTCTGCTCTGTTCACATTGCCCAGATGATTCATAAAATGATTCAATAGAAACCCTTCTAGCTGCGGGATTGATGCCATCCAGATCGATTTGTGGTCATACATTGCCTTGTCTAGGGTTGCGAGGCGGTCGTATGACTTTTCGTCTACTTCGATGTCGACGGTGCACATTGACAGGTTGGAGGGAGAAATGAATTTGGTGCTGTTGATATCGGTTGTAGCGGTAGTGGCAATCGTGTTATGATACTTTGACGAAACGCACTCCTGAATCATAACGCCAATATAGAATAAACAAGCTATACGATCGTGTTCATAAACATTCGCTAACGCATCGTCTCCATTCCGCATGCTATCCAGGAACGAGCTCCGTAATATCGTGACAGCCTCGTAAATGGAGTGATAATGTCGTAAGCCCACAGATTGCAGATTACTCGAATTAGCCATTAGACTCCGCATGTCTTGCACAAAGGAGATCAGCCATAGAGAGCGGAGTTTTGGTATCTCAGAATTGTCGGAGTTGCTGCTGTGAATGCGGATGCCCGCAGTGGTGGTAGGCTCGAGGAGAGGCGTGCTTTGCCGTGAGATGCGGAGACAGCTGAATGAATCTGATATCTCGGATATGTTGTTGGAGGGATAGAACCATGACGGTTTCGACATTAATGATATCCTACGCGATCAGCTGTCGGTCATATGACTGTCAACGAAAACGGGGCTTACAATTGCAGCACCAGTCCTAGTCGCCAATTCTGTTTCAACGACGCTAATCCTCCGCGTGCTTGGATCATTCTATCCAATCCATCGCGATGAATGCGCCAGACTGCCTCCGTACCCCAGTATCTCTATTGACAATGATCAGCTCAAAAGACATCATTTTTACTCAAGGAGCCAAAGAGGACCCACCTCAAAAGTAAGCAACCTCACAACAGCCGCAAAAGTAGCATCATTCAACGCCATGTTCTCATCCTGCATCCACTGATTGATCAACGAGACCGCCTCGGATTTGTACCGAAGAACTTCAACGGCGTCCTTTTGGCCGTGTAGATAGGCTAAATGAGCCGCTGAATGCGCCAATATGCCATAAAAGGATGCCGCATTTGAGAGGTCAAGAGGGAACCAGACGTCCCGCATGGGGTTGAAATTGACATTCAGCGATGCGGAGGTGTCGGTGTCGAACATCATTGCGGCGTGCGATGTTAGCCCTGTACTCGTTAGTCTTCTTACTCTCTGACATAAGGAAATAATGAAGAAGTACAGTGATGGAGTAACTCATGGTGCCGTGTCGTCAGACTTATCGGGAAAGTATCAAAAGGATCTAACGCGAGCGGCGATAATATATGATCCATAGTCAATGTCGGAGCATTTTCGGATATAAGTTCGTCGTAATATTTGTTCAATAGGTCATCTTGCCAAAAGGCGTCGAGAATTTGCATATCCTGGTCGGAAATGCCAATTAATTGATCATAATCGTTGGGAATGAGTATCGCGTGATCATTAAGGCTAAGTATATCTGACTCTCCGCTTGAGCTGTTGAGGTCTGTCGAGTCAATATCCATGGAATCAATATCCTTCATCGCCGATGTCGAATCCCCTTCGTTTAAATCCATCGGCTCAGGTTTGATCAGTTCTTTAGCAGCTAAAGCTCTTTGTCTTGGCTTCTGCTTTGATTTTTGCTCGTTGAGACTTTTCTTAACTTTCTCTTCCTCTTCTTGGTGTTGAAGGATCTTCTGCTTCCTCTTGCGCCATGACTGCCGCATAGCATAGCTACGGGCTCGATGTGCATCTTCAAATGCAACGAATTCAAATGTCTGTGTTGTCGGTTGCTTGGCCATGGTGATCCAAGTAGTTTTTATGCTTTGTTGTTGAGAATCTGGCTTGAAACGCGATGTGGCCTAATATTCCCAGTCCTGTTCTCAAGAGGGACGCATTGCGCGTAATGTTGTGCAGTTCTCACTTAATCGGGATGTTTCATACACTAAAGATTCCAATCATGATATAGACTCATGTTATATAATTCGGATACCGAAGCTTTGCTCTCTATCGTGTTAGATTGTCGTCAGATGTCAGGAAGAAAAAGCGGCTCCTCTCGGCCCCACTAATCTCCGATCCCCCATACAATGCAATTCCAGCGCTGATTGGTCAATGCATACAATACTGAATCACTACGGAATGAGAAATACGAGTGTAAAAACAGTTCAGTGTATTATCCTCAAATGCTTGACTATCAATATCTTCAATATTGTACATTAGTTATTTGTAAGAACGTCCCAGATTATACCCTCTCGAAAATTCCCAAAGCAGAAACAAGATGACCATCTCCCCATGAGTGCTTTTTACTCCTTGGAAGCAATTTACAAGGCAAAGACAGCAAGGAGAGCGGCAACGAGACCAACAGCTCCGCTGGCCTTGTTAGCGCTGGCAGCACCGGTGTAATGAGGGACGACACCGGTGGAGGTCTGGCTGGAACCAGGGAGAGTACCAGAGGAGGTGGCAGCGCCAGTGGTCTTGGAGGAAGCAGATGTGGCGACGGTAGTGGCGGCACCTGAGGTGGCAGTGGCAGTGGCAGTGGTAGCAGCACCAGTAGAGGTGGCAGCACCAGTGGTGGTAGCGGCAGCAGTGCTGCTAGTACCAGAAGAGGCAGCAGTGGAGGTGCTGCCAGTGCCGGAGAAGGCGGCAATACCGCTCTGGATGGCATCAGTGATACCAGAGGAGAGTTCGCTGGCAACGCCGGCGAGAGAGGAGGGAACCTTGTTGGAGATCAAGGTGGCGAGGCTCTGGGCAGCAGTGAGCTGGTCCTGAAGACCGGTCTCGACCTGGCCACCAGCACCAGCAGCGACGAGAGCAGCCTTCTTAGAGATGAGGTCGTTGATGGCGGTCTGGACATCGGAGCTGAGGCCTTGGACGACGGTGCTGAGGGTAACAGCATCAGTGGTGCTGAGAGTGGACTCGCCCTGGAGAGAAGAGACACCGCTGTTGGTGACAGAGATGATGTTGGAAGAGTCGGAGAGAAGGGAGGAGACGTCACCGCTGGAGTAGGAGTTGATATCGGAATCGAACTTCTTCACTGCAGTGTCAACAGCGGACACGACAGACTCGAAAGCGGCAACATCACGCTGGACCTTCGAAGCCCGGCGATCGACGTAGGAAGGGTTGGCAAGAGCCTGGGCAGAGAGGCCGATGGCGATGACGGAGGTGGTGGTGAACTTCATTTTGATTAACGAGTGTTTTGATAAAAACAGCTACTGTATTGAACGAGTGTATTCGTGAACGAGGAAAGAAAAGCAGGAAGGATAATTAGTATGAACTGCTGCTGTTGGCTTGGGTGGCTTTCGAAAGAGAGACGCAAACAGGACAGGAACGAGCAAGTCTTATATACCTCGAGGAGGTGCCATTGCGGCGACGATCATATGCCAGCCCTCCCCGTTACATTGTCCATGGTCCACCCCCGACATCACCTGCCAGCCGAGGTTTCCACGCAAATACGAGCTTTGAAAGGGCCTCCACTGCCATGGTTTAATCTCCACCATGACCGGGGTACGTAGTCAGGTACAAGGATCACAGAATGGACCAAGCCCGATGAAGTATTGTCTTGTCCTATAGGCTGAGGCTGGCCATGGCTGGGCGTTTGGCGCCATAGTGGGCTGTTAGTTCACAATTTTCGGTCCAGGATTGAGGAGCAAGTGCATATTATGACTCGACCAGGATGTCACTGCCTTGTTCGACTCAGTTCGAGTAGTGGCCAAGACTTGATTGATTGCACATTCATTTTTAGAAGCATTTGCCTCTCGAGTTGATCTTCGTCTACCACAATGTCTTACATTTCTTTCTTTTGATTATATTCTCAAAGCTTGTGATGAATCTTACCAGAGACAACGATGAGTGCAACCATCACGAGCCGCTTTTCAATCCGGATCAAAAGACGAAGATCAATAGATACTTCGGGCCAGTAGCCGCGACGCCAAGTAGACGACTGGATCAGAGAGCTGGTAGCGAAATTAGACTGAGACATTTGATCTAGATTGCCATAGCTCGGGTGGCTTCTAGCTTGATTTTCCTTGTCATGAGCATCTGAACGCAGGAAACTAAAAATCTGATTGATTCCTGCGCCGTCCAGTGCGATAGCTATGGAACGGCCGGCCATTCGCCATTCGTGCATACCATGTCGTAGCTGTATGCAAGATGAGTTCAGCATGTGTCAGTACAGTAACAAGCTGCATGAAGGAATCGTCTAGAGATATTACAGCAACAACTAGGCCGCATTAGGGTTGTGGCCGACGCCATTCGCGGTCAGATTACCCAGGATGGGCATTGTTGCCGCTGATTCGATGGAGTACCCCAGATTTCCGTTGGTACTGAGCGAGGGGCCGGGGTAATTTAAGTCATCAAATCATATGCTTGGACGCTGTCGACAGTCTGGAGTTGCGGCCTGGATGGGTAGTATCGGATGACCCCGGACCCGTTCATTATGAGCATTTTAAATCGCGACTAGGCCTCATGCGTCAAGCAACGTATTTTCTTTTTTCCCTGCTTTTCCACTAAATTCTGCTCTAAAATTTCTCCGCATAATTCAATCTAATCTAAGATTTCTGTCGGCCATTAAGTTCTGCTAAAGTACTATGACTAGACTCCGTACTATATAAGAAGGGGAGTACTCCGCATACGTAGGCGAAAAGGGGGCTGGGAAATAAAATCACGCAAAAACATGGACTATTTGGCTAGAGAGTTGTTACACACTGCACGTGTTGGTCGAGTACTAGGATACCGTTTGCCTGGATCGTCCCGTCTGCGATCCTTAATGACGGCGCTGCCCTAAGTGACCTCGGGAAAAGATCTATACCCATAGGTAGATCTTTCTCAATCGATCATCGTTCTTCTACGATCCAAAAAGGAATCACCTCGCATTGAGAAAACTCGAATGTAAAATCACATTTCTTTTACAAAAATACTCGTAGCTTGCAAATTTTCCCAAAATGGCGCCTTCGGCCTGGAAGTAACGGTGACATTAGCTCTACATACTATTTACGGTACACTGGGTGTGTCAATGACTCAGTGACCACTCACAGTCGACTAAATTTTATTGAGCTTAACCTTTCGTCAATATACGCGATGATCCGATTGGCCACTAAACGTAGACTCGCATACAAATGTGCCTACATTAGTAGTACATAAGCGTAAGTGGCGAAATGTACGTAGTGTTTCCTCTTTTGCTCTAGCTAGACAAGAAAACAACGGGAAAAGCGCTCAGACTTACTTAAGTTGGATCCATGCCTTCAAGCCTCAGAAGCCCCAAAATTGACCAGTCAACCATTCATTCTACAGAGGGAGGGGAGCTAAAAGTAGAGGACCCTGAGCGGAGGACTCGAAAGAATTGGTGCGTTGGTCACGTAAGAGAAACTCGGAGAACCAGTCATTTTCAACTGTAAGCTCTGAGGAGTATCTTGGCGTTGTCTCCATCCAGGTCGTCCCACGCGATGGATCCAAGCCACTCCAGAGCTAATTGGTTATGCAGTCTCCTGTTTGGTGCTTTGTCTATGCGCTGTACCGTTGTTGATTTGTGCTTTTCACTCTGTGTTCATGTACAATGTAATGGAGGAGTAGGTACCCAATCGGTGTATACGTCGTACGCAGAGAAATCAAGGTCGAGAATTAGAGATGACGCGATCACGAGACTTCCTTTGAACATTGCACGATTCAACAGGTCTGAACGAGTTTTATTCGTGATTGGTAAGAATTGTTTGTTCTCAGTAACCTTGTTCCTGGCCTAGATGTGCGTTAATCTATTCATGCATGCTCCCATCCACTAGCTAGGAATAGATCTACATCGACAATCATACAACATATATGAACTTGAAAGATTGAAACTGAGCATGACCGAAACTCATATCCAATACAATTCCGTCATCCTCATTTATGATATTGCAATGCATCCCAATGACCAACACTGACACACTGCTGCAAATCTCTTCCCAATTCCTCCATCTCAAACAGCCAAGGTTGGAGGCAAATTACTACTACACTGCCCCAACGCACCTCCAGAACCTTTTACCAAACAGCAAACCTCTACATACTGATTTCAAAAAACTGCAATATCACATGAACCTATTAATCTAATCTGACTCATGAATATGCAATCTGTCGAAATCTGGCCTGCACGCCACAGGGGGGGCATCAACCAGGTTGTCGGCTCGCTTACCTAGGCAAGCACAAGCAGCACAACCAAATCTGAATCCTTGAAAACAGCCATCTTTACATGCGTTTTACCCTGCTTGTATTGCCGTGGTGGCCATTCACATACCCCATCTTCAAATTCTCGGGGACCTAAACGTTCTAAACAGTTCCTGGAATTTTGGTTTTGAGTTTGTAGGTTGGTTGAGCTAGTCACGCCATCAGGGGCAGCCACCTACAGCTAGTTATATTAAACATTTGAAAGTTGGGGGCTTGTACCCCTTACCTAGGCAAAGGCCCAAAAGTGACTTTTGTACATGTGACTGAACTGTGATTTAGTCAGCGTTGGAGGATCGGGAGAGAACTGCGTACGAGCTACGTATTGCTGACTCGGGAAATTCATTTCAAGTTGCCTTCGCAAATATACCGATTGCTCAACTCTCCATACCCCCTGCTGGTCTGTCGGGCGAAATTAGGGCTAGGCTGCTTGTTTACTACATACTCATCAGAAGCGAAGAGCAGCAAGTCCCCTCATCCTTCCCATTTCTCAATCCCATGGTATTCACCTGTATCTCAATCAATCCTTACTGCCTTTGTCTCTCTCATTACTTCATAATTACATCGTCAGATTTATCCATGGAGAATGGCATATCTGACTATCCCGGGCTTACAACTACTTACACAGAGCTCTAGTTCAACTCCAAGAATCGAAAGTTACTGAATTGCAGTAACTCGATTCATGCATTACCACCGTACACGTACACGGGATACCCGAGCATCAAAATCTCATTTATATAGAGGAATCGAGGCAAGCTCTATACTTGTGCCTCATCTGGTACCACCGTTATTTCCTTCGGATTGGTTACAAAACCCCCAAAATCACAAACCTAAATCAAGTGGCGTCGTTAAGGGAAGAAACCTGAAAGGAAGAAAACCAAGTCGCTATCCAAAGTCCGGTGCTTATGTACTATGTCCAAGCACTCAGTTCCTATCTAGTTATCTATATCTCAACGTCCTCCACTTTCTCTTCGGCTTCTTCTTCCTGTCCAACCCCCCCCAAATATCCACGCATCATAAACTAGTACAAGAGTTAACGCCATTTTCTCTATAGGAACGAGAAGGATCAAAAGAATTGATGGAAATGCTTTGTATTGATGCGATACCACACAATCCGCCAATAAAAGCCTCACGCTATGCTTGATCTGAGAAATATGACATGATGCATGATGAAAGAAACATGATTTAACATGATGCGATGCACACAAAAAAGGTCGACGAAAATGAGACTTATTTCATGCCGTATACTTTGAAATAAGATGTTAGAAACAGCAAAATAAAAGGTAAGGATGCAGGGATGGACGCTTGAATTTTGGGGGCCGATGGAGGCCCAATATATGCAAAATCTGGGGTATGGGATCTGTCGTTTAGGTAGTGTGGTAGGGTATGGTTCGTTTTCTCTATGCTGATGCTTCTTTTTTCCTGTTGACGGGTATGAGAGGCATCACTCTGGACTGGAATGAGGTTACCATGTCGAGGTCAACATATAAGACCGAGCATCTGATGTTGACAAACCCGTCTTTGACGGCCTCAGTATATCTCCTTCACCAAAAGCAGACCAGATCACGTCTCATCCTGAGAACGATTAGCATCATTTGAGATTTGCTCTCTACAGCCAAGGCATCTTCAGCAATTGTAGGAGATCAGCGATATAGGCCTACTTCAGAAGGAGAACCAAACATCTTTCCAGCAGCACCAATACCACCAGCATTGATCCCCATCACACCTGACAGCTTCGCCAACAACGCACCACAAACAACGCACGCACGTCGCGAAGCCAAGTCTCTGTGCGCCATATCATTAAGCCAGCTAGATGCTTTCTCTAGAGCTTGTCTCGAGCCTTCTGACATGGATCCGGGAGGATGAAGCGGAAAGTCGATCAGAAGAACGGCGGTGGCTTGCACGGTGTAATGAAGCATGCACCACCAGGGAGCCGCTTGGTTGAACCATGTACCATCAAACTCGGCCGGGAAGAGATCCAGCATTCGATAGGCTGCCTGAACACAGGAAGCGGCGATGCGAGTGTAGAAACTGTTGTCTCCGGGAGAGGTAGATGGTTTGTCAAAGTAATGTAGACAAGGCTTACACGCTAAGATTGTAGCACTGTAGTAATGTAGCGCAAGACTGAGACTATAACGATCGCGCGCCACAAGTGAGCCATCTTCCTCGACAGTTTTGAACCCAGCTGGTAGCTTGGAAAGCCAAGTTTCTAGCTTCGCGATTGCGTCTGTGATGGCGGCTTCGGCATCCCGGGCGGAGTTCTGGACGATCTCAGGGGCGTAAAGAGTTTCGACGATCTCTCGCATAATCCGGGTAAGATCAACGTAGCATATAAAGTAGAGTGTCATGTTTGGTTTCAGTATATCCATTGCGTTTCGAATCGATTGCGCGTCTAGTGCCACTGGTGTCTCACCAACGGGTCTTGTAATGACATGTGCGAGGAGATTGTTGCGGGTTTTGTGGTCTGTCATGATCCGAATCACCTCCGCGTCGTTGTATTCATGTTCTTCGAAAGGTACCGGTAATGGAGTAGTGCAAAAGTCGTTGTCCAAGTTCAACGGTCGGCCGGTCATGTTACCGAGAATGGTCTCAAGAGCGTAGAGCGACCACCAGACTTTATAGCGCGATTCTTTTGAAGGAAGTGTCACGTAATTGCTTTCACTGCGTAGGTTGAGGCCCATGGCAGTTGCTGATCGAATCGCAATGCCGCATATCCGCCATGCCCTAAGTCTTTTAGCTATAGTCACCTCACTATCATACAGTGAAGACGAACCTGTTAACATGTCCCGAGGCCAACAAAAACAGTGCCAGCAACCCCTCGATTTGCACCTGTTGCAAATCCGGATGTTCCAAAAGAGTATTTGCTTTCATACCAAGCTTCCATGCCCGCGAAAAATACAACAGTGTGTCATCATTTGTCGCCATGGAATCGGGATGCATCCGATGATGAAGACCCCGCGACGACGTAGCAAAGACCAGATTCAGGATTGCAAGCCATCTACGACCTGGCCTGACAAAGGAGCTCGTATAGAACGTATTCACCTGGTGGATGAATGTCTCCGGCACTATAATGGGAAAAGTCGGATGTACAGTAGTAAAAAAATTCTGCACAAGACTGTTCGCAATCGCGTGTGGTGGTCGAGCCAGTGGTTCCGCGTCCTCGAGTATAGGGATATCCTCGTCGTCTAGAAAGTAAGTCACGGATGCAATCGCGTTACGGTCCTGATCATCCGGTGTGTTCGAAGGATTGGCATCGCTGCTCGTGGCTAGAGGGGAAGTGTTAAATTCCAGGTCGCGCTTGAGATTGTATAGCCAGGAAGTCTCCGAGTGTTTGCCCACGAATCCGAGAGCTTTGGAACGTTCATTGCGGTTAAAGTCCTCCTCTGTGTAATCGGCGCCGCTCAGGAAGCTGGCCACAATGGGTCGCGCGGCCGGAGTTCCTATTAAGTCTGTATCAGAAGGACCCGAGTCCAATGGGCCAGACCGAGCCGCAGGTGTTGAAAACTCATCAATGGATCCGTCCCCTTCAAGCTTATACTACAGACGCTACGTTAGGATGTCGCTGGCGGTAAAATATGGGACGCACGGGGGAGACAAAGAAAAGAAAAGGAAAAGAGAGACTGCCAGAAGGTGCATCGTCAAAGCATAGATGACCTACTTTAGCCAAGAGGTCTTGAATAAGTTGACTATCGTCGGGATCAAGTTTCGATTGCAGCTCAGTGAAAAGTTGTTCATATTCTTGGACCTGCTTCGAAAGATCTCTGAGTTGCCTATTATATAAACAGCAAAATGTTAGCCGCGAATGAATTTCAAGCTATCAGTGATTTAAAATCAAAAACGGGGTGTTGGGTTAGCGACTTTGCTGTTCGTTCTCGCTTGCGGTCACCATAGAGACAAGTCAGACCAAGGTCTTGACATCGCTGGCATGTCGGACGATCGCCACTACACTTGGTCTTTTGCTCTCGACAAGATTCACAGGCATGACCAACCCGTTTGTTTACATTTGACTGCTCTGACAGATTCGTAGCTCTGGGAATGGCCACTTTGGCGGCGCCTCCTCCAGCTCGGCTTAGGGAGGGGTGTTGGTGGTGGTGCTCATTGAGCGCACGGAATCGAGATTCCCCCGCGATGCCTGCAGGACCGATAGAAGAAGTAGGAGAATCTGACAACGGAGGAAATTTGGCAAGATTGCCGACGAGTTGATTGATCGCTAGTGATGGACGACGGGGAGGCCGATGTTGTTCGTCGTCCATCTTAGACAACGCCCTTTGAGGACTCAAGGGGAGGGAGTATCAAAGAATGCAAGCCGAGCTAAGAAAATTAAACTATTTCGCGAAGATAGAAGGAAAGACGCATCCATTGGGGGGAAGCCCATGTCGGCCCGAAACAGCTTAGGAGGTAACGACCTTATTGCTCGCCCATGTCCTTTTTTTTTTTTTTTGGTTTTTTTTTTTYTTTYTTTTTTTTKCCCTAGTAGTTCAGTTGGATATAAGAACGCAAAACAAACTTGCAGAGGAAACAAACTAGAGACTACAAGAAATGATTGGGCTTCGGGGAGAAAGGTTGAAAAGACGAGAATGTAAAAATGCAAGATCCTCGATCCCGCCCATTTGGTAGGCCGGAAGACTTGTCCGTCTACAAATCTGGCCGCGCAAAGCGGGTCTAGTCTCTGGTTAAATGGTAATTCATAGTCAGGCCACTCAGGCCGAGCTGGAAACAGTAACCTTATCATATTCATTGGACTGCACAGGAGGATATTATAATAAATGTACCCGGTTCTGGCAGCTGTCCATTTCATTTTCAACATCCACTCTTCTCCTTTAATGTTTCGATCCGTGCTCTTCCAACCTGTAATGCATTCCTCTCTTGTCGACTAATCAACACTGCTCTGCCGAAGCTCGTGCTCTCGTCCCAAGACAGCACTGAACCCTACAAGTTGCTGTCGAGATGGACGCTGTTTGAGACGGAGTTGTCCGTCCATAGCGTTCCAGCCGTTGCAGTGGCGGCTTTGGCTAATGGGAAATCTCCGCGGGTCGAGTCATAGCAACCAGGAGGAAGTCTTCTTCATGAATAATGATAGGGTGAGTATCTGCGGAACTGGACAATCCCCGCCAGGACCCAATTGCCGAATGTTGGATAACTGGAATCGAAGCCCAACGATCAAACTATTTCTAGTGACACTTCTAGACCCCCCAAAATCTCTTCCCTCGCTAGGGTCTGTGTTCCACCTATCAAGATCGTTTCCTCTTCATTCGTTACGTCCAACCAGCAGAAAACTCACCGCTCCGATTCTCCTTCCTTCCGGCCGACAAGGGGCGTCTGACACCGTTCATATAGACTGAACACCCTAGGAACAAGGAGACCGGGGGGACCAATCAGCCGAACATGGGACAGGATCGACTACTCGCGTTCACCTTTCGCTATCGCATTCATTTAATGAAGTCCGATACCGCGGGCTGGAAGTCTCTTCCGAACAATGTCTCTGCTGAAGCGCATAACACAATAGCCGGTCAGGCATCGCTTTGAATGGACACCAATCGATACCATACGTCTCATACCACCATCGCGTAGGTCCTTTACGTCCGAACAATGGCGGATGCGCATCGCAAAGATCCGGTGAAGCACGAAAGCGGGCTGCAGCACTTGGAAGCGCCCGCGGAGTTGAGTGACGGGAGTCTATGTCTCATTAGACATAAATATCAGCCTTGCCCAGACGGGAAGTGCTAAGGACTTCTACAGTCAACGAATGCTACATTGCTATCTGCGAAGTGGTGTCAGGTGGTGATGTCTCAAGCGCATTGACATTTCCTACTACAAAGCTAGACTCCTCCGTTCGGCTCGAACGATCTTTCTTTGTTGACAGGAGCAACAACGGGCTCGCAAAAGGTGTTCCTGGCCGCGTATATATATATATATATATATATAGGGAGTCGGGGTTGTATGATATCAGACTGTCGTGAAACTGACGTTGCCTTGCCACATCATGTAAAAAAAAGGCAGTCAGCGCGAACCAGTCGAAATTTTGTTGAAATCGTACAAAGTATGTTGATCGATTCGTCTTCTTCTTCTCCATGTTAGGACGGGCATTATCATCCGCGGAAAAAGCCTGGTGGCGAGTATGCCGGTTGTTATGTTAGGTGCATATTTTCTGCGCTCGACCAATTCTCACGCAATGCACCTGGATAAGGCTGGTTCGACTCAGCTGCACAGGCCATAGATCGGCAATTTGTGCCTGAAGTCAGCCGGAGAGGAACTTGTTTGCTGTGAAGAGTCGTGGGTGTTGTAAGATGGGGAGAAGATTGTGAGGAGACGACGTCGAGGAAGGTGGCGAAAAGACGTCACAACATTTGCCGCTGGTTCACCCCCGTGATTCGCTCTTCTCTCCACCGCTTAGCAAGTTAATATCGAATGAGCTGCCAATTGACAACTACCGCTCGATCAGCCGCATTCTACTCTATCCTACAAGTTGATACAGCTGTACATGAGCTTGGGCTTTGTGGTAAGGCAAAGAGGGATGTGAGAACGTGTAGGTTTTGGGGGTCGTTGTCAGCTCACCGTCGGGTGCAGCCAGTCCATCAGTGCAAAGCAATCGAAAAACCCTCCAATCTTCAAGTCAGAGCCGCGATTGGTAATTTATTATGAGAGCAAACCATCGATTCATCTCGCGCTTGTTGTTACTGGGCTCAACCGTAGTAGTTCGTCGCTCCTCCGGGGGTTTGCCAATTGCGAGTAGCTGGCCTGTGGCTTTAAACCCGACAGTGTGTAGTCAGAGTTGGAGAATTCTTTGTTTCAACTTCAATTGCACAACTATCGCCGGTCGCGCCCGAGTTTATCTTCGAGTCAATCAGTTACTCGCAGACGCAAACATCAATGTCACGATCTATTGTCGATATAGAGAGTAGCCGTACGCCAGCGCTAACCCTCGTCCGATTCGCGACCGTCACTACTGTGTGACATGATAGGGTGATTGAGACGTCAGAATGTCAGAATGACAGAATGGTGAGGATCCGGCATCCGCGCCATGCTTCTCGAGTGCAATGAACGATCACAGCCCATTGGCGGCGTTGCGCGCCACGTCCCCATATCCCAAGTAAGGGGGAGTAGGACATTGCTACTAACCAGACGCGCAACATTCGGTTGATTAATTTCGATCCCTGTCAATTCTTCTATCATGGTCCTCCTAGATGACGTAGATGAAGGACGTCCACGGACTCTCCCTAAGCAGTCATTCGCACTATGCAAACAGTCTTCCTCTACTGATAGTGCAGCTACCTAATCTGTCATAGAACTGCAGGCCGTCATCCCCGACAAATCATCTAGATTTGTACTCTCTAGCCTAGCTTTCTCTGTTCGGGGCACTTACACACTCACAACTCCAGTCGCCTCTGATCTCAGCTACCTTGTTAGCAGCTATGATATCAAACCATGCAAACATGAAATAAACTTGAATCCACCTTCTAACATAAACTAAGCCCATCCTCAATCAAGAAAAATGAAGCATTTCCGCGATAATAAAAAACGCATCACATGATTGAAGGGCTATTGACCAATCACAAGCCGGCAGAAGCGCTAAACTGCATCCGTAGCCGCAGGGCTTTCCGGCCCAAGCCCTAATCGCACGATCCAAAATAGACCAACCCGCGCCAAGCCCATCAACTCGACTCCGCTAAAGCAACCAACGCAAAAAAAGAGCCACTCTCCCATCCTAATAGGTTTCCTCGTCGTCGTCGCCCATCCGTCTTGCCTTTCAACTTCGAAAAATCACCTTCGAATTACATATCATCAATTCAAGATGGATTCCGCCAAGGTCCCTGTTAAGCTCGTCAAGGTCACCCGCGTTTTGGGCCGAACTGGTACGTTTTTGTCTACGAAAGGGATTAAGGGAATGGATTCGCGGGAGGGAACAGGCAAAGGCAGAGAGAGAGAGAAGCAGCATTTCGACACGGCAGAGAAAGATATCGAAAAACGGTGCGAAAAATGGAGGAATGGGAGATTTTATACAATTACGACAGTTTCACATTGAACTTGAATCGAACTCGGCAATGAAACGGATACGCGCACACTACTGGCCTGGTAGAACGAATTCTGCTTCTCTCTCTTTTCTACCTTCGATTTCCGCTCCCTGCGTACCGGATCTCAATCGCGACATCCGTGAATAGAACAATGGACTCAGAACTAATCTATTTCTTTCACAGGTTCTCGCGGTGGTGTCACCCAAGTCCGCGTCGAGTTCATGGATGACCAGACCCGTTCCATCATCCGTAACGTCAAGGGACCCGGTACGTCTCCCCTCAAATCCCCTACACACTCACACAGTTCTAATATTTTGATCCTACAGTCCGCGAAGACGATATCCTCTGCCTCCTCGAATCCGAGCGCGAAGCCCGCCGTCTCCGATAGACGCCTTTCCCTTTTCGCTTAAATTAAAAAATTTCGAGAAAAAATGGCAAAACATACGACGAAATGGATGGAGCTGTGGGAAAGAACGAGGGGAGAATTTGGGTTTTGGGTCGTCGCCTTTTCACCATGACGGTTATTTTTCGCTCTTGATATAAACCGATTTTGTGAGGGAATGATCGATTTAGGCTCGACTCTTTTCTAACGACTTTTCTACTTGTTTCAATGACATATCGACGAAATGGGAGGAGATGGGGAAGATCAGGTCATAGGTCTTTTACCATATTTTACTACAATGTGTCACATAAATGAACCCAAGACAATACTTAACGATGATAAAACCGTTGAATGGGATTGGAAAAATCGGATGGAGTTTTACATTTCTTCTTTTTTAAAATCAATACATTTCGGTTTGCATTTCAGAGTATTGATATGCGCGTCCTACCGAGACAAGCTTGGAAGCGGCATGATCTGATTTCGATCAGACGTGAGACCAGCCTCCTTACGTGGTAAATGCGAGTATGTATATCTATAACCTTCCTAGGCAGGTATACGTGGAGACACGTGGCAGACGCTGCATGCCGTCAAGCTCCTTCCTGTGGTTATCTTCTTGAGACAATTTCGTATTGATTGAATGATAGCACAAATCGAAGGTTGCCTATGTACCACTTGGATGCATATAAATTGATAAGTGTCCAATCACTTCCAAGGTTACACATTACGTACATGTCCGGTCAACCGACAGGTACCCAGCGCCCGTCTGGAGGAAACACCAGTTCATCAACGTTCCCGCATACTCCTGAGGACATCCGTACCTAGGTATAATACAATATCCATGTATTATGGCTGGAATGCCGACATCTGTGTCATCACTCACCAGTGTTTATCCGTCTAGATAGACATTGAAGCAAATACGAGTAGCACTCCCTTCCATGCACCAATGGTTTAACAATCAATCAAATGTAATCATATAATCGAATCTATTCCATCAATCCCAACTATCTATCGACCTAGGTAGGTAGGTAACTAGCCAGGCTTTCATTATACTCATTAAGGAATGCATCTTTTTCCTCTAAAAGGAGTCAACAACATCAGAAGAAAAAATCCCTAAAACGCCTCAAGGTTGCCCCATGCTTGCTTCCAACATTACATTAAGGAGTGTTTCGTGAGCAATCAAAGTATGTAAATCCGTGTATATATATGTCCCTCATATCAAGTCGTTATCCATAGCCCTTTTTTGATCACTTTTTCATTCACCCTTCTCTTATATGGAAGGGTGTTTTGGGAGGTGATTAAAGCACCCGGTGAACAATAGGCTTCTTTGCATCGTTCCATTTGTGGCCCCAGCTGGGAGAGCCGGTGCCTGTGCCTACGGGGCCGGTTGTAGTTCCTGTGCCGATGAGAGTGGTAGTTGTGGTTGTTGAGGTGGGCTTTGTGGTGGTTGTGGTTGTCGTGATGCCTGTCTCTGTTCCGGTGGCTGTTCCTGTGGCTGTTCCTGTAGCTGTTCCGGTAGCAGTGCCAGTAGTGGTGCAAGTCTTAGTCAGGGTAGATGTAGAAGTAGAATCTGCAGGCGGAGGAGGTGGGACAACAACAGCTGTAGTAGTTGTAGCCGTCGTCTCAGGAACACTAGGCGCAGTCACAGTCACAGTCACAGTTGCGGTGGTAGTCTCAGTATGCGTCGTCGTAACCGGCAAGGGGCACGCAGTCCCCGTCCCGGACCCAACAGGTACAACAACAGGAGTCGTCGTGGTAGTCACAGGAACGACAGTAGTCCAAGTCGAAGTCCACACGGAAGTAGTAGATGTAAGCCAAGTAGAGAACACAGTCGACGAACCCCTCGTACCAACGGAAGTGGAGCAGGGCACAAAGGTGGTTTTTGTGATTGTCTCTGTCTCGGTTGCGGTGCTCCATTCGCTTACGCTGGTGGTGGTAGCGGTGACGGGAGGAATGGAGGTAGTGGTGATGGTGCTGGTCTGAGGTGGAGGTGGAGGAGCAATACCGGTGCCAGTGCCATAGTGTCTACGTTCAGCCCAGTACCCGGGGAAGGCGAGAGTAGAGCCGATGAGGGCTGCGCTGACGAGGATAGAACGCATCTCAAGAGGTACTTGTTGATATAAGTATCGAATCCTTTGGTCTTCGGTTGCAAGCCTATAGCGAGTGAGGCCGCTTAATCAAGAACTATAACGAACGAACGGATCGAATCTGCCGAAAGAAGATTACTTGACAACAGCGACAAGGTCTTTATATCTACCTACTCACTAAGCGAGCACGCCAGACCAGAGCTAGTGCCCGATTTAAATCCAAGGCCAACTTCCATGGTAGTACGGCACGTACGTAGTATAGAGTGGGCGGTGCATTTGCAACCGCACTATACCGTACGGCCTCTAAACAGACATACCGGTGGGATGCCATCAGGTAACACCGAGACAGGTCCAAGTTCCAAGACCAGCACCAGGATCGTGGCCCATTTCGGGGGCTCTGACTGGCTGTGGAGCCGAGTGGCAGGATATACGTACAAAAAGAAAAGACATACTACGTACGAACTTGCTTCTGTGCGTAGAACCTACACGGAGCATTCTCGGTGGGCGGATTGGTGAGGTTCTATAGATAAAGTGGCGTTGATAGAGGCTCCATCTGTGCCCGCCCGAACCGGACTAGCTGCATTGCTGGGTCGCCGAAAGTTTGCCTGTTTATCGCTCATACACTGACATACTGACATACTAACACTGACACTGACACTGACACTGGCATGCTGGCCAGAACATGGCATTGTGAAGATTGCACAGTCATTTCCCGGGTGTAGCATTCAACGGTCGAGCGTCGCACGCGTACTCTGTACTCCCTTCTGTCCCATCAGAATCAGAGAAAATAAAAAACAGAAAAAAAAGAGCCGCTAATGTCAGCAGATGGCCGTAGTCCATATCGGGTAAGGACTGTCTCAGTTCCAAGAACTGAGCAGGATTTATCACGAATTACTATGTAGTAATACATAATCGCAAAATGGCCGGGCTACTGACCGAGACTTTAAATCATGACTCTGATATTTTCAGCCCTCGTAACCGTATTATTATTGTCTGTTCTTACGAGGTGATGAAGGCTGCCGGGTACCGACGGATGATTCTCGGGTTCCCGAAAATCTACACGTCTATACTTAGCAACAGCAATGTTTGGGTCAGTTTTGGTGTGGCAAGAAGTACCACGGAAGTACATAGAATTTGCCAATGTTATCGAACGTCGTACCTAGTAGGCAACCATTGTTGCTATGGGCTTTTGAGTAGCGCAACTAGCGGCTGTCATACCAAGGATATCCATGTCTCCTGTTGGTGATCATGTACCACGTACTTGGAGTGTTCACTAGTGTTCTACTTTGTAGTACGCAACCGACTGAAAGATCCAGAACAATGATTAGTCCGCGCCACGACTCGTATATGCCCACTTAGTCCATTTAGTCCATCGCTAGACACGAGCCGGTTCGCCTACTGACAGTTGGCCCCATGAGGTCATCCATTCGAGAGCGGACTGAACAGCGGGCATCAGGTATCTGCTATATAGTAATTTCTAACACTTGTATCCAAATCGATCACTTCTGATATTGCAATTTCATCTTGCCATACACTATCAAGCTGCCCCAGTTGAAATTGAGATATGTGAAGGATGTTGTGCGACTCCGGAATTAGAAGATATAAGACATACATATGCACATGCTGAGTTGGCATATTTAGCCCCAGCCCTGGTCAACGGCCTCATGCAGGTTGCTCCACCATCAATATTATTACTACACTACAAGTATATTATTCTACGGTGACATGATTGACGCAATACGTCGATCAACCTGAAAGGAATGAAAACCACAAACGAATTGCGACTGTCTCACCGTCCAACACACCAAACAGGAAATCGTCTTGCTCGCCTAACTGGGCTTGATCAATTTATCATCCACTTTTAGTCTTTTGCTCTATGACAATTCTAGATCAAGCCAACAAGCTCGAGCTCTAATGGAAAAACCTTGATAACTACAAATGGCATAGTCTATGGTACAGTTGACTTTTTGGGATTTGGAAAGTGAGACATTACGATAGTGCGCTGTAGACGTGTMCCCGCCATTTCATTTTTCATTGGGAAGATTTGGGCGGAAGGGTGTATTAGGGCTGATGGCTGGTGGCCTCATTGTAGCCTACGAACCAGAGTGGTTGGTCGATTGTTTGGCTGCATTTTCCCAATTGGGTAATTCATATTTGCGGTTAGGGCTTTTGATTGATCGTAACTCCAACCCCGTTCAGATGGGGTGAGAAAGAGATAACGGCGAGAATTGCACCGTTTGCGTAAGAATTTATTCGTTGCACAATGTCTGGACATTATTATATTCCAAGTACTACGTACCCAGGTGAGCTTCTCAACCTTGGTTACGTCCTTGACGGCATTGACGGCAATAAATACCAAGGATGCCCTGAATCAAGGTATCACCAATGAAGCGGACCATGCCAGGTCTATCGATTAAGCAGTCATATACATCACGCTCAGAGGAGATGACAAGTAACCAGCACGGCAATCACAACAAGTCCTCCGAAACCCAGGACAGCGTTATGCCGCCGCAAGCTCCAAAACCAGCCCCTGCTTAAGAGCATCTAACTCCGTCTTCCCCAGCGGATCTCTCTTCGTGAAGCTATGCTCTTTCCGCTCCTCAGGTGACCACGTGGTAATATCGTATCTATCACCACCTATTAGCTTGGACCTCATCTCAACAAACCCTCTGTTATATCCATGCGCCTTTCTGTATTCAGATAATGCCTTTGTCCACCCCCACGGATCCTTGAGCTCGCAGGACGGGAGTTTGATATCCTTAGTATCAATGTGTTTGATAATATCGTCAAGTTTTGGTGGTCCTCTTAGCGGGACGTCGTATTTCTGTGCATAGGCGAGGATGTACTCGTCGAATATGTCAGGGTTGAATTTCCGTCCCGTCGGTTCTTCAATCAACACTTGTCGCCAGCGGTCAAAGTTGGCAATGTAGAGGGCCATGATGAAGCCGAGGGATTTTATTTCGGGCTCGGATTTGAGTAGGCCCATACGTTCGAGGTTGGAGATTGTGGACAGGACCATGCGGAGGACGAGGCTGAATAGTGCCTGCACGCGGTCAGAGTCCTCACACCTGTGGTCTATTAGCAGTCGCCCTCCTCACAGAAAAGAATAGGACATACATCTGCATAGGATTAAGAGAGTCGCTCGTCAACATCATCGCAATAGCCTCGATAATAACCCACTGCTCCTTCCAATTCTTCTCCCTTCCCGCCTCGATCCAATCCGTTACCAGATTTTCGACCACCTCCATGACGCCGTAGGACTCAAAGTCGTTGTAGACGTACATGCCAAATATATCTGGACAACGCAGATCAAGGTAAATCCTTGCCGTGGAGTGTTTGTGGATGCCGGCCCTGCTGATTATGAATGGGTGATCGGGGTGCTCTGCTAAGGGCTTGTTGCAGAGACAAGTTTTGCCACCGTCGCAGGGTCGTTGTGGTTGTTTCTCGTTGTTCGCATTACTCTCATTTTCGTCGACATCACCCAATTCATCGTCCTCGTCCTCGTCCTCGTCCTCGTCATCGTCCTCATCCTCGTCGGAATTCGGGAGTCGGCAGATAGTGATAAATGAATAGGCAGCTTCAGGATCTTTCATGCGCACTCTGTAGCTGTAATCGGCATTGCCGGATCCGGAAACTTCGGACCATCGTTTGCTCTTAGGAACTTCTGGATCCTCGTCTGCATGTGGGATGTTAGTGGTGGTGGGAGTGGTGGTGGGAGAAGCGGACATGGAGGCACTTGACGCGCTCGAGGAGCGCGCGCGTTTGGTGGGCATATCCGATGAACAGCGTATTTGTCGGAAGAGATGAATATCTAGATATTTATCGATTTGTGTGTAGATTCAAATATTATCATTATTAAATATAGAGGCAATTGGCATCCCGTTGTGAAAACTCCGAGTTTCAGCAGATCAACTTCTAGAAGATACGGTCTTTGGTTCCCCTGAATGGGAACGTGTCATACGGCGGGCTGTGGGTAGCCACTAAACCATTTGAGTGAGTGATATGTCATTTGTAAAAAGCAAATAAAACATGATACGTATTCGGAGAGAAAATACAACTATGATAATACAGATATGTGAAAAAGCTCCATGTCTAAATTTTGCTCATCTCCAACATTGAACGAAGTTGTAAGCGTCCCGACAAGGATTATGTATATATACACAATTGAGTAGATACCCATGAAGATAATTCGCGTGACGAGATTGGAGTTACACAACAATTATAAATAAATATGGTATATCATCTGTACCACAATAATCCAAATGGCTTATCTGATAGAATACTCAGTGCTTAATATGAGATGCAAAGCAGTCGTATTTGATGTCCGTGACAGCGACGTAGGCCTAGGGCTAAATCTATAGCGACGGCATAAAGGCTTTACAGGACAATTAGGCAACAGTTGAACAAAACATGCAGTCATGCCGTCACGAGAGATCATGCTGAATATATCGTTCATCTAGGTAGGTGCAATTATGGAAGAAGTCAAATCAGATGCAAGGAAGACTACGTACGATCTGTACTTTACAAATGAAAGTAGTCTCAATATTGCCCGATTAGGAAAATTGAGCTCAATAGCCCCTGAATGGCCACCCCTTTGATTGAGAATTTCGAAAAATTGTCAACTTTTGGAGACTGAAGAAATAGAACGTGGTAGAGAGTGCCATGTCTCAGCGTTGATTCTCACCCATGGATAGAAGGCGACCATAAACAAACTTCGATGATACTTGGAGCTCTGGTATTACGTTCCAGCATCATTCAACCGATGCTGCGAATCACTTTCACTGACTTGGGATTCATCGATCGAAGAGTGAGTTTAGGTCATGAATTCTGCTCACCTTCTTATCACATCCTGACCTAGGTATCAAAAACAGGTAGCTCTCATTGGCTARGCAAGCCATCATTGAGTGCAAACTGTTATTGAGAGCAAAGTTAATTGGGGAGCCTCCAAATCATTTTCCATTGAGCAGTGCAGAAATTTCATTGTTCTCCCAGCCCATGTGACTGTTGCCTGGATTATTCAGGCAGGCACTGACAGGTGACGGCTCTTTCCCTCTGCCTCACTCTGCATCACATTCTTATTTATTTTGATTTCTTCATCTCTCTTTTATCTTTTGTCAACAACTTATCGTTTGCATCCTTGGAGCACCAACGTCTCATTCGTTTACGTCTTTCGAAAGGCTACCATCAATAAAAGTCATGGCGCCCGGTCAAGGTCAAAAGCGACCTCAATACCAATCTCGACGAGGAGGCCGCCGGAATTATCAGCAAAAGAGTCATCAAACAAGTCCTCGAGAATCGAAGACACAACACAATAGTGGTATGGAGTCCAACAAGAAACCAAATGCTCAATCGGCTCCACAAACACGTTCATTGTCTGCCTTGCAGATGATCCTCAATTTTACCAAGGAATGGTCCCCTGAACTGCATCACAACCATCAGCCATTCACAAAGTTGCCTGGAGATGTGGCATTGTGCATCATGGATCATCTCAAAGATCCAGTCGACAAAATGTCATTGGCACTGACTACGAAGAGTATGTGGGAATGGTCACAGAAGGTACTGAAACTACAAGACTTCAAGCTCCAACAAGTTCTGCCGATTCGTGCTAGTGAGAGACGGGGTACTGTCAAACCGTGGCCGTACTTTAGATCTTATCGTTGGCGATTGATTGAGAGACTCGAGGACGAACACTGGAAGGCCTGTTCAGGTTGTTTGAGACTTCACCCAAAGACGGAGTTTTTCACCAGCGAGTTAAAAGAACCAGCCAACGAGCGTTACTGCCGAGCACCGGGCCTCATTCAAATTTGCCCTCACCTTCTGTTGACATACAAAAAATGCGAGACTCTGCAGAAGGTGCTGGCCTCCCAGGCTGAAGAGAATAAAGTCAGAAAACAAGATACCGACTTCGACAAGTACCTTTATCACGAGTGTGTCAGAGGAGCAGAGTATACTAAGGAAGCAGGCCATTTCAAACTCATTATCGGAACACAACCATTCGTCACTGATAGCAAACAACAGCTCGTATTCCGACAGAGGTACACCCTTCATATCAACTCGGAGAGTATGAAGAAAGACCTGAACCAGATTGGAACCCGATCTTTGTTTCCTAATCTATGCCCTCATCGAAGCATCGCCACGCACTGTTTGGACATGCTTGACAAGCAAGGTCCTTGGAATAATGACAAGATCGTCAAGGACGATGCTGGTGATAATGTCACATGCAAAGGATGCGGCACGTATTTTTCTGGCTTTAAGCGCTATGTGCATTCGACCTCGAAAATGTGCAGGATCGATTTCTTTACTTCGAAAATCCTCAGCAAAAAAGATTTCGAATTGCGAGACTGCCTGACTGGCCACGGCATTGCAGACGAATTGCAATCTTGGATCGACAAGACGCAACTGGCCAATATCGTGGATGTCACCGACTCTGTACACTATGGCTGCAAATGTCTAAAAAAATGCCGGAAACTGGGCTTTATTCCCATTTCATGTCCCTCGGGACGGGCTTCTTTACCTGATACCAGCTGGAAAGGGGATGAGCCTGTCTGGCCATACTAGACTTTGGCCGTCGCAGCCCACGTTTGAGTGGCCGGGAGGATCCAATCTTTCTTTCTTTGGTCTTTGGATAGTGTTTTCTTGTTTGTATTTTCTTTTTCATCAGAGCTTTCCCCCTTGATACCAACAAAAAGTATTTCAACTATTCTCTTTTTTGGCATGATTTCTTCTCGAGTTTGTTCATGTTTCCTTTATCAACACTCAAATTGCATACGGGCGTGCCCCAAGTTACCAAAAGTTTAGCATACTTAATGACAAAGATCTCCTCTCTATCTAGTTCTGACTACGTATCATACAACCCTGAACCAACAATCCCTTCAATCCTCCCCATGACCGAACCAGCCAAAACTCCCACCCCGATAATTCCACCATCACTAACCTCGCGCAACAATATACTCTTCCCACCTTGCTGCGGCCCACCATGAACAAGCAACCGATCAATATGCCGTTGCAGATTCTCCTTGTAGCGTGGATAATTCTGTATTACGCCGCCGCAGTAGGCGACAACGAGTTCTTCGGGACCGCGGTTCCACGTTTCATTGTCCGAAATCTGCGCAGGATTTGTGTTATCGTTGTTATCGTCTGAGTCAGGATCCCTGAGCTGAATCTCGCCCGTACACGCCAACAGGCCCACTGTGGCAGCAGCAATCACAGCTGCTGACCTGGACATCACCGCGAACGCGACCGTTCTCAGTATCCCCGCCTTTTCGGCATTCCATGTCCAGCCCTTGGCGGACGAGAGACGCTGATTGAGCTCTTTAGCGAGCGATTCATCCTCCTCGTACTTATCCCATGGCGTCGTCCCCACAGCAGCAGAAGAGGAAGAAGAAGACGCAACATTCAATGACAAAAAATCCGTCGTCAATCCTCCACTCTCAAGCAACCGCCACGGCAAAACATCCCTCGGTATTTTGAGAACACAGGTGAAATAGTCGAGCACAATCAGACGCACCAATTCGCCCATGTAGCGGCCTCCGACGATGTATTCCATGGGCTGGAAACCGGGGGGTTTGGAGGAGCGTTCGATGATTTTGTCCCATTTGGAGAGGATGTGCATGTCGTGTAAGGGTTGGCTGGAGCGGAGGAGAGTCCATTCAGTGCTTACCAACGTTTCTGTTTCTGTAATTTTCTCGGAAGGTTTGACACCAAGAGTGGAATGACAGGGGCGGGKGAAGTATTCCGTCTTCGAAGGGTGCAGGTCAGATACCTTCATAGGCACGGTTGCGTTACTACCCGCTCCGACAATAAGACCCATCACGACACGACTATTTGGCACATTCATCGATTTGATGCTGTACGCCAGCGAGGCAAATGTCGCGACAGTATCGTTTGTCATGGCGGCGATTTTGAGTTTGGGGAGTGAGAACTGTTTCCTCCTTTTCCTAGTCCTTTCGTGTTCGTCGTCCTGGTGGTCGCTTGAGGCTATGAATTCGTCCCATGGATTGGGCTCTTCCTGCTCCTCTTCATGATTCTGGAAAGGGGGCGGAGATTGTGGCCTTATATGACATTCGTAGCCATCCAAAAGAGCCTGGCGAAGATTCAGGTCTGAATTGAGCGCGAAGCCCTTTCCTGTCGGTGAAAGGACAGCCTCATCGAGTGATTTTTGCCTTTTCCCCATCAGCATCATCCTACTGAATGCGAGAGAATGCGAGGAAAGGGGGTCAACTCACACAATAGGAATACAAAATGATATCCCCGCCACCAACTCCCTACCCTCCTCAACTCCATAGTGGTAGCCCTCTCTATCATTACCACTGCCGTTGCCGTTACTTTCCTGCTCATTCCTCAAACTATCGCCCACAACCTCCGCAATACAAGCCCCAATCCACCCAAAAAGCTCAACCGGATGCTCCCATTTCAATCTCTCTTCGATCGGCCACGCCTTTTCCAGGGTTCGGCGCACCGTGAACCATCGTCTACTATTCCGCTTACTCTCTGCTCTCGGCCCTTGATCATCAATATTCAAATATGGTTGTTGCCGCTGATTGGAATTGTCGTCATCACAACCCAACAACTCAATAAAACCAACATGAAGATAAAATAGTCCAACGTACACAGCCAGATATCGCCCGCGCTCTTTACCGGTTGGTAAATGCGTGATGGGCGTGGGGAAAAACTGCTCTGTTGAGTGTGCTGCGAGGTATTTGTATGTTTTGCTGAATTTGTAGGAGAGTTGGTAGAGGGTTTGTTCTGAGAGGGTGGTTGTTATGGGGGATATGAAGTCTTGGATTGTTGTTGTGGGTTTTTCGTTGTGGTTATTGGGCTTGGGTTGAGGGTATGCCATCGATAAGGATGCTTTATATGTAGCCTTTATCGTGGTGGGTGTCACTTAATATTATCGAAAAGATTTGGAGTAGATGAAGCTGATGATTCAGCTAATACTGAAAAGTGATAGTGTTGCATCAAACAAACGATGCAACATATCGCGAGATCAATGTCACAATCATTGTGAATGATTTCCATTGGTTGGAAATTCAGAATTCCCCACGAACCAAACCTAGATTTTCTCCATGCTGAGTTCTCTGATTGGCTATGATATTGTATTTCTATTCCACCCTTTGACCAAACAAATTGCACTTTTTAACTTGTACACTGGCATGTCTCTCGAAAACTTACACGAGCGATGAATAATAGATCTGTGACTGGATATTACGTCTCGTGACATTAATCTATGCGCATCTAAACATGTAGCTAATATACAAGCAACAGCAGAAAACAGTAGAACCCCGAAAGAAGCCCGCCGCCGGCTTCCGTATGCAACCCTAATTACTCCTCCATCGTATGCAAACCTTGGAAACACAAAACAAATAAAAGTGCACGAGGACGTCGTGAGTGATGTACAAAAAAGAAGATAAAAAAAACGCATGCATAAAGGCAGAGAAGGAGACAACTCATCAAGGAACCCTCCCGCTAATAAACCAATTCCCGTTTCCAGGCGGACAGACGGACGACGCTTGCGACAATCGCGATGATACGACCACATACTCGGTTACTTTGTGTATGGAGTCTTGTAGGGGTATTGTATCTGTGACGTCGTAGGCGATTATCTCGTCAAGGGTCGTGTGGTCTTGGTCGTGGTTGTTGTCGCTGTAGCGGGGATATGCGTGTAGTTGGTAGTGGTTTGATGGTCGGGGCGATGAGGAGGAAGAGGCGAAAGGAGGGAGGAGAGTTGGAGGTGGTAGATTTTTGTGCTTTGAGGGTGAGCGGAGTAGTGAGAGTGGTGAGGGGAAGATGGGTGAGTTTTGGGCGTTGCCGTGGCCAGCCACGGTGGATGAATTAGTGGTGTCTGTATTCGTATTGTTCTTTGTGGACGTGATGTGAGTAGCGTTGGTGGTGTATGCCAAATGTACTGAAGGAGGATTGATCTTCGTTTCGCTGGTGGCGTCGTCGAGATCTGCTTGATGCCCGATGTCTGAATGTGTGCTGACGTCGTCTGCATTCAGCCTGTTTTCCTCGTCCCCAGTCTTAGTGGCATCCGATACTCTTCTTTCATGGCGAGTAGTAGAATAGATGTGATAGCCACAAGCAGCATTGAGAGCAACCATTCCGACATGAAGTTCGATACTATCACGCAAGTCAGCAAGGTAATTCTGACAGGAATGGATTTGACTTACTTTGCAAATATTTCTGCTTCAAAGGCTTGGCCTGCATGAAATGACATATTAGTACTTGATCTGTAGTCAACTGCTCTGTAGAAGACGACAAGCTGTACGTTATAAGCAACCAGCGGTACTTACTGAGTGAAGTTCGAAAGATATCATTCACCATGGAAACCTCGACTACTGCACTAGCCGTCACTCTGAACGCTACGTTAGTAATCCGAAACGCACGAAGTTGGAGAAAAACTTACAAGCATCCCATGCCCGCAAGAGCGTACATCATAATCTTATCTCTTACATGCAGCTCGGACATATAGATGATCCCCATTGGTATAAACGTGAATATTGCATCAAAGAGAATCGAGTACACTTGACATTCGAAAGTTAGAAAACTATCAACAAAAAGGGAAAGCTCGGAGCATACCCAGCTGTAAATATAAAGAAGCCTTTCGCGCTTCGTCGGGCCAACAAGTACCGGCCTCGGGAATCCAATAAGCTTTCACAGGCGAGCATTCAGCCAGATACACAATCGCCGGTTCAAGGTTGGTGATAATCAGGCCAGACATGGCTATCCGCACGAACCATATCACCGCCCGCCGTTTAGGCTGTGTTTCCACCCGCAAGACGAAAAGACAACATGAATACTTTAGAAGACATATTGTCGGAAATGATAGAAGATGAGTAATCCATTTTTCCTCCATCAAAAGCTGCGCGGATGATGTTGACAACACCGGGAACCGGAGCGACCTGGTGTAAACCTGTACACCATGAATCTGCAAGCCGGTCCGTACAATCAATAGCACGGTCGTGATGAGTATTAACCCGTCGTCCCAGCTGAAAGTTCGTTGCGAGGCTCGAGCGAGACACCGGAGTATAGTGGAAGAGACGGACGATGCTGTGAGTACACAAGTAAGAATCAAAAGGACGGTAGGAATTGTATCGCTGCCGTGAACCTCATCCTGTGCTGTTGTCATAGCTGACGGATGATTATAATCGCATCGTGCTTTCTTGTTTTTTGATGGCTTATGTTTTGATTTTCCTCGAAAAGGTGAAGTTTATTAAACAAAAGTATTAGTAGTTGATAATAACAAATCTAAAAAATTGAATGTACGTAAAATATCATAAATATGAAACAAATGAGTGTAGGGCTGAGAGGTGTAGAATGTTTTCGTAGATCCATGCAGGCGTGCGATTTCCATTCTACTTATACAGAGACCTAAACCGCGTAGACTTTCCATTCCCCCATCCCCCATTCGATAAGTCAACAAATCCATCCAAATAGACATTGACGAATCCCCGTCCATAATGGAGCTTCCCGGTGTCAACCTAATACACTAAGCTTACACTTAATCCGAGTCGGGTCAAGTCTCAGGTCTGACGTGCGTCAAAACATTGAAAACAACTCTGAAAAGACCCAAAAGGGCGAACGCGGGATAGGACTTGGGCAGGGGTTAGCTGCCTTGCGAAATTAGGCCGACGCCCTACCGGGATTGGTGTAATCCAATAGGGCGTCGTAGGATGGAAAAGGGGCAATGATCCTGCCCTAAGAGTGGAGCGTAGAGGCTATTTTAGCGTTCAGCTTGCCAGGTGCAAGCCGTTCAAAATGAATGATTAATGGCGTGGATACCGCGGGTGCCTGCGTAAGTCAGGGTGAAGGCTGAGAGATTTCTCTTGGATTTCTTTTTGATTTATTGATTAAATCTCGTATTGGGCTGAGTTGAAGGGAGTACTTTAATCATCTTTGTACTGTTCGAGTAATCCATTGCAGTTACCACTAGTGAGCCGATGCAGTTTCTAGCACCCAGCATCCGGGTAGCTGGAAACCTCGCCGAAATGCAATTGGTTTATTAAAGGACGCAGTATAGTGCCATACCGTCTTCGGGATGGTGTTTAGACTTACCTAGGTAGGCGTACTTACGATCCTTGTCAATTTTCACAAGCTTCAAGCTTTCTACGAAGGAACGCTTTTTGGTTGTTTTTTCCTTCGGGGGATACTTAGGATCTTCTATTCTTGTCGTGAAAACACGCAAAAAACTCCGAAATATCTCTAGTGCCATTGGATCTGGACTATTCCGGTGCAGACGTGAAGATAATACTGAAACGTGAGATATTGAGTGATCCCAGCCGGCATGCTTTGCCTAACAGAGTCGAGACACGTACACACAATGAAAGTGACAAACTCGGCTTTAGTAAAATATCCGCGAGAAGGCCATCTGTCCTGAATGGGATTGAACAAAATTTAAAGTTAGTGCTTTCTAAACTCAGCTGGTGCAATTGTTCATTAATAAATAATCATAGTTCGTTATGAAATTTGTGCTCGCCAGTGCTTATCGTAAGCCCTAAATTCCTTCACGGAATGCCTCGGAACTATCGGGGTTTGAAGGCTGAGGTGAAACGTGAAGTGCTGACCGATATACGTAAACCCATTTGAATCAATTGCTTCAATTGACAGGTTGCGCATTGCAAGATACGTTTACACAAATTCTTGAAACATGAACATCGATTCTAATTGGTAGGACAACTATTGACTTATTAGAATGATTCCCATGTCTCGTTTTTACATGTCTTTTTTTCTCCATCACTTCAAGTCACCATCGCCTCCACCCAGCTTAATCCTCTCGCATCAATTAGTTGCCAGCTCTCATTGATCTGAAAAATCGGTGAAATTGTCCAGGCCATGAGAGTAGCCAATTCCAATGACCCTCAAGACAGGCTCTTCACCTTACTCCMCCTCCTCCTCAGCGCGCTTGAGGATMCCGCGAGCCATATGACGTTTGCTCAAATTGTAGTCGACTGCTCTCTTTTTCGCGGCCGAGGACATTGTGAATGCGGCAGATCCACCAAAAGGTCCAGCAAGAGCATTATTGTTGACACGAACAATGCATACATTACTAGCACCGCCCACGCTACCGGAGCAAGTCATACCTTGGGGCATTTGAACCGTGATAGGAAAGTCCTCAGTCTTCGCGAGAGAAAGCCCGAGCTTATCACCGGGGACATCTTGGGTGACAGTAGCTTGCTTAAAGGCACTTGGGTCAGTCCCACCGGAGGTAGGATCGATCATAGCGGTCAAAGGGCCGGCTCCATCTTGGTTCACCTAGAAGAAGTGTACGTCAGATTTCTGGAAAGCTGACAAGTGTTAATAGAGGAAGCCCCTACCTGATGATAGGTCAAGCTGATGGTTCCGTTGTCGGAACACGTAGGCAAGCCACTTGTAGCACCAGTGCCTGCAGCAGCCTTGACACCACCTTCGACAGGCGCATTTTTGGTCGAAGTGCCTTGCGAGTTAGTCCCCGCACCAGCTTTGGAATTACCTGCATCAATGTTAGCGTTGGGAATATGTAACGACGAAGCATAGACATACCTCCACCAAGCAAGTTACCCAAGAGGCCCCGTTTTCCTGTAGTAGAGCCACCTGCTGAACCAGTCATGAATGTGGAGATGGCAGCCGCTGCATCAACAGGACCACCTCCATTAGTACGTCCCAGAGCAGAGGCTTTGTTGCTTCCTAGCTCGTTCTGGCGGATGATAGAGGTATCGGCCTCAGCGCCACAGCCAGGGGTGGCGCAATCGCGTGGAGTGCCGTCAATCACTGCTCGTTTATTAGACGGCAAAATATGGACTCGTCAACACTGAAATTGACTTACCCGATAAGCCAGGCATGTTAACACCGTTGGCGCCCTGAATTTGGGTAAGGACACCATGACCATAGACGTCGGCCACCAAGGCGAATACGACAGCGGCTGAAAAAGTGCAACGCATTTTAGAAAGTTTGGTGGAATTTAGAGTAAATAGTGAATGTAAAAGATATAAAAGATGAAATAGTAATTGCGTCCAGCGCAGCGAAATGAAGCAATGTTTAAGGGCAAATGGAATTGAGTCGATGGATTGCAGATGGATAGAATCAAGAGCGACGTAGGTGAGATCAACCTTTATATCTCATTCCAAGGTTCACAGTCACTTTCCAGGCGACTCACCACCTTGTTTGATACATCACTAACTTCAAGCCGAATTTGGATATTGTAGCCAAGACGAGACAAATCGAATGCAAGATCATGACCGACGTACAGATATCGCACTATGAGTGGCTAGTTTACCGGGAAAGATATGTCAAGCGCGAGCTTCTCAAACATTTTTCTCAAACATGCCCAAAAATTGGATTCTCTGGCTCTATACGCAAACCAACCTGGGGAGAACTTGTCGTCACAGGTTATTAGTGCAATAGCCGATCTACACGAGCCGAGATAAGATCGATTCTCTATGGCTTAGGGTTCGGACAAGACATCCCGCTCTAGTCTGGTGTCGTTCGAGATCAGCCAGGGATTCGTGATTCGCCAATTCCTTGCTGGTGCTTCGTGAAATGGGGGCATGAAAACGAGTCATACGCGCTATAGAACCGACGAATAATGGGCGAATCTGTGAATCCAAATCAAACATTAGTAATGGACTAGTCAGACCGGAGTTAAGGCTTTGTGTATGATCATCCAGAGTGAGCAAGCCTCACTGGTCTCTTCGCCATCTAAGCCACTCAGGAGAGTTACAGACCAAGCCATGAGCTCCAGGTTTTCTTGTGATACGTGCGAATTGCCGAATTCGTCCCTAACGACTCTGTCTTCCATTGACAAGGATCGGATCAGATACGCGACAAAGTCTACTTCACAGAGCCTCCATTACAAAGACCGCGGAGGAGGCGCAGTTGTCTCATTTTGATACTCTGGCGGCCTACGGAGGGGCCTCTAGCATGTTTTAGAGTCCGCAGCTTTGTTTTTGTATGGTGATGGACATGGTTGGGTGGATGCCTTTTTGAGCCCCGACATTTAGCGCGATCTGGGACGCGTTTCAGCCTTTGCCGAAAAGCGTTAAAGAGCATGGAAAAAATAATACTACAACACTTTCTACAATGGCCAAATGGTGTACATGACACACGGAATAGGAATTTATTGGTGTCGAGATGTCTTAATTGTAGTAGTGCTAATGCTGCGAGTAAACTCGGAAGATCAACACCATCGCCAGGAAAGCAGATAAGTGGATACACCTGGTGGATTTTACGCCCTTGAGACAGTAGACCTTTCTCAGATATTAGTACTTTAAGGATTAAGAACATGAGATCGGCCGGAATACCGCTTCTTTCGAAATCGGTTTACAACCACAACCCACAATTATGCTTATTCTTCATCCTCGGCAAAGTCACTGATTCCATGTGCTTAACGACTGCTTCAACTCCTTTCGGCCAATACGAAAACGATGAAAAGACGGAGTCCGACTAGTAAGTTTGCAGCTTCGCAGGACGGCCTGGAACTCCCACTTCTACAGCAGACTGGATGTGATGTATCGATTCCAGGTTGCTAAACTAGCACGTACATAGCCACATTCTTGCAGCTATGTCAACGTATCTACAGTGGTCTCTCATTTTGTTCCGCCTACATTGTCTCCTGAGATAACGCCTAAGCTGACAAGTCTCTCACGTCGCTTTGTCAGCCATCCCAGTTAGTCGACTTCATACCTGAATGAGATAATCCGAATGGTTATGACTTATCTGGCTAACAAAACGCCCTGTAATGATCGCCCCGCGCAATTGGGATCTGGGCCAAGTTGCCCAACCCACCAGACTTTCCGTTAATGGACAGGCAGCGAGGGCATCCCAACCATTTTGAAACTATGGCATCGATATGCCCAATTCGGAGAGAGCCTAGACTCCTCGCGATCCCATTTTCGAGGCGAAGTCGTTTTAAACTTGTCGTGTCAAGATGGGGTTCCCCACCGGTGTGATAGCCCAAACTAATATTTCACTAGGAAGCTTTTACAAGATATCTAAGTATCCATAGATGAAAGAAGAAATGCAAACAGGAATAACGGCTGGTAGCCCGCTACCTCAACATCCGAGACGTGTACACTGATTCCATACATAATTGGCCAGATTTCGAATCCCCATTCATGAACCCGACTACGTCAGTGCCTACTGCCTCAACGTACCCTGCGATATCTTCGCCTTAATTCGAAGGAGGCGCATCGCCCAGAAAGAAGAGCGACAGTTTCTAGTCCTTGGGGTTTATGCCAACTACAACAACGCGGATAAGGAGTTGGCCTGGCTGCGGCGTGGGTGTAGGGCGTCTTGGGTTGTGATTGCTAGGGTGTTGGTAACGGTTGCTTCTCATATTTGCGCCGTAGATCAAAGCGTTCACGGGCTCTTCTGCATGCCCAAACTTCGAAGTCCCATAAAATGGATAATGGAAAACCTAGGCTGTAGAAGAGGCCCTGTGCGGCAGTGAGAGCACAAATGCTGACTGCAGCAGCTTGCGCCAATTTTCACCCGTGGGTCTTGCAGGGTTTTGATATCCCCATCAACTCTCGCCCACTTTTCCTGCAAAGTCGATGCCCACAACGCGCATATCTTGGAGTGCCAAAGGATGATCTACGTTCATGACATCTACTGTGTTGAGTCTGACTACCTCCACCTTGTCGAGGATTTGATTTGGTCCGGGGATCGGCACAGCGACTCCCTCTACGTCCAAAGATCCAGTCTTCGGTTTGATACCAGAGTCTTCATCGTATTGCTTGCGGTCATGGCGAGTTATGGTGTTCCGGGAGGAGGAACAGTCCGAATAGTTGCTTTGTTCTTAGTAGAAAACGAACAGATAAGGCGATGAGTTGAAACTTCTATAGTAACAGCTCCAAGACTAGCTTTCTTTAATCCCAGAAGTAGAATTTGGAAATTCCCTTTATCTTCTCACACAAGATTTCCTGATCTGTACTGTCAACCGGGATTAAGCCAATCAGTAAGTACTAACTCCGGCGGCAGTCTCCGCATAACAAGGCCATTTTGATTGGGCGTATTAATCATTTGGTGCCAAAATTCTACTAGGTGGAGTCGTGCCGTTGTCAAGTCATCAACGATCAGTATTTATGTACATCTTTCTCAGCCTCCAATCGATCAGTTAGTAGTCAAGAAGCACACCACAAAGTGGAGAAGAACATACGGAAAAAGCTGTATAAGAAGCATCCAAGTTCACCTTTGACACTTTTCTCTCAGATCCCGGAAACATTATTCTCCTATACAGATCGATCAAAACACCACAGAACCATGGAGCAGAAGCTGAGTATCACTTCTACTCAAAGAATTCTTTCGGGTCATGAAATCCCAGTGCTAGGATACGGAGTAAGTAGCAGCTCGTACTGAGTGAACCGCAAAGACAAAGGATTAACTCATTTTTATCCAGCTTTACCAAGTGTATGTTGAGAAGATCGTCGCAGATCGAACATATTGGTTAATAAAATCAGACCATTTACAGAGGCCGAGCATCTCAGCATTGAGGCTCTGAAGGCCGGGTATCGCCATGTAAGACCGTTTCTGCGACGTCCTATCTCATGATAATACAGGTCTCATATATCTTCTAGATCGATTCAGCGGCAGCGTATAAGAATGAGAAGCAGGGTGTCTCTGCCGTAGAACTGGCCGGATTAAAGCGATCTGAAGTCTTTCTAACAACAAAAGTTCCGCCGAAAGCTACTGGCTATGAGGCTGCTAGACAATCCATTGAGGATAGTCTCAAGAAGGCTGAAACCGACTATTTTGACCTGTGAGAGACAAATGCTTATAATCAATCCGTCGTTTGCGTGACTGACTCTAAAAGAATTCTTCTCCATGCACCCTTTGGAGGCAAAGAGGGCCGCCTCGGCGCCTGGCGTGCTTTGGTGGAAGCGCAGAAATCCGGCAAGACTCGATCAATCGGCGTATCTAACTTTGGCATCCACCATCTACAAGAGTTGGAAGAGTATATCAGAAGTGGTGGAGGAGGTAGGATCGAAGTTGGCCAGTATGAGCTCCATCCGTGGCTTGGGCGCGCGGATTTGGTAGCGTGGCTACGCGAGCGTGGCGTGGTCATCGAGGCATACTCCCCTCTGGCTAGGGGAACTAGAATGGAAGAGGCCGTGCTACACAAAATAAGCAAGAAGCATAATAAGAGTCCCGCTCAAATTTTGATTCGTTGGAGCCTGCAGAAGGTGAGACATAAGAATTGACTTTCTCTTTACGAGACTTGGCTAACATTCACAATCTGCTTGGTCACAGGGATTTATTCCACTACCCAAGTCTGTCAGCCCTGAGCGCATTAGAGAGAATGCGAACGTATTCGACTTTGAGCTAGACGAAGAAGATATGAAGTCTCTGCATACTAATGAATACTCGCCTTCCACCTGGGATCCCACCGTACACAAGGATTGAAAAACGTCTCCAAAGGAACTTGATCTCCATTTGCTACTGTCAGGAGCGAACTTGGTGTTTTTCTTTTGTGTTTTTCTAAGCTCCATAGGTGCTCGGCTATCTGTAATTATTCGCCGTTCAGATTTATTGTTTGGGGCCTCGTTCAAAATACTCAAATCCCGAATGATCTCAAAGCACCAGCTGACAGGTATAAGATTTTGATAAAAAATGACAAAAAAATGTAGATTCACACTCCTTTACGCCGAAGGGAAAAACTTCGGTAGATTCTTCTCCACAAACTCTTCAAAAGTGGTCAACTTGCCACGGGCAACTTCGGCAGCCTCTTTGACGACGTCTTTGGTTTTCTGCCCAAAGTACCCAAAGTCTTGATAGTAGATAAACATCGCAACTATCTCGTCTGCAATTCCAGGAGGCAAATACTGTCTCAATGTACTTTCTGGTATTTGAGCATATTGTACCTTCTTCCCTGACACCTGACTAATTGTCTTCACGGCTTCTTCGAATGAAACTAGCCTTTCAGCAGATCTGACATATTTTCCCTCGAAGGCATCCGGAGCTGCTAAGATTGCGGCGACAAATTTGCCCGTGTCCGCGACAGTATCGATCAACGGGAGCAGAGTTTGTGGGGTGACAGCGTTCGCAATGACGAAGGAGCCATCACCGGCGGGCTGTGGGACGAAAACAGTTGTAAAGTTTTGCATAAAAAAGCCGGGCACGTAAAAGGCGCTCTTGATAGGCAGGGAGCGTATGTATAGCTCCACCTCAGCTTTGAGATCGAAATGTTCCACGTTGGTGATCTTTCGGCTCGAGATTGCTGCTACGTTTGGCAGCGTGCTGAAAATCAGGTACTCAGCGCCGGCGGCAACAGCGGCATCAGCCATGGCCTTGCCTTGTAGAAACTCTTGAAATTTGGGCACGTTTTCTGGGATCACTTGGAGGGTGACAACAAAGACGGTATGTGCTCCCTTTAGGGCAGGGAGGAGTGACGACGGGTCTTCGGCGTCACCCTTTACGACCTCGGCGCCCTTAGCCTGGAGAGCTTTGGCAGCGGGCTTAGTCGGATCGCGTGTCACAGCACGCACACGGTATATTTTCGAGAGTTCAGGATCACCAAGGACGTGTTCCACAACAGACCCTCCCTGCTGCCCAGTGGCGCCGAAAACAACGAGAAGCTTGCTCATTTTGAGATTCGCTTCGATGATAACACCGTACCCTTGTTTTGGTCAAAGAGAGATTTAAGATTAATCCTTGATTAGAAGAAAATCCAGCAGTCCGTCTTATTCAGTATTTATATCGATCTCTGTCCCGATGTTGAAAAGTGTGGGTCTTGCTCTACGTCAACCACTTAGTTAGTATGTACGGTAACTGGCTTACTGGAAATCTGCCGTAGGTAGCCATGTCTGTTCCACCCGGTTCGATGAATATGAATTAAGTTACGGTATTAATTCCGCGCATAACGTAATCGGTAAGCAACCCGCCCACATCTCCAAAAAACAACTCTCTATATTGATTTGCTATATTTCAACGCATAAATTGTTATGAAACCAACCTGCATGATACCAGGTAGAATCTACTACTATTACGGAAAGGCATTTGGTTGCAGCAGCTAATCATTTCTATAGCTAAGCATAAGGGCAGTAAGCTAAGAATATAAACTTATAATTCAATAAGTAGAGAATATATAACTATAGCTTAGAGTATTATAAGACAAAATTATATATTATATAGCATTTTAATTCTAATAAGTGTATATATAGTTCTTTAGTCTAAGTCTAATAAAAATTTTTTTTACCTGTCTATTACTCTTTATAGTCAAATTAGATTAATGTAATTTGTCTTCAAGTGTCGCTGCAATGGGAAATCGTCACAGACTCCGCGCGACTGTATTTCTATTAACATTCAAGATTTTGGGGACGCAGGTCAAGAAAGTCTTGACTTCAGATACCAAAATAACTACGTCAAAGCAGGAAAGGCAAGGGCTTGTTGGGGGACAGGTCGGAAACACACGAATTGTATATATCTAGCACTAGTGCCCTACACTTTAGGGTTAGTTCCTCCGGCGTAATAAATCATCATCATCATCATCATTCTGTGTCAAGATCAAACAAAGTATCAATATCTCCATTTACTGATTGATTCATCAATCGCTTTTGACGAGCGGCAAGTTCAATTTGTTTGTCCAGCTGTGCGCCTGCCTGATACCTAGGTTTCAACCCATGGTGGGTGGTGCAATTCGCATGAATAATTCAAGCCACGACATCTTGAACCTACTTAGGTAGCCTGCAATCAGGTGCCTGAGCTTGTACGGTGTGACTTGGGTCAATCTCTGGATATATTCTGGAGATCTCCCTATCGATTACCCAGAGACCTCTGTTTCCAACCGAACGCAACAAATACAGCCAGCAGCAACTCCTCATGTCCGCCTATCGCCAGGGCTCGCTGCAGATCTGATCTATCTTTGGGGCCCACATTTGGCCAATAACCCGATCGACAAATCACTAAAATTTTTACAGTGACAAGAACATCAGACGATGTGATCAGACTTAACAGTCTGCCGAAAAGCCTTATCGGCGGAATACTGGACATATTTTCGACACCTGCGACTGCTATGTAGATCGTCTTTTCCCGGCTGAAAGCTCGTAGAACATGGTGCAGAATTTCAAACAAGCTTTCCTGCTCTGCCGCTGGTGGGGTAGAAAGGTGTTGTATTCTGTCAAACAGTTTCTTGCAAACATCCCGGTTTTCTCTCAATAGTTGCAACACTATGCTTTTCAGCATCACGACTACACCGGTCTCCGAATCTTCAATCCCTCGAGCGCCTTCGTCAATAAAGTGGTATAGTATATAGCAGTTTTCGGGCTCATTAAAATACTGGTAGAACTGAACCGCAACCGGAGAGAGCCAGCAGAGCCGAGGACTGGTATCATACGCATCATAGTTCTCTCCTTCAAGGAGTAGCAGGCATGAAGAGGAATTTGCCATCCATGACTTATATTCTGATCGCTCAGAGAGTGCATCAAGGCTAATCTGCTCAAGTTGTGGCGCTTTCCTCGCGAAGCCTGCTTTGGGCTTGGCCTTGCTAAACATGCCGTCGAACCTGCGATTGCTCTCTTGAATCATGTTTTCGGCACAGAGATCCGATGAGACACCAAACAGTCTTTCAAGATTGTCGATGCGTCGCTCGTGTCTTTCCTGTTCTTCCCTCTCCAAGTGACTTTTGATTGTCCTAATGTGATCATGCTGGATAATGAGAAGCTCTTGCATTAGGTCTGCAATAAGGGATCTAATTTCTCCTGCCTGCTTCTCTGACGTAGACTGGGCTGGTCGAGCCACGGCTTGAAAAAGTCTCTTTGAAGACGACGAGCTGTAATATAGTACTGCATCTCTGCCAAAATCTATCACCTTGATATAGATCTTCAGAACGAATTGAAGAATCGCGTCATTATCATATTCGGATTTTTCGATGGCTCGTAATCTGGACAGCCACTGGCCGAGATCTTCTAAAGTACTAGTGATCACATCTTCATGCTGTTGCTTCTTTTGTGCAACCGTGAGAAGCAGGCTAAAGGTGCCGTAAGCTATGGAACCAGCTCGTGAATCTATTCCTTTGATAATGTCACAAATTCCGGAGAATTCTTTAACGAACTTTTGTGTCCCATTTGCAAGCTTCTGGATGTTTGTCCCTAATTTTCTTCTTGGGGAGGATCGGCGGATGTCTTCCAGTCGAGCTCTTCTCCGCCCAGCTTGGGACAATATATTCTCCACAATTCTGTTGACGTACGCATGGTCTGATTTGTATATGTTCTTGAGAGAATCTGCGTCGATGTCGACTTCCCCAGGCTGGAGAATTAAATTGTCAAGATCGGTTGAGAATGAGGATGCGTGTGCCATTGTTGTACTATGCGAACACGATCAAATAGACAAATGTTCGACATATTTGTTGGAAAGCACACCTCATTCTAATACATAGGCGTCTAGGCAGGTGATGCTGCATTGGAAGCTCGGGAGAAGATCAATCTCTGCTCGCGCTAAAAGATGCACCGCCCTTTTCGGGGTTGCGCTCAGCCTTGTAAGTTTGGGGGATGTGTAACAGTACAATAGGAACTCTGTGACAGATTCGCATTAGCTACAGTGACACGTCAGACTTCCTGTTACTGACCCAATGACTTACCTTCTCTCATGGCTGCCCAACCTTACCACTCATACTGGTATCATGTCATGACTCCAATCCTGAACCCCTCGTACGCATAAGCAGGCTTCTAGTATATAAGATTCTTCTCTCTTCAAGCTTCAGTCTTTGTATATTAGCAATAGTACTATTGCTAATAAAGATCTGAAAGCACCAACGCTTCTGTCATATTGATAATTCCTCCTACCCAACCTCCTATTACAGGATGTCTCTTGATTGACAAGGCTAGAACATGCCAGGGAGGTTAGAGAACGCATTCAATACGCTAGCGCGAGGACACACCTTGACGCTGGGCATCATTAATCAAATTGCCTGGCCAGTCAGAACTTTCAGATCCCTATCAAAGGCGGCATAGCTTTTTTAGGAGGGGAAGCCAACCTCAATATGACTTAGGCTCTCAGCCTTGTGCGTGCGGAGAAGATACAATAACTTGAGGCTGTGCAAGATAATTGAAGACTGCCTGGATATGAGGAAAGTATAGAGGCAACGGAGACGATAAATTCAATCTGTAAGTCCAAAGAATGGTTTGCCCTCCTGTCTCTTTACAGTGCTGTGAGTACCCGATACGTTTTCCGCTCAGTAAATTTTCCTACATTTGAATACGACGAGTATTATATTTTAAGGCCCTGGATCGATTCAAAAGTGTGGTAAGAGTACATAACAATACAAGGAATTTCTGCTAATTCTTCAACAAGTAGAGCCGAGCCTTGCGAAAAGACTGTCTACAGCGAAAGCTACAAGCTTTAGGGATTCTGTCGTCGGGACTTGCATCCGCAAATTTCAAAATTTTCCAAGTTTCTTGCTAGGCTCACATATCCTGGAGGTACAGAACACAGAGAATTATGCAAATGGAACCTAAAGTTGAAAGCCCTCGAAGCGAAACTTCGGAAGAAGGAAAGGTTCTTCATGAGAATTCCTGGTTCCAGATCTGGGGGAACTTTCGGCACAAGAGTGATGACTATCGCGTCTTCAAAATTCTAGATCAAGATCTACAAGACTGCATCACCCAAACGACTTCCACATACATCGCTCATTCTGGGGAACGCCCAAGGTCAGATACAAAACTCAGTATCGAGTCACCTTTCAAGCTACTTGTTTACAACTATGATGACTTAGAATCTGCCGCAGTCTCGGCCTCTACTGCTTCAAATGTTGCCGAAGGTCTTACGTCTCTTCTCAACGAATTGAGCAAACTTCAGAATCCTGCATCATGGAAAATACCCGACGATATCGAAAACGCTCGAAACTTCCACATGGAATTTGATTCATTGTGGGCTATTTTCAAACCTGGAAGTCTGGTTGTTTCATCATGTGACCCTGATAAAAATCCCCAGATCTTTAAAGTCCACCAGGCTAGCTATAAAGTCACTCTTCCAAATGACTATCATTTCTTGGGCATAGGAGGTGTGAAAAAAAGAGTCCTTGTTATTCATGCTTGGGCCTGGGATTGGAACGGGACTGAAGTTTTCCGTAATATGTTCGAAATTCAAATAGAAACATACCCAGGCCAGAAGTCACCGACGGAACTTAGCTGCTACCCAGCCACATTGTACACAGGATCTGGAAACAAAAGAGGAATCAGCGCTGTCTACGAAAATGTGATCTACAAAGACCGCAAAGAAAACTTCGTCAAATACACCTTCCAGCAAAAGCCTCCCGCGAAAACGTTACTACAATACTCCGGCGAATTTCGTGGTATTCCTGCCTTCTTAGAGGAAAAACTGCTCCTTTTCATGCGTGGAGTGGATAGAGAAGGATATAAGCCTATACCTTACGCCAAGGTTTGTGACAATCATTGTCGATCATTTACCAAGTGCTAAGTGCCCATACAGGTTGATGAGGACATAGTACTAGACACAGGAAACTATTTGCGAAAAGCACTGCCTACCTTATCGCTTGGTGATATTCGAGTTGCTGAGGAGTCAATACCATGCCACTGTCAATTGTGTCTTAGCCCTGAGGCCAAATCATGGGTCAAATTCATCGAAAAAGGCAACGCACCGTCCTCCGTCGAAAATGAGCTGCTACTTACACCTAGAATTATGGGACTTGCCTTGAACAGGAAAGAATGGGGACAATTCTGGCTAAATAATATTAAGGTGATCAACAAATCGGAGGGTGTTGGCCGGGAGAACATGATAAAAGATCTTATCCTACCGGCTGGKATGAATGAAGACGAGGAACGACATATTTACGCAGTGGTCAACAATCATTCAAGGGCTATGGCTAGGCCACGAAACAAGAGACTGACGGATGTGATCGGAAGAAAAGGAGAGAGCCTGATCTTACTGTTTCATGGTATGTGTGTTCGTGAAAAATAGTTTCACAAAGTTTCGAGGTTTCTGGAAAATCATGTTACTGGGTAAAAAATCTGACGAGAAGTCCAGGATATAGCGGGACAGGAAAGACACTCTTTGCCGAGTCATTAGCTAAAAACTCAGGTAGACCTCTTTTCAAAGTGGGTACCAGTGACATTGGTTCCAATGCCCCTGTCGCAGAACGTACTCTGAAAACTATATTCGAACTCGCCGAAGCCTGGAATGCAGTCTTGCTTATGTGAGTGAAAAGAAAGCAAATACAGGGCGGGAAGAATACTGATTCATGTCACAGAGATGGAGCGGATGTCCTCTTAGACGCTAGAGGCAAGGAGAACGAAAGTCTTATGTCGAAGAATGCATTGGTGTCCGGTAAGAAAGACCGACTATATACTCATGTGGATGATATGGTGCTGACCGCATTGTTGTAGTTCTGCTTCGGGAAGTTGAATACTTTAAAGGTGTGTTAATCATGACGACCAACCGCGTGGTCGCCTTCGATCCGGCGATCCTGTCTCGTATTCATCATGCCGTCAACTTTGGAGAGCCTGATAGCAATCAGGAGGAGAGAATCTGGAACATGTGGTTGGATCGTCTGCATCATCAAGGTTTGTGTGATGACTACGCAGATCTGAAAAACTGGGTTGACGATACTATGAGCGACACCCGGCGACCTCATCTTCTCAGTGGGAGAGAAATTCGGAATATCTTCATGGTTGCACAGATTCTCGCCGATAAAGAGGATGGAGACGTCAAAATCACCCGATCCCAAGTTAATAGCGCATATAAGTACAAAACAATCTTTAGGCACGACACGGAGAAGATGAGGACGGAAGCCAAAGCTCTTTTGGCGGACAGAAAGCGATAGGACCTGGCGTAGGTTGAGGAAGGAGTGTGACCTGAAATTCATTCATCACTATCCGTATCCGCTTAAATGGTGCTTGTTAACTATTTCCTATGGATATTTGCGGAGTAGGATGCTTGAAAAGCTACCCGGAATCCGATGTTTGTATTTTTTCAGTGATTGCACTGGTTGGTAACTTGATAATGTGCGGGTGGTTTACCGATTACAGACCATGGCACAGATCATCGTCATTGAGGTCATTCCCTTTATGAATCAGATTATCCCGAACGGCTGGGAACGAGATTATGTCCAACCAAGGATTATGCGAAGCCACTTTTTTAAGGCAGTTAACTGTAGACTGGCTGGAATAACGTCCCTCAAGACAACTACGGAGGAAGTGCTAAAAATTGATATTAATGCGTCGGCGGATAGATATTCAGTGGTCATGCCTCTGCTTCCCGCAGCAAGTCTTCAATTCCATAGCTATGCATCAAAGCAGCCCAAGCTGCAGGAGTGTTTCCGCTCGGATCTTTATAAGATGCATCAGCGCCATGCTCTAGCAAGAGTTTCACCAGATCGTCATCGTCTCGCGAAGCTGCAATATGCAAGATGCCTATACCCTTGTAGTTTGCCTTGGAGATATCTGTACCGTGACTAAGGAGAAGTTTGAGCATAGAGATGTTTGAATCTAGATTCTCATCGTGCTCTTCAGAGTCGATTACGTGTCTATCAAGCCATTCAATGCCATATTCCGTGAAGTATTTGACAATGTCTTTCAATGCAATGCTTGATCCAGCACTTAGCACAAGAGTTGGATGTGTGCCATCATTCTCGACGAGAGAAACGTCGGCTCCAGCATCAAGCAGAAGCTTCGTGGTTTCCTCATCCTGTGCGTAAATTGCTATCATCAGAGGTGTTCGCCCTTTCTTATCTTTCGCGTTGATCTCCGCACCAGCCGCAATGAGTTGTTGACATAAACTCGGTGATTTATGTCGCGCTGCTACACATAGAGCGGTTTCACCTCTGTTATTCCGCGGCGTTATAACATCCACCCCTTCTTTCAGGAGCAGTCTGACTATGTCTTCGCTTCCCTTTTCCAGGGCGAGCAGTAAAGGAGGATCCATTCGGTCTCTCAATGACTTGTTGAATTCACAACCCGCAAGAATCAGTTTCCTCACAATGCCAGTATGCTTACCGATAATTGCTCTAGTCAATGCAGATGACCATTGATTGTTGCAGTAGTCCACCTCCGCACCGGCATCAAGAAAGAAATCTACAAGCCCGGAATTGCCGCGTGTCACTGCTACCATCAGCGGTGTCACTTGAAAAGGTGTGTAGACGGCGTTGACATCTGCTCCGTGGTCAACGAGCAATTTGGCAACTGCGGGGTCTCTGACTCGACTTAATGTATTTCCTGACGGCAATACCGCACTGGCATCTGCCCCCGACTGTATAAGGAGATTTACGGTATCAGCGTTGGCATGCTGAGCTGCACTGAAGATAATTGGTATGCCCGAAGGATCCTTCCAAGACACATCTGCTCCGTGTTTGACCAGCAACGCAATCACAGCATTGTTACCTGGTTGGCTAGTAGCAATCCAAAGAGGGGAGGTTCCTTTTGGTGGATTAACGTCAGCACCAGCCTCGATAAAGGATCGACAAAGCTCATAATGTTTGTTTCGCGCAGCCAATCCGAGTGGTGTTAAATTGTGAAATGAGTGTAGGGTATCCCAATCACCCAGTATCTGTATGAGTTTTTTAATCTGGGGAATGTGCGTCCATCCTACCCGAGCAATTGAATGCAAGATGTTGCCCCCTAGCCCATCATTGTCGATGTTATGTCGGCGGATGACGCCCACTGGAAAGTTTGGGTCTTCGATGAGATTCAACATGTCATCGATACTGAGGTGGTCCAGAATCATATGGAGCAGCTCCACGGGGAGATTGTAGAGATATATCCGTCCAGCCATTGCAAAATAAACGATTAAAACTCTACGTTCAGACTACAGCTTCTATAAAACAACTTTCCGAACACGTATATCGGGAGCACCACCTTTTCAATTTCCTGATCCCCACATTCTCTTGGCATAAATTTCCAGCTGTAGCTAGGGTCAACTAGGGTTATCGAACTTGCTGCATCTCAGTCAGGTGTGAATCATAGCCAAGATTCTACTTTATTAACATGTCTTAGAAATCATGGAGGAAACAATCAGCAACATATCACTTCGCCATCCTGGCAAGAGGTTTCTAATTTGGTTGGGCTTGCGGCTCATCGCTACCTACTATTTTCCAGAAACAGGCTTCCAAAACTAGTATCAAGCCTACAACTTAAGAAAGAAGCAAAATTGGTGTCAGCAATCAGCATCCTCTCAATCGGCCACGGGTCTGTAAGTCTCGCCCTTTCTCTTCACTCTTTTCCGGGTGGACGTGAATGTGTTGACTGACTGAGATTGAGGAAGCGATTAGGAGGAGTGACCGAGGTTTTAGTTTTGGGGAGCCAGCAGCCAGAACGCGAGGGTGCGAGGGATGATGGTGGAGGATCTTGTGGCTTGTATCGATGAAAATAATCAATCAGAAGGAGAGTATAAGTAGTATTCTAAACAGGTCGACGATACAATCTACGCGGATATGAGTACATGAAAGAATTAATCTACATGTTCACAATCTACTAAGTGAAGCTCCAAATAAGGATTAATTGATTGATTTGAAATCTATCGTTTCTAATATGTAGTCTAACAAGAAGCCCAAATATGTAACAAGAGCAAAACACCAGTAAATATGTTCACATGAAGCACGACTAAAGAAAAGAAAAAGTGAGTTTGCGGTAGTATGTTTTGGAATTAAAGGAGAATGGTGAAGAGAACGTTGAGGTTGTCGATTGCAAGAAGACGGGAAATGAAAGGCGCGGATTGCGAACTCTTTCTATTATGACGCGGGGAGATAAAGAAAAGAAAAAAAGATGAAAAGAAAGATGAAAAAATTAAGAAGATCCAGCAAACTTCTTGCCCTTGGGCACACGAGCCAACCAATAAATCAAGGTGGCACCGGCAATATTAACGATAATATACACCCAGATGATACCGAAATTGCGCCATGCTTGCGAAAAGTACGTGTTGATCGAAGCAAGAAAAGTGTCGGTGCTGGCGATGGTGCAGTACTGGCAGTTGGATGTGGCATTAGGCTCGAAAAGGTAGCCACCCGCTGCGTTGATATATCCGGACATATAGTCAAGACATGTGGAATATCCAGGAGCAGGGTCGAATGTGACATACTCAACAGGCGCACATTCGACATTCGTGCCAGAAAGACCAGTGGACAACATACCTTGTACCAGATATGTAAATGGCGAGACGCGGTACATGAAGATCCAAAATCCAGGCATGGCCTGAGGGGTAGCAAGGACACCGCAGAAAATCAAGCAGAGCGAAAAGAGTAGCGTGACAATGTTACCAGCTGTTTCGGCAGTCTCGATACTAGCGACAACCAAATGCGCGGTAGTCGAGGTCAGGAGCAAGAATACCCAGATTAACAAGAACATGAGACCACCTCGCTCGTGGACACTATCAGTGGGTTTGGCGTTGTTGTACATTCCAATCGGGTAGTACCAGCAGAGAAACATCAGCACGGCCATGAGCGTGTTCCAAGGCAATTCGACAAAGATATTGCTAATCATGAAAGCTTGCCAGGAGTAGGTCTTTGCAGGCCGTTCACGCACTTCGTAAAGAGCACGTTGAGTGACGAACAGGGGCATGATTTGTTGACACAAGTTACCAAAGACAGTCATCAACATGAAAACACTGTACATTTGATTCTGGAGACCCTGAATAGTGTTCTTTGCGTGAAAGAATGAGAATCCAACGTAAAGAGCACTTAACACGGTGAGAGCCAACTTGGAATAGATGTAGATGGGTGTACGGTTGTACTGCGAGAAAACTCGCTTCATAGTTTCCCACAGCTGGACACGGAAAGGAGCAGCGTATTCGCGGAAAGCACCAGGGTCGTTGGATTGAGGAGCTGGTTCCTTGATGGAGAGAGTTGCCTTTAACTCAGCAAGGTGTTCCTTCACTCCAGTATGCTCAGGACTCTTGCGCCAAACTGCGGGCCAGTCGATCTCTGTATGCGAACCTGGAGCTGCACCAATAACTTCAAGCATCCATTCAGCAGGGTTTTCCCCCTGAGACAAAGGAGTCGCGCCATTTCTCTCGAAATAATCGGACAGGATCTTTGAGTTCTCACCAATATCCCCAAAGTAAATCGTCTTTCCACCCTTGGCCAAGAAAAGAAGTCGGTCGAATCGCTGGAACAACATGGCGGAGGGCTGGTGGATGGTGCAGAGAATAGCTTGTCCGTGGCGTGTCAAGGTATCAATCAAATCAAGAATAGACCAGGACGTCTGACTGTCAAGACCGGAAGTAGGCTCATCCAAAAACAAAAGTAGTTGGGGTCGTGCAGCTAGCTCGACACCTATGGTAAGTCGCTTACGTTGCTCAACGTTCAACCCTTCTCCCGGAACACCAACGACAGCATCTGCATAAGCCTCCATATCAAGAAGCTTGATCACCTCATCAACATAGTCGAGTTTTTCCTTGCGACTCAGATGTCCGGGTTGACGTAACAAGGCACTAAATTGGAGGGCCTCACGAACGGTGGATGTAGGCAAGTGAACATCCTGCTGCTGGACATAACCGGTTTTGCGCTGGAAGGATTGATCCCGTGGTCGACCATCAACAAGCATTTCTCCAGAAACAACTCCCATGGTAACTCGAGTAGCCAACACATCCAACAATGTAGTTTTACCCGCACCAGATACACCCATCAATGCCGTGCATGTGCCAGGCTTGACCCAACCGTCAACATGATCGAGAATTTGTCGAGTTTCGCTCTTGATCTTGACCTCGTAGCACACATCTTGCCAGTGAAAAATAGCCGTTTGTCTTTGAATCTGGACATCTCTAGTTGGAGTCGCAGTGCCAGCGTTTGCAGTTGATGCGGCTCCGGGAGTGGTGTATCCGCTAGCTTTCTTTTCAGAGACAGCGCCAACTGAAGACTCCAAATCGGTAGAGCTGCCGGGGAAGGAGAGGTTTGCTGGTTTGTGTCCACGACGGAAGAGCAGAACTTCACCCTTTGATCTGACCTCCGAAATATACTCGGTAGCAAGCAGGTAGATTGCGCCGAGACCCGCCATGAAAACAAACAGAATACCCAAGTTCCTCCATTCATGACCCTTGACATAGGCAAAGCTTTCCTCAAGGTACAATGATCCCTGGACAGTGCTGGAACCAGCGGCGGCACCTACGGTGCTACAACTCCTATATTGCATGGAGACGCTGTCATACACACCTCCAGAAGGAACGATAGCCGAACAAGCGAACTCGCGGTCGGCGAACTCATTGACCAAAAAGCTCTCAAAGGAGTAAGCAATAGGATTGATGTAGTTCATCCAACGAGACCATCCAAGCATATACTTGGTCGGAATAACGAAGCCGGTATAGATGACCATACCAAGAATCAAAACGGCCGCAGGGACGAGTGCTTGCGACAAAGAGCGAGACGTCGCCGCAAGAGTTCGGAAAAGCATGGACATGGTATAGGTGGTAACGACGGAGAAAAGCCAGAAAGTCCACCAGGCGTCTGCAGTTCGGCGGAGGTTGGTCATGAAGTAGAGCGGAAGGTTGAAGGTGAAGGAGTTGATAATCTTGTATGGCGAATCACAGAGCATAGACGCGATAGCCTCCGTGAATGGGTGGTAAAAAGCGTAACGGGCTTGTTTTTCGACAATAGGACGTTGAGCGTATAATGTCAAGATTTCGAGAGCGCTGGAAAAACCACTGAGAAGGACGGCATAGAACAACAGGGCTCCACGTCCATAGAAACTTGCGGTGTCCTCGCCAAGATCGTAGAAGACAGACGCCACAATCAGAGCAATGATGAAGTTTCCGATCAAACCACTGAGAGTCAGACTGGCATCACCCTTGAGACGTAGGAAGCCTCGGTGGGTGCAAAGGGCAACCTGGTCCCAAACTGAGATGGTGTATGGAGACATGGTGCGCTGGCGTTTTGACTGCGCAGCACGGCGAGCATCAATGAAGGCATCACGCGATGAACCCCCAAGAGGATATTGCGATTCAAATTGTTCAATCTCTCGCATAAGCTTGGCTCGTGCCTCGCTGTTTTTCCAGGCGGTAACAAATTGATCAGGGGTTTCCGGAACGCGACCTTCAAATCCAGGGCGGACCCTGCGCTCTTGAGGGCTGGTAAGAGAGGTCAGGAAATCAGCAGTTGTCTGACGTTCAGGGCATTCGAATCCCATGTCGACAAAGAATTGCTTGGCCTCGGTGGCTCCTCCGAAATAGATCTGTCGCCCTTCGTAAAGCACAGTCACCTTGTCGAAGCAGTCGTACGCACTTTGAGAAGCTTGATAGATGGCGACGCAGGCAGTCGTGGATGCATACTTGCTCATAAGAGCCAGATTCTTACAGAATTCCAAAGCGTTTGCACTGTCGAGACCTCGAGTACTATTGTCCCAGCATTGCAGGGGGGCCTGACTCAAAGTAGCCTCAGCGATACTGACACGCTTTCGCTCACCACCACTAACACCACGAACGAAGTCGTTACCAACACGAGTGTTGATTGTATGTGAAAGACCAAGCATTGCCATGATCACATCTCTCATATGTGTAGCGTGCTGATCACGAGTGACACCCTTGAAGCGGTTTCGGGGCGATCTTGCGAGAGCAGCGAACTTAAGCGTATCGCCGACAGTGAGTTGGGGGAAGTGGACGTCAGTCTCGGCGGTGTAGATGGCTTCACCTTTGAAATTGTTGTGCATTTCCTTGACGGGGACACCTACAACACGTTAGACTGGGTGTCATTACGAGATTTCACGAGACAAATACCTTGATAGTTCACCACGGCGTCCTCCGACATGTTGATACCGTTCATCTCACCAGCAATGGTCTTCAACAAAGTTGTGCAACCACTACCGGGCCTTCCAAGCACAACTAACATTTCACCACTCTTAACCAGGCCTTCAAAGTCGCGCAGAATCTGGACCTTGTGCATCTTGGCGCCGACAGCTCTTCGAACTAGTGTTCCAATTTCAAGCACCGAGTTAAGGACATTCTTTTGGTAGTCTGTAGGAGAACCAAAACCGTGAACACTCAGGTTGCGAAACGAGATTCCAGCCTGTTTTTGTGGGAAATTGACGGGATCTTCTGATCTCAGCTCAAACAGCATCTTGATCCAATCCCTCGCTCGGAAGTTGGGGCTGTGCGGGTTGAGACTTGACTCGGGGTCATCTATGACAAATGGATTCTGGAGACCTCCTTTGGCTGCGAAACGAGTGGATTGGCGTGTCAACTGTCGAGCGAGTTCGCCGACCTGGGCGTCAACGATTTCATCGCGCTCCATCAGGGTCTCGTCGGAGCTTCTCTTTTCCAGGTCTTGTGCGGCGTCGGCAGCGACGTCGTTGGCCGTCAGTCCGTGCCCTTGAGTAGCATTGTTGTGACTGACTACGGCCTGCGATTGCGGGGTGTTGGGGTTGATAGCGAACGACATTGTGTGTTCCTCCCCGGATGGCAATTGATCTTGTGAATCGGCCACTCTTGTGTTATTTCTTGTCTTATTCCCGTTAAGGTCGATTGGTTTGATTACCCCCTCGCGGATAACTTATTACCTACGAAGGTAATTATGAGATATTGACAACCAGCTGCAGTAAAGGCACCTGCAATAGTCAGCGTGCTGGAGGGGTATAACATGCAAGAAGTCAAAATACACGCGACTCACACGAGCGCTGGCTACAATATATACGGGCGGGTACGTCAACACGGAAGGAGGGACTGGGCCTTCCGAGAGTAAGACTAAGAGTAAGGAACTCTCAAACAAAGTTTTAAACCCAGCTAACCTGAATCATGAGCTAGCCTTCTCCGTGTTTGGTTCGCAGTCAAATCGAGCAGGCAAAAAAAGGAGAAACGAGGTTAGACTGAGAAAATCAGCCAATCGGGTGGATGGATTCTGTAACCGAGCAAGATGATCTGGAAGCCGTGATGGAACCACACTGCCACAAGTCGTCAGTCAAGGTTTGTTTTCCTTGTGAGACGTGATCGGACGAAATTCGTTCGATACAAATTGGATCTATGATTCACCGTGAGTCGATCTGCGTAACGGTGTCACGGAAAATACACGGATGTCATTGCAGGGTCGTGGGGTAATGCTGCTAGGTATGATACATGCGAATGTAATGCTTAAATACGCTCATCCGAACCCGAGCGTATCGACTCCACGACCGCAGTGGTTGTACCTTTTAGGAAAGTGCACTAACTTACAAAGGTACAAACTGACTAAGGAATTTACAGTATCAAACTAACCAACCCAGAGAAGAAAGAACGTTATCAGCGCTGATTCGTGGGGGCCTCACAATGAGTCAAGCTGAGTCCTGTCCGTGTAGTCCGATACGGCCTCGATACGCCCCGGATACAGGCCACCCCGAGCTCCCGAGAACGACAAGTGTAGCATGATTGGCCGAAATGTGCTCGCCACGCGTACTATGTACTTAATTGTAACTGCACAAAACACGTGCAATGCATGCATACATAGTAGGATTATGAATTGCATATGCTGCACACTCGCGAATATCTCGCCTTTCCATGTCTGCAGTGACAGTTTTCGATGTGTGCATTAATCAACGGTTGCATGCGTCATCTCCAAGTACGACTACGTATCTACACACCACGGAGAACTAAGATATGTTTCCGTCGGCGTCAATCCTCCTGATCAGTATTATGCAGATCCCTAGTCCGAATTGAACTCCCTTAGGAATCCTAGGCTGCCGACTGAATGTTTGAGATTAGTAGATGCTTGGTTGGCACGGAAGAGACGAAACACGGAGTTTCATACAGTGATATCTCAATTATTGTAACCAACAGATAAAGACTGTAGTTATTGCGCCTCGTGTGCACGGAGAAGTTAATAACTTAATATGAATCTCGTATTAAGTAAGACCGGAGGACGGAATTTCTCGTGAAGCCGCACGTCTGATTGGGTCTTCAGTCTATTTCAGGCCCACTGGACGGATGCCTTATGAGAGTCAATGCTCGTCTTGGCGTCCGGCATCCGGCAGCTGGCTGTTCCGTAAGAATAGAGATGCCTGTATCACATCTCTCGAGGTGATGCAATTCGCCAGCTGCGTGCCTATCAAATATGATATCAAATATGATATGCAGATCAATAGCATTTCGTCCGGAGAAAATATCTCCAGGTTCTCTCTATTCGCCGTTGTTAGTCCGGCCGTACGCGAGGCCTCCTATCGAACACCTCTCAGATAAGCCTGTTGTCGTTCGACTACTAACACAGCATTCAAAGCAGGCCTCGAAATAAATGGTCCGTTCAAGGTTGCGTCCATTAATCCTACCGTCCAGTACGGACYATCAACGTAGTATGGTGTTGAAAGTAGGAAAGCCGGCGTACCAACATTCTTAGGGTCTATTCTCCGAGCAAAGAGAGCCACTAATGCGATCAGTATAAGGACCTTGGAGAATAATGTCTTACATTCAGAAAGTGAGTACTTATAATGCAAAGATCCTAGCTCGGGGAAGTACAATTCTGAAGATAGAACCACAGAAGGTGTGTCTTCATCAAACAATGAAGAACGAATCAGCTTCATCCGGCAGATCCAGCCCAGCATGATTGATAATCGGATTATCTGACAGACAAAAGTCAGAATGGAGCCAACTCCGCGGGACTCGGCCTCGGCTTCACACTCTTTGTGCCCTGATTGGTGCTGCTCCTTATATCCGACAATCAGATAACGACAACCCTCTCTCATTGGCTTAAGACGGCCAACTCGGCCGATCTGATAACTCCGCACCGCAAAACCCCGACACCGGAAGATCACGTGATGCGATTTCACAGTTTGAACGTCACCGATGGAACTTCAACTTTTCTAATCAATCGTTCGCCACAACTTCTTACTCGTACAACCCTTGGTCTATTATCAATCAATCTTCCATCATCACATCACACACTACAATATGAATCCAGTTCGAAACATTATCCGCTCAGGACAGTTGCTCTCAGCTGCACGACCGGCTTTGCGGTCGCCGGCTGTTCCAGTTTTGGCGGTTGCTGCTCGCCGAGGTTATCATGAAAAAGATATGTCCAACCTTTTGCGAAGGTAGATGACGTTGAGGAAAGTACTGACAAACTCAAACTGCTAGATCATTATACGAATCCTAGGAATGGTTAGTACGATTATTTCATTGTTTTGTCGGTCGCATTGTTTTCCCCGCGCTCGTGCAAGGAGGTTGTGAAGGATATTGTACTGTCGGGGGTGCACCAGGCCATTGCCGACCGGATCAGAACTCGTTCAAGCGATGGCATCGTCGAAATCACTAGATTCTTGGGATATGGAAAACGAATTTCAACACGGGACTTCTCAACGGACGTCCATTTGTCGCAACGGCTTATGACGATCTCGGCATATCTATTCGGTTCATTCGATCAATCAGCTTATGGCGCGTTCATCGCCTTCTTCAAACTTAGTTGTGAAATGGAGATCTTCAATTCTATTATGTGCGCCTACGCGGGTTACAAATCTTCTCGATACACCTACACCAAAAATACGAGACGAGAATTCGACAATGGCATGGTGTACTCTGTGGACAATACGCTGACTGGATTTGCGCTCCTAATGCGTTTCGACGCTTTTTCGGGAAGCTCTTTTATGATTTTACGACGATTGCACATTCTTTTTTTTTTTTTTTCGTGATGAATTGTCATGAGGTATGCTAACTTAAATTTAGTGGGCTCTTTGGACCGCAAGTACGTTTTGATACGATCACTGTCGACATGAACCAGCCTAACCCTGTTACAGGTCTGTAGATGTTGGATCTGGCCTCGTTGGAGCTCCTGCAGTACGTATCTCATATTTGCCATTTATCCAAACCCTGCTAACCAATACTATCTAGTGCGGTGACGTCGTACGTTTCACACTTCTCTCCCAGTCGTCTTAATTCTAACAAAACAGATCCGTCTCGACATCCAAGTCGACGAAAAGACCGGCAAAATCGTCAAATCGGCCTTCAAGACATTCGGATGCGGTAGCGCAATCGCCTCTAGCTCATATCTCACCACACTCCTAGCCGGAAAAACCTGTTCGTCTCCCTCCCTCTTCGCCCTCTCTTCAAATCTAAAACAAACAACTGACTTGTGTTGGTGATGGTGCAGTGGAAGAAGCCGGCAAAATCCAAAACACGCAAATCGCAAATGAGCTTTGCTTGCCACCAGTCAAACTTCACTGCTCTCTATTGGCGGAAGACGCCATCAAAGCCGCTATTAAGAATTATCAGTCGAAGCGACCGGCGGCCGCAGCTACGAATTTGGCGGATACGAGTAAGGCGTTTGAGAGTGTTGCGCAGGCTTAAGTTGTTCCTTGAACAGGGGATGGAACGAAAGAAAGAAAAAGAAGAGAAATAGGGAAAATAATGATTGATATTTTATGAGGAGTTATAAATGTCTTTCATCTTACACGAGTGAAGGAGGGCTTTTGCAGTGAGGTCAGGCAATTTCACAAGAATGATTTCAATGGCCTGGCTCCGTCTCTTACCTTTACTTTTCATCTTGCGTACGCGTTTCTCAGATCAAATCGCCGAAACATCTGAATGATACCTCTCCTCACAAATGATCATTTATCTTGTGTATGTTATGTATAAAGCAAAATCCAGATATATTATTGCGCTGCAATTTCTTCTTTACATCAACTCTGCCTACGTAGCTAGATATACAAAATAAGCTGTTCAGTAGATGATGGTTCAACCATTAATAAGCCCAGCCAAAGCCTCATTAAACCTCCCTCCCTGCACACCGCTCTCATCCACGATCTTGTCTAGAGCAGCTAACTCCGCTTCACTGAGCTGTATCTCTGCGCTATTCTCTTCGACTCTAGCAACGGTCGTACAGCCCGGTATCACCACCATCCCATCCAACAACCCAATCCTGCGCCGTTGGGCAAGGACCCATGCAATAGCGACTTGCGCCGTAGTCACACCACCTGCACTGCGAGCCCTAGCGATTTTGCGTACTTCATCAGCGACACGCATATTCGCCTCGAATGCGCCGGGCTGGAAACGGGGTTGATGGCGACGGAATTCATTTTCGTTCAGGTCGGAGAGTTTTGTGAAGCGATCAGACAAGAAGCCGCAGCCGAGAGGGGAGTATGCGACGATGGGGATGCTGAGGTCCGCGCATGTCGACGCAATTCCGTTTTGGAGGATGTCGGGCGTGAACAGCGATAGCTCGAGTTCGACGGCGGCGAGAGGGTGAACTGCGTGCGCGCGACGGATTGTTGCGGAGCCGGCTTCGCTGAGGCCGATGCCACCTATTTTGCCTGCTTGGACGTATTCGGCAAGAGTTTCGATGGTCTGCTCGATTGGGGTTTTGGGGTCGATGCGAGCTGGCTCGAAGATGTGGATGGGTACTCGGCCCTGGAGAATGGAGAGGCAGTTGTCGACGCTCTTGCGGACGCCTGAGGGACTATTATCGACCCCACCGGCTATGAGCGAGAAGCAGCCTTTGATGCTGAGTGTTACTTTATCGGCGTCTTCAGGGTATTTGCGAAAATAGTACTCTAGCAAATGCAGGGAGTTGCGTTCAGGGGGTCCGTAGAATTCGCCGCCGTTCCAGAACGTGGCGCCTAGTTCGAGGGCGCGTTTCATTACTTTGACGGATTCATCGAAAGATGGGGAGCTGGGCCGAGAGGTGAGACCTGAGATGTGTTAGTTCTCAGAAGCAGGTCGTTGTTGTTCAGAATTCAAGGGTTCTAGGTTATTATTCACGTACCCATTAGACCGAAGCCGATTGGATTCACTTTTCGGTTGACAATTGTGGCTGACATGATTTTCGATTGATTATTGTATATTCAACAGAATGATATTAAAGATGCGGAGTTGTGAATGGAGTATTGAGTTGTGATCTGACTGACTGTTTGATCAAGATGAATCCACGGAAACAGGAGGTTTATATACTTCTCTGTGACTCGAGACGTGCACAAAGTCATATTCTTTGCCGGTCATTAGAAATATAAGTCCGATCCAACTTTCCCAACATCATCGTGGACGTAAATGATAGTACGAACGTCATACCGGGCAGGCGATATGAACAAAATGCAGCTGGCGCGAAATCGTACAGATCAAGCTTGGTTCCCGGTTATAAGAAGCGTAATTCCGTCTTGAACCTTGTATAGTGTATAGACCCCTGTGATCCAAATGGCGGTACCATATTTTTTCATCTAGGCTGGCGCTTGAGGAAGTATCTCGAGTGAAGTTCATAGATCAGGCTCCAACCAGACAGCTGGATTCCGGGTAACGCTAGAGGTAGCTTCCGACCTGGCCAGTCGGGTTGGATCCTCGTTTAGACTCCAAGAGAACTCCGTAGATGCAGATGACATTACCACCATCTGATCTTCAATCCGGAAGAACAACAAGAGAAGCTTGGGGGTAGAAAAGAGTAGAATTTAGATCGCGCCTTTGACCAATCACACAACTGGGCTTCGAATACGCGCTAATAGTAGTTTCCGATCCAACCAATAATATCACGTCTGACGTCTCCACATCATGATGAACTTCCTTGTAGTTGACTGCCAGGACGTCTTTATTTCCGATGGAGGGTGTGAAAACCATAAATCTGCTCGGAAATAGAATAGAAGCCCCAGGAGATAAATTTCCAACAGCCGAAACCCAACCCAATGGCTAATAATCTAGCAGACGGCTGTACGGCTCGAAACGAAGTGCTCGGTCGAGACATGGGCCAGCCTTGTCCAAGAATTCGTTTTCCAGTACAAAAGGGAGACGGACTGGTAGCGGCCATTGCGGTACGAGTGGATAGTATGGAAAATTGGACACCATAAGGTGGAATATATCTCGGTCTTGGCTTATTGGGGGACTCATACCATGGAGTCTGATACGTGACGCTTCTGCAGGAAAGCCAAACGTGGCTTCTTCGTTCCCATCCTCCTGCTCCAGATGGCTTGACTTCTCCACATCTATGACTTTCTCTGCAATATCAGCCAGAAGTTCCCCTTCTAGGCCACATCGACGTAGGTCATCAACTGCCATACGCCGAAGATAACCCACACGGCAACGAGTAGCCACAAAGAACAGAAGAGGTATCAGCTCTTCCTGCGTCATGGATATTAGAATGCTCTTTCTGAACATGATCGAGTCAAAGACCACTCTGTTGTTGTCGAAAATGGTTTCTTGTCCCATATCTTTGGCTTGATTCATGAATGCAAGGCAGGATTGATATAGGCGGAGGATGTGGCAATTGACCCTGTCATTAATGGTAAAGGTTTTGGCTGAGTAGGTTGACATCATGCGATTGAAAGCTTCAAGCCAGTGATTCAGTAATAGAGCCAGACGGGAAGAGACAAGAAATGTGGTGTGCCAGATGTGTTGTGTATTGTGCGAGGAATTTGCCTCTGTCGCAACACAGATGGCTGCAAGTCCAGCCAAATATCTGCTGGCGTCGTCCATGTTCGCAAATTCAGGCAATGTCGAGTTGATGTCATCGACGCTGAACGATGGATCCTGGTAAGGTTCCCAGCATAAACGCTTCCGAGATTCTCTGTAGCTTTCCACCTCTTGTTCCGTAAATCCAGATAGAGGTATGCGAGCAATTGGGTTCAAAGCCCGTGACTCCAGCACAGCTACGTGCGTTTCCAGTCCCTTGTAAACCTGCAGCAACTGTGCGAGAAGTGGGTTCCACCCCGATGATGCCTTAATCGCAGCCAAATTATCGCTACGTGTTGGTGACTTTCGCTTGTGAATATGTTTCGAAATAATGTCTCTGCCAGCCACGATATGCTGGATAGCTGGATAGCAATTTCCCTGGAGTTCTTCAAAAAGACAAAAAATCAGACATGCTAATAGCACGATATTCACGTCTGGATCTGGACTTTTGGTTAAATATTGTAGTGCTTTGCCGTAGTGGTGATAAATCATTTGCTGGTTTGGTTCCTCTGGTATCATAGTCTGGTCAAAGGTACGTGCTTGAGTGCTAAGCAGGTGGCCAACGGCGAGGATAATGTGCTGAATAGCAGCCTCGGCATGGCTCATTTGCAATATATAAGTATTCCACAGTTCAGTACTTGCGAAATTTGTCAGCATAGGCACGAAATTCATAAACTGCTGAAAAGCTCGATGGTCCTCTTCCGTTCTCAAGTGTTGAGTTACTGGAACGGCAAGCAGCAACACAGGACGGCGGGCTCTCGTCAGAGACTGTGTAGGATAGCCGTCGCAAATACGTCCAGTTGAGAGACATTTCTGACATTGTGGTTTCTGCTCATCGCATTTGACTTTGCGTATTCTTATTGATCATTAGCCATTTATTACCCCTATGTTGTCTCTCAAGTTCCGGTCGACTCTCGAGACCACTCAAAATCAATATATGTTGCGCCTGGCACATACTTGCAAGTAAAACAACCAAGAGCCGACTTGCGTCTCTTCTGGTGGTCCATTACCAACGGGGACATGTCTTCAGAGATTGAGCACCCAGGCCCGAAAGTCCTGAGCAGACTACGTAGAAAAAGATTGAATATCGACAGAAGTTGAGTTGAGGATGGACGAAAGCTGGCGGAAAGTGCGATAAGGCCGAAGCGATAAGATAAGCGATAAGCTTGTCTACTGAAGACTCTCTGTTCATCCGTAAATAATTCTCTTTGACCTTGTAGACCTCGACGCGCTCGAAGACATCTTTCAAAGTTCAAGAGACCGATAACACTTTTCATTCACCTACCTTGAATATCTTTATCGAAAAAACCAATTTTTACTACGGATCCTTAGAGCTCTCCGACCGTTTTCCATCAGCCGAGAGATTTCGACGCGTCAGTTTCGCGTCCGACACAACACCACGAATTATTTCACGAAGCTGCCAGATTGGCTTCGAAGAACACACTGATATCAAATATATATATGGTATTGGAATTAGTGGCGAAAATGTCGGACAACAATCAAGAGGAAATCCAAGCGCTGGAAGAGGTACATATCCCAGAATCGAAACAACACCTGGCTACGGCACAAATGTCCTAACATTACCAATTGTTCGCTTGTAGCGATTTAAATCTGCTCTATGGCTCGCTATCGGCAAAATTGTCGATGAAGAAACCATGCAATTAGGCGTCAATGCTACCCCCCAATTTATCGGAGCGTTGACGGAGATGGTATGGGCACAGATTGGTTAGTCATTCAGTCAGATATACGGCTTGTCACGAAGCCAGCTAGCTCACATTCTTCGCATGGATACAGAATCAGTCAGCCAGGACTTGGAAGCATTCGCCAAGTATACCTCCCTGCCTTCCCGAAAAAAGCTCCTCGATTCTCAACGCATCGGTCGAATGATGACTAACTCTATGACATCTTAGACACGCCGGCCGATCTACAATCAACATCAATGATGTGATGCTTCTAGCGCGACGCAATGAAGGTCTAGAATCCATACTAAAAGCTTTCGTTGATCAGCAGAAAGAAGCGGCCCAGCAAGGATCACAAGCCGAGGACAGCGATTGAGGGGGACCCGGCTTGCGTCACTCAGCATGATTAGAAGTGGAAAAATCATCACAACATAAACGATCAGATCTGATAAGTGGGGAGCTCATCGACCCACAGAATCTTGACAGGCCGGATGGGGTCCCACGGCAACAGGTCTGTTGCAGTGTTGCGGCATTATGATTGACTGGATCTACCGTATTTTTCCTGGAGCGCGAGTCGCGGGATGATCGGTCTCGATGATTTGATTAGAGCCTTCAAAGGACTATTTTTGTGGAGAGATGGTCATGGGACAGTGATTGGCGGGTAGGATGCCGTTCGCCACAGTAGCGTGAGGAGATTGCGAAACCGAAAAACCGGTTACAGCTCGCTTTTTTCTTGAGCTAGGGTTGATCGTTAATAAGGATGTATTATCCCCCCATTCCTTGTCCTATGAACCAAGGAAAATTGGATATGAGAAGGTCCCGCTAAAAAAGCCAGAGACAAAGGATAACTCATCCGCTTTTTGTGTTGCCACAGTGTGATACCGAGAACATGGTATATAAGCTTGGAGTACCGACAATGGATCGCAATAAATGGAAGGCTTTGATAGATTTTAGTCTTAATAGAATAAATCCACAACAGTTCAGACAGCAGAATCGCCGTTCATAACAATTGACATTTCCGCTATGCCTCGACTTCCACGAAATATTCCCAGAAACCCGTCGCCCTGGCTCAAAGAGCCTTTGGCTACAATCAAGGAAATAGAGATTCCGACATGTCGTGACGGATGGGTTACTGTAAGTTTCGCTCTATCTCTTTCGTGGTTCATTGCGGTGGTCTTACCAGATCTTGGCTCTCAAAATAGGTCACCAATTGATATATTTTCTTGTGCGAAATTCAGATAAAACCGACATATTACACTGAGTCCATTAAGAGTCCATATTTTGCCGGCAACGATCGGTCGAAAGAGCATGATTGCCATAATCGGCAATATTCAACGCGAGCTAAAAATGACCCGGCCTTTGAATCTTTGAAAGGAACGAGACACGTGAATTGCGAAATGTCCGGCATCGTTCAGGATGTTGGGTTGGGCGTGTCACGGTTCGTGAAGGGACAGGGCGTCGTTCTGATGCCATTGCAATCGGAATATGATCTTCGAGACTTTGAGCATGGAAACCGCCAGCGCTTTATAGAAGATGGTTTGATGGATTCGAAAGGTATGCTTATCGCTCTTCTAAATCACTAGCAACGTCTAACACTGCTATTGCACAGTTTTTTTTTCTGCTCCCTCGTCATATCTGTACCCTCTCCCGGCGTCGATCTCTCTGCAAAGCGCCACATATCTCGGAGCACTCGCAACAGCCTACCATGCTTTACTACGAACTTCTCCGTTTCGCTCTCTGGACAACGTCCTAATCGTCTCCTCCAATTGCGTCTCACTATTTCTCATTCGACTATTATATTTGCAAAACGCATTACAAATCATGGTCGTTGAGCAAGATCCTTTTTTGAAAAGACTCGCGATCCAGTTCGGTGCTACTCATGTCCTCGACCCCGGAGATATCGACGTCTCCGAATCCGTGCGCTTACTTACGGACGACATGGGCGCTGACGTAGTCTTTCAAATCTCGGATCAATGTGATTACGAACACACGCCCGCTATTACTTCTAGCAGCGCTATGCTCAAAACCATCAAAGCCAGGAATGCAGCCCGGTCTGCGATTTCAGCATGCCGCACCCGCGGGACGATAGTGAACATCGCGCCCCGCGAAATGTATGAAGATAGGAAAAGCAAGTACAGGAATGAGTTGATGATGCATGAGGTTCAGTACATGGGTTCTGCGGGGTATGATTTTGCTTCTCTCAAGGCCGCTGTTGGGCTGATGGAGAGGGGGGACGTGATGTCTGAGGGGATAAGCCTGGCGTGAGCAGGCTCTTCCGATTCCTTGCATGTGCCTTCCATTGCATCTACTACACGGTACCGATGCGTTTTCGTGGTCACTGTATTGGTTTTTATACGTGTATTTGTTTAGTATGAGTGATACCCGTTCAGCGTTCTGCACACCTGCACACTATTTGCGGCATCTTATTTTTTTAAATTATGGATTATATATTTCATCGTATCTCAGACGGAAACTTACGTCTTTATTTTGCATATGTAGAAACTTTTCCGAGGAGGATTCACCCTTTGTTCCGGCCTGAGTACGTATATATTTTCGTTCAAACCAACATCCGGAGTTCTTGACGCGTAATATCCAACACGAAAAGACACAACACTCCAAAAATAACTTGTGCCGAATCGGCTTGACTGAAGCAGCCGGTACGTCTGACTTTTTAGTCTGAAAGCATTGGCCCCCATGTTCCATTCCCACATCTTTTCTTTGATGATACGAGTCATCAATTAGGTACATCGGAAAAGAAAAATCGTCCTTCTGGTCTCGAATGATGTTTCAATGTAATTCATGTGTGTTTCCGCAAGCTATCGTATTATGCCTAAGGTTGGGCTGCCAGCTACACGACCGTTACCACTTTTCGACTACGTGCATTGTGGTACCAGGTACTGTCATATCCACAGAGATTGATAAATCATTGGTCTTAATCTTCCGCATCATTACGTCCCTGCATGCGTGTTAGTACGCAAGGGTAACCATTTTTGGATTGGAATTGTTAGGGCTTCGTTCTAGGCACATTCCCGTACCTGAAATTAGACCGTGGCGCATGCTAAGCATCGAGTTCGGCGTTCAGCTGCGCAGCCGGTTCCTGGGCTTTTACTTCGAGCTAGATACGCCATGGCTTCACTCGTGCGAAGCTGGATGGACGTTTTGAATGTAAATCGGGGGTGTCCGTCTATTATCGGACGGGGTATCACTTGATGTGAAATTGGACCATCGCTTTTCAGATCTGCTGGCAGTGTTCTACGATGTGAACATTATTCATCAAGTGGACAGATCCAAATTCGTGAGGATCATTAATCTATCATCTGCGCTAGAACTCCTGGTCGTTTTAGGTAACATTCAGTAAAACTACATGAGCGCCAGTGCGTATCTAGGTAGGATATTAGCTATACGTCAGCATCAGTCCAGCTTGCTTCATGAAGGCAACGTTCTTTATAGACTTCTTGAGGTTGGATGAAGGCTTGATTCTGTGAGATCTATGTATCGCGTTCATCCTTTCTAACATCCCGAACCATACTCGTAGTGCTTTATGGTAGTCATTCATCGACAGAGGCGAAGTTTTTTAGCCTACAAATTTCAATCCAAGCAGGACATCAAGGCAGTCAAGCACGTGCTTTGACTTTCTCGTAGCTAAACACACGTGGGCTTGTCATTCAATTACGTAGCAGTGTTGTCTCAGGGTCACAACTCACGACGACCTTGTGTACGTATACACCGATACAACATACCTTAGACTTAAAAATCCTTGCAAGACTCCTACATATTGCCTGTACAATCGTAATTGTGACCTTCTTACTTGGATTTCGTGTTGTAGCATCAGTTTGAAGTGTGTACGTGATTGTGTTGGTTTTGGGGGCGTTTTAGATCGACGTTTAGTTCTAATGAGCCGGGCAGGGGATGTCTGGCCTTGTCTAGCTGGATTTAGCGTATAATCGTTCAAGTCGCTTACAAGTCTATGGATGCAAACATCCTGTGACAGCCGATTGGCGAAAGAGGTAAGTTTTCGGATATGTAAATGTGTAACTATACACATGGCCTACCGCGCGTGGTCACCAGCCAATCACGGAGAAATAGTACGTACTACTAGGGCGGCACTTGCTGGATGACTTGTTCTAGTGCACTGAAATTATTTATTAGCACGTATCTGACGTGCAGATACGCGGGATTAGATATAGAGTCGTACGCTTATGGCACAGCCCTAAGCGCAGACCAACTCAGGGTGTCAGCCCTAGCCAGGTCCGCGATCCTCCAGAACCAACAAGCCTCGAGAATTCATCTCGAAATACTTGAGATCTACTACAAGTGACCATTTGGTCCTGATTCTAGGCCCCCTTATTCATGTAACGTGATAGAACTCGTGGACGTTCAATCGTTCCATTCGTTCCGAGCCGGAGCTTGCTATGGAGGCTTGACCTTGCACTATAGTTACATTTACCCTAGCTGATTTGATACCAGCTTACGGCTCGACACCTATATTGTGAGCAATTATTACTTGATCTTTGCTTGCCATTCTACTAGGTTGTCAATTTGTAATGGGAGACCAACACGAGAAAGATCAACTACGTAGTATCTTCATATTAAGATTGACAAGTCAGCCTATTTCGTTTTTGGAAGAATACATCAATCTTCCATTGATCAAGATTTCATGTTTTTTGTCAATTCTATCTTATCAAACCCCTGGGGCTGCCAGACCTGAGGTAGTTCATGCTCTATCTCGGTGGCTTCAGCCTTCGGTTCCCAAGAATCCGAATAGTTCATAAGCCACTCTACCTAAATTCAGCCATTTCAGCCATAAGCCAGGAGACTTTGAGCCAATTTGGATAGTGTGATTGTATATTGAGCTACCACAGCCCGTAAAGCTACTCCGACTACCCTTTAGCACGGCGCCATTGCCACCTCATTAGGTAAATTGGCTTGAACCGTGAGATCCGAAGTATGAACTAGAAACGCCACCAACAATCAGCAGGTGGCATGGAGTCATGGATTGTATACTAGTCTGAGGAGCGTGGTGGGAAATGTTAGATCTAAGGTATGATCTAATTTCGTATTTCCAACATTGTAACTCCAACCCTAAGATGACCCATGATGAGTGACTAGTTGGGTTGGATAGACACTTTGGCCCTTGACCAGACGTTGAGTCCGTTAGATGGACGCTCCTGGCGAAAAGAAAATGTATAAAGTCATGGTCAACTCCCCCCTTCGAATAAGATACTTTCTACATCAACATTCCAGTCAACTTCCTATCAAGCGATTGCAACAATCAAAGGTCTGGTACCTACACGTTCCTTCAAAACACGCTCCTTAGAAACAACATCACTCCTTTTTGACAAAAGAATTCCAATTTTTTGATACTTCATACCAAAATTCAAAATGATTGCCAAGTCTGTTCTCGCAATTACTGCCCTTGCTGGCGCTGCTTATGCTGCCACCGGCGAAACTGTCACTGCCTCCGGCCTGGCTGTTACTACCATCAACGATGAGGATGGTATTGGTGCTGGTGTCGACTCCTACACTTTTTACCAGGGCGATGGTACTACCGCCGATGGTTGGCCGTCTACTGATGACTGGTGAGTTTGTCATTGCTGACAGTGATGCTCGAAGAAAGTTGAATGCTAATATACCATCTTATAGGGTTTCCTTCAGTGAAATGTATGCCCAAAGAGTTCCAGCTTCACCTTATCATATTAAACCTGTAAACCACTAAAACTGTCCACAGGTTCGAAGCCAACACCGCATCCATGCTCGTCGGCTGCGCTCAGTACGGTGTCACCGATGACTCCACCGACGAAATCGACAACATCCAAACCGCCATCGAAGCCATCGCCGCCGAAACCTACGTCGACCACCGTTTTATCCTAGCCATTATCATGCAGGAATCTACCGGATGCGTTCGCGCACCCAGCTCAATCGGTTCCGTGACCAATCCCGGTCTCATGCAAGACCACGACGGAGCCTCCACCTGCAACGATGGAAGTACCGTTCAGAGTCCTTGCCCCGAGAGCGAGATTGAGGGTATGATCAGTGAAGGAAGTAAGTACAACCTGCTCCGTACAAGGTTTTATCAATATGAATTTAGAATACCGGATACTGACGACGATATGTGCATAGCTGCCGGAACAGAGACCGGTGATGGCCTCGCAAACTGCCTCAACGAGGCCAATGCCACTGGTGCTGAAGCTTTCTACCGTGCCGCTCGTATCTACAACTCCGGCTCTGTCGATGCTTCTGGTGACCTTGGTGTTGGTGTTGGTACTCCTTGCTACGCAAGTGACATTGCCAACCGTCTCACTGGCTGGGTTAGCGCTGCCAGCAGCTGCACCCTTTAAGGGTCAGTGTTCGGTTTGACTTCACTGTACAGAATACAAGATATAAAAGACATTGCTGGTTGCGCAAAAGTCTTTTTTTGTTGCTCACTTGTTTATGTTTAAAATTGTGCTTAGATTTGATATCCGTTTAGCAGCCTAGTTGCTGCATTACGCTCGCTTCGATGAAGATTTGACTGGATTTTTACTGTACATATTGTTGGTTTCTTTCTTCCACGGGTGATTCGAACTTCCATCTCGAATCAAATTCGATGTATATATTTTTTCTCAGATCATGTTTTATGATCGGGGATTCCTCAAGTGTTCTTGTCTATATTTTATTATCTTCACACATTCAACCTTGTTTTCTAGTAACCACATTCGATGTTTTCACTCCATAAACAATTTTTTTCAGGACATATACAAAGACAGAGAACCAATCAAACCCAAGCTTACACTGTAACAATTTGAGGTAGTACTGGAACCGATAGGTGCATCTGCCACGTTCACCTGGCTTCACGTGGCGCAGTTGACCGTTTCAGGAGATCCGGCCCGCTCCAGCCCTAAACGGAACACTGTTTTATCGGATTTGATCATGATCTGCAAGGGCTTGAACTATACAAAGTATTGTGTTCTGACCGTTATCCCATATTCAGAGTCATATCATCTTTGATATCTAAGATGAATATAACGACGTCGCTGAATGGTATTTATTCCTTAGGCAGATAGAGCAATGCCGGCGGCGCCGATCGCAGATGCCGGCCTTTTGGACCCCAAATCACAAACACGCCTGATGTGCTTTATCCGGTGTTTGAATATTTAATTATGGTCACACCTAGGTACTCGCTTCAAACGATCTGATACAAAGATTTTTTTATAGGTGAATTTGGTGTCTCCGTAAGTAGAACTTGAGTGTAGTGGACTGTATACCTAAATGATCATATACAACAGACTCCAGTCAGTCGTGAGAATGCTGCACATATGCCACTTCAATGTTAAAATCGGTCTGATGTATGAGTAAATACTACGTAGTCAAGAAGATGTTAATGCATGATCACTCGAAATTTGCAGACAGGGGAGTGATATCCGTGTAGCGATTTCGTGTTTCGACAGCGTTGAAAACATTACTTACAAACTCGTGTTTTATGAGTAAAAGATTTACCTTCGAGTGCTCCTCATCTATACATAAAGCCCTATGTGTGTACAAGTTTGTAAGTAGATTTTTTCAATACTACCAAACAAACGAATTGCTGTGCAGATATTATTTACCTTTCAAATATGATTTTATCCAGAGTACACGCTTGAGCGAGTGTTCAACAAATAGCCGAATTCGGCGGGACCCATATTCCCATTTAGGAAATTATGCAAATCTTGACTTGCACCTCGTGTTCATCGATCGAAGAGCGTACCAGTAGATGTTTGCAGATCGAAGACTTAAATAAATGCTCTTACCCCATACTCCGATCTGGGTAAGTCTGCAATATATATACGTACGTAGCTGAAGCCTCGGTGCAGCTGAGATCACGCTCTTAGTCAACTGCCGAGTTTTGACGTACGGTACATACTCTCAGGCCTCAAAGGATTTGAGCTACCTGTTAATTCAAGCAGGTCAGCAGATTGCAGAGATTTGAGCAGTGTAGTAAGCAACACTCCGTAAGTCCGTCTAGTTAATTTAACTAGCCAAGGTGTTAAATTGCTAATCTTCTCGGATGCTACCTTAACAAAGCCCTATTTCGCTGTTTCAGCCGGGGCGGATCGCCATCTGGCCAATGGAGGTATGTTTTGACCCCTGAGTTGATGGCCGGGGACCTATAATTCAGTAGATGTTTAGAAACTACGTACCCACGCAATGACACTGCATGATAGCCACTAGCCACAAATTATACCTAAGAAGTAGAAAGGTTTGTGACGAAAACCTTCTAAATTCAAGTACCAGGCTGAAGTTCCAGCTGGGCCGACACCACCCAAATACTAGAATAGGTAATGGAAGCCTTTTTAGCTTTGATACGTAAATCGGCCAGCGTTGCGCAAAAGGGAAACTGGTCTCCACGATCGAAAATTGAGCTGAGTCCAGTCCTTGAATGTTGAATCATTTTGATGCCTATATATGTTGTAGCTGTGCCCGGGTGCTCTGGTATGTTGATCATTAGGGCTTCCGGATTCTGCGGTCTGAATTCGCTCTGACAGCACCATTGATTCATTGAGAGCATTTCTTTAATCGTTTTTGGGTTATTGAGAGACAGTCTCTTATATATTCTTTATATCTTTTTTGTTTCATTGTAGACTGCCGAGAGTTATGGCCAAACTTCTGGTCTCTCTGCTGGCATTGCCGTTTTTGGCGGGCGCCCTTCCCGCAGACGGATTTGCGGCACGGGCAGATCGCAGTCACAACGCCGCAACTTTCAACGTTTCGCAGTTTGTCCCTGACGACTCGTACAAGCCTCAGAAGACGTACGTTTCACTATCATGATTATGCATTGATTTCGGCTAATTTTTGATCTAGTGGAATCCCATTCACATTGCTCGATACTTCCATTCAGCCATGGGTTAAGCTTAACCAGCCATCAAAGACAGCCGCCGCTGCGGAGATTGCTGCTGCGACTGCTTGCACTCCTTTGACAGCAGCAAATCCATCCACTTGGTGGTACGAAAGCATTACCCATGATGGGTTGTCGTCTTTCATGTCTTCGGAATATAGGAGCGAGTATTCTGTGTTCCGTAATGTCGTGACCGACTATGGCGCAGACAACACTGGTGCTACTGATGCATCTGTTGCTATTCAGAACGCTATTAACGGTATGTATTTATCCTGTCATTGCCTATTCCTCAGCTGACATATTCAGCCGGTCCCTCAAATGGTGGCCCTGCCAGAGGCTCCGGAAGCTACGGCACAACTGGTCAACCCGCTGTGGTCTACCTCCCTGCTGGAACTTACTTGATGTCCGGCAGTCTCCAACTGCTTGTTGGAACCGTACTTGTCGGTGATCCCATCAATCCCCCAACTCTCAAAGCTGCTTCCAGCTTCCCCAATGATCATATCATCTATGCCAAAGACCCGAACTATGGTGGAACCATCAACTTCTACATCGGCATCAAGAACATCATCATCGATTCCACAGCAGTTGACGGCGCAACAAGTATTGCGCTTCTCGACTGGACCGTTAGTCAGGCTACCCAGCTGGCCAACGTTGTCTTCAACATGCCCGATTATTCCACTGGTCACGTTGGTGTCACTTCACAATACGACTCCAACAGCAACATCATCCTCAACGACCTGACTTTCAACGGTGGTGCGTACGGACTGAAACTCTCCGGCCAGCAATGGATTCTCAAAAACATCAAGACAAGCGGCACTACCACCGGTATCTCTGCCGGCGGTTTCAGCGTCGTTTGTCAGGCATGCTCCTTTCAATATGCCGCAACCGGTATTGATGCCACAGGCGTATCCGGTACTGTCACTGTGATTGACTCCTCTGGATTGGATCTTGGTGTCTTCCTAAAGGGCACGAACAGCGGTGGTGCTGGCAATTCTGTGGTTCTTGAGAATGTTTCGTACAGCGGAACTACCGTTCAAATGAGCGGTAGCACGGTTTTGTCGGGCAGTGTTACTGATACTTGGGTTTACGGTGACTTGGTAAGATTCATCCACCACATCTCGTAAATATCCGTGCTGATATCGTATTAGTATTCCAGCGGCAGCTCTAGCGGTGGCCGCGTCACTGGTCAAACCGTGACAACTCCTCGCTCTTCCTCACTATTGTCTGGCGGCAGCTACTTCATCACAGAGAAGCCTCTCACATTCCAGGAATACTCAGTCGACCAGGTCCTCAACATCAAAACCGTGTCCGGCTTGCCCGTTTATGGTGACGGTGCTACCGACGACACTGCCAATATCAACTCTATCCTGTCCCAATACGCTGGATGCAAAGTCATTTATTTCCCCGCTGGAACTTACATTGTGACTAACACTATTCTCATCCCGGCCGGCTCGCGTATTTATGGTGATGCGTATGGAACAGCTATCTCGGCCATTGGCTCCAACTACTACAACCCTGATTCACCGGGCATTATGGTTCAGGTCGGAAATTCGGGCGATGTCGGTGTTGCTCAGATTGTCGATATGATTTTCACGGTTGCCGATGTTCTTCAAGGCTGCAAACTGGTAAGTGTCTTCTCGAACTAATGGAGATATCGTATTGACTCTTGTCTAGGTCGAAGTGAACATCGCAGGCTCCAGCCCTGGCGACGTCGGATTCTGGAACTCCCACTTCCGTATTGGCGGCGCTGCAGGTAGCAAAGTCGAAACGAACTGCGGCGGTAGTCCCGATCAATGCAAAGCAGCCTGGGGTCTGATCCATCTCACCAGCACATCCTCTGCCTACATTGAGAATATGTGGGGATGGACTGCAGACCACGACTTGGACGGAGGCAATGGACAGACCATCTCAACTGGCCGCGGTATGCTTGTAGAGGCTACCAAGGGAACGTGGCTCGTGGGCACGGCTATGGAGCATCACACCTTGTACCAATATAACTACAACGGAGCACAGAACGTCGTTTCTACTTTCCAGCAAAGGTAATCCTTTCCCATCCCTACCTATATATTTAAACGTAACGACAACTGACTCGAACTACAGTGAAACACCCTACTGGCAAGGCCCCGGCAACGACATCGCCCCCGTCCCCTGGAGCGCCAACCTCATCACCTCCGACCCGAGCTTCCAGTCCTGCGCCTCCGGCGACAGTCTCTGCGGCATGGCCTGGTTTGAGCGCATCTCCGACTCGTCAAACCTGTTTCTGTACAACGGTATGGTATGGACATTTTTCAACAATAATGGTGGTTGCAATGGCGATTGCCAGCAGAATGCGATCAACATCCTTGATTCGAGCGCGCTGTACATCTATGGGCAACAAGTAAAATCTGTGACGAATATTTTCTTAGAGAGTGGTGCGGCGATTGCGACGGAGAGTGCGAATGGTGGTGGTTGGGGAGGGAATATTGCTGCTTATTTGCGTGATTCATAGATATCTACTGAGGTAGGTATCGCACGATATAGGCAAGAATGAAAAGATGTACATACTATTGAAGATAAGCATAATGAAAACAGCACTTCTGTTTTTGTTCAAAGAGCAATAAATTTGTTCCTATATAGTACATTATTTCCTTTCTATGAAACAGCCTAAACACCGACCCTCCAACCCAGTCATCGCATCATATCCAGAAAAAAATCAAGAGTTGTTATAGTAATACATCGAGGAAAGAAGAACATAAATGCCAGAACTAAGCAGAATCATCTTCGGCGTAGCTGACCTTTTTCGCTCGTCGACTGCGACGTGCCGGCGTAGATGCTGTAGATGGTGTCGGTAGAGGGTCGGATGAAGGATCAGGAGACTTGCTCTGTGCAGCTGCTGAATTTTCGTCAGAGCTTGAAGTAGACTCACTACTCGCTTCGGATTTTCGCCGTTTTCTGGGCGTCGTCGCTTTCTTCGTTGGTTTCTTAGCTGGCGATTTTTTTGGCGTGCTGCCTTTCGCTTTTGCTTTGGACGACTTCTTTGCTGGGCTGGCTGCAGCTGTCGGCTCAACGATTTCAGTATCTTCCCCAACAGCAGTATTCTTCCGCACAATAACCCTTTTCTTCGGCCTCAACCACTCCTCGTGTCCCGGCGGCCAATATACCCTCCTCTCCGGTCCACCCATACTAACTTCCTCCAACGGAATACTCGGCGGAGGCGGAGTCAACTGCGCCAAATCAATATAATCGCCCGACTTCTTCGTCTTCTTAGGCGGTTTCCACGGCTTATTCTCATCTTCACGGACGTGAGGTACCAGCTCGCCAATATTCTCGTAACCTGGTAACTTGTATTTGCGCATTAATTCAAAGACGGCTTGTTCTTTATCCTTGGCTTCGATCATGAGATCCATTGTCGGGTCGCAAGGCGGCAAAGTGTATACACGAGGGTTGTGTTTGCGTCGTTGACGAGGCGTGATTGCTGTAGGCTCTGGTTCGGAGTAGTGCATTTTCTGAGTTATGCCCTTCCGTGACCAGGTCGCGCGTATCCGGTCGTACAATTGCATGATATCGAGCGTCCCTTCGCGCAGTTTATCCGAGTCGAAGATGATGTTGTGATGATGATAGTCGAGGACAAGAGGAATGTTGAGTTCTTCGCAGATGGGTAGCAGATCATGGACAGACCAGCTCACGTCGTCATTCTCTAGGACGATGCGGTTTTTGATATCCTGAGACAAGCCTTTGTAGTTCTCGCGGAATCTGTCTAGGGTTGCAGCTTTGTCGCCAAAGACGCCGCCCATGTGTAGAATCATGACGGCGTCGCGGTTTTGTTGCGGAGGTAATTTGAGTAGCGATAACAGCTCGGAATGGAATTCGAGGTCCCGAATAGAGCTTTCAATGACTTCCTTTCGTGGTGACCCTAGTTGAGTAAATTGACCCGGATGCATGGTCAACCTATGACCAAGCTCTGCAGCGACTCGCCCAGCTTCAGCCAATACTTCCGAAGCAAACGGCGCCAATTTATATCCATATATCTCATGGCTCGCAAACGGGAACATCTCGCTGCTCAGTCGTAAAAACTTGATCCCGTAGTTGTCGTTCCATCGCAACATCTTTACAATATCTCGCGCATTGGCCAACCCCAGCGCCTCGACGTACGCTTGGCCTCGCGCATGGTCCGCGGGTTGTTCGCGATCGGGGCGGTTCTTGGTCGCATGAAAAGGTTGCGAAGGGTCTTGCAGCGGATGACGGTTTTCAAGAATTGACGCTATCCGACATGTCCGAGAACTGAAAACCGGGGGGTTGGCGTATCGTAGGTAGGTGCAAAGACAAGCATATCCTAATCGACCTTTCCAGGGTAGGGGCAAGTAGTCACTATTCACCGGAGGGGGTCGCTCCAAAGCTTCCTTGACCTCTTCGACTTCGGCGGGCACGTCTTCATCCGACTCGGGATCTAATGTCGCCGCATTTTTCTTGCCCGGACTCGGCACGGATTCTAGAACATTTGTAATCGCTGATAGAGAGGAATTGGCACTGGCGGCTGGCGCGGCGGGGGAGGCAGTCGTGGTGGTGGCGCTCGAGGTATGTAGGGAACGAGTTGCTCTGACAGCGGCCGCACGCGTGGTTGACCGTGCCATGATCATACCAGCCGTTTGTACTGGTGCTGCGGTCAAACAGGGTGTTGCGACAACAGAGATAAGGCGCGAGAAGGCATTTGTAGAATTTGCGATTGAAGCTAGGGCAACGAGTCGCAGGTGTGACGTGGGGCTGGCAGAGACGAATTCCTTGGTCAGCATGCTCGACGATTTTGATTTTGCCACTGCTGGCATGGCGTTGCCCTCGCCTTTGCCTCCATGCGATTGAGAGAGCTGTCGAAGTGCCGGGCGATCATGGCGCGCGCATTCCGCGACTTTGTAGAAATGCAAGGCATGGCGACGATCAAAGGGTCTAGGCGGCCACCAGCGATGGAGTGAGAGGGACTTCATTCATTAGATAAACCTGGCTGTCATTGAGAAAGTAGACACAATGACAACTGGAACGACGTCACATCTTTGTCGCGGCTTTTAGCAGTGGATGTAAGCATCAAGAAACAAGGAGGGTTATTCGCGGGTATTCCACGCGTCTTGGGCTAGCGCGATTCAATCTAAATCGAGGGGCTTGGAGATCGAATGTTTAATTGGTGTGACGATGATATGTTCCTTTCGTTGAAATGAATGATTTTTCGACGCGACTTTACTCCAGAGTTACTGTTCTACAAAGAGTAATTAGAAGTTTACAATCGGTGACCTCAGCTGGATGAAACATCCGAAAACACTCTAATGAATGTACCCATTTCGTCTCACAGAACAGTCCTAATCTGACGGATCTCCTAAGGAGTTAGTTGAAATTTATCGTCTCATGATCCGAGGACATATTATCGATGTAAAAATATCATCGCCAAGAACCGCGAAACTCGGGTGTTGTTTCGAACGGCGAATAGCCTCCTCCTGACCTGGCCATCTGTGCAGAATACCACCTCGGTGGATGCTGTTTCGATTGAATGTCCCCTGATTAAACATCGCTAAATCACTTATGACCTGTCATTCTGCGCGGAGTACTCCGTAGAGAGGCAGTCTGAAGAAGAGTATAGATCACCGCCAGCCAATCAGTCGACCTTGGCGGTTAGATGCTAAGCACTCCGCGTTTCAGGCTCTCTCTCGGCCAGTCAATCATCGCTTGCGTTCCAGTGCCCTAAAAGTCTGTTCCTGGATCAGTAGACCCCTCATCCTTGACGATTGGCTCGGTTGATGCGGCTCGCATCGGTCGTCACATCCCTGCTGAAACGTTTGTATATGTTGGAAACAGAAACGTTGGAGGTAGAGAGGCGGCGACTCTTGAGTTGCTATTGTGTTGGACGATCTTTGCTGATGGATGTCGGCATGAAAAAAGGAACAGGCCTCGTTAAATCCCCTATTGGTGTTTCTTCTGTTTTGGAATGTACTCGTCAGACAAGCTTCTGGTGAGGTTGGCGGGGATGCCCACCACCAATGTTCATCCATTCCAGCGAGTGGATGGATGTCAGGCGGGTTGTTTAGTAGAAACAAGAGGTGGATAATCACTTAATAAGTCGCAGAAGCATGGCTGTATGATTAGAAAGATAAAGAGCCTCAGTGCCCCGAGAAGAAATAAAGAAAAAACTCGTCGAGGAAACATCCATCAACTGCCCGCAGTTTCAGGCACCACTCCTTCCTGTTTTGGTAAGTCTTTGTATACGTTTCCTTCTGTTTTTCCCTCCTCACCCTCTCTGCTGTCTTCTCCCTTCACGCAACACCCCAAGACAATAGCTTTGGCTAGTCATTCCTTCAAACGATTCATTCGTTCATCCTTTTTATGCCCATTGCCATTCCCTTCTAGCCTGACGTGTATACATCCATTCTCTTCATTCTGCTCAAATTTGGAATAGCAAGTTGCTAACTGACACAATACTCAGACCAACTCTACTTTCCTTCTTTTCACAAACACTGTCTAGCCCTGGTTGGCATTCAGTATTTACTCTCATCAGAGTCTTAAAGTACCTTTTTATTCCCATATCCAACATCCAACATGAAGAGCACATTCGCTATTTGCGCCTTCCTGGCTGCTACGGTCTCTGCACACATGCAGATGAGCAATCCTTATCCTATTCGAAGCCCTCTCAATCCTAACGGCGACGAAAGCAAGAAAGATTATTCCTACACCAGCCCTCTGGACGCCTCGGGATCAAACTTTCCTTGCAAAGGCTACCAAACCGACGCGTTTGTTTCAGTTGCAACCTACAAGCCTGGCAGCCAGTATGATCTGTCACTGACCGGTAGCGCTACGCACGGTGGCGGCTCCTGCCAAATCTCTCTGTCCTACGATACTGGCAAGACTTTCACTGTTATTCAGTCCATGGAGGGTGGCTGTCCTTTGACTTCCAATTATACTTTCACTGTTCCCAGTGACGCACCTTCTGGCCAAGCTCTACTTGCCTGGACATGGTTCAACAAAATTGGTAACCGTGAGATGTACATGAATTGTGCCCAGGTGACCATCGGGGGATCCTCAAGCAAGCGTTCCCATGTTCGCGATATGATGGTCTCTCGTGCCGATACTGCGTTCAGTGCTCGTCCCCCAATTTTTATTGCCAACGTGAAAGGTCCTGGTGGATGCACTACAATTGAAAGTCTGGAGGTCAACTTTCCCGAAGCAGGCCCTAATGTTGTAGGTGGTGTTACTGGCACTGGATACACCTGCACTGGATCTGCCGATTTCCTTGGCGATGGATCCTCAAGCAGTTCATCCACCAGTGGTTCATCTGGTTCCTCTGGCTCCTCTGGAACGTCTGGCTCTGGCACATCTATCCCAGCTGCCGCAGCAACCTCGGCTACCAGCACAACAGCTCCAGCTGTTGCTACTGTCGGCGCTTCATCCGCTTCAGCCCCTGCTACCACTCTTGTGACCAGCACAAGCGCGCCAGCTACCAACACAATCTTGCCATCTGCAAGCAGCACAGCGCCCAAAGTCGTGAGCTCGGGTACGGCCACAAGTGGAGAGGCCTGTTCTAGCAACGGAGCTATAGTCTGCGGTGCTGATGGTACCACCTGGTCCATGTGCAATCAGGGGGCTTTGACTTATATGGGCTCCGTCGCTGCCGGAACTACCTGTTCGAACGGTTCTATCTCCAAGAAGTAACCTGTTCATTTAGTCACTGCCTTGGAAAAAGTGCCTGGACACAACCACTTGCACTTTGTTTACACTACCTTTGATTTCTACTCCTGCGTTGTTGGAGTCATTTGGTGTTATGATGTTTAATGATGTTCGACGAGTGGCGGGKCCTCTCGTTAAAAAAAAATGTTAAATTAACAATTTTGATTTATGATTGACGGTTGCATGGTCGGTTGGCGGTTGTCTTACATTTCGGACACGTTTTTGTTTAGGTAGAGGGAAAAAACTTGGAAACAAATCCATCATGACTCAGTGATGAAATTAGAGATAAGTTGACTCATCTGGGTAAATTATTATATCATAGTAAAACATCTAATATTAATACACGCATAATCGTTGAAACAAAACACAATGTATCCGTCTCACATCGACCTTCTCTTCAAATAAGAGAAAGATAGGCTATTGCTTCCTCTCATCATCACTCCAATCCAACAATTCCAACAGCTTCTCCTCATCCATTTTCTTCTGCTGCTGCTGCTGTTCCGCCTCAGTCTGTTGTCTCTGCTTCCTCTTGCGCGCATCGCGACCCCATTCCAACACTCCACTTGCCCTAATCTTCTCCGCAAAGTCTTCTTGATCGCTATTCTCGTACTCGTCGGTCTTCACTTTCGATTCCTTTTTATTCGTCTCGCTGCCAGAAGTAGCAGCCTTCTTGCCGCTCTTCGCCTCTGACACTTTCCCCTTCACAACTTCCTCTTTCTTCTTCTCTTCCTCAACACCAGCCTCACTCTTTGCGCCAACCCTCAAACTATTCCCATCCTTCTTCGGCTTCTTAAGTCCCTCCGCTTCCAATTGTTTATCCTCTTCTTCCTTTTTCTTCTTCTGCTCTTCCTCCTCCTTGGAAGTTTTGCGCTCAAACCACCATTTGAAAAACATTTCGATAGCGGGTCGTAGCAAGATGTAACCCGCGACAATAACGATTATGCGTAGCCAGTGGCGCACTTTGGGCGTGCCGATGTAGTCTTGGAAGTCATGGAGGGATTCGAGGGTGTATTCTTGGAGGGAGTTGAGGAGATCGGTTAGGAAGGCGACAGGGTCTGTTGTTGTAGTTGTCATTTTGGCGGGTGTGTTTGATTAATTGATATAGTGAGAGGTATGGTATTTTATAAAGTAAGAAGACAGAGGGGTGTGGTATGTTTTATATGGAGTTGAGGTTGAGGTCGAGGGAAGGTCCCACCTGCCAAATATTTTTTAGCCTCGTCCGAGCTTCCCGCCCGCGCTGTCTCCGGCTTGCCGATTGCCGTTCTTTCCTTTTCCTCTCCCATCGTTGCAAATGTATTCCCAAGTATGCTGCTCTCAGACTTTCAACCACAAGCCAAAATGGCAAGCCCAATGGCTCAACCAGGCTATTGCAGCCCGGTACTAGATCAAGATCATACGTGAACATGCTAATTTACTAGGCGTTCGTCGACCACGAAGACGAGCGAACAGAAACACCATGCCCTGGCAGGATGAGAACCGAGCATCAATGCCTTGATGGTTGATATTTGTACAAGAAAGGAGACAGTACAAGCGCTCGGCCATCACAGGCAGACAAACGATCAACAGTCTGACATCATTGCCACAGTTGGCCGCGTAATCAACCTTAACAGCGTTTCAGGCCCTTTCAACACCACACTCAACTCAACTACTTATACAGACTCGTCCACAGGTACAATCAACAACCAAACATCATATAAGTTCTATTCAACATGGGAGTCGGCCAAAAAATCCTCAAACGCCTCGGCGTAAAATCCTCGTCAAATTCTTCAACAACATCACATCCGCCGCCAGTCCCTCCCCATCCAAACCCTCCAGTCTGGTCACCCACAACCGCCCAAGGCACCGCACCCACGCAATCCGCCAGCCTCATAATCCACCCGGACGAAAGTGACATCTCAACCGACAGGTTCAACGGCACCTACATCCGCCTCGCCCGCTGTTCCAACGGCACAATCCTCGCCGGCTTCACATGGCGCGAAGGCGGCCGAATGGACGCCCTCCGTATCCTCAAGATATCGCGTAGTCTCGACGGCGGACAGTCATTCCACGACTTCAGCGAAGTCCACCGCGGCCACGGCGAGATCGACAACCTTCACATTCTCGAAATTGCACCCGAGGGCCACATCCTCGCCGCTTTTCGTAATCATGACTTTGGCCATAATCGTGCCGGCGATTTAGCAGGGATCACGCATTTCCGAATCACAGTATTCGAGTCGAGAGATGGCGGCGCAACGTGGCGGTATTCATCAGAGGCAGTGCAAAAATCGGATCCGCCGCTGGGCGTCTGGGAACCGTTTATGCGGTTGGGTCTGCAAGGGGAGGTGCAGCTCATATATTCGCATGAATTTGCGCCGGACGATCAGCGTACGATGCTAGTCAGTTCATATGACCGTGGAAAATCATGGTCTCAGCCCCGTTGCATTGAAGGGTATCAAGACCGGTTCCGAGACGGTATGACGGGGATCACGCAAACAGTCGATACAGCGACGGGCCAGATTGTGCTGGTAATGTGCTTTGAGACAACACGGTACGCGCCCCATTTCAATGTCGAGGCGGCTGTTTCGTACGATGATGGCGCGACATGGCTGCATCGTCATCAGGTGTACACGCCGCGACGAAAGGGGCATAATGCGGGTGCACCGCAAATCGCGTCCTTTGGAGATGGGTCAATGGTATGCGTGTTTATGACAGATGATGATGCCGAGCAGGTGAAATGGATACATAATGCGGCTGTCAAAGTATGTTTTGGCACTGCGCCACACGCCGGAAGGATTGTGTGGAGTGATCCTGTGGTTGTGTCGCCCGCGTCCAGTTTTTGGCCGGGTGTCATGGCGTTGGATGAGAGGAGGGCGTTGGTTACGTATGAGCATGGAGGGCCGAGGGGGAGGACTGTCGTTAGGCCTTATTAACTCTCTTTACTCTTACTTGACTCTTTTCCTCAAGGAAACACTATCGATAGCTTAGTTGCAAAAAATTTTTCATTCCATCCCGATCCTAAGAAATAGGTACAATGCTAATGCAACAAACTCCCAGAGACATAACAATCCAACATCTTATTCTAATTCCTAGCATCAATCACCCGAAAGAGTCCACATCCCCTCCTTCGATCAAAGTCAGGTGGAAAGAAATCAAGGATTCTTCTGCCCATCGTCGAGCGTCAACTTCTTCTCCAGCTGCGTTGCCGTTGCCGTCGCAGCTTCTTCTGCCGCCGCTGGTGCTGTTCCTTCTTCGGCAGCTTTCTTAGCAGCAGCAGCCTCTTTCTTGAGTCGTTTCTTCTCCTTCTCCTTCTCCTTTGCTAGCTTTTTGGCGGCAGCCTTTTCGGCTTCAAGCGCTTTCTGGCGTTTGATTTCCTCGCCACCAAAGGCTTCGCGCCATTCTTCGACTTTAGTAGGTGGGATTAGTGAGAATAGCAGCTTTGATTCACCGAGTTTATGGCCTGGTTTCAAGGCATCAGTGACCCATTTATCGGAGATACGGGGCTCTGGTTGGGCGCCGAGTTGCTCAAAGATTGATTTCGAGGTGGACGGCATAAAAGGCGCAAGTAAGCTGGCCAGTAAGTGGATGTGGTTGAGCGCGATGTTGATGACGGCGGCGCAGCGGTCGGGTTCTTCGGTGAAGAGGCGGTTGTCAAGTTTATTGTCTTGGAGCAATTTGTTGCCCAGGGAGGAAATGTGCATGATGTCGTTGAGGGCGGCGCGCATTTTGGTGGCGTCCATAGAGGTGGTGTAGGAGGTGAGGTAGGCGTTGACTTGCTTCTCGTGTTCGGTGAGAACAGCCTTGGCTGCTTCTTCGGAATATGCGGGGATGGTTCCGTCCATTTTGGCGATACAGAATTTGGTGACACGCGCGACGAGATTCCCCAAGTTCTTCAAGAGTTCGTTGTTATTGGTACTGACGAATTCGTCCCATTTGAACTCGGTGTCGCTGGATTCGGGTCTTCTAGACAGCAAGTAGAATCGCCAGATATCCGGTCCAATACCCGTATCCTTAGCACTTGTGCCAAATACACCAACACCCTTGGACTTGCTGAATTTACCGCCTTCATAATTGAGGTACTCCGTAGCCGAAATCTTGTGCACTTGCGTCCACTCCATGCCTGAGCCAAGTTGAGAACCGGGGAAGATGATGCTGTGGAAGGGCACGTTGTCCTTGCCCATGAATTGGAACAGCGAAACCTGCTCGGGCTGTTTCCACCATTGCTCCCATTTCTTGCCCTCGAGATTGTCTCCATCGGTGTAATTGGCGGTGATGGAGACGTAACCGATACAAGCGTCAAACCAGACGTAAAAAACCTTGTTCTTATAAGCCTCTTCATCGAGACCCTCAATGCCTGTCGGGATCGGTACACCCCATTTAATATCACGAGTGATAGCGCGAGGCTTCAATCCACGATCGATCCATGACTGCACAATAGAGCTAGTATTGGTGCTCCAATCATTCTCCTTGCTGACTTTCTCAAACCAGGGCACGATCTTGTCCTTGAGAGCATCTAGGCGCAGATAGAGATGTTTCGTCTTGCGCTTTTCGGGTGTAGCGCCATCAAGTTTGCAGCGAGGGTTAATCAACCATCCCGTAGCTCTAGCCTCAACATCTTGCTCCTCACCATCCTCCCCATTTTCTTTCGCATCAGGCTCTAGTGGATCCAACAAATTACCACACTTGTCACATTGATCTCCACGAGCACCCGGATCCCCGCAGATACTGCACTCGCCTTCCACAAATCGATCCGCCAGGAAAGAAGCATGGCCCTCTACAGGACAGTATGGCTGGGKAGTCTCTCGCTCCTCAATATACCCGTTATCCCACAGACCGCGGAACACGTCTTGGACAATCTTGGTTTGATGCGCGGTGGGCGTGCGGCCGAAAATATCGAACTCAATGTTGAACCAATCGTAGATACCCTTGTGAATAGCATGGTATTTCGCGCAGAGTTCTTCCGGTGTTACGCCTTCTTCGAGGGCTTTGGTTTCGGTGGCAGTTCCGTATTCATCCTGCTTGTATTAGCGCTCATTCGTTCAATACGTGAATGAAAAAGCGGCGACTAATATACTTACAGAACCACAGATATACAGGGTCGGAAAGCCGCGTGCCCTGTTGTAGCGAGCAAAAACATCTGCGGGGAGCACACTACCGATTATATTTCCTAGGTGGGGAACATTATTGACATAGGGCAGAGCGCTAGTAATAAGAATATTTCGCTCGCCAGGAATTGGCAATGTAGGCTCTTTTGTCGCCATGGTGGTCGATGTCTGCTGCTACTGTAACGGAAGAGAAGAAATACCAGCGTGGATTGTATCTTCTCTGGAGGGCAAAAGGAAGACGCCCTGTGACCGATGACTCAAACAGAAGAAATGCGGGGCAGAAAAATGAGCTCAGATAAGGGAAATCATCCACACCGCCTTCCGTGTTTGGGCATGCAAGGGGATATTAGCCCTAGCCCTAGCCCTAAGTCCATTGTCAACATGTCTGTCAGGCCTCAGATGACCAATTTCAAATCCCACTTTTTAATAGCGAATTTGAGATGTAGAGAAGCCAAATCTACCAGCAGAGTTGCAATCCATCAACGACCAGCTGCAACAAGTGTCGAAAGAGTACAATGAAGCGAGCCCATCCGAAAACAAGGGGCGAGCATCGGAACTCCGAATCAAGCTCAACGACCTACGCAAGCAGGCAGACCAGGGAGGCACCACGCACGGCACATTAAAAGCAATTTGCCATTTTGAAATGTGGATCGAGTACATAATTACACAAACCGAATTCTATACGGCGAGGGTCACAGGGATGTGCTGCATGGATGGTTTAAATCGGACGCAGTTGGAGATATTCAACCTGGCGACATCGCTTACATTTCATATGACTGGGCGCATCTGGGAAATCAACTGCACCGCTAACTTCCGATTAAAGGAGATTACTGCCTGACTTGGTTTGATTGGAAGTACCAAAAAGGACAACAAAGATGGCGCGTTGTATGTGCTTCTGGAGAAGAGTCCCTACACGATCGATAGGAGGATTATTCGTTTCTATATAGGCAAGCAAGAACGTTTTATGCAAAGCATATTGGCTCATTATATTGTCATCTTATTCAATGCATCAAGTTTTTCAGATGTCATGTATCTTGTGAGTTCGTTAGTGTAATGAGGCATTGTTTGGACGAACTTTATAGTGCTGTTGGTAACTATCATCATTTTGATAAACTATGATGACAAACTACTCCTTTTGTGCTGGCAAAGACTTGTTCAATAACTCCCTCTCCCTGACCAAATACTCTTCAAAACTCGTCAACTTCACCCCAAACAACTCCTCTACCTCCTTCTTATTGGCTAATTCTGTATCTTGCGTGTTTGCATAATAATGCCAGGTCAACCCCGTCTTTTTGACCGTATCAAAATTGGGAATCACCAGTTTTTCCGTCACGATATCCTCTCTACCGCTGACTTTGCGGATTATTGCGGCTGCTTCATCGGCATCTAAATTCTCGCCTCCCAGGTCAATTTCGAGCTTATCGTATTTTTCGGGGGTTTGCAGAACGACGGCGGCTAGTTTACCGACGTCCGCAGAGTCCAAGTGCGAGATGCGTCGGCCGTCAATGTACATGTGCTTCATGACCCCTTGTTTGGGAAGTTCGGGATAATGAAAGAATGAGAACGGGATTAGGTAGTTATGCATCAAGTATGCCGGCCTGAGGATGGTATAAGCCTTGAGCTTTCCGATGCTGGCGGCGGAGCGCACTTCTTCTTCGATGATGTGGTTGATGCTGTAGTAAAGATACAAAAAGTCCTGGGGACTGGATCCAACCCATGACTCTTTTTGGGCTGTCATGAATGCTGTTGAGAGGACGAGGGGGCACTGTTCCTCAATTGCGGCGTTGATGAAGTTACGAGCGTGCTGGACTTGCAATTGTGGATCTGCTGGTGTTGGGAACGGGTTCAAGAATAAGCCTGCACAGCCTGAAATGGCGTTCTTGATGACAGCGACATCATCGAAGCTGCCATGGAAGATTTTCACGCCTAGCTCTTTGAGAGCGAGAGCTTTGGGGGATGATGGGTCGCGGATGAGCGCGTTCACGGTGTGGTTTTGAGAGCGGAGGACTCGTGCGAGGCTGCCACCTTGGTAGCCTGTCGCACCGGTGACGAGGAATGTTTTCGACATTTGAGATTGGTAATATGAGGTTGACGGTTTGATTACTTGGAAGATTACGTGTGGCCCGGGTATGATAGATGATATAGACCACCACAGGTCAGTTATCCCTCAATAGAAATATACGATTTCTAACGAAGCGCAATTGATTAACATTAAACTACTGATATCGAAAAAAGTCTCCTGTACAGGATCAACTAGAGCAGATTTGATTTATTGTAAAAGCCCCGGAACTAGGGTTTGGTGCTCTTTTTGAAAATGAATTGTCTAATTACAACTTTGGCCCTAATAGCACTAAAAGGGGGCCAATACCTCAGTGTTCAAAACCTCCACCATTTCTAGTCTATTTCACCTATTTGCTGGAGATTAGTTTGCCAAGTACTCTCTTTAAAAATAAGGTTAAAAATTAGCGAACAATTCGCCGGTAGACAACTAACTCAGTCGACATGGCTTCGTATAGGTGAATTCGCTCGTCAAGAATCTGGCCCCAAAAAGGATTCAGTAGGCTGAACATTAAAGCATAATAGCCCTATATTTGTACAAACTAAGCAAATTCGGTATCTACGTGGATCGTGTTCATTCTAGCTACACTTGTTTCAGGATCACTGATGCACTTGGATTGCAGTTGAAAATTATTCCGGAAATGCCCCTCGGTACTAGCTTCACGAATCCCCGTTGCGGGCTTGATACGTAGTTGGACTTCGTATTGATAACAAAATTAGTTTTACTATAGAATTCTGCTTTGATCTTGTTTACAAGTACTGAAGGCTAGAATATGCTATCCCTTACCTGGAAGACCACTGTGATGGCCTTTAGGGCTGTATAAGCGACATAGAAAGAGAGGATATAGCTTTTTCTATAGTCTATCTACGATTTCGTCAAAATGCTAGTACCTAGCACAACAACTCCCTTACAGATTCCTACGCAAAAAACGTGCAAAATGAAACCAATCACCCTCGCGCTCTTTGGCGACCAAACAGTCGAGAAACTCTCTTCCATCCAGACGCTAGTCCGTAATTCAAAGACTTCGCCTGCAGCACGAAGGTTTCTAAACGAAGCGACAGATATCTTGCAACTTAACCTTGCTCGACTGAGCAAGGAAGATCGCAGATGGACGCATGACATACATACGCTTCTGGGATTGGCGGAGGACAACATCAATGAGGAAGATCCTAATGGGATTATTGCCACGGTATTGATGTGTATTGGACGACTTGGGGAATTTATCGTGTAGGTCACAACTATTACCTCTAGCTTTGAAACAAGTAGGCTGATTAGAGGGTAGATTTGCAGAGGAAGATCCGTCAATACTCGGTTCGGAGACCTCTCCTGTGCATGTGCTGGCATATTGCACTGGTCTTTTACCTGCTGCAGCACTCGTCGTGGCGAAGGATACAGGTGACTTGTTCGGCCTCGCCAGAGAAATCATATCTATCACGTTTCGGATGGCATACGAGATAACGCGTCGGATGAGACTGATTGAAGATTCAAATGGAGACTGGGCGATGACGCTTGTTGGGGTGACAGTTGAGAAGGCGCAGCCGATCCTTGATCAATTTCATGATACACAGGTAAGTCAATCCATCATAAATCTATAAGTCCAGGGAAATTGACGTTGAGTAGAAAATTCCATACCCTAAAAGGATAGCCATCGGTATTGTATCACGAGGATGGCTGACTTTAGTCGGCGCCCCTTCATCTTTGAACCGCCTTTTTGAGTGGTCCACGGAGTTGGACCAGGCACCTCGCACAAGAACAGACACAAACGGGCCCATCCATACCCCCTACTTGCCTAGCTTCAACATGGATGAAGTATTAGGAGACTCCCCTCTTTTGAATACGCCCATCACATCAAAAGCCCGAATCATATCTCCTGGATCATGCAAACCGTACGTACATACGACTTTAAGAGACCTTCTGGCAGAAATGCTAGTTGATATCGCTCATAATGTTCTACATTTGGCTGGTACAACGGAAGCTTGTATCGCTGAATTAGTCGGCATGGGACCTGTAAATGTTGTTGTTGCAGGTCCTACGGGGCATCTTCCCATACTTCAACGCACCCTGCAAGAAAAGGGTATTGCTTATGATATTCGAAAACATCACGATGCAACACAAAACACGAAACGGAGTCGTGGAGGGTCTGATCAAGTAGCTATTGTTGGTATGGGGGGTCGGTTTCCTGGAAGTGATACAATTGACGGCTTCTGGGAGGATCTGGTTGCTGGAAAGATCCAGATCCAAAAGGTTTGTACCATTTGACTTATCTGCGGTTTGGCATCTAATTCGTGAATATCAGATCCCGAAATCTAGATTTGATCTCGACCTACACTACGATCCGTCAGGTGAAAAGAGAAACTCCACCTCTGCACAACATGGCGCTTTTCTCAACAACCCCGGCCTTTTCGACCATCGCCTGTTCAACATCTCCCCTCGAGAGGCCACCCAAATGGATCCACTCCAGCGGCTATTACTCCATGTCAGCTACGAAGCCCTCGAAATGGCAGGATACTCTACAAATGGGACCCTTGCAACCAACAGCAACCGAATCGCTACTTATTTCGGGCAGGCATCAGAGGACTGGCGTGAAGTACTCAACAACCAGGGCATCGATATCTATTACGTGCCTGGTCTAGCAAGACCATTTGCGCCAAGTAAGTTGAACTATCATTATAAATGGGGAGGTGGCTCGTATGCTCTTGATGCTGCTTGTGCAACGAGTACGACGGCCATTACATTGGCTTGTTCTGCACTGTTGGCTCGGGAATGTGATACAGCTTTAGCTGGTGGAGGKTCTATCTTGTTGTCGCCGAATTCGTTCTCGGGGTTGAGTAGATCGGGTATGATATCGGAGACTGGTGGATGTAGGACATATCACGATGATGCCGATGGATACGCTCGTGGCGAGGGKATTGGTATCGTTGTGCTCAAGCGATTAGAGGACGCTCTTGCCGATAACGACAATGTTTTGGCGGTTATAAAGGGGTCGGCAAGGACATATACCTCAACATCGACGTCTATTACTCATCCGAGCGCCGAATCGCAAGTGAGAATTTATGAAGAGGTCTTACGACAGACAAGTACTGTGCCCAATGAGATCTCCTACGTTGAGATGCATGGCACTGGAACGCAGGCGGGAGATTTTGAGGAGATGAGTTCCGTTATCAAAGTCATGGGCCAGGGGAGATCAAAAACCAACATTCTTACGGTCGGTGCTGTCAAGGCAAATGTTGGACATGGAGAGGCAGTAAGTCAATTATCTCTGCCTATTAGTGGATGCGTGAAACTTAAGCAGACCAAAGGTGGCAGGGGTGACCTCAATAATCAAGTCCATAATGATGATGCGTGAAGCGAGGATACCAACACAGCCCGGACTTCCCTTCAAGCTCAATCAAAACTTTCCTAAACTCGACAAGGTTCATGTTCAGATTGCTGGTAATGGACAAAGAGACATGTCTCTGAGAGCAAGTCCGGCAGCCCAAGATGGCAAAATTAAGATTATGGTAAATAGTTTTGACGCTTCGGTATGTGTTTTTGATACTGAACGCGAGTGAATGTTGACTGATGATTGAAAAGGGAGGAAATACCTCGGTGCTTCTTGAAGAGCCACCTCAAGTCTCCCAGAAGACTAGAAATCCGCTTCCACGTCACGTTATTGCGGTGTCTGGCAGGTCACCTTGGTCTCTGCAGGAGAATACTCGAAGACTATTAACGTACTTGATGAGGAACTCCAATGTCAAACTTGCCGACGTCGCTTATACAACGACAGCAAGGCGAATGCATGAGAACTTACGGGTTGCATATACTGCAACATCCACGAAGGAATTGATTTCTTTCCTCAAGGCAGATGTATCCAAGAACGGGACATCAGAGCGAAAGAGAAAACCGCCTAAACTGGGCATAGTCTTTGCATTCACTGGTCAGGGCTCACAATATGCTGGAATGGGTAAAACTCTATATCAACACAGTACAGCTTTTAGAGAAATCCTGTACACATATCAACAATTTGCTTCAAGCTATGGCCTTCCAGACTTCTCTGGCATCATCTCTGGCGACGATACTGATATATCAACAGCATCTGTCGTGCGAGTGCAACTTGCGACTGTTGCTCTTGAAATCGCTACAGCGCAACTACTTAAAGCATGGGGAGTTGTTCCAGGCTTGGTTCTAGGGCATAGTCTTGGGGAATACTCGGCGCTATGCGTATCAGGAGTGTTATCTGTTAGCGACACATTGTACCTCGTGGGAAAGCGAGCGATGTTAATGGAAGAAATTCTCAATTCTGGAGATTATTCCATGCTAGCGATAGGCGAAAGTGTTGAGACGGTATCTCGACTGTTAAGATTAGATTCCGGATCCAAATGGTCTCAGACAGACATTGCCTGTGTTAATGCCCCCGCTGTGACGGTCGTGAGCGGACCTGCCAGTGAGATTTCAACTCTAAAACATCAAATTGAGGGAGACAATAGGCGAGCAACTGTGCTTCAAGTTCCATATGGCTTCCACTCAAAGCATGTGGATCCCATACTTCAAGATTTTGAAGTACTTGCAAAGGGTGTCACCTTTTCCGCCCCCAAGATCCCAGTTGCCTCAACACTGACGGGAGAAGTTGTACCGATCAACAAATCAGATGTCTTCTCTCCCTCATACCTAGTACGTCAAGCACGAGAATCCGTCAAATTTGTTCCTGCACTGGAAACATGCAAAGCAGCCGGCTTTGTTGTTGACGGAACGCATTGGATTGAAATTGGACCGGAAGCTGTGTGCCTCGGTCTGATTCGCAGAACATTGGAGGTATCTCCTACTTCACTGCTACCAATTTTCAAGTCTACGGAGGACAATTGGGCCACCATTTCTTGGGCTTTGGCATCTTTATACCGCGCTGGTGCAGCCATCGACTGGAATGAGTACCACAAGGGATTCAAAGACTCTCTTAGTCTCCTTGATCTTCCGACTTACGCCTTCGACGCTAAAGATTTCTGGATACCATATGTGGAGCCTATTCTCCAGACATCGGCTATAAATGATGCTAAAGTGTCGGAAAATGATACCTTATCGCGTCCTGTCCCCGAATTTTCAACCACAGATCTGCAGTGGGTTGAAGATGTAGAGAATGACGGAAAGACGGTCGTTGCCACCTTTGGTTCTCATACTTCAAATCCACTACTATACCAGGCAATACAAGGTCACAAGGTACAACGTTTAGCTGTTTGTTCACTAAGCATATTCTGTTCCATGGCGAAGTCCGCAACACAGTATGCTTATTCCAAAGTTAACCAGAAGCAGCGTTTACCAAAAATGACTATTTTAAACATGGAAATGAAACAAGCCTTGGTGGTCAACGAACTGAACCGTGAACAGATAGTGAAAACAACTGTGTCTTATTCTGCTTCTGGACAAAAAGCCGACATATCTTTTCACTCAATTACTTCTGGTGTTCCTGCCGAACATGGCAGTTGCCAGGTTATTCTGGAATCCGATACCAGTACGTGGTTGGAAGGACGCTCTGACACGTTGTTTCTAATCAACGCAAGGATCGAATCATTGAAAAGTCTGGGTCAATCCGGAAAGGCACATCGACTTCTGAAGCCGGTCATATACAAACTGTTTGACAATGTTGTACAGTATGGCAGAGAATATCAAGGTCTAGAAGAGGTATGGCTAGACTCTGAGTTCCGTGACGCGGTGGGTACAGTAAAGTTGCCCGATACCGCTGGAAAAGGCAATTTCCTGTATGATCCCTTCTGGAGTGACACAGTTGTTCACCTCGCTGGTTTCATATTGAACGGCAACTTGAAGTATCCAGAGGACATTGCGTGTCTCTCCACGGGGTTTGAAAGTTGGAGATCGTTCGAAGAGCTGAAACCCGATACAACGTACACGACGTACGTCACTATGCACGAAGCTGGCGATGGTTTGCTACTTTCTGGTGTTGCATACGTTTTCTCAGGCTCTGCTCTAGTTATGGTGACTTCAGGCATCAAATTCCAAAAAATGAGTAAGATCGCACTTGGTGCAATTCTGCAGTCCACTAAACCTTCAAAGAAAAAAGGAGTTACTGCGACAATCAACTCCACGAGAACTCCGAAGCAATCGGAGATTAGTCTACTTGAGAAAGCTATGATCCCTCTTTTTGAACATGATTCTGATTCTTCATCTGTGGGCGATATGCCTACACCGGATACAGGAAGCAGTGGAATACCAACCAGGGCGTCATCTGTCAATCATGACGATGATACAAATATCATCGATACGTTGTTTTCTATAGTTGCGACTGAGTCTGGTTACAGCATCGAAGATGTTGAGCCGTCTACCTCCTTTGCCGATATGGGTCTCGACTCATTGATGGCTATAACCATACTTGCCAAGGTCAAGAGAGACACCGGGGTAGAATTGCCGACAACATTTTTCCTCGATAATGCAACTGTTGAAGATGCAAAAGCTGCATTAGGTTTAGAGTCGGAACCCAATTCAAGAAATCCGGAACTATCTGTCTCAATAAAAACAGCAAAAGACATCTCTGCCGCTATGATGAAACATCTTGAAGCAGCCCCGGAAAACGAAACAACACTGCTCCTCCCTGTTGACCCCATCGCCGAGTCATCCAACAAGACGAGAGAGGAAAGCTTGGTCAGTAGAGCGGTTCTATTACAAGGCTCATTCTCGTCTCCGGGACCAAATTTGTTCCTATTTCCCGATGGCAGTGGATCTCCAGCAAACTACATTCAGCTTCCAGCACTTGGCGCCGATGTGTCCGTCTACGGGATGGAATCACCATTCCTAAAAGATCCATCAGAATTTACATGCAGTGTAGCCCACCTTGCCGATATATTCCTGACAGCGATCAAGAAGCAGAAGCCCACAGGTCCGTATTTGTTGGGAGGCTTTTCCTTTGGAGCCCTTTATGCCTACGAAGTAGCTCGCAAGCTCTTAGAGAACAATGACATGGTTGACGGTCTACTTATCATCGACATGCCTGTACCGAAAGGACTTTCATCGCCATTGTCCCCCACATTCGAGGAGCTCAGTGCCTCTGGTTTTGTTTCACCACGCGGTCGACTCACGGCAGCGCAGAAAATTCATCTTAAGAAAACAGTCCAGGCTATGACTGGTTATAATGCTGTATCCTGCTCAGTACACCATCAGCCGAAACGGACTATCTTGATCTCTTCAAAATCTGGCTTGGCAACAGCAGGCCTACAAGAGTCATCGGATTTGGTGAAATGGGTACGACATAATTCAAGTTCACCGTCACAAGGATGGCAGAGTCTTGTCGGTGATGTAGATGTTTACGAGGTTGATGCTGATCACTTTGCACTTTTCAAATATCCAACGGTAAGAGCTCTATACTACCCCTTCCATCATGGTTCTGACGAAGAGACAAGGTATACTGACGTTATTTTGCAGATATCCATTCTTGGCGAAAAGTGTGAAGCGGCACTAAAGATGTTCGCAATGTGATATCAACGTTTTAAAGTATTTTCGTTGGCATTTAAATAACTAGAATTGCATATCAATGCAGTATCACTTTGTGTACCCTTAGGCTAAAGTTAGTCGCGCAGGTAAAGACTTCCTCTAGTTTCTTCAATGACCTTAATGCCCCAAACCACACAATTGGGCTATGGTCTAAAAATGTTTCATTGATGGCTTTTTATTTTGTAAGGTACAAGTATTTGTAGTTTATTTACAATGCTACGTTCTTCGCCAAAGTTGGATCGAATCCGTCGTCTGTTGCCTAATCAACTGCTGTATATAATAGAAACTAAATGACTTGACATCTTTTTTGTTTCGACTACAAAGTGGCCCTCGTCTTTGCTCTTATTTGGCTAGTGTCCTTCAATTGGCGTGTAAAGCCAATAATTCAGCGAAGAAATCGCCGGAACTAGTGTCGTGACTGTCGTCGCATTCGTGACAATTACGACCGTAAATTGACTAAATACTAATTTGAAACTAGTATGGAATCTAAACTCATTGTGGAAGCATTTGAGATTGCCCATACTCGAGTAGGAGGGGGAATGTTCCAATCTAGACAGGGGCTGCTCCGAAGATAATCTGGCTCTAGTTAGCCCTACTTGCACTTTCCCATAAGGATTGAAACAATCCTTTTACACAAAGAATCATCAATATCTGAATTAGTTCGAAAGAGTACTTCAAATATAGACTTACTATACAAACACCATGTCGCTAAAGATAATTGTTGTCGGGGCAGGGATCGCAGGTCTATGTGCTAGCCTAGCTCTACGACAAGCTGGGCATGAAGTAGAAGTAAGTCTCAATAATACACTTGGATCGAACTCAACTTCAAAGGGTACATTTCAAGTTTGACATTTTTGATAGATATTTGAAAAATCCAAATTCGCCACAGAAATTGGTGCAGCTTTAGTGATTACACCCAACGGGACTAGAGTCTTGTCTCAGCTTGGCTTCTCCTTCTCCAATGCTCGAGCTGTAAAGATCGAATCATGGAGTACATTACATGGGGACACGATGGAACCTATTTCACATGTTGACCTCACCGCTGCCGAGAAAATATTCGGGTTTCCTGCATGGGCCGTTCATCGCGTCAGTCTTCATAAAGAACTACTGAGGCTCGCTACAAGCGCGGCTGAAACGGGAACCCCTGTTGAAATTAATTTGTCGTCAGAAGTGGTAGATGCCTCGCCAAAGGAGGGCTCAATAACGTTGCAAAATGGGGAGAAGCTTGTAGCCGACCTTGTTGTGGCGGCTGATGGTGTGCATTCAGTACTCAAACGCGCCGTACTAGATGAGGCAGCTCCCGCTCCTTCATCTACGGGCCTGAGTGCATTTCGATTTTTGATAGATACTGATATTCTGGAGAACGATGAAAGCCTCTCGTTGACTCTGAAGAAGAAAGGCCCCGGTGCAGCTCTTTTAGCCGACACGAAAGATTTTATCAACGAGCGCCATATAATGTGGTATCCGTGTGAAGAGTAAGTGGAATGCACCTGGTAATAAATCATTATGACACTCACTAACATATCTGAAAGTGGCCGTGTACAAAATTTTGTTGGTATTCACCCAAGGTTAAAGGTAGATGGAGAAGAGGATAATCCTGAATGTAAGATCATCTCTGGAGCTACATGACTTTAGAAGAGCAGGTTAACGTTTCCTTCTGATCAGCTATCAAAGCCTCGATGTTGGAAGAGTTTAAACATTTCTCCCCAGATATTGTTGAAATAATCGCGTACGTCAATCCTCTTACGATAGTTGCATGAACATTCGTGCAATCTATGAATGGCTAACTTTAGTTCCCAACAGAAGATCCTTCCAAGTCAAACGCTGGCCATTATTTGCTCACGATCCGCTGCAGTCTTGGACTAGTGGCCGACTGATTCTCATTGGCGATGCAGCTCATCCTGTGAGTACTCATTTCATAGAAGCTTACCGCACATCAGTTCAACCCCCTACTTAACACGATGTATACAGATGCTTCCCTTTGGCGGTCAGGGCTCGAACCAAGCAATCGAAGACGGTGGTGCTCTAGGCTTCTTGTTCAACGGAATTGAGAATGCAGATGACATACCAAAGCGACTTGAATTATTTGAGCAAGCAAGAAAGAACCGCACATCTCGTGTGCAAATTCTCTCCAAAGTTAGGGCTGGCAAAGAGAAAGAAATTGCAGAAGAGCTTCGCCGCTATGCGGACCCCCCCGATTCAGGTCAGTCTAAGCTATAGATAATGGATCGTGGAGTCAAATTTTACGTGTTTCTTGTCATTGACCAAATTCGAAATGTAGCTGTTCCCACGACGATGCAGGAGCGTACTGCACATGATTACAGGCAAGTCCCACTAAATGAAATAGTAGAAAAATCAACATATAGACCGTTACTGATACTTTGGTTGAAGATTTGACGTATATGAAAAATGTCGACAGGTCTTAAAGAGTGATTAACGCATAGAGCGGGTGTATAACTGGAGGTTTGATGGAATTTTATACGCAAAGAATGCTTTCGAATCAATTAGTCCTAACAGCGCCTATCGTCAGCTGGCAGTTTGCATTCAAGATATTTAGTCTCACGATTCATTATTTGAAAATTTCAAACCATGAATCATCATACTGCTTAGACAACAAGAAAAAGAACCTTCCAGGTCGTAGATCACTTATCTGGAAACGTAGATGCAGTACTTTCCTTCAACCACAACACTGGGTATCTCATCCATTGACATCGGAAGAACTCCTCTGACCGATCCATTACACATGAATATACTATATAAGCTGGGATTGAAGACTTGCCTCATTTATTCTATACACTAACACCGGTTTAGATACATAGAAAGAGAAGAAAGCGAGATAACAAGATAAAACCACAATTTATGTTCTAGGCTAACACAAAGATACAACGACACTCCAGGTAGGTTTCACTGCAGTCTCTATGCAAGCTTCTTTGATAAGAGACTCGATTTGGCTGCGATTTTGCTAGCTGTCGTTGTTATTGGCACCGCCGCAAGCACATCAAAAACAGTAATAGTCGATTTGATCTCTTTCAAGGCCCAGTTGACAACTTCGATAGCGACAAGGGAATCAATGCCATATGAATGCAGAAATCTGTTGGTGTCGATCTCCGAGATGGAAGTATGCAGTATTTTTGCAACACGTTGTACTAGGGCATCAAGGACAATATCTGTTGCTTCCGTAAGCGATTTAGCCTGACTGACCAAAGTCTGTGTCGAAGCCGAGCTATTGATCGTCATCGGATTCTGTTCCTGGAATCCAGTTTTCTCTAGAATCGAGAAGCGCGCATCTTCGAGATAAAATGGCATGGTGATACCGGCCGCAATCGCGCTACCCCCGGTGGCCAACCCTGTAATTAGTTGTGGAGAGACAGTATTGGTCATGTCACCAGTAATGGCGTGCTTCATCAGCGCGTGGAAATCCTTCTCACGAATGCCGTACGGGTCTTCCCACTCAGCGAGAGAATCCGTGATACCCGTCTCCGCAAGAACGCCGATTTCTCGCATAATTCCTAGATCAATGGTTGTACCGTGTTGACCATGAGCACGACGGTATTTTGCAAGAGCATCTTCGTAGGCGCCAGCTGCCGCATAGTTTGCCTGGCCACGATTGCCGAAGATACCTGCGAACGAAGAGAGGGTAACGAAGAAATCAACATCCGGCAAACATTGAGAAAGGTTCCAGCTGCCTTGTACCTTAGGCCTCGTGGATTCTATCCATTGTTTGTGATTCATGTTCATGAAGGTGGTGTCTCTCAAGACCATTGCACACTGAAAAACGCCATGCACTGCACCAAGCTCGTAAACACACTTGCTGAGTGCTTGGTCAAGCTCCTGCTTTTCGGCGATGTCGCACTTGTACACTGCCATTCGGACATCACGTTTCTCAAGGTTTGCTATCAAGTCTTTTGCCTGGGCTGATGAGTCACCTGACCGTGAGAGGATGCACAGTTTGCGAGCACCGTGATCTACGAGCATCTGGCAGAGGCTTCGACCAAGCCCACCAAGCCCGCCAGCCAGCAGATATACAGCTTCGGCACTCAGACTCAATTCGTTATTTCCTCGCTTAGTGAATGAAACCACAGCATCTGCAGACCAAGTAAGTGCAATTTTACCCAAATGCTTTCCAGCTTGCATTAAACGGAAAGCACTTTCGATTTCAGAGATCGGATAGACGACGAGAGGAGTAATAGGTCGAGTGATACCACGTCTTTGGAAATCGAAGGCACCCTCGATGATCGAGGCCATTATATCCGGTCGACTGTTCTCTATATGATTGAGATTGAAGAACGAAAAAGTTGCATCCTGCAGAAAAGGTCTCATATCGAGCTCCGTATTTGCCAGAATATCCCGGAGACCTATTTCCAAAAATATTCCGAACGGTGCAATGCAGTACCATGTCTGTCTTAACGCCTCGCCAGAAAGAGAATTGAGAACGACGTCAACTCCTCTGCCATTCGTCATCCGCTTGACGCCCTGCACAAAGCTCAGGTCTCGAGAATTGAAGATATGGTCATCAGGGATGTCATATTCCTCTCTGAGCAGCTTTCGTTTTGCAGCAGATGAAGCAGTGGCAAATATTTCCATCTCGAAATGTTTTGCTATTTGTAGGGCGGCTTGTCCTACTCCACCTGCCGCGGCATGTATGAGAATTGATTGCCCCTTTTGAACTCGAGCAAGACGTATGAGGCCGTACCAAGCTGTACCGTGAACAACCGGGATGCTAGCTGCTTGCTCAAATGTAAGGTCCTCAGGGATAAGCTGGCAAAAGTCTGCTCTACTTCGATGAATCGTTCTGTGGCCACCATGACCATACATAGCAACCCTGTCGCCCACTTTGAACTTTGTAACAGCAGAGCCGATTCGACGAACGATACCGGCTGCGTCAAACCCGAGAAGTGAGTCTGCAATCTGTCCCATGGCAACCATCACCTCACGGAAGCTGAAGGCACTAGTTAGTTTACTCCTTTTTTTCTAATCGGACACGGCTTCACTTACTTGAGAGCGGTGGCTTTGACTTCTATCTCTATCTTTCCCGCTTCCAGATCAGTCTCCGGTAAGTCATCCGGCTCAAAGCAGAGAGAGTCAAGGATTCCAGGGTTAGAGATGCATAACTTGAGAGGGTAAGACGCCTGACCAAGAGGTGCTTTGACGATTTCGTCACCAGTTCCACAAACTAGTTGATGGATTTCGTTGTTGAGACCCTCTTCCTCATGGACCCTACTGACATTTAACAGGCCTTTTTTAATTTCAAATTCTGTGTCGGGAGATGTCGAGAGAAACGCACGACTGATTAGTTGCCCAAGTCTTCCGGAAGAAAGAGAACGGTCCGCAGCATGGATTGTACGGAATGATAGACCAGGCATTTCATTGCGAACTACTCTGGCCAGACCGTCAATCATATTTGCACTTGGGCTATTACTAAACCCAACTACCCAAAAAATACTTTGGGCTGCGAATACAAAGTCCTTGAGAAATTCAAAGTCTGTTTCTTCGAGGTCCTGAATAATGGAGTTCTCAATTTCCACTAGGGCAATGCATGGTTTGCCCTTGATAGCTGTGACATCAGAGCCCCAGACGAATCGATTGGTCTTATAACCAGCCTGTTCGAGGCTCATTGCTATGGAGTCGGACGTACGCTGAGCAAAGGTAGCTCGTTCTGGGGCCTCTATGAGCATGATTTCCCCACCTTGTGTCTGATTTTGTTCGACCTGATTTGTGGTGTACACGGTAAGATCAAGCTCTCTGAACTCAATTTCTTCAGAATCGTGAACCGTAAATTCTGGAATTAGCCCGTTTTCGATCATCAAATGTTTCAATTCATGTACTCTGTGCGATGATGTCGCATGCCCAAACACAGTCAAAAAGCTCCCAGGGTGTATTGCCTCCACGAGACACACTCTACCACCCTTCTTCAAAACCTTGCTAAATTTATGCACGGCAGCATCCAGATTGTTGGCGTGGGTGCCGAGGTTAAAAGCGATGACTAAATCGAAAGCTTGGTCCTTGAGCTTCTGCTCGGAAATATCCTGGTTGACATCCAGTAATTTTGCACCGAAACCCTCTTGCTGTGCAGAAAGGAATTCTTCAAGGTTCATTTTTGCCATCTCATCCATACATGAGATAGTGTAATTTCCCGTCTTGAGAACCGTTTCTATCCCATCAAGTCCTGGTCCAAGAATGATAGGGCTTGATTTATCCGGCCCCATACCAATCTCCAGAATCGACAACCCAGGGTTTGTATGATGAAGTAGCTTTACATACTAATAATAAATGAGTGTCATGCATAAAAGACAATTCATGATTCAGGAAGAGATACCTCGGCCAGTTTAGTCATTGCAGACTTCATCGCTTGTCCTTCCCAAAGTAAGGAATTCAGAAGATATTTGTCACGTGTAATTTCCTGAGTGTCTCCTTGACCTAGTATAACTCTCTTCAAAATCTGATAAATGGTATCCACCTGTGAGACATCCAGGGTGTCACAGTGTAGTGTAGCCCTGTTGCTCTCTGCTTTTAGTCGGTCATAGAATGGGATGAGCTCTGGCGAAATATCGTCTTTAGAGATTTCTCCGACTAGACGCCTGATAGCCGTGAGTGCTGATGATTCCTGTTCATTGAAAGTCTGATTGCTGCTGTCGTCAAGATTGAACTTTCTTCCATTCCCTATTGCGATTTTCTGCTCTTCGGGTAACAGAAGATCAATAGCTGGTTTCCAAACAAGACTACTTACAATGGGTTTAGCCTGCTTCTCAGTAGAATTCGTAGAGCTTGCGCTAGGAATTTTCGCACATTGGAATCCCTTGATTTGGACAATAGGCGCGGTCTCCTGCTCATCGAAGACAAAGATGTTGGAGGTGAGATCGTTGAATCCGTGTCTTGCTGCATTAGAGAACCCGTTCAAAGTAACTCCTGGATCGTACGGTATATTTGACGCGATGACAATTTCCTCGATTGATCGAGGAACCATTGCTGTAGATAGTGTGATCGTATTGCTTCCCTGGACCGCCGCAAACGCTGCATGGAAAATTGCATCCAATGTCGCTGGATGTATGATATGGGGTCGATTCCCCCCGCGAATAATTCGAGTTTCGATGTCAGGAATCTTTACGGCATATGCGCTTTCATTCTGTGCATTGCGGATAGTTGTGAGATTAGTAAATGCGGGGCCATACTCCAGACCTATCTTCGTCAAGTCGGCATAGAAGTCAATCGTCGAAATAGGATTTTTACATCGAAGACTAGCCTCAAGAAGTCGTCTCTGATGTTCTTTGTCTGTAAAATCCTTCTCACGTTTCATGTCTGGACCTTCGTCTTCGTCAAACTCTACCAATAGAAGACCTGAGCAGTTATTCACGAGGCTTTTACCATCACTCGAAGAAGCAATAACAAACTCTGTCCACGTTGACGATGAATCCTTTGTACCAACGACATGTGGTCGAAGCTGTATGACACATTCTAAGGTATCGCCCTCGGTGATAACCGCGGCAGAAGTAAGTTGCACATCTCTCAATCGATAAGTAGATATGAGCTTCTGAGATGTCGTGGACATTTGAGCAGCCGCCTCTATAGCCATGGCTAGGAATCCTGCTGCAGGATATAATATCAGCCCTTGAATTTTGTGATCAGCGATCCACGGCTCTTCTTCCACATTAATTGATCCTCTCCACACCTTTTCACCTTCACTATTAGGCGCGGTAGGTGCTCCCAGCAGACTCAGTCGTGGCTGATCTCTTTGCCGATACTCAATCCCGAGACGAGACTCATGCCAATGTCTCTGGGAGTGTTTCCATGGATAAGATGGAAGATCAATCAATATTTTGGGACTCAGTTCCGAGCTTATGATTCCGCTATTATTGTTGATGGCGTTGATGTCTACCTGAACACCCATGGTAGAAAGTGAGCCCGCCAGCTCCAGGGCTGAGTCTATACCGTCTGTATTTCTCTTGAGCACCGAGAGATACGGGACGTTCGAGATGTCGTGTGCTTTCAAGCTCTGTGTAGCTGGTCCTTGCAACGCAGAGTGGGGGCCTACTTCGATCAATATTTCGACCATATTATCCTCCGAGTGTTGCCCTTTGCTATTCGCGGGGCGTATCATATCGTAAATGGCGTCAGAGAACCTGACAGTTGAAGTCAAATTCTTGACCCAGTTGACAGCACCAAGATCTCGTGGTTCAATCACTGAACCCGTGACACTTGAATGCATCGTGCATCCAGCTCGGCCGTCCAGTGGCATGAGGTCAGATAGAGCTTCATAATAGTCTTGCGCGACGACTTGCATATGCGGCGAATGATACGCTGTGTCAACATGCAGTTTTCTGGCAAATACCCCGTCTTGTTGAATCATCTCAAAGACTTCATCTATGGCAGAAGTATCACCGGATAATGTAACACTTGAGGGAGAATTTATACAGGCAACAACGACATCTCCCTTAGTGACTTGGGATATCCACTTCTGAGCCACTTCGGGCGAAGCTCCTACCGCCATCATGGAACCATCAAGATCAGGGTCAGTAATTTTCATGTCGGAAGAGAGAATACCACGGTAATAGGCCACTTTCCAAGCATCTTTCCGGGAAAGAGCTCCTCGGCAATAAGCAGCCGCAATTTCACCACTCGAATGGCCGGCAACGGCGACGGGAGATATATTCCAAGTTTTTAGCAGGTCAACCAATGCTACCTGGAGAACAGTGCAGAGCGTTTGGCTATAGACCGCCAAGTGAAGTTGAGATGTCAACTTTCCCTTTTCTAACTCTTCAATTGCTGACCAAGAACAATCGCATTCTTCACGGAGGTACCGATCAGCAGCCTTGACACTTTCTTCAAAGGTGTTGTAATTCATAAGTTCAACTCCCATTCTGGGCCACTGCGCTCCCTGACCGGTGAATACGAAGCCGATTCTAGGAACTCGAGATGACTGTGTCACGGTCATGGGAGTCTCCTCATCTTTCAACCTTTCGGCCAATTCTTCCAGAGATGATGCGATTGCAAATGTTTTCCATTGAAGCCGTGATCGTTTCTCATTTATGCTGTATGCCAATTTTTCAAGTAACAGGTCTCTTTTGTGTGTATCATCCTCTAGATAAGCCAGCTTGGTATCGATATATTCCACAAGCTGCCCTTTCACACGGGTCAACCCCTGTTTATCTTGTGCGGTTAGAACAAGTAGGCGAGGGCCATTGGGATAGTTAACCCCATTGGTTTTCGGCTCCTCGAACCCAAATTCAGTACTACCATTTGTGAGCCCTATTTTGGTAAAGTGGGTTCCTTGGATTCCCCTGCTTTTCAAATAATGGTAGGCATCTTCAAGGACTGCATGCGCGTTTGTTCCGCCGTACCCAAAAGAGTTGGTGCTAATTCGACGCACGCCATCTGTAGGCCAAGGAGTGATTTTTGTAGGAACCTCTACATTCCATTTGTCGAATGGAATCTTGGGGTTGAGTTTGTTCAAGTGGATAGTCGGTGGTATCAGGCCGTTCTCAAGGATGAGGACCGCCTTGATGATACCGGCTATGCCAGCTGCGGCTTCTAAGTGGCCAATCTTTGTTTGCTTGATGTTAATATTATGGCGCTACTTTAATAGAATTTCGGCGAAGGTAACATCGGCAATTCTTACATTTGATTTCACAGAGCCTATTAATAGCTTGTTTTCTGACGAGTGTGTTGCAGCTATTGTTCTGGCTAATGCCTCTGTCTCCTGAGTATCGCCAGCTTGAGTGCCAGTACCCTGTTCTCTGCTTTTAGTAAACTTATACAACGTTTAAAGCAGTAGGGAAGATCAAAATCCATACATGAGCTTCCACGTAGTTCGTGTCCCGGTAGTCTATACCAGCGAATCTGTAGGTTTCTTCAATCAACGCTGCCTGCGCATCGGCACTTGGTAAAGTGAAACCTTTCGTATGTCCATCCTGGTTCGAACCAGTCCCACGAATGATTGCCCTGATGGGATCGCCCACTATAATAGCATCATCGACTCGTTTCAAGATGACACAGGCAAATCCCTCCCCACGGCCATACCCATTGGCGGATTCGTCGAAGCTTTTGCATTTCCCATCAGGAGAGAGGAACTGTTGGTTCGAAAGATACATGAACATTTCCGGATTCAGGAGAAGGCTACTACCGCCGACTATCGCCATCGAAGACTCTCCTGTTCGAAGACTCTGGCATGCTAGGTGCAATGCAACAAGACTGGATGAGCATGCAGTGTCTAAGGTGAAGCTCGGTCCTCTGAGGTCAAATAACCAGGAAATACGGTTCGCAAGTGAGGTCTTTGAAGCTCCTGTCGCTGCATAGGATGGTGCATTATCTGGATCTCTGTATATCATTTCTTTATAGTCGCTAGTGAAATGACCCATGAAAACACCTGTCTGAGTGCCAGCAATCTTATCCAGCGGAAGGCCAGCTTTCTCCAGAGCTTCGTAGACAACCTCGATCATAATCCGATGCTGAGGATCCATTGCCTCCGCCTCGGTCTTTGAAATGCTGAAGAAGTTGGCGTCAAATACTGCCACATCTTGCTTCATGAAATGGGCACCCCTAGTGATACTGGTGTTGCGGTTTTTCTTTGGCGACCAAAATGCTTCCACATTAAAACGGTCTTTGGGGATTTTGGACCACGCAGCTAGGAATGACCATTTGTGAGTCAAAGCTTGATACTATGTCTTAACTCTCAGCTTTTGAGAAAATTATACGTACATTTTCCGGCACAAATCAAGGTCCAGAAGTTGTCAAGGTTGTCTCCATCACCGGGGAATCTACACGATAAACCCGTGATAGCCACGGAGTGATCATCGTGAGTCTGCTTATGGATATAAGTTCCGTTCGATTGCAGCATCTTCAACAGATGGTCTATCAGGCTCGCATTCTAGATTGTATGACTGCAATGCAATGAACGAGGAGACAAGGAGAGAAATTATGGCCATATACCGCTATACAATGACTTATATGTCTCTGTTTCACTTTACTATCAATCACTGCACTACTATCAGACATAATATAGCAGTTCAAGCTCCATGGGTCTATCTAAGAAAGGTGCTAACATTCAATCTGTCTAGAGCTGGAGCTGGAAGGATGGCCCCCAACGTGAAAGCCTAGGAACAACAACTCGCCGGAACGGGTACACGTTTTTGTTCGGGGCATTGTATATACGAAGGCAAAAAAATATAATCTTGTTATATTGATGCTGATTCCTCTCAGCTAAAATCATAAGCAGGGTCTAAACTAGTGAGTTCTATTATAATTCTGTAATCGGTCTAGGACGGTAGCAGTGCTACTATTGGTCGACCATACTGTTTTGCTTCCCTTTGGCTTTCGAACATATTCTTCTATCGCTAGGCATGTCTTATTTCTTATTTTTTCTCGGAAGGATTTTCAGACGAAAACGATGCCACGAAACTTGCTCAGTGAGTTGTCGGATAATGCTCTAGACATTATCGCTGAGGAGACTGGATTCACCAGAGATGAACTAGAACCAGATTTGGGATTCACTGAGCTGGGAGTCAACGGTCCTCTAGCAAAGAGTATAATTTCGAGAATTTTGCATGAAACGAAAGTGAATCTTCCAGCGACATGTTTCGTCGAATATCCTACCATCGCTAGCTTAGACGGCTTTCTACGAACCATAAGCCGAGATAAAGTGATTGCAAACAGACCATCGAAGACAAGTCATGCAAGATATGATCAAACCATGCCTAGCCCCCCTCTTTCAATCGTCCTGCAGGGCAAGCCGGCCTCGTCAAATAAGATCATCTTCCTTTTGCCTGATGGTAGTGGATCAGGAATGGCATATGCAAGCATTCCACCTATTGGTACCAACATATGTTTAATAGGAATGAACAGTCCCTACTTACAGTCATCCCCATCGGAAGGCACGTTCATAATTGAAGATACGGCACGTATGTGGGCAGAGGAAATCAAGATGAGGAAGCCTGTCGGCCCATATATACTAGGCGGATGGTCGGCTGGTGGTTACTATTCGTTTGAAGTAGCCAAGCGCTTAATGAGCGAGGGTCATTCAGTCGAGAAGCTCATCTTAATTGACTCTCCTTGCCGATTGGTCTTTGAGGCCTTGCCCATGGAGGTAGTTCATTACCTGTCGGCAAATAATCTGATGGGCAATTGGGTTACGAAGAAAACACCTGAATGGCTAGTTAAACACTTTGATCTTTCAATCCGGGCTATATCAAGATATACACCAACACCGATGCTCAGTGCAAATAATAATGTCCCTGAAGTATGTTTGATCTGGGCCGAGGATGGTGTGTTGCCAGCTGGGAATGACGCTGCGGAGACGGGGCTAGATCTCGATGTGAAGGTTACTCGGTTCCTTATTGAAAGCCGAGACGTATTTGGACCTCATGGTTGGGATAAACTCTTTCCAGGTGCAAAACTATCAATCGCAACAATTCCCGGAAACCATTTTAGTATCGTCCATCCGCCGAACGTGAGTCCTCGTTCTTCTTCCGTGCATCATAAATTTTCTGACAAAGAAATGTAGTCCCAAAAGCTAGGCATGCTTCTTAGAGATAGTATAGAGGAAGTATCATCTGAAAGATGGGGTAACTGGCACAATGCTTGAATGGATTCACGTAAACTACTATCTCTTCTCGGTTCTAATTACAGTTTACAGCTTGGGTCCATGTTAGCGACATTTTCATCGCAAGCGTATACAAATGGAGCTTTGATCTGACCTGCTTGCTCTCCTCTAGAATACATATGTAATTTTCGCAATTTCTTGAACCCCATAGACTTAATACCAGTACCGTCGTAACAAGTCTTCCTCCATTCCCAAAGTTCGGCCGACAGCAGCAAGTCCAATTATCACAGGTTTCAAAATAATTCCAGCGATGCCGGCAGGCCACATATCGGACATGACGAACACAATAGCTCCATGAATCAAATTATTCGGTATTCCCCCGCTATGAGTTTTCCCGTCTCGCGCCAGACCATACAGAATATAAAGTCCTTTCTCAAATCCTTCGACTGAAGGCCTTAAAACAATCTTCAATTCCACCTCTTCCGTTCCCGGATTGAAGAAATGATGAATTTCCCCAGCTGGTACTGTTCGGCTGTCACCGGGCTTCAGAGTAACACGTCCCGTCGATGCAGAATAAATACCGACTTCGCCCTTACTGCCTGTAAACGTCTCAGAGTATGATCCGTGCCAGTGTGAGGTATTGGCTCCTCCCGGGGCAAGGGAGACAGTTAATTCTGTATATTCGCCGTTTGTCTCTGCACCGTATTTGTCGAAAGTGGCCCAGTCGCCGGCGTCAGGAGTCCAGATTTTGCGTCTCTCTGGCGCCTTTATTCCGGGTGGCAGTCGGTTGGGATCTCTTTGCGCTGGTCTCATATCTATTATTTGATTTGGACGTGGATAGTTTAGACGTTGGACATGAAGAAAAATCAATAAGGGGAATTCAGACCGGACATGCGTATAGTGACTTATCAATTTGACACATAAAATGTCATGGCCGTCTAGGACTGGTCAAATTTCATTTAGATACTTTAGATAATCCTTTCAAATATATAACCATATGATTTATTAGAGGAATATAGAGTTATTACTCCCCAACAAGCAATAAGCTTCACCCGGTTAATTTCTAGAATAATTTTCCTGACTAGATACTATAAGCACCAGATCTCACCATTCCAAAAAGAAAGGAATCACTAGTTATAATCATAGTCAGTGCACGAAAATTCGCCCCTTATTAGTAGAGAGGGTGCCACCATATTAAATGATTATTTCCCTCATCTGATGATAGTCTCGTTATCCTAAAGACAGCTTTATGGGCCGCTTAATATAAGAATATAGGTATCGATTAAAGATAGCAGCATGAGACTAGGCCAATCTTGGTACTTTCCATGCGTATCGCACTGGGGCTTTCCATGAAGCATGTCACTATCTACGAAATCAATTCAATTTTAACAAGATCCCAACTCAAGAATGCACCGAAACTCTAATTATATAAAAATCATCCGCAACCATTGCTAAAAGATAAAAAATGTACGGAGCATGCAGAGGTTGAAATAAAGTGCCGGTTGCGCTAATATTTGGCCCCTGTCTAGCGCCGGCGATTACTTCTTGTGCACACAGCGACTTTTTTTGGTCAATACACACAACTCTTGTGATTCAGAAAGATGTAAGAATCATATGATCGAAGTAATTGTGGCCGGGTATAGACCCATTTCTGATAGAATGAGCAATTCCGTACGCGGACAACTTGTCTAGAAGAAGGGGAGAAGAAAGAGTTTAGGGCTTTGGGAGTCACCTTTCCGGATCTTTTCTATGGCGAGGCGACTTAAGACCGAACCACGACAATATTTTGTGCAATGTATACCTTTGTGCAGCATCATGATCGACATCATCAGTTAATACGCTGATTAATAATGTTTGACGGTAGTAATCAGTTAGGGATTGGCCGGGGGGGTTGCCGAGTGCCGAGTCCATTTGTCTAGCACTTTTTTTCTTTCTCTCTTATCTACAACAACTTTGCGGTCCTTTTTCTTCTACCTTTCAACAAAGTAGAGATTTAATTTCTGTTCTTCATTTTCTGTGCTCCGACTCGAGTTTCATCGATACAGAAAGAATGTCTTCAACAAATGCGGATTCGCCAGTCCACGGAAACACTTCAGATCATGATACATCATCAACTTTTGGTGTTGAAGCCGACGAGAAGGTTCAGTCAACACCGACACCTTTGAAAGTTGAAGAAGCAGCTTCTTCTGCTCCATTGAATGGCAACAGCGACCCGAATATCGTTGATTTCGATGGTCCAGATGACCCGTACCGACCTCTCAATTGGCCCATGCGAAAGAAGCTCACCACAACTGCTCTATATAGCTTAACAACTATGGGCTCTACCTGGGCAAGCACGATGTAATGTCCTCCTTGAATTTTCTCAGGATATGTCGTCTATGAGCAACGAGCAAATCGCTGACAGATTATTTATCTTCGGTAGATATAATTCTGGAACCACGCAGATAGAAGGGCAGTTCGACATCAGCAGTGAGGTCGCATTATTGGGAATGACCTTTTACTTGCTCGGGTAAAATTCAACACCCTCTCGCTACAAGAGCTAAAAGATTGATAGAACATTAGAGGCTAACGCTACTGAATCGTTCATAGAAATGCCTTTGGTCCTCTCCTCTTCGCACCTGTTTCGGAAGCATACGGCCGAAAGATCTCTGTCTTGATTCCATTCTTCATGTGCGCCATCTTCTCCTTCGGCACCGCGACAGCAAAGGACACGCAAACGATACTCATTACAAGATTCTTTGCTGGTATTGGTGGATCTGCTCCTCTCTGTAATACTGGAGGTGTACTGGCGGATATATGGCCACCGCAACACCGAGGGGCGGCGCTTCTCACTTATGGAATTGCAGTCGTTGCAGGCCCTCTTCTTGCGCCGATTGTAGGTGGAGCTTTCGTGGTGAATCTGGAGCAGGATGGATGGCGCTGGGGTGAATATGTATGAAAATCCTCCCTCACTCCTTAGCATGAAAGAGAAGACGGGGGCTTATTTGTGATTTTGGTGCAGCTCACCGGCATTCTATTACTCGTTATCCTGGCAGCCGATGTTTTTTATGTTGAGGAGAGTTACCCTCCCGTTTTGTTGAGTCGAAAGGCCAACAAACTGCGCAAGTTGACTGGAAACTGGGCTCTACATTCGAGTAACCAGGAAAATGACCAGAGCTTCAAATCTTGGGTGCGCACATATTTGCTCGTCCCATTGGAGATGCTGATCGATCCAATCTGTTTCTTAATCAACCTTTATGCGTCATTTGTCTATGCGATTATCTACCTGTATGTGGTACATACTGCCCGATGAATTGAGTGAAAGACTAACAAGATTTTAGAACTATTGCTGTTTTTCCGATAGAATTTGAAAAAGTAAGTCGCTGTTTCAAAACAGCAATGTGAGTTTCCTAGAGCTGATAATTCTTCTAGGTACGAGGCTGGAATAGCGTCGTCGGCTCTCTGCCCTTCCTAGGCATATTGATTGGAGTATTTTTCGGAGCCATTGTCTTGATCTGGAGCCAGACATTCTACGTCAAACGCCTCATCGCAAACAACAATAAGCCTGTGCCTGAAGCCCGACTTGTCTCCATGATGATCGGTTCATTTTTCTTTGCTGGAGGTTTGTTCATTATTGGCTGGACCTCTGATCCATCAATTCCTTGGATAGCGTAAGGACACACCTCTCTCATCATCTTCTTCTTGATAATACTGATTATGATTAAAGCTTCTGTATTGGCGGCGCATGCATTGGTCTTGGATTCTTCACCATTTTCCAGAGCGCGATTAGTTATCTCGTGGACACGTATCTCATGCTAGCTGCTAGTGCTCTTGCTGCTAACATGCTGATGCGAAGCGTGCTCGCTGGAGCATTCCCGCTATTTGCTGATGCCAGTAAGTCTTCTTCTCGCTATATAAGACATGTCCTTTGTACTGATCAAGCATAAGTGTTCACCAATCTTGGCATTGATTGGGCATGTAGTGTGTTAGGGTTTATTTCGGCCGCCATGATACCGATTCCCTTCTTGTTAGTCACCCCATTTCTTTTCCCCATACACATGACTGACGGATATCAAATAGATTCTATATATTTGGTAAGAGACTGCGAGCACGCGGAAAACGATCCGCAAAGAATCTTTGAGGAGTTACCATCTTGTGGCCTACCTTGGCATGTAGGTCTATGTTTTGTATCTGTTGGGGAAGGATTGACTTTGTTCTTTCAATCAACGTATAAAGAAATTGAATCGGTGCATATAGTTCGACGGCCGACCAGAGACGAGAAGATAAACAAAAGGAGAATAATTAATATCTTTGAAGATCAACGTAATAAACAATAGAGGTATCATTCTACAAATTCCTGCACTATCAAGGACGACTCAAAGACTCCTGTATCGATTGCAAAGTGCTACTAAGCCCATGAAACATATGCTGGATATAGAAAGAATCACCATGCAGCTGTGAATGAGTTGTATCGCCAGTAGCAGTTTCATTTGGCGGAAAGCGGGCTATCTTCTCCTCAAGTATCTTTTGCAACGAAGTCAAGATCCATATGAGTTTCCGCACAGTGTTGAGAACAAGTGTTTTGAGTAAGAGGAATCGATCTTCGCCTTGAACTTGGAACGCGCCAATTGTCAGCGGAGCTTTGGCGGGACAATATCTCGGGTCGATGTGGCGTGGTGGTGTGCCGTTTAATTGGGCTTGATTTCTTATCAACAGACGTTGGAAGTAACGAGCAATAGCTTGGATGCTCATAAATGCCAGAAGTATGACTTCCTGGTCGTCATTACATCGACACGAGGTGCACATTATCGGTATCTGCCATGCTTTCATGCCTTCCTCTACCAGGGCTAGGGCGACATCGATCGAGACTGCCGACCTATCGTTATTATAGTCATTGCTGTTGCTCGGCTGGGAGTTGTTCAATATTTTTGATTTGAACAACAGATCAACCTGTTGCTGCATGCACGCGCAAGAGCTTATTGTGCTGGCGGCTTGCTTGCCCAGTGGTGTCTGCATTGGTGGTGCCGTTGAGGGGGCTGAGATTGTATCTAGCATGAACTCGCCATCATTCGATAATCCACCTTCCTGATTAAAATTGACACCCGCGTTTGTCCATAGTAGATTTGAAAAGTCGGAATCGTTAGGATTAATGTTTAATGAGCAATCAAACGACGCTTGATTATCGTGCGAGTCTAGAAAATCAAGTCTTCCGTTATAGCTGTCCTCGGAACTCGACCCGTTCAGATCATGGTCATTCATATCAGGGGTGATATTGGAAGAAAGCGTAGCAGGTGTAGCTGGTAAACAGGCCGTGGGGGAGTGTTTGTTGTTCGATGCTCGTCCTTTATTGTTATTTGCTCTTCTAGCAGCAGCTGTAGCTACTTTGCCAGTATTTGATTGCTTTCGGCCTTCTTCTGGGCTTCGATTTTTTGTTCCCTTGGGACGTCCGAGCCGGTCTGAAAGGCTAAAGAAGCATAGGGTGCCGGTATTGAGACATCCTTGACACGGTAGCTGGCCCGAACACCGCACCTTTCCCCGATGACAATTATCGCACGCCGCACGAAGCTTGGTAACCATTATCTATTTGTCTCTTGTATCCCTGTATCTTTTATTCGACTAGAAATGCCTCGTGCTCTTATCACCTCAATTTGTGGTGGGGTCCACGAAGAAGAAGAAGAGATGCCGTGCAGCCGAGTCGAGACCATTAGCTGTAATTGATCTAGCTAATTGGGTAGTGCCATCACGTGATGTGTTTGGAAAGGAGGAGGATCAGCTGGAGCATGAAGGCATGAGGGCATGTAGAAGAGTGGCTGAATCAGATGGACGTTGAAGCGATACTTAACAGATGAAAAATCACATCTTGAACACCCCGACGGGGTCGACCATAATCCCGTTTTGGGTTGTGGCCGTTGTTTTTCCATGTCGTACCAACAAGATTTAAACTATAGACAAGTAAGCTAAATGGGACGACTAAATAAGCATTATGGCTTGGCCTATGAACGTGATGCCGCGCCTAATGCTATTTTCGAAGGTATCTCAATTGTTCAGTCTATAGTCGACCTACTAAGCATACAGCATGATTACTAAACTATGTCCAAATTCCCTACGTTGGCGTCAAAGTTCATTTTTGAAGAAATTCAAAGGCCTCTTCTGATTGGTAGAGCCTGAATCAGGCTTACTACAGATCGATTTGGGGTCCTTTTACGGAGGCCCCATAGATTTATTATGGTTTAGTATACGAAGTGTACCCGCAGGGGCCGCTGCTAGGGTTTGGCGTGCTGATGGATTGGGGAGGCTAATTTGACCTATTATCTGGATAGTATGGATCTTTGTATAGTCTAGTAGACTTTATATTAACTGAACATACCACCGAACTTAGCCTGTGCCTCGCTTAGAATAGTAGATACATTCCCAAAACACTCGTGGACAAATCGCACATCTCGAAAATAAATCACACGAGGTCGACCGACCCTTCAACAGATCTTCCATCAATGGTCTAGATCTCACGAATCCTCTGCTATTGTTCTTGATAAGCATCTGATGGAAGGATCTAGCAGCTCTTAGTGTCCCACTCTATTCGCTTCCTTCTCGTCTCAAGCTTCTAGACAAGATGTCCACACTTCTTTTTAACCTTTGTTAAGAACCTGCAAGCTATATTTTGGCCCCAGTCTTGACATAGCTTTGCCATCAGTCTACAGTCCCATTGGCCATCCATATGGCTTAAGTTCATGCAATGTCAGATTCTGCCACTATCTCCAAACGCTACGATCGTCATTGCTAGCTGTATCTTCTATAGCGGATCCATCCTGCGTAGGCGCTACGTTTTCATCAAGTTAAGCTTCTTATCGTATATGTACAAGCTAAGCCTAAGGCTCTTCATGGTAGTACTTTTAAACATCATTTGACACGTAGTGAGTCTTAATAACATGACTCACAGAGATTGCCGAGGTTTAACCGAATATGTTTGCAGTATTATAGCTTTATTTCAAGGTAAAAACGAAAAGCATGTGCTTCTAATGAAAAGCGTGTTCTGGCAGAACCTTGAACAAGGAAACGCAATACTCACCCCGTGAAGGATATTGAACGGTCACCGGAATATTTTCCCAGATATTCCCTGCTATGAAGATGCCGGGGCCAAGCGCATGTAATGTCGCCCCTTGGCCTTGTTCTTATTTGCTATGAATGGTAAAACTATCGATGCTAATTCAATCAACTCAGATTCCACTGCCTATTCGCCACGGCTGTGAGGATCGTGGAGTTTCCAGCACCTGCGTGCTTGCCGTGCAATCTACAGCCCTAGCGCCTCTCGCCATTTATTTCGCCGACAATGCAGCTGGCGATTGCATTACGCCGCACAAGGTGGTTGCTGGTGCAATCTCCAGTGGCTGTAATGCAGCTATGGGAGCTTCCACGCAGCTGTTTGCGCAGAAATATGGGCATCACCCAAAGTTTCAGGCTTAGCATAAATACATGAATCTAAGATTCTTTAGTTGAGTCATTTCCATGAACTACATTCAACTTGTAAATAGGTGCATTGTAAAATTCCCTGGCAGGAGGATCTTAGGGCTGGAAGTTGCCTTAGGCATCACATCCACAACCAGCTAGATCCAAACAAGTTAGCGCCAGACGTCACTTCGTCAACATCAACATCCAGAATAGCCAACATTCACTTCTATGATATATACCGTCAGACACCGAAATATATTGGCAATAACTGCGAAGACGAAAACCCTGGCTCACAAACCTCCATTCCTCGGCCGTTGGCGAAGAACCGCCTCACTCTTCCCAGGGAGATCGCCAATCCCACGGTCAGCTCTCCCTCCGTTCTTCACCAGTCAACCTCGGCCCTCACGTTACCAGAGAGGCGGTCCCCTATCTCGCATTCTCCGAGCGTTATCCTTTCCTCGCACCCGTGGTCGAATACAGGCTAATCTCTGGACCTTCCGGCACGAAACACTCGCGTATTTCCGTCATCGAGCGCAGACACGTCTCTACCGAGCTATCGTCAAGAGGCAGGAGAGGCTGCGACGAAGGAGAAGTAGCAAGGCGCTTGGTGGACGTCGGGCAGGTGGTGGAAATATCTGGTCGCTTTTGCGAGCACTGAGTTGGAAAAGAAGGGCCGGTCGTCCTCTTCCTCCGCCAGGGCGCAGCTTGACGTCGCGCGCTGTGAGTCGGTCGCTCAAGAATGTGGACAGAAGCAGTTCTAGGAGAATAATGTCACGATTCGGTGGCTATAGCTCGGAGGGATGGAGTGGCGATGATTCGGGTCGCGAAATTGGGTCTAGGAGACAGAAGATGATGGGCTATTTGAAGGCTGCAAATGAGATCCGTCAGACATATCAGAGTCAGTTGTCTCAGAAATGGCAGGAGTATGATCGAGGTGTGGACGCTCCTGGAGCATTTCCGGATTATGATATTACCTCTTCTGGAAAGGAAGAATTGCTGCTCTTTCCCAGCTATGCGAGGAGACATGTGAAGAAGAGTAAATCGAACGGGAGACCTGCTCAATCTCAACCTATACCCGGCACGGAGGATAGGATTGGACAAACCAGTACAACTGGTGATGAAGATTATTGGCGTGAAGAATGGGAAAAGTATGAAGATAGCAATGCGATTGTAGACGTCGATGTACGAGGCTGGATTTACACCCCTCAACATGGACCTATGAATCGTAAGCAACGGCTCATGGTTGCGCTTGCAAGGAAGTTGAGTGATTTTCCAGCACCAACCGTTCCTCCCAATCATCCTGTACAGCGGCATGCTGCAAAACGCGAGGAAGAAGACGCCGACCGAGAGGCGCAGAATCTCATAGACAAGGGTGAGCAAGATGCGGACGTGGTATGGAGGACTAACCATGCGGAGGCAGAAAGCGACTCTGATTTGCCTAAACGTGTCACCCGTTCAGGGACTAATACTTTATCACCTGACTCGAGTGATATGACGGTACTGAATACAAATCTTATGAACAGACTTAAGCCGTTCATGCACAATCCATCTGCTGACACTCCGGTGACACTTTTCTTTTATAATGACCAGCAAAGCCAATCGAGGACTACCATAACTAATGAATCGGGGCATTTCAACGTTCGAGCTGCTCTAGAGTTTGTACCAACACATGTTCGAGTACTCGCTAATGAGTCTCTGTCCGTTACGGAGGAGGTCAAAGTCATTGAGCCAGCTGGTGTCAGCTTGATTAGCGACATTGATGATACAATTAAACATTCTGCTATCGCCAGTGGCGCAAAAGAAGTGTTTTGGAATACTTTTATACGAGATTTCAATGATCTCACCATCCAGGGTGTGAGAGAGTGGTATGGTAGGCTCTATGACATGGGGGTGGGAATACACTATGTGTCCAATGCTCCGTGGCAACTTTATCCGCAGTTGAAACTGTACTTTAAGATGGCTGGATTGCCGAATGGCTCTTTTCACTTGAAGCAATACAGCGGCATGTTACAAGGAATTTTCGAGCCTACTGCAGAGCGCAAAAGGATGTCCTTGGAGAAAATCATGGGAGACTTCCCCGAACGCAAGTTCATCCTCGTCGGTGATAGTGGCGAAGCAGATTTGGAAGTATATACGGAACTGGTTCAGCAGAACCCTGGAAAAATTCTGGGCGTCTTCATCCGCGATGTTACGACGGCGGAAAAGAAAGAATTCTTCGATCACTCATTCGCTGCTCAGAGACGCTCAGGTTATTCCACCCCGTCGTCTGAACCTGTTGAGAAAAGGCCCCCATTACCGCCAAGGAAACCATCCTCTGCACACACCATTAATAATGGCGATTTGATGACTTTTGAGGATGAATCTAGTGATGATGTGATAGAGCCAGCAGACAAGCCTGCTGCAAAGGGACCCCCTGTTAAGCCTTCAAAACCGATGGGTCTACGAACAGCGGTCACAATGCCTATACAAAATACAGAGAATCCAGCAGAAGTCATACGACGCAAACCTGCGCCCCCTCTTCCGAACAAACCATTGAACTTATCGTCTACTTCAAGCGACTCGGAAAAGAAGGCACCTCCTTTACCACAACGCAAGCCGACAAATGGCACGTATACGGAGGCAGTGAAGAACATCGCAATGGATGTATATAACAACCTACCATCTACCAAGGGTACATTAGATTCATTGAGCAACCTCTCGCTCAAACAAGACACCTCACCTACTCAGCCCGACACATCGAAACCTGCTTCAAAACGTGGCGCACCACCACCCGTCCCTCCAGCGCGTCGAGGCGCAGCGGCAAGCAACACCTCAACCTCCGACGACCGAAAATCCATCAACAACACCCCTCCTCCCGCACCACCACGCCTCCCATCCCGCCAAAACACGTTCTCAAGCATAACAAGCACGGTCACCAACCGACCAACTACCGCAAGCACGAACAACACCATGAACTCCTCGCCATACTACGACTACCCCGAACCATCAGTACCAGTGCTCAACAAGCGCGAAGAGTTGTGGAAACGGCGCTGGGAACGTGCGCAGCAGATTTTGTCGGATCATGGTGTTTTGTTGGGCAGTTGGAGGGTTGGGAGTGATGTGCAGGATATAACAGTATGGCTTGTGGAAAATGCTATGAAGAAGCAGCAGGACAAAGAAAATGGGGATGAGAAGGAGAAGGGKAGGAAGTGGTGAATGATCCCATGAGATATGATGCACGTCTTGCTATACTCGGTTGGGTTTCTAGAGATATGTATATAAGCATATACGGCGTATTATAAGAGTTTTGGGGCTGGTGATATTGACCCCGCTCTCGGCCTTCTGTTTGCATTTTATCTACCTGTTCCTCTGCAACCTTGGAATTTGATGTACATAGCTATGAAAAAGAGAGTGTAAATACTTGCTTGATTGATCGGTCCATCTTCAGCTATATTAGGAACGATATCTGAGGAACACGAGGGTCAAAAGAGTAGGCCTCATAGACAGAATCGATCCATCAAATAAGGTCACTTTGTTTAAAATAGCCAAGCCACAGACTATCAGCAGGTCAATAAAGCTGAACCATTTCCGACCCATCCAAACCAAGGACAGAAGGTTTGGCATTCCCCCAGTGATCTAGAATTACACCTGTATAGCTTATCTTTTGCTCAACTCCGCTACCGCATCCGCATCCGCAGTACATCAATAGCCGCATATCGACGTAACCACGCTAATTTGGTTCAAATTTATTCTTCTTCTATAGAAAGTGTGATTGAAACACGAGCCGGAATGCATACCCAAATGCGTCTATAAAAAGGTCAACTAACCCCGTCTGAATGACCGCCTCGGGGATTTTCAAAACATCCAAGATAAAGGAACCGTTTCTCTACTTTGTTACCGATCAGCCATGGCAGTTCCATTGAAATCATTCATGTCCGATCTAACCGGAAAAATAGCTTTAGTGACTGGCGGACATACCGGGCTGTGAGTGCGCCTGCCTTTTACTCTTACTTCGATTAACTCTGTCCCGTAGAGGTTTCGGCACGAGTATTGAGCTAGCAAAACATGGAGCTCGTGTGTATATAGCAAGCCGTTCACCATCCAAGGTTAGAGATGCGATACAAGAAATTGTTGCTGAATGTCCTGAGGCAGATGTCCATTTCCTGCCTTTGGATCTCGCAGATCTGGCTAGCGTGGTTAAAGCAGCACAGATTTTCAGGGAGTACAATCCCCTCTTCGATTCACAGCGTTGAAGCCGTAGTGGTGCTGACTTGGGATACAAGACGAGAGTCGGCTCTTCATTTGCTTATAAACAATGCCGGTGTAAGTGAATTTGCTGCATTTTCCATGTTCCATCACTGATGCCCATGTCATAAATAGGTGATGTGCGTTCCATACGAAGAGACCAAAGATGGGTTTGAGATGCAGCTTGCGGTAAGATCTAGACATGAATTTTATTGAAAGTGCCATAAACTAACAACTTCATTCCAAGGTCAACTACGTAGGTCACTTTCTGTTGACACGACTTATGCTGCCGATTCTCGTCACTACATCCAAATCAGCACACGAAGGTGAGGTGCGAATCGTGAACGTATCGAGTGACGGGCATGGAAAGCTTGCACCAAAGGAGGGAATCGTCTTCTCTGACCCGAACTTGAAGCGGTACTCTGTTTGGACTCGCTATGGACATTCCAAGCTTGCCAATGTGCTGCATGCCAACGAGCTAGCCAAAAGATATGGAGAAATCATGTCGATATCTCTCCATCCAGGAACAGTCAAGACGTAAGCCGCATCCCTGAACGATAGGTATTTCTAAACCCAAAGAGACAAAATTGCTGATGTTTGAAGCTAGAAACCTCTCAAAAGGCCCGCTTTTATCCACCCCATTATATCGCCTCATCAAACCGATTGTGGAATTGGGCGCTCCTGGTCCACGAAAGGGAGCAACAAACATTCTCTTCGCAGCTGTCTCAACGTCACTTGACATCAAATCTCATAATGGAGCATATTTGCTGCCAGGAGGGAAGGTTTCCGAGCCGAGCAACACTGCAAAGGACCCGCGAATGGCTTTCAACCTCTGGGAATGGACTGAAAAAGAGCTAAAGGCTCGAGGGATTGTTTTCAATAAGTGATTTGTCGTGTCAATTACAATGTGTAGAAGCTAGGCCTTAGTCAGGGCGTAGAAAGCCCGCTGACCCTTCTCAATAGACAGAAATATTTCCAACCTTGTGTCGTCAGCGTGAGACTTTCCGAATCAACAGCTGTCAGAATTGTGCTACCACGGTGGATAAAAGTTCCTCGATCGCTAGCATCAATACATCCTGCTGCGCCCGTAGATGTGATCCAGGTGAACACTTCAGGGGCTCTGCGGATCCAAAAGGAGTAGTCGATGTCGGCCATCAATTTTTGGAGCAGCTTCACTTTTTCATTAACGGCGGATATATCCACTCTTTGCAAACGCAGTCTTAGCAGATCCCAGTATATCAAACAGCAGAGTCGACAGCAAGCATTCATCCTGCTGATAGTGTCCACGGCTGCTCCCCTGGTTTCTATAAAGCGAGGTAAAGTATCATTCCTTGCCAATGCTAAAGCTTTCTCCACTTGTGCGGTAATAGTAGCCTCACTGGCATCAGATAGCTGGTCCATCTTGATAGAAGCCTCATATACATCAAATATTGACTCAATAATCTCTTCTCCGAATAGCGTCCCGGCCTTCTGAAATGTGCTGCTGGACACAATGCTTCGAAAAATCGAGCTACTACGAGTAGAATTGTCGTACAAGAAATCCCAAACGGGCGGTGTGTCAAAAACACACGAATAAGAAAGCATTGTCCTGTGATTTTGTTAACTATGTGAGGAAAGGGAGGAAGGCCATACAACATACAGTTTTATAACACCTATCAGTGGCTCCAATTCGTCAATTAGGGATTTTTGTCTTGATAGGAGCATTTGTATAAGACCTTTCTGGTGTAGAATTGCCGATTTTTGATCCATTGCCACCATCTAATGTGTTGTCAGTGCCTGGTTAGGTTATATCTAATCCCAAATTGGGACAATTTGTTTACTCACATTATAAAAGATTAAAGATAACACCGATCCCAAAGTACCGTAATTCAGCAATGGAACGTCCTGATTCAAGCGTTCACTTAACATTCTAATCGTCGATGTTTGATGATACAGTGTCACAGTGGAATTCTGACGACCTTTCAAGATATCAATAGATGCAGATGCACTGAATAGTGTGGCGTGGAATAAACACGGGTCTGTCATTGCATGTTGGATCCATATAGAGCCGATGTGTTGTTTGAGACTATTCACAAGCGCAATGTCAGGTGACAGATTTGCGGATGTACCGACTAGCCTCAATTAGACCAAAGTTCGAATTGAACTGTGGAGGGGGGTTGGATACTGAATGTAGAAGGCTGACTTACAGAATTGTAATAAGCTTGGCATATAGGGACGGTATGTGATGGGAGGGTTAAATGGAACGTTAGGTCCGAGTAGATAATACGAAATGGCGCCAGAATCAAAACATTGAATGCGGATTTTACCCTCAGCACAGCCTGGCAGGGATTGGGCTGAGACCAGCTTTGCAGCTCCATAATCACAGCCCAAGGCAAGCCTAGTGGAATTCGTGTCAAAAGGAGCTATTTCACTTTTGGGACGATGGGTGTGCCAACATACCTTGAACACCGAGAGCAAATCGGAAGGAGTCGATCACATTTACGTTTGCGTATCTTGCACCTCATACAAGATTGGCTCGATTCTTCGTGTACGAGTCTTTCCCCTCCGCTGTTCGGTACAGTCTCTACGATTGGAGACGTTGAGGTAGCTGCGTAGTGGCATTTTCGATTGAGTCTAGATCCTTGGATTCAGTGCTAATGAATACTATCCAAAGCAATATAGACATACTTTTTGCAACGAGAACAGGAGGGACGCAATTTGTCGCATTGTCTCTTGCCGGCTCGACACGGCAGGCACACTAAGGGAGCTTTGTTGCAGATTCCCTGATCCTCGGCCATGACGGGCTCAGTACATGTAATGAGCAGAAACAGAGGCACGCACTTGCATCAATCACAGGTCGTGTTGCTGATAGTTGATTTCCCCTCGGGTGTTGGAGACAAGTTTCGAGCGCAAGTGGTATCGTAAGGATATTCAACAACTTTTTTCAAAAATTAGCGTGGCTCGATACAGCCGGGGCACTTGCAAGAAGATGAATTCACTCAGCCTGGTCCTCGATGATCACAAGCACATCGATGCGGGTGCGGGTGCGGGTGCGGATGTGGGTCTCCTCATCTTCAGGCTGTGGAAATAAAAAACAGGCACGATTTATATTCGACCAAAGTTAGTTTTTCAGAATTATTATCTGTGTCACGAATTTTTGAACTTCAAGTGGTAATCTGCCTCTGAAGTGGAGGTTCTAGATCAGCCTTGCCTTCCACATAATGTGAGTAAGTCTTTATTGGGAGCATCCAGTATAAGTAGCCCTAGATATGCCCTCTAGACCTCGATTGTATCGCTTGAAAGCTCTTACTTCAACCAACCAACTACTCATTTCATACCACCGATTTCAGACGGTGCGGATGCGGATGTGGATGCGGCCGATGCACCGTTCGTCTCCGAGCCTTTTCCAGAATCATCCGGGAATATAAGACTGAGCACTGCGAAAACCGTGGCTATTTGTCTGAATCACTTAGCTTCAAGTATTGATCCTTGGTGTTTAGTCTGTCACTTTTCGTTCAAATTACGTATGACCATCAGAAGGGAGTGTAAATGCCTCCTTGATTGATATGTCTATCTATTCAAGCACTACGACCGAGATTGGAAGCCAGCTTCCAATGTGAAAAAAACTAAGATTCAAAGGAGTGCAGAATACAAGATATAACCGACACATCAAATCAAGTCACACCAGGCCATCCATGCACCAACAGAGGTAGACCGTGGGCTGCCAGCAGGTCAATAAAGCCGGACCATCTTCCACTCAAATAAACCAATATCGATAGAAAATTGCTAGTCATCAACCAGTAGCTTGGGATCACGTTTGTATMCCTCCTCCAGCCACTCTTGGTTTTTTCTAGACTCCGCCTCTGCCCAAGACTCTGGCTTCTTTTCTTCTGCTTTTGGCTTGTCAGTCTGCTTCAGAGATTTTGTGCCCGCCGATTTCAAGGATGATGATGATGATGATGGAGATTTCATGCTTAAAGCCTGATCTGACATGATTTATTCGAGGGTTGGAAGATCTTTGAGTATTGACTTGTAACCCTGACAGTGTTGTGTTTTGGGTTAGGTGTTATCGAGAAAAGTATAGTTTTTGAAGAAAGAGAGTATTCGATAGAAAGAAAGAAGAAGTAACAAAGCACGGTGGGCTCTCTAGGCATATTTATATCCAAAGTCAGTCCAGTTGTTGAGTCACGTAGATTACATGTACGTTCTCGAGAGAGCCAGTACGATCTGACACTGTCAGTACCACTGACTCTAACCGATGACTCAAAATTAAAATAGCAATTTTTGTGAGAATACCTGACTGTTCGTCTTGACTATGTAGAATGTAGAATTGATGGGTCATATGTCCAATCAGTATATAGAATAGGCACATAGGCTACATGTATTCGCCCACATGCAATTACTACCTACCTAGGTATCGTCTACATGTATGAATTTGAAGCAATGCCCTAGGCTAACGAGACGTCTTTCAGAGGCTATAATCATCATTCAAGTGAATGATTATTTTGTAGACAGTTACTTGTTCAATAAGTCCCTTCCAGCCAAATAATCGTGGACATGACATAAAATTCGACACCTGATTTATTAAACATTCAAGCTCCACTTATGAGTAGTACTCATAAAGTAGAAAACAGAATATCAGCAGAGTCCCCAGATCACAGACAAAGCTAGATACACCATCAACAACAACCATTCATAAATCCACCTTGCTTTTTGCTTCATCTTCATACCTACGTAATAGTGAATTAGATACCATAAACTTAGAACATGAGTCACACTTTGTCTGGTCAGGTATAAGGTCATGGGTTTCTCAATCCACTGACTGTATTACACGGCTGGTGTACACAGTTCTTCTCCGATGGTTCTCCACCGACCATCCGAACTTATCAGGACTGAACACTGCGAAGTTGATGAATATTTGTCTAATGACTTGGCTTCTAGTATTGATTCTCATGTTTGGTCTGTCACTGTTCTCTTCAATTCCGGGTATGGCTATAATAAAAATGTGTAAATACTTATTTCATCCTCCTATGTATATACACACGAATAAACAGCTTTCTTCTAAGAGACATATCGGGTGGAAGGAGTGCGGAATGCATATATAGACCTCAAGATCCAACAGCCTATTCCAAAGCCTCAAGCAATCCTCAGCCCGTACCCAGGAGCAGTCATTGGGCGTTCACACAGACCTCTTCGGCGGCCAAGAACTTCTAGACTTCAATAGGATTTCATCCCTCTTCTTCTGCTCCTCTGCCTCCATCTTGTCATCCTTCCTTTCCTGTACCTTTGTCACTTGCTCAGCTCCCTTCTTGTCACTCTCGTGTTCTTCTATGACGATTTCGGGAACCCCCTGGCCCGTGGAGGTATACGAGTTGGCATTGTCAATGTCTCCCTTTTGACCCAGGGACAGTATGGCTAGTGCTTTCAGCAGTGATTCGTTATTTGAGTGTCTGTCTGACATTATTGATTCCGGGCTTGATAGATCGACGAGGTTTAATGGGATTGAGAATAGCGCAGTTTCGGCGTTAGGAAAACATAGAGAATAGGAAATCTCTTGGTTTCTGTAAGGATTGATATCTAATATGGTAATTTAGACTATGATTCATCTTATTGACTCATTCATAAAGTCGTCGACAGAGTCAGTATCTGAGTCAGTACCAGTCATGACCTGACCGGTGATTATAGATGGTCAATAGCAATCAATATATAGACCACTCCATTCTTCTTCTATACTGGTACGCAATAACTTAATTCGTCCACAAATCTGGAAATAGAAATTTAGATAGAAAAAGATGTCTATTCGATTTTCTCTAACGCGCTCTGGAGATTTCCTTGTAGCGTTGTGAATATTTCACCACTTCGCTCCGAGGTTAAGTTACAAGGAAACTAGAAAGCCCTCAAATTCCATGCCCCATTCCTCCTTTATCTCATCCGCGTAACCGAGGTATCGGTCATTTCATCGCATTCATTTTCTCTGTTCCCTCGACGAGCGGCACCCAATCCCGTCTCCTTTTACAGAAATACTCCTTCTGCGGCGCCCATTCTTTCCCTTCGAGATTCATCGTCCCGCTAGTCACAAACACCATTCCCTCCAGCGTCGAATTTTCCACGAACAGATGCGATCCACAGTTGCCGCAGAAAGAGCGGTTTATGGTGCTGTTTCTTGCGTCGGTTTGCGTATCCTGGTATGTTTTCAAGTGCTCGTGACCGGTACGGACGTGGAGTTGCTGATATAAACATTATTAGAGAAAATTGACATGGTATGTTAATAGACACTATGAGATGGCTTTGTACTGACTGTCTTCTTATAAGTCCCATTTGCCATAAAAGCTGATCCAGACGTCTTTTGGCAGTTGATGCAGTGGCACAGGGCGTTTAGCATGGAAGCTCCTGATAGTTCATACTGAATTGACCCACAGAGACAGCCTCCATTGATTGTAATCTCACTCATATCGACTGATGCACAATAAACGGAAGCAACATATCTGACGATTCAACAAAAAAAAAGGGAGGCCTTCTCTGTCTTTTTAATTACTTATCTTTGGTAATTCCTTCTTAGTCGACATCGAGGATCACGGCACGGGAATCGAAGCTCCGCCGTCCGAGACCTTCTCCGAGACCTTCGCCGCTATAGTAATAGGTTACTCTGTAAGTCTAACACAAGGATCGCGGCACGGTAATTGAAGCTCATCCGTCTCCGCGACCTCACGATAATATATTTAAGCGCCTGAGTAAATGCAGGTACTCGTCCAGTGCTTGTCCCCACCTCTCTTTCAAGCTTATTGAAACGTAGTAAATATGCTATATGCTCTATTTACCTAAATATTAAAAGTTCATCTAGACTCTGGTTGTAGGATCGAGTCATTCATAGATTAGCTTGTCCTAGACACCATGCCTCGTTATGGAGTCAGGGGTTACTCGATGCCATGATTGTAGAACGTGAATCATGAATGACGTACAGACCATACTGATTTTGCGGTACTCATCAAACATCCGAATACATTGGGAATAGACGTAGTGAAAATGGCAGACGAATCTTCTGAATGATATACTCGAGACAGCAAGAGTAGGATATCGAACACGTATCCACGTTATCCTAACGGCCATGTCCCAGGTCTACATCTACGAACAATTCGCTTCACCCGGAGAACGCTCAATGCTTCGTCAATCGTTTCTCATGATTTGAAAATAAAGCTAGCCCAAAGCTTTGCAAATCTAGATCCCAAAGATCCTCCTCTATGTAAGCATCAAACCTAGAATTCAAATAACCCTCCAAATCCGAATATCAGCCGCTCACCCGACCTTCCTCTCATGCCTAATTCCTCATTCCCCTGCCAGGGTCCTTGTATCTGGCAGACCAAACATCATATCCTCCCAACCCATTTTACCATCGATGGACTATCATCATCAACTAATCCCTCGTTCAGCGCCGTTCCCGTCTCAGACTTCGCGCAGGGTTAAGTTCCAGACCTCTTTCAGTCGGGCCATCATCACCATCTTGATCATTTCGCTGACTCCCGCGCGCGAGGTCATCGATCATGGCATCAAGAACTTCCTGCTCCGACTGCGCGGGTCTGACCTTCTCCATCGACTCATTCACACGACGCTGACGATTGGCATAACCATACCCATAACACTCATAAGCCGGGGGCGAGTATGCAACTGCTGGCAGTGTAGGCGACAAACTGTAGGATTGCTCTGATCGACGAAGAGAAGCCCTAGGCGTCGATGGGCGCTCAATGATATATGCCGGCGGATTTCCTAGGCTATAAGAAGAAGCACTGAATGATGATTGCCGAGAAGCTTTGGGTGTTGATGAACCTGAGGATGAGACATCTTCTTCGTATTCATCATCTCCTTCATCGTCGTTTATGTCTTCGTGGTGAGATGTAGTCGGTCCATCGACGTCTACGACCAGCGCTCGAATGGTGGGCGTTGTCATGGAAGCGGAAGAAGACGACTCATTTGAGTGGATTGGAGACCCCAATTTTTTAGCGCGCGTGAGGGCGTGTCCTTGGAAAGTTTTGGCGGGAAGATATTCAGGCTCTTTGGGGCGGCTGATTTTGGAGCGTTCGTCGTTGGGGGGATCGTTGTCCATTTCGAGTCGTGGATAGATCGAGGCGAGAGGGTTTTTGAGGTTTGTCTGCGTTGAAGTTGTATGATCAGTTTCTGCTATTTCTAGAGATATGGACAAAGACTGGCTATGTGTAACAATTTCTAGAGGCAAAAAAAGGTAAAACAGGTAATTTTATACTCACAGCTTCAGCTCAGAATCATACAGAAAGGTAAATGTCTTGCATGGCCATGAGACCTTTCACAGCTCAATAGTCTTCAACAATAATGGCATCAATGAGAAGGGGAAAACAATAGCATGAGAAATATGTCTACGAAAAGCCGGAACCTTCTTTGCACCTGATCTTTGTGGTGAGGCTCGTCAATGGCATTCACATGGTGGCCTAAGGCACTTATTATTTCCTCTTTCGGAATTGTGCTAATATATTTCCATCATTGGGCTTAGTAGAAATGATTGAAGGAATATTCATGTACTACAGTTCCTAGACAATTAAACAAAAGAAATTCAAAGGGGGATGAAGTGGTTGCAGATAATGTCTCATCGACTATAGTTAGGGTTTGAATGATCCCGTGGTCATGTACATCTACGTTGAGTAACCTGAAGCTGATGTCAAAATCGATACATTCACATTTCTGAAAGATAAGTTTACGCGAATGAGACATGACTTAAATCAAGTAATATATATGATTAAATATTAAGTAGTATATATAACTAATGTAACAGCATTATTTCACTCAGCTCATCGAGCTCGAGATGATATCTCATCAGATCATACATCGAATTCATACATCGTCACGTCAAATCTCACCCCTCTGACCCTTAAAACGTCTCCATAATCCTATACAGGAACTAGTAGCGAGCGTTGTAGCCCGCAGTCTCAGGCTTGTAGCCAGTCTCGACTTCACCGGGAGTAGGGTGACCGGGAAGAGTGTCGGCGCCAGCGGTGTCAGGATTGGTAGTCTTGTTGCGACGCCAGAAGCCGCGACGACGAGTGGAGCCAGAAGTATATCCGTTGGCGGGAGAAGGACCAAAACGCTTCTCGCGGCGTCGGCTGCGGACCATAGGGATAGCCAGGAAGAAGGAGACGATAAAGAGGAAGCTAAATATATTAGTATATTGTGGATGTAGCAAGTTAGAGGGGGGAAGAATTACATCGAGATGATGGAGACAGCAAAGACAGTCTTCTCCAAGCGACAGGCCAATCCCAAATTAGGCAGATAGGTAACGGTCTCCCCGCTTCCGAATCCGAAGCCATTGCTTCCATAACCCGACGCATTCGAGTCCGACGGCCCATTACCCAACGGCGTCGTAACATCGCCCGAACAAGTCTGCGTTCCGTGCCTGGTCATGACGGCAATCGCGACGGAGGCACCCACAAAGCACACATCGAGCACCATGCCCAGCACGCCGAAAAACATAATTCCGCCGAGACAAACGGTGAAGATTGAGCCGAGCAGGGCATAAAGTGTGGCGGCACCGGCGAGACCCTCGACGGCGCGAATCCATTGGGCGATGGGCAAGTGGTGGTTGCTCAGCACGGCGAGGAAGTAGGAGAAGATGCCAAGCATGACGGCGCCGGCCAGGAACTGGAGGATGCGGATGCCATTGGCGAGGATGCGGAGGACGACGCTGCCGAGACCCATGATTCTTTCACTGAAGATATGTATATGTGCGATATTATGTGAGGGAAACGATGATTGTGCAGAAGATCAAGGATGAAAGGACTGAGCGACAAGTCGAGAAGAGCAATCAGGCAACCCCGTAAATATATACTCCGAGCCACCACACTGTCTCCGGTCCTCGTCCCTCGTTCTGAGTGGCTGATGCGTGAGCCCCATGGAGGCTTGAAGATCTACACTGCTGACCTAATATCAATGGAGCTTCTCATTGGCTCCACTGGTAGTCAAAGCAGTCATTTTGTGGGCCATCCTGCATCCAGTGTGGCTCAACTTCCCCACCCATGATGTCACGGACCTTTTTTCCTTATTTTTTTTCTCAAAGTCTCTGACGTTGTTCTCTTACTTGTCGTGTTTTTTGCGTCGTCGAGTTTCCCTTTCGGGCGCTGAGGCTGCGAATTAGGTTTTCCTTCTGGCGCTATTGCTCGGTGGCAATTGTTTGGTGAACGTGCTTTTATCCTTATATCACTGTTATGATGTAAGGTCTTGTACGGAAGTAGTTGCTACGATGTATGTAGTTGGTCGAGGGGGGACGCACCGCCACATCCACGTACCTCGGTTGAAGGGCATTGACGTGAAGAAAGCGATAAACACTAGAGTAAATATCCTCATACGTAATGAATAGTAGCTATACCTGCTTGGAGCTATTATGTCCGAATAAAGCCGGATGTATTAAGTGTGGAAGCGAGAGACGGAGACTCCTCGTAAATTGTCCGTAAAGTTTTGACGCATTGGGTTTGCTACTAGGGTTTCTCAGGCCTAAGCAAAATTAGCTGGTAAACACGATTCTGCCAGGAACGAGCTTGATGACTCTTCAGCTTGGGCGCATATAACAGGAATGGATATAAACCATTGTTTCACTCTAACAAGCACATACGACCATAGGGTGTGGAAAACGTCCGCTCAGCCGTACTTAAGCCACACGCCGGCTGGTTAGTAGTTGGGTGGGTGACCACCAGCGAATCCCAGCTGTTGTATGTTTTTGCTTTGTTAAATTTTTGCTTATTGATTTGCTGATCTTGTATTTCGTTCTGTTGCTGCTTTAATTCCAGCCTGGTTAGGAATTTCTCGCCTGACTAGAATTGCTGATGTGGCATTCGTCTAAACCTTCCCATGTCGATCTACCCACCCCTCTTTCCCAAGCCCCTTATACTGTGTGGATCAATGTTGCATGTTAGTGCTTCTACGGAGTATATGGAATTCGTCTAGTCTTTGATCGCAGCTCTTGACGTTATTGTCCGATCTTCTGCACAAGATAGCGTCTACTTGAAGAAAACAGCCTCATCGGAATGAAAGTCAGCACATACGAGTCATGGTGATAAGCGGTGGATGTCATGGCTTTGATTACTTAGTGGCAGTAGAGCCATCTACTGAAGTAAATAAAGCAGAATACAACTATTTTTAAGCCTACAAGACTGATATCTCACTCTCAAAACGCCGAATGTTCATTCTGATCCAGGCTTGAAATATCCCCAGCCCAGCACATCATGTGGCTGATGGAGGAACTGAACCTATCTCACGATATTGAAACTATAAACGCAGTCCCAACGCATCGCCCCTCCCGAGCTGAGAACAGATTCATCCACTGGGAAAGCCTCCCATCGTCTCGGTGCAACCCCCAGATGCCTCACAACCTATGGTCTCGGTCGAGTCGGCCGTCATTATCGAGTAATTCCTCGATCAGTTGGGGGATTCAAGCACCAGTCTCATTCCCCCGCGCTATCAGCCCAGTCGCGAGGGCCAGTTGGGCGGCTAAACTGAGGCCTGGATGCGCTATCGGCATTATATGTACTATGCCGAGGAGAGTCTGATGTCGCCGATTCAGGTGCAACTGATCATGAACGGTATTTCCCGGTTTCCTACTTACATCATATGTATTGCTGATATAAGGATTGGCCGAACGAAGCGCTGAAAATCGCCCCCATCCCCTTCTTCCTCGAACCCATCACCAGGTTCATATTCAGCAAAGTCAGCGCCCAGTTCCTGGACCAAGAGCTACGCATCTATTTCCGCTTCCTCGAGGATCAGCTGGCGTCTGCGCAGGAGCAAGAGCCGTTTCTGTGCCGTTCAGGCGATATCTAGATAAGTCTCCCTGTTATTGCCGCGCTCAGTCTATCGTTCCGCGCAAGGAGTATGTGGGACTGAATGCTTATGCTTGAAAGATCCAGAATTTGGAGGGTTACCGGCGGGCTGTGGAGAAGGTGGAGAAGATTGAGAGGATGCCTTTTGTGGCGATTTGACGTTCATAGGAATGAAGGAGGATGGGATTGATAGCGTTCAACAATGTAGTCTTCGAAGTGGTTTAGACCAAGCAATCTCAGACTTAGTTACAGGATAGGAACGAGCGGTACCCGGACCGGGATAAAATGCAACGGAGAAACCACATGGCGCAGACGCAACCATACACCCGCTGTGTAATTAGTAATGCATACGACATAGCTTGAATAAGAGCTCGAAACAGGGTTTTCTTTGCCGTCGTCAGTGTCAGCCTGCGAATCCACGGCAGTTTTCCATTAATTTGTCTTCAGATTACTCGTCGGAGTCTATTCCATAGTAATACGGACCTCACCTTCGCCTACGTGGCGCTACAGGCTCCCTGATAGGACTGGACGAGGCTGGGATGAGTAGCCAGGACTGGATCCAATACTGGGTTTAAGACTGGGCTTAGGGGTACTCTTTTTTTAGTTTAGTCGACTTCATCTAAGATGTCATTAAAAGAGGTACAGTTCTCAAACATACCATCTATGTATGTCAAGGCCAGGAAGAATAGTAAGTTAGATAACTATAGTTATATATTAGCAATGTCTAGTAAATCAGCTCCTATTTAGGTCAATTCTTTAAGACCAATAGCTTTTTGTAGATCATGGCTTCAGGATAGTAAGAGATATGCGAAAATGATTGACAAGTTACGGAAATTGAGTAAAAACACGTGATTGCCTGTTTCAGAGATGATTCAGAACATTGCACAAGACTCAAAATAGAGTAATTGCTCATATACCAAAATTTAGGAAGAGGGAATGCAGATGCAGATTGCACATCATTTGCTAAGTATTTGACTATTTGCACTTTGACATAATATTAACTTCTCACATTGTTTATGTATCTAGACTGTCCGATCAGCCACAGAACCTGTCACGTAGCAAGGTCCCGGCAGCTGAGAAACAGGTCCATCCAATCCCAAGTCCTCCGTGGGTGCTGCAACCTGCAGCGTCTGCGTCTTCGCGCCCTGTACAGTACCATTCGTGATTGAGCAACCGGGCGAAGTCTCCGAGTACCCGTTGCTGCCACAAGTAGTGAAGGCGTTTTGCAATGCGTTAATATCGGACCAGCCATTCACAAAGTCGGCGTGTAGACCGTATCCTGTCAGATCACCCATGGCGTATACGAGGTTCTCGTAGTCGGGGTAGGGCGAGGTGTCGTAGAAGAATTCGAGGAAGAGGGAGAAAATTGCTCTTGGGTGGCTCGAGGGACAAATACCAGTGTTGTAGTCGCCGATTGCTGGGAAAGCCATCTGTTACCTAGTCAGTTATTGTTTTGATTCCACGGAAGAGAATGGCACAGTACATGACTTTTATGGTCGGAGCTATCAAGGTTCACTCCGTCCCAGCATGAGGGAAAGAAGACTTGGGAGCGTAGTCTTTCACAGGCCTGCACTGGGAGAGAGTTGGTATACACGCTGTCTGTGGCAGTAAGACACATGTGGGATGCAGCACGTTGTGCGAAGGTGTCGGTATAGTTTCTGTTTATTGTCAGCATAATTTCACATATATGGGTCCCATGGATCTTACCGAAGTGTTGGGTTGCCCGATATCATACGAAGACCAGCTGGAGGTGCTAAAGGCATAAAGTTCGATGGACATGCAGTCAGACCGGCTTGATAGTCACAGGCACGTTGTAGGTAATATACAGCCTATGTATAACGGTAGTATCAGTCAAGATTATTCATACAAGGGTTTGAAAAGCTGATTACATTGCCTTGGAATTCTACAGCCTCAAATTGCCCATCAGACCTGATGTGATACAATAGTGGCTGCCAGTAGTTCGACTTATCGATCGCGACAGAACAGGTAGTTGCCAAAGCATCGGAGGCGGCATTATTATCCATGGTACGACTGAAAGCAGTTCCACCGACAATAACATGTGTGTGGTTACTGGCGATACCAGGGCTGATAATTGGATCTGATCGCTGGGTGGTCAAGACATCACAGCTAAGTGTGAATTCAGCCTGAGCCCGAGCAAGAGCAAAGAGAAGAGAAACAGTGGAAGCAATCTGGAAGCTACGCATTGTGTTTTGCTTTAGTTTTGGATATTGTTATGTTTTTGTGGGGTGTCTTTTCTCGTGCTGCTGGTTTCTTCAACCCAACCTGGATTTTGTGAAGGCCATGCGTGGAATTTATGTCTTTTTCCAAGTTCCTGTGGCATGTCTCCAGGAGACTCTTACTGCGTAATTACTGTCTTCTTAGTAGAATAATTGAATGGCATAGCTGCTGACCAAGTAAAAAAACCATTCTTGTTTGGGTAAATGGTATCCAAGGTTACATTCTTACCTATATCAGTCCTTGAACTAACAAAAACTGAACTCATTGTACTTTAGCGTCTAAATTCACCAGTAACACATCTTGCTAGAATTGCTACACCAGTATTCGATTGTATACCTAATCTTCGTCTCCAACTGTATGATCTTGAAGGAGCTTACCTCGGTCACCCAATTGACCACGCATCAAAGCTGAGTTTATGCACTAGCCTGACAGCAGCTGGAGGCTCATACTTCTCATAAAGGTGAAGACAAACCAATGTTGTCGCCAAGAGAGTTGATTGACGAGTCGACACTCATCAGTATGATCGAATGAAGTATGGACCATCACACGGGGAATTAGGGTTACGTCCAAGTACTACCTACTCCGCACTATCAACCAGAATTGATGCATGGACTTCAGCTTTGCGCACCCCCCTCTTCCCCCCTCTCCCGCCCCTCAAAGATGGTTGATTTAAAGACATTATCGGGAATGCCAGTTTACTCTTACTTCTGTCAGGTCTAAGATGGTATCGAAGCCGAACGGATGAACACGGCACCCATGCATGAATATAAACCGACGGGATGTAACACAATAACTTAATATAATTACAACCCTGGGGATCATTTTTATAGTTCATAGACTTCTGAAAATCTTTCACCTTAGATTGGTAAGGAGTGACCTCAATTCAGGCGGGATCATCCCAGGATAAAAGTCTGATAATTGATGCATTGAACTATAATTGTTTCTTGTTTGCTTATACGTACCTGAATTATAACCCTGCCAAAAGCATTGAATACCGGTAAACCAGAAACTAAATACAAAATACTACATACGATGTAGTGGGCCCCAACCATCGCAAACCCTAAACCCGCCAGCGTTTTGAGATGAGGCCCCGAAAAATTAAGGGGTTGACGCTGTAGCTAGCGCTGATGTTTCATCGCTTTTCCGCGCTATTATGACTATTGGCTGAATCGATCCGTCATTTTCTCCGGTCTACCATGATAAGTCGGTGAAGTAATGTTAGTACAAGTGCGGTCAAGAACGCCGTGGAAACAGTTTGAACTTATATTTGCACCTCACAAATCAACCATTCATGAACTTTTCAAATCTTAGGTACCGAATTGAACAGACTATTTACCGCAGGTGGGAGAAAATTGGACCTCCGAGCTACAGATCCTCGAAGGCCATTCCGATTCAGTTCGATTAGTGGCCTTCTCGCCTGATAGCCAACTGCTAGCACTATATGCTATCTCTAACTTAAAATCAATAGCAGCTCACCATTACATAGCATACACTTATATACCACCCACTGGTAATTCTGTGACATGTTCTAAATGAATATGAATACAGTACGTACCTTGGCTTTTGCATCGTGGCTGAGAGCTATAGTTGGTATTGGTACTGGTTCACTGAGCAGCATGGTGGAGTGGGGTTTGTTATCCGAGCAAAACATGGTGACAGATGAAAGACTTGAGAACCTGGCTCGTGAGCATTACAGTGGGCATGTAGTGAATCAGTAATGCATGGGAAAGATACTTAATTGCCATACAGTAATTCTTTCGTGATTTGTAGATGATCCATAATATGGCATCACTATTCAATGCTCTTCAAACTACTTTTATTGAAAGAGATATTGTTGAGGGAGTCCCTATGTCCCCTTTGTCCAGCGGCACCTACCACATGTAGGTAGTTTAGCGTTTTCAAAGGAGAAAGGAGATATCCTCGCTTCCTAGCGAGATCTCCTTTCTCCCGAGAACATACTCAACACCTACTTAGAGCAAATACAGAGAATCATTTTCTCGTCTATCTCAAGATAACTTGATATTGTGGAAGTATTTTTAGAGAACGGGACTGATGCCGATGCATAGGCTGGGGGGTATGGCAATGCTCTTTGGGTTGCTTCTATTGGATGACGACTTCATATTGTGAAAGTACTTTTAGAGAGAAAGGATCAATAGTAAGACACTTGGTGGAAAGTACCTTGAAGCTACTTTTTGAAGTATACTAAACTAAATATGAATAAGGTCTTGGAAGTCTATTGCTGGGTAATGCTTGTTGTGAATACTCTCTATGGACTTAATGCTTTTTATGTAGTGTATAGTAGAGTATTTAAGTCTTTTTTTAGCTAAAGGAGGCTCTTCGTAGATACCTGCTATGTATTGGAAGGGCAGAGAAGGTGCTTGGACTAGAGTACGAATATCTATCTGAAAGTCTTTCATGTTTTTTCGTCTGGGTTTGTACTAAGATCTTGGTAGGCTAAGGATATAGCTTCTAAATAACTAATTGTTTTTATATCTTTAATTGTATTTAAGTATGTTTCATTTTAGTAATGGTGTTAATTATTTTTTGTGTCTGAAATGTATACTTGTTGCTTTAGGTATAATAAAGGTGTCTGTTTATCCCGGTTCTAACCACCGAAGCTAGGATCGGGGATAGGCTAGTCTGACAAGCCTGTAAGGATGAGCTGACCAATATAGCGGATTGATTCCTAATTGATAACTGATCCCTAAAAGCTATCTAGAGGTGTACGTATGCCGTATATAAGCCTACGCGGTGCCTTTGTAAAAGGCACATCTAAAAATCTGTTCGGTAACGTACATAAAGGCTGAGACATGGTTTTGTATGCAACAGCCTAGGGAGCACTGCCACGTCTTCCAACCTGGATAATGATTATATGAAAATCACCTGATTGCCGCCCGCAATCCAGCTGTTGTATGTTTTTGCTTTGTTAAATTTTTGCTTGTTGATTTGCTGATCTTGTATTTCATTCTGTCGCCGCTTCAATTAGGGATATTCAGCCTGACGAGAGTTACTGACGTGGCATTCGGCTAGTCCTTCCTCCATCGATTCACCAATGCCGTACATGTCCAATGTACGGAGTACATACATGGATTTATCTTGAATCGATTGCAATTATCTCTCTCTTATATGCATCTACGTAATATCTTCTATAATGAAGTGGAATTATAGCTTTAAGCCGCCATCTTGATAATTAATATTTAAAAATGCCATTAGAGCTATGAATAAGAGTAGAGCCTAGTGCAGAGAATATCTTTTTTGCTATGTATAAATTTCCGCCAGCCCCTTAGCTACCGAAATCGTTTGCCGACGCTGACTGCTGTCCTACACATTTGCAAGCGCACGACTGAACTTACTGTCCCAATGTCAAGGCAAGGCCACTGTAACAGTAGTCCATATTGTGTAGTAGGGATACGTGCCAGTTTTTGGAGGTACGGCGAATGATTATACATCACTCTAACCTTAGAGGAGTTAGATCCCCCCTAAAAAATCTCAGTCACGGGTACGATATGATCTTGCATGCCACTAGTATATATAGATGTAGTGTGATTAACATTTGAAGATAAATTGGTGTAAATGTTTCGAATTCAATATCTTATCAAGGCGAGAGAGCTACTGGGTTTCTGGTGTTTCTGTAACATTGCCTCCATCGTCCTCCTGACGATGCCTCGATTCTCGTCTAGAAATATCTCGAAGACCCTCTTTTTCTCCTCGTCTTTGTGGAGATAATCAAAGCAAGATTTCTCTTCCCGGATTTTTGTGCATAGGTCAATATATAGGACTGAGTGAGAGCGTTTGAGTAGTTTTATGATCTTGGGGTCATATTCCTAGGCTACAGTATGGAGAGGTGATTCTTCCGCTAAGTTCAGCTGGCTAAAATCAGCACCGCTCTTAATAAGCTCATCTAGCGCGTTGAGAGACTTCCAAAGTACTGCAATGTGCATTGCAGTATTATTAGCCATGTTCGCAATGGAATTATCTGCTCCAGCATCTAGGAGGACCTGAATAGTTGCACTGGCCCCTGAGCGGGTCATAGAGTGTAGTGCTGTGCTATTGCTGGGATGAATAGTGTTCATATTAACTCTACACTGTTTGACCAATAGAGTCATAATCTCCTCGTTGCCACCTGTGCACGCAACGTGTGGCGCCGTTGAGCCGTATCTGTATAAGCGTATGCGGGGCCCTAGTAGGGATCTAATGTGGTAATCAGTCCCCGTACACAGGTCTCATATCCGTACAAAATGAAAAAGTAATATGAAGCTATTCCCGGATCAAGAAACACATATCAATGCGGCATACGGGAGCGTGCGTACGTTACAAAAGCAATATCCTCCGGATTGGCGGGGKGGATATTGCTCACGTTTAGAAAAATACTACTCTAAATTATTCTTTCTATTTCTAAAACTTTACTTTGAACTTTAATTTTCTTTTCTTTAATAATTTCATCATAATTTTATTAAATTTTTAATTATTCAAAAGGTCTAATAGAATCTTTATAACAACGGGGATGGTGGAGGAGACAGAGGACAGTATTAGTTGAGTAGAGGATACCATCGCGATACAGGACGCCGAGAGGACGGAAAGATATCTAGAGCGTGAACTATGTACGCTAGGAGAAGACTTTTTCAATAAGGAGAGACCTGAGGTTTTCTCTGCCACACACGAGAGAGGATCCGAGTAAGGATCTGGGCCCGGGAACGTAATATGGATTCCGTGAACTGACTATCAATAGAAGCAAGGGAAAGAGCAAGAGGACTGCTGATTTTCAAGATGAAGTAATGGGCAGGATGAGCTCCTTATAAGCTTCATCCTGCCATCGAGGACTTACCTAATCTGCATCGCGGTGACCTCCATACAAAGCAATATGATCAGTCTGAATAAACAAAGAAGAAGACAATAGAACAATAACGAAGCATGGATATAACTCATCAAGGCACTGCTTATTCCTGGAAGCGCTTGAAAGATAAGTCAGCCAGTCAAGAACGAACGTCAGGTACAGCAAGAGCAAACCCTGACAACAACTCTAAGACTTAACAAGCTATGTGAATTTTTGATATTCACTAGTTATAGCTTTTAATTATATTGTTATTCTTTTAGACTCTTAGGCTTGCTAGGTATTGTCATAGTACCGAAAGTCAGAAACAGTACACATGATCTCTCTGACAAGCCACAAGTCGCACCAGCTAGTGATGCCTCCAGTCAACGACTCACGCATGCATAAGAAGGAGGTTCCTTGTAATAAGGATTGTTTTTTTCCGCTCAAGCTTCAGTCTCTGTACATTATGTGACGGTTTAGGGCTTTGTTCAGGTTCCTTTATACGGCTTCCTTTATTGCAGACATTGTGGAAATGCCCATCATGTCCGATACTCTCCAAATTATATGCTGAATCTTTGTATCTAGTCGATAAGAGATGTTCAGTTATTCCTGGTTCGGCTTTTGTGTTGGTTGTCTATTTATACGCCTCCAAACACCAAGCTAGCTGGATCCTGGACTTCTTCCTATCTCCATGCTTAGTTATTCGTCGTTTAGCTACCCAATGATGTTGGTTTGAGTACCTTCACAATTAGGAACAGTACCTTTGTAAATCAAAATCTCGACACCGAACGACCTTCTGTCATATTGATAATCGTAGAAGTCAGCTAGTCTGGATACTCAGTTCGAAGCACTATATCTATCTCCTTCATTGCGTTCGTATCCAGCTCTGCGGCCGTCTCCCAGTCACTTCGATTTCGGTGTGTTATTACCAGTTTAGCCAACCTGGTTAATGTGTCAGGATTGCATATTTCTTAATCTTCTCGTTCGCATCTCATCCAGCTCTTTAGCCTCGTTCCATCGACCTCGACTGCGGTATGTCGATGCCAGGTTAGCCATGCTGGTTAGCGTGTCTGGATGCTCAGTTCCAAGCACACTCTCTCTTATGACCATGACTTGCGTGTTTAGCTCTGAAGCCTCCTTTAATCGGCCTTGTTCTCGGTATATTGATGCAAGATTAGCCATGATAGTCAGTGTATCAGGATGCCTCCTGCCCAATTCCCTCTCCCTCGTATCCAGTACTTGCATATTCAACTCTATAGCTTCCTCCAATCGGCCTTGTTTTCGGTATATTGATGCAAGATTAGCCATGATAGTCAGTGTATCAGGATGCCTCCTGCCCAATACACTCTCCCTTATATCCAGTACTTGCATATTCAACTCTATAGCTTCCTCCAATCGGCCTTGAGCTTGGTATGTCGATGCCAGGTTGGCTGTGACTGTTAGTCTGTCGGGATGCTCTGTATTAAATATTGCTTTACTTATTGCCATTGCTCGCGTATTTAGCTCTAAAGCTTCCTGAAATCGTCCTTGGTCATTGTATGTCGAAGCTATCCAGGTCAAGGAGATAGGAGTCGATGGATGCATTTCACCGTTCGTTCTTTCTTGAATCCGCATGATATCACCAAATACGACCTCTGCTTCAGAATATCTCCCATCACTATTGAGACATTTTCCTACCCTCCAAAGGAAGCTAACATATTGCTCGTTATACTCGCTGAAGGCCGCTTTTTGTACAAAAAATAGGGCGTGATGTAGGTATTCGCGCCACAATGGGCGATTCGTATAATCATTATCAGGGAAGATCTCATAAAGTCGATGTGCCGCTTTGCGTATCGAAAGATTCAGTAGATGATTCTGCCTCATCCAATTCCGGATAGCCAGATGAACAAGGGGATGAAGATCCAGACTCTTGTGCTCACGAACAAAAAAGTAGGCCTTCAAAAGGCCAATGGCATCGATCATTTTCTTCTTCGAGGAGGACTGGGGAAGAAGAGACAAGGGAATGTTGACTGGACTTATGCATGCCATGAACAAAAGATAGTCCACTGCTAGTTGGTTTGAGCGCTGAATCTGTTGAAATGATATTGACCAAGTGGAGATGACCGGACTCTCACTGTTTCTATATCGCCCTTCATCCTCAAACCTTTCATCAAGTAGTTCCACGACTTCTAACTCCTCCGCTTTCAGCAGGTCGATATAGTCAGAGATGCCACAGCTGTTTTCATTAATATAAGCGGCTGCCTGGGCGATTGCCAATGGAAGAAAGGCAAGCTCTTTCACGATTGTCATGGCAACATGCTTGTCAATAGGTCGGTGAGTTTCTATTAGTAATTCATTGAACATTACGACGCTGGTCTCTTCATCTGGCTCTGAGATTGCCATCACATGGGACGATGAAAGTTTGACAGCAAGCTTTTGATTGCGTGATGTGAAAATTAGATGTCCATGCTCATTAAATGGGAGATATTCCTTAAGGGCCGGATGGGTGTTGCTGCCTTGAATCCAAATGTCCATATCATCGGCACCGTCAAATATAAAAAGCCATTTTCCACTGCTTTTTTGGCTGAAATGGGCAACAACATGGCCCTTTATCTCTGTTGGCTTCATGCTTCCGATCCCGACTAACTGTGCGATATCCACGTAGGCTTGTTCAAACCTCTCGTAGCTGGTACATGAGATCCAGAAAACTGAGCGCTCGGGATCCCTATCTTTGATACGGTATGCTAATTCGAGCACGATCTGAGTCTTTCCGACTCCGCCTAGTCCACATAGAGCGACTCTACGAGCTCCATCCGGTTGCATGGTCCATTCTTCGAGTTTTGTGATTTCATCCATCCTGCCCACAAATTGTGAATTTCGTCCAAATGGGATCATACAATGTCGTGGCCGATCTATAAAACGTGGTTAGTATACTGATGCTTGACCATGCTTTTCATACTAACCTTCTCTCAAAGTCGGATTGAAATAGCTCAAGAGAGCTTTGGCAGCTGATGCTGCGCTGGCTACTGCATAACACTGCCACTCCTTACTCTTGTGACCGTCTGCATAATCACACACCCCATTTATAATAATGAGCGGAGAAATCTCCCGAATCCCTATTCCCTCCATATAAAAAACCCCAATCACTTTTTCTTCTTCAACAAGTTTGTCACGAAACTGTGCAGATTTAATGACCGTATCGCCGGATGCAATGGTCCCAATGTGTACAGTTGGTGGGGCTCCTAATCTTTCTCGACGACGAATAACTTGTTTCCCGTCATGTCCGAAGAGAACATCTTCCAAGCCTGGATGCTGCCAATGTGTCGCCATTTGCTGGAGTTGGCGAAGGTACTGCAGACTATCCTTTTCAAATACTCTACGACTCCTAGTCGCATTCAGGCCGTTGAGAAGGGATCGAATTTCCGGAGGCGATCCTCCCGGCGTGTACCCGACATTTTTGAAAGTATCAGGGTACTTTTTGCCGAAATCGTATGCAACCAGGCTGTCACTAATGATAACATCACCTAAAAAGATTTGCTGATTCTCTGATGGATACGGAGCCCCTCCACAGGTTCCGACAAGCAGCACAAGTTGTATTCCAGGATAGCTGACTCTTAAACTTGCGACCGCCATGGTTGCGCGTACCTGCCCCGCTCCTCGAAATAAGCACAGGACAACATTATGCTTACCGATCCTTCCGTTGACATATGAATTCTCGTCTTCAGGTGGTTTACCATATCTATTGCCATACACATCGTCGAAGAGTGACTCCACAGCGTCAACCTCGACAGGAAGAACACAACAAATCGCGATCACAAAATCGTCTCTGCTTTTGGGTTGCACTGTAGAACTGGGATTCTGCTGGGCTTTCGCAAAGTGGTCAAGAATTGCATCTGGCCTACCCCAAATTTGAGCAGTCTCAAGTCTCCTATAGTCATTAAAACCAATATCATCCAAATACGTGTCATTTGTTTCCTTCATGTCATAAAAAACTTCCTCTCGGATTGTTGTTGGTACTCTAACTGGATCCTCGTCGAATGTTAGGGGTGTCTCGCGCAGACTGTCATCAAACCCACTTGGATACGACGCATCGGAATTTTCAGCTCTCAGATGATCTCTCTCTTCGTCGTCAGTCCCAGATGACCCGTTTCTGGGCTCTGCGTTATCCAATACGGGAATAGACTTGAAGGCGAGATCCTTAATGTGCCCAGCAATGTGTTTGTATAAACGATCTTTGATCGTCGCGGGATCACTCGTCAAGATTATTGGCTTCAGAGAGTCTGGAACACAATCGCACATGGGGCAACAGTACTCATTCTCCCGGACAAGAACTCTCTGCTTCTTCCGAGAGAGCGTGTCAAGTTGCAACTCGGTCGGAGGCTCTCTGCCGGGGTGACTGTCTGGGTCCTTCATGTGTTTCAGGAAGTTCTCGCGGTCGTTGAACTGAATTGCGGTGTCGTGGCTAATATCACAATACCAGGTGCTCATGTGAATCTTTCTGTTCCACTGATCTGAGTGAAATGTCTTCATATGATCTATCCACTGCTTCGTATGAACGAAAAACAACAGGGGGGAGGTGCAATCCTCCGACAGACAGACATAAGGCTCTGTGTCTTCATCTATATGATTCCTAAGTTTTTATGTATACGTCAGCGAGGTAATGTGGTAGGAATGTTATACTTACTGCCAGTACATTGACCCATCCTTTAATCGAGTGGTCGCAAGCAGTCTAGAGCAGTATGGGCAGGCGCACTGCTGGTCACCTTCTGAAAATATAGGCCTTTCGGGATATGTCATTGAGGATAGATGAATAGAAGAACCCATGCTGATGGTGGAAAGAGCCGGACCAGATTTCAGATATTGACGGACTGCAACGCTGTCCATTCTACTGGCTGTATCGATAGAGTGTACATGTAGCATGCCTGGCTTCTCCTTGAGGGGGGTTGTAGGTTCGATGTTAGCCCGAGCAGTCGCCTGTTGCGATTCACCAACAGGTTGGATGGGCACTTTTTCTCGATTGACCTTGAGCTCCGTCAGTTGCCGCCTATCTCTCAGTTTCTCTTCGTGCCGCATTTTCTGAAAGAAACGTTTGCGGCGGATTGCAAGAGACGCACCAAGTTGGTCCGAAAGAGATCGTCTGGCGTCTGGGAATAGATACCTCACTAGGAGGCAGGCTTGTTCTAAATAATAGTCGTCGTCTTCTCTACGGAAATGGGACGAGAGGTTATACTTGTGACTGCGAATAGAGGATCTTCGAATTGCAGTTGCCATGAAGTGTAGCTCGTCGAGGGACTTCTGGACCGCACTAGTGGCTTCTTCTTTCATGTCATCGTTGTACGGAACACCTAGTTTGATATTGTCCTTTTCGTGCACTGGGGCCATGAAGGTCAGCGCGGCGATCTCCTGTCAACGAACCCAGGCTCGAAACTTACAATATTGGAGATTTCTGGCGAGCATTTCGAGAAGCTCAATGACCATTTCCTTGATGTCCATGTGTTCATGTAACCGAACATCGAGAGATCTACTATTATCAGCAGCTAGAGCACCAGTATAGTCGATCCAGAGGTTAAAGCTCCTTCTCGTATCCTCAATGCTCCTTCTGAAGCCGTTGTCGTTGTCTTTAATGACACTTTCATGGTCTTTGACTACTCCCTCCGCGAGGGAATCAAAAAGCCTCGTACACTCAATAACGGTATCGTAGATGTCATTCATATCTTCCGGTGCTAGACCATCTGTTCTGTCCATGCTGGATTTGTTTTTAAATAGTACCTCTGCAACTAGCGGGGTTACTATAGAACAGCTGTTCCGAGCACGACGCGACGATAAAACGATAGAGTGAAGAGCTGGACCGGACTCGCAAAATCTCTCAAGATGAAGTCGATAGACTTTCTAAATCCGTCCTAGTATTTTATACACTTCTCCGGCCATTGTTATTGTATAATATCGCGTTTCAATATATTGTTTAGTCTAACATTAATTGTAGTTGTAAGGGTCTTGTATATTAAGCAGATTTGTGCTTTATTCGTTAAAATTGATGCTGGCCAATTGAGCAGGCGCGTCTGAGCTCTAGAATAATATTTACAGCAAAATAAGGCCCGCCTTTATACCCCTTTTGGTGTTGACTTTGGGCATCCATGCATGAAAGGATCTTTAGCTGCAGATACATTGTGCGCCAATCGCAGTTAATTATCTCTGGTAGAGAACACCGAAGGTCTAGACTACTTAAGGTCCGTTAAAGCATAGCTACATTTTGATGAGAGAGGCTCGGAATAGACCAAATGCAATTCGAGCTCTGATATTTGATGTCAGTCCAGTTCTACTACCTAATGGGTGTTAAAAACGATGAAAAAGTGTTGCCATCGAGATTAGCAGTCTTTGAAGATGCGGATCATTGGCCCACTCCGGTTACAGTGGGAGCTTTTCGTTGATCTCCATCGTATTTTCCAGGATGCTCTTCCATCTCGATCCAAGCAGGCGCACAAAAGTCCTACAGTGCAGAATGACGTGACACTCATCCGCCAGACAATCCGTTCCATACCATTTGTTCTTCCCAACATTGACCTAAACTGCAATCTCGAAGAGTCCAAATACAAGCCTTCTCGGAAGCCTTACTCTCTGTGTTGGAAGTTTTAGAAACTCTTGTCGCGGAAGATGTACGAGAGCCTGGAGCTTTGGGGTCCATTTCTGCTATCCCTAAAGAGGAATCCAATGTGTGAATACCAGATACAGACTTTTCTTTTCTTTCATTGATGCGGCTGACGGTTCTATTGGCAGTTGTGGACCAAATACCCGAAACTCAGCGTCTTGAGGGGCATGGTGAGGCGCTCACAATCATCGTCAGTAGGTTTGGCAACATATATCAACTATATGAAGTCTCAAAAGTACAACTCCAGGCAAGTTGCAATAGCGATAAGCGATTTCAAATCGATGATCGACAACGTCTTTAGCGACCCGCTTGAGGCCCTGGAGAACAATCTGGGTAATGCTGGTTTACTCGAACACAGTGAAATCAATTTCATCCGAAGAGCGAGCCATCTGAACTCGCTATCTCGTTCATTATTCCTAATGCTTGTGAATAGCGTAGGTCGCTCCAAGACTCACACAGCTAGGTTGCATCTCTCCGGGTTTGATCGCAATGACAATTTCGAACTACTTATTACCGAATGTGAAAGCCCATACTGGAAATTCACTAATTGCAGATTGTTAGAGCATTTCCCATTCATATTCAGGTTTTTCGCTAATTGTCCTCATATCTAGGGAACACCAACAGTCTAACAGACTGGGCCGTATCCGGCATGGCTTCTGCACTACATGTAGCCCGCATCCTACGACAGTCAATTCCAAAAGTATCCATCTCGCATTCAACAGTGAAGCGATATGGGACGATGAGCTAGTTGAGCCGTCGACATGGCACGATCAAGACTTGGCTTCCCTTCCAACACTGCATGATTTATTGCTACCCGAAAGAAACGATGACGATGATGATTCGAGCTCCGAACTCGATATGGAGAAGTTCGTGGAGGAAGATCAAAAAATTGTCGAGTTTCTTATTGCATGCTCGTTGCTCAACGTGAATGCCAGCGTGTGGTTAAGATCCGACCTAAATATCAAGAATATCTTTGTTCTACCCACACCGGGTCTCGATAGACGTTGGAAGCCACATGTCGCATGCTCCCTCGAACCAGTAGATCCCAAGGATGAAGACTACGATGTTATTCTTTCCTTTGGTCTCCTTCTCATGGAGATCGAAGCGAAGCGTTTTGCACGCCCGAAAGCTGTGGACAAGGATTGGGAAACGGACCTCTATTCAAAAGACAGTATGCTAAAAAGAATTTTGCAAGAATGGAGTCGGGAAGTTGGTGATGGATATATACAAGTTGCCACTGCATGTCTGCGATTTAGAGAGTTATCTGCCAGGTTCTACGATCCAACATTGACCCAAAACATGAAAGAGACTGCGGCTATATACAGGTACATTCTCGCACCACTTTATCGAATTATCACACAACAACATAGCAAAATTTCTGCTTTATTTAGAAGTTTTCCAAGTCCTCTTCAGAGCTCCTCGGCTACGCAGTCGCGCCTCCGGAGACAAGCTACTTCAAGTTCTCGGTGGCATCTATTCGACGATTTCATATTACATGATCAAAGGTTAGACTCTAAGCTGCGAGATTTGATCTAGGGGATTCTGCTGATAAATGTGGACGTTAAGAAGTATCAATAATGCTTTGGAGTTCATGGATGAGATTAGTCGGTTCAACATAATGATTAAGCAATCAACTAATACTTCGGCGATTCCTGCCTGGGCTCCCTGGCGGGCGAAGAAAATACGAATAGCAATAATTGACACTGGCGTTGACGACGAAGACGATAACTTGATTGAGGCTGCTCGACAATCTGGGCGTGTCAAAGATTGCTGCGGCTTTATCAACGATTCAAGTTCAAACCCAGACTATGATGACTATAAAGACGTCAATGGACACGGAACACATGTTGCCAGACTCATGTTAGAAGTGGCTCCAGCTGCGGAGATTTTTATTGCTAAGGTGTCTAATGAGGCAACTATTGAAAAAGCTGATCTGGTTCGTATAGCAAGGGTTAGTTCTTCATACAAGGATATTTCTTTTCTTCTCCCGTGCGCTGATTATACAAGGCCATCAGATGGGCTCATAAAGATATGCACGTGAACATCATCTCGATGTCGTTTGGCCTCCAGTACGGCACACGAGACAGAGAAATCGATAGCGCTATCCAAGCGGCGTATAAAGATAACATCACCATGTTTGCTGCTGCCGCAAACAGCGGTGGTAACAAGAACCGCGCGTATCCATCCGACAGGGGCAGTGGTGTGATATGCGTCCATGCCAGTGACGGTCTGGGAAACGATGGTGGAATCAGCCCATCGCCAAAGGTAAACGCTGATAACTTCTCTACTTTGGGAATCTCCATACCATCGAAGTGGAAAGGAGACGACGTCTTCAAGTCAGGCACGTCGTATGCAACTCCAATTGCAGCAGCTTTAGCTGCAAATGTGCTTGAGTTTGCCAGACATAGGTGTGATCTGGACGAGTATGAGCAGGAGCTTCTATACGAGTTCGACGGCGTTTGCAAAGTTCTAAAACTCATGGCTGAGGAACGGCAGGGTTATAGTTATATTATGCCTCATCATCTCTGGAACAATGAAAACAGGGAAGAGGATATCGTAAGGAAAATAAACAATATTGTCGGACGTTGACACCCAATATGAGCACTTTGACGAGATGGCCTACAAATATTTGTAACTCAAATATCCGGCTGTGAGCGGTACTAAACGCCTCTTCTATGTGGTGAGGTCCAATAAGGACACGAGAGAACGCATTCCCGGCCTCCCAGCTCTGTCTACAAGATTTGATTATTATGACTTTGAAGTAACAGCCAGAAGCCGCTTCGGAGTATACTCATTAATTTGAAGGAGGCCTTAGATAATCAGCATATAGGATTATGTGAGTAGCTACATAACTAGGCTAAATGTATGATTTGGGAGACGTCTTATTACATAGGCTCCAGCCCCATACTAGATTATGAACGGTGGGGTAATAGTCCCGTAGGAACTGAATAGAACATACTCTAGAAATATGTAGAAGAGTTACATAGCGATAGCCAATATGGAATCATTTTTAAATCCAGGGTAGCTTGAATAGTTTCCACCATCTGGATGGTTAGTGTCACGGTTCCAACCTGGGGGCCTGCTCCAGGTGTGAACGCTCTGGAACAAGCCAAGACGGTGAGGTTTGACAGCACCAAAGAATTCACTGGGAACCTTTGTCATATGAGTCATACGACGTGAGAATAGCGTCACGTTTTGCTTTGTCGATTATTTCATTGCTTTGTTTCGTGTTAGGATTATTGTAATGTTTAAAAAGCCTGCTCCGTTGGGAATCAGGTATGGGAGCAAGCCCTGGGCAGGCATAAATATGGACTTGCTCACCTGTAGTTTTAGTGTGGCTCTTGACTATGTCATACGTTTATTTTGACCTTTCCTCGCTCCGTTACACTTACTGAGACACTCGGCTTTCTGCATTTGGATATCCCAGTGAGGCTGATAGACGGCTGTATGATAATTCCGCAGACTACCGTGCTATTGGGTGGGGGATTCATAACCAATCTTCCGATGAGAGAAAATTTTACCTGCATCTGACGCTTCCAAATGACCCGTGACTTCAATCGTTAAATTGTAGATTCAGTACAGCAGCTGCAAGATCGAGAAAACCCGCACAGGTGTCTACAATGAAACCAACTTACCATCTTCCCCCAAACTTTTCGACCCCCCCACCTCCGGCGGGGCCATTTCACCTAGGGACCATGATTAAGGACTTCGATCGCAAGGAGCAAATGCGTCCACTCAACTCTGGCAAGGACAAAGATGGCAAACCTAAACGGATCGACATCAACAAGGACGATATTTACCTAGACCACAAAGGAGGATTCGAGGCTACCAGATCCAGGCTGAAGAGCGGCGAATTTGGCTTCTGGGCGAAATTGATCGGGGTCGACGGAATTGGAGGTGAAGCCAGCATCTCGGCTAGTCGCAGTGAGACGGACACATACAAATTCGACAGTGTTGATACGGAGTTCTTCTACCCTTCTCCGAACTATATATCGCAGTGCATGGGGCTCTCCGACGTCGAAGACTATATCAAGGGTTGGGAATACAAGAAGCCCGTGTATCTTGTCACCGGGATAAAGGTCGCTAAAGGTGTCTCTGTGCGGCTGGAAGGTGCTGCCAAAATGGAGGGGAAGCTGGTGCTCGGTCTGAATTGTTGTGAAATCCAGGCTGGCCCGAGAGCAGAGGCCAAGGTTGAGAACAAACCTGTGTCTGCCTTTACTGTATCCAGCGATATTGTAGTTGGCATTCAGTGTTTGAAGATCTATCATAAGACTAGCTGGTTTGGAGGAGGTAAACAGCGGAGGGAGGAGGTCTACACCCCTAGTGCTACGTTTCTCGACAATGATAACAGAGAGCCGCAGAAAGAACAGCTAGACAATTTCATTGTTGCAGATCTCGAAGATTACAAAAATCCATTCTTTGTCGTTCAGCAGAAACCGACTGAGGAAAGACAGGAGGATGAGATCTGGATCCTTCCAGTAGAGAGTGAGTGAGAATGGTCATGTCACTGAGAGCAACACACTGGAATTGCTTTGGTTAGCTTCAGATATAACAAGAGTCAACACTAGTAAGCTGAAAGGTCTTGTAAGAGGAGCCGATAGTCGAAGAAATTTGGACCAAGGGAGTCTGATAGTTTCTGATTACTAAAGCGTTCTTTGAAAAGCTATATTCTGTTTAGGATTAGGGTTGGTATATCCTGCTTAGGGCTAGTTCGCAGTGTCATATATGTTAAATTTCCACACCGAACACATAATGATATCCTATTCAAATGCAAATACAGACTGCAATCTAGTATCTTAATCATACAAATTGAAACGATTCATCTTCCAGCTGATTGAAGAAAAGTTTACTCAAGAAATTCGGTATCTATGGGCTAGAAAAGTTTGTATGATCAATGCTGAAAGCATTTCCGAAAAATGCCGCCTGGTTAAGACCATCAAAGTATCCCATATCCCCATTTCGACTCTGATGGCAAGCTGAGTTGTCATTATCATCAACATTGCCGTTCATTGAATGGTTGTTATGCTGGTAAATTGGCGAATGTAGTGGAATCATTGGTCAATTGCTGCTATCAAATTCCCCCATCATCAGCACGGCGCGTCGAACAACCCATTTTGATACTTTAAAGGTCAACCGAGCAATTAACCATGTCTTGCCGACTTCATGGAGGTAGGTTAATGTAGCATGAATGCGTGCTCTGGCGTTGACTTTCTGCGACTTTCCTAGGAAGACATCCATGGATGTAGGCCAATCTCGATGTGGAAGGCGAATAAATTGTATGCGCAGATGATTCTGATGATAAATAGAACATTGATTTTTGTGATCTGAAACTAAGATTCCGGTCAGTTAAAAGGGGGAAACCTTACAAAGATGACGGGGCGTAATGTATCAGATCATGAACAATGAGTCAGTTCAACACCATATTTAACTCGAACATACGGCTGATAAATTACTTTTTACACCAGGGCAGATATTAGAGTCATTGTTTCGCTGGAAGTTTTCCCTCGCAGTACTGTAGAAAATACATTCAACTCGAACGCCAGCAAAATGAGAATCCAAAGGATTGAGCTACCACAAGACGCAATCAAATTTTGCAAAAGACCCTCTGGAAGTAAACGGCGCCATCTCGAGAATTCTTCTAAGATTCATGCACAGTGGCACGAGAGAAGATAAATCTTTTGCTTCTTGATAGTCGGAGGAACTTGGCCGCTGTTAAACGGATCAGTCGGTCCACGAATAGAATAGAAGACGTCGGTTGTAAACCCACTACGAATAGAAATATGGCAATGTTGAAGGAAGAATTGCTATCATACGGTGTCTGTCGGCTGCAGGAACTCGTGTATTTGATCTGTGAGCGGATACTCGGCCCAGTCGTTGTCCGTTATCCTTTACAGATGGATCAGACGTACGTATTTACATGTGAGCTCGGTACTCTGATTTCTATATAATTAAATCCAAATTATACACCATGCCAACACAGCAGCGGCTAATTACGGGTTGGAGGCATAACCATTAAACAAGTAACCATGACTTGGGTCTGGGCTAAAATTATATTCCTCGTAGCTACTTTTGGGTCATCTTCCTAGAGCTATAGCATGTTATTCTACTCCTAATAAAGAAGTTTCTATTTGCTATTGGATTTCTCTCGTACCCGAGTATGTCTAGTACTCGTCTAGTAGCCTCCTAATAAACTATTTCAGCTTATTAATATGACTTTATACTTAAGAAGCGATACGCTATGTCTTTCTAGTATGATAAGAAATTTTCTATGTACAGTGCAATTACGTTACGTATCTGGAAAATGAATATGACCATCTTAATAGTGAAAAGAGGGATTAACTAAGCAAGGCTACACGGAGTAGAGATAACTTGATTTCTTTTCATTGCCCGATTGATCTCAGGTCAATATGCAACAGGCTAGAGAGCACTGCCACGTCTTCCAACCTGGATAATGATTAAATGGAAATCGCCTGATTGCCGCCCGCTTCTTAGAGCCGCCCTCCTTGTAATCTAAGCCTTAGCTCTCAATTGGCGAGGTACACTGTCAGCCGTTCTGGCTAGTGTGATGCATGCGTCTCGAGTCGCAGCCTCGCCCCGTACCTAACTTTACCCCTCTCTATCTCACGATAGAAACTCAACCCACAACACAAATCTACGTCTTTACACTGAGTCGCGAGAGTGCTGAATAGCGGAACATCAGCTTTGATGTTGTGTCCTTCCAAATGGACCCTTTATCATTGACAGCGAGCGTCATTGCCATTATTCAACTGACAGGAAGCCTCGCGAAGCTTTGCGGTGGCTACATTGGAGATGTGAGGAATGCACAAGAGGAAATCTAAAAATTGTGCCAGGCAATTACAGGCCTCCAAGGAACACTTAAAGACTTACAGAGTTACCTACAAAGTGATAATGGAGAAACCCTACCTACTACCTCTTAACTAGCCAACAGCATTGATGATTGCCTTTCCGAACTTCGAAAGCTAGAAACGAGGCTTGATCCGGGAAAGAGAAAAACGCTGATGAACAAAGTGGGATTACAAGCTCTACAGTGGCCCTTGAAACGTGGAGATGTGGAGAACATTGTAAAGAACCTTGAGAGATATAAATCTTCATTCATATTGTCTTTACAGATCGATCAGACGTACGTATTTATATGTAAGCGCGGTACTCTGATTCCTGTATGATTAACTCCAAACTGCATAGGTCTCTGATGGTTGGCGTGGCTCATAATACCGATCGTATCAATCAGCATCTAGATCTTGCGCAATTAGGGGGCGTGGTGGACGCAATGGTAGGGTCATTCTCTGATCGAGAAGAAAGCCAGTGTCTGGGGGGAACTAGAACTGAGCTCCTCCAGAGAATAGAGGAATGGGCTCTTTCGCCGTCCCAGAAATGCATTTTTTGGTTGAGGGGAATGGCTGGGACAGGAAAGTCTACAATATCTCGGACTGTGGCAAAAGCGCCATTAATTAAGCCTCATTTAAGTGCCAGCTTTTTCTTTAAGAGAGGTGAGGGGGACCGAGGGAACGCAAAGAAGTTTTTCCCAACCTTGGTAAGACAGTTGATTCTCTGGAACCCCGGGTTGAGTCTCGGCGTCAAAAAGGCACTCGATCATGACCCTGACATTGCATCAAAATCACTCGGAGAGCAGTTTGAAAAGCTGCTCCTTCAACCACTGATTAGCTTTGATCAAAACGGACAAAAACCTCAAACCGCTGTAATGGTGATCGATGCCTTGGACGAATGTGAGCATGATCAGGATATCCGAAATATAATTCGACTATTGCCTCTCCTGCGAAAGGCAAAATCAATTTGTTTTCGAATTTTCTTGACTAGCAGGCCCGAACTTCCCATCAGTCTCGGGTTTTCAGAAATCGGGGATCATGAATATCAAGATCTAGCTCTTCATGAAATACCCGAAGAAGTGACAGAAAGTGATATACGTTTATTTTTACAGGATGAGTTTGCGAAAATCAGACGTGACAGGAATATCTCTCAAGACTGGCCTAGCAACGACATTATCCTAGAACTAACCAGGATATCTGTTCCACTCTTCATTTCGGCTGCCACTATGTGCCGTTACATTGGAAATTCAAAGTTGGAACCCAAAGCACGTCTTATAGAGCTTCTCAAGGATCAAGCCAGATATGTATCAAAAATGGATAAGACATACATGCCCATCCTGACGCGACTACTCGACGGCCAAGAGAGTGATGAGTTAGACCAGCAGATTCTCCTGCAAGAAGTCCAGGATATCATAGGCGTTATAATCCTTCTTGCTGCTCCGCTTTCCATCAATGCCCTTTCCATACTTCTCAACAAAGAAATCGACCAGATCAGCAATCGATTGAATTCATTTCAATCGGTTTTGCACATTCCTGTTGACCGAGACCAGCCTATTAGGATTCTCCATCTATCGTTCCGAGATTTTTTGGTAACGTCCAAAACCAAATTTCAAGTGAATGAACAACAGAAGCATAGAGACATTGCCGGGTTTTGTTTCGAAATCATGCAGAATCAACTAAAGAAGGATATTTGCGACTTGGAGAACCCTAACTCGCTTAGGGCACTTATCGATCCTCAATGTATTAGCCAGCATCTCCGACCCGAGTTAAAATATTCCTGTCGCTACTGGTTATACCATCTCGAACAAAGTCAATCTTTGCTCTCCGGATTTGAAGGTGTACTTCCATTTCTAAAAGTTCATTTTCTACACTGGGTGGAAGTGATGAGTCTGCTAGGCCTTATATCAGAGGTGATAGGGATGCTTGACCGCCTTAACAAGCTTATACATGTAAGCGATAGGATGTATAGTCACTGGCGTTCTACGCTAACAACTTTAGGGGAATGACAACCCTGAGATGGCTGACTTTCTGCATGACGCAAAACGTTTTATTCTTAAAAACTCCCGGATAACGGATAATGCACCTCTTCAAATTTACTGCTCAGGACTTATATTCGCCCCTCGCAGATCGATCATTCGCGAACTTTTCAAAGCAGAGCTACCGAACTGGATTGATCATTTGCCACAGGTTGAAGAAAACTGGACCTCCGAGCTACAGACCCTCGAAGGCCATACCGGCTCAGTTCGATTAGTATCCTTCTCATCCGACAGCCGACTGCTGGCATCCAGCTCTGACGACTGCACAATCTGTCTTTGGGATACAACAACGGGTGCCTTGCAGCATACCCTTGAGAATTATCCGCACATGAATCGGTCAATAGCTTTCTCGCCTGATAGCCGGCTGCTTGGATCTACTACTGAGAATATAGTCCGTCTTTGGGACACAGCAACAGGCACCTTACAGTATAATCTCATGGGCCACTCAGATATAATTCGATCGGTAGTCTTTTCACCCAATGGCCAGCTACTGGCATCTAGCTCAGTAGATAGCACAGTCAGGCTCTGGAATATGCCAACAGGCACCTTGCAGCACACCCTAAGGAGTTTTTCAGACCGAGGTTGGTCAATAGCTTTCTCACCCAACAGCCAACTGCTAGCATACGTCTTAAATAGCAAAACAGTTGGGCTCTGGGATACGGTGAAAAAAACCCTCCGAAACACTCTTGTGGGTGATTCAGCTCTTGTGGGTGGTTCAGATAGACTTTCTTCAACAATCTTCTCACCTAATGGTCAGCTACTGGCATCAGTTTTCTTCGATAGCTATTCTACGAACTATAGAGTCTGGCTCTGGGACACAGCAACAGGCGCCTTACTACACACTCTTGAGAATGATTCATTTGCCATTTTGTCAATAGCCTTTTCACCTAATGGTCAGCTACTGGCATCAATTTTCTTCAAAAGCCTTTCTCTGAAACCTAGAGTCGGGCTCTGGCACACAGAAACAGGCGCCTTACTGCATACTCTTGAGCATCATTCAGATACAATTTGGTCAATAGCCTTTTCACCAGATGGCCAGCTACTGGCATCTGGTTCCAAGGATAGAAAAGTCGATCTTTGGGATACAGCGACAGGGGCCCTATTGCATACTCTTGGGCGTCATTCAGATATAATTTGGTCAGTAGCCTTTTCACCTGATAGCCGGCTACTGGTATCTGGCTCTGAGGATAGCACAATCAGACTTTGGGACGCAGTAATAGGAGGCTCAGAGCAGGTTCCTATTGTAGGGCATCCAATATCTGTCAAATCGGTAATCTTCTCGCCTGATGGCCAGCTGCTGGCATCCAGCTCCTCCTCCAATTCTAAATCGGAAAATATAGTCTGTCTCTGGGATACGGCAACAGGAACTTTACGGCATACTCTCGACAGTAACCTAGGAAATATAGATCTGTTAGCCTTTTCTCCAGATTCCCAATTCTTTTCAACCAGCTCTCGTGACAACACAGCTAGTATTTGGGATACTGCAACGGGAGTGATGATAATTTCAAGGATCAAGGGCAAAATGACTGAGCTCAAGCCCTCTACGGACGCCCGACATCTGACTGCAGATCTCTCAGCTCTCGGTGTTCAACTCTGGTTTAGAAAGAAAGAGTTTGATTCATCAAATAATCCAAGAATTGCTGTAGTAGAAGGTCAGTGGGTAACACTCGAAGGTAAAGAGATTCTGTGGTTACCCCCTGAGTACCGGCCTACGTGTTTTGCGGTCAGAGACGGTGTTCTTGCCATGGGACATGCATCGGGACGTGTTTCTATCCTTCATTTTACTCTTAAGTAGCCATTCATTTAGATTTTTCCTTTCAATCGGTCGTCATCTAGCAAGGAAGCAAAATTTTCAAAGGGAACTGGACAACGTATTTAATCTTCGAACTGTATGTGATTTAGATTACTTTTGACTACATTCTACCCTCAAGTTCAAATTGTCACTAATTCACCATTACAGACCATAAACTCACTGAAAATCCGCTATCACACCACTAGCAGTCCAGTAACACGCTGGGAGTCATCATGAATTCACTACTTGCCTTAGCTAAAGTGAGTATAAGGACTTTTACTGGAAACACCATAGAAGTGACTCTATATCTCAGCAATGCATGGTGACGGATGACAAACCTGAGAACCTGGCTCGTGAGCATCACAGTAGTACTGCAATAAGCCAGCAATGTTTGGGGAAAGATGCCTGGTTACTGTAGAGTAAATCTTTCTCGTGATTTGCAAATGATCCATAATATGGCATTGCTGTTAAATGCCCTTCCACCTACTTCTCATGAATTTCAGGGCCAAGATCAATACAAGGTGAGCATAGCAATGCTCTTCAGGCTGCTTTTAGGCTGCTTCTTTTGGAGAACATATTCAGATTGTAGAATTAACTCACAGAGAAGATTCAAAGGCAAGATACTTGAGTAACTCAAAGCTACTTCCAAAAGCACAATTAAATAAGCGGTCGTAAAGTTGACATCCTCAAGTCCATCAACTGGAACTACTTATTTTGAATTTTTATCGTGGACTCAATGCTCCCGTATAGCGTACGGCATTGCAAGGTATTCTCAGCCCTTCTTGGTCATGGGCTGCCCTTAACAGATACCAGAGCATGAACGCCTACGTGTAAGTCTTTCTGGATTTCCATCTAGTTCTACAACAAGCTATAGCACAGCGAATTCACTATAAGTGTCGGTTAGAAACTGAGGAATGATGGAGTATTTAAGTAACTAGCCCCGCATGTATAAAGGGTAGATCTGCATTTCTTCATCCGACAGAGAACCGCTGCGGGAGAAGATACGTGGATTTTTCCATGGTTATATAAGTAGATGCCTAGCGGTGTCTAATAAACAGTTAAATACCCAAGGCATTGTCAAAGCTAAAGAAACGAGGGAAATAAAAATAAGAATTCGCAGTGAAATGTATTGGAAGCAAGACTATTCAGCTAAAATGGGTGTATAATTCACGATACAAATGAAATAAAACAAAAACATCTAAAACTGAGGAGATATAGATTTATAAGGCATGGTATCTGGGGCCTTGTCGCCGTGATCTACCCTTCGTAGATACGTTGGTAGTAGGAGTAGCAGTGAAGCTGTAGTCAGTTGGTATACCGACATAGCTCATGCCTGAATTGAAGGCAAGAGAGTTCCCATATGTAAGCGAGTTTAGAGACTGGCCGTCAAAAGGGGGAAGATATGGATTTGCTCTGGCTGTCGTGTGCATATGCATAGCATTATGTTCTGCGAACGTGGTACTCTGACCTGTAACGTTCATCTGTGCCATCATCCCCGAGAGCGTGTCTAATTCTGATGAAAGTGTTGGCATACCCATTGGATAAGACCTGGAAGTGGCATTGGGATTTGAGAACATGAATCCTAGTGGGTCAATTCTTCTTTGTGCCATCGTGGCTGATAACATAATGTCCGATGCTGGTGCTGGCATTGCTGGCATGGGCATAGAAATGGGAAATGTGGACATGAAATGCTGAGGTGTATTTCCCACTTGTGCTACCGAGTTTGATGGACTGAGAGTTGGTACTGATAAAGTCGAGTCATAAAGCCCGGGCGTTAATCTTTGCTTTGATTTTGATTTTGATTTTGATTTTGATGATCCTGATATTAGTGCCACCGTTTCACGAATGTCATCAGGGATAAAGGGGTTATCACGTCGAGTGGGCTTTTTTGTCTTTGTGAACGCTGGTACAGGAAACATCTCTGTGATCTTCTCCATAGCCTGACGTGGGTTATTGCAGCCAGGCAGGATATTCCCAGACGCAGCGAGTTTGCCGTAAATGTTGCGGTCCTCCTTTATCAAACCCGTGACTTCTATATTGCCCAAATCTCTACCATCAGGGCCAATAAACCTGACTTTGGAAGAATCCAAGTGCGAATAGCCAAAGGCGCGCTCCTGTTTGCCATAGGGGCTGTCAGTATAAGAACCGCGGTCGCGAGGAGCTTGATGAATGGAATCCTCGCGATTATAGTCTATGATTCTGCGATCTTTGTTGTTGAGCAAACATAACATCTTCCCACCAGAGCCATATGTCTTCGCCACATTTTCTGGTTCCCATTGACCCCCGTCAGAGCGAGCGTTGGCTTTATCAAAGAAGAAGAGATCAGTATTCATGATTGTCTTGACCTGTCCATTCCTGACTATCGGCACCGGGACCTTTGTGCATTTCCCATCCTCCCAGGCGTTGAATGTAGCCGTAGCTTCTCTGTAATCGGCAAGATCCCATCGGTAGCTGATGGATGTAAACTGGCTGTATTTTGACTCGTAACAATGAGAGCATCGGAGTCGCATGTTTATAATGTTTATGTTGTTGCTTACGGTCTGCTCAACCGCCGGCCATGGTTGTGATAGTGTCTCGGGGTATCGCTGGCGGTCTTCATCTGTGAGGAGATTGCCGCAACCTTTTTCTACACAGTGTATTACTTTTGTTCTTTCCATTTAGACGATCAAGCGATTGCGCGTGAGGTGTTTGTGCGTGTGCCAATATCGACTGAAGATTAAATAAATGAGCAAAGAGAGTTTTGGGAATGACAGAGAGCAGACTCCATATACAGGACTTCGAATCGTTCTCAGCTTTGTTCAGCCTTGTAGCCGCTTTCTCTAGTTTCAGATTTCTGTTGATGATCTAAAATTAGTTGCCTGAGGCCAATAGAAATACAACGCGGCGGGTGGCTAGGAAGGAGTGCATTAGCGCTATATCTATTTCCTTAACCAATCCTGTACCGTACGTGCCCGGAGTACGTGAGGCTATCCACGGCGTCATTCATTAGAGTGTTTTAAATAATTATAGAACACTGCAAGAATGAAAGCAGCGATAGGCTAGATGACCACAACCATATTTACGCAATTGTATATTTTTCCCCCTTATGTCAACGTTTTGCTTATGTTTCTTTCCTATTGCCGACCTTTCTAGGAGCTTCTCGCCAGAACCTGTAACTGAGTTGGCATCCAGCTATTTATATGCACTTATTATTATTGGAAAAATTCTTTATTTATAGCAAATTTTCTGATCTCCATAAGGGTTTTACTTGGGTTTAGGTTAATCCTGACTAAATACGACCTTCAGACCCAATCGCGTCATGTAGTATATACCACAGACCATCAGTCTCTCCCAATCTCAGCTTTCCACGAGTCCATGACTATCGTCTCTCTGTTTCAAGACCTTGACCGTAAACTCCACGGTAAACTGGCCAGTCGGGAACCTCCACCCCAAGCCGTTCTGCCTGAGTCTCTGCACTCCCAGCACAACATCGCAGATAAAAAAAACTAGATGTATAGACCTAGGCAACAATCAGCTTCTAATAATAGAATGTGCGACCGAATCACGAAACTCACAATATTATCAAATGAAATATAAACGCCACGAGAATCGCTGCGCTGATATAGCTCGCAAATTTGTCACATCTCGCCTCGAACCCTGGATCTGGAAAGCCCCGACCAGGGGCGGAACAGTAAACCCAGGATGAGATCTCCCAACGAGTAATAGCAGGGCTGAACATAAAGAGAAACACGATCAACGGATCGAAGATGAGGTTAATAAGAAGCCATCCGCTGCGATTCTGGAACGTCAGTTTGTAGATGCCGAATAAGCTGACGATTGAGGATAGGAAGGCCTGTACGCGCGTGTTAAAGGCGTGCTATCAATGCGATCAGACGCGTGGTTGGAAGCGTGCATACCAGAAGGAGCGAGACTTGGAAGGTTTCTCTCGCTGTCCAGTTGAGATAGCCATAGTATGATGAGAGTCGCACAACCAGAAAGACGGTGAGGCTGTAAACAAAGTTCAAGGCTGATATAATGATGGATGTCCAGTTGAGTATTATGAGAATTCTTGACGAGGATGACGTTCGTCGCGTTGTGATAGGATTCTCATCGTGGTGGTCATCGTCATTCCGTTCTGGGAGGAGAGGAGTTGTTTCGTCCATTTCGATTACGCCTTGCTTTTGAAAATAAACTCATGAGGGGAGGGTTGAGGCTTAAAGAGTCAGGAAAAAAGTTGACATGCAGTGCACTCCAATCTAGCTAATCAATTTAGGCAGAATCATACTATTGAAGCACTAAGCAAGACTGAGTCTAGGGTGGCTCTAGCCTATCATGGACTTCTAACAAGCTAGGCTATGCAGGCAATAAAATAATTATAATAAAAGGTAGAGTTGCTGCGCGTTATGGCAACGTGGAAATATATGTTGTAGACTTTTACATCTCTTCCTGCGATAGAGCCTTCTCTGTATTAACTGACTATTTCTAGTGTACATTCTCCTCCGAAACTTGCATTTTTCCTCCAAACATGAAGCCTGAGTGTAGTTCATTACATCTATGAAATAGATCGATGTACCCGGTAGCTTTGTATTTCGTTTCTGTCTAGGGAAAAACGGGCCGTTTCGGAATGGAATTCATAATTCAGCTGTTGTATGTTGTTTCTGTTTGTGTCGAGGTTTTTTTTTGCACTAGGTACTGGTAATGACACCAGCCAATCAGCAGCTTTCCGGAAATGTTGGTATGCCGAACATACCAGTGAACTATCCTGAGTAACCTGAGGCAATTGAGACAAAGGATGGTCTTCCTCCAGCCGATAATTAATGCCCCCGCAACAAGCTCCGACCCCTATAAAAGCGTCCTGATATAGGTACCAACTCCACTTAAAATCTCCCCTCGGAACCGTAACCGTTGGACCTACATACACACTTTCCCCATATGGCTATAGAATCATGTATTAATTGCCGTGTATTTGCTGGGGCGTGCCTGGGCAATGGGCTTGTGCGTTGGACAGAATGTCGCACAAAATGTCGCACACACTGCACGTGAGGGTTTGGGTGACTTGGAGTTAAAATGTTAATTTAACCTCGTCGCAAGAGAATTAATTGTCTGTCAATTTGGTTCTTCAAGTCAAAAAGACAGATCATCGAGTGCAATGGCTTCCGAAGAGCTGGACCTCGTTATCGTCGGTGGCGGTAAGCACAACCCACCCACCTCCCAAAAGTGTTTCCTGTCGCTCACAAGATAGGAATATCCGGCCTCTGCGCGCTCCGCACAATCCTCACCCTCGACAGTTCCGATTTATCAATCGCCCTACTCGAGAACCAGCCTTCTATCGGCGGCGTATGGGCCCATGAGCGACTCTACACAGGCCTCAAGACGAACCATGTCTTGGGCAGTTATGAATTCAGCGATTTCCCTATGCGCGACCATATCGGCCCTGATGTAAAACCTAAGGAGCATATACCGGGTGACGCCGTGCATAACTATCTAGAGGCGTATGTGGATGAGTTTGGGTTGAGGAAGTATATCAGGTTAGGGCACAAAGTGGAGGGTGTGGTTGAGCGGAGGACGAACGATACGACTTCGTGGGTGCTGGATGTTGAGGATCTTTCGACTTTGACGAAGACGACGATTCATACGAAGAAATTGATTGTTGCGACGGGTCAGACGTCGCAGGCTTACTTTCCGGAACGGCTGTTCGCAGGCCAGGAGAGGTTCGAGAGGCCGATGTTTCATTGCGTGGATTTACACAAATACGAATCCGAGCTGTTCGATAAATCCGCAACAGAGCAAGAGCATGAGAAAAGAATAGCAGTCTTTGGCAGCGCAAAATCCGCGTTTGATGCCGCCTACACCATTGCAGAAACATACAATACCCCCGTCGACATGATCATTCGCGCATCTGGCCACGGGCCCATATGGATGTGTCCCGCATTGGTCACACCATTGAAGAAATTCCTCGAAAAGCTCATGACGGTTCGATTATTGACTTGGTTCAGTCCTTGCATTTGGGGTAATGCAGATGGATACGTCGGCGTTCGGTCTCTCTTACACTCGACGTGGATAGGCAGGAAGATCGTGGATGCGTTTTGGGCAGTGATTGGGAATGATGTAAAGACTCTAAACAAGTACGATTCGCATCCGGAGACCGCAAAATTGAAACCGTGGGTTGAGCCGTTGTGGGTTGCGTCGGGGTTGAGTATACTTAATTACAGTCGGAACTTTTTCGACTTGGTGCGAGAGGGGAAAGTGAGGGTTCACGTTGCGGATGTGAAGGAGTTGTCGGAGGGTAAGGTGCACCTCTCGACGGGCGATGTACTGGCTTCCGATGGGATTGTGTGCTGTACAGGATGGAGGACGACACCTAGCATCAACTTCCCTCCAGATACTCAAAGCGAACTGGGATTGCCAACAGCAAACGACCCCTTGCCACCTTTCCTAATCCAAAAAGCCGACGAGCACATCCTGCGCCAACTACCGCGTCTCAAAAACCAGCCCACCTTCAACACCAAATACCGGCCCATGATCCAAGAAACACCTGCAGAGACAGGAGGAGCACATCCCACTCGTCTCTACCGCTTCCTCATCCCTTGCACACCACACCTCTCCTCGTCCCACTCAATCGCATTTCTAGGAATGGCCACAACAGCCTCTACAATGCTCATAACCCAAGCTCAAGCCCTATGGATAGCAGCGTACTTCTACCACCCCACATATCTGAGCTTGCCACAAGAAACAACAGAAGTGCAATGGTCAACGGCTCTGCATACGCAATACTGTAAATGGCGCTATGGTGTAGGCGGGCATGGCAACCGGAGACCGGATTTTGTGTTTGATGCTATGCCGTATATTGATTTGTTGCTCAAGGATTTGGGGATGAGGACGAAGAGGAAAGACACAAAACTGAAGGAGTGGGTGGAGGCGTATGGGGTGGAGGATTATAGGGGGTTGGTGGAGGAGTTTGCGGAGATGATGGAGGTGAATAAGGATATTTAATCAATATTCTCTAAACTTTAGAAGAGGCCATGTATAGGTGTAAAGCGTATGAATTTTATGCACCGACGCCTATCCTATCAGGGTTTCAATTAAGCATGCAAATGATCTATGCCGACACATCCATAAATTGCGCTTTATCGAATACGGTCTAATCTGGCTCTGTTCATGGCAATCTGATCGTCCACGTAGTCGCTCTATATCCACGTTAGTATCATTGAAACCAATAGAAAGGGTAAGTGACATACCTTGCCCATAATCCTGTCCAAATGACGATTCTGCTCCTCCAACTCCTTACCCGTCGCCTTCGCCAACCCATTCAACCGCGCCGCGGCTCCAGACAACAAGTTCAAGTTATTGTCAATTTCGTCCTCCATCGCCTCATCTTCACTGTCGGCTTCGAATTGGTATTTTGCGCGCTCAGACATATCTTTCTTTTGACCCGGGTAGGCCTTGTTCGCGTCTCGCTCGATGTCTCTGAATGTGCGATCCATGCGCTGGTTGGATTGGAATGCTTCTTGGCGTGTGCCCTCACGAGTGTTGCGTTCTGCGCGGTGGGTTTCGAGGAGTTTTTCGTCGCGGTCGCGGCGTCGGGCGTTGCTGGTGAACGGGTTCGAGACGTGCATTGCGAACATGCTCTTGTTCAACGTCTTGAGTTCTCGCGCTTTCTCTTCGGCGAGACGTCCTTGGCTGGCGGCGACGTCGAGACTCTTCTCAGTATCGAGGATACGTTCGCTCTGAGCTCCGAGTCGGGCAAGGGTGTTGCGACCGGTCTCTTCGGCCTGAGCCGCGACACGGAGAGCGTTCCGGGTAGAAGAGACATCTCCCTGCTTGATGAATCGGATTTCTTGCTTGACCGCACTCACTTCCTCCTCCTCTTCCTCTTCAGCAGTCAACTGTCGGTCTTGGTAGACTGCCGATGAACCAGGTGCATTCTCCTCTCCATAACCACCGTAACCGCCACCTCCAGCCGGTCCGCCTGAACTATAGGGCGGTGGAGGTCCACCTGCACTCGGCCCATTCTGCTGAGCACGGTCACGCGCACCTCCAAACAGCGCATCTCTATCCTCATCATTAGGATCTGTGCTGCCTAACCCGCCGTAGCCACCAGGGCCATATCGCGATCCGCCACCAGGTCTGTTGTTGTCCTGTCCCGTTCCATATCGATCAGCACCGTAACCGCCTTGATTTCCGTATCGATTCGGTGCGTAACCGCCCTGTTGATTACCAACTGGGCCTGTAGCGCCAGGACCGTCGGGGTGCTTCACATCGCCGTAACCACCTGGACCGCCAGGACCGCCTGCAGGACCGGGGCCAGGTGCAACGCCCGCGTTGATCTTGGCTCTGGTGTATGGGTCGACGGGGATCTGTTGTGCGTACGGGTTATTCCCTTGAGCTTGCGGGTTGGGGCTCTTATCGCGAGAACGAGATCCGAAGAGGGCTCGGCGGTTAGAGTCGTCGTCGCCGTCGTCCTTGGACTTTTTCAAAAATTTCTTCATGTCGACGCTGTGAAAGTAAAGGGAAACGAGAAAAGAATATACTGTAATTTAATGTAGAGCGAATTGAGAACAGAAAGGGGTATCTATGAGTGAGAAAGTGAGTTGTTAAAGAGGGGTGTCACTGATGAGACACTGGTGGCTGTGTCGATGCCTGAGCTGATGCTTAAGGGGTCTGTATTACAGATACACCTCCTCTGGCTTAGCTGACGATTTGACCGTGTATCGCCCGTATTTCAAATATGTAAAATTACCAAGTGGCGGATGCGGGTCTCTGCGAACGATCATTCGAACTAAACTTTATACGGACTAGCGTGTTGCCGTTTCCCACGTTGCGCGGTTCTCTTGAAGCTTCAACCTCATGTAACAGCTTGCACTCAGCAAGGGAGCCATGTGCAACAATACATCCATCCATAAAAGTCATGGCTCCCCTTCCGGGGAATGAAGCTGATCATCTACGGGAAAAAGCGCGCAGGGACTTGCTGGATCTTCTCGAGAGCGTAAGCTTGATTGTTCGTTCTTCCTGATGTTTATTGACCCAGCTAGGTCCGCGGAAAGAAGAACTTGGTCATTAGTAAAGACCTGGCTGGCCCGGTTGGACTATTCGTCAAGTTTTCCGTCCTCCAAGACTATGGAGTCGATCGTGTGTTCCTGCTAGAGAATGGCAATCTCGACAGTTCACAGCGCAATGTCGTGTTTTTGGTCCATGCCGAAAAGGTAAACCAAGTTGCTCTAGTTGCTGGTAAGCTTTTCTCAGTCACTTCTTGTACATGGGACTTCTGTAAATATCGCGGACCTTCACCAAGTCCTCGTTAGCAGTCTTGTTCCCTAGATTAAAATACTTTTGCCATTATTATTCATTCGAATAATATTAGCTCAGTTTATTGGCTTTCTTCTAAGTGCGCCACGTTAGAAGGTCATCAGAATGTGCTGACAGATCGCAGAACAGATCAAGAAGCTACGTCAAAGCAGTAGCGTTGAACATGATATATCGATATTTTGGGTCCCTCGGCGGACTCTTGTGAGCGATTCTATACTAGAAGAAGCGGGTATCACCGGCGATGTAAATATCGCGGAACTGCCCGTATACTTTCTTCCATTAGAGCAGGATGTTCTGTCTCTCGAGTTTGATACTTCTTTTGGTGATTTATATCTGGTATGTGCCCTTCTATCTATTTGCTGTGCCCAAGTTAACAGCATCAGCACAAAAACCCAGGCAGTATATACCTGTCAGCTAAAGGGTTGATGAACATCCAGCGACGTCATGGGTATTTCCCTCGCATCACTGGCAAAGGAGATAACGCTAGAAAATTAGCCGACCTCCTTGTCCGTATGAGAAAAGAGGTCGAAGCAGAGCAGCCATCAAGCGCAGGCCCTGACTATGGCAACAAACTGCCTAGTTCGTCTATCGAACAGCTGATCGTCATTGACCGGGAAGTGGACTTTGGCACGCCGCTTTTAACACAGCTCACTTACGAGGGATTGATTGATGAGTTCGTTGGTATACAGAATAATCAAGCGGACGTAGATACCAGCATCGTCGGGCCTGCTACTCAGCCTCCACAACGATCAAACACACCCGCTCCAGTCGCAAAGCCGGGATTAAAGCGAAAGATTCAGCTCGACTCTTCTGATCAGTTGTTCAGCCAACTACGTGACACAAACTTCGCCATCGTTGGCGATATATTGAACAAAGTCGCGCGAAGACTGGAGTCTGATTATGAAACTCGACACTCGGCGCAAACCCCTGCCGAGCTTCGTGAATTCGTCAACCGTTTGCCTGCATATCAGCAAGAGCATCAAAGTTTGAAGATTCATACGAATTTGGCAGAAGACATTATGCGCCAAACTCGGTCGGATATTTTCCGCAAAGTCCTCGAAGTCCAGCAAAGCAATGCTGCCGGTACAGATGCAAGTTATCAACACAGCAACATTAGCGAACTGATTGCTCGCGATGTGCCGTTGAAGACGATTCTCCGTTTGCTGTGTCTTGAGTCGTGCATGTCTGGTGGATTGCGTGCTAAAGATTTGGACTTTTTCAAACGAGAAATTCTTCAAGCGTACGGCTATCAGCACCTTCTCACATTCCGCGCTCTCGAGAAGATGGAGCTGCTGCAACTCCGAGGATCAGCTACAGCAATGCTCCTGCCAGGCGCGGTCGGTGGTGCAGTTGCCGGCACAAAAACAAACTACAACTACCTCCGCAAGAACCTTCGACTTGTCGTTGAAGAAGTCAGTGAAAAGGATCCTAATGACATTTCCTACGTCTACAGCGGGTTTGCGCCCTTGTCAGTCCGACTTGTGCAGTGTATCTTGCAAAAATCTCACATGATGTCTCTCATCAAGGGCGGTCTGGCATCATCTGCCGCTCCGACCGCGCAGATCAACACATCAAATACTTCTTCTCCAGGCTGGATCGGATTCGAGGACATCGCCAAATCCGCCCGTGGATCGACGTTTAGTATTGTACAGAAAGGAGACGAGAAAGCCGTCCGCGCTAGACAGTCGTTATCGTCCTCCGGTGGTAGCTTACATCAAAAGACTGTTTATATCATGTTCCTTGGTGGTATCACCTTTACCGAAATCGCAGCATTGAGATATATCGCAGCGCAAGAAGCGGCAACCCGGAAGATTGTTATCTGTACGACGAGCATTCTTAGTGGTGATCGGATGATGGATGCTGCAATTGAAGGGGGAACCTTTGGCGTAAAGGATTCGCAAGTTGCTACTGTTTGATATTCATAATAATCATAATTCTGCGAAGAGTGAAGAGTGAAGACCCTGTTCTAATAGAAGCACCCCTAACCACGTCGAGTAAACCAGCCACACTACCAGTCACACGATGAAACACCACCCACGGAGCATGTTACCACAATCGTAAGCATTCTACCAAGGAGTTTCAATGATGGAACGGAGTGAATACGTTTCGTACTCGTATCCTCTACCGAAAAGTCCAATCAAAAAGCGCAGAGTTAAGCTGCCCCGCTGCTCAGCCACGGGTCCAGAGTTCTAGTGTAGGCTATCGCGAGGCTGAGATAGCTCGGGCTGAAAGTGTTCGCGAGACTGGAACTTGGAATTCTTGCTTTTTTACTTCTATATATTTTCTGAAAAGACGTTTTTCTTACAATAATATCTGCCTGTTCTTGGTGCTTGTGTCTCACAGATTCTTCTGTTACAACCTTATCGCACGAGTCGTTCTGGCTCCGTCTACCCCGCGGGACAATTTATCCTCGACAACAATTGACAGCACACTTTCTCTAAGAAAGTAATTCTTCGAASGAGCCGTTACAATGAGTTGTAAGTCTTGAATTTCTAATCATGATTCTCGAAATATCTTGTTTCTACAATCTACGGCCGTCGTTATCTGTGACCACTACCAATTGAACTATACCACGCGATCGCTCTCTGGCACAGTCGCAATGTCCACCTCCAGCGTCGCATCTCGTTTCTCTACTCTGTCCATATTTGACTGCATCGTCGTCGTGTTTGTTATCTGTATCAGTCTGTGGGGGACTTGGAAGCATGGTCCGAATTATATAACGTCGAGCTCATCGTGAGAGTCGGAAGGAATAAGAGGATACGCAAAGAACGGAAAGGCTGACTCCTGATTTTCGTCGTGTATAGTCTCGGGTATGCTCAATAAGCTGCAGGGTCAGCCGGAGAGCTATGAGAAAAAGTACGTACTCAACCAAGCAGTCTGGAAGGTGAATGCTAATTGTGAGTGTTCAGGTCGTTGTACCGATTCGGTCGAACCCTCGGCGCTGGCACCTACGGCATCGTCCGCGAAGCCGACTCCCCGCAAGGCAAAGTCGCCGTTAAAATCATCCTCAAGAAGAGCGTGCGCGGAAATGAGCAGATGGTCTACGATGAGCTGGAGCTTTTGCAGCGGTTGAATCATCCTCATATCGTGCACTTTCGCGATTGGTTTGAGTCGAGGGTAAGCACTCTCCGATCTGGTGGATTTATAATGGCAGAATGTAAGCTGATTTTGCTGATTGATAGGATAAATATTATATTGTGACGGAACTCGCAACTGGGGGAGAATTGTTTGATCGCATTTGCGAGTATGGGAAGTTTACAGAAAAGGACGCTTCGCAGACGATCAGGCAGGTCCTGGATGCGGTTCGATACTTGCATGAGCGAAGTATCGTCCATCGGGGTATGTTTTTCCCCAGAAATCTGTGAGCTTCCAGACTAACCGACTAGACCTCAAACCCGAAAACCTACTTTACGCTACCTCCTCCGTCGACTCGCCTCTTGTCCTTGCAGACTTCGGTATTGCCAAAATGCTGGAGAGCCCATCTGACGTGCTTACATCCATGGCCGGATCATTCGGTTACGCCGCGCCCGAAGTCATGCTCAAAGAAGGCCACGGCAAGCCCGCCGACATGTGGTCCCTAGGCGTTATCACATACACACTGCTGTGCGGCTACTCACCTTTCCGGTCCGAAAACATGTCCGATCTAATCGAAGAATGCCGTCACGGCAAAGTCCAATTCCACGAACGCTACTGGCGCGACGTCTCCGCGGACGCAAAGGACTTTATCAATTGGCTCTTGACGGCCGATCAACACAAGCGTGCCACGGCGGAGGAAGCGCTGACCCATCGCTGGCTCAAGGGTGACACTGCTTCAGACCACAACTTGTTGCCCGAAATCAAAGCATACCTTGCGCGCGCAAAGCTTCGTCGCGGTATCGAAATTATCAAACTGGCGAATCGTATCGAAGCGCTCAAAATGCAGGAAGAGGATGAGGAGTTCAATGGTGCGGACGTGCCCAGCAATGTCGGCGAAGCTGCGAGACAGGCCGTCGAGAACCGCGACGCATCAGATATTGTATCTGCATTCCCGGCATTGTCAGTCACGAACCCGTCCGGCGATGTCGGGGACGCAGATACATCCTCTTCCCAACAACCACAGGCGGGAGCCACTACCAAGAAGCGAAGTCTCAGCCGCGTTGCGCGAGGCGATATTTTCAGAGAAGTCGTCCTCGCAAAAGTGCGTGATGCGAAGCAGGAACAGGAAGCGAAAACAATCGAGGCGGAGGCTATTCGGCGCGCAGAGGCTAACCGATAAACCATTCACCTCGGAACGCTTTTGTAATTGCTTGCTTGACTATACCATTTGTATGCTTTGGACTGTTTGTATGTATCCTGATGATATCCCTGTTTCTTGGTTGAGGCAGCTGAGCCGAATAATTCGTTGATTCATCTCTTTATACGTTTTGATCATAACCTTTGAAAGTCATATTTACGTGCGTAGACTGAACGAATGTATCACGGTATGAATATTGATTGGCTGATGTTGGGCTATATCTATACGAGGTACAGAAACTATGTAGTCCGATTGGCTGGTTAACAGATCAAGGCATAACTACACCCCGAGCTCCAGCTTGTCAGCATATACAATTCATTCTCACTCGGTACTTTCTTTTTATACATAAATCTAAGTCAGGTCAAATGTGAATACTGCTTTGAGGAAATGAGCTTATCAAGCGACTATCGAATACATAGACATCCAGCCCAACACACACACACACATCATTGTAGTCTTGTTTTAATTACCAACAACGAGATACTCAACAGCAAAAATCACTCAACAACCACCCAATCTGTTTATAAGAACAAAGAAAAAGAGATCAACAAAATGTCGGAATTTCCTTGGCCCCATCCAACCCACGCCGAAGACCAACCCTACGCCAAATCCCTGCTATACATCCACGTATTCCACCGCGGCTTCGAAGCCGGCGGTCTTATCGGCTCGTTATATGGAAGCTACAAACTTTACAGACACAACCAGCAAATCCAAAAACCCTCTCTAGCTCCAGCTCCAGCTCCGGCTTCGGCTTCGGCTTCGGCTTCGTCTTCAGCACTCATCAAAAACACCGGAATGAGAACCATCTTCTACCCAACCGTAGCCCGCTCCTCGCTCATCGGCGCCGGAGCCACAATGCTGCTCTTAACGGGCCGAATGCGGGGTACCGAAGACGTGGAATGGCAGGATCGGAGTTGGCGATTGTTAGAGAATGAGGGTCAGGTTATGCATGATTTGTATGCGGATGTTGGTGCAGCTGTGGGTGCTGCGGCTGGTGTTGCGAGTGTTGTTGCAAATAGGTTACCGGTGTCGGTAATGGTAAGGGAGGTGGTGGGCAGAGCTGGACTAGGGGCCGTGGTTGGGTTTGTGGGTTGTGAGGTTGTGAGAGGGTATAGGCTCTTTACTGCGAAGGGGGGAGATAATGCATGAATGTTTTCAATGGTAGGTAGTGTACATCTATACAATTCTTCAATCTTAAGGGTATTGGTCAACGTGTATGCTCACGCCCAACATGCCATAACTAGTCGCAATCCCATCTATCCAGGCCGTGTTTGGTCCCTGACGAAAAAGCGGACCCATCAGACTGTCTATCCTGATGGGAAACGGTCTTTGTGTTGTATCCATCATGAAAAAAGGTGACGGCTTGGTTTCGCTATCCGCTAGGCTGTGTGCTGTCAACCCATCATCCCGCGACAGCGTCTGAATCTCTTCATGTAGCATCTGCCGCACATTCATCTCAGGCGTAAGTAGCAACAGAAGCTGATCCACAAGGACAATACCAGACCTAATCCCTCGTATCGCTAATGCCGAAAATCCGTCGAAGAATTTATATGACACCGGACCAACAAAAGTCTCCTTTGCCCTTTTATGATGAGATATAGTAGCAGCAGGATTGTCGGGACCCCCGTGCGTAGCAACCGTGATGCTCAACTCGGTATGTAACCCTCTCAACGCCGCCCTCACCGTCGCCAATTCCTGCTTTAATTGCGGCCGAACCAGATACTGGTTTACAGGCGGCATCTCCCACAATTCTTTAACCCGCTTGAGCATGCCAGGTAGTTTGACCATCTCTCTAAACGCGCGTTCCGCGATTTCAGTAAAGACCGACGAATCCGGTCTTCGCGCATTCTCGGCTTCGATCTGCTCACTCATAGCCTGCCATTCGCGCTGCTCAAGCAGACACGCCTCCCCCTTGAGCAGCGACGCAGTAATGAAAAACCCGCGATACGCAATATAAATCGCGCCTCCGAACCCGGCAATCGAATGCGACTCGGCGCCTCGAAGACGCATCATCTCTATGATACCCGCATGATGGTACAGCCATGCCTCCGCCGAAGCGCCATGATGCATTTCATACACACTCAATATCACCGCGGTCCCAAGCACGGCTTCATCCACATACCCACCATCTTTCCTATTCTTCGGCCCATTATGTGGCAGTTTCGAAAGATGGACTGCCAAACACCGTAACGATTTTCCATACAACTGTCTCCCTGCATTGATCAGTTTCTGGTCCTGGCCCGCTGCGCCCGCGAACGAGCATGTTAAAGACCTCAACCCTAGATCAAAGGGGTTGTTGTCCTCGCCCGCGCCCCGTGAAACGGCGTAGGCGAGCCAGCTGACCTGAGTCGATTTTTCGGTGCATTTAAATAGGCATGGCCAGGCAACCATAAGATAGTCTATGTAGATTTGAATGTGTTGCGTTGAGGCGCTGCGGGCTGCGAGGGAGGGATCACACCTGCCGTCCATGGCTGGCTTTATCTCCTCTAGTCGCTCCTCTGCATTATTATTGCCATGCTGGCGGTAGATCTGGAGTTGTTGTTGCTTCTTAGGGCGCGGTGGTTTGCGGTTTCTTTTCACTACAATCCTGCCCCTTTCAAGCTCATCCTCTCGCTCCGCTGTGTTTGCTGTCGCGTGCGCCGGTATGATTCTCGGCCTAAGGGCATGCGGTGGTGGTAATATTTCGTCAAGTGGCGCCATCACCATCAGGTCAAATAATTCGTATAAATCTCCTGGGCACTCGTCTACGAGGACTAGTCTGCAGAGTAATAGACGACATTAGTCGATTATACAGTGCGTTGCTCGAGCCTCACAGTCAAGGATTCTTGAAAGTTGGAACACTTTGTCATTTAATTAATTCACGGTCCCGAGGAGATGATGATTCATTCATAAGGGGGTGATCCACTTAGCGATGCACTAGCCAAACACCCTTCAATATTTGATCAACTACATACTGGCAAGAGATGAGGGTATCCAGGTTCTTGATTCCTATAGTATATTCATTCTGTTTGTTTACCGACTTAGTCGGGACAAGATATGATATCAAATTTCGGGGGAATAAAATGCATGCAATCATCGGATAAATCAACCGCCAAAACAACACCAATACAAAGGTCAAGGTATGCAAGTACAGAACAAATATAAACACGAAATCAATCATGAACATCAAAATCCACATCGAGCGGATCAATCCATATAAAAGATGCATGGGGTAGCGTGATGCGTTACAAATGAAACAGTAAAACCAAAGAGACGAGTCTATACCAATCCGTCATACAACGACAAAGCGCTGACGATGGTCTCATCCCGCTTACTGCCTTCCTTGAACTCTTCCATATCTAAGCTGCCGTTCTCGTCCTTGTCCATCATGCCAAAGATTTTCTTGACTCGTTTTTCGGGCGTGTCTTCGTCTTCGGGTAGTTTGACCATTGACCCGACCTACACCAGTCGCACATCAGTAATCTTGTTTTTCAGCCTTTCGGGATAGGAAACGAACCATCTTATATATAGCCTCCACGATAGCCAGCATCTCGTCATAACTTATCTTCCCATCGCCATCAATATCGTACAATTGAAACGCCCAGTCTAGTTTATCCTCCATCTTGCCGCGGGACGTCACGGATAATGCGCAAATGAACTCTTTAAAGTCGATGGTGCCGCTGTTATCGGAATCAAAGACGCGAAAGACATAGTTCGCAAAGGGAGATGGGTCGCCAAAGGGGAAGAATTGGCGGTATATCTTCTGGAATTCTTCTTTATTGAGGTGGCCGGAGGGGCAATCTTTGAGGAAACCTGCGTTACTCGGGTCATTAGCATATCGTCACGACTGCTAGAGATGGTGATAGTGTGTACCTTTGTACCATTGTTGTAGTTCCTTCTTATCGAAATGTGTGGTCTTGACCAGCTCGTCCAGCTGCTGTGGGGAAAGCTTTGATTGTCTGCGCGGTGTTAGCGACGCAAACACCAAGACCGCAAGACCAATGCATTGAACTGATTGACATGGTGATAATCAAGGCTGAGTAATAAATGCATACCGGCTTACCGGCTCAGTCGCATGTGGAGTCTCGGGGACGGAGGAGAGAATGTCTTACTTTTGACCCATGGCGCCGAATTGCTTTTTCTGTTGGTGTGCAAGAGCAGTTTATAGGGTTAAGCACAGACTGCAGATTGAAGATCTGCTTCTGTGAATCTTCGTGTTGAGAGTCGATAGCCTTGGGGGAGTCGGGATTTGGCGCTGTCCAGTCGCGTGGGGTAGTAAGCAGTAGCCTTGGAGGCAGTAGTGAAACAGGCAGACCAGAAGAGGAGTTAGCTAGTGTGTCAAGATCTAATGTAACTCTTGGTAAAGGCTTGTCTTGGAGAGAGAGAGGATTGAATTGTTCTGAATGAAAGAGTGCGTAGTGGAATGCAGCAAAGAGTAATAAGTGAATGACGTTGTGAAATCAATAAGCGCGGGGGACCTTCTAGATTTGCTGCGCCACGCTTGGCGGTTATATCTTCTCTTCTTTCCTTCTCCCTCAACTACAAATACAAAGATTTCGTACACTCTAGGAGCTTGTCAACAGCTTCCGCCCAATCCGCACCAGATCCTCATTCAACAGCGTCTCCTTCTCGATCCCATTGACCGCCTGATCCACCATCGTCGCCGCAATCTCATCGAGCTCCACGCGCGGCAACCCGATCAAATTACGCATAATCGTCGACGCAACTACTGTCAAAGTGCTCATATGACCAGGCGCGTAGATGAGGCCCGGTCGCGTAATACATACTTGCACATCTTTGCCGTCAGGCTGTTTCGCGAAGTCGAGGACATGATTCTCAACCCGGCTCTACGCGCATGATCAACAACAATTACAGCAGATAGATCTTGAAAAGAGGGTTGGACTCACCCGTAACACGCCATAATCTGGCATAATCCAAGGCCTTACGGTTGGGTCTCTGTTCGTTTTAGCGCCGCTGGTGTAGATGAAGCGAAACGGTTTGTTGCTCATGGCTGCCATTGTTTTTAAACCGTTGGCAGTGTAATCGAGACAGATTTTCTCGACTTGCTCAAACGGCATTGCCCTTACTTTGGATATCGTTATAGCTATTAGCCTGCCCAAAAAGTCAACATATGCTATCTAGTCATGCTGTTTGTGTGGATTGTAGTACCATATACATGCATCAGCACCGGCAAGATCCGCTTTTACACTCTCTGAATAGTTCTCAAAATCGTCGCATATTGTCGACTTGAGTTTTGATACATTTGCGTCCGGACCGATGTTTGCAGGCACTGGAGTTGCGCGTCGACCGAGCGCGACGACAGAGGTCACTGCGGGATGCAACAAGGCTTGACGGACGACTTCTGTGCCGACGAAGCCTGTTGCGCCTGCGATGATGAGCTTCATTATGTATGATTTGATTATACTTTGGTATTATTACAGAAAAGATGTGTAGGTTGATGAGCTCATATAGCTTCAGCTGAAAAGAAAGACGGACGTCTATACCGCATATGGATTTAGTGCTGACCTATCAACGAAATCCGTCAGCCAACTACGTTTAAGCCAAATACCGACTAAATCTTACTCAGCCTTCCTCGAAAATCCTTGATGATATAGATAGAGATTTGAAATGGTTTAAAAACCAACATTATGGTCGAAAGACTTGACGCTAGGACTCGAGAACAAAAAGGCATTATTCGTTTCCTGGCTGCCAATATAGGGACCGCCGGCCAAGATAATACGCTTCACATCCCTCCGTCTCCGGTTCCAAGTCAGGCCAGACAGTTTCAAGGACCTTGTGCAAGTCGAATGAGAAGTAAAATGGGAAGATAAACCGTACGGATCACCTAATTTTAGCTACAGTCCAGTCTTTTTTCCACTGATTTTTATCGACCAAGTCAAATACAGTGTCCCCCTCGAGTACAGAAAAGTACGAGGATCGACTTCTGGCTAGATTGAGAAAATTCCTATCCTTGTCACTCACAACCACAAGTGAGAACCTAGAAGCCAGCTTTCTAGAGACATGGCCCGGACCAGCACCCGCATCTTGAGCGAGAGAAAATGAGGGAGAAGTAGAGCCCTGTGAGTGATAATCGCAGATAACTTGATAGAAATCTGTGCCATAAGTTGGCCGTACAGAAAATTAGCCTTTCCAGTAGTCCACCTGCTTCCTCGATGCCACTTTTCATGGTCCATTATCCCCTTGATCACCAAAACTGAGGATTACTTGTTATTACTCTTTGAGCAATTTTTTGTGACAGCATACACCAACTTTGCTGACTAATCAGTGTTTCTTGTTTTTAATTATCTTCGTGCTAGTCGCTACCTAGGTAACTAACACCAAGAGTCTGCTTTCTTTTTTGCATAAAGAAGTTGCCGCGCTTGCAATTCGTACCTGCCTCGATCACCATAGCGATACAAGAAATGGATATTTCTCTTCGCAACCCCTTCTGGGGCGAACCTACCTCGTATCTGAAGTATGTTTTGAACACTCTGCTCCTGCATTGGCGTCATTCTCACAGCAATTAGCTTTTGTGAAGAGGTATTTCCTCTATGCTGTCGCTCGACCAGTAAGCTCGATGGTCGAGCCCGCTGACCAGCCCTTGCGAAATATTAGGATTATGTCGTTACACGTTATGCGGCTGAGTTTATCAACACCCTTAGCAGCTTAGCTTATGGTCCGTGAATTGATATGCCCTCTCTTGGACATCAACATTCTCTCAACTAATTGAACTGGCAGTTGCCTATGGAATATATGGCCTTTCCTGGCCTGGCCGTGATAACCGAACGACGGCTCGCCTGATTTCCTACAGCGGATTGATTGGCGTCGGCATTTGCTCTGCCGGTTACCATATGACTCTGAAATACCACACCCAAATGTGTTCGTGCTGACACCCAAATTCATTTTTTTGCTCAATCTGACCTCACCTTTAGCGGATGAATTGTCCATGCATCTTTTGACAACGCCAATGGTGTATCGCCTACTGACGTTCAAGAGTACTCCGCAGCGTACCAAGTTGGTGGCCGTACTACTTACTATCCTCTTTACAGTAGTCATGATCACCCACATGGTTATGGATGAATTCCTTCTTCATGCAACAACCTTTGGCCTGAGCGTTTATATAATTGCAACCCGAACGCTGAAGCTTATTTCCCAACAAGTGCCAGACCAACGCATTAGAAAGAACCTTCAAAATATCGGGCTGTTAGGCTGTGGTATGTTGCCCATGTCTCGCGAATTGGGATTTGAACTTACGTTTCATATAGTTAGTTTCGCCTTTGGGTTCTTTGTGTGGCTGTTGGATAACTGGCTATGCCTGCAGTTGACCTCGATTAAGCATGCAGTTGGTTTGCCCTTGGCATTTTTCCTTGAGCTACATGGATGGTACGCTTACTCCGTAGCTGCATACCTATCCTTAATGTTCTATCGGTCCTAACGAAAGTATATCAGGTGGCATATCTTCACCTGTATCGGGGGCTATATTGGCGTGGCTCTCGTGGACGCATTAACATTAGACGAAGTCCGTGAGGACCCCTCTCTTGACCTCGCCTGGCCCGTCCCTTCCGTGGCAAAGCTATTGGCAGGKGTAAATGTTTCACCAAAGCAGGAATAGGTTCGCTTATCAGAAGCTACATTCGTCACGACGCCTTGGATAATCTGACTTGTCCTTTAGAGGCGCCGTTTCAAGTAGCTGTCGTGGAACGAGTCCTTTGATCACCCAGTCTGAAGGAACCCCTTTCATGTATACAAGGTCGGATAATTGAGTGGTGCCTAAAGCAAAGCCGCGCTCGGGCTGGCGAATCTTGGATAACTGGTAGCGTGCAAAATGATCCATCACTTTCCTCCCAACTTGCGGCGCATCGACCAAAATGTCAATTCCATACTGTGACAATATCCCCGGAGGTCCGACTCCCGATAACATCAAAATCTGGGGATTTCTGAACGCTCCAGCAACGAGGATAATTTCCGTGGGTGCTCTGATGCGTCGCACATCTACGAGTGGAACTGCGGTGGATTTGGGCTTCTCTCCTGACCGGTTTCTTCTACTTCAAATTCCACGCGATGGACCATGGCTTTTGGGATGACATTAATCCCTCCAAGACCATAAGCCTTGTATGCAGTCTGTCGCTTGCCCTTGTATCAAGTCTTGAAGAAATCACAAATGCCCGTCAATTTTTCCGGACCATCCCTCGGAATTGTGTGTTGACCCAAGTTCGGTCCATGCTTCTTTGATCAGCCCTCGTAGAAGAAATTTGCGAGTCGCAGATACAGGAGTACATCGAATGGCCCATCAACTTCATGCTGCTTGACATCTAAATTTGGGTATTCAAAGGTTTCTGATCTGCGAAAGAAAGGAAGTAGCACCCTCGTAGATCCCTCGCAGCTCCATTTCTGGTCGTCGACGACATAGCCCGTGAGGCCTCCACCAACAATAGCGTAGTCTACCTTGACAAGTTGGCATATATATCATGACGGCAGTAACATCGTCACCCAAGACAAAAAGAACTAAACATCTGTGATGCACAGATTACACATCCCCGATTTTCTTTTAGACCAACATTGAGATATCGCTGGCCGTCATCCTGGCTTGTCTCCCAACTCTTCGCCCAATCTGGAATCTCACCACTACATCTCGATCTCCACTATCTTTGCCTTATACCAGACCGTTTCAGTTAATTGTAGCCGCCATCTAAAGCAACCAAAGATTAACTTCACTGAGCTGGACACGATAAATCTAACCGTGAGAAATAACCTTGGAAAGATGGATGAGAGTAGGCTATTAGATATCGAAGTTTCATTTCGGGGTTTCTTGTGATATCTCTAAGTAAGACTTTAATATCGGATTGCTAAATTAGTGCTGACGAGTGCGAAAAGGACATTTCGGGTTAATGGCTGGCGATGAAAGAGAGACGATTCTATCCTGGCAACACCGGAATTATCAATCCCTTGCAAGTATCGGCTTCTTTTGGTCAAGCGCTGGACAGCAGTTGACATTAAATGGTGGTCCGGCATTCCAAAACTCGGAAGGGTTAATCATCCCAAATGTTTACTGCTTAACCCCAAATAGCTCTCAAAGACCAAGCTCAAGCTGGTTTTGTCAGCTTTGCATCAATCATTCATGTTTGCGCCATCTATAAATTGAACTATTTACACACCTGTCCCATGAGCGCATCACAAACAAGTCAAAAATAACATGACTCAAAGGCACAACATGATAGAGTAGTAATATATGAAATGAGAAGAAGAAAGTAACACGAAAAACTGGAAATAAGGCTAGTATGGAATGAGAATAATACAAAGCTGCTGTCATTTCCCTAGGCTTCGAATTGAACTGGGCATGACGCTGATGCGGAATGTCTATTCAGAATAATCATAAAGACATTCACATATTAATATTTTGATCGACTTCCGTATCTTTTCTTCCTACTTCTCGTAGACAGTTCAATCCACCTTGATGGATGAGTATATCTTTCGGACAAAGACCCAGCTTGCGAAGAAGCCGATTGAACCTGCATTTTTGATCAGCAAGAAAATACTACGACTAGAAAAAAAGATCGAATGACTCACCAGTCAAGATATACACCAAGAAACCAATCAAGGCCGAATATCCAACGTACAACACCGCTCCAGTCAACCCTCCAAAGCTGACGCGGGTAGCCCAGAAAATAAGCGCGTTCACAAACACGTAAAATCCGGTCATACCGGCGCCGTTAAACGCACGCCATGACCAGCGGTAATCTTCAGCACAGAGCATGAAGTAGACGAGCAAGATAGTAGTGGCGGCAGTGGTAATTACCATCAGCCCGTAGCAGAGAAACAAGAATCCAAACATGTAGTAGATCTTGCTAGTCCACAGGGAGTTCATGATGAAGTAGAGCTCGACAAAGATGGCACCGAACGGTAGAATGCCTGTGAGCAGGAGCGAAGGGATTGGGCGAAGAGTTCCAACTGCCGGTGGAATCTGTCGGGGGATTTGGTTTGTTTTGGTGGGAGCCTCGAAAGCCTATTTATCTATGTAAGCAACTGGTACATAACGCTGGTCTGGGAAATCTTACCTGAGACTTAAATCCAAGCCAACTACCCACGAAACTCAGCGGAAGACTGATCACAAACCAAAAAGCAATTACAGCAATCATGGTAGTAAAAGGTACGGCGCCGCTTGAGCCCTTGGCCCAAACGAACAGATTCAGTAAGAAGAACCAGGAAAAGACCATGCCTGGAATCAAAAGAGGAGTCATGACAATATTGCGCTTCCAGGCTTCACCGCCAAACGACTTATAAGCGCGCGAGGAAACGTAACCTCCAATGAATCCAAACAGTGTATACAGAATGACAACTGTGGTCCCAAGAAAACCTCGGTTAGACGGAGAAAGCAAGCCAAATAGTGCAAACGCAACAGTCACACCAGTCATGACAAACAACTGAACTCCGTTTCCTAGTAGAACACTTAGAAGTAACGGGCTCTTCGGGCAGCGAAAGACGTCTCCGTGAACAAGCTTCCAGCCCGAATCTTCCTGAATGCCGTCCTCCACGACAGAGGTACCATTAAGATCATCGAGGTTGATTTGGTCGAGTCGGTTGTATCGGGCGATATCCTTTCGTAATGCGCGGATGAGAATCATGCTGACCATGCCGACTAGGAAAACCACGAAAACGGAAGAGTTGATGAGAGAGAACCAGTGAATCTTAGGGTCAAAAACATGAAGGTATTTATCCCATCGCGTTGCCCATGCTGTGTTTGATTCCCTCCAGTAAACACTATATGTCCAAACAACCTTTGTCGGTTTTTCCTCACTCAGAACCATGGCAGTGCCTCCCTCGCCGCAGTCAACTTGATTATTGCCGTCAATGAACGAGTCGCCGCGAGAGTCTGGTTGAACTAGCACGCCAACGACCCTGTACTTGTCTTGTGTTGCGAGGCCGACCTTGTGATAGTCGATGATGATATCAAAATGGTTATTGAGGAAAGACTGGCCGCCTTCGTCAACAGTTCCCATGAGAAAACCCGGGTTGTAAAACTCTGCGCCAGTGATTGGATCGAGATTCAACATGGCAGCCGGTAACCCATCCACCAACCAGTTAATGTTATACCCCTGAGCAATGCGATTGTTTGTAAATCGCGCATCCCGCGGTCCAAACTCCACCTCGCCACAAACAGCCTTGCAAGTTTCATTCTTTGCCATGTGCAGCTCAAACGGCGACGTGCGAATTCGATCTCCAAATATGATGCTGCCTAACGACTCGCGGACATCTACCGGCCCGTCCTTGGGTTGGCAGAAGTGGAATATGGGGTTGTAGTAATCGTACGATAGCACAGCGTGTAATTGATCATCCTGCCTGGCGATCCCGGGTGTGAGATGATTCACATATAGCGGCACTGATTGGCCTTCATCGTATGAACTCGGCGCGACACCGGGGAGGTAGAATGCGGATGTGCTGGGTGATAATAAAAGCAACGAAGACAGAAGCAATGTCCGCCTCGACGACGGCATTTTGATATGTGGTTACTGAAGTTTGATAAGAAATTAGTCAAAGGAAGCCAAGATTTCGAGCTTGCCAATTCAGGCTCGCTCGCTTTGATGTTTCCGGAAGACTGGATCGATGTAACGACTCACCGAGCTAGCTCAGTACCTTGCGAGGTAAGTACAGACGAAAAGAAATGTCATGCAAGATACCAATTTGATGAGATGAACATGTATCGTCCGTGGCGCTCGTCACGGAAACACAATTGAATGTTGAAGCAAAATGTCGCAGCGGCTGGAACTGAGCTGCGCCGCAGTTCCAAATGCAGCGTGTCAACAGCTGCCCGCACGTGATTCGACTGCCCCTAGTCCGGATACAGGTTGGAGCCATCCACCCATCTACATATCAACTTTATTTCTACACCTCTCTCCCCCTTTCAATTGCATCAAACGTGTCTGTACATTGCCTTTCAGATCGTGATATTCGAGCATGTTCAAAGTGTTGCCGAAAATCTGCGATCAGCTTCGAAACGGTCTCAAGAGATGAATCCAGTTGTCATTTGCAATCGGAAATATTATACGGACCGAAGCTTCAAGCCTCTCATATTGAGTACATACATCCAGTGGACATCACAGCACTAATGGCTTCAAAATATGTGTTTTTTATTCATATGTGAGGTACTTGAGCGTATATCAGAGTCACAATCGAACGCAGGACTCGTTGCAACCAATAAGGAGGCCTACCCAATTGGCACACAACTATGGGAAGACGAAGGCCGAGCAGTAAGCACAAAGGAGATAATTATAGGTCAATTATAGATGTCACATCGTCGGTAAATATAACACCAACTGTCAAATTGGACAGAAAACCATGTGCTGCACCGTGCACATTGTACTCATATCGCGGACCGCCAGGAGATTTCCCGAGGTAATATGTCAGACTTGAGTTTGCTTAGGAAAGGTATGCTGACGAAGAACAATGGACTTCACAAGACCTAACCATTCAGTTATGGCGTATAGGTAGGTTATACTGTATTCGGCTTCGCTAAAAGAAAGTAAACAAAGGACGTCAGAACAAAGAAAGAACCAATGAACACAGACTCAGATATGATCATCGATCATCAGGTAACAATAGCCCTGTTATGATCTGATCTTTTTGGATAGTCTAGGTTGGGATCTTCGTTATATGGAGACCAACTTCCCCAAAAACGATGAGTGTGACATGCTCTGGGTAATGTTTCCTGGCTTGGTATGACAACTCTGTACTTCTCTCACATGTATAACTTTGAAAAGAGAAGTGAGAGAAGTGCCGACCGGGCTACTTATTGAGTTCTTTGTTTCGACTGATCATTCTCTTTAGTTTAGGCTGCGGTGGCGTCGTATCAGGGATTAGTTTATGACATTACTAGGATAGTGTATTTCGCACCAGACCATTGCCTATTCAATTATGCACATACTCCAGACTTCACAACCTGGAGTATATATATACGTAAAGTGGCTCCATTGAAGAATGAGCGTTTGATCTTTTCATAGCCCAGCGGCCTCTGCTTCAACCCAACTTATAGAGTTTCGTCAAAATGAGTTCAATTGAGGCAATTCTTCAAAGTCCTGCGGCTCAACCCCCTCCAGGGGTAACGGCGAATTTCGACAACCCACCGAATCATAGGATGGAGTCCATTGCTTTCATCACTGTCTGCAATATTATATGCACTTTTCTATTCTTTATTCGCGTTTATACGAGGTTCTATATCATACATCGTTTTACACTAGAGGATGGTATGCGCTTTACCTGCCTACCTGAGATGCCGTCTACTAACCGTCTTAATTCAGTCTTTGTTGTTCTTGGATGGGTAAGAAAATGAAGTTACAGATATTAGTTCCATGGTTTTCAAACTCATCATGACTTCTTAGGGAATGTTCATTGGATACGCTGTCTCTCTCAGCCTATACGTAGAGGTGTCTCCAGGGCTGGACCAGTGGAATATGCGAGTTGAGAAACTCTTCTCAGTGCTTTATGTGAGCACTTACCATACTCACTTCAGAGCATCTTGCCGCAAAGACAAAGGCTGACGGTCCACTTAGTACACCTATATCACTTCGATTCTGAACAGAATCCTCATGTTCTTCATCAAATTCGCAATTATCTTGCAATACCTCGAACTATTCGCCCCAGCGAGAGTTAATCAAAAGATGTACTGGGCTTTAAATGGTCTACTTTGGACGAACGTCCTATTTTATATCACGGAGATCTTTGTGGAAATCTTTAGATGCCACCCTATCGCCAGAGCATGGAATCTGTTGATCACCGAGGGCGCGTGTCCAGTCGATTTCATTGTACTCACTGTTGTGGCAGCCTGCATCAACTTGGCATCCGATATTGTCATTTTGATACTACCACAGGTCTGCATATGGAAACTTCAAATGGGGTCAAAGCAAAAATGGTCAATCTCGATACTCTTCTTCATTGCTATATTGTGAGTTGTCCTTTCCTGTTTTCTTTCTGGTGACTCGGTTCTGATAATGCATTTAGTGCTTGTATCTCCTCGTCTCTGCGCCTCCAATCCTCGATTCGCGTCCTTCGGGATTCAACCAACTACACATACCACGCTTTTCTAACTGGTATATGGACCCTGCCAGAAGCGACCTCAGCTTTTGCGGTAGCGTGCTTTCCCGTGCTTCCGAAATTCTTCAAGAGTATCAGAGACAAGCTGGGGAAAAATAAGACTACCACAGGCCGCTCTTCTACGATCTCGAGCATCGTCAATATGAAGTTCGGCCGTGCGGGAGATAGACGCATCGACGGAAATGTGCATGCGCCGTCTCCGGATTCTGCGAGGAGTATATATTCACAAGGCTGGCACGAGTTGGAAGAAAATAGATTAATGAAGAAACAGCCGTGTCCGATTGAGCAGGTGCAGGAGTCACGTAGGCCGTCAAGGGAGGATATTTCTGGAGACGAATCTGTTGTATAGAGTCGGCTCATACACAAGGAGCTTGCACATATGTGGTATGACTCTTGATCTTGGGTGAATCGGATTTATTGTATTAGCGAAAGATACTCAATATTTTTTTTTCATTGTCTGAGCATTTCTTTTGTAGACATTTTATACAGGTTTATTCGAGATCCATGCGCCTGATTTTTAAGTACTCACACCTATTCTGCACATACACAGTACCTTATGACTGAGCTTCAGGAAATCATAGGTAGAAAGCCACAAATCATCAAGAAAATGAGATCATAAAGAGCGATAAAGCTCACTTGGGGCTAAATCTCCATTTCTATATATCACATCGATTGAACCAATCAGTGTCCGTCAATGTCTAGTATCTTTCATTGGTCAAATCCATCTCAGAACCCCACAGCTTCAATCGCACGTGATGATAAGTCTGATAAGGATCGTCTCCACCGCCGAACCAAAATTTGTTTCGATAAAAAATGCGCCAACTTCATCTTGAAAAACAGCCCTTTTCCAGAAACAATCACAACGATGGTCGCTATTACTTCGACAGCGCCAGCTGTTGGCCAGAACAACCAATCTGATTCTTCTGTGGACAATTTATCATTGATCCTCGACACCTTAACAGCATGCCTAAATAGCGCATCGACTTCGTTACCTTCATCGACCGAATCCGAAGACAAGAATACGAGTCCGACAATCGTACCCCCCTCAGACGGCATTTCGCTTCTAGATACAAAAGCCGAATTACTTCTCTCATATCTGCAGAATCTCGTTTTCCTCGTTTTATACCAACTTCGAGGACGTGGCAAGACTGACAGCCAAGGGGATGTCTCACTGGAGGATATTACTAGGAAGTTGACGGAATTGAGGGTTTACCTCGAAAGAGGTGTCAAGCCTCTTGAAGGCAGATTGAAATACCAGATTGACAAGGTTGTCAAAGCAGCAGAGGATGCAGAGCGGGCGAACAAAAACCCAGCCAAAGCAGGAAAGAAAATCAATAATAAGAATGGAGATGACAGTGACATTTCCGAGGATGTGTCCGGCGACGAAGAAGATGAAGAAGAGGATAGCGACGATGAGGAGATTGACGAAATGGCCTACCGACCGAATGTAACCGCGTTCTCGAAAGATGTACCCAAAGCCGACAAAGACACTAAGACAACATCGAGAGATACAAAGGAGCAACCGTCAGATGGAATCTACCGGCCGCCTAGGATCAAGCCAACCGCATTACCCACGACCGAAAGCCGTGACCGTGATCGTGATCGCCGACCCAAGAAGTCGAGCGTCATTGACGAATTCGTCTCCGCAGAAATGTCAGCCGCACCAATGGCCGAACCCAGCATCGGAAGCACAATTCAGCGTGGCGGACGACAAGTCATGTCGCAACAAGACCGTGCCCGTGAAGCCGAACGTCGTACATATGAAGAAACTAACTTTGTGCGCTTGCCCAAAGAGAGCAAGAAGGAGCGCGCAAAGAGAAAGGCGGCAGAAGGGCCTCGTGCAGGTGGCTTTGGGGGCGAGGATTTCCGTTCATTGGGCGAAGGTGCGGATAGAATTGCAAGACTTACCAAGAGGTCGGCCGGTAGCTCAAGAGCTGGAGCGTTGGAGAAGAGTAGGAAGCGAGCATTCACAGAGGATGGCCCTAGAGGCGACGGGGTTGCAGCTATTGGTCAAAATTTTGAAAAGAGGCGGAAGAAGGTGGAAGGATGGAAAAAGTGATACAATGGCTGCATGTGTAATACCAGCGTAGCAATTTCTAGGCGTTCACATCTGTGTCCATATCCAACAATTTTGAATGAAGTCCGCAACAACTTTAGTTTTCCATGAGTTTTCATAAATTGTTTAGATTTTTTTTCAGCTGAAGGAGTCATGTACGTGGAATGCTGAAATACAAAACATTAAATGCAAAACAATCATAACGAGCGTTTCCTTTTCCCCCGATTTTCAATTTTTAAAATCCACACTTCGACCCATCAACCTCCTCATAATCGACCGTCACACTCCCAAAGTCCTGCGCATGCCCATTCGTCAACTTATCCAAAACCCTCTGCGCAACATTAAACTCTCCAGTCGCAGCATCAATAGCCACAACATAGACAGTCTCATTCTTGTACGATAACGAGTAGCACGCGCCGCAGTTAGCGTCATTCCACCCCTTGATGGTTAGGGAGCCTGTAACATCCTGAGTGGGTAGGTCACCGATAGTATTGTACCCTTTTGTGACGAGGCCGTTCTCGCCGTTGGAGCAGGTTACTGTTGATAGAGAGAGGCTTGCGTTGTCGTAGGCTGTGTCGAAGGTGGCTGTGGCTGTTTCGGTGGAATTTGCGGCGAGGGCAAGAGATGCAGAGAGTACGAATAAAGTTGTGTGGAGGGTAGTAAGCTTCATTTTGTGTGATATAGATTGCGGCTTTGGGGTTGCTTATTCGACGTAGGCGTTTTGTGTAGTAGCACTTCGTTATGGCAAGGGTTGGTCCAGTGTTGTATAGATCTGATGGACTTCTGGATTCTGTTATAGATAGGCTGATAGTATTATTGATGCAGGCTCAACAAAGCCTTATATACACTAAACATGCGCTTCGCTTTGATTACTACACGGATACGCGGCAATTCAGTGCGTACATTCCCTAATCTACGTGCAAGAGCGCGTGATGATTCAGTAAGGTCAAATGAAGAACCATGGTAAATGACGTCTGATACCACCTCGGAGAAGGCAGTTGGCAGGGCCTCTGCCGATCAATGTGCTTCTGGACTTTGAGAAACTGAAGTCTGGGCACAGAGAGGTCGATTTGAATGAAAATATTGACTCACTCGGATCGATCCCATGTGGCTGGGAAATGCTCAGCCCCCAGAGAACGTGGTCAGACCAGCCCGATATAGACATGTACGGTTCGATTCAAGATTCGCTGCTCAGGGTACCATTTTTCGGAACAACCTACTTGCCTCGTCATCCAGGTTGAAACCAGGTTGGAAGACCCGCCTGGCAACTAAGTTGTATGTGTATACTGCCCTTCTAACGGTACTATCGTTACATTACAGCATGCATGACTCAGTCAAATTGCTCTAATGTCCCACTTGTAATCGAATGATCAGTCAGTTCAGCCTTAAGTCATACAAGAATGTGCGTAGATCCGTGTGCTTATGAAGAGAAATAAGTTCACGCCTGGAATGCCGACTCATTCCTGTGGCTGAACTGATGCATACTCTCGCCTATTATCGGCATGTACGTACCTAGAAATACTCAGTATTTGCCACAACTTAATATCCTATCGCCCCAGTCTCAATAATTATTCATTTGAGCAGATCGTTTCTTATCGCGATGCATTGTCGTGGATTTAGAGTTTCGATTAGGGCTAACCATTCTTGCCAAACTTGGAAATTTTCTTGCTGGCTGTGAAAACAGCGAAGAGCCCTAACTGAGAGAAAAGCATAAACAATCTGTGATTTATAATAACCTCAAAATTCGTATTTCAAGAACATGAGTTCTTTTAGAATTCAAGACCAGTCGATACAGTTGACCTGACATGATGATGGCTGGTATGTGAACAGTCAGGTTTCGGAAAAGAATGAAGGATACTTATTAAAGTACCACTGTAGGACTCGGTCTTGGGTATCGCCACTTTTGCACGTTGTAGAATGTTACAAGGCTAAGATACATTCTTTGGTTACACCTTTCGATTGATTCTGATTTGTTCACTAGGCTATGTTAAATTGGCAGGGTAAAACAACAAGATTAATTCTTGTGCCGGTGCTTCCTTTCAAGATTTTCTTAATCAAGTGTAGCAGCATCGAGAGTATGGCTGAATATTGCGTTGCACATTATCTGATTAGATGGCAATCTCTGTACAATCCAGGATTCCATTGTCTGAGAAATTGATGGTAAATGTTCCTATATACATGTAAATGATAATTTCTCCCCAAGAGGCGTATATTCAATTCAATAGAATATGAATCATATATAAATGTATGAATGTATGGAATAAAGATGAATGCGTAAAAAGACTCTATCTATGGATGAAGGCCCATCTCCAGAACAAGCTGAGCGAACACACCGCCTACCACAGGTCGGTTAATGAAGTAGATGCCAGGGTAGTCACCGGTAACAGTGTCGTAGAGATCGGTGAGAGCACGATTGGTAGGTGTTACATTGATCCAGTTCGCGAGGTCGGAGTAGAACATGTCGCGTGTTGATTCGCTGGCCAGAGATGCTGCCCACGATTCCCAGTCGCCTGCTCACGGATTAGTCACTGATGCTCTAAAAATAGCTACGTGAAATAAGAGCGAGGTAAAATACGCACCCTTGGTATAAGTGTGACGAGTATCAAGAGGCACTCCATACTCGCCATTTACCGTTGGGTAGAAGTTGCTCTGCATTTCATAGACCGATTCAGGGACAAGGTTCAAGCCAAGTTCCTTATCGCCAAACAAGTTGTACAAAAGACCCCAAGTATCGTTAGAGCCGTAGGATAGGGTGCTATGAGGTGGATCAGCAGCGCTGTTGATTCCGAGAGTTTGCCATTGGGTAATGTAATTGCTGGCGATAGAGCTATAATTTGATGCACTGGTGAGATTACCGGTGGCATTAGCAATGACGGACATGGCCTTGATGCCGATCATTCCCTTGAGGGCCAAGTTTGTTTGATTCCTATCGTAAGTTAGTTAGCGTAATATTCCCTGTGGCTGTCCTCATAACATGTAAGAGTTTACTTACGCTAGTGAGCCAGCAAAGTCATCAGTGGAAATTTGGTTGGCCGGATATAGAGCTTCATCAACCAGGAATTGAGTCCACTGATCGAGCAGCTTGTAGTTTGTATTAAGGAAATCCAAGTCCTTAGAAGCCAGATAATAAGCAAGTGACATAATAAGCATGTTACCGCACTCCTCGAGAGGCATCTGCTCATCGTTACCGTCAGTGTGACCGGTGGCGTTGGGATAGTGGCTGCCAATATCGTGCATCGACCACCGGTTGGGATATTGTCCAGCTTCTTGATTCTCGAAGAGAGGAGCCATGACCAGTTTCAACAATGTAGGGTTGGTGTAGAGGTAGGCAGGATGAGCTGGGAAGATCACGTCGACGGTGTTAACGTTGCCGTCAGAAGATATTTCCTTGAGGAAAAGGTATTGTGTTTCGTTAGTACCGACAAGCTGTGTCGCACCAAAGGACTGCCGGAGAGCCAAAGTTGCAAGAGTTGCATAATTGTCACTGATAGCCGAGGCATCAGACTGTACCTTAGCATCTAAGGCAGCTGATAATGAGCTGGCGGTTCGGTAGTCATTATGAAAGAAATGTAAGGCGGAGATTTCGTCTGAAAAGTACTGGAGCCATAATGAAGGCAAGGGAACAACACCGTCTGCGCCATCGAATTGAATGGCTTCTTCTTGAGTAAGGCCAATGGAGAATAAACGGCTGGTCGATCTAGTGCCTACACGTCCCAAGTCGAATGCGTGCGCAAAAACGGGCCAACTATCTTGGATAGCACGGTAGTTGGTGTCCACGGTGTCGGTCAAAGTGCCATTGTTTATGAACTGGCCTCGAACGTCAACATCGATGCCGGATTCGTAGGTATAGCCACGATCCGAAGTGGTAGCATACCACCAGTTTCCATACTCAGTCTGATCGTTGATTTCCGAGAAGGCCAATTGCGTCTGACGATAGACTTTGTGATATGACAAATCGCCCTTGGTGCCATAGTCCCATTCCGCAATGTTGGTACGGTCGCCCGAAACCCATTCTGTGAGATTAGTTTTTAGCTCTGGATATCAGATGACGAGAGATCATTCCACATACCAGCAGAAATATCCGTGTACAATTGAACATCGTGCTCGCTCCCATCCAAAGACACAACCTCGACATCGACATAGGAAAAGATGAGTGACTGCCGTAGAAAATCGTCGGGAGTTATAGGAGACAGAAAAGTAATTTTGACCTGTACTTTATCCTCCACAGACTGTACATAGATGCTAGATGTACTTGTATAAGTGTAAGAAGTCTGGTTCACAAAAGAGACATCTGCTGGATCTCCCATCCAGCCGTATGCGGTGCCATCAACTCTGATCAGGCCAGTCCATCCTAGAGTCTGTCCACTTGATGAGAAAAGCAGATTAGTCGAAAAAAAAATAACTTGGATTATGGCGATTTTTTTGCAGGAGGGACTCACGGCCAAAATGATGGCCATTGACCAGCAAGGTAACCACCATTACCACCATCGCTTCCGGCAGTCTGCCATGCACTCAAGTATGGAGATACCACGGCGAGCGGTTGAGCTGGAGGGCGAGCTGGAGAGAAAGTTGATTCGGCTTTGATACAAGGCAATGAAGCCAGGAGTAACGACACCAAGAAAAGTGGTGTCATTTTGTTTGTACTGGTACAATTTGTACCCCGTCAATTTCGACAACGACCACCAGAAAATTTGATAGTTAATACTCTTATCGTGTTGATTTATACAACTAATTATATGGCCTGTCAGATTATCAGTCAAATAAACAATCTAGGCAAAAGATCAACACAAGGCAAGTGCAGAATGCTTGTGCCAGGGTGTGGAACTGTCTCTCGCTCTCGGAGAACGAAACCTCAAAATATTTAATCAAAGGAGTTTAGCCTAAGAGCGTACTGGAACATTCTTGAATATATTAGGTAGTGGCCAGATCTTTTTGGCCAGTGCCTAGGCAGGGTGATGGGAAGGGATATGAGCAAGGAGTGGTGGGTGTCACCGGGTGGAGCATGATAGGCAGGCACGGTACCTGGTGATGATAGAAAAGAGATACATAGTTCTCCGGTGCACATAACTCTGAGTAGTGGTCAATCAACTAGATTGCCTTATTCTTGGCATCAGGATATGGAATGTGACTTGCCACGTTGTCGATGGACAGCTTCTTGTGTGATCGCGAAGGAACAAATGCAACAAAAATGAGGAGCTGGGTGAAAATATGAAGACACATACCTTTAGATCTGTGTTGAAACCTTGCAAAGGCTCACTAGAGTACAAATAGGAACTTGAATCAAATAATAGTCCAGCGTCGCAGATGGAGATTATGGCTCGCTTTATACTAGCGACGTCAAGGTATCACTGGTGCAAGAGGGGTGACCATTCCATGCATTAACCGAGCACAAGCACAAGCATAAGAATCTGAGTTTCTATGAACCGGCCAATAGTCGGTAAACGGGCAATACTCATTTGAGGGCCCGATCTTTCTAATAACCGGGAATGAAGTCTGTGGAGAGGAAAATTTGTACCAGCGGTCAAGCCGGAAAACCGGCGTATGTATGTACCACCTGTGATGCAAAATTCGGAGCGAAATACGATCCCATACATCCCAGTACAGAATTACATTATTATGAACTATTATGAGGTATGTAAGCATGTCTACGTGGTCTGCATATCGACTCCCTGTGTGCGGGGAAGCAAGGGGGACATGTATCTAGTTGCCCTAATAGCGGTCCTTGTAAGTAGTAACGCTGTAGGATTGTAGACTATGTAGCCTATAGTTTTCCGACTTTTTGTTGGTTCGGGCCATAAATCAAGTTCGGACCGGCTGTGTCAGCAATGATCTGCGCATTTTAATCTATATCCATGCGGAGTTAATCTTCAATAAAGGTGCTACCCCGCAAAGCCTTGCAGGAGACATGAGAAAGCAAGTCTGTAGATCCGGTGAAATTTTGCTGGCGGGCAACAAAGCTTTTAGACGATCCTACGCTGAAATTTTTTCGTGACTTTAACCACGAATCAAATCATAAGGTAACGAAGGAATAGAGTGCTAGTATATTGATTGATGAAGATCACTTTCCCAAATTCACCGAGTGAAAATATGGTGTCGTCGCTCAGGAGCCTTAGCTCGGAGAATAATCCTGGTGACTATACTTACAGTCTGTTATCCGTTGTGTGTAAGTTGATTTTTGGAACAGTATAGATCAAGTCTCTATTGTGGCTATTGATTTGAATGAATACCTAGAATTTAATATTACAAATATTTTGGTAGAGAGGAAGAATAAGTAAGTTCAGGCTGCAAGGGTACACACGCCCCCGGGAAATATATGCTATCGACGCTCAGATGCGTCAAAGCCTTAGACCATCCAAACCCTCGATGATTACTCAGACTTCTTGCGTGGTAGGCGGGATGGTAGCAAAAGTAAACTACAGTAGGTATGTAGTACCGTAGTATTAGATTTAGAGTCCTTAGGTAGTAGGAACAAGGTTACTTTGAGCTGTTTCAATGGAGCGGCGCCATAAACGCCACCGGCGTAAGTCAATATGGTAAAAGTATATTGGAACTTAGATTTTACAGCTATTTCACTTGAAATTCAACTTCTTTTCAGCTAAACTGCAGATAAGTCTTATATTCAAAGACTCAAAACTTCTTTCATGCTCCGAAAATCTAGCCTAACATTCGTTTTACTTCCCATTCTAGGGACTCCCACAAATCATGATTCATGAATTAATGAACAGTCAGCCGACTCCGGAATAAGAGACACCATCGCGTGATGATTTAGATCAGCTGACATGGCGAATATTTGTCGATCACCCGATTCGGTGCTTTGTACATCAACTAAAGCAATGTATCCGCATACTCACTTTCAATCGGAGAGTAGACCGAATTCTGTATAGAGAGCAAGCGTTTTCACATGAATGAGCCACATGAATGAGCCACATGATAGCGGGCTCGGTTGAGAGGTCAAAGCTTTACCAGTTACTCGCCCTTGACTTGAGTCAATAGCACTTAGAAGTAATTAGAGACTAGATTCGTAGGTTATTCGGCGTGCTGTCCTTCCAAGGTTGTCTTATTACACTGAATGGCGTCTTTGTCCACGCTATTGTTAACAGACCCTTACTTGTAATACCTCTGTAGCCTGTTTCAAGATATGGGGACAGCGGCGGAAATTTCTTCAAGTATCTTATGGTTTGTACAGAATGATCATTATTATTATACATGTATGTGTGTGCGTGTTATGGGTATATAAAGTAAACAAGCGAGTATGTATCACCGCTAGTACTATACTAGGGCTTGTTCCGGTTACATTCAGGTCATCATGATCGACGAGACGAATTTATGATATCAAAATAACACCCGCCTAGCAGCATCAATCTCACTGACATCCCAAGTTTGCGGGCTGTACGATCTATCCACATTGACCATTTACCTTGAAAAGCAGCCCGCATAACCTGCGCGTACTCACAGGAAAACGGATACCAACCCGCGTACTCCCATCAGTTTCACCAGTATCTTTGCTATATTGGAATATCGCCAATTAGCCTCTGACTATATTGGGCAGTCTTCGATAAATGATTGACCAAATTGATTTAATTAATTGTTTAGGTAGCTGCCAACTAGTGCTAACGAACCTTGGAATTGTTCCGAAGTTTCTTTGTCAAACCCTCAGGATATCTACCGGACAACGTCAACACTGATCAAAATTGCCAGAAAACCTCAACTTCAAGCCCAGAGCAGAACTGCAGCACAGATTTCTATTGACGGGTAGTCTCTAGTAGACTACCGAATCCTTTCAGTGAATGGAATGCATATCATATTACGTTTCGATATCCTCCCTCTTGACTGTTGTATGTTATCATTGGAGTATTTCATGCAGATCATGACTAGAGCATACTGAGGAAAACACAACTCTTGGTGAGGTTGATTCAGAATATATCATATAAATCACTTGGGATATAAGGCGACAATCACTTCGGAAAATGCTTCACATTATCTGGACACTCCACGCTACTTCTTCGTTCTATCCTATTGCGGCAGATAAATCACGATGCTTAGATAGTCTAATCTCCTAGATTTGTTATATGAGACCAGATTCTAAGGACTAATTCTTTTTCAGTGTAATAATGCCCCGTTTCCCAAAAAATCTCTTACAATCAGGTGGATCATCATATCTTAAGGCAAAACCTGACCAGGAAATTTGAAACGGGCGGAGGGAAATATCGCATGTAAGTTATATTCTAGATTAGATAAACATTTGTCAAAAGTTCTATCAACTTGAATTGCCACTGGCCGCAATAGGATAGCAAAGTCCGGTCAACTTCGACTTATTGAATATCAATTCTTCTATTCGAACCATGTTCTAGCACATGTGCTAGGAAGCCGCCATCAACTTTACCAAAGCTTAGAACAACTCGTCCAGAATTATCATTATACATGTGAGCTGGCTCATGCGCTCGGGTAGATGTAAATACCACTGGCAATCGCTCCAACAACTTCTGGCGATGGAACTGTATATGCACGAAGATGCTTACTCAGGGATGTTGTCGTAAGCAACAACCAGCTGACCATATCACCAAATAAAATACTTCCAGTCGGATTTAAATGCGTGTAGTCAGTTGGGATACGGTTGTATGTTGCAGAGTCATTTTGTCCAATTGCATCGAGATATTTAGTACTAGCTTCGTTCAAGTCGATATAGTCGACACCAAGTGATTCCGCAACTTTAATGGTAATATTTCGCTGTTCTGCAAGATCCTCGATCACCAGTCCGGAAGAGTTGAAGTTGCGGCGGGATAATGGAGTCACTAGAATCTGTGCAATTATTAGAGCAAGTTCATGTCTAGTTATGTTCCTTGACTTTTTGACTATGCATACTGGAATTCCTCCGGCTGTCTTAACTTCAGTAGCAAGAGTAGCGAGATTAGTGGTGTAGTTTGCAATTGTGACACCAGACGTATTTTTTTGATCATTATGACCGAACTACTTCTGTATTAGCCAACGTAATGTAATTTGTTGGTCATTAGGTTGAAGATTGCATACCTGGATTGTCACATATGGCTGATATCTCTTCCTGTTCCTAGTGACAGCATCAATTACATTTGCCCAGGCTCCTCCGGCCACAAAGGAGGCAGTCGTCGCTCCGTTGTAGCCAAGATCCGCCCCAATCGCGTCACCAGTGAGGGTTTTCAGAAACCCAACACCCCAGCCTCCACCTGCTGAAGACTGAGCGGCGGTCGTAGAATCTCCCGCAAGGAAGAATGCGGCAGGKCTATTTGCCATCACTAATGGCAAGGCTGCAAGAAGAAAAAGAGTTGGTAAAGCGTCTGACCTCATTTTTTTTGATTAATTCGGGCTTTTCGTATAGATTTTGCAAGCAGAGTGCATTTTTAAAAGACAGGCTTATGAGTTTTGCTTACGATTTTGAATTTATATTAATCGATTGACATAAAGGTCATGAAAGCACGCGTTAGGAATCATGCAGATGAGGTGATGGTGATCGGACAATTCAAATGCACCAATTGCAAAATGACCCTGTAAGGTGTTCCCCTTGGAACTCGGTCGCTAAACACCGAATATGTTAAACAAGATAGTAAGCGTATTATCATCCAACTTATGGGTAGTATCCGCGAAGCGCATTAGGTTGACTCTGGTTGGTTTTTATGGTAGTACGTGGACGTGGGTTACCGGCGATATTGGACACTGAAAGAGCAGCCTTCTCATACACCCGTATGTTGGCCCTTAGGCAGGATATCCCCAATTAAAACCCCTCAAATGATTGCCTTGAGTGATAAGGTGGAATTGATTCCAAAGTAGGAAAATTCCACAGAAATGTGCTCAGTGCTTCCCCCCGCAATCCCCGCAAATCCACTCGGAATGATGTGACCGAGATCACCGAGCCCAAGGATGTATACCAAAGAATCTTCGAGCCTAGTAATTTCGAATAGAGCCCTGTGTCGGATTTTAAAATCAGAGCACAGTACGGAGACCAGTGTACACTAGTGGAGTATATGGCTCCTTCTGCTGAAAGGTTTTGATTGTTGAAGAAGATGATAGCCTACAGATTGCTTTTAAAATGGGCAAGACTGATATCCAAGATGGCATAGATATATGTCTACAAGCGGCATTGAGTGTCACATATAAAGTCCGCCAAAGGTTTCAGGGCGGACTGATGTTTCGATCGTGTTAGGTAGGTCTTAAACCATATTCTTCATTTACGTGTACTAAACCTACATGACAAGGCACCCGATACTATGGATTTAGAGCTTATATAATTTGATTCGTCAATACTATTCAGCAAGCATCGTCGCCTGCACAAGTCTATTATCAATCGTTTGACGCCGCCACTCGGTGTCAGAACCATCTCGCTACTTTCTGAGAGAGCAGTTCCCTCATTGGGCAATATAGTCTCGTTCTTGAGGAGTTACGGCAAGAAGCCAGAAATCAAATAGAACACCAATCCAGGCCTCTAGATTGGAGCATTCCAACAAGTCAAATTGAGGACATAGTGTTAGAGTACACGAACATTCTAGGTGTGCGCCAGCCGCTGGAAGCGGCTGGCTACGGGGACATGATTAGTGCTCCAGCTGATATTGCAAAATGGATTCAAGTTGAGTCACTGGTGATTATTCAGTCCTTGATTTGGGATTTGGCTCCTCTTACAGACCTGAGTCTCATGACGTCCCAAGCTTCACTGGTTTGATTCCTATAACTCGGCACTGATGGCGACTCTTTAGCCGTGGCACATTTATTAGTATGCTAGCTATCGCTAAATGAGAATACTCAGTACACTAGTTACTTGCATAGAAACATCCCTCAAGCGTAAAATTTGCTAAAAGACTCTCCAGTAACCCATTTGCAAGCCGTTACTAAATATCATGTTCTGCTGTACAGCTGTTGGACTCGAAAATCTACGCTCCCGACTCTTGTGAAACTCTGTCAAATTCCACAATGGATATTTGAAGAAATAGTCGGAGAGTGTGGCAACAATAGGTTTCTCGAGACTGAATTAGGGCTGTGCAGCACAAAAGGTGCGGCTGAACGCAACGCAAGTCACGACATCTGCAAAAGTGACTCCATATCGTCGTTCTCATCACCCTGCACAAAACACATCACTGATATCATCATTTATTGTTTAGGAGGTAAGGTTTAGGTAAACTTCTTGCTTGAGATGGAAGTTCAGATAAGGTTAATTTCCCCGCGTAGCTTGCTTCCTTGATCATGGTACAACTTCTCAGATTCACAGGTAATTATTGCTCTATTTTGTCTATATTCCTGTCCCCGATCTAGTACGTCATTACAATGAAGTAATCCAAATATTCCAAGGTTTTTGATTGGAAGACCTGTCTTTCCAAGGTCTCATATCATTTGAATGGTCTGGTCTATGAAAACAAATTCTCGATAAGTGAAAGACCTTCAGTCATTTGGTAAAGTCTCTTAAGCGAAGGAATTCAGGGACTACTCGAAATGCAACTCTAGGGTTTGAATTCATCGCGTCATGGTACAGGTTGGCACGATGCTTGCATACTTAAAGCTCGAACACATGTGCAATCCATCCTAAGTAGGCAGGTCGAACATTGAGGTGTGGAAGGATGCAGGATTATTCGAAAGTCGACAAGCGAATAATACATCGTCAACAGCATAAAAGACCAAAATTTAAATTTCAACAGAGCACTGCAAAAAGCCAAGATCTCAAATCAACCAATGATGTTCCGAAACTATCACAAAAATGGATATTACCTTCCATATTCTCGATGGTCAGGTTTTGAGGTTTTGAGGGCCTTGTTGCGCGGAGCTAAGAAAGCCGGCGTTCTTTTGGCGTCAAATCTCGGTGTCCACACGACTCCACCTCGTGCTCACAACTTTCAAGCTTGTTTTCTGGCGCACGTTCAACCCGATCTTCGGGGTTTCGTGAACCGATCGCAATTTCGTTGCTCGAGCACAGTGGTCAAAGTTTGAGCATTGACAATGGCATTCAATATCAACCTCGGCAGTTCTATTTAAACTTCAAACTCTGCAGTACTTTGCAGTGGCGACTGATAAGCCAAGAAAAAAAAAAAGAAAGGATGAAGTAACGTACTTGTCCTCATATTCCAATCATCATAAGGACATGGTTAAGGAGTATGCACTTCATAGCCGTGCGGCTACGTACACTGCATCAGGAAATCGAAGAGCGAATGAGGGGCTTATCAGTGTTAGCACTAAAGATGGTACGGTGGTACCTACTCAGCCTGACCAACTAGAGAACGATCGGCCCAGGAACCTAAACATATAGCTTCATTCTAAATTTCTTAGCAAGTGGACCTCGAACAAACCAACGAACCAACCCAACATCTCAAATGTGCAGGTGCTAATAGAAATCAGGTCTAGCTAAGAACAAGCCGGCTGTGATCGTCCCTCAAAAGGGTGCAATTGGTGATGAATCTAGCTAAGCCTGCGCCGTGGAGTAGAGCTTCTCAGCTTACAAAATGTCCATTTCAGAGTTCTGACCCCCAGATCAGTGTGGGTTACTCAGGACAAGCTTAGTTTGATTGTTGATCGTTCTGTCACACATGATAAACATGCAGTAAACCGGTGTTTAAAAAGGAGCGGAGTTGCTCCTCGTGAGGTTATATTTTTGTTCACCATCACATTCAATTAATTCCATACGAGCGTGGTAAAGAGACTCACAATGAAGTCTTCTATTATTTTGCTGTCATTAGCTGCAGCGACTACCTTGGCTGCTCCAGCCCCAAGCAGAAGCCATGTTGTTCATGAACGCCGAACTGCGTTGCCCGCATCCTGGGTAGAGCCTCGCCGTGTCGATGGCCAAGCTAAGTTGCCTGTGAGAATTGGATTGACTCAATCCAACTCGGATGTAGGCCATGATCTTCTCATGGACGTGTGAGTTTCCATCTGATGAACCACAACCGCTTCTTGTCTCATGATTCTGACCTGTATCAAGCTCTAACCCTAACTCGCCCAACTATCGCAAATATTTGACCGTCCACGAAGTCAATGATCTCTTTGCTCCTTCCGAAGGAGCTGTCTCGGCCGTTCGATCCTGGCTAGAGAATGCCGGAATCATCGCTGAACGTGTTAGCCTATCTGCCAACAAACAGTGGCTTCAATTCGATGGAGATGCCGAAGAGGTCGAACGTTTGTTGGGAACCGAATACTACATATATACACACGAGGACAACGGTAGAACACATTTAGGATGCGAAGAGTAAGCCCCGCCGAACGAACCCAGTGGTTACGATAGCTAATCATGCTACATAGATATCACGTCCCCAAACATCTTAGCGAGCACATCGATTACATCACTCCTGGTGTCAAAACAATGGAAGTTCGCGAGGCCCGTCCAGCGGGACTCGAGAAACGCACCTTTGGGCTCAAGAATCCGCAACCACCTCTGCTGAAGGACCTCCCGGAAACCATTGAGCAAATTCTTGAGAGCCTTCTGACCAGTGTCATTTGCGACGTGGTTATCACTCCAGACTGCATTAGGAGTAAGTTGACGCAATTCAGAGCAAGTTGTATCATTTATGAGGACGAAAGCTAAATTCATACAGCCATGTATAACATTACCGAGGGCACGACAGCTACTAAGGGCAATGAACTGGGAATCTTCGAGGATCTTGGTGACTACTATGCTCAGGAAGATTTGGACCTCTTCTTTGCCACAATTTATCCGTATGTCACCTATACAACAGCTTTACAGTACACTATATCACTAACGTCCCACCACAGAAAAATCCCTATTGGAACATCACCAACTCTCAAGGGCGTAGATGGCGGCTCAGCCCCCGCCCCAGTTACGAGCGCCGGTGCAGAATCCGACCTCGACTTCCAAATCTCCTACCCCATCGTCTGGCCACAAAATACCATCCTCTTCCAAACCGACGACGCCAATTATGAGTCGAACTACACCTACGCAGGCTTTCTGAACAACTTCCTCGATGCAATCGATGGCTCTTACTGCACTTTCACCGACTATGGTATCACCGGCAACTCCGTAGACGACCCACCATACCCCGACCCAGCAGCAAATGGATACAAAGGTAGTCTTCAATGCGGTGTCTACGAACCCACCAATGTTATCTCCATCTCCTACGGTGGCGACGAGATTAGCCTGTCAGCCAATTATCAGAAACGCCAGTGCGACGAGTTCAAAAAGCTAGGTTTGCAAGGTGTTTCCGTCGTCGTTGCTTCCGGAGATGCTGGCGTTGCAGGCGCCGATGGATGTCTAGGTAATAACGGAACTGTCTTTAACCCCGACTTCCCTGCTGGATGCCCCTACATCACCACCGTGGGCGCCACATACCTTCCGCCAGGCGCAAACGCGAATGCAGACGCAGAAGTAGCCGTTTCTCGATTCGCGTCTGGTGGTGGATTCAGTAACATCTMCCCGCAGCCATCCTACCAAGCCGATGCAGTCAATACATACCTCACACAGCACACACCATCCTACAAATCATACAACACCACCGATAACGCCGCCATCGGCGCCAATGGCGGTATCTACAACGCCGCCGGCAGAGGATACCCAGACGTAGCTGCAATTGGCGACAATGTACTCATCTACAACCGCGGAGCACCGACCTTGATAGGAGGCACTTCAGCGGCTGCACCAGTGTTTGCGGCCATTTTGACACGCATCAATGAGGAGTTGCTGGCTAAGAAGGGTACTACCGTTGGATTCGTGAACCCTACCCTCTACGCTCACCCGGAAGTTTTCCATGATATTACCAGTGGAAGTAACCCGGGTTGTGGCACCAACGGGTTCGAGACGGCGCCAGGTTGGGATCCTGTCACTGGACTGGGAACTCCAAATTACCCTGCTTTGTTGGCTCTTTTCTTGGGCGAGTAGGTTGCTTCTCTGTCTTTTATTTCTGCAAGGGAGTTCTGCTCTAAACGAGCAATTTTCTGTTGAGTCATTTCACCATCCTCTGAAAGCTCGTAGAACAAGGCCATAGTTACCGATATATAATATATGGCAGGCCGTCTACAGACCGCTGGAATCAAGGATCGATGTAAATTTTCAAACGACATACTACATAATGGCAAGCAAATGGACTTATTACGCAAAATTGTTTCAAAGGTCTATAATTAAAAATTCAATTTTTGGTCTATACCACATAAGTCATGAGTGAAAACAAAAGAAACGGAAAAATTGCATAAGAGACATAAAAGACATAAAGACAAAACTCGAGTCATGGAAAGCTAGCTCAAAAACTAGCTGACCTAGCCCATACATTGTGACTCCCATAAATCCAGAAATTATACATCGCTATCTACCTAGGTGGAAGAGATTATAGCTTCTCAAAGACCTCAACAGCAGCCTGAGCAGTCGATCTTGCGCTAGCAGGGTTTTGGCCGGTGACGAGGCGGCCGTCGACAGTGTGGAAGTCATCCCAAATGCCAGTTGAGCGCTCATCTAGAATAATTTTATTAGCATGAAGTTACATGTTCTGGCTAGGGAAAAGGTAAACTTACACTTGGCACCCAGGCGCGTAGCGAGCTCCTCAACCATCTCGGATTTCCAGCTTCGGAGGTCATCCATGATGTTCATGGTGTATTCGGCCTCAGTGGTAAAGCCAGTGATCTTCTTGCCCTTGATTATGGGTTCACCGGTCGATCGATCAACGATATTAGCGAAAATCGCAGGTCCATGACAGACGGAGCTAACGACGCCACCATTTGCCCAAACTTCCTCGGCGATTTTCTGCAAGTTTCTCGCCTTGGGATAATCAATCAATGCAGCATGGCCCGCAGAAGCAAAGAAAATTCCGTATTGTGAGCCGTCGACATTAGCTGCCTTGGGCATGTTATCCAGCTTCTGCCGGAATGCGCTGGTTTGGTCGTTCCAGGTCTTGAGGTCGTCGCCATTAAGGAAATCGGGTTGTTGAGAGAGCCAGTCCGCAATGTAGGTTCCGGTCTCAGAAACGAGATCAACCTCGAAGCCGGCGGCGGTGAAGACGTTGAATGGATGCAGAGCTTCGCTGATGAAAAGGCCGGTGGTCTCCTTGCCGTTGAAGAGGGTGGCCTGGGCCGAGGTGATACTTATAATAGCCTTGCGAGGGAGAACCATTTTGACTTGTTTGATTGTTTGATTGGTTGGTTTTTTGAAGGATGGAATGTTTGAAGATTTAATTCTGCGTTTTTGAAGGTTAAAGTTGCTTTGGTGGTTTGCTGGAGAGGCTGTGCTTTTGTTGCTTGCTATTGCTTGCTGTTGATGGTTGTGAATTGATGATGAACAAAACCCTGAGAGAGGATGTTCAAGATGACTTTATATAACCATCTTCATCGACGGACATTCCGTTGGTTGAAGATTAAATTACAGGCCATTCCGCTAGTATCACAACGCCAAAGGACCCTTGTAGGGCTGGCGTTTAGTGTGTTGTCACTGTCGTATGTGCAGACTCCGCAACTCCGTAACTCCGGTCTGCCTGCCTTCCGTGTTCCGCAACTCCTCACGAGTCCTCACGCTCCGCAACTCCGGAAACCCCTAGCAAATCATCCCAAGAATCGCTCTTTTTCTCGTCGCTCGTCCAATAGGAATGTTCCGAGAGTGATGGGGCTTGCTGCGTCATATGTGAACAAGTTTTGAGGGTTATATAGTACATACAGTAGGAATTTCCGTAATCTTCCCTAGATTCGTAGTAAGAGGGTTCAACTTCAATTCCGATATATTTCATAAGCCTTTTGATGATCGTGGCAATTTAGTTTCAAGAGATTACCAATCTTTTCATGAAGACTTCTCGAATTCTCTGAGGGGACGGCCGGGTTATTGTCCTCTCTCTCGACAATGCTATGTGCTGGTAATATTTCCTCGGGAAAAATTGAATTATGCTAATAAAACCTCAGTCTAAACAGAAACATGGTTGTGAGCCAGGGCGTCATTTTCCGGCCAAAGGGTGTCCAGATCATTCCAAAAATCAATATCAACAGCCACATCGAAGAAGTTGAAATCGGATACATCAATCTGTTCATGCGGATAAATATTTTCAAACATCGGGTTGGAAACAAAGGACTGGTCGATTAATATATCGTGAGGTAGATCACTGGTAGCCTCCATCAAATCCGGTGTAAACTCGGTCGTTGATACATGCTGAAGCTGATTTGTTCTTGCTAGGATATCGATCTTCTCACACAAGTCTCGCACAATTTTGGACGCGTTTCGGGCAATAGCGAATTTGGCGCCAAAATTATCAAAGACAGAAAGTGCCAGATCGATAGCGGCCCTGGCTTCGCTTGCCAGCGAAGTATGCGGATACACAATTAAAAACCCGATCAATGTCATGGCCGAATTCCACTGGCAATAATACGCCTCGTGCCATCCGTCCAGAATCGACGTCTCCGCCAGCACCTGTTGCGTGATTTTCGAGAGCATTATAGCATGCTTAGCACATCGAAGTGCCATTTCCTCTACCAAACTTCCTGGCGGCAGACGTGTAACGAAGGATATAATAGGTCGATAAAAATTTACACTCAAGTGATGGTACGTGAGCTCAAGGAGCAAGCGCTGTCGCTGCAGCCAGACAGGTGCGAACTGCTCGATTGATATGCTTGTACCGTCCGTGGAGAAAGGAGTGCCATTGTTGCGTCGTTTCGACTTGAGGGGATCGGGCACACTGTTGACCCATTGTTGAAGACGTTGTGTGTGCTGTGCCAAAGCCTCTGCACTCGCCTGCAAAATGCTTGGGTCATCCCATATGGACTGGTCGTGCTGCAAGTGGAGAATCCCATCATAGAAAGATGTGTAGGCAGCTCGCACCGCCATGTATAACGTGGTTTGGTAGAGGTTAAAGCTCAACCAAGTGGCATTGTCGCCTATAGGAGCGAATGTGGAGCCTGAAATGGCCGCAGTCTCTAGGCTGTCGCTAGGCAGGCATGGCATGACATACGAGTCATTTAGCATGAAGGGGCGTCCAAGTTTCATGCCTGCCTTACTATCCATGAGATAAACAGCCCACCATAAGCGCCTACGCATCTCCCGGTCCCGCTCGGGCATGTTCGATGGAGGATCCAGGTGCAGACCGAGCGTGAAAGCGGTGCGTACAGCCAAGCTTACAGAGTTTTCCATTCTATTATGGAAAGACCCGCCGCACAGGTATATCGAGCAGAGCAAGTGGCATTGTAGTGTCGATATAGAAGGACTCTCAAGTTCGTACGTAAGCCATGTTTGGCCCCGCCAGTAATGCCATCGTCCTGCAACCATTGCGTCTTTGCCTTCAACAAGGATGCCCTGTGACTCTGAGGGCAACGTTGAAAGATAATATTGCATGCACATGGCAATGATAATATCGACTAGCGCGGATGGCTTTCTTTCCGTCCCCCCAGTCACCCACAGTGACTGGTAGTGCTTCTTGAAGTGGGCCTCGTCTATTATCGGAAATAGCGAGGTGTGGTGGGTTTGCCAGAAGAAATTGATAAAATACTCTTCCTGTACTAGGCTCAGATAGACACCAGGTGTAGAAGTTCCCTGGGCTAAAGACATGGGTTGGCGTAGAAAATCTTCGACTCCTTCATCACCACCATTTACCGGTCGGTCAAGTAATTTATTTTCTTTGGCCGAAACAGGAAGTAGCTGGTGTGCAGGAAATGATTGCGAGAGCTTCATATTCAAATATGCACTTAGGCGTTGCACGAAAAAATAAGATGACGATGGCCCAAACCATGCGTCGTTCGGCGAGCGCGCCGCGCGAAATTGTATGCCCCCGGGAAATCTTTTGAAGTCTGTGGGAGGAATTGGATCAGCCACCGTATAGTGCGCGTCTTGAGACCCCGACGGCGAAGAGTTTGTTGGTGTGGGCAAGTTCACGACATCGGTGCGCTGTCGGTGAATTTGCGCTTCGAGTTGCTGAACTCTTTGTTTCAGCAACGCAATCTCATCGCGGGCCTCGGAAAGAGTCGACGCCTTCGGGACGCCGCTGTTACTACAGTTCAATCCCTTAATCGAGCATTTTGAACATGGGACCTTATTGTCGCATTTGGTGCGACGCATTCGACACTCATCACATGCTCTGGCCACCTGGGCCCGCTTCCGAGGACGTTGCGGTGCTGTCTGGCGCCCTGACAGGCTCGGGTCGATAAAGGATGAGTGGTTCTCCATTGTCTATCGCTTCCAGCTCGATGAGCAGAGGAACGCTGAAGTGAGTGTGTTGTCGTCGACAACTGTGCAGCGGGGAAGTTTTTCAAGCCCAAACAAAAGGGATAAACTAGAGGAATTAGAGGGACTAGAGGAAGTAATAGTGGCATGCAACCCTAGGTCACTCTAACACTAATTTGCGTCAACAGTCGTCAGCTACTATTTAGTGCACCGTTTGAACTTTGAAGAAATGATACCGTTGTTGTCCGCCCCACCTTACAATAGTTAACGATTATACGTAGTAATATAGTCGAGCTTAAGTGGATCAGGACTAGCGTGTAGCTGACCAATCTCCGGGCTACGCGCGCGCTGTCCAGACGGCGCTACGAGCGCTCACTGGATGGGGAGAGTCTGAGAGAGCTGAACCTCTTTTAATAGTTAGGCTACGTATTTCAATTCTCTGGCTACCAAATTGACTTTCTTTAGTGCTTTCTATTAATTACCCGACCCGGGTATTGACAAATCTAGTGATCGGGAACCCCGAGCCAGACCCGAAAATTACCCAAGAAGGGAGCAGGTAAGTTAATCTTGAGGATACCACGTGGATCATATGTATGATTTGAGGTAAAAATTGTTTCTAGAGATTTAGAGCGGTAACAATCATCAAAAGTGCTGTTATAACGGAGGTAGATGCTACCTCTAGATTAACATACGCATGTAATCTCAATACACGGAGTAGATTAGGTATTATAGACTTATGATTTGTAAGGTCCCGGTCTAGATTTCTCTTTGAGTACTAGAAGCACATGACAAGAGTCATGCTAAAATTAAACCCGAGGACAATCAGCATGAACTCCATGAAGAAACAAGTAGGATTTAGTAATTTGACGGCGCTGGAGGCTCTCAGGCTCTCTTAGTCTCTGATTCTAGGGCGGCCCTAAAGTCCTAATCCCGATACGGTTAATGCTCGTCGGCAGTTGATAGCAACTCAGAGCCGTTCTTCGTGCCTGAGGTGTAACACCCGACGTATTTCAAACGTGACAGGAGTCATAAGCTATTTGTTTTATCTCGTATACTCCATATACTTGAATGGTTGCATATCTATGGTTTCATCCTAGAAATTCAACATCTTGCGCAAGTGGGCTCCTCCCCAACGATGGGGCTATCTCAAGTTGTGGGTCACTGGGAACCTTTTAACTTCTTGATCCTTTAACTATGAGCATACATACATAGCAAGTAGTGCAGTAATTATCCCGCGGAGGATTTTTGCCTTCGCGATTGACTAGTACCAGTTAGCAAACTGGCTTTAAAGCATTAGGGTACATTTCGCGGATGCTTTTGTCCGCCTTCCTATACTACAAAGTACTTATACCCAAAGTGCAATCAACCGAATCCACGTCAAGCCGTGCTTCCGGGACCTGACGACTAGCAGCAATCGCCCTTTTTACAGGCGCTTCAATAATATACCCAGGTACCGCTTTTGGCACTCTCACTGTCCCGGGAGGAGCTCCGAGGATGGTGTATGTATGTAAACCCTTTGCTGAGCCGCTGGGCCATTGAGCTTAGTGGCTATTAAAGTTGTTAAATTGCAAGATCAAACCTCCAGCCTGAAGAAGTCAAACTCTGTTTCGAAGAAAAGCCCCACTATGATCTAGCCCATAATTATTATTTATTAATATGATATAGCCAGTACGTAGTTACAACAAACCTACAAAAAGCCTAATAATTTGAGCATGGTAACATGAGTGAGAGAACCACTTAGTGACTTTCGGGCAGTGTGGGTCTGTGGATCTATCATATCGCTTCGAGATGCCCTGATCATATGCTTCTCGTCTAGAATATACGTTCCATTTTTGACTCGTGAGCTGATGTCGGGAGTAGTATCTCCGGGGTTAGTCTAAGGGTTGGTAGTTGTACGTGGCAGCTAATCGGCAACATACGCTAAGATAGGCTATTTAGTATTTACCGTATCAGGCCTAACGCCGTGCATTTGTTTGAGAGACTGGAATCATTGGCCAATTGCTGTCTCTGTTGATACACAACCGTGAAGAAGAAAGTCGTCTAAGCAGTAATGGAGTGCTCTTTTATGCACGCTGTTGTGTTGTACCTCTTGTCGATCAAGGGGATAGTTATAATCGACGTACAATACCTTCGTTACTGAGAATGGGATTCGAGAAGGTCTATATTTAGAGAGGGGCCATAACAGTTTAAAGTAGGGCTAGTGTTCAGCTTCTCAACCGCAGAGTTTGAACAAAGGAAAAAAATGCCATTAACTACCTAGACACTAAAGATAAATCACTCCTAGCTCGAGAAAGATCATCTCGTTGGAACCTGATCGAAAATGTTCAGGAACAGTACTGGGCGCCTGAAGCAGCATCCACATAGCCAAGGCTAATGAAGTTCTCATAGCTCCAATAATCCGCCTGAGTACCTTGTCCAACAACGCTCGCGTTACCAGAGAATTTGGCAGTCCAGTAAGCCGAACCGCGGGTATACTTTGCAAATGCATAAAGCCCCGTGTTCAAGTTCTTCTTGCGAGTCGAAAACAAGTTGTCGGAAGCGGTCTGAATCGACCACTCGCCGACAAATACTGGGAATTTACCATCGCCGCCAGAATATTTTGCGTCCGAGCATATCACGGAAGAAACGTTGACAGAGTCGGTAGGCCGGCCGGCGAAGTAGTAGTTGTGCACATCAAAGACGAGATTTGTGCCGGCGGGAAAGCTCGGGGACCAATATTCCTCTCCCTTGAAGCTACCTTGAAACATAACAGGAATCTTAGAGTTGACGGCTTGTACCTTGGCGATAACACCCTTTATGTACTGTAGTACCCAGGCAGCACCGCTATCGGACAGCGCTGCAGAGGTGCCGAACGTCGAAAAATCGGCGTTATCAACTGGTTCATTGATAGGCTCGATTGTATATGACTGAGGGAAGCCAGAGGACTGAACATAGCTGATGACAGCGTCGACGACTTGATATGAATAATTCAAAGCAGTTGCATTGTTGTACCACCCAAAGTGTCCAGTTGCCTCCCCAAACGCCATACCATTCACCCCACCAGGAAGACTGTGTACATCGATGATAATGTGCATATTGTACTTGTTAATGGCATAGGTTGCAATATTTTTCAAGAAGGAGACTTGATCCCCATGAAACAATTGGGATCCCGGAACTGTCACCCAGGCAGCATACGTCGTTGGGATACGGAGGATGGTGACACCGGCTGCTGCTAGCGTGTCGATGTCCGAGGTCGTGATATAAGTTGCATATCGTTGAGTGAGAACAGGGGMACATTGAGTCCCCAATTGTGCGCATAGGGTCCATTCATCGGTTGCGTTGCCGCCGTACTTGGCCCAGAAGGCCGAGTCGATGGTGCTTTCTTGTTCTAGCCATCCACCAAGGTTGACACCTGTGCCGGAGAAATTGGTCCAGTTCACATAGCTTGCTCCTGCCGCTGGAACAGCAAGTACTACCGGCAACATGACAGAAAACGCCATGGACAACGTGGCAACGGAAAGATTCTTGAAGCTTTTCATGTTTGTTGATATATAGTAAACGATGGGCAATAATGAATGAGATTTCTGAATAGTGATTTATGCTGCTAGGCATTTGTGTATTTAGATTTTGGAAACACAGAAGGCAGTCTTTTATAGCCAGGCTGATTCCCGGTGGCTGACACCTCCTTGGCTCTGAAATGACGATTTCCAAATATCAAAATAAGCTTACGCCTTGAAGATAATCCGTGCAGTGTGGCGACACTATGGCCGGCACACTTGTCCAAATGCCCCTTGATCAAATGTAACGTCTGTTTCGTATATCACAGCCATTACATCAATTATGACTGCTCACGTCGGTATATACTTACACCGAAAGTCGTGCGTATTCAAAAAATATCTTGGAACTGCCGTGTTTATTAGGTCTCTCGGCATTTAGATACGCACATGCGTAATCGTGTCAACCAGAAAAGGTACCCCAGATCCCCAGAATCTCGAATGACATGCCGGCATTTCGCTGTTTCCCCACAGCAAGGTTCATCTACACATAGTGTTACGTAGTTAAAACCAGAGCGCATTGTTAGCTGTTCATGCCCAGACTTATTTTTGCTGTAAAGTGGATCAAGCACCGGATTGTGGGGGTTTCAGAAAGTTTACAATTTCCTCTTTTACCGAAGGTGGAGGAGAGCTGAGCTATATACTAGGTCGTTGTATAGGTAAAACAACTACCGATTCTTGAAAATTGCACACGAAAATTGGGGAAATACTGGAAAGCTTCATGTTAGTGAATTATTGCTAATACTATATGCAAACGCGCGAAAGTGTGGTACAGCGGGCATAATCGGATGTAGATCAAAGCCTCTTTAGCATACAGCTATCGATGTGTAAATCGGTTGTTGAAGTTATGAGCACCTCTCATAATCAATGGTAGGCTACATAAATATGGAGGTCGGTAGTTTCCCTCGCGATGTAGTCCATTTTAGGTTTTTCCAGTTTGGGAAAGCTCTTTCCAAATGGAGTAATGTTCAAGTACCATAGATCGCGAAGTCACAGAAACGCATTAAGAACAATGAACCAGATATCACAGAGACAATGGTCTTAATATTTCTTGAAAGTGTCTCATCGAGGTTTAAAATGCTATTGTCAGAAGGCGCAAACCTTTGTTTGATCTCCCCCTACGAATGTATCCACTCAATGCTATTGACGACATGAATAATGTTTAAACTTCCTACCGGCGAACAACGTTGACGTAGAAATTCAGAGGCTTCACAAACCATCGACTTTTCGTATCCCAATCCTGATACTGAAGCTGTTCTCCAAGAACAAAGTCAAATGTTCTCAGCAACTGTGGTATCAACTTACTCATTTCCAACATACTCAGATTCTTGCCAAGGCAAGTCCTGCTTCCCAGGCCAAAGGCTAGGAAATATCGATCCATTTCAGCAATAGTAGTATCATCTTTGTTTAGCCATCGCTCTGGCCGCCAGATGTCGGCGTCTGGTCCAAAGACATTTGGATTTCGGTGAGCGACCCACGAGTTGATACCTACGGTAGCACCTGCTGGAAAATGTTTCCCTGCAAGCATCGCACCTCCTTCAGGTACGACTCGAGCCAAGGGTAGTCCTGTCGCAGAGTGCAACCGGAGTGCTTCCTTAATGACGGCTTGCAGAAACGGTAACTCTTGAGCCTCCTTGAATGAGATAGGATCCGATATCTTTCCCCATGCTGCAGCCTCGTCAATTTCTTCTTTGAGGCGTTTGTAAGTCTCAGGGTGTTTCAAGAGGTTGTACACAGTTGCTGAAAGGGATATAGCAGTCGTATCGCTGCCAGCTCCAATGTTGCTTTGACACATGGTGAAAATATCCATTTTGGTCATCTTATTCGGATCCTCTTGGCGGATCTGGAAGAACCGAGACACGAAATCGGGCTTTCCATCGCGTTCTTTAACATCCGGACTTTTGAGTAGTCTTTCGCGGGAAGCAATTTCATCCATAGTATACTTGCCGACATACCCATGACCTCCGGTTGTGGGTAGTAAAGGGAACAACATCCGATGCAGCCACGAAGGGAACAATCCGACAAAAGTGCTATAATGATTGCGTGTATCGATAGCATCAAAAACGTCTGTCCTAGTGCTGTCCTCCAGGAATCCGAAACGGTGACCAAATGTGATCTCGCCAATGACATCAAAGGCATAACATTGAAACCAGTGAGCTAGATCTATCTTTTCGTTCCGTTTTGCGATGTCGGAAAGTTTGTCTGCGAATAGTTTTGTGCAGTTGTTGACGAATGACTCGTATCCAACGAGGCTGGTCATTGAATATGATGATGCAAATTTGCGTCGTTGCAGGGCGTGATGGTGCGGATCAATATCTCCGAATAGGGATGCTTTGTTAGGGTCTGGTGGCATCCAAGCCGAATACCAGGAAGCCTAGAATGATTTTCCTTCAGTTTATAGCACTATTTGGTATATCATAACATTCACTAACTTTGACAAACTTGCTTCCGTGCCCATACAACACTTTTGCACAATCCGGATCATCGATGGAGTAGACATTGGGTGCTATTCGAACTACCGTGCCGTACTTTTTGTGAAGTGCAATGTTGACCAGCTCGAATTTTCCATCGAATATCTTCTTCAGATGCCAGAGACCGGTAAATCTTGCGACAAATGGCCCGTCGACGTCCCGTAGAGGGTCAACGTATGCCTTTCCAGCGGTATAGAGAGTCCAAATAAGTACACCGAAGGCAACCGCCCAGAGGCCAGAGGCCAATATGCTATCAATGATCATGGTTGGGTTGTAGTTGCTTTCATATAATTATCCCGTGAATAAAGCTTGTTGAAACCTGCTAGAAGCTGGTGTTGAAGTAGAATAGACGGTTGCATGAAATATCCGGATATCTCGGTAATGCTAACCCCCACCGGAACCCCTCATGCGGAGTTCATCATACTCTTTGCCTTGCGATTTAAATTTACAGTAGTTCCTATCCTGAGATAGTAAATACAGAAGTAGTTAGTAACAAATCCCCACATTTTTAGGGCGAAATGCCTGCGGAGAAATTTGGGGTAGTTGAATTTCTTTGAAGTTCAACGCTGGCTATACATAGAGCATAGATCTAGATTATTTTGCGAATAGGAATATTCGAGTGTCTACACACCGAAGTGTATCAAAGATGCTCAGCCCATCCCTGGGTGCTCGTATATTTTAGATATATGTACTTTTGAAAGAAGTGGTCACATTCACTCTCCAGCTGTCCTAACACGACCTGTTGGACTCGCACATCTTGAAAACCGCTTCTCTGACATTTCAGCAAGATCCCTCATCAACTTACCCAAGTTATTGACTAGAGGTGGTAATATCTTGCTTTCCACGGGGAAATTGTTTTGGTACAACTCCCGGGCCATCTTGAGAATCGCATTCGGGTCTTCTAATGGAATGAACTTCATCATACTTACCCCGGGGTTCTCGAACGCGCTTACCGGTTTCCAGACGTGCGATAGAATTGGGGTTGTCGGTCGGCCAGTAATATATGCTGTTGTGGCATCTGTCTCCTCGCCGTTAATGACAAGCGTGGTCATGCTCTCATTGAGTAGATCCAGCCCTGTTGGAGACTGTTTACTAGCCTTATTTGAGGTGCTATTGTTGGATATTGATAAATGTCCATAGACCCAAAGCAAAAGCCCCGCATGATAAACAGCAACAGCGTAGAAGTCACGGAGGTCGGTAGGGTTCAGCAATGTAGCCCAGCGAAAGACCTGCCCAGCGTGCCATACTGCTCTTCTGGATTGCTCAGTACCAGACCAACGCTCTAGGCTAGTAATAGCTTGAGATGCTGCCTCTTCACCGTGTTTCCCCGCAAAACACTCGAGTTCATCGGTAGAAACGTGTAAGATCATCAGAAAAAGCTCGATTGTAATCAGCAGTTCAGCTTGTGTGCCTTGTGTGCGGAGTAAATTTGTGCGAAATGTTTGCATCTGTTGATATAATTCGCGCTGCTGCGTCACGAGCCACAAATGATGTACCGAAGTCTTGACATCACCAACAGAGTGAAACTTCCAAGCTTCTCTAAAGGCCCATATCTGACCCCAGAATGCGTGGATTGCAGCCATGCAACAGAAAGGTACATCTACACCGGTGCCGAGATCCTCTAACAAACCTGGGTCACGCGCGATATCGACCAATTTTAAGGCTGGTTCTGGCTTTGATAATTTCTGATCGTAGAAACAGGATTTCCACTCTGTGGCGGATCGCGCTTGATACAGAATGCGAGGAACTGGTAGTGAAAATTTGATTTCTGTGGCGGAAATAATAGGACATTTGTGGAGGGCGATTGAGGCTTGAGTATCGTGCATAAATAAGTGAATGCATAGTCTGGTATCAGTTAGATTTGATTTTATCTTTCATATAGATGCTTTGCCCCACAGACCTTTTGAAAGATTCTCGTTGTAACCATTTCTTCCATTTATTCTCCAGAACCAGCCCCTCGTCAGATTCGAGAGGAATCAGAGATTGGGCATCTGTCGAAGCTCCGAACATTCCACCTCGACGCACCATCTATTCAACAATTAGTTGAGAGTCGAAACAAAAGAATAAAGAGGTTATCGTACTGTAACAACAGTTTTCTCGAAGCCTTCCGAAAGCTCCATCTGTCTCTGGAACCCACTCCACAGACCTGCGTCCAGAAGAAGCATCCATGCCTGCAAAGGTTGCAGTTTACGTACAGCGCTGTTCTGTCTTTCACACTGCAAGTCTCTGTTAATAGTTGCCATCCAAATCTGTCTCTCACTCATGACCTTACTAATTCACCCAATTTGACCCGGACCACATCTTGAAGCACATGACCTAGCTTGCACATGGAGGAAATTGATATCACAGTCGAGCCGCCCATTATTAGTGCCAAATTTAGCTCAGAAAGAGTCTCGGGTGATCTTAGCATTGATATATGTAGCCAGCTGTCTATCCGAGACACATGTCTTGTTAGAAATGCTTGGGCAAGGCTGTTTATAATATCAATAGAAGGGAACCGAGGGATACGCCGGGTGTACGTGTTCATAGTTGAAAGAAGGTAATGCATGTCATCGCGCTTTGTAGTGTTGAAGATCGGGAGTTCGCTACAAAGAGTGTCCGGTGTGAGGTTCCAAAACGCTGAAAGCGCTGAAGAAATGTTGTTTTCGTCAAGTGTTAGATCCTCAGCATCACGAAAGACGTAATCCCTCAATGCCGGGGTGAATAACCACGGCGACCGGGCGAAGGCTTCGCGACCGGCTCGTACATCCCTAGTAGGTCGAGATCGTGGTCGCTCTGAAAGTTCTATTGTGGCAGCTTGGTCGTTTGTGCGCGATTGAAGTGATTGAAATGGGTTATACAACTGGTTTGAAAAAGCTAGCCCGTGAAAGCTCAAATCCATATTCTGGTAATTGAAGTGTGGAACGTTCGGGGTAAATATAACATCGTCAAATGCTGATTCGTATATGAATTGACTGTCGTAAAATGGTGGTATGTGCATATTGTAAGGATCTATTGTAGCCGAAAACGGATATACGAAAGTAGAATCGTTCGACTGTGCCTGAGAGTCACTATATCCAACACTAAGCTCACTGGTAAATGTCGCAGATGGCTGCCCTTCGGGAGTAATATAAGGGTCGAATTGCTGGCGCTCTTGTGGTTGTTGCTCGGAAGAATCTTCTCTGTTGCACCCTGCTGCCCATCCAAGGGCTGTACAGCTCTGGTCATTATCATCCGTGGAATTATCATGTTCAATTTCTTGAGAAGGAGTTGGAAGACCGGGTATCTCGCATTCGATATTTCTGGCTTGGCAGCGCTGACAAGGCTTTTGCTCCTCACACCGGGCTTTGGCAGTAGCACATGCGAAACAGGCCTGCGAAGTTCTTTCAGCTCTGTGTGTGTTGATAAGCGACTCCGACCCTGTACTGGCTTTCTTCCGCTTGTGTGTTAGTACATGCCGACCTAGCAGATCCGCGCGGTTGAATCCTTTCTGGCAGATGTGGCATATATAGCGCCGTGCATTTTCATGGGACTTCAAATGGCGGCTAAGTCTATCCGCACGCTCATATGAGTGGTGGCATATACGACACTGATAGATCGAAGGCTCGTGGGAGCGTCGGGTTCGCTTACTAGGCGATGATTGCGCTCCTGTAGCGAGACTTTCATCGCCCGCACTGATCGTTGAAGCGGGTCTAGACTTATTTGTGGCGGCCTCTGACATGGTTATCACAAGCGAGAAGATAAATCAAATTGTCATAGGGTAGCTGCACATAGGTAACGGGAAAGGTGGCTGCTCTACTGCGGAGGCAAGTTGCTTGTAGGGTTTATAAGAATCTTGTCCCCCACCGGGTAGTGCTCCATTTGCAGTTTTTCCCTCCACCCCGGGGCCCCGGATGTCCTCCACATCCGGGGTAATATTCTCCGCATAGTTTGGTTCTGTAGAACTCAGCTCTTGTATATAAGGGATGTCAATTCTCCTAGTGGTGTATTGATTAATTTCCGAAGTTCCTGTGCTCGTCTCAGCAACTCCTACCCTATGAAATTTTCTGCACGGAATTGAGAAGGACAAGTATTCATTCGGAAATAGTGCTATTCATTCTCCTATTTGATTAGGAAGATAGAATTTTTACAATCATGAGTTCCTTCTCAACATGCACGTATGGCGACCCTAAGGTACGAGCACAAAAGACCCTGATCCAGCTGATAGGAACTAAAACCGTCTTGCTCGTCACTTAGTTCTGGCCAGCTTACATCCGGCATCTGGCCCTTGCCAACGTCTGCATCATGGTATTCATCGCAAACATGTACACCGCTGGAATTGCTACAGGGTTTAGCGAACTGGCCGTCGAATTCCGGGCCAGTACTGCTCAATTGACAAGCACAATCTCATACCCAGTATTGGCTTTGGGTGTTGGCAATCTGTTCTGGACGCCTACATCGATTTGTCTTGGGAAGCGGCCTACAATTATTGTTGCACTCGTTGTGTTTCTTGCTGGAAATATTTGGAGCATTAAAGCCACCAGTCTTAACAGTTTGATTGCTTCTCGGGTGGTGGCCGCGTTTGCTGGTGGTAGTATTGATTCATTGGGACCGGCAATTGTTGCTGGTATTTGTCCCTATCCCGGTACTCTGGCGATCATGAGCTGATTCTTTCTATTTATACTAGACCTTTACATGGAACGCTACTTTGCCACAGCCATGGCAGTCTTTTCCTTCTCTCTATCCGGAGGCTCTCAGTTCGGACCCATGATAGCCGGGTTTCTCATCACCGCTAAAGGATGGAGATGGTTCTTCATCTTGTGCGCCATTCTCGTCGGCGTCAACTTCGTCTCTATTTTGTTATTCTTTCCGGAGACTAACTACCGTCGCGTTCTCTACGATGATGCAACTGCCGAAGAAGCCGATAAACAAGCCATTCAAATGCTTGAGTACAAGAACACAGGCAAAGACAGTAACGACGTTCAAGCTTCATCGGCTGTTGATCTCAATCCGGAGTATGCAGGATCATACTGGAAGGATCTTGTCAGCTTCAGAGATAGAGGTGTGGAGACCAGGGGAATCTTGGGCTGGCCGAGACAGTTCTCGCTGCCTTTCCGATTTATTTTGGTTCCCCATGTTCTTTTTGCGACAATCTCGTATGGCGTGTTTCTCGCTGGGTAAGAACTCTATTAAGTTCCTCTCATGTGTTTGAAGCACCGAGTCTAACATTTATATCAGGTGTGTCATGGTATCTACAATTGCGCCCTCAATTCTCTTCCCACCTCCATACCTCCTCCAACCCTCGGGGGTCGGACTTTTTTCTCTGGCATCTTTCATCGGTATCGTAGTCGCCTACCCAGTCGCTGGACCCCTGACAGACTCTCTCTCACGTGCTTTACGGCGACGCTACCATTCAGAAACCCACAACCCCGAAGACCGGCTACCAGCTCTCATTATACCATTCATCATCGCACCACCCGGTCTTTTGTTACTAGGTTATATCTTCCACGAACAAAAGAGTGTCTACATCGCTGCCGTCGGGTTTGCAATGCAAGTCTCTGGTCTTGTTTTGGTGCCATCTTCCGTCTTGTCGGTCGTGGTCGATGGCTGGCCTGCGAGTGGCTCCGAGGCTTTGGTGCTGATCAATGCGGGTAAGAATGCGATTGCGTTTGGGCTTACTTTGAGTACGACAGATTGGCTAGCTAGTGAAGGGCTGCTCAAAATGTGTTGGGAGATGGCTGCTATTCAGTGGGCTGTTTTGGCACTGGGAACTATACTATATTTCTGGGGACCTTGGTTGAGGAAGAAGACGCAGTGGCTGCTGTGAGGTGATGCCTGCTTTGGCCAATCATGGAGATAATTATAGAGAATCCAGATGTCCATTAACGTGAAAATGCAATATTTCTTCTTCGTATTATATCATATCTTCTCCAATTCAATGTATCCAGGGTGTGGACCCACGATCTACTTAAGAAAATAAATATGAGGTGATAAATTGCTGCCGGCTACACGGGATACTTAAAATGGAAAAGACTTTCCCGTAGGATCCCTACAAAAGGATGCCAAATTTACACAGTCATATCTTGAACCATAAAGTCTTCCTAGATTCTGTGGTGCCTGCATTCAAATTTTTCGCAATGCAGAGTTTTATTGAGAGACCAAGCAGTACAGCATGACCATTCGCCATAGAGCTTCCTACGTTCGACGACCAGGGGTCCGACTCATCATCCTAACATTTCACGACTGTAATGGCTTTTATTGGCCAGACACACGTATGCGATACTGCCCAATAAAATGTAGCATCTATGACTCTGTATTTTTTCTAGATGACATGGTGTCCTCGGACGACGGGCACGTCCTATATTCGAGGAATGGGAAATTATGCATCTGATTGTGTTGCTACCGTATAATTTACATAAAACTAAGTATAATCACTTAAGCGGTCTGGAAATAGGCCAATCCATGACTATATTTATTACCATCGCTTGGTAGAGTGTCATACTAGAAAAGATGAAGTCCCAAAATGACGGGCACGTCTTCGGAGATAGGGCTTAGGGGAGTAGTTTGACCGATTATGCTGCTCATTTGTGGCAATTATAGCTATACTTAGTAGTCTAATCATGGCTACTTGACTTAATATTGCCTAATGACTCCAGATACCTAGGTACGCTTTCATGGTTCTTGGTTTCTTGGCTGATATCTGGTGGTTTGTTGAATGAGGAAATAGAATGCCTTCAATATGTGTCAATTCACCACTACTTTGAGCACAGTTACTCGATAAATCCATGGAATGCTGTCATGATTCTTTGTTTCTATCCATGAATGACTTCGATTCATCTAAAAGGAAGGTGGGATACTTTCAATATGACTCAAATCCATGACCTTTTCGGGGACTTCTGCTCCATGACTTCATATGAATTCTTAATTTTGAGTCTCTCTGACTACGATTAAGCAATTCATTTGAGTATAAAGATGTGTCATTAGAAGGCATGAAGCAGATATAAAGATGTGAGTTTTCCCTTTACAGTTTCTTGTCTTTCAATACCATCAAACTCAACAGCCACTTTCCTCAATTCATCCTCTTACCAAGCTCTATCTCACACTTAAGATGTCCATGAATCTCCTCGAAAACACGCACTTGGGGCAAACAGCGCAAGCAGCATCAAATCGACTACGCTGGGTCCCGTTTTCCGTTGCTCGTCCACTGATGGGCGGGACTCAATATGGATTCGAACGTCTAGAGAACATTTCTGTAGCCACAGCAGATGACAATTGTCTAGTCATCGGCCTGGCACTTCGTGATGGCACCAACACGTCTTACAAACCGAGTTTAGCTGCTGGTCGTTCTGAGTTGATGCAGGTGCAATGCAGGGTTGTTCGCAGTGAAACTGGAGATATCACGAAACCGAATCTTTATGTGACACTTGGCAACAATATGGGTATCATCAAGGTCCCATTGCAGCATGTGGGCGATTTCGAGATTGAAGTGCTTGGTCGCACGATCAAGGCGAATGTTCCAGCTGCGGGTGCTATGATCACAGAAGATCCGCTGCCTACTCTAGAGGAATCAATAAGCCAATGATACCAATTGAGGTTGAGTACGCTGATGACGGTACCCATCTTGACCGTGTCTTCCTCATCTCTTTTCCTCTTTCTTTTTTTTTCTTTCCTTCTTTCTGTGTCATGCTTTTCCACCAGTTGAGGATCTATCCAGCAGCACCGATTCGGTCTTGACTCATTAATTTGCTTATCATATGATTGGTCATTCTAGATCGGAAGAAACTGCTCTATACAGATACCTCTCATACACTTTTTTATACACTCCCAAGGCCCTTATCCGATCCATCGAGTTTTAACGAGACGTCTTATGATCAACTAGCTAGAGACTCGCTGTGATGATGATGATGATGGTGGTGATGATGCGTGTAGTTTGTATGCCTTCAAAAAGAAGCTAGTAGTCAATACCTGCACCACTCTTCCAGTTGATATATCCCCATCCCACGTACTCGCGGCATATTTAGGGCTAGCCTCCACTTCCCCGGACGTCCCCCACAAACCCGCCCTTAAACCCTAACACATATCCATTTATCCGTCCATTCATCCGAAGCACTGCACGTGCCTTTTTTTCATACACCGAAACCTGTGCGTGGTAGTAAACGATATAACAGTCATGTCATATCATAACGTTCTATGAAACCAGACGTCTATATACATGTTCAAGCACATAAAACATGATCCACCTGCGAAATTAACAAAGACGACTCTGCACATGCTTGGACAGCTGTAAATGTAAAATGAAATGGGTATATACACTGTATATGGGCTTTATTGGATACAACTAAGAAATGAATCAATCGCTCGATCCATCAAAGACCTTGTTCATGGCTTTGTGCGCCAATTCCACACCGAGGCTATATCAACCAATTAGTCACAATTTTCCTACCTGTGGGTATGATAAAAAGATAGGGAACTCACAAAGTAGCAGCATTAGCAGGCACAGCTCTCGCCAACGCGGGCGCAAAACCAGGGAAGAAAGCCTTGAATCCTCCACTAGCATGAATAGACCTAATCGTACCGCCAATAGTCACTTTGCCGGAAGCAGACTGCAACCTTGACTTGATCGTATCAACTGGGAAAACGGGGATCCACATGGCAATACCTGCCGCACCACCAGCCGTCACGACCGCGGTCAGGGACAAGTCGCCCGTAACGTTGCCATCGGCATCCTTGGGTGTGAGCGAGCGTTTAATATATTCGTACGCAGCGAAATAGGCCGCTGAACCGGGCGCGTCACGAGCCAGCGTCATTGCCGAACCGCGAAACACGCTGCGGAGACCGCCTTCCTTGTACAATTGACGCACGACATCGACACCACCCGAGTATTTGGGTTTCTGGCCGGCGGGAGGCGGGTTTTGACCCTGAATCTGTAAAAGGACTTTGACGCGCTCAAAGGGGGCGGTGATGAGTGTCATGGGTAGAGCGGAGAAGGCGCCTGCGGCGGAGATTTGGGCTATGCTGTATTGAGGGGTGTTGTTGTGGACAGGGACAGTGGATAATGAGCTGACGAGCGTTTTGCCTAGATCGTAGCCCCAGAAACTCACGGCGACTTTTCTAACATCAGTATATGATACCGCAAGTTAATTGTGAGGCGGAGGGGAAGACTAACACATAGGTGTGACACCAACCAACGGCGCCGACACACCGGCATACAGCCCCCTCGCTAACCCTTCCCTCGCAATTGTCTTCTTCACCACATCTATCGCGCCAGTATAAACACCCTTTTCGGCTGTCTGCATGCGCACTTTGACGAGATCGAAGGGGTGGCCGATGACCACAGCGCAGATACCGCCTACACCGCCAGCAACGAACGATCGGATTTGCGCGAGACCTTGGGAGGAAGCGGGCTGTTTGGCAGGGGCGAGGACTCCCTCGTTGGTCTCTGTTGTGGAGGTCGACATTTTGTGTATTGTGTGAAGAGTTGGAGGTGAGGTAAGTTCTGTTATGTTATGGTTGCGGGGACCGAGAGTCGATAACGTGTAGGTACAGACGATGAGGGCGATCCCTCACGACAGTCGTATGTCCGATCGAGTTGCAGCGCAGTATCAATTGGTGTATCTTTTTCCAAATATCTTCATATGAACAACAAATATCGCGTAGATCAGTGCGGTGACGTTGAGATAGCAGTAAGTGAGTTAGTTTGGGGAGATAATTAAACAAGCGGCAAACGGTAGGAAGACCTCGGGAACCTCGGCTCATTTCTGACTTCCCGCCGAGCTTCCACAGACAAGACTCCAAGCAATTCCATGTTTCGGCATAACGGATGCATTTTACTCTCATTTAAACGTTATTTCACCACGGGTCTATTAACATGGAGCGCCGTCTCGTATTTGGAGTTTCGTTTATTCCGACTCGTCCAACTCGCCGGAGACATGGAAGACCCCCACGTTCTACCCTGGGCACATCACATGCCAAAGACAGAGAAACAATTGTCTTCATTTTTTCAGACAACTTACTAGCTTAGAGACGGACTCAGCACTGAATAAGTTTGTTATATTATTGTACAAGAATCAAAATTAGACTGTACACATAAGAGCAGAAATTCCATATACCTTTCCCTCTTTTTTTAGCCTCCAAAGACAAGAAATGAAATAGAAATGAACGCTTCACAAGAAAAGAAACGCATAACATCTGGATATGCTGATCAGATTTGTTGGACGCCGGATATCAAGAACGAATAATTATAATATAAATCAAGATATTATAGAGAAGTCCAGAAGAAAGGAAATTCGTGACATGATCCGTATCATTTTATTCTGACTTTTTTGGTTTGTTCCTAAGGAGTAGTTCGGTGCGAATGACTTGATAGAGTGTCGGTGCTTTGCTCGACCAATTCTGCCGTGCTGCCAGTCACTGGGTGTTCGGAGTCTAGCTGATGAATGCTAGCACCTGTTCGATGATGTGCTACATAGCCCATGCCAGACGGTCGCCCTGGTTCAGCACTTGCTACACGTTGAAATGTAGATGAAGAAGATGCTGTTGACCCCTGGCGTTCTTGACTTGTTCCGCTACCGGCTTCGCTTGGTGCAAAGGGTAGCCGAGCCTCAGATTCGCCTGCTGGGTGAAGGAGGTTGGAGCTGGGTATTCTGCGAGATGTGTGTGCTGCGCTATCGGGTGAACCTGGAATAGGTAATAACGATGGTGTTTCGTCTAGAGAGTCTTGGGGTCCATGTCTCCTCGAGCTCTTTCTCGGCACAGGAGGACGATTTGAGTTCGTACTAGTCCGCGAGCCGACCCGACTAGGAAGTTCGATTGAGCCGCCAGCATCGATCTGTGGCAATTTGAACGACTCCGTTTGCTGTTCGTCCTTTTCTTCCTCCGTCCCATCCGAATCGTGGTAGGATGTCGCGGTAACACCAGACACATTTCGGCTGTGACTCACCTCTCCAGCCTCATCAGGAGACTGTGAGTCAGGCTCATCTCTGTACGGTTCGTGGTATTCCGGGTCTTCGGCAGGTGGAAACATGCCCGCAGGAGGTGCTCGAGCGCTTCGAATCACCTCAAATCCTTTACCTTGTTCTTTCGTCTTTCCACCTAGTAACCGACGGAACCAACCTGATGCCGATGAGACGGGCCCTGTTGGGTCTGCCGGCCCCGTTTTCAATTTGCGAGTCCCGGTATGAGACAATGCAGGACCACGAACTCGATAGTAGAAGTCGACTTCGCGGACAGCATAGTCTTTGCGGTTCGGTCGGCCATCATCGAGATCAGCGTCATCTCGAGCAGTACCGAGATGTGCTGGGACAGGTTGACCAGCACTTTCGAGAGCGACATCCTCAGTATCGCTGCCAGACGTAGCTTGTGCTCGACCTTCACCGCCAGACTGTTGAGTATCTATGGTCTGTGTTCGAGGGCGAGGTGGCCGATAGTAAGGATCCATCGCCTCAGGCTTGAAGCCGATAACAGAACCACTCTTTGGTGTGCCCATAGGGAGATAACCAGCAGGGTGAGAGAATGCACTACTAGCGCCAGGAGTGGTAGGAGTGTACATTCCACTGTTTGTTCGACTATGTGGACCACCATGTGCACTACCGGCATCATAGGCAATACTTACTCGACCATCGCTAATAGCCTGGCGATTTAGAAGCATTGCAGAACTTCCAGATATACTTCTCGCTCGAGAGCCGCCAAATTGCGCTGATGAACGTTCGTCCATGTTGGCGAGCATAGCTGCTTCTGATGCCATGCTTTGACGTGTGCTGCTTCGGGGATTGCGTCGAGAGAGCTGTCTTGCACCGAAGACCTATAAGTAGTAAGTAAATTACCATTTCCATACAAACAGCACTATAAAAGAAACATACTTTTGTGAGGCCACCTCGAGTAGCACCTCCTTCTACGCCTCCGGCTCCTGCAAGTCGAGCAATCACTTCTATGAGGGTCTGCAGAGCGTTCAGAAAAAACCCAAATACCAGCATCGCTCCGTGCAGAATCAAGATGGCATATCCAATCCAACCTTTAGTCTGTTCTGAAATGCCCAGAGACGGTACAAAGGTGACACTCAGAAGCACGACTAAAAAGCGCACAAGAGAGAAAACAATCTGATAGAGGTTCATTGATGTTGGTGAGGCATATGGTCGAAAGGCAACAAGAAGCAAAATCATAGCCACTTCACATATTGCAAGCAGAACAACTTGAGCAACACCTGAAGGTTGCAGGGCGCCGATTGCGATGGCGCGGAGAAAGGTGATGAAAATAGGTACCAAAGCGAATGGAGCAACATCATCTCGATAAGTGTTGTAGAGAGGTCCGTATAGGAGGACAGTCGGAAGATCGTCAAATAGATATACCCGAGGTCGTGCGGAGACAATAAGGCGAATCATCCAGAGGGCAAAAAGGAGAATGGCTAAGATTAATATGACTGCCAATGCAACAGCATACGCGGCGGAATTTCCCGCGATAACAAGTTGATAGAGCGCAAGGGATAGAGTTGGTAATAGGAAGAAGTTGAAAGTAATGCGGATGATGTTGCCAACGGTAAACGGCATATTTTTCGACCGTAGATCCTCCTCTACAACGCGAGCCATGCGATGGTAGATCCATTGAGCGCCGAACGCAATTTGAGTTAACACGGTCACCACAAACAAAATCACCAGTAACCAGACAATTGATCCCGGCCAGACGTCCCTGATACTCTCCAAGCCGACATATTGTCGGAAGCGGTCAAAGCCATAAGTCCCGTTGACAACGTATATACCATCGACAACCGGGTCTATTCCACCTCCATGACTTGCGAAACTCTGGTTGAACATGAGAATCGACCACGCTCCTGAAGATACGACTGGCTGGTAGTATCCGGGATAACTTAGTGACAAAGCTCCGGTGAGCACAATGAACTGAATATATTGTAGGCAGTCCGCGAATCCTGGGGTAACTAGTCGTAAAAGATCTTCATCTCGGCCATAATTGCTCGTCCAACGGAATATGTCGGTCGATCCCCAGGGACTATAAGTAGATGCGAGGATATTTGCAAGAGTAAGAAGGACCAGTACCGCAAGAGGTAAAAATGCAAATACTCCTCTGAGTGTTCCCCCCAGGTCGGGCGTGATGATTCCAGATATACAGCCCAGATCCGTACCTGCTGTGTCGCCGGACTTGATGCGCAGGGTGGCAGCTAAACTGGCTAGCTGATATGATGTTTGAAGATCATGTTGAACTGCGAATGCTCGAAGCTGACTTGGGTCGCTCCTATATATTGAGACAGATTAGCCAAATCATCAAAGCTAAAAACAAAAAGCTGCTAAAGACATACCCGTTGACGTTGAGAACAGGCCCAAGAGGACAGCTGCCTTGGGTGACGTTTTGGCAAAATTCGGTCGCATGGTCATATGGCGTAAAGTTGAGCACGTCGAGTGTTGTGAATAGGGTGGTGTATGTCTCATTTCCATCATTATTGACTATATTGACAATTTCGCCATTTCCAGTGACATTTCCGTAAATGATGATTTCTATTGGATTTGGGCCGGGTGAAGGATCGTAGACGACAGAGAAGAACTGGGGGACGAATTGCAGTTGGCTTGGATCATTCAAAAGGTTGGCCTCTAAACAATTGTCGAAATTAATGAACGCGGCATTGGTCAGGGTTGTGAGATATGCGACCATGCAAAAAACTATTATAAGCCAGGAATTGCTGCTTTTTCGAATGCTCAGCTTCCGCCGTTGTAGTGTTTCCATGCTCTTGTCATTTTCCTTGACCCTGTCAAATAACTCTGGCGGTCCGGGGCTGCATCGATCATGTCGCCTATTCCCATCGACATCCATTGCGACCTCAAGGGGCTAATTGAGGAGACCTCCAAGAGGTCTGCCCCTTCCCAACACGGGGCCGTCAACCTGTTTGATTCCAAGCAATGGCCGGGATGGTTTGTTTCTGGTAGCAATCGTTGTTGGGGTTGAGGCACCCAATCGACGGTAATTCGAGATTTCGATCGACAGGTTACGGAATATCTATAATCACCTCGGTGGTGTTCGATCTTTTCAGTTGGAAAATGTTCGGGGGTCCGTCCATTCAGCCCAAGGCAACCAACTGCGGCTATGAAGCTTGCAACATGACGGGACGAAGAGTAGAATGAGCGACACAAGGCGGAGGAAAGTCTGTTAGAACAGAGAGTGGGACAATTGGCGGTCGGTCGATACAAAAGGAGGTAGATCGGGCTTAGTGAAAGGCGCAAGTATGGAGACTCGACGAAAAACAAAACAATTGACTGTGGTGTCCAAGATGTAAACTTGCCCAGCGAGATCCAGAAAGAGACAAGACGATGGCGGCCTGAGGATTCAGGTTGTAAGGCTTTCTAGTTTGGACTAGCGCATCTGACTGAGCCACTCTCTCCTCCTTGTTTGCTTCTGCTCAGTTAGACCTGCCAGAAACAGACCAGCACAGCCCTGTCAGTGTCCACATTTCCTAATTCGAAGCTTTAAAGTGAAACAGGTGTTTGCCGATTAGCCTGTGTTGACTCTGATTTTCGTTCTCCCTGATCCAGTGTGGCTGGGGKGTTTTCAGCCTCCGTTTACTGGTACTTGGCCGGAATCTACAACAGAAAATACTGTGCTTCAGGTGTACGGCATGCTCGTGCTAGGATTCACTACATAGTATAATACGACTGCGTCTACTGCACATCGAGCACGTACATACTTGCTTTAGTCGATGATAGCAAACTTGGCAGTCGGGATTCGGGTTGGTTTTCTACAGCCTAATGATGTCTGTGGGCTTTGATCCCGCATGTCTCACATACGAACTCTTCGTGCACGTTTCATTGGCCGATTGCTAGCCCAGAACGCAAATTTGGTGGCCGACGAGCCTTAGTTGCTTGAATTATGGGCCAAGCTATTAGTATGCTGTCTTCGCCCAATGTCTCATACAGCGATAGCACTTATCATGCTGGGAGAACTAGTGGTTTATCCTTGTCTCACCTTTAGCCACAGCTACAACATGATGAAGTCATGCTGTTCTTCGATATGATTCCAACAATGTCTAACTCGCAGACACTACGTTATGCACTTATTGTGTCTGTCACAGTGTAAGTGGAACATTGCCGGTTATTGACAGTTCGGCCTGGAATTCATCAGCCGGTTACATGAGTATGTAACTGGCTTAGCATTTGCCAATAGTTTATCTGAATTGGATCGATGGTGCATGATGCCGTACAACTATTGATGTCCAAGTCGACTTGACTGTTGGCACCAATAAAGTGTATCTGTGCCCGGGAAGTCTTTTACCAGCGAGGTTCTTTCTTTACTCATCCCGATTGTATCACCTTCAGACTCAAATATGGACATTCGAAGTTGTCACTATTGTCTCGACCGGTAGCGAAGAACATGATTTCATCATAGTACGTACCTCGACACCCTCTGGAGATCTCGTTGGTTAAACGCATGGTGACACCCAAGCATCAAGTCTGGCCATACAATGGAATTCACAATTCTTTGTTTAAAAATCGCAACCACGAATGCTTCACTAGGAATTCAGTCAGTGCTTTCTTCTCAAAGGTCTCGTAGGCGCTGATACGTAAAGCAGCAGGACCGTTTCTATCATAACGGGAAATAATCTTAAGGCAAACTTACACTGAAGACAAAAGCTTCGGGTTTACCAAGGCGGCGAGACTTGGAGTAATCACTAATCCAGCGTCTATTTAGCATCATGACCAGCCCAATCATTCACTGAGGCTTGAGAAATGATAGTGGCTGAACTCAGCTATAGCTACCAAAGTTTGAAACAGACCGCGTAAGGAATGATCTGCAAGCATGGCAACACTGAGCAATATTGTATCACTCCCACAGTCAAGCCACAGCACCGTTGGCCACGATTTGTCCAAAGATGCAAATACTATGTGATGCAGGGCGCTTCCGGGGAACGGATGATGACTCCGTCTAGCCTGAAACCATCTGTCTATGCCGTAACAGGTCATAGCTGTAGCGGCCTTATAAGCTAGACTAATAATTGAACAATATTACTGGTTGGTGGTGCTCCATTTTCTATTTTGGCGATTTCATAGTTCTAGCGCTCTGATTGGGCGAGTCGGCGCTTACTCTGACATCGATCCATAACCCTAATTCTTCGAGATGTTTGACGATTCAGTATACAGTATCATGACGGTCTGGCCATTTATTTGCATGGTGAATAGCTTTGCTTCATAGCTTTTACATCTGTGGGCGTTGCTAAAATTAAGATCTGGACTGTTCTAGGCTCTTGTTGCTTCTGACTGTGTTGAGTACATATACCCTCAGCTCAGCTCATCTCGTCCATTCTTTTTTCATTCAAACATCATTCATCAGTCATTCATATAAAGAGTCAGTCATTTCACGGTTTGCTCATTCCTTCTTTTAGCCATAGATTTGCTCTTGTTCATTCTTTTCAGCCTGCAATCTTCTTTGGTTCTCTCTTTACAACATCAATCTTTCTTCTTTTCTCTGAGAGAATAAGAGCTACCATCATTTCTTCGGAATTATATGTTCCTAATTTTCTATTTTCTACACCCATTACGAACACTATTCTAGCAACAGCTTCAAAATGGACCAGAGAAAAGGCATCTTCAAATTCATCCGGGTGAGCCGCCACGGCATCCTAGGCGTTACCTACCACGTCTTTCGCGTCGCCGAATTCATTACCTTGATCGCCATTATCGGTCTCACAGCTTCTTTCGTTTCTGACATGGTCAATGCCAATGTCTCCCCTCCATCTCTCCTCGTCGCTATCCTTTCTCTCGTAAGTCCCCCCTTTTCCTCAGTCCATCAACAACAACTCTAGCTGACAGGGACAAACCAGGTCGTCCTAACAGAACTCTACATAATAATAACCTCAATCCTCTTCTACGACCACAAAATGGCCTTCAAGTGGGCTCTCTGCTTGGACTGCATCATCCTAGCCGGTCTGATCGTCATTGCCGTCGAAGCCGGGAAACCACTCTCATACCTGCGTTGCTCTGATATCGGCACTTCCGATGATGCGTCAACTTTTGAGTCTACCTTGTCCGGTCTTGCGGGTGCGCTCAGTTCTGTGACAGGGTCGAACGCTTTTTCGAATTTCATTGCGTCGGCAAGACATGTTTGTACTGAGATGAAGGCTATTTGGGGGTTGATCATTGCAAATTGGTATTTCCCTCGATATCTTCCACTTCTGGATTAAGACTAATTTTTTGGTAGTATTTTCTTCGCATTTACCGTTATCACTGGCACTATTCTCTCATGGATGGATAGACGGTCTCATCAGCAAAAGGAAGTTGATGTGTAGAATGTGGACGTTTCCACTTTTTCGCAATCAACGGGTCTTCAGCTGAGCAGATTCGACCTGAACCTGACATCTGTACGATTGTACGATTGTGCAGCCTTTCACTTCTTCAATTCTCCGAAAGTAACTGGATGCTGCACATAAAACAAAATATGGGACTTGAAATTTGCAAATGGGTGGCGTAGAGGTATTTTGACGGCTGTGACATTCACCATTCACTCCTTGTACTTTTTTTTTCTTTTTTTGCTATTCTTGTTGTATTTTGCTTGTGGTCTCTGATTCCTGGTTTGCTCAATTGAGCTCTAATACTTATTGTCTTTTACATGGTGTATTTAAACTCTTTGACAGAAGCATAATGGTCATGATTGAATACAAAGGCTCCGTAGTAAATGTGTACTTCACGTACGTAGATAGGTAGTACATTATGGCAAGATAGAGACTATACAGAACCACCGAGCTCGATCAAAATTTCATTCATAATCTACGTTAAACATCAAGCTCATCAAAAATCTAACTCACACCCTCCAACAGCGGCCTCTGCCCATAAACGACTACCCTATAATAATTAGATCAACCCAGCTCTCAATGTATGGAAATCAACTCACAACTCATAGTAGACCCTACTACTCTGTTCTGCAAGCACTTGATTTGTTTTTGCCACGAATTCTTTCGCTTCATTTGCCGTCCACTATACCTCGCTATCAGTAATTGCCAAGCAATGAGAAACAATGAAAGGACAAACCCCCATGTATCGCGTACTAACAGCCAGAATCCACCCCTCCATCCCCGTCTCCCAAAACTGTCGAAACCATCTCGCAATCTCCGCAAGACGCGTAACTGGGTAATCCGAGTATTCTCCACATATACTACTAGTGGTAGTAGCTGTTGGAGCTATTCCCTCCGAGGAATCGAACAGGGGTAACATATACCGCTCCTGGCGCACATCCTCAAAGCCCGCTTCATAGATCAAACTAGCCATTTGATCTGCGACAAACCACGTTTTGCCTGTTCGCTTGCTACATTCTTGCCAGAATCTGTACCAAGTCACGAAAATCGAGTTTGAATCATGATCGGCAGCCGTCGAATCCCATCCTTTACCCTCCTTATGACAGAAATCACTTCCGACGGCGTCACCTCGCGTGTACAGAAATCTCGGCACTAATGAAACCTCAACCTGCTCAATCCATCCCTTTCCCGGCTCCAGATGCTCAAACGCTTGCTGATACAGTTTCCGCCAATCCTTGACGCTACCGTACAGACAGCGGATGTGTACAAGATCAAATAGTTCGCGTCCTTCGTCAAGATAGGTCCAGTTTGAGCAGCAGTCGTCAACTTCGAAGGTCAGGTTTGGGCGGATGGTGAAGTCAGGGTGCCAGAGGGGGGAGAGATCGGTGCCGAGGATTTGAGCTTGGGGGTGAGCGTCGGAGACGTTGCTATCAACTTATGTCAGCATATTTTCCCTAATGAAAACAATTTTCGGTTGGGAGACGATTTACCTGGCCCATAGTCCTATTCCGGTGCCGATGTCAAGGACATGATGGGGCTGTGCTACTGGGGCGAAATAGAGTCTGTCTTGTAGGACTAGGGTGAATAGGTGGTGGCTGGCAAATATTAGCATTTCATATATACTACTTGTCGAGAAAATAAATCACATACGCAACTTTCTGGTGATACGCATCTTGTTCATCGTTTGGACCCCAATACGAGCCTTCACCTGTTCACTAGGTCAGTCATGTACTTTGGTATCTGAATTTCATGCCTGCTCAACATATAGAGTAAAAGACAGACGTACGATATGCATGATATCTCCGATTGTTCTCGTATTTGTATGCCTGCAATGGCGATGCGAGTACATTGGTCCTGACATTGACAAATTAGCCAAACTTGTACAATTTGCTATGACTACCTAATAGCAGTGTGGGACTCACGATAGATTATCGCTGGAACTCTCTCTAGACGATGAGCCGTCATTTCTCTGTTGACCGCACAAGCAATATATCAGCCTTAATCGTCACCACAGTCACAATTTTAATAGCTAAACTCACCGAAAACGAGCTTTGTCTCCTCGGCGTCAGAAGACCTGTCGCCATGATCTCACAGCAAATCAAAACAGCGTAGTATTTCGTCGTCCAAGCAATATGTCACGTAAAAATAAAGATCTCCTCCTCTTTTTGTCGTTTAACTTCAAACCTCGAAGGTCTTGGATCTCCTCAAGACCCGTTTCAGCACAACAGCAGTCCAGATATATTGAACTCAATCTTTCGATGCAGGGTAATCCCAGGCTACTCTCCGACAGAGGATAAGAAGAAGAAGAACGATGGCGAGATTCGAACAACGAAATACGGGAAAATGCAGTGAAGAACGACGTTCTACCCATCCACCTCTTTCTATCCTTGGCTGGAGAATCAGGCATATTTATGTCTCTGTCGATCACCTGTCATACCCTGTCAGAACGTCTAGTACACTCACCCAAAACCTAAACCTTGACGCATCAATAGGCAGTCAAATTCAAAAACCGACCAGATCGACCCCCGTATTTCCCAACAATTCGGATAACATACCTGGTAACAAACCCCGCGAGCATGGAACATTGAAATTAAGCCGTTTCGCTTAACAAGCTTCTTCGAGAATGATTGAAACGGTATGCACGTAACCCAATTCAGGTCTACGGCATCAGTAAATGTGAAAGGATGAAACAGCACCAATAATGCTTATCTCTTCTCCCGTCTATACAATACGCCTCGTCTAGCTCAGTCGGTAAGCAGATGTACATATCAGACTCGTTTCATCCTCAACGTGGCCGAGTCTAGAATCACTGGCGGCAAAGGCTTAAAGTACGAATGAACGACAGCTGTGCATATCATTCCAGTCCTGTCGCGTGAGTCAGTTGATCTATTGATCACGCCTGTCAAAATACGTACACGCTAGTAAGACTTTTGTGATGAGGTCACTCAGTTAGTGTTCTCCGGCGAGGACAAATAGTATGCGTCATTTGTAGCTTGATAGGTAGTTAGCGTCGTTCCTGGGTGTCGCCTTGTCGCGTGCTGTGCAGAATGTTGTTTTCCGCATGCGGCTCCCATGTTGGGTCGGACGGTGAAACATTCCAGTTACCATTCAACTCGCTGGGAGGAAGGATTTTCGGGTGATGTCGGATGGCTTAGACAAACTCTATTATGCATAAATATTTCCAATGCGTATAGTATATTGTTTCATGATTCGAGTTGCAGATTGACAAGTGAACGGGTTTGTGTTCCTTGACTTGATGCCGGGACACATTCCGGAAGGACAATGTGTGACCAGGCACGTGGTACAAGCTGTCAAATCACTTCTTGGTAAATGATTGTGTCATGTTCCATCTATCGCTGGGGCCTCGTACGAAGCAGAAAATAAGAGGATCAATCGCTTGTGTAATGACAACCGCCACTTCACCCGTCATATAGGTATCATGTATCAACCAAACGCATCCATCAAACCTAACAATCTCACCACCAAATCCTTCCCTCCAACGACAGTGAATCACCCCGAACTAACAGGCGGAATGATAGCAACCTCCTCCCCCTCCCCAATCACCCTCCCCTCTCCCTCCTGTCCTCCCTCTATCCCGTCATCTTCCACGGACGGAATATCAACATACTCCAACCCAACACTAACACTACAACTACTCAACACCTTCTCCATAATGCCCGGGTACCGCTCTTCGAGCAAAGGAAACAATCTGGAAAGTGGCAATGGTGCTGGAAGGGATTCGCTGGATTTGCCGGTGTAGCTGGATGCTGATGCGAAGTAGAGGATTTGGAAGGTTGCCATTTCAGCTTTTTAATTTTCTGCTCTGGATTGCTCTTCTCTCGGCTGTTAGGTATTGGGTTTTTGATATATGATTAATTCTTTGTCTGTTTTAGTGTTGGTGAGGGGTTGCTTTTGGTGTGAGTCCGGTTGTTTGCTGTTCGCAAATATGGATGTGGTAGATCGGTGGGGTTTGATTCTTGAAGAATTGCCCTTCGGGACGAGACCGAGTGTTGATTGCTTTGATTTGGTCTGTGCTCTTTATATATATCAATTTGTGCAATGCACAGCACTAGGTAAAAATTGGTGAATTACTTTAGTCTACCTAGGTGGACAATGATTAAGAAAAATTAAAAAAAAAATAAAGATTTAAACAAGTGGATATCATGTGACGGCCATGCGCCGAATAACAAACGCTAGGTAACTTCACAACAGCGAAGTATAAATTGTACAACTAAGCTATCAAAGCTTTAAAAGCTGACACAAAGTCATCACGCAGGTCCTCCCAATGCTCGATACCAATACTGACTCTCAACAATCGTCGATCAACCCGTGTATCCGACATGGCCCGCCATTCAATCAGACTCTCAACGCCTCCAAGACTGGTAGCGTGGTGGAAGTATTGTAGTTTGCTGGGCAATCTTCGGGCCAAATTTTCGTCCTTCATGATAATCGAAAACACTGGACCGTACCCATTGGGCATTTGTTTCTTGACCCAAGGCTCTGTTTGAAGGCTGGCGTGTCTGATCTCACCTAAAACTTTCGATACAGCTTCTGCGTCGTTTCCTGCAGGTATATTTGACTGGGTCAATGCAGAGTGAAGGAACGATACAAGGCTTGTCGCATTCTGGCTTGCGCGTTGAACCCTCAATTCAAGAGTCCGCAAACTGCGTACTCCGAGCCAGCTCTCCAAGTTACCCATGTTGTTTCCAAGATGAAGACGTTGAGCAAATAGCTGCTCGAACCAATCCTTTCGCTTTGTGGCCAGTACGCCGCAGAGGAGATCACTGTGTCCTCCGAAATATTTAGACCCAGAATGCATGACAATATCGGCACCAAACTCAAACGGGTCCTGCAGACCAGGCGGACCAAATGTACTATCTACAATGAGAAATGCGCCACGGGAGTGTGCCTTTTGCGCATAGTGTTCAATATCGAAAGCTGTTCCGTCAGGGTTCAGAGGTGTCTCGAGCAGGATGACATCTCCGGCCTGCAATTCCTCCGCAGGACAGTCCAGACCTAGTTTCTTCAACCCAGTGAGTCTATTGAAAATCTCAATAACACCATGGCAGCCATGGTAGTTGTCTCCAATGGATATGTTTTTCGGGTTAAGCAGCACCAATGCTCCATTCAAAGCTGCCAGTCCAGAACCATATGCGAGTGCGCGACCTTGGAGTAGGGACGAAAGGATGGCTTCGAAACGCGCAGAGTTCGGCGCCGCAACACGAGAGTAGATTGGTTCAACGGTGGTAGGGTCCTCTTCGTCAAACTATGACAGTGTTAGAAAGAGCTCGCGACATAATTGGGAATACATACATTGCGTTCTGCAGCCGTGGTCAATTTATCTGGATTTTCATGGTACCGAAATGTCGTGGATAGGTGGATTGGAGGAGCAACGTCTGTGACATTATTGACAACATCATCCGCATGGACTGCGAGTGTCGCTGGTCTAGCTGTTGGGTGAGCCATGATGACAAGGTCGGTCTGATTTCAATTGAGTGTTTTGTTCAACAGGTGAAAATAGTTCTTGTCAGACGACACTGTAAGATAATAAGTCGTCGTAATCATAAGAGTCATCGGGTGGGAGGTAAATGATGTGAGGGGATGGTGGGTCCCGATGTCGCCTTATCAAATTAATTTCTGAGCAAGTGTCAAAGGGCGTCTATCCGAATGAGTAAACATTATCCGGTACCCGGTCACATGACTGGTCCGGGTTTGTGTTCTCTGATCGCGAATCATTCGATTTCTTGCTTAGTTGGGATTTCATCTGCGCATGGATGCCATTCGCGCAGGCTCTCGGGCGGAGCCTGGCAGACATTGAAGAAATTTGCTGCGATCTGCACACTATTAGCGAAGGCAGTCAAGGAATCATAGATAGTCATACCTTGCTCGGAATCAAACCCAATGGTAATATCGTCATGCTCAGTGGCATATTCAAGCATATCCAAGCAGACAAATCCGGATGCCTCTTCTTCATCTTTCTTGGGAAGGGCAAACTTTGCATCAACAATTCGGACGGTACATTTTCCAGACCGGCTGGAGCTCTCGTAGTTGTCGGTCCCTCTTAATAAGAAATTCATACATCTGCCATGACTGAAATCGCTGCCAAAGAAAGCCAGTAGTTGGATGGTCTTGTTCTGCACTACCAGCTGTAATCGCACTCCGCTCGCTTCCCATTTCTTGTGGATCGGAACAACCATGCGTCGACGAGCAATGGCGAAGCTTGTGGCAACCCCGTCGTAAACGACGCGGAACCCGGTCATCATCTCTTCGAACTTGTGTAGGTCTATCGGTGTTAGCGACGATCAAGCCTACTGACAATTTATACAAACTCACTCTCAAGGGAGCTAAACTCGAAACGCCGAATTGTAGGCTTAGTCTTTGATGCCTCTAAAAATTGCGTCAAGCGGTCCGGCAGCTCTTTCTCCACGAGGTTCTCTGCAATAGCCACAGTCATGTCCTCCTGGCGTGCACGGTACATAGTGAATGTAGTGTTAGCATTGGGATCCAGCCCAATTTTCATTTCCCCAGGACCTACGTTCTGTCAGTATTGCACTTCGAAAAGTGGGCGGAGATTCCTACCCAGATTGATACGATCCGTGACCGTGCCCCAGTCGGTGCTAATCAGCGCACGAAGATTCTCGGATAGAACCTGTTGGCCATAGCTGCGATCAAAATAAGGATATGATGAATCTAAGTCGATGACAGACACTGATCCTGCGTTGAACTTGAGATGGGACATTCCAGGCCCTCCGGTCACAGGATCACGGGCCTCTTCTATCGAAAATGAACGAGTCGGCAGATTAGGAGAGGTGGCTTCATTTTCATTGGCTAGCATGCCTAGCAGAAGGGAATGCATCAGAGTTCGCTGCTCGATTCGATCAAAAGTCAATACCATCGAACGCGGCCGTGAATCTTCCTTCAACTTTAGCAACAAGGCAGGCGATCCATTTTCACCACGGAGATAACCAAACACGATGGGCGCTCCATATCCCAAGGTATGTTGTACGCTACTTAGAGTTTTGGTTTGAGGATTCGTCACCACGGAAAGGCGGAAACCCCGGTGAGCTTTACGCTTTCCCGTACCTTCAGTCCACGTAACAGTCTTCTCAAATAGTGCCATTCGACAAAGCGGCGAGGGTTCCGAGGGGAAGGCTTTTGGCGTACCCGAGTCCATGTACTGAAACACTTTGAGAGTGTCATGAAAGATTCTCTTTTCACCAGCCTCCGGGCTAAGGCTCTTTTCTGTCTTCAGCGTATACTGAACAATGTTCCAAAGCATCTTGAAATCCTTTTCTGAAAATGCCACGTTCAGTTCAAATCCGCGCCGAAGCTTGACCGTCATTGTCCGCGCCTTTACCTGCCATTGAACATCGTCCCATGTTGGACCATTTTTTCGGTCGCTTTGGATCAAAATATTGACAAGTTCGCTTTGACTGGAGATCGCCGCAAGCACGTACCAGTCAGCTTTGTCTCGTCTGATAGACAAAACGCATTGGATTGAATATTGGGAAGTATCATCTTCGTCGTCGCTAGCCAGAGAAACATCCACAAACATAGTCCCATAGCTGAAATATCGGCTCGYATCTCCCMCTAACATCATCTCAGGGGTATTAGCCAATTGAGAGGATGAGTCAATCAACATAGAGCGTCTATTTGACCCTGACACAGCCGCCGCCACATCCGGTGCAAAGAAGGGGTACCGCACCCAGATGTTGGTATCTATTGGATGGTCATTGATTTGGGAAGTTGCAATAGCGGTTAAGATCTGATTCCGTTTCATGGATACGGTCAATGCACGCAGATGATTCATGATTTTCTGATGTAGATTGACTAAMCCCGCCATTCTGTGGTCTCCTGTCGTATTGACCACTGCGACCAATGCATCAATGCTCATTCTACCGTAACGGGTCAACTCAGGGTGTTTCGGCACAATTTGGGTGGAAATCCACCATGCTTTACCGAGATCAACAACCGCCTGCATAGCTTCAGTTGGGTCCGGGTTTCGTCCCGAACGTACAGCAGATTCCAGTCCAGATCGACCGCGAAGGAACCACCACGTGGAAGCTCTCACCCACTCAGCGAACGATGTCTCCATTAACGGTTTTACGTTTTCTGCAGCCAACCCGTAAAGACTATTGAATCTCTCAACATATGCCGTAAATTCCTGGTACGCAGAGTCTCCCATAGCATTGGCGACTGATCGAAGAGTCATCTTTGCTGAACGAGGTGCTGGGGCGGCACTGGAAGGCTTGGGAGGTTCTGCTGCCACCCTGGGAGGCGGAGCTGCCTGGTACTGTGGAGGAGGGCCGGTTGGTTGAGCACGAGACGCTTCAGGGAGCGGAAACACAGTTTTAGGTTCATCGGTAGTTGGTGAAAGACTGCTAGCAGAGCTTCCTCCAGGGGATAAAATTTCGGGAATATCGTCGCGTCGAAGGGCTTTGACCTGATCATGAACAGCCGGGACTGGACTAGTACGGAGTGACAAAGTAGGCGTTGCGACATCAACGTTCAGCGACTGCTGGGAAACTTGGGATCGCTGCGATGTGAATGACGGACGAGTGGGAAGGGATTCCTGTTGTCGGCGATGTACTTCATCATCGGCTTCAGTCGGCGAGGTGGGGTCGTCTTGTTCTAAACGGTGCTGTAACGCAAGACCTTCTTCCTCCTGCATTCGAGCATGTATCCTGCGTGCAAATGACTTGGAATCGGGAGATGCTCGGAAAGACAGTCTTGAACCTGGCTCACCCGAGTTCAATGCCATGAGAAAATCTTGATCCTGCGGACTTAGCAATAGAGGCTTCCAGGCTGGAGGGTTTTCAGGTTGTGTTTTTGGGGCAGCACTACTGGAAAAAGACGTATCCAAGTGTAGCTCAGGCAGTGTCGGCCGGCGATCTTGGAGGTCTTCATATGCACCATCAATATGCACTTTGGGCTCCTCCTTCGTTAGGCGTCCCTTCTTGCGCGATATTTCCACCGTGGGTTCCTCAGATTCGTCACCACCTTCTCCCATGACCTCTGGTGGTAGATCCGTGAATTTCACTTTCAGCCCTTTGTGTCGTCGTGTTTTCGGCTTCGGTGGGCTAGCCTGAGTGCTGGATTTTGGGGAAAGCGCGACATACTGTTTGGGAGGAGATGGGGGCGTAGACAAGTCTCGTCGTTGCGGTGAACTCGATTCAAAGGTAGAATTCGCAACAGGAGGGACGACGATGGGCGATTCAGGTAACGGCCTGGGGCGATTGTGTCCCAGAAAGTCATCCAGCTGGCGTTCAGTCGCCTCTGCTTGTTTCGAATCTCGATCCTTGGAGAACAGTTTCTCACGCCATTTGGATTTTTGATCGCTGCCAGCTTTTTCCGTCTTTTCTGCCTTTTCGGTCTTGTCTCGTCCACCCCAATTCAATCGCCTAACAGACTTGGACGATTGGAGCGGTTTAGGGGGTTCCTGGGTTGCTAGGAAGGCGAACGGGTCGTCTCCCGCCATGGCGCTGATAAGCCCGTGTTAGCTCCCTATAAGCAAGTCAATCCACTTCGACCTCTCTCTGGACCATGTCACGGTCAGTCCAAAAGAAGTGGTGTTTTATGCGTCCAGGGTACGCCTCAGATTTATAAGAGTCGAGGCTATTTTTGCGTGAAATCTGTGTAACAGTAGATTATGGCGCAGACAGGAGTCAAAAGGTCTCCTTGTCGCAAGCGGGGTCACGGGCCGTAGGTAGCTCAGGCACAAATACACGATCGACAACGAGTCTGGTCGAGAGGTTCAAGTGGTTCAAAGCGAATTGAATAGCGACAAATTCAACAATTGACGATCGCAGAAAGGACAGATGATTAGGAGTGAAAAAGGAGCCGAGCCGGTCGCTCACTCAATCGCCCAAGGGATGTTGCAGGGACGGAAGTATGTTGGTGAGGAAGGAAGGTTTGAGGGGGAAAGAGCGGTCCTTCCCACGGCAAGAATAGTCCAGCTCCTGCCTCTTGACAGCGTTCGTCGTCAAAAATAAGTAACAGAAACAAAAGAAGAGAGAAAAGAAAACAGAGACACACACTACTGTCGTTTCGTTGGTCTGTTGGGATGTGGTTGTCAGCAGATAAGAAACGTAGGCTAGTTAGTTACTACGTAGATTACTTAGTTTGACCGCCTTCTATTCGCAGCTGTAGTTCCCTTCTTTGCTTTTTTCTCTCTTAATAGGCTCATACACTGGTCAAGGTTCAGACGATTCATTTTATTCGATTGGAGCATTTGAGCGCAGCAGCGAATCAGAGACAGCGTGGGCGTGGTTCTTGACAATCAGGAGTCGTTATCGTGGATCTAATTAGCTGTCCCTGAACAGGCGTCACTAACAATGGAAATATTAATACTCCCAGACCAATCAAATCGAGTGTTTCACTACGATGCTGTGTATGGAGACCGTATCGCCTAGTACGTATGTTAGTACGTATGGAGTATGGAGTATGCGGAGACGTTGTGCTTTGAGAATGCTGATTGGTACAGCAGGCTTAGATATCTTTCCGCTCGTACGTTAAATTGCTAGCTTCGTAGAGGAACTACTCCGTAGTGAGACCTTCATCTTGATGCTTGCCGCCCATTACAGTGCTGGTGTCATTCCTACTCTGATCATCACCAATGAGCAATGTCGAAGGAATCAATTGAGTCAAGACCGAGTCCGTCGCAGAAACATGTGTACAGCGACGTGCGAGTCAAACATGCGTTCGCTTACCATACAGTCACTATAGTGTAAGGCTTGCAACACGCCCCACAAGCCGAGATTAAGCTCGTCTGTCCACTGGTCGCTTAGTCCCCCCATGGTGGGCTCTGGATATCTCCTACAGCCAATCATAGATAACCCTCCAACCTGACGCTGATCTGAAACAACGCTAGCCCCTTTCTGGCCATCCCGCGGCAGTACTTTTTCCCCACTGTCACAGGCGTGTTCCACTGTGTCGAGTGTGGGCTCCGCTCCTCGAGTACGTAGGGGTGTACGACTTCTACACGTAGTATACTACTATTATGTATGTATATACGTACACCGTACACGTCAAGCTCATGGGCATCGCCTCTAGTGGACTGGTATATACGTGCAGACTGAGCGACATCGGTTGGAAATAAACAATCGATCCAGCCACGGCGCATAAACATCGTCATTGCTGTCATCATCGTGCGCCTCGCATTCCAGGGACTCCACGTTCAGCCACAGCCCCTTCATTGGCGATCGCCTGTTCGAGTATCTGTAATCTCGCCGATTAGGCATGTTGTCACGATGGGCTTCATTCCTCATATTTGTCGTAGGTACGAGTAAGCATGCAAGAGTGTAACCTCAATTCACGATTCCCAATGACCCTGATCTCATCCTATCTGATGAGGTGGAATATCCAGTTGGGGCTTTCTGAGTCAAGCTGTGACGGTGGGTTCATCTAAACCTAAAGAACCAACGATCATCAGCTGCGCCACCGTATCCTTCGAGCTTGAGACTTTTTGACTTCAGCCAATGCAAAATACGTAATCACACAACGGCGGCGACAAAACACGATTCCCAATCGATCAAGTCATGTGATTTCCCGGGAGCGCACTCACCGCCAGGGCAGCCTACGGGCGGTTACTTTTTATACTGCCGGCAGTACACCGGAAATTTTGGGACTCACCAACAGTCCAAATGGGTCTTCCTAAATGCTAACCACTTCCATTAAAAGCTGACGGCTCTAGGGTCCAATGAATGAGGATGGCATATTCTGTCCGATGGGGACAAGTCAACGGCAAACTTACGGTGCCAAGCCGAAAATTTGATGCGATGCGGCGATATGTCTGCGCTACGTGCGCGCATCCTCAACGCCGTACTTTATTGACGAACACAGACCCTATTCGTCGACGAATTCCAATCGCACAGCAGACTGGTACTATCATCGCCTCCAAGCGCTTTGCATCATCTGTAGAAGATGTGAGCCTTTCATCCATTGCGTATGCTAAGTCATTGAGCTAACGCGTTATCGTTGCGCAGTCAGAAACTCCCGATGAATTACGAACAAAGATCGATAATATTCATTTAAAGACGGAATTCGAGACAAGAAACGACATTAGAGAATATTTGCGCAAATGGCAAGAACAGAACGTGAATCATCTAGACCCCATCCAGGGTTCGGATTCCTCGAACACGAATTCGCCGCATGTAGGGAAATTGACCGGAAACATGCTCAACGATGGACAAGCCATTTACGATGATGCCGTCGAAAAATCATACACTAGCTTGGGCGAAACCTCAGATTACAAGATCGATATGGATGAGAATTATGAAACTGGCGATATTCTGGAGCCGGGCGACCTAGTGGGATTCTTCTCGTAAGATACCTTCCCATAGCCCTCGTATCACGTTTGCACAGATTTTTAACAAGATCTTAAGTGGGTCGAATATGGCAACACCTGCGGTATACATACGATCTGTGGAAAGACAAAAGCAGTTCTATACACTCAGAGGGAAATGGCGAGTCACATCGGATAAGGATATTGATATCGTTATCAAAGGCTTTGCGCCTCCGGAATTAACCGATGCTCTTATCCCATATCTCCCTGACACAGCAGTCTCGCCGAACATCAGCATGCAAGAAATCGCCGAAGGAGGAGTTCCTCGCTCCGCAGCTGCACCGCTCATGGCCATGCTTCAACAATTTTCCGAGAAAGAGGCACAGCTCTATAGAGAAAATGCGCAACGAATCGACAATCTATACCGAATAATCGCATCCCCGAACAAACGCACCGTAATGACTTTGCATGAAATAGCGGCCCAGGCTCTTCAGATTGGCATAGACGACGTGACGCCAGAAGCCCTTTTCATGACACAAAAGGCACTTCAGCGGAGCCCGTTCCTCATTTTGGCTGACCGCTCGTCTGTGTTTTCCAATCGGTACCTAGTACGGCCGAAGTCATTCATGCATCGTTTCAACACCGTGATTGAATGGGTTCGTGAGCATCAGGACCATTTAGGTCAGCTGGCCTTACACAAACCTTCCAATCTAGCAGACCATCCGCTCCAAAATTTTCTTCTGAAAGCCCGAAGGATAATACTCCAAAATCGAAATATCAGGTCTCCAACAACCATGTCGAACGTCGGTCCTTCCGCTCAACAATTTACGACGGAGGATGTGCCCGAAGGACGGGTGTATCAGAAGGTAGTCACAGACCAGTTTGACGAGTCTGACAAATTCATTCTGGAGTACCTTGTACATTTTTCCATTCCACCACAAAGGCTTAATATGAGCTCTGCGAGATACGCTGCCATTCACATAATGAGGGCAACGGGGTTGTATACAGCCATAGAGCTTCAACGCGGGGCAATATCACTCTTTTTGCAGGAGTTAGGTATTTTCTCTGCATGGGAGAACATATATGCTTTGGATCAATTCCTGGCTCTCCCAGGTCATCACATTGATTTAGAATCTGAACGTGTAGTGGCGCTTGCACTAAAATCTGCTAGCAAACCTTCGAAGTACAAGGACGATAGAATGTCAGATATGCGAGTGGACTGGGGAGATTTGCCAATTTATTGTATCGACGATCCTGGTGCAAAGGAAATTGACGATGGCATCTCTCTAGAGCCTGTTGCCGGATCCGAAGACACGTTTTGGCTTCGTGTGCACATCGCCAACCCAACGGCTTTCATGCCACATGATGATACCATATTTGAGAATGCTGCTAGACGTCTAACGACTGTCTATTTGCCTGAAAGGCACTATCCCATGCTACCAACATCTTTTACGAGTCGATCCTTCAGTCTGGCTGCTAATAGCCCTACTCTCACCATATCTGCCAAAGTCAATTTGAACGGCGATGTTTTGGAAACGGGCATTACGAATGGAATAGCACGAAATGTTGTCTACTTGACCCATGCGGGTCTTCGAAAAGCCCTCGGTGGTCAAACAAAAGACCCGCAAATATACACGGTTGGACGGAACCCGCCTTTACATTATCTCAACCAACTATCCCCCGAGTCACCTGCATTTACCCAGGAGCAATCAGATACTTTCACCCTTATGAGAAAAATCATGACTCAGATTAATAACAAATGGAGAGAGAATGGCGGGCTGACTTGGCCGGACAGTTTCAATCAACAGAATCCGTCCATATACACTGGCAACCCCATTTCCCCATTTTCGGTGCATCCTGAAAAGCTCGACTGGGAAGGGGGCTATTACCAGGGTGACCCAATCATTCTACTCCCCACTAACGACGTTGACCCTTATGACGTTCCAGATTTGAGCAAAAGGAACCTCGTGGCGCTGGTCATGCGATTCGCCTGCCACATTGCAGGACGATGGAGCGCAGACAGAAACATTCCCCTAGTATATGACGGCACTTACTTTCACCCAGAGTACCCGCCATTGACGCCAGAAAGACTGAAAAGGTTTACTGCAGACGACTGGCTTCGTTTCGCACCTCCTAAGGGATATAGTGCTTCCAGCGTTCTTCCACACGCCGGTTTGGGTGTTGACGCATATACCAAAGCAACCAGTCCCCTACGGCGATATAGCGATCTAGTCGCCCACTATCAAATTGAAGCAGCTCTGCGCTACGAGAAACAGCACAGTAAGAAATTCAACGGCGCAGAATCCGAAGCCGCTTCCGCACTACCATTCTCCACCAAACAAATCGACTCCCTTCTCGAGGAAATGAAAGCCAAGTATCCCCTCATCAACTCCGTGCAGAACCAATCCCGAACGTTCTGGGTGTGTCAATTCCTTTTCCGCGCATTTTATTTTGGTGAATGCGATAACCTCCCGGATACTTTCGCCTGTATGGTGCGACAGCCGGTTCAGGGCGTTTCGACGACGGACGCAAACTATGTAGGCGCTTATGCGGCGGATAACTTGCCGTTGGGTATTCGGGTACAGCTCTTTGTTACTGAGGAATTCCGTGATTTGGATACGCTCAGTACGGTGGAAGCTAAGATTGTGGCTGTTAATATGGCGAAGCATGTTGTTGAGATGGAGGTTGTGAGGAAAGTGAAGGGTTGGGAACGGACTGGTGATTGGGCTTAGGAGTCTCTTCGGAATAGTTGGTAACGTGTATGATAGATATGTATATTATTGTAAATAACAATGCTCCATCTTCAATAATAGATACACCCTGGGCTGTTACTCATATTGATACACCTAGTTTCTATCTCAGCTACCTAGGTACATGTACCCAAATAGTTGCCTTCATTATAGTGGGCTAGATATCCATTGTCGATAACAGTTCTTTTAAGTTTGGGAATCTAAAGGTCAATTTGATGTACTTAGTAGATACAAAGGAATAGCCATGCCGTACAACTCCATCAGCTATCTCAGCCCTGTGTCTTCATCTTCTTCAGGTCAGAACAGCGTTTGATGCTGGTCTGCTGGCTTGGGAAGAATTTTCTTGAGACACTGGACAAAAGGCATTCCAACACAGTCGGATCACGCTCAAGAATTGACTCCAGTTACACTGGCAGCACAAGCATTAGCCCACGAAATAAGAGTCTTGAGATTACAGCGCTCCCAGAATTCTTCGAACGCAAAATGCAAAGTGGTCTCTCTGTCAGTGACGACCCGATCTGAATTCGATGTAATTGCTCCACGCAAAAATATCCACCATTTATTGTTGCCCTGTGTATTGATTTCGAGCTCATGCCAAATATTTTCAATATATTCTGGGTAACGTGGAACCATAGAATCACTAAGCATGAACGCGCCATAGGCTAAATAGCCTTTCCGCTTTTTCAGCAGCGTGTTATCGACATCTACGATTTGTTTGATGTCCTCTGAGTCGAAACATAGCCGGGCACACTCATACCACTTCTCGGATACGTCAAGTAAAGGCCATTCTTCACACGATGGCTGCAACTTTGATCCATGCATAGTGAGCCACCGTCCTTCATGAGTCCGTCGACCGTCGAACTGCTCTATAGCGCGACGCGTAAGTTCCGATTTTGAGCACCATTCCGCGAGGACTTCAACTTGATAGCGGTGCCTGTGTAAGAGAAGCATGTAGATCCTCCAAAGCTCAAACATGTCTTCTGCCTTTAATCCGTAGAACCCCCACCATTTGAGAGCTTCTCGTTGAGGAGGAAGTATTCCAAGCGCAGAAGCCTCTTTCATCATGGTAATACTATTCTCTTTCCAAGTAATTAGAGACCTTTCGTCATGAGCAGCCATTTTGTACTCGAAGGAAATCGATAATGTAGGATTTGATGGCAATCATATCCAGGTCAATTCAGGAAGCCACCCTGCTTATAAGCTTGCCCTGGGCTGAGGAATCACAATGGCTTGACTCAGATATGAATCCTCCTGAGTCAAAACATGCAGTCATGGTTGATTCATGCATAGAACTACTGTTCATAATCCACACAATTGGCTACAACCTAGGGATGAACATACACTTACTGACATGGTTTCAACCTAGAAAGTTGACTCAGGCTTGCTTCTATTTTTCTTTTCACTTAACCTCATGAAGTCAGCTTAACATGAACAGCTTGCTCCATTATGCAGAGAATAGCATTACGGGCATCGTCTTCCCCCTGCATCCGCCATCTTATAACGACAGATGCTGAAGGATAGGCGATTGAGGATAGTCGAAATATTATCTTTGAGGCTGATTTTTGTGTATGTATATGTCAGTATCAAAAATGACCGAGCTGCTTATAAGCTTGCATTCATCTGGTGAATTATATTGCCATTGACTCAAATCTGACTGGACTCCGTCTTAAGTCATGATCATAATTGGTCACGCTTACAAACAACTATATACTTCTTTGATTGACTATCTAGGGGGGTTGGAATTACTAGTGATATTTGATCAGATGCATACTGATTTACGTTTCTGCTGCTATGTAAATCAAATATCAAGGTTGATCCGGGCAACTTGATACAATATAATTCGATCCGATGAGCTACCTGAAACAAGAATTATAGAGGGAAGGGAAAAGATATCAGAAAACCTTGGAACCTTGGAGATCCTCAACGCTTCATCATGAGGATGTATGGTTGGGCAGGTTTCAATTTAAGAGGTCATTGATTGACTGTGTCCGCCCAAGCGTTCTTGGGTTGCTGTTGATCTTTCAGCATCCAGATCCTCGACGATTTCCATCATCCAAGACTGAAAGGAAATCAACGTATCGCTATTATCTGCAGCTTGTATAATCGTCAAACCCTCCAGTTATTGACAGCCCTTGCTTGTGAGTTATCTGCCTCTGAGAGGAAGTGTTTTTAGCCATGGAAATTCCTGCTGGATGTCTCTCCGGACAGCCTCAATCAGCCATGAAATAAGAGTGCCGTCCGCATAGTTTGCAAAGAGTCCTCGAACGTATTGTATAATCCGTCTTTCTTAGTTTCAACAGAGCGTTTGAAGAAGTATCAAAGCATAATGATCCTTCAGCATCTCCTTCTCACGCGACGACGGGCATGTGCTGAAACCAAATCTTGCCAACCATCGATATCACTCTATACACCTTTGAGGTCTAGAGAAACCTTTTTATTTTTATTGGCAATACAACAGATGCTATGTAGAAATTCTCTTGCTTCCTATCAATTGGTCAGAGCACTTGACAATATTCCCGAGCTTAACACACTCTTTGACGCATTCGTACCATGATATACCAGGCTCAGGACATATGACTCCACCCTTAGGGTTCCATGAAGGTTTTGTTTATTGAAGTCAATTGGAATCTTCGGAGTCTGAGCCTAATATCTGTTGAGCCTTTTGTGGTAAACCTTTGTCCTCGCTCTACCGCAAAAGATCCCTGACTTTACAGCCACGATCGTGTATCAGCAGAACGTATATTACCCCCAAACGAGGTAATGAATCTTCCTATAAACTGAACCCCATTCTTTCGAGAGTGCCAATACTGACAGGGGGAAGACGGTATTGGGCTGACTCTCCTAGTAAGAATTCACCTCGTTCGAACTTGATGCTTGTGGCGGGKTATACGTTTTCGGCCATGATAACACCATAGAAGCGTCAAACATTGAGGGAGAGGGACGAGTGATAGTAATATACTTTTATCGCAAGGAATGAGGAAATATAGGTGACCTGAATTTCTGAGGTCGACGGTTCATTGTGCATATCGACAGCGTTATAGGAGGTTATTCAGCTGCTTATAAGCTTCACCCGGCAATGAATCATGGAACATTGACTCAAATATGACTGCTTCTGAATTACAGTATACAACCATACTTGGTGAATGCCCTCCAAGTATAAGATGATGTGAGGAAAGGTTGTTAGTCATTAGATGACGGAGCCCAAATATGACACCGTACCATGCTAAGGGCAGCATCCCCATGGTGAGATTATCAACGTGACTCGCGCAATGCCCTAGAATGATCTAATCTGCCTGTTCTTTTTTTGTTTGTATTAACGGTTCTAATGATCCAGCTCAGATAGTGAATAGGTTATTATGGTAGTTGTGTGGCAACCCTGAGCCATACTTTGGTATTTTGTTTTCTTTTCTCATTCTTGTTCTAATGCGTTTCGGTCTGTCATACCGAGAACAATGGGGGTTTCTATTATCCCAAGCATCTAAGAAATGACCCGAATGACTTAATACTGGCTGGACGAGATGTATGGAACATGTAATATTGAATCCAACCGTAATTATCGAAACAGACTATAATACAAGACCCGCGGCATTATTGATGAAGCGAGCAATTTATTCATGATATTCGCAAGTAGGCTCTTGTGCACGTTCCCTTATGTGTCAAAAAAGAGCCAGCCGCATAGACTCCGTCGTCATTAGGCGATGGTAGCGGAAGAGAAGAGGTTCTGGGTGGAGTGAAGCATTTATAGACTATAGTGTCGAATACATTGTTAGCCAATTGATCAACAACGCTTTGTTGTCTTTCAAAGTGTTCTCGAGATATCGATGGAGCGGTATGATGCGATGCTGTCGAAAACTTACGGAGGAATGAGGAACTCGCTCAAACTGCTGTGGAAGAAAGCAACCGCAGCCTATTGAAATATGTCAGCGCTTTGACAACACTATCTCGCGTTCATCTCGGGCTCAACATACACTGAAGATGACAATGCTTCTCACGATAGTAGCGTTCTCTGGGTTGGTGATCTCCTTATATGTGGCACCGAAAAGACCGGCTTGTTCTTGTTCACGGCGACCGGACTGGACGACAACACGCTTGGGAGGCATTTTCGCAATATGTATATAATCCGATTGATTGGAGTAGGAAATGTGAGTTCAAAAATTCGATATGCTCGATGGTGGTATGCTTGTCGGGTGTTGATGGAGGTCTGTTGGAAGAATTCTTTTGCGGAATAAATTAGCTTGGCGTCATTGGATAAGATTCTGCGGCCGAAGCTTTCCTGGACAGCCGTAGTTTATCATAAGAGCTCTCACATGTCACGCGTGAAACAGCTTTCATTGCTGTTTTGTCATAGCTGCCAATGACCTGAATGATATCTATTCATTCAAAGGCCTCTTTTTTTCTTAATAGACATCTGTCTGGTCCGTTGAGGCACGCGCTTGCCAAATCGGTTGAGGCCAGTTTTACTTCCAAGTCAACAAGACCAGCTACGAATCACGGAGGGGCAGAATGGCAAGCATTGACGATATTTTCAAGGTGCGCTTGATGAAATTGGTACCTAAGTTGGTTAAAGCGCCTGCTAACAGAATCACAGAAACCCGTAGTCGTTCAAGGAAGCGGCAAGCGCAAACTCGAGCAACCGAATCATGACCCCAGTACGTCGCCGCCCCAGCATCGACTCCTTCGGCTCAAACTGCTAACTATGACCGGACAGACGCATTTTACAAAGCAGCCAAGTTAGAAGCGAATGGCGATGTCAAGGGCAAAGGCAAAGCTGCCGCCGTTGACGAGCCCGAAGACGAGAGCGACTTTGCGGGACCCGAACTTCCACCCGATTTCGAGGAAGATGTGCCTGATGACGAAGAGGGAAGGTTTTTTGGAGGAGGGGTGGCAAAGGAGACGGCTCAGGCTATGGATTACTTAGATCGACAGGATCAGGATGGAGATACAGCTGTGAGTGGTGTTCAACGTGAAGAGAGTGTCATGCGACTGATTGTCGGTTACAGGTGGAGAAAATTGACATTGCATGGGTGAGGCGTCTGGCCTTGAACTTTGAAAAGCGCATATCGAAAAACGCAGAACTGCGAGCCAAGTTTGAGAATGATCCGCAAAAGTGTGTACCTTACAATTGCATTACGATGGATGCGATTACTAATGTGTTGTCAGGTTCATGGGCTCTGAAGCCGATCTCGACGCGGATATCAAATCTCTATCTGTGCTATCAGAGCACCCCGAGCTATACGAAGAGTTCGCCAAACTAGGATGCGTTGCATCATTGGTTTCTCTCCTTGCACACGAAAATACAGATATTGCGATTGACGCAATCCAAACATTATCAGAACTGACGGACGAGGATGTGCAAGCCGAACAGGAACAGTGGGACAGCCTAGTCAATGCAATGGTATGATCCGTTATCCATCACATTGAAATTAAAACTAATATCACAAGCTCGATGCCGATGTTATAGAGCTATTGGCTCAAAATCTTTCACGTTTAGACGAGTCCCAGGACGCAGACCGAAGTGGAGTTTATTACGTTCTAAGTGAGTTAAATTCTTATGCACTCCACATTTCTTTACTGACGATCATAGATGTACTCGAGAACTTAGCCTCTCAATCCTCAGTCGCTGAAAAAATCGGACAGGACGCCAACACAATAACCTGGCTGTTATCGCGCATCCAGAAAAAGGAGACGCCAGTGGGACAGAATAAACAGTACTCAGCGGAAATTCTCGCTATCCTCTTACAATCATCGCCTAAGAACCGAACTAAGTTTGCCTCGCTCAATGGTGTCGACGTCCTTTTACAACTTTTGAGCTCATATCGGAAACGAGACCCGGAGAAAGACTCGGATGAGGAAGAATATGTGGAAAATCTTTTCGATTGTCTTACGTGTGTAGTAGATGAGGAGGAAGGGAAATCCAAGTTTTTGGACGCCGAAGGTGTTGAGCTTGCACAGATCATGCTTCGGGAAGGCAAACTTAGCAAACAGCGAGCATTGCGGACTTTAGATCATGCACTGTCAGGACAGACAGGGGCAGCTGCATGTGATCGTTTGGTCGAGGTCGCTGGACTCAGAACAGTATTTGGCATGTTTATGAAGAAGGTATTGTGAAAATCTTCTAAACATAAGTATATGTTAACCATTACTGATGTTTTCACAGCAAGAAAATGAAGCTATCGAGCACTTGCTGGGTATATTTGCCTCTCTTCTCCGGCATTTGCCCGGTGGATCAGCCCCCCGCATACGAACACTAGCAAAGTTCATGGAGAAAGACTACGAGAAAATTGAAAAACTGATCAAGTTGCGGAGAGAATATGCTGCCCGGCTGAAACCTATTGAAGCTGGCATCGAGCAGGAACGAAAGGGGTTGGACGAATCAGATCAGGAGATCATGGCAGGAGAATGGCTTTCCCGCCGTCTTGATGCAGGTTTATTTGCTCTTCAGGTATGGCTCCACTAAGAAGCAGCAGATTTTCGTAACTGACATTCGAGTCTAGACTATTGATGTTATTCTTGCATGGCTTATTGCCGAAGATGACGGTGCTAAAACCAAGATAACGGCATCGTTGGGTGACCGAGATGAGAATATCTCAATAATCAAAAAGACGCTCCAAGGTAATGATTCCTCTTCGATTTCGAAAAGTGAGATTCAGATACTAACGTGAAGCTTAATAGATCAAGTGAAGGATTTAGGGGAAGAAGATGAAGGCGAGAAAGACTTGAAGGATATGTTAAGCACATTACTGCAATTTTTACAATAATCTCGCTAGCAGACTGAATGTACAACAACCCTCTTGACTACAAAGTTACTTAGAAACGTCCTAATAACGCGAGCTGTAATTTAAATGACAGTCGATTAAAGATGACACGTGACCATGCATCGCACTAAGCCGTAATAAGACTAGCTCGGATCGCCACAGTGGCGGCGCGCCGCGCCAAGACAAAAGATCCAGCCAGAAAGTCCGTCGGAGATGCAACACAGCGAACGATCACTCGCTTTCATCTCTGAAGCTCACTCTCTTTCACCACTCATCAACCCTGTCCGTCGAGAACTCGAAACTTTTGAGCGCTTTCACGCGCTTCAAGTGAAAAGTTCTACTCCTTGCTCTCTTCACACGAGTTTTCATCCACGGGGAGAGCCGTTGATTTTGCGCGCATCTTAATCATGGCGGACTACGAGGAGGTGTACGAGGATGAATACTATGAGGATGAGGAGGAAGGCATCACTTCCGAGGACTGCTGGACCGTTATTTCATCATATTTTGATACCAAAGGTCTAGTGTCCCAGCAGCTGGACTCTTTCGATGAATTCATTTCTTCGACGATGCAGGAGTTGGTGGAGGAACAGGGACAGGTTACCATCGATCAGACCATCACACCGAGCGAGGATGAAATCGATCCGGTCGTTATCCGCCGATATGAAATCAAATATGGCACGATTATGCTTGCCCGACCATCATTTTCCGAAATCAACGGAGCTGCAACTCTGCTTCTCCCCATGGAAGCACGTCATCGAAATCTTACCTATGCGTCCCCTCTCTATCTCAACGTTCAGCGACGGCTAACGGAAGGTCGCGAGCGCAAGGTTGCCGACCGTGAAGGCGAAGGCGACGAGAACGAAGAACAAAAACCTGGCGGAACATACCTCGACTGGGAGGAGAAGCCGTTGGTTATCTCAGAGGAAGAGGCGAAGGGTTGTTATATTGGCAGGATTCCTATTATGTTGAAGTCAAAATATTGTCTGCTGAGAGATCTCAGCGAGCAAAGTCTTTACAACTGGAATGAATGTCCGTATGACTCTGGCGGTTATTTTATCATCAACGGAAGTGAAAAGGTTTTGATCGCACAGGAGCGAAGTGCTGGAAATATCGTTCAGGTTTTCAAAAAGGCGCCTCCCAGCCCCACACCTTACGTCGCAGAAATTCGAAGTGCAGTCGAAAAAGGTTCTCGCATTCTATCTCAACTTTCGCTCAAACTTTTCGCCAAGGGCGACAGCGGCAAGGGTGGTTTTGGTCCGACCATCAGATCTTCCCTGCCATACATTAAGACAGATATTCCCATCGTCATTGTGTTCCGAGCTCTTGGTGTTGTTTCTGATGAAGATATTCTCAATCACATTTGCTACGATCGTAACGACACGCCCATGTTGGAGATGCTGAAGCCTTGTATTGAAGAAGGTTTCGTTATTCAAGACCGTGAGGTTGCGCTCGACTTTATCAGCAAGCGTGGTTCGTCCCAAACGAGTATGAGCCATGACAGACGTGTGCGATATGCGAGAGAAATCATGCAGAAAGAGTTCCTTCCTCACATCTCTCAGAGTGAAGGAAGTGAAACTAGGAAGGCTTTCTTTTTGGGTTATATGGTTCATAAGCTTTTGCAATGTGCTCTTGGCCGTCGCGATGTCGATGATCGTGACCACTTCGGTAAAAAGCGACTTGATCTGGCTGGTCCACTCCTTGCTACGCTTTTCCGAACTCTTTTCACCCGTGTTACAAGAGATCTCACTCGTTACGTCCAGCGATGTGTCGAAACAAATCGCGAAGTGGTTCTTAACGTGGGTCTGAAGCCGGCCACCCTTACAGGTGGTTTGAAATATGCTCTCGCTACTGGCAACTGGGGTGAACAGAAGAAGGCAATGAGCTCGAAAGCAGGTGTTTCCCAGGTGCTCAGCCGATACACCTTTGCCTCCACTTTGTCTCATTTGCGACGTACCAATACTCCTATTGGTCGTGATGGAAAAATCGCTAAACCCCGTCAGCTACATAACACTCACTGGGGTTTGGTTTGTCCTGCCGAGACTCCTGAAGGTCAAGCTTGCGGTTTGGTCAAAAACTTGGCTTTGATGTGTTCTATTACAGTTGGCTCTCCTAGCGAACCTATCGTTGATTTCATGATTCAGAGAAATATGGAAGTGCTTGAGGAATTTGAACCGCTAGTTACGCCTCATGCTACTAAGGTCTTTGTCAATGGTGTTTGGGTTGGTGTACATCGTGACCCAGCTCACTTGGTCAGCACAGTCCAGTCACTCCGTCGACGGAATATGATTTCACACGAAGTCAGTTTGGTTCGTGACATTCGTGACCGAGAGTTCAAGATCTTTACCGATGCCGGTCGTGTTTGTCGACCACTTTTCGTCATTGACAACGATCCGCGAAGTGAAAACTGCGGATCTTTGGTGCTCAATAAAGACCATATTCGCAGACTGGAAGCAGACCGTGAGCTTCCCCCGGATCTCGACCCCGAAGAGCGAAGGGAACAGTACTACGGCTGGGAGGGTCTTGTCAAATCAGGAGTCATTGAATACGTTGATGCTGAAGAAGAGGAAACCATTATGATTGCCATGTCACCCGAAGATCTCGAAATCTCGAAACAGCTACAAGCCGGTTATTCTCTGCCTGAAGACAACAGTGACCCAAATAAGCGTGTCCGCTCAGTGTTGAGTCAACGGGCGCATATCTGGACTCACTGCGAGATTCATCCAAGTATGATTCTTGGTATCTGCGCCAGTATCATTCCGTTCCCCGACCACAACCAATCTCCACGTAACACCTACCAATCTGCTATGGGTAAACAAGCTATGGGTGTCTTTTTGACCAACTTCGACCAGCGTATGGAAACCATGGCCAACATTCTCTACTACCCCCAGAAGCCTTTGGCTACTACGCGGTCTATGGAGTTCCTCAAATTCCGAGAATTGCCTGCTGGCCAGAATGCTATTGTTGCCATTCTCTGTTACTCTGGATACAATCAGGAAGATTCGGTCATCATGAACCAAAGCAGCATTGACCGTGGTCTCTTCCGTAGTTTGTTCTACCGTACCTACACTGAAGCAGAAAGAAAACTTGGTCTTCAAACGATCGAGAAGTTTGAGAAGCCGATGCGTTCTGATACGCTCGGTATGAGGAAAGGTACCTATGACAAGATCGAGGATGACGGTCTCGTTGCGCCAGGCGTCCGTGTCACGGGTGAAGACATTATCATCGGGAAAACGGCTCCTTTGGCACCAGAGTCTGAGGAATTGGGTCAACGTACCAAGGCACACACAAAGGTAGATGTATCGACACCGCTACGAGCTACCGAGTCTGGTATTGTCGATCAAGTGTTGTTGACTACTGGCAACGACCCTGATCTCAGATTGGTCAAGGTTCGTATGCGAACAACCAAGATTCCTCAAATTGGTGACAAGTTTGCGTCGCGCCACGGTCAGAAGGGTACCATTGGTATTACTTATCGTCATGAAGATATGCCTTTCACTCGCGAAGGTGTCGTGCCGGATTTGATTATCAATCCTCACGCCATTCCTTCTCGTATGACAATTGCTCACTTGATCGAGTGTCAATTGAGTAAGGTATCTTCGCTTCGTGGTTTTGAAGGTGACGCCACGCCATTTACAGATGTCACTGTCGACTCTGTGTCTCGCTTGCTTCGCGAGCATGGTTATCAGTCACGCGGTTTCGAAGTGATGTACAACGGTCATACCGGTAAAAAGCTCAAGGCTCAGGTCTTCTTGGGCCCTACATACTACCAGCGTCTCCGACACATGGTTGACGATAAGATTCACGCTCGTGCACGTGGTCCTACTCAGATCTTGACCAGACAGCCTGTTGAAGGTCGTGCCCGTGATGGTGGTCTCCGTTTTGGAGAGATGGAGCGCGATTGTATGATTGCACACGGTGCTAGTGCATTCTTGAAGGAGCGTCTTTTCGATGTGTCGGATCCATTCCGTGTTCATATCTGCGATGACTGCGGTTTGATGACTCCAATTGCGTAAGTTTATCTAGCCCCACGTATATATTTTCATACTAATAGAGGTGCAGAAAACTCAAGAAAGGACTTTTCGAATGCCGACTCTGCAACAATAAGCACCGCATTTCCCAGGTCCACATCCCATATGCAGCCAAGTTACTGTTCCAGGAACTTGCCGCAATGAATATTGCGGCGCGCATGTTCACCGACCGCTCTGGCGTATCTATTCGATAGATGCATTCTAAAAGACGAACCCCGGCTAGCGCAAGCCGGGGTTGCATCCAGAAAACTTTCTTCAGGACTTCCCAATTTTTGATGACATATTTGGCATTCTCAAGGCGTACAGCGTTTAATCACCCTTTCCACACATTTTATCATTTTTAACCTGTTTTTGCGGAAGAAGCCGACTCGAGCTTCCGGTTTAAAAGGGTTGCCATCTGTTAATAATATTGAAAATATGCCATGGAGATAACAAGACAGTAAAAAGTCTCCGGCTAAAAGAACAAAATTATATACCATGTGGTTTTCGTCGGCCTTCTTCGCTTTTTTGGGGGGAGAATATGCGGGCAATATTGGTCAAACCCTGATTGTATTTTTACTCTTTTTGCTCTAGAAGAATGCCATTTTCCGTATATTGAATGCTTGTGCTTCTGTCTTGATGGTATCGGGTCCGAGTGTACGTTAGTAGCTGCAGTACACTACAGTAGCAGAAAGCCATCGGAGTGTGACGCAGCTCTAATGACGAATGATGATACCTTTCCTGTTTATCGGAGAATCTTGCATATTTGCAATCCTGCTGACAGGCAATTCTTCAAGGATCATGCATGAAGACATTTCTTCAGAAGAATTTGGGAAGGTAGGTACGTAAACCTAATGTATAACGAAGATAATAAGACTTTGCGACTCGTATAGAGCAGACTCCGCACCTCCAATACACAGACGGCAAGACAGCATAGACAAGTATAATAGAGGAGGCAGATATGCAAGTAGCATGGTGTACATGAGTAGTTCGCATGTCGAGAGTTGGCATGCGATGCTGTGAGTGGTGAGCTGCAATAGCCCTAACTCATTCTAATCCGGCCCGGCGTCAATTGTCGCGCTCCGGTTGGCCAGAAGCATGGGCATCTCATCCTCGACAGACACATCCAACAGCCAATGCGATGTCTCGTTCTATTCTTAGACAGTCCCTCTCGATGATTCGATTCGATCCGAGCCGCACGGGCTTACCGTGGTAAACAGAGGAAGCTTAAGCTCTGTTAGTCCATATGTGGTTGAGGTCATTATGTGATTCCTCCCCGCCGCATCTCCAATCATTCTTCTCGTTTATGCGCCCATCACGGTCTTCGCACCGCTTTCTCTGCTTATTGGCAGAACAGCCCACGTCAAACCTATTCGGGCCATCACTGATCACCGGCTTTTCAGTCTTGTTTATCTGCAGAGCGACGCTGGGCTGATCCCCACCCTCGAACAGCTCAGTCAACCAGCGACCGACTTTTCGCGCGGATGTCCTGCAAGAGCTGTCTGTGTGCTCTAGTTGGTGTGTTTTTCCTAATTTGAGGGTCAAATCTAGAAGCCATGTGAACTTTCTCTACACCGGCCCATTCCATGACCCGTACCATCCTTGTTATGTTGTTGACAGGTGTGGTTGGTCACCCCCGCAGCCCTCACTCGACATAAAAATGGCTGCTGTGCCGCCGTCAACTTTTGAAACTTCTTTTTCTTCCTTTCTTTCTTCAGCAAGCTTTTTCTTGTTGAGCTGCCCTTAGTTTTTATCAAAGTTTACCAAGTTGCACTGGCTGCACTTGTTTCGTTGTGTTTCTTGCCCCTTCAATAATTCTTATCACTTTTTTCAATCACTATCAATTGAATCGAGCTGTGCTTGATCAATTCACTTATTTGAACTATTCGCGACTTGGTCAACTTTGATAAAACTAGACAATTTTTAATACCCAACAAAGCTTCATTTGTCGCCGGTCGACAAATTGCGTTGTGCAGCTCAATACTTGCTCGAATTCGATTATATCATTATTTTTCTACACGCTAATTTAATAATTATTGTTCGATTTTTCATCACTGCATTATCAAAATGGCCGCTGTTCAACTCAACTTCTCCATCCGCACTTCGCGAAGCGTCAAATCAGTGCATCTCGTCGGATCCTGGGACAACTACTCTCGCGAACTCCCCTTGTCCAAGGATACCTCCAAGTCAGGAGCATGGACCGGCAAATTCCGCTTCCAGACCTCGGTCTTGCAACTCGGTGGTCGTTACTGGTACTACTACATCATGGACGGCTACCACGTCTCGCACGACCCTGCTGTCGAGTACACCACTGAGCCCACCACCGGCCGCAAATTGAACATCCTCGATGTTCCCGGTGGCAACAGCAAGTCCAGCTCTGGCCGCTCCAGCCATGCTCGCCGCGAGTCCGTCGATATCCCCAAGGGACGTGCTCTGTCTCCCTCCAAGATCCAGCACCCCAAGCCTTCCAAGCCCTACGCTTCCCGCGGCATTCGCGAAGGTGAACATTTCCCCACGGTCGATGAATTGACAGATCGCTTCTCGCACTCGCGTCTGTCGGACGACTACGACTCGTACTCCAGCAGCCCCCCAAGCTCGGTCGGATCTTCCCTTTCTTCTCGCACAGACAGCACCTCGCCCTCTTCGCTGTCCTCGCTCAGTGATCCCGCTTCTGTGTGCCGCTGTGAACGCTACGGCATCACTCGCAAGGGAGACCGCGTCAAGCTTGACTGTGGCGGTAGCCGATGCGGTTACTCCGACTCTTCGGATGGCAGTGACTGCTCCGAGTCTGAGTCTGACTCTGAGTACCAAGCTGCTCGCCGCGGTGCCCGTCGTCAAGGCATTGTTGTTCGCCGATGAAGATAAAAAAAGATTTCCTCGCTCGTCTCAAATCTTTTTTTTTTTCTGGTCATCATGGCAAACAATTTGCATTTGCATTTGCATTAGCCTGTTGAGAATATCAAGGAGAAAGATTTGATATTCTCATGTCACTCCTTTTATCCATGCAAAATTGCTTCGCATTTTCAGGAGAAGACGCTTTTTATGCTCAAAACATGAATCCAACACGCGCAATTATCATGCAGTCCACGACTTTCTCAATTCGAATTCTCGAACATATTTTACGACAATGATTGATATGAAAAGAAAACACAACAAAAACTAAGAAAAAAATCGGAAAATAGCGAAAAATTCCAGTCATATATATATCTAATTAATATCAACGACAATACACCATGAACCAGCTGTGTCGACAGGATCCTACGACCAAATCTCTTTCAGAATATTCAGGACTACTCATCTAGTCAGTCACCAAATGACCCAGCGTCCACGATTTGAGCTGGTCTCGCTTCGTGTCTAACGATGGGTCATCGAAATGATTGACTAGCACACAGCTCGGCCACACATGGAATTGGATCTTCTTTCTCGGAAGGATTCAAATGGAAATCTCTGCCTATGTTTTCTTTATGACTTTGCTGATCAAAATGATCGGATCAGAGTCACATGGTTAGCATCCTAGCAGATGTAGGATAGTGGTTGGTTTTATCATCTATCTGTTCATACGAACTTTTTGTATGTATACGTAGATAGTTTGAGTCAATTGATCAATCACTTGATATGAAACTTTTTGACTTATAATCTCCATTTTTCAGAGGAAGGGGTAGTTTGAACTGGATTATTTCAAAGGATATACCACGATAACAAGTGTCGAGATTCGATCTCCTTCACAATTACTTATGCCACTATACGTAACATTTTTCCTATGCCAGGTGGGACTTTCCTACTTGAGCTGCCGCCGCTTTTATGAGGGCGCTCAGAGTCAGGCTCACTGAGCTGCTCAGCGACGTCATGTGATGGTCAGCGAGTCTGATTGGATGCTCATTGAGCCATCACTGATCACTTAGATATTCAGCAGAGGGCATCTATCTATTGAGCACCCAGTCGATGCTCAGCCCATACATATCCCAACGAGCGCTTTGCCCCACAGTATTGTTTATCTTCTTGATGGGCCCAGGCCTAAAGACAAAAACCTATGCAACAGTCTCCAAACCATTCGACAGAAGCTAAAGTCAACAGAGAAACAGAAGCTTCATGAGCTCAAGAGCAAAAACAGGACTCTGAGGCAAATTGGGCCTCATTTTGCCGATATAGATATGTCCTGGTTAAGACAAGCTTGGATGGATATCAAATCCCCTCAGCGATGAACTCGGTCACGGCCCACTCAGAAAGCTTAGTTAAGCAACTGGTTATTAGATTAGAAGACAACCACATTTTTATGATAAAGCGCTGTTTAATTGTGAATTACGCTTCAGCGTGACCTGTACAATACCAATCAAGGGCCTTCTGGCAGCCAATCGAACTTCAAAGTCACCCTGCGACTGCTGTGAGGCTCCGAAATCGATACATGGTGCCTCTCGCTGCTGGTATAAGAACCCTGAGAAGGCACAATACAGCAGCTGAAAGATAATGCTGATTTAGTTCGCCGAATACGTGGGGATAACGGGGATCCGTTTCTCGATATCCGTGGCCTTGTAGTTAAGCCGCAGGCACAGGCTAAGGCTGCAATTTCCATTAGTAACAGTACCGGTACGCGGACCGGTTTTGTGTGCACCTTACCGCTGATAAACGACAAATACCGGTCTATGCAATACAATAAGAATGGTATATTTGGCCCTTCCACTGGCCGATTGCGGACAATTGAGTACCAAAAGCGCTCCCTTCCTCACTGCCATTTACTACTCTTCTTGGGAAATAGCAACCAGTTCCACAACCCTTCAAGCATAGATGATGTGGTCTGTGCTGAGCTACCGGATCCAGTGGTGGATCCGGAACTGAAATATCACTCTATCATACTCAGATAATATTATTCTCCGTCCAGGTCCTTCGGCTCCTCATGATGTACTGAGTACCACGAATATCCCCCTCGTCGGTCTCATCAACGTCAAGTTCCGGAGGAATATTGAGAATCTCAATGCATCCAGCCTGCTCCGCAGCAGACACCACTAAATTCCTGTAGTGTTTTTCATACTTTTCTTTCATATGCTCTAGGTCCATACCATGCGGAAGCCAGGAAGTCCAAACTTCCTCGAACGTAGTGGGCCCACGCCGCAAGTTCAGTAAACCGAGGACAATTGCGAGATCTTCAAGATGCATATGCTCAAGATATACAATAATCTTCATGTTGGTACCGCTTCCAGGCGCCTGCACGAGAAGATCAACAAGAGCTTGAAGATCAGTGTGTCGTTTCCCTTGATAAGGCGCAATAGCGGAAATCCGTGCAGCAAGTTGAGCGACACCGGCAATTGGGATATCGATGCATAGGAGGAACAAAAGATCCCAAAGCATACTTCTATCGTACCCAAATATTGTGTCCAAGGTAGAGCCCTCTTTACGACGGAGCGTCTGGCTGTACACAGGCTGTGGATCAACGATCAAGATAATTTTGCGTGCCAGTTCCAGTAGCATCGAATACTCGTGAAGAGTGTGATAGGTTTTGGATATGTCTTTCGACATTGTGCTAAATGGCCCGTATCTGGGGATATGGACATGAATGCAAACAGTCGCGTTCCGAAAAATGATGCTGAGCGCCTCTTGCCGAAGTTGTTTATTCACAAGAGCAATATTGAACGACATCATAGAATGGCATTTGAGACCAGTAGAACTGATTGTGAAGTCCTCCGGCCTTACCTCCCATCCTGTGCGATATCCAGTTTGCTGAAGCTTTTGCCATGCCTCGAGCTCGTGTGTGGAGTATGAAGAGCTGATGGTGTATTCGATTATCTTGTTTCGAAGCTCAAATGGTAAGGCGAGGAAATGAGAATGAGCGTCTCTTGGCTTTGAACCTTCTACAAGCTTGTCAGCTGTTGTCTCTAGCACAAATTCGCAAACAATCAACCTAGAAGAGAGGCCATAGAACTGTGCCTTGAGGCTGCGAGATAATTTATGTCATAATCTGTATCAGTTATATTACTCAAGTAACTTGTCCGCCTGGCTACTGAGGTCATGTTGTTTTGTATTCTTGTTGAAAAGGCCACCTGGCAGTCGTAGGTGGGTTGTAGGCAATACTGTGTAATAAGATCTGACGTGGCGTAGCCGAGTCGTCAGAAACCAATTGCTAACATCGCTTGAATAGTCCCCTTTTCTAGCCGTCACTATATACAGTGGGATGAAAACTGGTGTTAAMCMCCCGCCGTGTCCGAAATCCACACCGCCACTGATTCTGCCGTCAGAAACGTGTAACCCTAAGTATTGGGCTAAGACCGGGGCTTCTTCGAGGGTTCACACGGGTAAATAATTGCTATATAATGAAGGCGGTGAGAATGCGGGAAGCATTCGGATATGGGGGGTGTAACACATTTTTCATGGTACTGTACAGTACAGTCATGCAACCTAACCTCCTGACTATTGCCCTTTAGCTCTATCTATTCTCTGCTTTTGAGACGCAGCGTCCCCGCGGGGCTTCACCGTCTCGCAAAATTACTTTTTTTTTCCTTATAAAAATAGGCTTTTTTTGCAGGTCATAGCACATGGGACGGAACGGGTTGCCCCCCCGCCGTAGGCATCCTTCTTGCTTGGTTCGAGATAATGAGGTACTTCATTTCAGAAAGCTCGTGTTTGCAAATGCCTTCTCCTGGATTAAAGCTACTTCCTTTCGCCCGATATACATCCCCTGGTCTTTCACTCATGCCTGCTAATCCCAAGTACGACGAGCTCAATGCCGAGTAAGTAATTGGCCAACCACGAGCCACCTTAGACCGACATCATGTTTTATTGATTTGCCTCTAGTACTGACTACGGAGTCCCATCATAGAAGTCAACCGCCAGAAGCACAGATTTCTTTAAAATTGATCGAGTGGAACCAGGACCACTCGTATGGGCAAATGGCGCCTGTTATCATCTGAGTCCAGGCTGTGCTTTCAAATCAGTCAATGTTTCTTGAGCAAAGACAATATTCCCCCGATATATCACATTTGGAGGCCTCGATACCTGGGCATCTCAATCCCATGGCCCGATTCAAAGTTATGTAAGCTTAACTCGAACGACCTGATTGTGACAAAGTACAAGGACGATACAGCACCTCTAAAGGCAAAGTGTATCATAAGACGCTGCTTTGGTATACTTCCAACCGGTGGAAACCGATCTTCGGAGAGGTTTCGGCGGACCTACCAATTATTATGGATAAGAACACGCGCCTCTGCGGGTTCAACCTGGAGCCCCGGAAAGAACACTGGCACTCTTCTTTTCTGGTGGCTCCCATTATTGCTATAATGCATAAGGAATACCTTGTCTTTGTTGATGATTTGAGGGATGCGAAAGACACTAAGACTCTTAATCTTCGGGAATTGGTTGTTATGACGGCCCTTGCGGTTGAGAGAGTTGAATGCCTTGCATCGAAATGATGAAAAATGCTATGTCATACCAATCACTTCTTGCATGATGCTCATTTAAGCTTCGAAAAATATTACTGCATCTTGGACATGGGGGTGTATCTCTCACATCTGATGAAAGGGGTCGGCACGAATACAAATCCGTCGGATTTGAGATATTTGCATTCGCATTCGTAATTTGCAAATCTTTACGAAAAATACTATCACAATATGGTTTTATGTGAAGATACACAAAAACGAATTCGGATCAGGAAAACAATTAATGCTACAAATGAGCTAATGAATAAAGCTGTCCCAATGTCACAAAACACGTGCAAATGAACCGGACTGGCGAAGTACGACAGAAAGACAGGTTCTAAAGCGGTTCACAGAAGATTTTTTCGGGTATGTGAAGTGATATCAAATTTTACCCCAAGTTTGCTTAACATAGTACTATATCAATTCCCGATGCAAGGGATGCCAATGGAAATCCGAGTTTCGAGCAGAGACTATGTGCCGAAGAACTTCATCTGAACATTCTTAACTACCACCTCATAGGTCGATGTGCTATTGCAAAGATAACGATTTGAGTCGTGAAGCACAGGGGAATCTATTGAATTTGGAAAGGGAAAGCCAAGACGTGGCATAGGAAATCCGGTACGTAGGAGAGGATATGTACGAGCTGTTGAGTAACTGAACAAATACTGTCACGAATTGGGCCTAGTACGGCCAGTGCCCTTCCACTTTCGGTATACTATGCGGATTAGGGCAAGTTAGTGCTCTATTCTGATTGACAGTATTTGTGATGATGAGCTTGATATCAAAAGTCGAATTGGGGTGATTGTTATCAGGAAATAATGCGTATACGAACATATATGTCTTGTTTGTACAGCGTTGGCAGTCATCCCATCTAGTTCATATGAACTGAGAACCGCTGTCATCCCGTTCAAACCAAATCATTTCTCTAATGGCAGGCTCCAGATCCAATCCCATCTTTATAGCTTTCCCATCCTTGAACACAAATCTCGCATCAATCGGCTCGTCTTCAAGTTCGATGGCATCTCTCGCATGCGCAATGTACTCGGTCTGATCACTGACATGCTCGAATGTCATAGTGAAGCCATTCGAACGATCCGTAGCATCAATAAATAGTTGATTGTCCTTGGTTGTGACTGTCATGACACGATAGCCTGCGTTCCAGAACCTGCCCACATAGGCTTCTAGAGGTTTCTCCTGATGAGGCGGAGGAGGCTTTTCATGATTTGTCGGCTTCTCCCCCTGCTCCTTTTGTTCCTGTAGTTGCGGTTTCTTCTTATGTTGACTATCCTTGTTCTTATTCCCATACTGGTCGCTATGTAAAGTACGAGTTTGTGGCTTCTCATTCATCCTAGCTTGAGAGTCCTTCTTGTCATCACGGTGCGGTTTCGAGTGAAGAGCAAGGTCTTTCTTCTGAGCTTGTTTCATGTTCCGTGATGAACGTTGTTCCATGGGCACCCCAAGGATCTCATCCATCAGCGCCCTAATGATCGTCGTAGCCGCACCACCAGCTCCAGCAGAGTTTCCCAAAACGACAGCACCAAACTTCGAGTCAGGCATGAACATGAATCGACTTCGGAAACCCGGAATAGTACCATCATGGCCAATAACCATGTTTCCACGGTAGTAATATACCTCCATCCCAGCAGTGTAAATAGCCGGTGTGGTATGCGCCTTTAATCTCCTCGCATTCGGATTCACAATAGAGCGCAACTTCGTGAGTCCTTGGTGAACCCTATCATTGATTGGACCTTCGCGGTACAACAACGCTTTTACCCATTTGATGAAGTCATTTGCACTGGAAATAACGGAGCCGGCACCCTGTCCTTCAGGACAGTCTTGAGAATCAAATCCGCGCCATGCATTATTCTGCCAGATGTAGCCATTTGCCATTCGATGTCCCCAGCCTTTGACGTAAGCACTTGCTGGTTGCAGAGTTGTCGAAGTCATATTTAGTGGTGCGAAAATGCGCTCATCCAAAAATTCGGCGAAACTTTTCTTAGACTTTACCTCAACGAGATGTGTGGCCACAGTGTACATTTGATTACAGTACAGGTATCGTGAGCGCAAGGGTGCAGCAGGTTTGAGATTTCTCAGATTCCTTGTAACGGACTTTGCACTATCCGGATGAGCTGCGTTGGGACCCATAAAGGCATCGTTGTGACTATTTATCGTTAAATCATAATCGAAATGTTTGGATAAATTCAGACTCACTTGGCCATACCGGTCCTATGGCTAAGAACATCCTCGACGGTTATACCATCAGTATAACTCTTTTCAGACATTACAAAATCATCCGGCAAGAGATCGGACATAAGCGCTTCGTAGTGCACTTCAGGGTAGTCCTTGTCTTCCGCAAGTAGAGCCACCGAGGCAGCTGTAAGAGATTTCGCACATGAAGCAATATCGAAAAGTGTATCTCCAGTGCAAGGTGTATTGTTTTGATAGTCGGCTAACCCGTAGCCTGTTGAGGCGACCTCGTCGTTGTGGATGATTGCAATTGACAGACCCGGGATCTTGTTTTGTCTCATCAGATCGGTTACAAGGGAGGTGAAGGTGGTAGACTCAAGCAGGTCCATTTTTGAGTTGCAAACAGTTGGGTCTTGATGGTGCTGTGACAATGTGCAGCACCCTCATCAATTCGTTGTAGGTTTAAGCGAATTCATGCATGCACGCCCAGACATAGCTCCGCTTCCCAGATGAATGTCTCAAATGATCCACGCCTGGCCGCATATGAATAGGATAGCCTTGATATTTTTCAACACTTTGCTATATCATGAATGGCATGGAACTTCGTACACTAAATAGAGACCAAGTGGTATATGAAATAAAAAAAATTTGTTGGAGAGATTTACATGGGGGCCAATCTCGTTTGTTGGCTTAAATGGGACTGAACCATGTCAGCTCTGCCCGTCCTGCTCCGTGAACGTTGTAGCCTCCGACATCTCCATTTTTGTTGGCATGTTGACAATGAGAAGATATGACTAGCACATGCTATGATATGTCAGCCATGTGAAATAATAAAACTCAAGGGAAGAATTACATGACGAACAATTCGCTTCACACCGGGGGTTTATTAGTTTAATTCCCCCAATTCCGACCTGCGCGCCTCCCATCATCCCTTGACTACGCATCTGCATTGCGTTCATTTGATTCTTCTGCATCTGTTGTCGCGCCATCATGTTGCACGCTCGGACCCGGTGCATCTGATTCATCATTTGATGTTGCTGTTGTTGGTCCATCATCATCTGTTCCTGGTTCATGCTGCTTTTGACCATGCCTCGTCCACTTAGACAATCCAGCATGGACCCTGATCCTACAAAGCATGCAGCACAAAGTTCTTTGAAACTCATCGATCCGGTACTGACATATCATTTCGAGAAAGATCTTAGTGAACGCAAAAACTGTACTTAGAAATATAGAATTAAAGAATTATTCATAGTGCATTAAGGATATAAAACACTATCTTTATTAGAGAGAGGGCTCGATTGATCATGTGACTTCAAACGAAAGAGGTTGTCCATCCTCCCCCGCCTTCTTCTTCTTTTCTTCGCCTCGTAATTTAACTGCGTTCGAATTATCATATTCTCTTTAGGAGTTCAAGACACCATCTTGTCTTTCGCTGGTAGTCGATATTACTGGATGGAAACTACTCTTGTCTTCTTCCAAGCCACTTCGCTCTGTGCCCGGAAAGTTTAAGTGTATTCCATAATGGAGACTACTAGACTACTAGAGCTAGGCAGAACATCTCGTCGCGGTCACAAGACCCCAATACGACACAAACCAAAACAGCTAGCTAAAGTTGGTGTAATCGGTGAATAAATATCTACCTAGGTACTCTCGATGACATCATCGCAGTCTACGTACAAAGAAAGTCGGACCGAATGAATAAGAGTATTTTCTTTATTTTTTTGTTCGTAAAAATACATATATAGTAAATATATTAGAGTGGTCAGTGTAGTACATAAGACATTTGCGCAGCAACATGCCTCGTGAAACAAATGGAAGATCGTACACAGCCTGTCCATCGTCGTCCGAGAAAGAAAAACAGCGTGAGTCATGGTGATAGATGCGTGTCGAAGAATCAGCCTCCCGGGTCGAAAATCAATCATTAGGCTTCTATCGCCATGTTCAACGTCCATTCTGTTCCTTCCGACTTCGATCTCGGTCTATGTCGTGTGCCCCATTTGTCATTAACGGAATGAGTCAGAATGAGTCAAGCGAATATCCCATTTCGCTGCCGTGTTTGCAAGTTGATCATTGTTCAGTTCGTAGACATTCGAATCGTATTTCGTCCGTTGTTGTAAAGAGTCTAGCTCGTTTGACAAACTTGTCCGAAATCGAATCGCAACCGTCGAATGAGCGACAGACCAAATACTCCAGGTATTTTCATGCAGACAGATCAACGAATATCACTTTGCTTTCTTCCAAACAATCCAAGAGGACGTAGTTCTGATCCGGCAGAAATGCCATCCTATTAGATCCAGGATCCAGCCCTGAATTGCGCAAGCATAAAACATCAAACATAAAAATCATAAATCAGTACAATGTATCTCGCTGGAAAACAAACCCGAAATGTCAAGCACAGAAAGAAGACAAAAAATCAGATAACGCCTTAAATGCAGCAAGCCGTCTAGAGAAAGTCAATCCGGGAACCCCTTTTATGCAAAAAGCGCAAATAAAGCAGATTCCAAATGAGCGGAATTTCGAATTGTGCAATCGTCGCCGATCATTCATTCATGCATAGCTCGTCTCGTGATTCAGCACGCATGACTCCGTAAGTATCGTAGGTGCAATCGTTGTCTAACAATGAAAGCCGCCTTTTCCAACCCTCCCCACGCGCTGGTCCGCCTGGGAGTCCAACGATGGCGAGGTGGAATCCGGCTTTGATGCAACCCTAAGTTCGTGATTCGTGTCTTAAGTTCGTCATGTCGGTAGCTTTAAGTTCGTAAATCGAAACGCTGGCCGTGAATGCTGAGAATCGGAATCATATAGAAAAGTTGAAGTGTCCGGCACTTCGTAAAAGAATGAAAGTTTCCTGTGCTCATGCCTTGTAATGCGTCTCTTACTCCCTTCTGCGTAGCTTCGTCTCTTAGTTCGCTCTGAATTCGTTGCCGTCGAGAATCGCCCATCATTGCATTCCACATTTACCGGTAGCCCTTGGGGTTGTTATTTGAACCACCGCTGCGTCGGGATGTATGTGTAGGGCAGGCATAGCCCACAAGGACGGTCTTTTCCTGAACAGTATGATTTCTCTGTCCATAAGCCGTGCATGGGTCGACAGAATGCTTGTAGTAAAGGCAGCGGCACACAGAGTAGCGCTCAACAACTTGATAACACATGGTGATGAGTGTTTGGTGTCGTTCGACAGATTGAGGAATCGTGAGTTGGTGGAGAGTTTTGACGATGAAGTCTTAGACCAAGGCAGCAATGTATCTCGTATCACGCGGAAGGTTGTTAAGCAATATGTTCCGACAATAACGCTCTTATGCAAACAAAGAAAACAAAGTCGATCGCTGTAAATGAAGGAGCAAAGCGACGAAGCAATAATCAAAAGTATCAACGAAAGAATGTCTTGGCTTGCTGGGGAAGAAGGAAAGATGGGTGTAGGGAAGGGGATGGGGGATGTTTATATAATTGAGTTTGTGTGTCTGATGATTCCCAGCAGAGAGGCGGGCACATTCGGAAGTTTATATACTAAGTGAGAGCGAGGTGAGGTATTCCATCAGCCACGAGGTTCCATACACACGGGACCAGCCGAGAACGTAACGGCCAGGACCCATTTCAGACGTGAAGAAAATAGAAACGAGCGTGAGAAAGAAAAAGCGGAGCCAGCAGCATGGACCAGGATGTTGCATGTACCTGTACGGAGACAAGCTCGTCTAGTCAGGTAATGCTCCGTAGGGCGATGGTTGACAGAAGGAAACGGAGGACGATGATGATGATGACCGCAGCAGCGGACTACACTAACCACGCTATTAGGTCAAAGAACTTGGTTTGCAACTAAGGCTGCACGGTCAATTGTGCTAATGCAAGCAACGCATCCCCCACTGCACGATGTCATTAAAGGTTAGTCGGGTTAGTATGCTAGTGGCTAGTATAGAAGTAGCGTGGTTCGTAGCGTGAAGGAGCAGGCCGTTGTTTCCGCGTACCGGTAAGTACGTAGTCGACGTACAGACATACTGACTGAGCCCCATGGCTCGAGTCACCTCGCACTGGCTTGAGCACAACGGTAGCTGAAAATGGCCAGACGGTGGTCGACACGAACAGAATTGACAGAATCGAGAGAAAGAGAAGAGTTAGCCGAGTCCCAAAGGAAAGGAAAGAGCGGCTAGGCCACAGGCGGCTAGTGGGCACGCGCTAGGCTTAGCCGCAGTTGCTGCCTTGGCGCCTGGCCCCGAGGCTGAGTCCGAGTCGGCCTGCCACGAGCTCTTTCTTCGGTAATTTTTACTGTTCCATGAGTATGGAGCGGTTATCTTGGCCGTCGATTACATACATAATAGTACAGAACTTTACTCGAGTTACTATCCACAGCAGACAGGTTCGCAGGCTGGACCCAGGAGGCTTACGGCAGGGGKCATTTTCAGCTGGATTGGTACCTTTAGTCGCTCTCAGACGCATCCACCGCGCTGGAATCAGGTGAGAAGTATTATAATATAGCACGTATAACATAATACATATTGTCCATCTGTGTCCACGCATAACTAGATCTTACAAAACATTTCAAACCGTTGTGCTGAAGGGGCCAAAATCGGAGCAATCAACAGCCAGAAAATGCGAAAATAGGATACTTCGAGTCTCGCCATTCGCTCGATGCGACATTCGTTTGCATGTTCAAACGGATTGTAATTGTACGTACATCTTGATGAGTCACGCCGTGGATCCCGAAAACTGGGAATTGCTGCAGGCTTCACTAGCCACATCCACCTGCATAGACGAGTCGTTCAAGCCATCACTTTTTGGTTGTGCTCTTTGAATTGCACTGCACACCGAGTCTGTGATTAAGTCTGTGATCATAATAAAGCAATGTGAAACCGCGTTTGGCATTGAAACTACTCGCAGATCATCGCACGATTACTGTACAGTGTACGCACTACGGAATACTACTAGTATGAGATCCACGTGCCGGCTGCTCATGTTGCTATAATAAGTACGTCGTACTTCATACGGAGATATCCTACATAGTATATACATTTACGTACGTAGTAATCAAGCCCGACTCCATAAGAAGATAAATTATCGAGCATTCTGATCTAAAAACGGTACCGGATTATGGAGATCAAAGGATGAGCCGAGGGACCTAAGCAGCAACGGAGTGTGGCTGAGCACGTTTTGTCAAGCCGGCTAACGGCCTCAATTAACCGCGATAATACTAATTAAGTGTACGTTGTGCTACTACGTATATTATATTAATAGCACATTTTAAGTGTTTAGAGATTTAGGATCCCCGAGTGTTCCGTGCGTGGGAATCATGGCTGGTGCGAATTGGTCTTTCATTGACGGGATACACTGATACCAGATACAGTCTCTGAGACCCGTTTCGTTTCAAGACGACTTACTTCATCATTTCAGAAACACAATTAGATCACTTCATACCGACAGAATGACAAATCAATACCAGCGTACTAGCGGACGCAAGATCGGACTCTCAGCGGATCCATACCTGCTTACTCCGTACGGAACACTCTGCAGACAATTACGTACCCCTAATAAGCACTACACCTGTTCAAGTACAATTTCACGTGAACGAGACTTGAAGAGCCTCACTAATTTGAGAGTCTAGCCCTTAGTGGCAGTACAATAAAGGCAGAAGAAAGCTTTGAAAAGGCCTTAACTCACGATCAAACACTAGGTAAATTGGCAGCCCCACTTAGGGCTCCAAGTCAGCTGATATCGAGCACCTCGATATGAAATGACTAACCGCCGAGGGATTAGCGGAAATTAACTATAATTAATGTCAATTATGTCACGTAAACTTACGGGGGTCTTCAATGTTGGTCTAACAATTACGTAGCACGGAGATACGGTGTTCGGATTGTTGGTCGCCGGTTCTTCTCGGTCATCGGCTTTGGTCAGAGCCTTGATTTCAAGGCATTTTTACATGGGCCTAATTAACGTACCCGTACTCCGGTTGATCGCACAGCCCACGGGGTACAGTGTGAGAGTCAGCACCCAAAGTAGCTTATTATACGGAGGACGAATCTATTAAAACTGGTAATAGTATTGCGTATTACGTCATATCTTGAATTCACTCCCACGAGACCACACAAATCACTTTTTTGCTAAATTAATAATTATACTTGACTAACGAGCTTCCTACTCAGTATGTAGTACGACTTGACCTACTCACGTAAATAGAATGATTAGCCAAGATACTAACAACACCGACATACTAGCGACCACTTACTTAGACTCAACATCCCTTCCAAGCCGATCTAATAGCGTACAGTCTACTCTCATTAATCTAGAAGTAGAGAGAGACGGTGAACAAACCCAAGGACCCAGTCAGCCCTACGACCAACGCTAAATCTGCGCGCTAACTCCACCAACTTTCCCTAAACTGGTTTAGTGTGCACGTCTCAGCCACAGTCCGGCATACCCTAATTTAATTGTCTGCCCTATCAGAGCGCATGTAGCATGACCTTGCGGTGAGTGTTGATATTGTCTTTTGCTTCACTCACAATATGTATGTCAGTGTATGTAGAATCAAAAGGAATATGTTGTACATGGTACAAAGTGTTGTGTATCACTTCTCGACTCACCGTCTTTCGTGGAGTCCATGCGGTTGTGTTTCTCGTCGGCGGACATCGCCGAGATCATCCCTCCATTACAAGTCTCGCGCACCGTGGGAGAGGTGAGGTAATTACTATTCTTAGACCGTAATCTCCGGATACAGTATCTCTAGCCACGAGTCACAATGTCGGTATGGTATTGTATCAGATAGACCGACTGACTCATGTGAGGCTGATACTCTCCATCGAAGCCACATGAAGCCCATACTTGGAACACGGTCCAGATTAACCCTTCAGCTTTGCTTACATTGATTTGCTACCGTGGAACTAGACCGTCTAGTATGGTCAGACTACATTGCTTATGAGCTTTGACGTTGTGTCTTTGGTGATAGCCATTCCCGTTCCGGTCAGGCCCTCCTCAGCCTCGACGAAGAAAAAGAAATAAGTACTACATACTTGCCTAGGTAGACATACTTTACGAACTAGGTTCAGCCACATTGTGGCCTATTATTTTCGAGAATCACATGCAATAATTCAGAAGTTTGGTCGAGATTCGTGAGTACAAGCCTCGTGGCTTCCAAGGTTGTGGATCTTTCGATGGTATCTATCTATAGAGGCATGGAGTAACTATGAGTAATTTCAACGAAATTTAACGCAGATGAGTCATATACAGCATAGCACTGTGTCTCGTGTTCTATCTTGTCCTATCACGCTACATACATATCATCGGCGAGTCCGAGGTCAATTGGGATCTTCATAAACGATATCTAAGTATCAGTCCGGACTTGGAGGGTAGCCTATGCATAACAGTATGAGTATTGCTATTGCTGTTTTTGTTTTCTGCTTGCAAGATAGGATCAACTATCACATGCATCAGCGTGGCGCTGAAATTGGATCCTGCACTACATTGACAAGCTATGTCCCTAGCTAGTTATAGAATGTCCACACCGTTGACTAGCCACGCCTCGTGGCCCACCAGTTGATCATTACTACCTGGGTATACTAAGCATTTAGATAAGGCTGAAACATCTTCCTTGAGCATGACTTAGTATACCAGTCAGTACCTATCTCGGAGTTTCGTTGTCAATAGAAGGTCTACATGCTCATAGCGACACACGTAGGTAGGCATATCCACAGCGAAAGGAGTCTTCAGCTGGTATGTATCGATCGGTATAGTCATTGACCCCTTGAGGCCTGCTGTAGATCTAGTGTTGCTCCACTATGTACATATCTAAGTATGAATCAGTTTATGTTTGACGTGCCTGGAGCTGTGCATAGGTATGTTTCAGTATAATATGATGACGGATAGGCAACGAGATGTGCAGCCCGTCCCAGACTGGAAGGCCTTGAAACATGGCATTAACAACCAGCTGAAGTTGCAGCTCTCTGGTTAGTTCGTTGACTTGATTCAAACAGAGGAGTGAGACATCAGCTGTTGAGTGGCAAATAAATAGCCGTACAGTTGTGTAGGGGATGCATAGGTAGAATCCAAGGCCATGGAGGTGGGCCTTACTCTTTGTCTGTCTTTTATAGATCCTTGCACTCACTATTCAGCGGTGTGTGAGCCTGAAACCCCCTTCCAAGGCATAGCGCCGGTTTCGCCTTGCAGGTGAACCAGTTGCGCATCTCGAGTGCATCTACACAGTCTCCGTTTATGATCGAAGGAAAGTCTGCTTATAGTTTTATCATATCTATTCGGCTATCATTTTCACGTGAACATAGAAAGAAGTTCTATTGTACCAGAAGCATAATCATACAATCAATCATGATTCCTTCCGCTAACATTTTCTGTGACACTAAACCCCTCGATATTAGAAAATTTGTACACCGCAATGCAATACATGTGTTGTAACATAAACCCAGAAAGTGCAGTAGAAGAAGCTAAGAAAAGGTTAGAAGAAGATCACCGCCACGTCATGCCCTGCGCCAACCGCAACCTCAAAACACGCAGCAATTTCTCCTCTGGGTTAATGGCAGCATCTCCATCCTCACTTTCCGTCGTCCCTCCATTCATTGTAGCTGACGATTCCGCAAGACCTCTTCTCCAATCCCAACCCCTCTCGATCGGTTTCGCGTATTCGTATGTTGTATCCGGCTTGGGCACTAGCACACCGGATGATGCCATTGTATTGTTGGTGGCATGCGTAATCGACGAGTCGGCCATATGGCTATCGATCATGGAGAAGCTGCTTGATGCTGTGAGCCCTGAAGCAGATTTCTTGAGGCTGGTTGTTGATCGTGGCGAGGAGGATGATTTGCGGGGCTCGCCGGTTGTTTCGTAGATGTACTCATTTAGACATTCGTAGAAGAATTCTCGGGCTGCTGCGAAGACGCGTGGGGTGACGGTTTCGAGGTCCTCGATTGCGGCAAGGATGCTGGATTGTTGCTCGATGGAGAGGGAAGACGGTGTTTCTAAAAAAATATTAGCACTGTTTCAGGTTTAGGATGAAGAAAACCTCACCATTGACAAATAAAATGGCTTCACCCAGAAGAGCCATCAAGTTGTCAACGAGCACGGCAGAGTCTCTTTCCGGATCGTATAAACCACCATAGATGCTATCAGCGGAGCTTCGGATAACTGCAACCAATGCTTCGGCTGCAGCTCGTTTCCTCGCTAGTGGTCTGAGATGTGGTTTGCGGCCTTTGAACAACACCGGTTCGTCGCGAAGGTCATAAAACCGGCGCAATGTTGCATAACCACTTGCGTAGAATTGTATTATTTGGGCTGCCTCGCTGTCGACTGCCGCGATAGATGATAAACACACTTTAGGATTCTGGACCAAAGTTCGTAATTGACCTCCGAGATTCTCATCTGGTGGCCAAGCGCGAGATTGCTGCAAAGAATACGCAATAAGACTATTGGCAATCTCTTTGACCTTGCGGACAGATCGCGCACGAGCAAAACAAATCATCGCAAGTCCATAGTCGCAATCCGCACGTGTTTGTCCGGCGGCTATGATTTTTTCACCAAAGTTCTACATATGTCAGCCTTTTTCGTTCATTCCGATACAAGAATACTCACAGCAGCAAGCTTTCGGCCCTCATCTTCGAATCCGAGATCGATGCACAAGGTGATCACTCGATCTACCTGCTGCACAGTGTCGACAGGAATCTTATTCAACAACCTAGAAACTCTTTCACTAGTCCTTTTATTGTCTTGCATTCTGCTGAAAACCTCCAAAGCTAGTTCCCAGCCTTTGCGAGAGTTGCCATTGTACTCGAATTGGTCTCTGTCGCCCAATTTGTCTGCATAAGCCTCCAACACTTCATCTTTGCTGATTTGGTCCAAGGCGACATTGTCGTTTTGTCCATAAGACAGCACCATCAAGTCGTCCTGATTGAGGAAGCCCGGCATATTAGCGATAGACGTCTCTAGCCACCCGCCTTCATGCGCTATCTCGGCGACAGCTGCGGCTATACACAATGACCATGTTTGAAGTAACTTGATCGTCCCGACCAAGTTCCCCTCAAATAAGCAGGCCACTGCCACGTCCAGTTTTACAAGAGGATTGGGCCGCGACTTCATCTCTGCACCCTCGATAACTTCTCCAAAGCAATCATTGAGTCGGCGTAAATATGCATCCTGTCGGTCTGCATCATTGACTTGCTCTCTATTGCCAAAGACGCCAGTCCCTTGCCCGTCCCACCAGGCCGTCAGCCCAACAGTTGCTTCAATCCAGTCTTGAGCAACAGAAATGATGACCGATGAGTTGCCAAGAATCACCCCGTAAATCTTACTGATACCTTGATAAATGGACCAAGGTATGCGACTCTCTGCCATGCGTGACGTTTGGGTGAATGAGAACGCTGACTCAGAGGGAGCGAATTGAGTGGAGACGCCAAATTGCGATGCTTCAAATCTGGAACCACCTGCTTGCTGGGGTGCCTTGTCGCCCTCAGCAAGTTCCTGTAACTCGATTTGCGCAGACCGAATACGTTTTCTATAGGCTGTCCAATCTGCGCCAATAACATCCCAATCGTTATCTTGGTTAACGGGTGACGCCTCCAGCATTTGTATAGCCTTATTCACTGTTTTCTGAACAGCCTGGAGCTGCATTCCACGATATCCAGGCTGCGAGAAACCATCTTCTAATGCTGAATGAGCATAGTTGAAGTCGGCAGAGCGAAGGATCGCTGCTATTTCACTGAATCGTCCACGCAATACTCCAGCCTGAACAATGTCCCAGAAATGTGAAGAAGCAGTTGGATTAGGGCTGGTCTGCTGTAGGGACTCTATTTCATGCAAAGAGCCGAGATGGTTGGCGTTGAGCCAGTCGACGAGAATCTTGGGGGTGGGCGTGTATGTTTCGGGTGATGACACAACAAGAGCTAGGTTTTGACTATTAGCCGCAGATAAGTCGCGTCTGTCAGACCCTTTGGCCCGAGGATGGTGAAGCTGTAGCAGAAGTGAGGCAACAACTGTAGCATTTTCGAGACCACTTGCCTTCTCGCCGGGTCCGAAATCGTCGTGGGGTCGATGCTGGCCACTCTGCTCTCTCTTCTTCTCAGATGCAGCGCCCCAGAAATCAGTCAATGCGGCTGCTGCTTCGGAAAGCACAGCGAGAGCTTCAGCATCGTCGGGTTCAATTTCCTGGAGTTTGTCCAACAGTGCACCAATGTAGTAGCTCGTCTGAAGCACTACTTCGCCAGATTCCGTGACAGCTTTAGCCGGCGAGGCTAGGTTGCTAGCTATAGAAGGGAACTGAGATGGAGTTTTCCGTGGGCCGATTATGTTCTTCGCAGCTTGGGGTGACGACGTAGCCCATTTCTCGTCGAGTTTTGCGCGCTTCGCATTGTTGGGGTTGGAATATATCCTCTTCTGTGATGGTGCAGTGGTTTGACCAAAGCCATTGAATATCGAGTTCGAAAATCCGGTTTGCATAGCTGCAAAATCCGTCGTAGCATCCATCTCCAAGTCTCCCTCGCTGTTGCCGTCTGCATTTTCGTCATCTCCGTATTCTTCTTCGTCTTCACGTTCTTCCTCCTCTCCTTCATCTTCGTAATCCTCTTCTGCCTCGTCAGAATATTCATCCTCATATTCTCCCTCTGCGTCCTCTTCTTCCTCGTCAACGTCTTCTTCGTCCTCCCAATCTTCGCTGGCTGTGGTCATCTGGCTCAAGCCATGAGGCTTTCGATTGCGCACCTTCAGGTTATTACCACCATTCACCGCGCTGAATCCACCTGCCTTGTTGCCAAAACCGCCAAAATCGCCAAATGACCCTGTGGACACCGTGCTTTTCGCATTCAAAAAAGGCGGAACGTCTGCCGATGAGATGGAGGAGAAGAAACTATCATTTCCGCCGATATTGCGAGACTGGCTGAATGTAGATGTAGACTCATTAAAATTGATGTTTGACCTCGTCCCCGTTCGCGAGTTTCCACGACTGGTTGATGGCGGTGCCCCTGCAGGCGTTGTGGATATATTGCTGAAAGGACTCTGGGATTTGTCTGGAGTCGAAGGAGGACTCGATTCGGGAAATCTGAACATCTTGTGCGGTGCAAGCTTTAAGCAGGGGGGTAATCAAAGTCGGGGGATATTATTGCACCAAGACAAGGTGCGCAAACAGCAAGCGTTGTTATCAACAACTCAAAACTACAAATTAATCGCGTGAAGGGCGCATGCGAGGTATTGATGAGTGATGAACGTGCTGATTGGAGATATCTCAAGCTCGGTGCGATCCCGCTAAGCCTGTAGTCAGTTGATTGTGGTGACAATAGCGCAACAAGAGTGAAGCGTGGATCAAATGTTTTGTCGCTTTATTATTATTATAGCTTGCGGAGGACAAAGGTCGGGCCTCGAGCTTGGACCACCACAAGTCTTGGCATCACGTGAACAGACAAGATGTTCGGAAAGCTTCAACGAGTCTGTTGACTATTCAAATGCTTCACGCAAAGGTCCAGGTTTTTTGGCCCCTCTCCTTCCCTTACTTGAAATGAAAGTTGATGGATGGACTCTTACTTGTCTCTATTTCGGCATATGTTCGCTCAATGGCCACTATGCTATCCGAAGTCCCATTGACTTCTTTGACGAGGTTGCGAAAGTTGAAGCGAAACAGTCTAGACACAGCACATCTCACAATCGAGTAGGGTCGGACAGTCACGATCTTGCATGACAATTCATAAATTTTCAAAATTTACAAGTATGCAACATGTTTCATTCGCAGTGTAGGGTAAGTACTGGAACATCCTATAAATCTCACTGCACCTACAACGATCATCCTCGCTAGCAATATCCACCTATACTACATCATCTAGTGTGTATGCGCGCCAATTCGTCGTTTGCTGTGTATACTTACGGTTCTGCAGGGCTAATATCGCTGTAGAGCCGACAATGGATGTAGCGCTCTCTACTGCTATATAATTGTTATTGGACGCGGGGTTCTCTGCGGCTGTAGACTTGTCAGCAGATGTAGAGTTCGGTGGTGTGGTGAAATCGACAATAGATGCAGGGCTCTATACTGCTATCAAACATATCTTCAGCGGAAGTAGGCCGGTACGACGCTGGCGTACGTGGTTGTCTTGTGGCTGATAGAGTAAGGGTTGTTCTAGACTTGTCGTCTGACTCAAGCACAGCAACGCCACTAAACATCCACGACTACCCATTTTTTGGCACGTTCAATGTGGAAAAGTTGAGATACATGAAGAACTACTTCAAAGAAAGAGAACCGTTCCGAGTGAATGAAGAGAAGTCTTCGCCATTTACGAAATGAAAGGAATCCCACCTCCGCAGTCGTATTGATAAACCCTATGGCTACTTCGTAGTCGACAGAGGGCAAACAATTGATACTGAAGAGACGAGGCGGTTGTGTACGCGGCGAGCATCGAAATTGATAAAGACTTCCTAAAGTTGATAAAGATCGATGTAAGTATCGCATACGGAAACCTCATAGTTGGTCAACCCAAATTCCGTATTAATTCTACCTGTATTCGAATTCCATTGTAGCTTGCTCACCAATAAAGTGAACCTTCATAGCAATACTGGTTAATTTCCACATTGATAGCCAGAAACGCGTATGAGCCTTAGGGCTGGTTTGCGGCAAGCTCTAAGACCGGACTTGCTCGGTGTATTACTCGCCGATTTGCCCTTTGATCATGAGCAGATCCATCGTGTCGTATGAGTAAGTTTTGAGGGAAATTGCGAGGGATGTCGATTATCTATAATTTCAACATCACTACGAAAAGACGGAGCAGATGTAGACGATTTTTCATTCGCCGGCATGATTCCGCGCACTGACTGAAGAGACGGGCTCGATTGGACGGAAAATTTAGAGTGCTCACATGGGAAAGAATTAAGCCGACCACAGAGCAATCCTCCACATTCTCCCCATTTCCTATCTCCACAATCTCCAACTTCCCCCAATCCAGCCCATTTTGATGATACTGATTAATGCTTAAGCCAGCTTGACCCTCCTGGCAGCACACCATTGGACGTATCCCCGCCCTACCTTGTATGCCAAGTAAACGCCGGCAATGGGTCATATGCTGCTTCGGGATGGCTTGAGCTCTGGACAGAGCTGGGCTGTTGACTAGCGGCTTGTCGATGGAAAAGGKACTTAAAGCAGAGATGCTTGCACGGGGAGATGTTTTTTAAATTCTTTCTGTTGGCCTGTAGTCCGTACAGTTGTGGTCATAGAGTTTGCACATCGCAGCCATGGCGTTTAAGAACCACCGTGTCTATATCCTCACCTCGGTGGCCTATCTGGGCTCCTTGCTCTTCGGTGAGTCAGCCCTCTGGATCCCTAATAGATATCGCGAGCCCTAATTGACAATTTCCAGGCTATGATACCGGTGTCATGGGCAGTGTTCTCGCCCTCAAGAGCTTCAAACATGACTTTGGTCTCCCTACAGACTCTAGCGGTTTTGCGTCCAGCAAAAACGCCAAAGTCTCTTCTAACGTCGTCTCTCTGTTGACGGCTGGCTGCTTTTTCGGCTCTATCTTTGCGGCTTTCCTCAATGAGCGTATCGGCCGACGATACGGACTGATGGTGTTTTGTAGCATTTTCATGATTGGCGCTGCTGTGCAAGTCGGTGCTCATCACAATATTGGCCAGATTTATGGTGGTCGTGTCATCGCTGGTTTCGGTATCGGCGGTATGTCCGCCATCACACCCGTCTTCGTCAGCGAGAACTGCCCTCCGCGCATTCGAGGTAGAGTAGCAGGCCTTTTTCAAGAATTCTTGGTGATAGGTTCGACGTTTGCTTACTGGCTCGATTACGGCGTGAGCTTGCGTATTGCTCAAAGCACGAAACAGTGGCGTGTCCCTGTGGCCATCCAACTCATCCCCGGAGGTCTAATGTTCGTCGGACTTTTCTTCCTCAAGGAGTCCCCCCGTTGGCTCATGCGACAAGGCCGTCATGAAGAAGCTCATGCATCACTGGCCTACATTCGCAACGAGTCTCCAGACAGTGAGGAAGTCTTAAAAGAGTTCTCCGAGATTCGTGCTTCGCTCGAAGAAGAGTTGGCTGCCACCGAGGGCGTGACATGGAAAGAAGCCATCAGCAAGAGCAACAGATACCGCTTCTTTCTTGCCTTTTGTCTCATGTTCTGGCAGCAATTCTCCGGTACCAACAGTATCGGATACTATGCGCCTGAAATCTTCCAGACTGTCGGTGTTAGTTCGACCAACACGTCGTTGTTTGCTACCGGCGTCTACGGTTCCGTCAAGGTTGTCATGACTCTGATCTTCTTGTTGGTTGGTATTGATTTCATCGGACGAAAGAAGGCACTCATTGGTGGTGGTATCTGGATGTCTGCTATGATGATCATCATTGGTGCTGTGCTGGCTACCAATCCGCCAAACACCAAGTCGGACGTGGTCTCGCCCGCATCGATTGCGATGATTGTTCTGATTTATCTTTATGTTATTGGATATTCTGCCTCTTGGGGTCCTACTCCATGGGTCTATGTCAGCGAGGTATGCCTCCTAGTACCCCCTTCGCACTCTTCCATCTTGCCCTGAAGATATCGACTAACAGACGAACTACAGATCTTCCCAACCCGTCTCCGCGCATACGGCGTCGGACTCGCCGCCGCAACGCAGTGGCTTTTCAACTTCGTCATCACCGAAATCACCCCCAACGCCGTCAATCACATCGGTTGGCGCACATTCCTCATGTTCGGAATCTTCTGCGGCGCCATGAGCATCTTCGTGACTTTTTTCGTCAAGGAAACAAAGGGACGAAGTTTGGAGGATATGGATATCTTGTTCGGAAGTGTGGATGAGGCGCAGAGAGCGGCGGATGTGGAACAGGTGCTGAACAAGGCGCATATCGCGCGGGCGGAGCATAGTGAGCATGTGGAGATGACGAAGAGGGATCAAGAGGAGAGTGAGAATAAGGAGGCTGCTGCTCATTAGCCTTCTCTCTTGAGAGGTAATGGATGCGCGTGGTGTTTGATATCCGAATTGGATGTGACTTTTTAATGATCTACGTGCTACATAGTTATGATTGACTTGACTATTGAGATGAAACGATGGGATTCTTAATGACATTTATTAAATCGACGCCTGACATGATAATTCTTTTGATTTCCCAAAAAACGAACAAACAAGATGGCCAACCCGGGTATCAACTACGTACTCATTCAAATGCAATAGACAAACCAAATAAAGTGTACTTATACATTTCTTCTAGAGAAAGTCGCAACATTGATGTGAGATTATCACTTGGACACACCAAGCAATTGGTCCAGTTCATCGTTTGTCAACGTGCTCCGTCGACGATTTTTGGTCTTTTTCGGGACAGGGTCACGTTTGTTTCGACTTCTCTTCTTAGAGTCTTGCCCAGTGGCATCCTCCGCTGCTTCTTTGGCTTCGGCTTCGACAGCAGCCAGCTTTTCTTGGATTGATAGTTTTGGTTTGTGATTTGTCTGGTTCATGTTGTGAGTTGATGTCAATTGGCAGAAAATGGGGTGGCTGCTTACCTGCGGAATTTGAGAAGAGTGTCTGCGTGACGAACGCTGAGTGACTGCTACAGATGTGTGTGCCTTGACCTGAAGGGTTTCGTCTTTATCGCTCGGTTGATCGGGCTCTGCATCCATCGTTCCCTCGTAAAATGACACTTTGCGGTTTGATGCTCTTGATTTCACGTTTTTGTTCCGCTCACCCAGTGCACGAATTGGGGGCTTGGCCAGCGTGGATTTCAGAATTTTCGCCTGAGGTTCGGCAGTCTCTTCTTCTTCCTCTGCTTCTTGGCCGTCCTGCTCCTCGTCTTCCGATATATCGTCATCGTCATAAAGAGGCGTCGGATCATCTGCTATCGATCGGCCTAATCCCGAGTCTAGACTCATACCCTTTCGAAGCTCATCAAGATCTATCGAGTCGCCTCCATCTAATATACGTTTGTGCCAACCGTCCATCATAGTGACCGCTTGCCTCCAACGCACTTCCATTTTCTCCCATCCTTCGCGAAGTCGAAGGATCTCTTCATCGCGGAGCTCGACCTCCTCGAGAGGAACGAAGGATGGATTTGTCAGTAGCGTCCGCAGGTGATCAAGGACAGTGTCCATTTCTGCGGACAAGTCCATGACATTCGTGGGAATGGTACTAACGGCGCCTCCTTGACTGAACGGCTGCGATGCATCGCCATTCGGTGCGTCTGAAAGTCCTTGCAGCTCTCTAAGGGTCTGTATGGTCGTTCGCGATAAGTTGATCAACGTATCGTTTTCGTCGCTTAGATTCTGGCAGAGCTGGGTCAAAAATTCGGTCGTCTCCTGTTTCAAGCTGTAGCCTGGATTGCTGATATCTGGTTCGGGTTTGTGCATGTTGTCCGCGGTGCGGTTAATATTGATCGTAGTTACTCCTAATCCTTCCCGTTTTCCTCGTTGTCGCTCACTGAGATGCGTTTTTAATTTCTGTAATTCCATGTCTCGTTTTCGGACATCGTTTGCGCATTGCGCTCGAACTTGTTGAACGGTCGTTTTATGCTTTTGCACTTGTTCTTTCAGCTGTCGCACTGTTGTCTCTGCGCTCGATAAATTCTGCTTCATGACTCGCTGTTGTCCTTCGGCAAGCGCGACTGATCGCTTCAATTCGGCGTTCTTAGTTTTCAATTTTTCCTAACAAATGTCAGCGCAATCAAAGCAGACTATCGTAGAGACTAGTACAATGTCATCCACTTGCTGCGATTCTGCAGCTCGCAAATTCCTTATAGTGCTAGCCAGGTTTTCGCGATGTTCGGCCTCGCGCTATCTTTTGTCAACATACTTTCGTACCGATTTGCTGTCAAACTCACGTCTCTTCGCACGACAAGGTCATTGACCAGGTTGATTATTCGGGCCATAGTTGCATCGGAACCCTCGTCGCTGTTGTCAGGTTGCGCAAAATCGATGGGTTGGCCATTTTTCAACAGTCCGCGGGCTAGCAACAAATTATTGATATAAGTCGAAGCTGCCTCTAGGTTTTGGGTCTCCATGTTGGAGGGAGTCGACTGCTCTGTGCGCTATTTTTGCTGATGTCCTCCTTTGTTGAGTTCTTATCATCTCCAAACAGACTGAACAGTTGTGAATGATCGCATCCCAAAACAGTGAAAAGTAAACAATTGGACGGCAACTAGCAGAATGATCAGTTTGGAGGTATAATTGTTGGCGGATTCACTCACCGCCCACGTGACTACGTGAGGCTTCTAACGCGTGTCTACGCGATCCACAAGCTTAATCTACTCTCAACTTCATGCTCATCAGATATGGAATATAGACCTTTAATTCAACATTCTCATTCACCTATCCATTGATTTGGCCATGTGGCTTGGCAATGACAGTCAAGAGAAAAAGGACCTCGGATGTCATCCCTGGTCAGGGCGTCAGCACCAATACCAGTATCAGAAGGCCCAGCTTGGGTTGGGGAGCTTGGGAGAAATACCATCAACATGGCCAGGATTTGGCTCGAAAGGGCAAATATGAAGAATCCATTCAAGTCTTGAGCGAGGTAGGTTGCTTTCTTGATGAGAGTGAAAAAAGAACATATCATTAACTAGTTATAGGCACTCCTGCCAAAGAATGCAGATACAGTGCAGATTATGGACAGCCGGTCTGCTGTCTATTGCAAGATGGGCCTGTATGATAAAGCCCTTAGTGATGCAAAGCACATGATCAGAGCTGCTGCTAAGGATGAGCGGGTTAGTCTTTTTCCATTTGTGTGAATGATGAGTGTGCCTGCTACTATTGCTTTTACTCCTCCTGAAGGGCCTTTCTTGAACTTGTGCTGAATCTTCCTATTTGCAGGGATATCTTCGTGCCGGAAAGGCTCTTCTTTTGGCTGAAAAACCAGAAAAGGCCCTCGATGTGTATGCGTATGGTTTGAAGACTCTTGGAGAACAACATTCTCAAAAGAAGGTGAGTGCTTGTGTTTTTGCTTTTTCTCTGTCTGCATCCTGCTGCTGTCTTGAAAGAGATTGGTTTCCTTCATCTAGCAGTCGAGTGCTTTATCTGGACTCCCCTCAGTGATTTTCGTCGTGGAGTTTTTCTCACTCAGTCATAGGCAATAGCGATGGTGCACGCCAAACTTGCGGCCAAATTGTCATCCCGACATCGAGATCCCATATCATCTCTCAACCATGACTGCTTGTTGCAGATATTTCAGTATTTACCATTTCGACAGATAGTGTAAGTTACATGCTTGCATCGACAGTCAGACACTAATAGTCATTGTCAGCTCCCTGACACGCGTCTCCAAGACCTGGCGTGTCTATATCAAGGATCAGCAAGTTCTGTGGAGCGACATCTCTTTTAAAGGCCCTAAATCTGCAACTCCTGATGCCATAAAAGTCTGCATTCGCAACTCTCAGAATCGAGTCAAAAGATTGCAGCTGCATAATGTGAGAGACCCTTTGAATGCTGCGCAGCAGGCCTCGCGATGCCCACGGCTTGAACATATCGACATTGACGGAGTCTTGGCGGAGCATCACATCTTCAACCTCTTTCACATGAAACAGACTCTGAAGACAATGATCTTGTCGGAAAAGATACCTCTCTGTGACCACATGCTCCGGACCATGCTTGGACTACCGAATCTTGAACGCGTAGAGGTTCGTCGACTTCAGATCGAACCGAGCAGTCCGAAACCAGAGGTGGGGGTCCTCCCTAATCTTAAAGCTTTGGCATTTGACATGAGGCCCAAGCATCTTTCTAGTCGACCTCTTTTTTTTAAGCCTTTTTGGGTCCCAGAAGACATACCAGATGTAGCTGCCATGGCTGATCTCAAATCACGAAGCACGTTTTTTGACCAGGTTCCAAATCTCCAAGAACTCCGTCTGGTTGCAAGTGACACCCACCTAAGCGTTTTCCTTGATGAGATGTGCCACCCCAATTTGCGTATCCTTGCCCTTTCAAACCTTGCATTGCACGGTGTATGGAACTGTCCAGAGACCGTGGAGCATTTGCACCTTACTGAGTGCGATATAATACTGAACTCCGAGATACCCGCTGCACCCCTGAAGCTACCGCATCTCAAGTCCCTTGTTTTACGAGGAATTAACTGCTTCCACTTTCGTCTTTCAGAGATCCTCCAGAACACCACCGGGTCATTGGAGATCCTCGAACTCGTGGATTGCCACAAGGCTTCGCTGATGGACATCGTACAAACAAACAAGGATAAATTCAAGAACCTGAAAAAGCTTCACCTCACTGGAGTGGATTTTTATAGCCTTGAAAATTCAGCGATGCTCACTATACTTGAGACGATGCCACAGCTGAAAGAGCTCCATATTCCGCATCTGACGAGAGTTACGGGATTGTTGATAAGGAAGATTGTGGAGGGKGTGGTTGTTCCTCGTGTCGAATTACTCAATTTGAAAGGGTGTCATGATGTCTCGGTTGAAGCAGTTGAGTATGGGCGAGCGAAAGGGCTCAAGATTATAAGATGCTGAGGCGGGCATTTGAATATTGAATAACTATTTCTATACTTTTATGACTAAATGGTTCAAGTCTTGGTATGGATGAAATATTTTTAATAACTACCCAATCCAGTATCTTCGTGAATAGGCTCTAATATAGGTATCAAACACCCCTTTCCTTGCACCACCTTTCCACCTCCCGCGCCAACTTCTCCCTCTGCTCATGCACCTGCTCCATCATAGGCACAATCTGTTTCTTGTATAACGCAATCAAATCCGGCTCCGAGTTCGTGCGTGCAGGACCATCGATGGTCGCCGCAGTGGCTTTGTCCTTGATATATGTATCGTAAATCTCAACCATGAGATCCATGACTGCCGACAGTTGATTGGGTAGCCACTATCACATCATCAGTCATTGCATACTTTTCAAGTCAAAGTGATATGGCCAGAATGGGGATGTATGGGGTGATACGTACAGTAACAATTGGACTGCCACCCGTCGCCGTCGGATGCGCCGTTCGCTTGATGATATACTCCCTCGCAAAGAGCCAATGTCTCCACCGGAAACTACGTACATGATCCAACGTCTTCAGGTACAGTATTGCAGTCTCATCGTCCTGAACCGCAAAATCGCGAATGTTCAATTTTTCGGCTGTGCTGGCTACATACGATAGGAATTCGCGGTGAGGGCGGGGGCGGTAGGCGCGGAATTCATGCAGAATTTTGGTGAGCGGTGTGTCTGGCATGGGGATTTGGAGGAGGTGGTCTAGAAGGGGGATCTAGGAGTAATAATAAGTATGGTGAGTCTTGACTCTCAATGGAGGGGAGCTTACGATGGCGTCGTTGGCACCGCTTTCGCCGCGAAAGTACATGGGGTAATTATCGTTGATGCCTTCGTAGATGACTCCATTGGGGAACATGGACTGTGACGTGATGCCGAATATGAATACGCGGAAGGTCAGATAGTCTGCTGGTTTGGAGTTCTTCCACATATCTATCATACACAGTCAGTGTCCGTTGCTCATTCAGGAGAAGGGTAACAAGAGAGGGAGGGAAATGTTTACCCTCCATAGAAGCTTCGATGACCTCCATGGCCTTGAGAACTTCTCTAAATCCCTCATTGACAGCTGCGCGTCGACTGTTATGCTCCACCCCATCAAGGATCTGGACCGCACCATGGATCAGGGGAGCTGTCTCTTTGACCATGTCAACATGCGTGAGGATAAAGCCTGCTTCGGAGCTCTTCGGGTCTAGACCATGCTCAAAACCGCGGATGAGACGCAGATTGTCATACTCGTAACCCCTGGAAGGATTGTCAAGGGTGTAGTTGAATAGAGCGTAAGAGGCGGCATAAGAGAGGAAAGGGGGGAGGTCCAAACTATTGCAACGTCAACATCAACGTAAAATGAACAATGAACGACCACAAGGATAGATGGAAGCTTACATCTCAGCACAACGCCACATAGGCCCAGCAATAGAATGAGGAAGGACCTCCCTACCCAGACCATAACCACTCTCAGGGTCTTTGCACCAATTCTCCCAGCATGGCTCAAGGATATATGCCGACGCAACATAAGAATAATCACGGAAGATAGCTGTGAGCATGAACAAATCTCTCTTTCCATCCTTGGTCAGCACCTTATCAATCTCATCAGTGAGGTCGGGGAAGTCTTCGACGGCTTTTCCGAGTTGATAAGTGGCGAGGAGACCTGGTTTGCCGTTCAGGGTGAGGACGGGCATGCGTTCCAGAAGGTCGGTGAGGGGTTTGAAGATGGAAGGTAGTTGTGTGGGAGCGATCTGGTAGGGCATGAAGCCCGAGGCGGTGGTGATGGTGAAGGGGTCTATGGAGTGTGGGAGGGTAGATGGATCATGGTTGATGTATGGGAATACTGCCTCGGTGGAGGAGGGGACAGACTTGGGGATGGTCATGATGTATGGACACGGGAGGGGAGTCTACAGACAAGGTCGACACCTAGGTATGATGGAAGTAGAGAAGTCTAAGGCAGGCCAAGTACTAAAAGACCAAGGTAAGGAGAGGCAAACACTACCAAGGTAACAAAGCACTTGAAAAAGTCCCGGAAAAAAAGCAGGAAAAAATGACAAGCCAAAGTCAGGCACACTTCTCAGTGATGAGCAACAAAGAAGAAACTCGATTTTCAGGCGGGACGTTATCGATCCTTATATATTCAACGAGGCCGGTTCTAATTCCGGCCTCATATATTACTATTACGAAAGTGGTGATAAGACTGGTGGGACCGGATGTAGCTTTGTTCCACGAGGTATGACGGGTGCTTACAAGGTGATATGTCATTGCAAGGGGTTTTTAGGGCTTTTCATGTGTTGGAATGATGAATAAGAAGTCTATAGCGAAGTTGATGGTCGACGAGAATTATATACAATGTATCGGCGCTAGTCCGTTTCTGGGTTTCTGGTAGATCACCACTCAGAGCGCCTTTACACGGCAAAATGGCTGTCATCGTCAGTGTCCAGGTAGAGATACATATATGCAGCTAGTGTACCATTCTCAGCCCTTGATTGACCCATACGACATACTTTTTGGAGGAGTAGCATTTGATATTTACCGTGATATACATCAACGCACCGAATAAGCAGGATCAGAAAGCAGCGTGATTGGCTCAGGCGGCAAACCTTAGGGTTTGTTAGCGTCCCCAAAATGCCAAGAGGCCGGAATACATCCGGCCTCCGATATAGGCTCTCTCCGCCGATGTTGCATTAATGCTGAATTGCCTGTTCAGGTAAGGTGTCTAGGGCAGAGGGCTAGGGCTCATTGGTCACGCTCTTTCCTACATGTATGACCTTTACTAGATGTTGTTCTGAGCTTCAGAGGCAGTCCAGCCTAAAGACGATCTGCGTTACTGAGTCCTCAATTCTAAGTTTTTATAGATTACCAAAGGTGTGCTATGCCCTTTATAATCAGACCACAGGCCAGGCTAATGCCAATATTGATCAAAAGAGAGAAGAGATTTCATGGCCTTCTATCGATCCACCGTATCGGGATGGAAATGCAACCAATTTGCTGAATGATGATATATAGTACAGTGTCCAGGATAATGTACATGGTGATATAAATAAAACTATATCACAACATTAGCAAGCAGTATCCCAGGTTCAGCGAGTAACCTCATACCTTAAAATGCATCCGACAATGTCCGCTCATACGAATCAAGTATAATACAACAGTCATCAATCGCCGCAAGCCCATCAACTCTTCTGCCCCAGTCCCGGATCGTTCTGTCCCTCTGGAACATTCTGAATCTTGCGATATTCTTCCTCGAGTCGACGCTGCATTTCAAAGTCGGCTTGTCGTTCGCGTTTGATGCGTTGTCGTTCCTCGTCTCGTTCGACGCCGGCATGCATTGCCTACATACACCAAGACTTTATTAGTTTTGAGTCTGATTGTTGGGGTAAAGGGGATGCAAACCGCTCTGTCTGCTTCCTGTGACCAGTGGACAAAGTAGATCATGCCTGCTGTTGCGAGCGACGTCGCAGCCAGCGTGACTTTGGAGGCGCGCGACATTCTGAACTCCTTAAGTCGGATCGCTTATCGGAGCTTTTCTTTGTGTAATGAATCAGCAATTGATCGATAACACTTAGAAAACAACATCCGATGCAATCGCTCTTATCAAAGGCGCAAATATATAATACAGGCGGTCAAGAGCGGCAGAACAGGGCAGGGACCCACTTGATAGGTAGCTGCGCATCACGAGCCGCTGCTGCTTGGAAGCTCCAGACGTCGTCACAGCCCCTCAACGTTGATTTTACAGCAAAAGGTCTAACGGTCATAATCAACATGGTATGTTAATATGAGATTTTTCTGAGCTGTTCATTGCATGGTCTTGAGATTCCGGCTAATCGCAGATGTATACAGTCAGCTCAAAACTCCGCGGGAATCCAGACCCTTCTGGATGTAAGTGACACTCAACTGGAAACAACCGTACGGATTTGCTGATGGGGACAACAGGCTGAGCGCGAAGCTCAGAAGATTGTTCAGCAAGGTTAGTTCCATCATATCCTCCTGTACAAGCATCACACTGACTGAATGGATTATAGCTAGAGAATGTACGCCTCCGTCATCGATCCATATTCACACCATACCAAACTCATAGAGCTGACAAAATCCAGACCGCACAAAGCGCGTAAAAGAAGCCCGAACAGAAGCCCAGCGCGAAATCGACGAATACAGGAAACAAAAGGAKGAAGAATTTAAGAAGTTTGAAGCCGAGGTATGCCCCCCTGTCCCACCGCCCTTTATAAATGCAGCTGACACCCCGTAGCACTCAAGCGGAAACAAAAAAGCCGAAGAAGAAGCCAATAAAGAAGCCGAGACGCAGCTCGAAGAGATCAAAGTCGCGGGCAAAAAGTCTGGCGATAAGGTTATCAAGGATTTGATTCATGCTGTTGTTGAGGTTAAGCCTGAAGTGCCGGAGCAGATTGCTGCTTGATTTCTTTCACTTGTACTGTGGTGTACATATTTTATGATTGCTCGTTTCGGATTTTTGTTGCGTTAGATATGCCCCCTTGTGATAGGGAATAGGTGGAGTTCTTCTTCTCTTTGTGTCTATTTGAAGCAATCCTGGAATTTTGAGTACAGGTACATAGGTACGAGACGAGTTCGTATGTATTAGAAGCATATATACAACGAGGCAACATGACGTTGGCCAATTTGATGTCATGAGTATGTACGAGCTATGCATAGAACGCTTGTTTCAAAACGAAAAATAAACACACACATCTCACCAAACTCAACAATAACAAAACATAAAATCAATGGTATATAATCACAAGTAGCATCCAAATGACAACTCAGTATTGAGACTGAACCAGTCTCCCGCCCCTCCTCCGCGCCGGCTGCGGACTCACACTCGAACTCAACATAATTGCTCCACCCGCCGACGACCTCGTCTGCCTTCTAGTCTCAGGCACATTCTTCTTCACCCACCCCGGCCCCTTGGGAAGACGCTTTGATCTCGCGAAATCTTCGTCGTCGCTGTCGTCTGGTGAGACTAAGGGGCTGGAGACGGTCAGATCGACCATGGGGATGGAGTGGTCTTGGGACTCTTCTTGTTGGTCTTGTGGCTGGAACTCTGGGTGACTGTTGTTGTCGGCGGAGKGTTGGTATTGATCGTCGGAGTCGTTGTTGTCGAGATTTATGTCGGCGTTGTCGTTGTCGTTTGTGTCGTGTTGGGAGCCGTCAAAGTCGAGGTCGGGATCGAAGGGGGAGGGAGATTGTGTTTCGTTATCGGCGTTATTTTTGTTATCGTCATTGGCGGGKTCTTCAATATCTCTTCTTGAATTCGATTCACCAACAGCCTGCTGTTGGCTCGGCTCCGGCTGCTTCTGTTGTGCGGCGGGGGKATCCTTCGCAGCACTATCAATCGGCCCATTGAGAGACGATTCATTATCACTCGACTGACGAGCCGACGACTTTGGCAAATGACTCGCCGTCTCCGACTCCATTTTAATCGGCGAGAACTCCCTTTGCGTCGGCGCCGTAGAAGCCCACAACACCTCGATATCCGGAAAATCAACATCCGAGTCCTCACTTTCTTCTCTATTGTCGTCAAGAAAACCTAGATCGAAATCGATATTGTTATTGGTATTCTTCTTTTCGACCGATCCCGGAGTGTAATCAGTGACGTTGTTGGCTTCTTGATTGCTTTTGGGCATGTTAAAAGACGGCGTCTCAACAAGACGGTCCTCCTCTTCGTAAGTGGCTTTGGCTTTGGCTTTCTCCCTTTTCATGGCAGCCATGTCCCGCTTGTAGAATGTATCAGAGACAGTGGAATATGCATCGACATATTCAGACGCGTCGTCATCTTCGTCACCATAAGCCCCGTCATCGAGGATAGCCGGTTCGGTGAATGATCGAGTGTTGCCTCGGACTGTAGTATTCTGAAACGACCTCTCTGCTTCTCTTTCAGCTGCTCTTTGCTGACCTAATTCCTGCTTCACTATTCGCAACGCATTTTGTTGGGAGGGCTGCGAATCTGGGGTTTCCCCCGCCTTCGAACCAGCTGTCTCGTCCGCAGGTAACTTATTGTCATGCCTCTTTTCAGTATCATTTCGAGGCAAGGATACATCGTCATCCGAGTAGTCACCAGCTTGACTATTTTGATCATCCATGACAAAATCATCGTCGGCATCCATCTGAAATCCAGCATCATCCACATCATCCATCGCCGTATCATCCCCTTGATCCACCACCTGGCTTTCTTCTACCTCGTCATGCTGGTCTTCAACATTAGGCGGACTCGACCCAAATTCTTCATTATTCGAATCTGCACCCTTATCATCAGCTGCAGCTTTACTCTGCATCTCAATTGCAGAGTCTTCTCTCGACTTATCGTCGAATGTTTCTAGCACGACCGGCTCTTTTTCCAGCTCAGAGTCGATTGTGGATCGAAAGCCCGCGTCGTGGATCATGTGTGACATTTTGAGTCGGGTTTGTGATGATGGTGCTGCGAGGGGAGGCGGTAGATCGGGTTCGTCCTTGTCTTGAACTTCGACTTCGTCTACGGATGCTGCGTTGCTACCAGCAGATACGACAGGAGCGGATGGAGTAGGAGGATGGTTTAATCTATTAGGATAGTAATACAATTGTGAGCTTAGGTAATGCAGTTATACAATCGGTGAATAAGATCTGTAATGTTAGGCAGTAGCGCCATGATCGGAGAAAATGGTAGTAGGAGAAAGAAAATTCAATCAACTAACAGGCTTGTTTCATCCTTTCCATTCGTCAACCCCTCTTCCTGTTGACTCTGGTCGGATTCCTTCACAACAGCCGCCTTGATCATCTTTGGTTCTAATAGATCTGCAAACGTTACGCTTCGAAGACCGTCATCCTCGACATCATGCTCGTCGTCTGGCATCTCGAAGCCAGAATATTCGCGCACGCCGTCTTCGTCCACCTCAGTTTGCTCATAAACTTCACGATCACGTTTTGCAAGGATCATGTCAAAAGTACCATTGTCATAAATCTTATCAATCCGGGCAACCTTGTAATCGGAGATCTGCGGCTGCCAATTCGTCGCCTTGGACATGAGTAAATGTTTAAAGGCGATGATGGAGCCAACTTTGACTTCATTGTCGGTCATGACAGGCAACGCAGTGACATCGCTTGGCAGTTCGGGCAAGTCGTCCGCATCGCCATTCACATTGACCTCCTGATTTTCTTTTTGTATAATCTTCTCCTCTTGAGCTGATACAGGTGGATCGTCGTAATTCAACGTAGTGCCTCCATCCGCTTCGTTTTCGTTTAGTGTAGTGTCTTGGTAGCTCTCGTACGCTTCATCTTGCTGCCAGTCACGTTGTTTGCGCTTCTTGTTCTTTTTGTTGTTGTTATTCTTGCGCTGCCGAATAGCATAGTTTGCATCGGCATCCCATCGCTGTTCGAAAGGAAATGGAGGAGCTGTGAGTTCGATATCATCGTAAAAACATTCCGTTGCACTAAGAACGATCTTCTCTTGCCAATTCTCGTCAACCTCTTTCTCAGTCTCAGCCTGGGTAAGTTCTGTGGTTTTCTCCGGCGCAACAGGCTTAGTGCGTGAGACATCCAGCTTTTTACGCAGCGCCTCTTCATCCTCTTTGGTTTTAGGAGTTCGAACACCTAGGGATCCGAAAAGAAGGCGTTTGGTGCTCGAAAGGTCAAGCTTCCGTCTCTTGAGGTCAGTCGGACTCGTTTTCTCTAGCTCGTCAGTGGTCTCGGCCACTGCCTCCAATGTGACAGTAGTAGCCGGACTACCATTGATCTTTTCTGGCGATTCCTGTATATCCTTCTGCTTCCCATTTCTGTAACGTGGCGGAATGTTTTCTTTCTCAGAATGGCCGTCAACGTCGACTCCACCAGACGCCAAATCTCGGAGCAACTGCTGTCTCCTGATCTCGATTTCTGACTGCTCTTTCGTTCTAGCCTCACGCTTTCCTCCAAGATCTATGACCTCCGTCAGAGGCGCTTTGCCATTCYCCGCCTGCCATTTTTTCAGATCGTCAAAATTGGCTTCTGGGGGGAGTTCCCCTAGGCTTTTCAATTTAGCTAGTCGAGATCGAAGCTTCTTGCGCCGGTTGCTATTTCTGGTTTTTCTGTTGCCTTCGCCTGGAGGAGTGAACACGTCAATGGCTTTGGACATTTTCTTTCGTGGAAGATCTTCTTCTTCCGACTCAGAGTCGGACTCCAGATCCGAATCCTCGGACGCCGAGGAGTCGTCGAGATCAGATTCCTCAGCTGAAAAGTCCTCGTCGCTTGACTCTGCGCTGCTGTCATCGGTGTCACTGGAGGCTTCTAACTCCACATCCTCGTCTGTATCAGACACGCTGTCGGACAACTGACTCTCGAAATTCGAAATGTCGGCCTCGAAATGAACACTCTTGGTCGACTTGACCGAAGCTTCTCCATCGACACCTTTGGTAAGATTCGTACGTGGTGTTGATACAACTGATGGGCGAGCTGGGCTGCTGCTTGGCAAAGGACCCCGATGCGCCATTCGCGACAGGCGCCCTGCACGGAAACGCTTGAAATCGGGAGTATCGAAGAATGGAACGTCGGTATGTGCTTCGTCTCTCAACGACTTGAGCTCTTCCGCCAGCTCCTCGGGGTCTTCCTCATAATCCATGTCGCTTTCGTCTTCGTCATGGTCTCCATCGCCATCATTTTCAAAAAGTGTTCGCGGGTGTCTGATAACAGTGCCGGACTCGGAGACCATTACTGAGGCATCGTCATATAGCGCCAGTTGGGTATCTGTCTGCTCGTCCTCGAGGTTTCCGGTCCATCCTAGTGTCGTACGACGTCTCTTTCGTGGCGGAATTCGAATCGGCGGTCTGGACGAAAACGATCTTTGAAGATAAGGTCTACCAAATGAAACGCCATCGATCAATCGTCTCCCATCTGTCGAAACTTGCAGACGGCCGGAGAGTCTTCTTGCGCGTATGTCTCCAACACCAAGTGCGCGAATCCTGAAAAGTATAACGAGTCAGTAAAACTTCCAAAAGTGGCAGAATATTCTGAGAGAATAAAGAATGACGTACACAACCTCATCGCCCTCCCTCAACAACGCATCCACAGACAGAAAATGCAAGCACTCGAATCCATTAACCTCGACAACATAATCCTCTAATCCCCACTGACCGCCTGTGTCTTCATTCTCGCCAACTGCGTCGACGGAAGTCTCCAATGGCACGACCTCGTTGACTTCTTCTAGCAACTGAGCAATCGTACATCCTTCGTTGCCGTATGTCGCGTTGAGAGGACGGTCAGAGCCAACGGTCCAGAGAATTCGGGTCGCTGGAAGACCATGGCGGAGGATCGTGAGTTGGAGACGCATCGTGAACTCAACAAGAACTTGACTAGACGCCTTATATGCACCTTCTCACAGAGGCCACACAGATTGCCACGACATTTTTCTCGCTGTCGACGTTGAGGTGTAGATTAAATTGTCAATCATGTTGGCGCTTAGTCTCGCGGAAGGAAGTGGGGGAAAGCGCCAACTGAGAGCTTGGTGATTGGCTGGTAGTGATAGGAAGGACCTCCTTATGGACTGACTGCCCTTTTTTTGCGTTCTTTATATTCAATGTTTGATTTTTGTTTGATCCCAGCTCATGTACGCATGGTTGTAAATCAGTTCGAGCCCCTCGCCCTCTAAGCATCCCTAGGCCTTCCTGGAAGTATGCCACTTCCGGGTAAGCTTTCCCCCCAAAAATCACCTCTCACCTATAGGGGGTTGTAGAGGCCTCTATACAGTTACATATATGTCAACTGGTCTAGGGGACGTCAACTCATACATGTAACTCTAGGTAGGCACTGGTTCCTACGTCGTACGTGGACTCTCCACGAAAGGGCTTGTACCTACGGAGTCTCCCGCCAATTGATATTGGAGATGTATGATTATGATAATATAAATATAAATATTTTGACCATGCATCGAAAAAAAAACTCCATAAAATGCTTTTGTATCACTAGTCCAAACACCAAGAAGAATTGAGGGTATAATAAAAGCGGAGACTTTTTCTATAAGGGAGAGCAGACATCAGTTGGAAGGGTTCCCTTGTTGTTGGCTTGAGTTCGGCACTGGTCGGCGATTGGGCACGCCGGTACTTATTGTTCGACGAGCCTGGGGTGTTTGCGAGGGCGTGAATGCTGGAGGTGGTTGCTGCTGTGTTTCATGCGCCGAACTATCATTATAATTGCTCGTATGCCCCTGTGTTTGACCAGACTTTCTATCTTCAAAAACGCTATCTGCGTATGATATTGGCCGTAATCGCGGTGACTGGGGCAGCATGTCGACTGATTCTGATGAATCACGAGAAAATGAGCGCGTAAACTCTTCTCCGTCTTCGTCTCCTTCGTGATGGAAGGAGTGATCATCTTCAATGTGACTGGTCTGCGGATCTGGGAATGGCTGTTTTGTATCACCTACCCCCGAAAGATTCCGACTCCCCTGGAAAGCCGGTGCAGGCGTTTGATGGTATTCTCCGCGTGGGCCATCTATAGGACTAATCATATCGGCCATTGCGTCCTCGTAACTTGGTGGTGCGTCGTCGCCTTCGAGGATGTTGTGAGAGGCTARTTCAGCTGCTTGATTAACGGGTCGTGGTGGTTGTGGTGGAGGGTTATTGTCGTCGTATATAGATGGTTTCTGTCCTACTGGAGCGTTTTGTAATTTTCTGTTGGCAGACATTGCTTCTAAGAGAGCTGGTGGTGGGCGGATGCCGGAGTATACTCTTACGGCCAGCCGTAGAGGTACGACAATGACTTGGGGCTAATTCTCATGGTCAGCTCGATCTTTCACGTCTGTTTCAGGAGGCAACCTACCATCGATCGTCCTGCAGGTCCATGCGACAAACCAACTCGCACTTCAAGCTCATAATACCGAGAAATATTACACGTCTCAAATGAAGGCGCAACATTCGGTGGCAGTGGGAGTTTATTCCATAGACTTGCATCAATCTTCCATTCCTGCCCCATGGGATCCGATGCTTGACCAATAAGGACATTCATGTTGCTGCGACTCAGTATCAATGTACTCAGCGGCTCCGTGCGCACTAGTTCATGTGCTCTGATATTGGTATAACTAATCAACTCGATCTGAAGCAGTTGTAAGAACATCGGCTCGGGGGKGTGCGATTTCTTAGTGACGATGAGGCGTAGCGGTATGGGTTCGTTGCAAGTCAGAATCGGAGGATTGGGTAACCTTGCATCGACTGACACTCGTACTGGATCTGCGGTCGAAAGGGGCACTAGAGGTGTAGATGACTGCTTGCGAAAGAGTCCGCCTTTTTTCACGGCTGCTGGGGGTTGTTGTCTCATGAATTCGTGTTGACGTCTGGCGTAGGTTTCTTCGTTTGGGTTGCCATTTCGCGGGGGCTCAATGGGGAGGAAGTTGAATCCTGCAATCTGCTATACTTAGCAGCTGACTCTGAACTTTGTGTAGCAAAGGGGACTCACAGATCGAATATTTTCTTTGTAGAATTGAGGCCGAACCACAGTCGTTTTGACGTAGTATTTTATCTCCGCCTCGCCCGGAAAAGTATTCAAGGAAGGTGGTAACGTCTTTTTGACATGCGCATATGTATCTCGTGCCACTTCGACTCGCAGACCGACCATGCTGAGGTTCGTCATCATTGAGTTCTGGTTGCTGCAGGAATTATTGAATGGGAACTGTCTTTATCAGCTAGTGGTCCACCATGTAAAAGTTTTGTAGATGTACCTTGAACTCAAACGGATATTCATAAACACCAGCAGCTAACGTAAACGCTGCATTGGGAGAGCTATGTTGTGCGATATCCGGGCTCGGAAAGACTGCTTGAACCCGATACAATATCTGCACGCAGACCATCAGAACCAAATTCATCTGATTCTCCTAGGTAACCCACTTTATGCACTTCTATCTCCGCCTTCTTCTTATCCCTGTCATTGCGCGGCGTTGAGAGTCGCGTCCGACTCTCACCTTCGAGTTTGACATGGATCGCACTAATAGCGGTATCCGAATGCAGTTGCAGCACCACTCGCCCGGTGATATGGTCCAAGTTCGTAAAATGGCTATGCGGTTTGTCGAGTTTGACGGTTGCTGCCATGTTCAATCAATAGGATGGTGCGGTGAACGGCGAACGGCGGGGGAGKGGAATGAGGAATGAAAGAATGGTTGATTTCACATCTGATAACGACAGAACAAATTAGAATAATTATATACAATTGGGAAAGTGTTGCAGCCTAGTTTTCGACGAGCGCTCATCAGCTCTAGAATATAGGTGCATTGACATTGAGCTTCGCATTGGCAAGGATAGGTAGAATGAATGACGTTTTGTTTTTTTCTTAAGTGGGTTCGCCGCGGGGCCATGCGGAGGTTTGCCGACCCCTAAGAAACAGTCGAAGACAACCACCACCAAGAAACGATTCCTGTCTCCTTATTGTCTGGTTACAATCGGTTTGGGGCTTAGCAAATGCGAGGTGTGCAAGCGAGTACGAGCGGTTCGTCTAGTCAAAGTATTGGATGATGGTTATGTTGTTGCCTTGATGCCTGCAATCTAAGCCACTGTGTCGAAATACCCCTGAATTTGGAGGCTGTACTACGTAGCTGAGGTTATGCATTTTAGTTGTTGTTGAGTTCTTTAATTTTAGACCTGTTGATTGGTCCACATGCAATATATACAGAGGTTGGGTATGTGATAGTATACATGTTGTACAGATTATAGACCTTCCTTTGCCAGCATATCTATCCAGTTAGCTATGACCCACCAGGAATGAGAAGTACTTACCTGCAATATCCAGATAAAAAGCAATGGCATTAAATCTGATACAGTCAGCCGGTTCTAAGCATGAAAAGATAATACTTACTTTCTCTTATTCCCCGTCAACTCGCCAACCATCCACTGAATACGATTGGACCAGTTGATCAAATCCAGATGGCTCACACCGACGAGTGTACCTTTATAGCCAGAGTCGCCGCCCCATTTGCTGCTGGCTACACTGACGAGGCCGTCATTGGGGCCTTCCACTTCTTCCAGGACTCGATGAAAGGGCCGGAAGATGTTGAAGAGGCCGGGTTGAAACATTGCGCCGTAGGAGAAGTACCTACAAGATTAGCTCAGTCAACATGGTAACATGTCTGACGTACCGAACATCCTCAATGTCTGGCACATGGGGATTGAAGTCGTCCTCGAGATATTTCCGTGTCAGTTGGCTGAATGCCTGTGCTTCAGAGGTGATTTTATCAATTGATTTTGACAATTTACGCAGGCGGGTTACTGTTCATCTAAGCGTTAGCCAGGAATGAATAACTTGCGGATCGAAATATACATACCATGGGCGTCAACCCGCTGCATGAAATGGTCGGCAATCACGGAGCCTAATCTGATGAGCACCGTGGACGTAGAAAGCAAGGAGTCTTACCTCGATGAGGAGTCGCAACTGTCGTCAACGACCGGACTTTGAAGTCTGTCGGCCTCAATCTGCTAATCATGTACCGCGAGTCGAGTCCTCTAATCGATTAGCATATGTCGACGCCTCCATCCAAGATGACTCACCCCTGCACACAGTTAACAAATGCTGGCATCAAAAGACGGACCAACTCACCATGCTATGCCTACACGAGCATCCACACTTAGAAAATGAACCATTACATGCATCATCAATAACTTACGCAATGATATTGACATCGCATCCCTTTGCCTCAGCCGCAATATCCTCCACCAAGGCCCTTGCCCGATTCTCAATCGAAGCGTAAGGTGGTACTGTCGTCGTAATCACCTTGATTCCTTTCATAGCCAAGGCATTCTTGATACCGTGCCAATACTCAATGGGCGGGAGGAAGGAGCCAGCCAGTTTGAGTTCGGCGAACCCTAACAAACCATGGGCCAGGACGATGGCATTTTTGGGGCATTCTACCAGGATCAGTTTGGGCTGTTTATAGAAGGGCTGGAGGAGATTACGGTAGTCTTCTTGGATATGGGCGAATTTGTCCTCGATCAATTGTCCCAGGCTGGAGAAGCGCGGGTCGGTCTTGTCACCGTGGACGTGATGGAGAGGACATGATGTAGATAGGGTTCGGACGTGCTTTGGATAAGCGATCAATCGTGCTGAGTTAGAGAAGGTTTCTAGCCTCATAGCAAACGCGGTACAGAAGTTAGACAACTGTGTTCAGGTTGTTTAGATAAGACATGCATCTAATGCTCTGGAAGCAGTCGTTCCGTGAATGTCACTCTTGCTGCCTGGCGAATCAGGTGTCGACATGGAACCTAAACAAGCAAGGCAGCTTAGTAAACGGCGGTCTCCGATTGGCTAAAGCGGGGAGCTCTCTCATTGCGACGTCATTTGCTCTTCCTCCCTTCGATCTGTAGAGCTACACAGGATCATGCAACCATCTTAGCAATGTTGATTGATGTTCGAGACAAAACAAGGCATGGAATAGCTCGTATGATCAATTGACTTATTCCATGGGGCATTACTTCATTCAGTCATCGCAGTTGACTTGACTCCAGTGTTCTTGTAAACACTTCCTACAGATACATCATCAATCATACCTGTACATTCATAGATCAAGCTTCAAGCCTCGATCAATATAATACAGAATACAGCTTTACCCTGATCATAAGTTGCCCGTCAAGAGCGGCCGTCGGACCCCGACCAAGAGAGCATTTGCATATATAGTAGGGTCATGAATCGAGTACCCCGCTTGCGCTCTTCATCTGTGCTGGCTTATACATCGCGACCATATCCCTCGTTGCCCAATCGCTGTGCTCGATATCGTCATCATCCCGCTTCCCCTACCGCCCATCGTCTCTCCCCCATCTCTTCTACTACATCCTTTTCAACACTCACGTCTGCTTCTCCCTCCTGTTGCAAGTGTAGACCACGCTGCTGCCTCTCAGGAACAGGGACGTGTCGCTGTTGTCGTTCATCACATATTCTACCCCGCAATACACGATTTACACGCAACCAATTCTCAACATCGTCATTCACAATGGCCACAGAATACAAACTCAAGGACATCTCGTCCCTACAAGATATCCCTAACTATGAGAAAGTCGAGTCAGAGGTCGAAGGTGTGCCCGATGGAAAGGTGCTGGTTGTTAGATTAGAGGATGATAAGTTTCATGCCATAAGCCCCAAATGCACGCATTACGGCGCCCCGTTGAAATTGGGTGTTGTTGCACCGGATGGGCGTATTACATGCCCATGGCACGGAGGTACTTTTTCCGTCTCTAATCACAAATTGAAGAGCAATACTCATGATTGTTAGCATGTTTTTCCGTCACCACGGGTGAGATTGAAGATGCCCCGGCCCCGAACCGCTTGAATACATTCGAAGTCTACGAAAAACAAGGCGCAGTCTATATCAAAGGCGAAGAAGGCGCCATCAAAGCCGGACAACGAGACCCGAACCTCAAATGCTCGGCCTCAACTGACGAGAAGGTCGTCGTTATCGGAGGGTGAGCTACCCTTCCCTTTGCTCTTCTTGACTTGACCAAAACTAACGACAAACAGAGGAAGCGGTTCCCTCGGCACAGTACAGACCCTGCGCGAACTCAACTTCAAAGGTAGTATCMCCCTGATCACCAAAGAACCCAACCTGCCACTCGACCGCACAAAACTCTCCAAAGCTCTGATCGCAGATGCATCCAAGATTGAGATTCGGCCGGCAGAATGGTACTCCAACGCCGGCATCGACGTAGTTCACGACGAAGTCACAGCCGTCGACTTTGCGAAGAAATCCGTATCAACCCAATCCGACAAATCATTCCCTTACACAAAACTTGTCCTAGCTACAGGCGGCGTCCCCCGCAGCCTCCCGCTCGACGGGTTCAAGGATCTGGGAAATATCTTCCAGCTCCGCTTCGTATCAGACATACAAAACATCCTCGGCGCACTGGGCGAAGAGAAGAAGAAAGTCGTGATCATTGGCAGCTCCTTCATCGGCATGGAAATCGGCAACGCGCTCTCCAAAAACCACGACGTGAGCATCGTGGGCATGGAGAAGGCGCCCCTGGAACGAGTCATGGGTGAGAAAGTCGGCCAGATATTCCAAGGTCTCCTCGAGAAATCCGGCGTAAAGTTTTATCTGAACGCGAGCGTCGACAAGGCCACCCCTTCTGCCTCCAATCCCGGAAAAGTAGGCGCCGTCCACCTTAAGGACGGCACAAGCCTGCCCGCAGACGTCGTCATCTTGGGCATCGGCGTGAAACCCGCTACCGACTTTCTGGCAAACAACTCTGCCATCTCGTTGGAAAAGGACGGCTCAATCCGCACAGACGAGACGTTCGCGATCCCCGCCCTGAATGGCGATGTATACGCCATCGGCGACATAGCGACATACACCTACCACGGACCTGGCTCCGCGCCAGAGACAGGTTCCCCCGTGCGAATCGAGCATTGGAACGTGGCCCAGAACGCGGGTCGAGCCGTCGCCCGCTCGATCGTCAACAAACCCTCCAGCCCACGCAAACAACACAAAGCTTTTATTCCTGTATTCTGGTCCGCACTAGGCCAACAACTCCGCTACTGCGGAAATACAGTGGCCTCCAACGGCTACGACGATTTAATTCTCAAGGGTGAACCGGAGAATGCAAAGTTTGCCGCTTATTATGCTAAGGGGGAGACGATCGTGGCCGTTGCGACGATGGGGATGGATCCGATTATGGTCAAAGCCGCGGAGTTGATGAGGAGGGGGAATATGCCGAAGAAGGCGGAGATTGAGGCTGGGGTGGATTTGTTGAAGGTTGATGTTCCGGGGCGTGTCGTTATTTGATTAACCTACGTAGGTAGGCAGAATGATAAGTAGGATGTAGGTAGGGTTAAATGGTACTAGATTGATTGACTGGTAAATGACATATATACATTTCCACTTCGTGCACTTCGTGGCGACATCACCATATACTGTATAGACCGTAAACACGTCAAAAGAAAAATAAAAGAACGATAGGGGTATCATGAACCGTAAATCAAGAGCTGTAAATTAAGCACATAAAAAAAATCGAAAGACGGTATGTATCGGGCTGATCGTAATGGAAAGATCAACTCCGTAACGTTTCATCCAATAGCTCCCTATCCAAAACATGTGCATGAATGGTAACCTGCTTCGCCGGCAGAGGCGTCGAGGATACAAAGCCTGGTATGGGGCCCTTTTGATTAATTCCGAAGCCGCGTATGATCGGTTTTGGAGCTGTTGTCGTACGTGCCTTGTTTGTGTTTGTTGTTGTCGACGTAGAGGTAGTGGCGTCGGATGAAATGCTCGCTGCATCTGATTGTTGCGCGCGGATGAGGTGTTGGTCTGTTGTCCAGGTTGAAAAGGATGAAGAAGGTGTAGTTACTGATGTCGCGGGGCTGGGCGCAATGCCCCATTTGCCCATGACCCAGCCGCCGACTTTACGGGTTATTGTAGCTGGCTTTTTGCCGTCTTGCAAGGTTGTGACCTGGACTGGATCTGTTGTAGGCGTACTCGAGCCTGTGCTGGCCGCGTCTGAATTTGGTGCTGGGATAGAGCTCTTTGCAGCTACGATGGCAAGTAAGGAATGCGATGATCGCGGTAGACTTCCCACGGTGACAATACTTGCCTTATCAGCAGTAATATTCGTAGTCGAGATCACAGGCGGAGTGGACGATGTCTCTGTCGCGACAGTCACGACGCGCTGCGGTGGGCGCCGAGAGAGGAAATATCTCGATTCGAGTCCCCCGAGTAACTGCGACGGTCGCTCACGAAGGGTATGAATATCCATGCCTGAAACTGAAAGAAGACTTTCGTAAGACGCTGATTTTCGTAAAGTAGGGACGTGCTGCTGCATTGGGTCGAAAGGGGTTTCAAATATATTCTCAATGATAGAAGGACCCGGTGCATCCTCTGCCTGTTCTTCTGCTTGACTATCGTGTTTGTCAATTGTATCCTCCTGCTCCTCGGGTATAGCAGGAGGAAGCCACATCTCATCGCCGTTCTTTGCTGGCTGCTGCTCAAAAACATCATCACTGGTGTCAATGTCATTCTCGCTATCAAAATCCGAAAATGACATTCCAGGCATGGAAAACGAGCGATTCGAAGTATCCGACATACGATGACCCCTCCATATTGGCCGTTTCGGAGATGTCAGCATAGCCGCGGTGCTTTCAGGACTTGAAGGTCGTGACAGCTCGCTCTGATCGACGACATCAAATATTGATGAAGGCTGGTATGCCGAGATAGGAGAACTGGCCAGTGACGAAATTCCAGATGGATGAATAGAGTAGCGCTGTGATGAGGAAGACGGAGGGATCGAGACGGACGTTTGAGACATGATTGTTGATACAGAAGATGACGAGGGATGAGTGTGGTGATATGACGACCTAGGACTATGCACCCCGGATGCCATCAGCGTAGGTCGTCTCTTCTTCTGTCGACGTATAGGCTGCTTCTCTTTCTTGGAAGTAACCGACGACGAAGGCGAATGATAATGATGATGCACATGAAACTCCTGCGACACCGGACGAGGCTCTTTCGCATTGAGTTCCTGGTCTAACCGCGATCCCTGTGGTTGTGGTGGCTGGTCGGCGTCTGCATCAACCGGCTGATGATGCATTATCTGCTCTCGCAGATTCTCAACTTCCTGGTTCGAACTCTCCAGCAACTCGCGCAACTCGACAATACCCATCTGCAGATTTGCATTGTCCTGCAAAATATCGCGCACGAATTTCGACACAACCGGCGTCGTCGCATTGCGGTTTCGATCCATAACTGCCGACGCAGCAGCAGCACCCTTGAGTCGACCGGCAGCACCATCCAACTCCCTCTCCACGGCGCGTCTCCGTTCCATGCGCTCAATGATCTGAGTATGCTCTTCCCTTTCCAGCCTGGCCTCGTACTCCAACCGATCCAACTGATCTTGCAAATCGCGCAACGTCGTCTCCGCCTTTTTCCACCTCTGCACCGCCGACTTCTCGTCTTCCTGCGTCAGGATGAGCTGCTGCTGCAACTCCATCTGCTCCGCCTCCATCGCATTCAGCTGCATTTCAAGGTCTGCCGCCCGCGCCGCTGAAGCAGCCAACGCCCTCATCTCAAGCTGCGTCTGCTGCAGCCTCTCAGCGAGCGCTTTGATTTCATTATCCGACGTCGCGACGGCATTGTTGAGGCCTTCTAATTGCTCGAGTAGATGGCGATTTTCTTCGACTATGCGCGCGTTCGCGGACTGGATTTCTTGTTTGTCGCGTTCCAGGCGCTCCATTTCGAGGAGCAGGTGGCTTCGATCTGCCTCGGCGTCGGAGACGTACGTCTCGTGCCGTTGCAGCAGGGCCTGGAGGGAGAAGGTTAGCGACATCTCGCCCGATCATCTACGACACGACAAAACTCGATCAAAAGAGCTATCATGAAGCGAATAACAGAAACCAAAGTCTAGGATAAAAAGCATACCTGCCCCAATCTCGCCGCAGTCTCTAAGTCCTTCTCCAAATCGCCCAAAGCCACATTGTTATGCCTGAGGTATGCACAATCCCGTCTTCCACAGCAGCACTGCAGCGTACCTTCCTCACAATAATTACCAGCAGCAGACGATGAAAAAGGAATAATCGCATTCTCCAACTCAAGCCCGGCGGAGGTGGGAGGAATGTGCGTGGAGGTAACGAATTTGGCGGTCGGACTAGTGCTGGGTGGTCGGTCGTGGGCATGGTCATGCATATCTTGGTCTCCCCCTCTTTCGTCGTTGGCATTCTTGGTGTCGTGGTTGTGCTGCAGGTCCATAATGGCTGATGTTTGTGTCGTATTGATTTGGTTGTCCACTCCCCGTACGTCTATCCCCTCGAGATGGACTGCGAGGGGACTTTTCCCTCTTGCTTCCTTCACCTCTGCCTGGTCTCCAGGTCGTGCGAATAGCGATAGCGTACTATTAAAGTCTAAGTGTAGACCAAAAATTCGGAAATTAAAGATCCAAGAACGAGTTAGCTTAGCACAATCGGGAATGGGGGACTGAGCAGGAATGTAACGCTTTTTTTACATACGGTCGGATACCAAAATCAGTTAAAAGCAGAAGGCTGGGGCTACAGGTCTAGCGAAATATTACCGTAACGATGTGTATTGGACTATGACGCCATAGGATTCAGGCACCCGTTGCCAGTTGGCTGGAGCTACCCATATCTGGACTGGCGGGTAGATACAGCTGTCTTGTGATCCACTCTATGCACAGCCATCACAGAGATCGCCTTGGAAGCCTGAGGTGTCAGGTGAAGAATAGAGTGAATTGGTAAGTATAATAAATATTAAAACAACCTATCGAATCAGCGTCTTAGATCACGCCATCCCGAACACCTTGCATTCCGGCCGTGCTCCTAAATGAGAAAAAAACTAGGGCATAAAGTCACTTCGGATATTGATGAACGCACCCGTACCACCATCTTCGCTCAGCTCGTTGACTAAAACCTCGGTCTGTGAGTAGAGTATTTCTAGAGCGGCGGTTGATGATTTTCCGAGGGACACTGCACAAGTCAGTAATTCATAAGATAGAAACGTAAGAGACAGCATACCTAAAATAGCGGCGTTCAAATCGTCAGCCACTGCAACCCGTCCCGAAGCATCCAGATGATGACCATGGACCGAAGATCGCGGATCAGGATATGCCACCAGCGAGAAGATATCCTCGAGATATTGTTTGTCGCCTCCATATTCATCCGATGGATAGTCCATGCGTAGTTGTTGTCCGTATTGCACGGCCTCGGTAAGCAGCTCGTGAAACTTGGCCGTGTCGTCTACTACAGTCCGTGGCTCCTCAGTGTCCATTCCTTCGCCATCCGAGAAACCGTCGTCAACTTCCATCTCTTCTTCTCTTTTTGCTTCGGTTGTTGCAGCGCTCGACGAGTCACTGCATTTACACATCATTTCGAGGAATTTTCGACACCGAAGTTTGAAGAGGATGTGAGGATTATCTTGGAGCACTTTGGGAAAGTAGGCGTTTGTATACTTCAATGCCTTGTCCATGTCGCCTTCCAAAATAGCGGCGCGGATTTCTATTTTTGTTAGAATTTTTCGCACAACTTCAGATAGGATAACTTACTTTGTCGATTCGCTGTATCGATATCTTCACCAGGCTCATGTTGATACAGTGACCGCGACTGCCCCTTCTCGAGAGTAACAGACTCTTCGCGCACCTCTTCCGCAAACGTTCTAGCAGTCTCGTAATATCCTTCTTGGGCAAGAAATTGAGCCACCAGTTCCTGCAAAAGAGCAGCTTCGTCCAAGGGAGGTTGGAGATTGGCAGTACTCGTTTCACTGATTTCGGTAAGCAGAGCGTGCTTTTCTGTCTATGAACTGTCAGTCGCCCGTTCACATCGTACTTCAAAAAAACACACCTTGACCATCCCGTCGATGTCGTACATGAACGGCTGTTGACCAAAATTGACCCTCACATGCATGCCATTATGCCTCTTCATACCAATAGACGGGTAAAAAGCTATACTCTTAGAGACTGGGAGATCCTTGAACGCCGGGCCTACAACCGTCAGCTTAATCCTAGACTATCGAGAAAGAGGAAATACCAATCAATATTCCATTCTTTGTAAAAAACCCACTTCGCGTCGTAAAGTTGACTCCACAACCGATGGTATCATTAACACCATAGGTAGGACCATACGGTCGACCTTGGCCTTGATTCTCGCCGACAAAAGCCTTGCCGTCGTCTCCGTGGTACGCCCACGACTCGTTATCCCAGCCAGGTAGCCTTTCCAACGATGCTCTAGACGATGAAAACCCAATGGCGATTACTCTGCAATCAAAATTAGTCTAATTCCATGACCAGGAGGGTGGCAGGGAGCAACATACGCATCCTTCGGTTTGACCAGTATGGTAGCTTCATAATAGTATATCCCAGATTCACGCGGCATCGGAAAATCCGCCCGTATAGAGGCTGCCTCGTGATCCGGTTTGTGTACATGGCCCATATATCGTACCTCCAAGCCATCATTCGTCAAATCGAGTCCGTCGTGTCTATCACTCTCGTTCCAGCGAGATGGTAATGGTTGCGGCTTATCTTCTAGAGCGGCGGCGGCAGAAGTGGTGATGGCTGGCTCCTTCTCGACTATATCGTACGTCATCCCCCGATGCGACGGCGCCATGCGGTGGAGATTTACATGGCTTGACGACGCGGATAGGGATGGCTGTTGCTGTTGTTGGTGTAGAGGTTCGCGTTGAGCAGCTGCTAGCTTGGAGCGTCGGGCAGCTTCTAGTCGAGCGACGTATCGGGAGTTACGGAGGTATGACGGGACGAAAAAGGAAGGATCGTAGAAGGGGGATGATGGCGAGGATGTAGAAGAAGACGACATCAACAAAGCTGGCGACGATGTGGCTGCTGGTAGACCTGTACCAGCACCTGTCGAAGCACCACCACCACCGGCACCAGGACTTGCTGCTGCACCACCGGCATATTCGGGGATGTTGGCGAACTGCCGGGAATAAGGAGGAAGACCGCTGGACCTCCTCCATCCGGCGCTCGTAGCGCCGTAGTTCATCTGCATGTCTGCATCCGTGGCAGTGACTGAAGTTGAATTGCGGTTGGAGATGGTCGTTGTATGTGATGTATGCGGGGAGGTGGTTGATGGGAGAGATGTAGTGGCGGCGGKGGTAGAAGTGGTATGAATAGTAGCGGCGGAATCCTCCGTATAATGAGGAATATGAAGATTCAAATGACGGGAGAAGACAGCAGAAGAAGACGGATCGGGTTGGTCGTTGGCAGCACCAGAGACGACTGAAGCATAAGAGAAGCGACGAGGAGCGGACGGCATGCTGGAAGCGTAGAGTAGGTAGAGTAGGCAAGGGCTCCACTGCGGATCACTAGACTCTAGACTACGTACAATCTACTTAACCACGACACATGAATCGGCTGAATCATACCCACCTTACTGACACTAAATACTGACAAGGATGCAGTCAGTCTTGATTGCAAAGCAGCGAAGCATTAGATCGGAAAACAGGAAYCCGTCGTTCGGCAGACAAGCCTGTATCTTGTCTGACTGTCTATGTCGGAGCAAGGGCAACTCGCGTGATCAGGCAGTCTCATTTATCACTGACGAATAGATTGTTACTAGAATCAAATATATACCTGAACAGGATACAGAAGACAATACTCAGCAATACCGACAAATCACATGCAGCAACGACCAACAAGGATGGTTCAGTGTCTGAGTGTAGGTATCAATGCATATCAGATGCGGGGAAGTTCAGTACAACATTTGTATGACTTAACTACCAGTCCAGTCCAGCACCTACTCTGGATCAGCGATATGGATAATAGCTTTGCCGAAGTTCTTTCCTTCCAACATATTCACAAAAGCTGTTCCGGCCGAGTCGATTCCATTGTCGATGTGTTCCTTGGTCTTGATACTGCCCTCAACAAGCCACTACGACAGTCAGATTAATCACCCGAAACACGGAATTGACTGGATAGTACTAACCTGTGGCACACGCTCGTTTCTCTCCTTGACATATTTAGGTCCAAAGTCTGCATCATTAACCAAAAACCCCTGGAATCGAATCCGTTTGGGGACGATGTGCGTAAGGTTCTTGATGCCGTATCGGTTTTCTATTCGGTCAGCTTAATTCCCCAGAGATAGAAATAACGGACTTACCAGGTGGTACACTATACTGCGACACCATGCCAGACGCAACTACGCAATCAGCATCTCCATAACTCAAACAGAAGACAAAAAAACATACCAATGCGTCCAAACACATTCATGCACTCAATCGCAGCAGATAACTGCTCGCCTCCCACATTCTCATAATAGATATCCACTCCATCCGGCGCAAGTCTCTGCAGCGCCTCCAACGCAGAGTTCTCCTTCTTATAATTAAMCCCGCCATCAAAACCCAACTCATTCACGATAAAATCTAACTTGGCATCATCGCCCACACTCCCAATGACCCTGAGCCCTTCTCTCTTTGCGATCTGCCCAACGATCTGTCCCACCGCGCCGGCCGCGGAGGATATAAAAATCGTCTCTCCCTTTTTGGGCTGACCGATCTCATACAAACTCGAATAAGCAGTCAAACCGGTCATACCCATCACACTGAGGAAATTTGAGAGAGGCAGATTGTGTGGATTCTCAACCTTGTTGACGTACGGATGCTGAAGCCACTCTTTGCCGACGAGGCTGTATTCCGCAATATCGAAAAGGCCGTACAATATATCGCCTTTACCGTACGTTACGCCCGTGGGTGTGGTGACGCTATCCTCGCCGTCAGCCAGTCGCAGCACTTGAACAAGCGCATAGGCGTTGATGGGTTTCCCGATTTCGAAGGGAGGCGAGTAACTGGTGCGCGTGGGCGCGCGCATCCGTCCTCTCATATAAGGGTCGCAGCTGAAGTAGAGGCCCTTTATGATTGCGGATCCCGAGGGGACATGCTGACTCAAATCAAAGTCGGGTTGGGGCTCGACTTGGATGTGCTCGCCCACCAGAGGGTTGTGGGTGGGCAGTTTTTTGTAGATGAGGGCTTTGTTGGAGACCATTTTGGATATATACGTAGTAGACTATGTACCTAAGTAGGGCGTGATGAAGATATCTGCATTAGAAGCAGGACGAGGACAGAAAGTTTACATATATATACTCTTTCAAATAAATACAAGGAATTCCGTTGCGCTTTAGTAATCGAGCAAACTCTGTCGATGTATAGATTGAACACCCCACTACATTTGTGTGCATCATCTGTGTGGTGCTATCCAGACGGTCAGAGATCCAGGAAAGCCTTCCCGATCCGTCCATATGGCCGAGTAACCCACGGCGGATGTGTTACTTTAACGAGGCACGTCCGCTGCTACGACATACTGCTTCTGTGTAGGATATTCGGTCGAAGGTATCGAGTGACGAATTTGTTGGAATTACGTACGTTGCATATTACTGAATTGCGTGATGCCATGTGGCGGTAGGGTTATTTCTTGATTAATATACTATACAATTGTCAAACCGATGAGCCCAACAAACAGATTGAAACCGCGCCATAATCAAACACAAACAAAAAAGCAATAAAGGCTGATCAAATGCAACATAGACCGTATTCCGTACACCACATATAAAAACCTGATGGTCCGCAAGGAAAAAGTAATGTACAAGAATGAAGGTAGACGAAAAGAAAATCATCTGCGGAAGCCAGCGCGAGTATGATCAAGTGACATGCTATGAATGCTAAGCAGTCATCGCAATAACAGGCGCCGGAGACTGTGCAGTACTAGGAGGCAGCGACGACATGTCGCCCTCTCCCTCGCCGGCATTACTCTTCTCGCTCGGCACAGCACTACTCATGAGGTTCGCTTTGCTGATACTATCACTGTCCCCATTGACAGCAGCGACAGCAGCAGGCGTAACGCCATTTGATTCTTCGACACCACTCGAATCGCCAGGTGTTTGCTCTTGGGAAAGGGGCTTGGGTGTGTGCCAGCTCGACAACCCCCAGACGACGCCGGTGAAGCTCTTGAGTTGGAAGGGTTTGCGTTCCCATTTACGGCATGGTGCGCCGGTGCGATCGAGGGCGCGGAGGCCGGCGTTAATGGCGCCTTGGTTGGCTTTGGGACCGAGTTTGTGGCCGGGAGGCATGAGTTTGGTGCTGTCGGTAGTTTTGTCATCCCTGGTAACGATGTTAGCAACCATAATTAAATTCTACTGCAATAGCAATGGAGACGTACAATTTCAGCTTCTTTCTGGCAGCACTGGGCCTGCTTCGAGGCGCCTTGGGAGCATCGCCAGTCTTGTCTAGAGCTCTCTTCGTTCCCCTCGCACTACCACCGTTGCCCTTCTTCGCTTTCCCGCCTTCTGTAGCTGCAGGAGCAGGCGTCGAAGCTGCGTCGGAAGCATTGTCGAAAGAGGAAGCTTGAACTACTTCTCCGCTGATGGAAGATGGTGGCGACGAGGCGTCTTTGATTTTGACGTCCTTTTCGTCGACGGCCGGACTCTCATGAGGAAAGCGGCTGAGGACGGTCGACGAGAGCTTGAGGACGATGGTCCGACTGGGTGGTGTGGTGTTTTTGGGTGGTGTAGGCATGGTGACTCCTAGTCTGTTCGCGTCGGTCGGTTTAATTTATTGAAGTCGTGGTGTTCGAAGAACAGTAATCAATTCGTGGTTCTCTCCAGACAATCTAGGTAGTCGACGAATATTGGGTAGTGTGGTAGATTAATAGTGTTGAAAATGCAACTGACTGTCGAGCGGTGAGGCAGCAGCAATGCAATGGTCAAGGGGCTGACTGGTCGGTCGGTCACGACAAGGCAAAGTGGTCGGGGGCAAAGGCGCGGCGGCGGTGGAGGGAATGTGGCATAGTCCGAAGATGGGACTTTGGTGGTGATGATGATTTTGGTAGGGAGAGTGGTGATGGCGAAGAGAAAGAGGAAGAGGATGGATGGGAAAGAGAGGGAGAGGGATGGAAGGGGACGGACGGATGGCGTGTTGTCGGTTTCATTGTGGTTTGGATTTTTCCTTTTTATTTTTTCGCGCTCTTTGGGTTGGGGGACTCTGGATCGTTTAGATTAGCAACGAAGGCACGGCGAGAGTTGCGCAGATTCTGTCAGGAGACGCTCGTAATGTTCGGTATGGATCGCCCGGACACAATAGAACTGCGGCCGCTTGGCAGTGTGTAACGCGTAACCGGGCGTATGGTAATATTACGTCCCAGCCACTCCATTCCCTTGTTTGCTCTGCTCTAGTTGACTTCCTCCTCCGTACTCCGTACACCATGTTCTATACTTCATTTTCCCATTTTATTGTTTTCTGTCCATTCGTCTATTGTACAGAATTTGCTATGATTTATTTTTGTATTGTTCATTTTCAAAGCATTATCCGGACAATGAGCGCGCTAGTCCATGCCCTCCATTTCGGGTTTAACTGATTCAGTGATTCAGTGATTCGACTGCTTTGGCCCGCTCCACAGTCAGTCAGACCCTTGCGAATCCTGTCGCCGAACGAGAAAAGCAGAAGCGATTGACCGTGCGAACCAGTAAATCCAGTCTATGGTCCATCCATAACCGGCGGCGCTCGCCTCGGATGTCTCGGTGTCATCATCTCTAGGTTTACAATACGTCGTCAATAATGCCGTATTAGTGTAGCGTAACGGCTAGAAAACATTCAGCTACAACGTCGTGTAATTGTAGTGTTCTACGTGTTGTCCGGCACGTACGACGTACAAATTATACGCGACGTGGTAATATTGCCTCTTTGGGAGAACTCGACTTATCATACAGCGTACAGCGTGTAGGTTTGTGATGTGTAGACTAATTCGAGATGATCACTCGGTTCTATCACCTGAAACAGGTCATGGATCACCTCATAAAATGCGTGTACGCTGAACATAGTTTAAATAATGTGATTCTATGTCTACAAATCTATACCAGCCCTCCGTCGCTGCACCTGAGCGACCGCTTCCTGAACTTCAGGCGCATTCCGCACACTCCCCACAACCAGTCCTTCCTTCATCCCTCGCCGTAGTACTGACACACTCTCCCGATCACCCCGGAACGGACTCAACGATAAATCCAAAAGTCGTGATGCCTCGGTATCCGTCATCCGCGCCAATTGTGCTACTTGACCCAGCTGCTGAAGCGTTTCCGGCTTCAACACTCCTGCGCCTTTTGCAGGTGATGCTGATCGTGGGACATACAAGGGTGTAATTTGCGAGATAAAAATGTGCACTGTAACCGATACTCGGCGCGCAAGTGAAATGATCTGAAAGGGTAAGAGGTACAGCACCGGCGCAGTCTTGGATCTGGCGAGTCCGATATACGGTCGGATCAGTGCAGGTATGTAATCTGCAGATATAACGAGCGAGAATGGCTGCGTCACTAGGATAAGCTCAAGAGCAACCATAGCAGCAAATGTATAGAATCGCCACTACCGAGGATATTAGCAATGATACCAACCGAAAGATTGGGGTAACCCACGTATCGTCCCCATGATGACCAATAAACCCAGTACACCACTAATACAACCAAACCACCAATATACTGAGTCAACGCTTTCCTCAGTCCAGTATACAGATAATCCTCGGCCGTCTTAACGTTTCTCCACTCATTCACCTGCGGCCCAAACCGGTCATACGCAAATCGCACCGACGGATCTAGCAATGTATCCTGTGCCTGCTTCAAATACATAAAGAATCCATCGGACAGTGTCGTCGCCTGCTGCTGATTCAGCTTATCAGGATGATGTTGAGCGGCCAGCCGCCGAAATCGAGATTTGATAGTCCGCTCATCAGCCAACGGCGAAACACCTAGCACGCGGTAAAAGTCGCTCTCGGCACGCACTTGGTGGAAACTTTCGTAGATTGTGTAGAAGAGATAGAGGGTCACGACGAAGATGAAGATGCGGCGACGGTGCTTGTCGAAGCGCGGTGTGCCGGGTTGGGGTCGTGGGCTGCCGGCGCGGATTGTGAGACCGTAGTAGACGCTTTGTAGGATTGATGTCACGTACTAGTCGTTGTCAATATTCGTTCTTTAGTTCTGGAATGAAGAGGCGTACACCTGGAAGAACGGCCCAGCCCACGTATGATAATACGCTTGACATAGTGTCACGCAATCAAAGGCACGATTTCAAATGTATGAGTTGTCGCAAAGAATCAACATGTCTATAGTGCAGATTGAACAACAGACAAAATAATCCAGGAAGGTGTTCGAGGTGTCATTGTTCATGTTCAGTACAGATATAGCTGGCACTTCGGACTATATGACAGTATCTCCGAGCTACTCACCGCCTTGGCTCCAGCTTCTTTCTCGATCGGTCCTTTTTTCTGCCGCTTTTTTTTCTTCCTCGAGCGAATCTGAACGAACCTTTGAAACAAGTCAATTCTTTCAACTCGACGAGTTGTCGAGCATAATAAACATGTCCACCGACACAGTCCTCCCCGAGAGGAAACGAAAACACAAGAACAAAGAACACGAACCGTCCAAAAAGCGCAAAAATGCCGCTACAACAACAACAGCCTCGGACGACGTTGCAGCAGCGATACCCTCGACACCAAAGCAGAATAATACAGAAAAGACCCGACAAATCGTTTCGATCACTGATGTAACGAAGCAAGATGCTAGCTCACCATTCCGCCTCATCAATGCGACCATGTACGTACCGCTTTCGCCTATATCGATTTCTCCGACGCATGCCTCCGCTTCACTTATCGCGGAACACTTGGCGCCACTACTCTTGACGTACTACCCCCCATTCCAGGGCATTGTGTTGGCGTACTCCAATGGCTCGATTTCGGAAACTCCGCCTGTGCCCGGCCAAATCCATAGCTCTTCGTCGCAGCCTGATTTCGATAATCCGAAGCCACTGACACTTGCGCTGACTGCTAATGAGTACGGGGTTCTTTACCTATATCTCACTGCGACATTCTTGGTATTCAGTCCGCAAAAGGGCCAGGTTCTGGAAGGATGGGTTAATGTTCAATCTGAGGGGTTCGTGGGTGCTATTGCGCATAACCTGTTCTCTGTGGGTATTGAGAGGAAACGAGTGCCCAAATCGTGGAAATGGATTCCGCCGGGTGCGGATGATGACGACGTCGAAAATGCGGCTAGTGATAAGAAGAAGGGATATGTATCTGCGACGTCGGGTGATGAGGATGGTGCTGCTGGTAGCAACAAACTAGCCTTTGACGCTGAAAAGGAACATTTCACGCCTCTGCCTAAGAAAGTTAGTCGCCAACCTATCAACCTGCCCGACTCGGATACGAATATGTTCGGAGAAGAATTTGGTGAATATGATGAGGAGGAAGATGACGAAGCGTCGAATGCGACGGGTTACTTCCAGAGTGTCTCTGGGCATCGTGTTCGCGGGACGATTCGTTTCCGTGTTCGGGATGTAGATGTAATCCCTGGCGCGGATCCAGATCGTGGGTTTTTGAGTATAGAGGGCACTATGCTTACGCCGGAGGAAGAAGCAAAACTGGAAGAGGAAGAGCGCAATGGGCCCCTGCCAGCTTCTAGACAGCGTGATCCTTATGCCATGACTGGTGCAGCGGCTCAGCCTGTTTCGCATGCTCAGACTTCGCAAGTTGAAGTTGCAGAGGTGCAATTGCCAGAGACAACAACGACACCAGCAACGGCAAAGTCGGGATTCAAAGACGAGAAGAAGAAAGAAAAGAAGGAAAAGAAAAAGAGTAAGGACAAATCAAAGTCCAAAACATTGGAAGTTATAGAATTATAGTTTTATGAAGTTTGGAAGAATGGTGTTAGGGGTCTTTTTTGTTCACTATGGTTGTGCTATGGGCCTGTGAAAATATTGTACATATTTTTCTATATAAAGTTTTGAAGTAAGAGCTTCGATGGCAATTTCCCGACATGGAGGTTTTTAAAACGAGACCATGGATTGTTCTTCAATGCCTTCAATGTATCAGTTGACCAGGGGCGTCACCTTTCAATTCGTGTTGGCGACTGTATCACCATCTTAAGCTGAAACTGGAGAGCAGACTGCATTGCTTCAAGGTTGACTGGTGGAGCCAACCCAGCAGATTTGTCCTCCTCAATCAAGGGAATGGATGCTCTGGTAATAGCCCCTAGGATTTGCGAGCGATTGTCTGTACTACACTCAAAAGTATCATTACACTCATCGCACTCATCAGCGAATGATCCAAAGAGAGATAGGTTTCAACCCTTCCGCTCATCCAAGACTAGAATAAGCCTCTCCAACTCTCTCTGCGCAGCCACCAAATTCTCCGAATTATCCTGACGATTATAGAACGGATGACTCTCTTTGCGTCCAATTGCCATCAAAGTATTCAGTACACAGAGCACGTTTGTCATATCTTCATGGCTAAGCGTATCCGTCAGTAGTTCAATTGCTTTGGACTGCATAGCGGAATCGCGTTGTTGTGCTAGTTCGAGGTAGAGTTGGGGCATGGCAGAGGGTTTGCAGATGATTCGTTCTGTGCTCGTGGCTTGAGGGGAAGGCAATATGAAATTATTCTCGAGTAATGATAGGACTCGTCCGGCATGATTGTTCAGCTCTGGAGAAGATGGCTGTTGGCCATGTAGTATCCTCTGACTACTCCTGATCAGGTCGGAAAGTGTCCAGTGTTGCGCGTATAGCAATGCGGTATGATACCTCACAGGTCCTTTCGTACCACTGGGTTGAGTAGACGATGACATGTCCAGGATCTCCTGGAATGACGACCGCCAGAATGCGACTTGTTTCTTCAACATTGCTATTTCGGTGTGGACGAAGGGCGGATGGTGACTGTCGTCGGCGACGGTTATTTCAGAAGGTGAAGAAGATGGGAAATCGAGGGATTCGGGTCTTCGATTTACCACTATAAATCGAAAGAATCGAGACTGAATTGTTTCAAGCGCAATCTGAGCTTCGATAGCATTTCGAAATTGATTCGCAATCATGGGGCCATATGTCATTGTAGTTGTATCTTCGGTCTCGTTATCGTTCAAATATGAAGAGGGTAGTATATCGTCAAAAAGAGTAGCCTGAAGACTAATCTTTGAGAATATTTCCAGCAAAGAAGCGAGATCACCCGAGGATCGTGACGCGTGATCACTCTTCTGTTCAAATTTCATCCATGAATTCAAGATTTCCGACGCCGCTCTGAGATGGGTCTTTGCATCCTCGAGTTTACCGATTGATCGAGCGGCGCCATACAATATGGCAATGGAGATCAAGATTACTTCTCGAGAAGATCGAGGCATTGGCGTAGTGACAATGTATTGTCTCAGAAGCCTCAGAGCATTGTTGTATTCCATCAATGGCATCACCTGAAGACTCCTCTCTTCGGCACTGCTCCATCCACGCGACGGATTGTATTGGTGATGACTGGAACTATACGCTATCATACACCGACGTATAACGGGCTCATGGGCGCTCCATTGTAACACAGTGCTGGTCCAGAAACCAGTTTTGGGATATTGAGATAACGCTTGGCTTGTCGTAGCACAATAGTAGTGAAGTAACTGCTGATCGCGACGAGTTCCTGGGATACGGAAGGGAATATACTCTGTCAGACTTGAAAAACATTCGTCTTGTATAACTGTATGGCTGATATTGTCATTTTTTTTCCGCTGGGGGCTATCACCGTCCCCTGTCGACGATGAATTGCCTCTAATTGATGGTGAAGTGGAGAAAACATCGCTGCTCTTGCTGAGAATACCCTTTCTTGAGCGGCGCTCGCGACCTTTGCCTTTGTTTGTTTGATATGATGATTGATACGCTGAAAATGTATTCGTGCGAAATAAGACGTCTACTTCGTCGCGGTAGCCGGGGCATGATCTTCCTTTTCGGAGACAAGGTGTGCAGTGAGGGCGGAGAAGGTCGCACTATTTGTTGCCAATCAAGACATATTAGCTGTTTTGATTCGAGGATGATTCGGGGGGGACGGCTTACCTTAGTCCGTCGTTGGCGACAGGCATGACAATCGCGACTTGGCCGGCCGACATTTGGCATGATTGATATTGGACTCGATGATCGGAGTGCTCACTTTTCAGTAAGCGACGATGATCGTGATGAGCCCAACATCAAGTCGTGAACATCATCAACAAAGTAGAAGAGCACAAAGCTGTCGCAACGGAGTCTCCGCGCAGATCAAATGAGGTCTACATTTGTGCAGGTACGTAAGTACCAGTTACACAGTAAGTCATATGCCATTAGTGACAAGCCCGTCATTAATTATACCCCAACCTTAGTCAATGGAATCAGCTACATCGGCGTGAATATGATTGATGCGACAAATAGTCCCCGTGAAATGAATCTAGGTGCCAGGATGACCCTCATGACACTAAGAATGAAGAGGATTAGCCTGGGTCTGGACGTCTCATTTGTTCTTATTTGGGAAGGTAATTCGACGCTACTTGGGGGCGACTAGACCGTTTCCGAATTAGGGCTATATGCCCCAGAAACGTTTGAATGGTATTCACGATGAGAGCCTTGATTCGCGATTCAACCTGCTCATTCGTCATTTGTAGTATGTAGAATGATGGCTGATGCGAGTATGTGATACAAAGTCTGTAGTACAATGGTGTACGATACAGTCTTAGTATTCCGATAATACATCCTCGCAGTAAGTGTGGAAACTCCACAGGCATTATCAGATTGCTCCATTCGTATCTGACTTCTGATGAACTCTAACACTGGTTTCGAAGGGTGAGTAGCTTGATGGATTCAATTAGATTGTTCGGCACGTTCATGACTTGGGGAGTATTCGCGCATTATCTTCGGTGGTATGCTACCACGGTAGTGTATTGCCCATAGACTGCATGTCTCCCATATGATATTTACCCCTGGTGGTTTCGAATTGCTCGGCAGATAAGTCGTTGTCCTTGCGTATATCGACCGATTTTGAAGGCCGATGCACATTTGCGTTACTCGAGATATAAAGTTGGAAGTTCTTGTTTGAGTCGATTGTCGATCTAACATTAACGCCAACAATCAAAACGAAGGTGATATGATATATACCCAGATGGGCACATGTGTCGAGTGAAAGAATCCCGTCTGATTTTCGAAGGCTGGAGATTTGAAGCTAGATTTCTCCATGGCGAAGTGATGATCTCCTGTAAAGAGTTTAGTCGAGGACTATCAGGAAGTAGATGGCAGATTTCAACCTACGACAAGCGTCAAGGAAAGCCCCGAAAGTATCTTCATTCCGAATGGTCGCTGCTATTACGAAATGTTTCACGCCATGAGATGAGAATAGACGAGATATAGCGTCGACGAGGAGGGGTATGATGGCTTTGTCATAGGTCTAGGTAAAGTTCAGTTAGAACCATCCCATGTCCGTAAAAAATGGACTCACCAAATCAGCACCAAATGCAACATCAAATTGCTCCTCTGTGCCACCAGCAGACAGTGGCTCGCCCCMTGACCACTGTTTCCCTTGGATAGCGTCCTTGCCTCTGACAAAACCATTCTGTTCTAAACATGGCCCGTTAAAGATATCCACCAGTTTAGCATTTCCATCGGTCATGAGTACTCTGTCAGAGCCCAGAAACTTTTGACATAATAATGAAAGGAAGCCAGTCCCGGCGCCGAGTTCTACAACTCTCTTGCCTCGAACTGATACTACTGATGATCCATCAGAGGAGACAGAAGAGAGATATGTGCCAAGATGTAGAGCAGCTTCCCAAGTACGAAACCCAGTTGAGCCAGATCCGTAAATTAACCCTCTTGATTCAAATGTCGTTATTTGCTTTCTTTCTTGACATCCATCTTGTGGAACAGTATAAGAGACGAAAGAAAGCTGTGGCTCTGATGTATCTAGCGATGACATGGAGGAGTCCTCTTGTGTCGGTTGCGACATCAGATCAGTCATGGCCGTCATCAAGGGCTCAATGATTTCCTACATAGACATTATATTAGCCTGTGTAGGTACACTGATTTACGATACAAGGGAAACTACGTACATCCTCCTCGGGGTCCCATTGCTGGTCATTTTCAATAACAGCAATGATCTTTTTCAAAAGTCTCAGTCTATATGCAGCTGGTGGTATGACAGGAGTAAGAGGGTCCTCGTTGAACATCTCATTGTAGAGGCGGTTCTGCGTAACGGGGTTTTTGAGGACATTTGACGATGGTATGGTCAGGTTTCGAAGGTCCACCAACTCAAAATACTGCGCGATGAGACGCGAGACATCTTCTGTCCTTTCCATAGACGCCATCTGCGATTACCATCGTCATGAGGCGCAGTATATAGAAAGTTGAAGTTGGGAAGGAACATCGACAGCCTGGGAGGGAAATATCTGATTATGTAATGCTATCTGTGCATTACCATTGGCTCGTCAGTCAACCATGCCCTAAGCCACTTCCAGCACTAGCGCCGCTAGCCGAGAGCAGCCCACATGACTTTTCAACCACCGCACGAAAATTGATTTGTGTGCGTTGAAGCGATTAGACAGCGAACCCGCCAACATCCACCATCCGCCAACTTTTTTCTGTGTTGTCGTCGAAAGCACTGAATCTGTTCTTTTTCGACAAGGACTTTTCGACAATCAGAAAAAATCACCTTCATCATGGCCGACGCTCCTATTACCTTGCGGACGCGCAAGTTCATCCGCAACCCTCTTTTGGCTCGCAAGCAGATGGTCGTGTAAGCTTTACCTTATCCCTGTGATGCTGAAACAGTCTGTGTGTGTGTTCTTTTTGGTTCTCTTGATATGCTTGGACGATTTTCGCGATGGATGTTGCGACTGGAAACCGGTACTCGATGCGGACGTACTCGACAGACGTGGCGATGATGGCGATTTCGAGATAGGCCTGGAAGACCAATCGAAAGATATAGTCGGATTGAATGGAGAAAAGGGAAAGACGAGAATCTTATAGTGTGGACACGACAAGATTGGCACATATTTCTGGATGGTAGATTCGAAAATCGAAGGAGTGGTATCAATTTCGTCTCGCTGCTCGCATCAACCACACTCTCGAATCCGCCGCAATCATCGTCAGCATATCAAGAAGAATCGAAGGAACATAGAGACTGTCTTTGCATCGACTGTCGAAAATCTGCAATCTAACATATATGTAGGGACGTCCTCCACCCCAACCGCGCCAACGTCAAGAAGGATGAGCTCCGTGAGAAGTTGKCCGACCTCTACAAGGCCAACAAGGACCAGGTCTCCGTCTTCGGTTTCCGCACACAGTTCGGTGGTGGCAAGTCCACTGGTTTCGCTCTTGTCTACGACTCCCACGAGGCTTTGAAGAAGTTCGAGCCTCACTACCGTCTCGTCCGTATCGGTGCTGCCTCCAAGATCGAGAAGGCCAGCCGACAGCAACGTACGTCCTTAGCATCTATCTGGGCTGATAACAGGATACTGACGCATCACAGGCAAACAACGCAAGAACCGCTCCAAGAAGTTCCGTGGTACCGCCAAGACCAAGGGTCCCAAGAAGAGCAAGGACTAAATCATTCCTTCGCTGGGGTGATGATGGTGATACAAAAAAGGGCGTTGATAATTGCATTGAATTTACGAAATCTGGGAATAAATTACTATTCTTTTTATTGACTCCAACAACAAACATTACATTTTTCATCCGAGTTTCAGATCTGTTCTTGTTATATTTTGGGGCAAGTTCAAGGCAAACAATGCATCGTTCCCTTTTTCTGTAAAGTCTGTTGTGTATGCACAGTGCAATCTGAGAAAAAGAAAAGAGCAAAAAGAATACAAAACCAGAATACCCTGACTTAAATCCGTCCTTCTTGATGCATGTTGAACCTCGCCCTCGCCTTATCGTCTTGTACGGAGCATGCTGCCATTTTGATAATCCAAAGACGTGACTCAAACTACTGAAGTCTATATCTCTCGATATTGAGAATCAAGAATACGAGACGGCGGCTGATCATGTGACCTGATGTCTCAAAAATCAGTCGAAGGCCCCCTAATCGCTGAATGCAGCTGTGTCCGTCCCATCTAGTTCAGTCCCTTTCACGATTCACACCCTTTTGATAGAGCCAAGTTCCTAATAGCATATCGCACAGACATTCTAGTCATTCGACGAGGATGAGAGGGCGAGCAGGAGAATTTAGTAGGGATATTTACACAGTTCCGATAAAGCTATACCTGATACAGTAAGGCACACGTGCTTACTAACCAGATCATGTCCGGCATCCGACATTGTGATTGGCCAAATCCGAAAACTTTATTAGCCCTAAGAAGCAACCAAGCCTAATCAGGAATGTAAGTGGTATTAGCCCCGAAAATCCCTCCGTCATCATCCATCAGGCACAGACGATCGTGCTGTTGTTTTTTTCTTTCTTCACGTAAATTTCTCGTCGTCGCTCAATTTAATTTCTCCCTTCGTGAGGACGTGTACGCAGGCAATGGTACCCTTGGACTGAATCAATTGCTGGTACGAGTCTTTAGAGAATGGGAATTTAAGCTATTGCCTCGGGATATCGACATCGGAATCCAATTTAAATTCTCGCGTTAACAGTGTTTGAGTCGACAGGCTGTGAGCTCCAGCAGGGGCCTGACTATAATGCCTTCCTGGCCGAAGATCAACCAAAGGGTTATAAAAACCCTCATTCGGTGCTGGGTTCCAGCATGGATAGGTGTGGTGTTGATGGTGATCAACCCGTCATTACACAGAATTGGCCAAGCATCGTTCTTCATGGTGTAAGACTGGAAGAACCCCAAACATGTTGCGACGGACGTCTTGCTGATAAATTGACTTGTAGAATGATTCAGATGATGTGCCCTCCGACCGGCATAGAAACAATCTTTATCTTCACGGCATTTTCTCTCTGGCTGGGTATGTTACTTGCCTGGGGCTGGGGCTCTATCGTCGCGAAAGCAGCCTACGCAGCGCGACCAACTGCAGATTATCAGGCTCAACTGCAGAATTTGCAACAGGTCKCGTCTCAACGTGCGAATTCATCCGGCCTACCTGTTGCTACCGAGGCGCAGGCTCTGGTATATGAAGGGTATATGCTAGACGCTCGTGTGTCCGCGGTCTTTCTGGTTCTTGGTATCGTTTTTATCTACTGTGTCTCGCTTCTACGCATGAAGAACCCGAAATTCATCTTCACTCAAATTTTCGGAATCATCATCACCGACATCTATATGACAACCGGTTCTCTATTGCCGTCATTCAATGGCACTCTGCCAACTTTGATCATTGAGCCTGCCTCGATAGGATTGGGACTTGCTTTTGTTGCCTCGCTTTTGCTGTTTCCTCAGTCTACGTCTCACGTTACTCTGGACGCAATGGAAAAAATTATAGATATGCTCAAGACCCCATTAAATATAACCAATGAGGGACCGGTGGAGGAAAAGAAAGAAACCCAGGTCCTCGCCGGCTTGAACGCTACAAAGCAAGCTTTGCTTGGTCAATGGAACGAATTACAACCAATGGTTGGATTTCTCAAGCTCGATCTTAGCATTGGTCGGTGGAACGACAAGGATATCACAAGCGTGGTGCAAGATTTGCAAAAGGCATTCATCGGGACTATGAATCTTTTGAACTTTCAAATTTCTCGGCTTGGTGGTACGCTTCAATCTCAGAAAGCACTGGCGTTAGAACCAGCAACTACAGCTTCCTCGGAGGACGATGGTGAAGAGGCCGGATCTACAATGACATCACTCAGAGAGAAGCTCAAAGGCAACAAGGATATTGGTTTCCATCAATTGAGCGAATTCGCTGTATTTCTAAAAGCCATCAATGATTCGGATAGTGCTGAAATACGGAACGAAACTTTGACCATGCTGCATGAAAATAGCACAGGAGTTATTGAAGCTTCTCTTGAAGCGTTGGATACGGTCAAGGAGTGTTTCCACACTGTCAATACTACAAGAATATTCAGCCGGCCGTCTCAGGAGACTCAAGAACAGCATGTTAAACGAAGTGAGGCTGCTTTGAACAATCTGCGGGTTGCGCGAGCTACGTTTGTCGAGAAGACTACCGATGAGCTACTGGAGGCTAACGCCGAGTTATTTGATGACAATGGAAAGGTCAAAGCAATGAATACTCACCTGCGACACCGTTTCCGCGCTGTGATGTTCGGCATGATATTCGAAGAACATTTACTCGGCGTCGTTGATGGCATCCTCCCTCTACTTGAAAATACTGCGTCGCATTACAAGGACAAGACTCGCACTCGGATATGGTTCCCCGCTAGAATCCGATCCATCGCAAAATGGATATTCAGACGATCTGAAAAGGCTCCTGTTGCTGCGAATACTCCGTTCGGAGATCCGGACGAAATTGTCGATCAGTCTGAAGTACTTCAAGATAAATTAGGAATTGCTAGAGGCATTAAGAAAAGACCCGGCTCGAAATTGGGAAGAGCCATCAGTAGTTTCTACCGGTTTCTTGTTTCACCTGATTCACTCTACGCAATTCGCATGGTGGTAGTGTCTATCGCTGTGGCTATTCCTGCCGTCATCCCCCATACAGCTGGATTCTTCTACAGAGAGAGGGGTCTCTGGGCTCTGATCATGGCTCAAACGACTATGCTCGCTTATATGGCCGACTTTACTTATTCAGTGATAGGCAGGGCGGTTGGTTCAGTTGTTGGTGGAGTACTAGGCCTTGTAGCTTGGTATATTGGGTCTGGTAATGGCGGTGGAAACGCGTTTGGTTTGGCAGCTAGTATTGGAGTGATGCTCGTTCCGATCCTATATGCACGCGTGTTCTTCCCTCGTCAGTTCATGATGCCAGTTATTATGGGTGCCGCGACATTTATGTTGGTGGTCGGATACGGCTATGATTACAAGTGAGTCCCTAGTTGTATTCAACTCTTGGGAGCCCTTTCCCACTAACACAATTGTAGCCACGTAGTAGCATACGGCTTACCCGGCTATGGATACACAATCTTCTGGCGGCGATTACTCCTTGTTCTCATCGGTCTCGCAGCCTCAATCATCGTGCAGATCTTCCCACGCCCAGTCTCAGCAACTCGACATGTCAGTCGCGCGCTCTCAAACTCTATCCGAACATTATGCGATCACTACGCTCTTCTTCTCTCATCGCTCGGCGAGGCTCATAACCCCGGCCTCCAAGACGTCGTGGGACAATTATCTATTCAACTATCCGCATCCTTGGGCGCACAGGACATGCTAATCGCACTCATTAAATTCGAAATCTCAACCACAAACTTCGACAGCACCGCCCTCCGCAAAATCAAGACTCTCTGTCTAGAACTCAACTACTGCCTCGGCCGTCTGCTCTATATTACCTCCTCGTTATCCATCGAATATCAGGAACTCCTCTCACGCGAGGTCGGTCTTCGTAGCCACCACGCTATCGGCGACGTCATGGCCGTGTTGGGTGTAATCGAGCAGTCTCTCAAGACCGGCGACGCGCTTCCAGAAGTGCTCCCCACGCCACTAGTGAAAAGATGTTTTGATCATTGGGTCAAAGCCGATCTTGATTTGATTATGAGCACGACGAAAGCAAAAGAGGAAGAGTATCGCAAGTTTTGTACGGCGTTGAGTTCGTATTTGAGGTTTTTGGGGGCTGTGGATGATTTGGTGCTGGTGATGAAGGAGACGTTGGGAGAGGCGCATGTTGTGTCGAGGGCGTTGCTGCATCAGATTTAATTCATTAAGGAAGTTCATTTATGTACATTTTGTATAATCTATTTGGTTGAAAAACATCAAATGACTAAGTTTTTCGATGAAGCGGCTGGATGGCTACATACATGTACCAATTGATGTAGAGTTCCTGACAGGATCAATGTTTGTAATCTCTCTGCAGATTTATATCAGAATTGTATTCATGTAACAGGAATTGCCTATGGATGCGCCACAGGACGTTTACCACGTAGTTATAAAATGAGTAGCTGGTAGCTAGCTCCTTGAATCGAGAATTTTTATTTTCAAAAGTCTTTTTTCATTGAACTATTATTGCAAATGACCTTTCAGCATGCTATCCAGCAATGGCTGATACGCATATTTGGAAAATTATTAGGAACGAGCCATCAGCTAAACATCGATATCGCAAAAAATGTCAAGACCTGTGCACCCTTACACTACCACGGAGACCCGAGGGTATTGACCAGCAATGCTTCCCGAAATCTTCTTATGAGAAACGAGATATCAACTTTAAAAAATCCTGTTTGGAGCTCGTTTTCGTACTAATGACGCTGTAGCTTGTGACAAGCATTCGGCGTCGTCAACTCATCTCTAGCATCCTGAACATACACAACTCAGAAGGCGGAAGGGTCCTGATAAATGCAGCACACTAGAGTGTAAAGTATAGATAGCAAAAGGCTTAATAGTCTGTATCACTCCAGATACGATGATTAGACTGTAAGGCTCTTTTGGGCGTTTCCTCTTCATTCACAGATTATATAGTCTGACTCGCATAAGATCCAAGGCATTGGTGCTTTTGCATGAGACCGTAGACATTTACTGGGCCATCATTTGCCAAATTATAAGTAGCATGACTTTTTTCGCCGAAGAAACGCCCATTCGAAAGCTTTTCTTGGGGTCGGCCTAGCCCGAGCTGCTCTGGTATGGTGTTGCACATTACAATCCAACCCAATCCAATCCAATCCAATCTAGTACGGGGTTTATAGTGGAATGAGAATTGATGATAGGTTTGTTCTACGTACTTCGTCACTCCGTAAGCAGAAATACCCGACGGGAAATTCCATTTAGCCTCGGAAAATATACAGATTACACCACCGGCGATCATCAGAAGTTCTAAGTTGTTTCGGTAAGGGATTGTCAGTACAGATGGACTTTCCCCGCATATACACCGGCACAAGGTTGCATCACTAGCTTTCTACGATTACTTCTAAATCGAGATACGCCTCTTCACGACATGACAAGTACTCCCCACCGGAAACTTGCACTTTTCGCGCGAAGGGCGGAGTATTCAAGCCTGATGTATTACCTAGATTTAAAACCGGCGCAGGATGTTTCCCGTACCACACGCCTAGCTTCTAGATGAGATCACTTAATGTTGAGCAGCAGCAAAAATGACTTCTATCAACAAGTACTTGGCTTTGTACGCCTCCTTCTTTTTTTCAGCATTGGCTCAATTGGTGTTCAACCCGGTGAATAATTTTCGTCCAATTTCTGGGGAAGCTCCTTCGCTTCCCCTCAATATAGACACACTCTTCAACAATCGGGGGTTTGGAAAAGTACCCGGCGATGCTGATTTCGATGGTAGCGGCGGTACGATTGACTTCTTGACGCATTCGGAGGGAAATCTCCTAACTGATTTGTTTTGAATGATAGGCGCCTATCCTGCCGGAGACTTGCCGCCGTCCAGTTTTATCTACAATGGTATAAACTATTCGTTTCCTGAATACGTACCCGTAGGGAACGACAATGTTGTCGCACTTGGGCAGACTCTCAATGTTCCCCAGGGGAAGTACTTCAGCCTGCAGATGCTAGCGGCGTCCGAGTCCGGCATGGAGGCCGGTTCGGTCAATGCAAAGTATGCTGACGGCACAACAAGCACAGGGCAAATCCTTGTACCGCCATGGTGGAGTTGGCCGTATCCTGCCGGAGGAGATCTGGTGTTTCCGTACCATCTCATCAATGATGGCATCGATTACAACCGTTCTAATATCTTTCAGACGATCAGTTGGTTAGATTCATCCAAGGAACTGGTTTCCTTGACGCTGCCTGATATTGGAAACACCATCGGATCCAGGATGCATATTTTTGCCGCATCACTGTCTCCTGTATCCGCATCGGTTGCTTCTGGTCCACAGCTGGAGGTCCAGTTTGCACGATCAACTCAAAAATGGGTTGATGGGACCGACAAAACTCAAATTATCGAAGTGCTCGTGAACAATGTTGGTTCAGACATGGTCTTGGCAAACCATTCAGTCAGCGTCACTGTTGACTCTCCGGGACTGCAGACAGTGCAAAAAGGTACTATAAAAAGACTGCGTGCTGGCGATCAGGTCACTGTGGATATTGGGGTGGTTAATAAGCCTGGAGTCGAGCCTGGCAGCACTGGTAATGCGACTATTCTCGTGTCGGGACACGATGTCAGAAGTAACGTGTACACGTTTAACGCAACTTACGGTATTGGCTCCTATAAACCGACTTACGAATCGGTGTACTCGCACGAGTCCCCAAATTGGTACAATAATGCCAAGTATGGCATCTTTGTTCACTGGGGTGTGTACTCTGTTCCAGGATGGGGAAACTCGGGTTCCAGGGAGGCATATGCTGAGTGGTAATGCCATATGCACTCAAGTCGAAAAAGGCACTGCTCATGCTTTTTTAGGTATTGGTGGTCTCTCAACCAAGGGACCAGCTCCAACACACAGACATATCAGTATCACCTACAAACTTACGGTCCAAATGTGGTATACGACGACTTCATCCAGAACTTTACGGCGGATGCTTGGGATCCTAAGGAATGGGTAGATCTTTTCGCCGACGCAGGAGCTAACTATTTTGTACAAGTCAGCAAACATCATGACGGATATGCTCTCTTCGATCTCCCAGCAAACGTAAGCATGAGAACATCGGTTGCTCAGTACCCGCATCGGAACTTGTTGAAGGTATTTCGGGTTTACTTAGATTCTATTGATGACAGAAATAGTCAAGTCTAATGAGTAATAGGAGCTTTTTGATGCTGCCCAGACATACCAGCCGCATCTCCATCGGGCAGCTTACTATTCATTGCCAGAGTGGTTCAATCCGGCTTACGAAAAATATGGCTTCGGAAGCTGGCCTGGAGGTATGCACCCTATCATTTGGTGGATGTTAGGAACACACAGACTCTAAATTGCAATTAGGGAATGCAACCAATCCGTTCAACAACAAAACTCTTCCTTATACTGGTTTTGTTGAGATTCCTGACTACATTGACGACGTCATGCTCCCCCAAATGAATGCCCTTGCTGACCTTGGCTCTGAAATTATGTGGTGTGATATTGGTGGGCCAAATAAGACTGCCGAGTTCGCGTCATCTTGGTACAATCGTGTAGCTGAGCAAAACCGCCAAGTAGTGATGAATTCGCGGTGTGGATTGCCTGGTGACTTTGACACCCCTGAATACGCACGTTACTCTGGGGTCCAAGTTCGCAAATGGGAATCCAATTTGGGCATGGATCCTTTCAGCTACGGCTACAATCGGGCTACCCCCTTGTCGGATTACATGAATGCTAGCACAATCGTGACGAGCTTAGTCGATATTGTCAGTAAGAATGGCAATTTTCTGCTAGATGTAGGGCCGCAGGCCAATGGCACAATCATCGAAGTCGAACAGCGCAATCTCCGGGAGGCCGGGGTATGGATCAAGTCCCACGCAGAAGCCATCTTCAACACGACGTACTGGTTTGTGACTCCTCAGGAGGGCCAGGATATTCGCTTCACGACAACTCCTAATGCTTTCTATGTCTTAAGTCTTGCAAAACCGAATTCAACCATGATCCTGAGCAGTCCGATTCCATGGATTTCAGGAGACAGAGTCACTGTCGTTGGCGGCAAGCGGAACGGTGAAGTAGTACCTAGTCAACAACTGAAGGATGGATCTATACAGTTGAATATTTCACAGTCAATCGCTGATGCAGATCAATACGCCTGGGTATTCAAGATCACGTACTGATACTGGACTATTCATATAACTACGTGAGAAAGATGTCGATCGGGATGTTATTAATAATGTTGTCTGGAGTTTCAATCCCCTGTCCTAAGCCAAGTCAGTGATATACTTGTTTGAAAAGATTTGCAAGGTACAGTCTGATATACAGTCGGAGAGTCAGTTTTCATGTACTCTTCATTTTCCGAAAGAGAAGGTTTCGTGTATGAGAATCCATAACAGAACGATGTCGGTCCCTCTGTACCCCCTTAGGCGTAGCTTTGAAAATGAGCGCAGTCAAATACGACATTCCGAATATGCGATAGCACGTAAATCATTTATAATGGGGCCCAGCAACAGCAATGTATTTGTGTTTTTACACCTTATTATTCAGATAGGGAATATAGCGCTCTCATTCGTAAAAATCTGGCTGTCAAATAACCACTTACTACCGTTATGTCCTTATTATTGTGTATCTAGAGAATATAGAGCTTCCGACGATGCAATGAAACTAAGCTCTCGTCATATAAAACATTTTTCCCGCGAAGGCGACGTTGCACGTTGACCGTATAGTTCATATTAACCGTACGTCAAGAACTCGGAGATTGAGGATGAAATGCGCTCTTGGAGCGCTATTGCAGCTTTCTAATAGCTGCGTGAGTAGAGCCTGTGTACTATTGAAATATCAGCATGTGATCTTTTCAGCCGGGTAAAATGAACTATCTAGATTTTATACTGACTTGTTCTCAGTCTAAATACATGTGCACTTCTCTGAATGGAATTTTTCCAGAGCTCTCAATAGTTCATCAGTCTAATGGGTAATTGACCATCTATACGACAACCAGGCTATAATTACCCGATCTAACGTCATTGTAGCTCACTAGTCAACTGATTCATAATCCCAGTGGCTACTTATATGCTTTATTTGGAGCTGTATTTGCCTCGAAAATGTCACTCGGCATGATTTTTCAATCAGCTTATTCTGGTTTATATCGAATACTAACTTTATCGACTTGCTTCCTACATTGAGCTTCTCCAGCAGTGACATGATAGCCGAAAAGATGAGACAGTCACCATTTCACATGCTTCTGCCCCTTATCGTTCTTAGCATTTGTTCTATGAGTGGCTTGGCCAGTCATGTGGCATATGAAGAAGTTCCGTCTCTAGAGGGAAAATCGTTACAAGACATTGTAAGTTGATCCGCTTAGTCTCTAGGTGACAATATTCACTCCAATCAGGTTACGTGGGATGACAAATCCTTCTTTATTAAAGGCGAAAGGATAATGATTATCAGTGGTGAATTTCATCCTTTTCGGTAAGTATCTCTACCAGTGTTTTCTCAACCGCCATGATACAGTGGAGAAATGATGGCCAAGATTGAGAGGGGAAAGAAGCTTGCTCCTTCTGTATCTGTTACAAAACCTGAGCTAATTAGTGAATAGCCTGCCGGTGCAATCATTGTACTTGGATATCTTCCAAAAGATCAAAGCCATGGGATTGGATTTTGTATCCTTCTACGTCGATTGGGCCCTAGTAGAGGGGGCACCGGGGCATTATAAAGCCGACGGTATATTTGCCCTCAAACCGTTCTTCGACGCAGCTGAAAAAGCCGGAATATATCTCACTGCACGGCCGGGACCCTATATCAACGCCGAGGTCTCTGGCGGAGGATTTCCAGGGTGGCTTGCGCGCATACCTGGCAATCTGCGAGATGATAATCCCTCCTATCTAGAGTCTATCACGAAGTACTGATTCCTCATCCAAGCGGCATTCTTTTTCTTTACTACCAGCTTGATCCGTTTCATCACTAACAATTTTCACCAGCTATCTCTCACAAGTCTCTGCGGATATAGCTAAAGCGCAGATTACAGAAGGCGGCCCTATCGTTCTATATCAACCGGAGAATGAGTACGGCGGGAATCGTGCTTATATGCAGTATGTTATTGATACCGCAAGAAACAATTCTATTGTCATACCTATGATTAATAATGACGGGGGTCCCAATGGTAATTTCGCTCCTGGCAGCGGCCTAGGCGAAGTCGATATCTATGGCTTTGACTGGTATCCGTAAGTATTCCTCCACTAGTTTACACTATCATGGTAAGAATCTCTTGACCGACTAATAATGCGACAATGGCCTAGAATGGGGATCAATTTCGATGTATGACCCAAATGATCAAGATTAGTTACTCCTGGATTAATATAGGACAAGACCGACCCTTTGAACTGGCCCGCAGGGGACCTACCAACCGGGATATTGGAGACGCACCTGAATATCAGCTCCTCAACACCATTGTCTATAATGGAGGTAGGTACTCTTCATCAACAGTGTCTCACCTCACGAATTTCCACGTGCTGGCCGCTTGTCGAATGACATGACCACTGATGATTTTAGTTTCAAGGTGGTTGGTTAGACAGCTGGGGAGGTCCGGGGATATTCGATAACGTTGAATTGACCGATAGTTCCTTCGTGAGAGTCATGTACAAAAATAATTTCAGCTTCAAAACTGCACTTATGAATCTTTACATGGTATAGTTACCCAGTCATTCTGCGAGATATCGGAGCTAATGTCATGAAGACTTTTGGCGGTACAAACTGGGGAAATTTGGGATTTCCTGGCAGTTATACGTCTTATGACTACGCAGCTGCTATTTCAGAGACTCGCAATGTAACACGGGATAAATATGGGGAGACGAAGTTGATCGCCAACTTCTTAAAGGTTTCTCCTACGTACCTGGAAAGCACCCCAGCCAGCAACTACACGGAAGGTGTATTCACGAACACTACAGAGGTGGCAGTGACTCAACTTACATGCAATAGCTCCGCATTTTATGTCATCAGGAATTCCGACTATTCATCATTGGGCACGGTTTCATATAGTTGGAGGCTTGACACGAGCATGGGCAACGTATCGATCCCCCAACTTCCGGGAACCTTATCACTAAGGGGTCGAGACTCTAAAATGATCGTGACTGATTACAGTGTTGGTGACTTCAATCTGGTGTATACGACTTCCGACATCTTCACATGGAAATCGTTCAGCAACATGACTGTTCTGGTCCTTTACGGATCCCAGGGCGAGTACCATGAATTCGCAGTCACCATATCGAACCAGTCCAACCATTCTTCGGTGATAGTCGTGGAAGGAGACCAGTCGGATATATCTTCGAAGTACATCTCAGGGGCTCTTGTTGTGGGAATGCAAGTTTCTAGCCATCGTTCTATTGTAAGGATTGATAATCTTTTGGTAATCCTCCTTGGTATGTTTGTACCTGCCAGTTTCTCCTCTGCCAATGTCCCCAGCCTTTAATTAAATTCGGAAGTAGACGCAGCACACTGACGTTTCTATTAGAGCGCGTTACCGCATATTCCTACTGGGTACCACAAATTTCTATAAGCGCTACTTCAGCTGGATACGTCAACAGTCGCAATATCGCCAATTCAATTATTATCGCTGGAGGGTACATGGTTCGGACTGTGTCTCTCCAAGGCAGTGAACTCCACGCATCAGTAGATTTCAACAGCTCTACGACTCTTGAAATAATTGGAGTCCCTCCGCAGGCGAAGTCCCTGTTTGTCAACAGTGGAGCAGTTCCCCATTCAGTGACTGAATATGGATTCTGGTCCACAAACATTGAATACAACGCACCGGCTCTTGAACTTCCATTGTTACACAATCTGGAATGGAGATACGTCGACTCGCTGCCTGAGATACAGCCGTCCTACGATGACTCCAGCTGGCTCTGGGCTAATCATACTACGACGAACAATACTGGCAATCCCTTATTGACGCCCACGTCTCTGGATTCGACTGACTACGGATTTTATACAGGCTCGGCGATCTATCGAGGTTACTTCACCGCCACAGGAAACGAGCAGAACATTTCTTTGTCCACCCAAGGTGGAGACGCCTTCGGTAGTTCCGTATGGCTGAATGATACTTATCTTGGCTCGTTTACAGGAGATATCGACCATCCAAACTACGCTCCTAGTTTCAATTCCACTTATCCATTGCCAAACCTCTCGGCAAGCCAGACATACGTTCTTACCGTTGTAGTGGACAACACTGGTCTCGACGAGGATTGGACGTTGAGCAACGGAGAGAAACTACCTCGAGGTATTACCAATTACAGTCTGGATGGGCATTCACAAGATGAAGTCTTGTGGAAACTAACTGGAAATCTTGGGGGCGAGAATTATGCGGATCTCACTCGTGGGCCGCTGAATGAAGGCGCCTTCTACGCCGAGCGTCAAGGTTGGCACCAACCGGAGCCTCCCAGCGACAAGTGGATTTCGCGGAGCCCTTTTGAAGGTATCCAAGAGGCCGGTATTGCGTTCTTTAGCACAGAGTTTGACTTGGACATCCCATCGGGCTGGGATGTGCCGATATCATTTGTCTTTCGACGCAATTCATCGAGTGACTTCAGAGTGCAACTCTTTGTCAATGGGTACCAGTACGGCAAGTACATAAATAACATTGGACCTCAGCAATCTTTTCCGGTACCCGAGGGAATTCTGAACTACAATGGAAAAAATTGGGTTGCTCTGACGCTCTGGGCACAGGACCCTGAGGGCGCAAATTTGATGGACCTCGTTTTGGTACATGAAACTCCGGTCATCTCAACCCTTGAAGTTGAACCAGCTCCACAGCCCGTGTACTCCCCAAGGCCTCGAGCATATTGACGATGACCTTGTCTGAAAGCGTAAAGGAATTCCTTTTCCCCTCTATACATGATATCGAGCAATGTTTAGAGTCGATCCGAGGACGCTTTGAAGCCTATTGCGAAGTGGAAGAATGTTTGAACAATGGCAACGTTGGCTCTTGGTGTAGATCGTTGCGCAGTATGATCAATTCTCAGGTTCATCTTGATGTGGAAAGAGTTTGCAGGACTTATTAGGCTTGTGAATGGGGTGTGGACTATTCAGACCGCGACATTAAAGGATACACCATTGTGAAAGCTAAATCAAGGTATCAATGGGGTAAAACTTCATTTGCATCTCTAAAAAGCGGCGATTTGTTACTATTATACATTCAGACTCTCTTTCGCAGCTAGGCAGATAGTTCAAACCTTCACCTTCAACAGCTCCTGCGCATTCTTATACAAAAACTTCTCCCACTCCTCCCCTTCCTTGATCAATCCACTCTTCTTAATCTCCTCCAGAAAAGCGTAGCCCTTCTCATTCGCCGAAAACGGATAATCAACACTATACAACACTCTCTCAATCGGCATCGTCTGCAACAAACACGCCAACGGCGCCAACGCAAACATGCCACTCGTCGTCACCCAGATGTTTTGCGTCCACACGTCTCGAAGACCTCGCTGTCTGCCAAACCTCGACGCAATCGCAATGACGCGCTCGAGTTGAAAGGGAAGCATTTCACCCATATGGCCAATGATGATTTTGACATTGGGTAATGCATCAAACAAGCCAGCTGCATACAATTTCAGTATTGAGAGGGCGGTATCAGAATGCCAGCCCCAACCATACGCGCCCAGAGCATCGCCAATGCGATCATCGTAATTACCCCGATAATGAGCAGCGACCCCGGTCTTCTCGTCTGGGTATGAAGGGTGAATGTAAATCGGCACATCCAAATCCTGCGCCTTCTCAAACACGGGCCAGAATTTCCTGTCGTCGTAGAACTGTCCGTTTGTGTGATTATCAACCAAAGCACCCACGAACCTGTGCTCAATGACACAGCGCTCCAGCTCCTCTACCGCAAGGCCTGGCTCAGCCATCGGTAAAAGAGCGAAAGCAGCGAATCGAGTTGGATTCGCTGCAACGGCGGAGGCGAGTTCGTCATTTGCTGCTTTGCAGAGTTGTGGTGGTTGGGCGCCGGGCCCGTGGGAGATTACTTGTAGAGAGACATGACCATTATCGAGATCTTGGAGCCGCTCAGCAGCTAATGTGTTGAGTTTGGAGACGATTGGAGGGGGGAACTGGGCGTAGTGGTCTGTGTCGGAGGCGTTGCGGACGGCGGAGGAGACGTAGTGCTCTTCGAGGGTTATTATGGGTGTCATTTTGCTGTTTGTATGATGATATCTCGTGTTGAAGTTCAGTATCGAATATGTTGGAGATTTCTTCCTTCTGTATATGTTCCTTAGGCCGGAGTTGAGTAAAGCTGATCGTGAAAACATTGTGAACAATCTTCAATCTGCAAGGGTGCTTGACGTCTATTTATACTGATTCATCCAATACCAAACATCTAGCGCAGATAGCTCTTAACTCCAAAATCCGAGAAAAATGTAACTATTTGAGGATAGATTGTAGATTTATCTAGGCTCCGATATTTTATATTGTCCAATAAAGTGCATCGATTAATGAATGCAGGTTTGCTATACGAGAGCTCGGAGAAGATTTTGTTAGGGCTCGGATATGTAGTAGGGTTATGGGCTCGGATTTAGGCTCCAACGTCATAGCTCGGAGATCCCTACCTTTGCCTCACGGATATACCTAGTGGGACTAAACTTAGGACGTATCTACGACTAAGAAATGGACTGTAGTTTTGTAGAAACGAGGTATTTTATCTGGTACAATAGATACAATATATACAAGACTATCCATGTTTCACCACAGATGAAGACGGTGAATAATGAGCTATCGTCAATCGCGGTTGTGCCTCAACGACATACTCGACTCCATCGTCAGACGCATAACTCGGTGGACGAGGCTGATTTGACGCCCCTGTTGCGATCGTTGTTGCCCTCGATGCTGCCGGTGACGTTGACGATGATAATTGCGACGAGGAGTCGCTGGTAGAGGTGGATGGACCTGGTTCATTGTTGTTTGTGTGAGGAACGGTTTCGGGTTTAGGTGCGTTGTCGACGCGTTGCCAGTAGAGAAGGTTTGGGTTTATTCGCTGTATTCTTTATTTAGTCTAGTCCAAAGAAAGGAGGAGTCGAACGTACCACACTGCTACGCCAGAGACCATATGCCGGCGGGGGCGCGGCGAGTTTGGCCGTCGCCGCCGTCGCAGCAGCAGAAGCAGAAACATTATCACTGCCATCCGCTGCTGCGCCCTCGGTAACAATTTCCTCATCCCGCGCAAGCACGACGTGGATTGGATGCGTCGGCTGCGCATAGCCCAATGGGCCCACGACACTGGGTACACGGTGCAGACCAGTAGGGCCATACCTCGCAATTTTCGTGGCGAGCAGACAAGTGCGGGCGAAAGAATGGCAAAACACCATGGCGAAAATCATAATGAGTAGGATGAAGAATATGTGATATGTCTGTCCTTCAAGTGTTGTAAAGCTTATGGCGTAGACGAGGTCTGCTAGCCGTTAGTCCTAATATCACAGCAGATAAGGGGAAAGCGCACATAGAGAAATTAGCATGAGGAGCAACAGCCCTGTTACAGCGCAAATAACGAGGTGCTTGCGAACGAGTCTATCCTTGAGCGCGATTCGGTACGCATCCTTGATTTTGCTGGGAGGCGCTATTGTCGATGTGGATGCTGATGAAGGATTGGAGGATGAAGCCGAATTTTTCGGGTATCGGACCCAGCCATCTATATATCTCCTGCGTCGTGGTGGTCGCGACGGTCGTGACGAGCTCGATGGAGCAGTCTCATTATTGTTGTGGTTGTTACTTTCAACATCTGGTACGGATGGTACTCCTGAGGGTCCGGCGCCAGCTGTATCCATATTCATATTCATATTCGCAGTGGTTTCCGAATTTGTGGCCCGTTTTGTCCATTTCCAAGGCTTCACAAATCGGCCCGCCTTTTCCTTCCATGTCGGTGTCTCGTCATGCTCGAAAAAAGAGGATGTATCTGAGGGATGAGTGTCGTCGGCAACGGAACGGGGTTGTGCCGCTGTTTGTGAGTGAGAGGACTCCATCAGACCTCGGAGTTGCGTTGATAGCGCTGTATTGTCTATGCGACGGCGGAGAAGAAGAGGTAGAATGACCGAGGGGCAGAAGAGACTCTGCAGTGAATGTCGAGTCAAATCTTTGAGAGTAAACGAAAGTAAAGTCGTATCGCCGGAAAGAGTGGTATCAAGTATCGTAGATCAGGAAAAGCAGGCAAAACACAATATTAGTAGTAGATAATCAGCAGAACCGTCCAGCAGCCCTTTTCCAGAAATCAAAAACAGATCAGTTTGAGCGAGTGGGTGGTATCATGTAGCAATAGGACAAGACGCAAATCAGCACAATCCCATTGTGCCGCAAAGAGAGTGCGTATATTAATATTAGAGAGATAGCCTCACAAAGACGGGAAATGAGTTAAAAGAAATAAGAACTGAACGATCGAAAGCCAACGATTGGGAAATTAATATATGAATCCTAGCGACCCTCCCCAGGTCCATAAGCAAAAGCAAGTGGTTCGCGAAGGGGAGCCGGAGAATCAGGAAATGATCAATTATCAAGCAGCTAAACGGAGCTAAGAGACACCAGGGGTCCTTGGTCCCGGAATTGTTGCCGATGCGAAAGCTTAGTGGTAGTTCTGGCAGAGATAAAGCTTTGCACTAGTCTAGGTAGGGTAAAGGGGGCGCGAGCTAGGGCTCAGGGGGGTTTAGGCCCTTGAGGGAGAGTGATTGATAAGTTGATGGCCTGGCATGAATTGAGGACGTCCTGGTTTGAGGCTATCCTTGTAAGTACCCCTGTGATTTGACAGGATTACTCGTTGATCGAGTATGAAGATAATCGACCTAGGATTATGTATCGGTATTAGCCTAGGCTTGTATGCATACGTATGGGTCTCGTAATACGGAGTGCGTCTACGTGTATCAGCACAACCAACGCGTTTCAGATTACGCTATGCGCATGATGCTTGATACGTAGTCATACAACATCCAAGACGGAAAATTGTGGCACGAGTGTCTCACATTCGGACTCGCTAGGTCTGCACGAGACATTTGGATACTTTTACCGATTAACTGAATTGGAAATACTGTACAGCGATGCTAGGTTCAACGAGGCATCATCAACACAAGGGTTCGTCAGCATGTGATACACCGTAGAATATCCCACGGACATATTGCTCATGCATTTTGAGTCTGCAGGTGGCGTCAGAAGGCCTGAATATGAGCGAAATTGGCGTGATATAAGATCCTTGTGGTCGCAAGCCCCAGAACCCGAAGCAGTCGCGATGCATCTCAGCTTCCAGTATTCAAGATCATAAGTATCAGATATGCCGTGCTGCGACCGAAAGATAGCACGGCATGTGGATGGATATCAATCGATATTCGAGACAAATGACCCGCTAGCCCTAGTATGAATTGAACAATCAAGATCTTAATATCGAGTTATTTACCAAGTTCTCCAAGCAGAATATTTCGGTCAGATGAACCAGACACAACTAAAATGTCGTTAGCAGATGTATGTGCAAGTGAACTAGGAGAAAAAACTTACCGATAGGCTCGTCGTTTGGCGAAAATCTCACATCATTCACGGTTCCCTTGTGACCAGGTAGCTTGTACAACAGCTTGCCCGACTTTGCATCCCAGACTACTACACTGCGATCCCCGCTGCCAGCAGCGATTTTTTCTCCTTTAGGGTCCCAACTGGCACGAATGAGATTCTTTTCGATACCAACTGGTGCACCGTCAAAAGTCCGTACCGAGCGATCTGCAGGGGCAAAAGGCCGAATGTCCCACGTGCGCACTGTAGAATCATGAGAGTTTGATAAGAGGGTCTGCGAATCCGGCGATATCTGGAGAGACGTTATAGTATCGTTGTGTCCGATCAAAGAGTATACGACCGCCTTCTTCCGAATATCCCAGACTTTGATGTCGTTGTCAATACCGCCCGTAAAGATCTCGTTTCCAGCCTCTGATAACGCGACAGCCGTAATCGGGAAATCCGTCTCGATAAAATCAAGCGCCGCTTTTTGTCGTGGATCCCAAATTCCGATATAACCATCATCACTACCGCTAACAAGCAGTTCCTGGCCTCGTTTGCTAATGTCTAAGCAATTAATTACCTCTTCATGCCCCACGTGTCTTCTGATTCGTTGGCCAGTCTCGATATCCCAGCTTGCTATGGTCATATCTGCGGAAGCGGAAAAGATGAATCGGGAGTCACGAGACCATTGTAGATCCAGCACTGCTCCTTTATGGCCTGTGAGGACGCCGTAATTTTCGCATTGTTCGTAGGTACGCCATAGCACTGGAAAGGTGAATCAGTAGCTTGTATCGAAAACGACGAGTATCCAGTGACTCACTGATGGAACGATCCATAGAACCGGAAGCGATGCTCTGCGCCGTAGGGTCGAATCGGGTCGCAAACACTTCTCCTGAGTGGCCTTCGTATCGAGATTAGTGTTTACACAAGCAAAATTGAGAAGGGCGCCGAAGACTAACCTGTTAATTCCATGATTGGAGCTGCGAGCCCACTCGTTCTAGGAATCTGCGCTCAAATATTAGCAAGAATCACTGATAATAATCCCAGTACATACAGCTTGTACGAGTGTGCCATTTTGATCAGATCGCAGTGTGACAGCATTAGACTTGAGGTCGCTATTCGATTTTTGTCTTTTCACGACGAGCTGGGTTGTAGGGTTGAAAGTTTCTGAGGCTGGCCTTTTTTCGCCCGACATGGTGGCCGATGTGTGTATAGAAATGCGCGATTGAATTGAAAGTTCAAGAGGTATGAATGTGAAAAGCTGTTGGTCTGAACAGCGCGGTCAAATATTTCTGAAGCTGCGGCGGAAGGTGGTTTCCTTAAGCGCGGAAGTCCAAATTCAAGTTGAACATGCAGGTGCATAGACGCGCTAAACGCTTTCTGGCGGCGGGCCATTCATATCTCTGTCTCCGGACAACACCAACGTTCAACAGAATCAACACCACAGAAGCGAACCATACCAACCTGCACTTCTATCGAGTCTATATCAACTATACCGAGAAGGCCATTGATCATACCAATACTCGACGTGCGATCATCCTAAAATAGCGAAAGGAAACGACAATGTCCTCAACTACAAAAGCCGCTAGAATAGGGGAAGAGTATGTGCGACCATGAGTATTTGAATAGCTATAAACGAAGGGTGTGCTAATTCTGCTTTTTGTATACAGAATTTGGAAGTCAGTTAACCCGTGTATATTCCGGCACGTCGCGAAAGAAGGTGCATACTAAGCGACCTACAGGACAAAAATCGACAAAGTCAATGCCGAATTAGTTACGCTTACATACGGAACGATAGTCGCACAACTATGTCAAGACTACGATGGAGACTACCTTGAAGTCAATAAGCAACTCGATAAGATGGGCTATAACATCGGCATGCGATTGATTGAAGACTTCCTCGCCAAATCGAACACTGGACGATGCGCCAACTTTAAAGAGACGGCTGATATAATTTCAAAAGTAAGAATAATCCATTTTTGTTTCTTGGAACATGCTCAACTACGCCCGTATGGAATGGAAGAGTTGACTTGGACGGTACAGGTCGGATTCAAGATCTTTCTGAATATAACGCCAACCGTCACCAACTGGACGAGCGACAATAAACAATTCTCCTTGGTTCTGGACGAGAATCCGCTGGCGGATTTTGTCGAATTGCCGGACGATGATCGGGCGCAAGATCAACTGTGGTTTTCGAATATTCTATGTGGTGTGTTGCGAGGCGCATTGGAGATGGTGAGATACCACTTCCGAGGGTAATGCTTGTGATCGCCATACTAATGCGCTGCAGGTCCAAATGCAAGTAGAAGCCCATTTCGTCAGCGACGTCCTTCGTGGCAGCGACACGACTGAGATTCGAGTGACGTTGGTTCGATATATCGAAGACGAGATGCCGCCGGACGATGAATAAGTCGGCAGCCGAATCAATGAAATGACTGCAAGCTCTACGGTTACAGAAGACCAATATGCGGTCATACAAGAAAGGCGTTTAGGTTAAAGCGGTCTTATTGCATAAGAATAATAAAATATGTATTAAATGGTTGATGATATCGATCTAGATCTAGGACACCGCCTGCCTCTTAGGGCATAGTCCGGGACATGGCATGATCTTCCGGGGAACTTTGGGCTGGCCGGCGGGAGCTAAAGTCTATATAGTCTGATCTCAGCTTGCCCTAGCTGCACGGATGGACAGTGTAGATGTTGCGCAGTCACTAGCTACCATAGCGACTCACCTTGACGAGAGGATATTTTCAACAGCACCACCACCACTGAGTCACACAGACGATCCCTTGAAGTCCCCGACTGCTCTGCTGTCACTGGAGTTGTACAAACAAAACACGCTGCTAGGCCACACGAGGGGCTCCACGTGACGCGCTAGTACCCAATACGGCAACTTTGCCCCCACCGCCGAGCCCATTCTGTGCTGAGAAATGCGCAGGATCGGGGCATCTCACTATCGCTGTGCAGAGTAGTGTGCTTCTCATGAGGTACGCAGTAAGTACATGCATAGCAGATTTGATATTCCGGCGGTGCCAATGCTTCGTACAATTGAATATCAAATACAAGCAGACAGGCAAATAAATGGCTATTCTTCCACCATATGAGCTTCCCGTATACCGCCCAGCTGTACATAATAGTTTCACCCAGATACGCAGTCAATGTATACAATACAAACTGATAGAGCCCCAGGCGTACGTACCGCGGTACCGGGAGCCAGCGTGCTGACGGCTACGCGCAGTTTCAGCATCCCAGCCTCCATGAGTGGTCTCCGGCCAGGTTTTTCCGCGCCGGCCATGACGGCTGATGGGCCAATGGCAGCGCCAGGCAGGCCCTCTCTCGCCCTCCAGCACCTTCCCTCCTTCTCTCGCTGTCTCCCTCTCTCTCTCACTTTTCGCTCAACCTGCCGGCACTTCCAACTCCAAGCGCAAAAGAGGGCTTTTCGACCTTTCCTTCCTTTTCTCTTTTCCCCTTGTCGCTTTCCTACTGCCCGTTGCCCCTCCCAGAGCGAGCCTGTCACGTCAGTTTCGTGTCGGAGGTAGTGATTGATTGCTTAATTGCCTTTCGCGCGGCTGATCCACCAGAGCAGAAACCGCCTTCCCTTAATTCTTGCGCCCAAACCCATCATCCGGGCCCTTATCATTTTCCCCTTCGACCTGCTGCGTCCTGCACATCATCCATCTATCAAGCATACCTCCTGGAGCTTGCTTACTACTTGGCTCTGACATCCTCTTTCTTTACCTCTTCTTGTATTCTCCGGTGCTATCTCCCTTTAGGCTATTCCCTCTTACCCACCACCCCTTTTACATGGGTTTTTTGCCCGTTCTTGCTTGGCTCAAATCTTAACCTTTTCACTACCCGCGGGACTCGTTGCTGCATTTTTCGATACCCTKTTGCGCCCATCTGTTCTTCGTCGCAGTTCTCTCTGTTATCTTCTTATTCGAGAGCATTGCTGGGGAACACTCCAGTTGGAAATAATTTTGCTGTGAAACAAATCAGGCATTAACTCCTTCTGTCTCGCAACCGCGCAACMCCAGCCACTCCCCCGAGTCGGTTTCCCGTATTCGGTCCGGCTTTTGAATTTGTCGCACGCCGCTATTATCATACCAATTCTCGATGCCCATTTCTCTTGATAAACATTACGATTTATTTCATACCGAGAGAAATCGGTGATACCGTTGTTGTCGACATCTCGCTCACCCTTTGCCACATCGACCCCCCGGGCTCTCTTTTTTCCCGCCCCGTCCGCCCCGTGTGGTTTGATCCTGCTTTCGGTCGCGATACTATTTAACACAATTCACGCCTACATTTGAACACCAGCTTTGCATTGTCCTTTTCGATTTTGGATAGTGGCTTATTTGTGTCTTGTTGGATATTTACAATAAGCCATTTGTCACAGTCTATTGTGGCATTTCCCGTCTGAGACTCAAACGCGTTTGTCCTGCGCTTTCCTCTCACTTGCACATCCAACAATTGCACACCCTGGCGACGTAACGCCTTGTGCGCCATTTTTGTTACTGAACAGACTGGATCTCATATCTTAAACTTGGGCGGTGGAAGTGGCCCAGTGGGCTCTCTCAGCCATGAATCCAATGAACATAGCTGGCATGGCTGGGATGAATGCGATGCCAGGTGGTCCTGTCGGTGGTGTTCCTATGATGAACACCCAATCAGTTTCGCGAGACCAGAATATGACACAGGAGAGCGTCTATATGCAGCTTAACACATGCATCTACGACTACTTTCTCAAGCGCGGCCAGTTTGACGTGGCGCGAATGCTATTAAATGACGACAACATCAAACTAGACACCGACGATGCCAAATCCAGTCCGAACCACATGAATGGTGTCGATGGCGATACCTCGATGGGCGACAACAAAGATGAAAAAATAAGAATACCCGACGATTTCCCCCGGCCTCGTGTTCCGATGGATTCAGGAAATTCTTTTCTGTACGAATGGTTCAGCCTCTTTTGGGATATCTTCGCCGCACAACGCAAAAGACCTCCTATGAACCAAATGGCCCAGGCCTATGTCAACAGCTCACAAGTTCGTTTTCTCTCGCAGTGTTCTTGCGAACTAATCATGCTGACTAATCTCCTTCTCCGCGATTGCAGGGTTTAATGCGCATGCGAGAACAAGCCAATCAAAATTTTCTGCGTCAACCTCAGATGATGATGCAAAATCAGATGGGTTTGCGTCGCAATGGGGTGCCAAACATGAACAACATGAACCTGCAAAAGACGGCTCTTCAAAATAACGCATCCGGAATCAATGCCTCCGCAATGTACGTTTGTCCTCTTATACTCTGCGGTTTGATTAAGTTTGGCCCTTCATGAGTAGAATCCGTTAATTGTGTTTTTCTTTTTTAGGAATCCCCAACAAATAGCTCAGTTACAGCAGACCAAACAGATACAGATGCAACGCGAACACTCGGATATGGACATGAACGGTCATCGCCCGCAGTCGCCATCTTCGGCCGATAACGCCCCGTCGCCGTCGAAACGACCACGATTAGAAGTCCAGCAAGGGCAGCCAATGCCTCCCAACGGTCGTGTACCCGGTCAAATGCCCGCTCAAATGACTCAACAGCAGGCGATATTGATGCAGAATGGGATGAATGGTCGGGGGATGAATCCAGCGCAATTTCAAGCGTTCCAGCAGCAGCAGGCTGGCCAGGCTGCAGCGCAGCAAAAATCCATGCAGGTATATGCTCAGAACTTGCTCCTTCATCACTCGCGCTCAGCAATGAATAACCAGGGCATGCCAAACGGATTAATGAACAACGGACTTATGCCGAACCAAAATGACCTCATGTCTCAAATGCCGGACGGGCAAGGCGGTATGCAGATGGTGAACTCGCAGTTTTACAACGGCGACATGGCTGGAATGGGTCGAGGAATGCCACAGGTGCCGAACGGGAATGGGAACCATGCACTCCAAGATTATCAAATGCAATTGATGCTGCTAGAACAGCAGAACAAGCGCCGCTTGATGATGGCTCGTCAAGAGCAGGATAGCATTACCACCCGCCCTGACGGTCAGCCTATGCCTCCTGGTCAACCCGGCCTACCTCCAGGTACTTCACCACAAGGCAGCCGAACCGGAGCGTCACCGAATCCGAGCGAACAGATGAAACGAGGAACGCCGAAGATATCGCAGACTGGACTGCCGGGCTCGCCAAGTGCCGGTGATCTCCAGGGACGTGGATCTCCCGCGTCCATGAACTTCAATCCTGGTCAGATGGGAGCAGATATGAACAACGCATTTTTCAACAACATGCGACCTCCAACATCGAATCAGGGAGGATTCAACCCACAAATGAATCAGATGCAGCAACCTAATGGGCGGATGCCAAATGCCAATTGGCAGAATCCAGGAGGACCGCAAGGTCAGCCCATGGTTGCACAACAGTCACCGGCGACACAGCCAGCACCCAATCCACAAGAGCGAAATACCATGCCGCCTCCATCTGCACCGCCTCAAGGAACCAAACCMCCCTCGCCTCAGCAAGGAGCTGCTCCGCCGACTCCCCAGCAAGCGAACAAGCCGGCACCTAAGGGTAAGAAGGATACCGCAAAAGAGCGCAAGGTACGTTTACTTCATGCCAGCTTGATTTTGAAAGTATATAGACTTAACTTGTCATCTTTGTAGCGTATCACAAAGAAGGGAGCTGCAGCGGCCAATGCCAACACTGCGGCGACCCCGTCGTCCGAGGCCGAACCTCCCCCAACACCAACCCCATCCACTCCCATCACGCCTCAGCATCCAAGCTCTTTCAAAAACGGAGTCAATGCAACGACGGCGACCCAGCAGCAGCCTACTTCGGCGCCTGCACCACCTATTGTACAGCAACCCGATCCTAACGTTACAAACTTTAATGACCTTGGCATGCCAGACGTATGTTTCCCTCTTCCGCTCATGAGATTTTGTGCTGACTCTTTACTTTCCAGCCATCAAATTTCAACCTCGACTTCAGCACTCTGGAGAATCCCGAGGTCTTGGAGAACTTTGACTTTGACTCATTCCTTAACACCGACGCTGATGCGACGGGTTTCGGATTTGATCCAAGTAGTATCACATACCCTACAGATGGAGTTGAAACAGGCACGGACGGTTTGTAAATTCGAACAAAACTGAACCGTTTCTGTTTGGCTTGTTCCCTCAACTTCATTATCTATTTATTTGACGGAGTCCACGGCGAGAAATTAATAAGGAAGGAAATGATACAAATGTCTTTTATTCTGTCTTTTGTCTTTTTCTGTCCTGTTTTGGGAACGGGAATGGGAAAAGAAGAGCAGGTTTTTCTTGCTCTCTTGATCCGATCTGATGAAATCGATTCTTTTTCAAGGGAATGGATTTGGGGGGTTGTGTTAAATTACTACACTTGTGTTGCCATTATCTTAACCCCCTTGTGTTTTATGCGCGCTTTATTCGATTTATGAATGTTTGATTACTTTTCCATCCCATCCATCCGTTTGCAGGTATCCTTTTCCAAAAATCATACTCACCATCATACCTCCTCATCTATGAGAACATTGAAATCCGATTTATACCCACACCTTTTCTTTCACTTTTCTTTTATTGTCCTTTTCTCATTTCACATTTTTTCCTTCTTGTGCGCATCATTATCCATCATCGATTATGTACATCCTATACTTATCCTCTCTCTTCTCCTTTTGGACCGGTTTTTCCCCCTTCTTTTTTCATGTGGTTCGCTGTTCAGATTCAGTTTCGATGAAGTTGAGCATCATCAATCGATCATTTTCAGGACACTTTATCTTTAAATTCTTCCTGAATGTTTGTAGTAGGGAGTAGTGTAGATGGTCATAGCTCGGTTGGTTCTGAGGATTGGTCTTGAGCTTTTGGGTAGGATTATGTAGGTGTAGATAGGAGGTACGTTACCTTTGTTACGTTTCGGGGTGCGGGCTGATGATGGATGTCTGGGGAGTGGTATAGATTGTGATTATCATGAAACTGCCAGGGAAGGGCCTTTCGAACCACAGAGGGCATTGGTACATTCACTAATTATGTTCATCTCTATACTCATACAAACATCCGCCCATCTTGTAACCATCATGATATAAAGCCAAATCTGACTCTAACAACCCGTGCTTCGAATAGATTCAATGACCTCAGTCATCCACATCAATTATGAGATCGGGTCTATCTCCATGGCGAAAGCCTTCTTCTTCAGTTCAGGGAAATTATCGATCTTCCGCTGCTGCTCCATCTCTTCATTCTCGAATTCATAATCTTCTTCGACCATTTTCAACAGGTACTCGACCACTTTCTGACAGCATCGTTCTTCGGCAATCAACCGCGTGCCGGGATACTTTTTGATCAAACCAATGGGCCCCGCTCGAGTAAGGAATGGTTCGTTTTGGAAGGTTGCCCACACCGTATAGGTGGATGGTGCGGGAGGCAGTTTGACGTTTTCGTGGAATTCGATCTGTGAAGTCAAGCGAAGCATGCTACACACCCCTTAACATACATCATATACATTAGTCTTCATCAAACCAAGTTCAATCGTTGTAGAGTCCTCACGTTCATATTTCTGACGACTGGTTTGCAATTTTTCAATGGCCCTTTTCAATTGATCTGGCGTCGCTTTCCACTTCCTTTCTGGTTTAGGCTCGGCTTGCACGTTTTCCGTGTTAAGGCGTGGGTTCGTGACCGGAACCAGATTAGACAATGTGGAAATAGATGGCTCACATGGTTTGCCGCGTTTTGATTGTGGATGAGTAGGCTTGGTGATTTTGTGAGGTGCATTCGCTGAGTGTATCGGCTTCAGGATTCTGTCATTGACCGGCTTGGACAAGTCCCTACCAGAACCGACATTACTAGAGATAGAAGGATGCTCGATCTTTGCTGGGAGGAAGTTGTCAGTAGTCGATGTAGGTAGCTGAGAAGAAAATGTTGAAAAGTTTTCATGCTCAAGTCTCGTGGCTGTAAGAGTCGCCTCTTGCAGCTCCTGAAGCTCCTGAATAAGCAGCAGATACAAAACCTCATGAGACGCTGCCTCTACGGCTTGGTCTTCGGTTTCGTAAAACTTGCGATGACCGAAGCTCGTCACAATTCTAGTATCGACCTTGCCTATATCGACTTGATAACGAAATCCGTTCTTGTGGACATATTTCGTAAGCTCTGGGGAAGGGTACTTCATATCTTCTGCGTAGGCTTTCCTGGTGTCAGAACATATCCGATGTACTGCTTGGAATGAAAGCTCACCTTGGAGCAGCTGTGCCCAGCGCCAACTAAATGCCGTCAACTTCTCGCTTGGCTCGTCAGGGACTTTCCAGTTCGCAAAGCGGACTTTTAGGATTGACAAGGCCACTCGACAAAGTTCCACCTTCGCGGCTGTCATCGACTCCAGTGCTGGAATTTTGAGGGAATCCCGATATATGGTGAGTTTTGCGCAGAATCGACCATCAACTGGATCCTTTGTGAACTCCACAATGGGATCGAGTTGCGGGTCTTGCAATCGCAGCACGCCAAAGTAGAAAAGGACCAACTTAGGAGATAGACTGTGGAGGTCTATCTCACTCAGCTGTGGACCTTTACTGACAGCAACCTCGGTGAAGTCAACAGGCGATAGTCTACCTTCACGGTCCGTGATTTGGCCAACACTTTTTTCGTCAAGAGATCTGATTACACCGTCTTCAGGCGATGCATAATCAGCATCGTCATACCCGCGAAACTGAGGGCTTGGCTTTCTCTCGACTGTCCTTTCGACTGACATGGACGCTGCCAGTCGAGCGCATTGCCCTTGAAGGTCCTGGCCTGTAGACGACACGCACTTCACAGCATCACTCAGAGACCCTTTCTCGTCGGCTTCCTTTGGAGTCCATGGACTTGCTTGGTTGCTCTGTTGAGAAATCCATGGAGAGGGCCCGCTCGAGAAGCTACTGAATCCAGCTCCTTCAGCCAGCGTCAGTCTCGGAGCAGTCAGGGGTGACACTCTAGACCCAGTCAACGATGGTCCAGGAAAAGTGCAATCTACTTTCACAAGCTGCTTGAGAGTAGATTTATCATCGGTCTCATGCTTCGACACTGGCGTCAAGCTGTGTGGCGTGTCCTGAGTTGACACTTTGGACTTGTCGTCAATGCCTGCCATGTCTGAACGTATCAAGTAGGTCTGCAATAGAATGAACGTAGAGGGAGGTGATGATCGAGACAAGTACGACGGGAGAAGTGAAAGGATGTAGAGAGGTTAGGCGAGATTGGAACTAGACGAGGGGAGACGCGAAGAGGAATATGAAGATGAAAAGGGGAAGAACAAAGGATGGAAGGAGACGAAGAAGTGGGAACTAGAGAGAGGAAGAGATAGAGAAGGGAAAAGGAAGAAGAGGATGGGAAGGTACACGGGAGAGAGACAAACGAACGAAAAAGGAAGGTGCCCGAAAAGGGTAGTCGCGTCACGCCCGGTGAACGTGCCATTCTACAACGGTTTTTACAAAGAAAACTGCAGGCGGCAAAAGAACCTGAATTATGTTATACGCTAGGGAGTGCTCACGACTAGTATACATAAAAGGACGTGTCGTAGAAGAGGTAAAGTCTATATATACTCGAATGTAACGATAACGCTTCCCGATACCTGCTCAAAATCTAAGCTCGAGCACTCAGATTTCCTCCTCATCAGCGGGAGGACTCTCAACATGGGGATTATGAGGGCCTAGCTTGGACACTTCTCTGCTGGAAGGCTCGCTCACAGGCTCAGATTCAATGGGAGCATTTTTTCTGGAAGACGTCTTGCTTTCTTTCTTGCCTTTGACTTTGACTTTCGGACTGACGACGGTCTTTCGAGTAGTGACAATCTCGTATACATGGTCCGCCTGACTGGACCTCGCACTTGAGCCTGAGATTTGCCTGAAGTCCTTCGGATCTGCCTGGGAGACGGCCCTGGACGCATTCTTTGAATATGATTCAGAGCGGGCTTGGGCGGCTGCCGACGGTCGGGAAACTGGTGGCATTGACAGAATGGCTGTATGTTGAGTTGACGATGCGGTGGTCTGTATCTTTGAAGCGATCCTCGCATCGCAGTAACCTCTCGAAGAATCACCATCCCGAGAGACAATACTTGGTTGATGACTATGCTCGAAACTCATGCCAGCAATACTAGACATGGATCGACTGCTCACAGAAAGGGGACCAGCGTCAGGCATCGAAACATCGTCTATACTGCGTTGAGACTGTCGCAAATGATGAGCTAATCCCGGTTCAATAAAAGGATCGGGTAGGACCTCGAAGTTCATTTGATTTGGATGACTGAATCTGGGATTCATTGCAGTGAGACTTGGCCAATTTATCATTGAAGAAGTTGGTTGTATCATTGCAGGAGTAATTGGCTTGTGCGCCCATTGGGGCACGTTTGATAACGTGTGCTGGTAGTGCCCTTCACACCCGAATCGACCAGGCTCGTAACGTGTGTCGTGGCGTGTCGGTGAGTGTGTGTGGAGGTCCCCCGTATCTTTAGATCCGTCATAATCAATGTATCCACCAAGGGTTGTCACTCCATATCCACCTTGATGCATTTGCCTGAAAAGGTTGGAGGGGAGCTGATTCCACATGTTAGGATTGGGCCATGATATACCGGAGGCCTCCAGAACATCTAACGTTTGTTGTTAGCTTTTACTAGCGAAGAGTAACCTTGGTGATACGCACTGAGAGGAGCATGTTGGAACGAGAACATGACCACATCTTTGACTCGCTCGAAAGGTGGTGAACGATTAGGACGAGAAAGCCCTTCAGATATGATCACGCGAATCCGACCGAGAGTCTCTGCTGCGTCCCAGACGTAGGCATCAATGACCTCGGGGTGGAACTGGGGGAAACGAAGTACTTCCTGGTTTCCGTTCTTGTCGACCACTGCACGCACATGTCAGATGTTGAAAGCAAACACAGAAAGAATCCTAGTATTACTTACAAGAACCGAATTCTAGATGGAAAACATTTCATTAGTTATGTTCCCAAGCTTGCAGTTGAAGACGATCACGTACCTATGACATGTGGCCATGAAGTCCGAGGACCAAACAGGGTGCCCCTATAGTTTACAATCAGAATCGGAAGCCATGCGGATAAGCATAAAAAATAAAGACTTACGCCACACAAACATTGTCTGTATAGATTCGAGCCTCATACAACACACAATCTTCAGGATGCATCAAACTTTCCAAGATGCGCGACGGTTGCGGCTTTTCCCAGCTGTGAACAGACACCCGGAACGGACTGTGGGCTTGCAAGCTCGGTATGAAAGATGTAAGAGCGGGCACTTGGCCCACTGATCGTTGCGAGTAGATGAACTGGGAGTTGAAATATGGGGCGTTAAGGTAGGGTGAGTCTGTAATCATCGACATTAGAGACAGGAGTGCGACAGACAATAAGATGAAATTAGACATGGGGGAGAGACAGAAACAGTGAGTCAAGTGAGATCTAGTACGACGGAGCGACACAGAATCAAGTGAAATCAGATCCTGTAGAGCGACAGAACAGAAAATCAAGCGAGATCAGGTCCAAGGGAGTGACAGAGTTCATATCATACCTTTATCACTGACGACGCAGCACTGTGTGCGAAACTCTTGTATCGGCACCTTCGACCCCATTGGGAACAGGAGCACGTCCCAGTTAGTAAACCTCATATTGTATGTGTAGCTATAAGTATAACTTTGAGACGGGCGCGCGAGGTAGATGTCAGGGCAAAGTAGAGTTGAAGAGGTTGACTCCGGCCAGGACAATGCATGCCTTCCCAGTTAGGCGATGTGACAGTGGAGGAAGGTGCCGGCCTGGAAGGAACGAGGCAGCCACCTCGACACTGGCAAGGACACACAAACTGGACAGTAATTTTTGGAGATGCTCTGGCGAGTCACATGCTTATACAACCTTTAGAAGAAGTAAAGGCAGGAAGCCTCTACGAAACTATCTCAAACAGGCCGAGGGAGGCACGATGGCAGGTTAAAACTTCGCACAAGCAGCTTGACGTCAACGGTCTAGAGATAATAGGCTACATGTAAGAGAAAGAAGAGCCGAGAAAGGAGGATAAAGATAATAAAAATCAACTTGATATGAAACTTGAGACATAAGAGAATTGGTCCTAAAACCTAGAGAACGTATGGGGAACAGTATCGAGGATGAAGACAGATGGGTAAAAGTGAAGGAAGGGAGCTTCGGGGACGATAAAAGGAGAGAAAATGATCACAAGCAGCTTAGCATGTTGTACAGTCGTCAGTCTACAAAAAGCATGATGAAACAAACCTCAAAAGCACGTTCGACAAGACCGGTTCGTAAGAACAGAGGCTTCATAAAAAAACTTTTTGCAGCACGCCGACCCAACGAGGCAAGGAGCACACAAATGGAATCGAGAAAAGGAAAACAGGAACAGTCTTGATATTGCAGGGCATGAGAGTTCGTGCATCATTAGACGCAAGAAAGGAGAAAAAACAATTCAATAGGCAAGCCACCCGAAACAACACAGCTGGGATGAAATCGCTCACGTGAACGCGGAATCGTTCCATAAATTGAAGTAAAAGAACCCGCTCAGACGAAAACAAGTGCTTAAAACAGTATGCCCATCAAGAGCAATAGAGAAGCCTTAMCCGAAGAGGAAGAGCAAGCCGATAGTGAGACCAGACATGTTGTCGGAAGATGATGCTAGAACTCTCTAAAATCGCCGAGATTTTGTTCATTCCTTACTAGCGTATTCAAGTTAGTCGATATCGGTTCCATCTATTCTTGAGAAGCTGGAGAACCAACCTTCATGGGAGCGAAGCCACCGCCGTACTGGTGAGCAGGGGGCATTCCCATGTTAGGGTAGATGGGAGGGGGAGGAGCTGGGCGGTAGGGTGTGCCAGCGGGGCCAGAGTTGTTTTGAGAGCGACCCCAGCTGAGGCGGACACGAGAGTTGCCGATAGGGTAGCCTTGCATCTGGTTGATGGCCATCTCAGCAGCGTGGCGCTGGACGAACTGGACGAAACCGCAGCCCTTTCCAGGAGGAATCTTGACGTAGGTGATTTCGCCGAATCCTTGGAAGAATGAACGAAGCTCGTCCTCGGTAACGTAGCCAGAAAGACCTCCAACGAAGACCGTGGTGTTGTTGGGGTCAGTGAACTGGTTCATTGGCTGGGGGGCACCGTAGAAGCCCATAGGGGGACCGCCCATGGCAGCAGGAGGGTAGATGCCAGCGGGACCAGGCATGCCCATACCACCAGGACCGACGCCAGGACCCTTGTTCTTGGGGGTGGCAGTAGAGATGCGCATTGGGCGGTTACCGCAGTAGACACCCTGCATCTCACTCAAAGCGCGCTGCTGGTCGTTCTCGTCGGAGAATCGGACGAAACCATATCCACGAGACATGCCACTGATGGGGTCGGTCATGATCTTGGCGGACTTGCACGATGGGAAACGGCTCTGGAAGAGGGAAACGAGAACGTATTCGTTGACTTCAGGGCCGAGATCACCGACGAAGATCGAGTATTCAGGGCCGCGCTCGTCACGGCCGCGGTCGGCGAGTCCACCACCGGTAGCCCAGTTGAGCTTGAAAGCGCGGGTCGTGTTGGGCATGGGGGTACCGTTAAGGGTAAGAGCCTTGCCGGCAGCAGCAGCGTTGGAGAAATCGACAAAGCAGTAACCGGCATTGCTTCTACAGTCAATATTAATCTTGTGTGGAAAGGACGGCTTGTGGAAGTTTTCTTACCCGGAGAACTTGTCGCGAATCATCTTGACATTAACCTGTTCACCCATCTGGAACCAAAGGTTGCGGATAAAATTTTCGTCGATCCAAGGCTCGAGCTCGCCCATCCTATAATCAAGCGCCTCATGTTAAACTCGAATTTCTGGATATTGAAGGTTTGCGAAGGTATCAAACATACCAGAGAGTGGTCTTGCCGTCACCGCCCTGCTGAGATGCAGCAGCAGAGGGCTCGCCGGGAGTGCCAGCGAAAGGAGCGGGAGAAGGGTCAGATTGGCCGGTCATATTGGTGTCGGCAGGGGCAGGAGCACCGGCAGATGCAGCGCCGTCTTGCTGGTTTTGGTATTCGTAGTTCTGGAAAGACATGTTGATAACAGTTGAACGAAAAGCGCACAGTAGACTGATGATCGATTAAACGCTTTCAAGTTTCGTAAATGGCTATCGCGACTTTCGAGAACTGGCACGAAGATCGAGGACAAAGATTGTAGAAGTCGTAAAAGCTTTCGCGAGGTGCAAGAAGGTATCTTATTCCTGAGCGTGCCAATAATGATTAGTCAAGAGACACAAGTACGTTGAATGAAAGAACGGTCAAAGAAAAAGATGATGAGAGAAGCCAGAAACAGTACAAGATGGGTAATCGCAAGGAGAGGAAGAGACTGATAGATGTCAAACTGAGGGAGAAGCGTAAAGTGACAACAACGGTAGGATGATGTTGTGAACGACCTTGCAGCAACCACCTCTGGTTCTCAACTAGCACAGTCGCACGGGCTCAAGTATTTCGCGATCTGACTAATGTGTCGAGTAACACACGTGCGAACTTCCAGCTGAAGTATTTCGATGATTTGTGGTCAATGTCGCTTCCGTTTCCGGCGAATGCTCATGAACGTCGCGGAGCAAAGCGCGGCCAAGCGTCGGGTGGCTACCCGGTCGGCTCCGTAACCCTCACTCAGTCGTTCAGCATATTGTTTGAATCACATTGTAAGACTTTTGTCAAGCATCTTTAACAACTGAATACGTCGCCAATTTCCGAATAGTTGACAGCTGACTGATTGGCTGCATGATCGCGAGAAGCATGGATTTGTGAGATGTTGTTGAGCTGTAGCAGTCGCTGATAAAAGCGCGCAACAAATTTGCCGGTTGCGATTGCGATTGTCCGACATTGAGTCATTGTCGCATTGGTGTCCATCCAAGTTGGGATTTTGTTGCGTCGAGTCGCGGAGGTCGCGCGAAAGCAAGACCAACAAGATGGAGAAGGGGCCATTCATGCGACATGAAGAAAGGGAAATGATACATATGTAGCAATACACAGAGCAAGGAAAAGGATGACTGATGATACAGATGCGAAAATTAAATAGACTCACCAGAATGAGATCGATGGACGATAGTGAAGATCAAGGATCTTTATCGATACCAAAAAATGACCGAGGGGCGTGATGAGGGGAGCGACCGCAAGTCGATAAGAGATGAAGAAGCAGATAATTACGCAGAGACACGTAACAAGAGCTAGGACAGCAGAAAGATGATGTTGTCGTCGTTGTTGTTGTTGGTGATGATGATGATAAACCCGCGACACAAGGGAACACGAAGATGGATTACAACAAGATCAAAATTTTCTGCAGGTTAAATTGAAGAAATCAATCAAAGAAGAAGAATGAGAATAGAGAGGAAAAAGAAAAACTCCGTCCGTATTCCGCGAAAGAACAACTAAGGGGGGAGAGAGGTAGAGAGTGAGAGAGAGCGAGCAAGAGAGTGAGGGAAGAAAGAGAAAACAAAGCAACCAACAAGGAAATTTTTTTTCCCTTTGGATTTGAATCAGTCTGAATTGGTGGATGGATGGATGGAGGGGAAAGGGAAGGAGGGAACCTGGACGGGAACTGGGAAGGAAGCGACGGACGGAGAGCGCAGCGAGGAAGGCACGACTTGGGAGGTGCTCCAGAGCGTAAGGGAAGGAACAACCGGCTGGCGGGAATGGAGCCTTTGGGGCCTTGGGCTGAGCATCGCGTGGTTCTACAAGCTGATTGGTTTCTAAAGGCTGGCACACTAGCGAGCTTTGAGACTAGCTCATGTGGTGGGGCTCTACATAAGCTAATCGTGGATGCATCAACTGCGGATCTAACTAGTTCTGGGCTAGTGCTGGTCGGTCAATAATTACACCATTACTCTGTACAGTGTGTATCTTTCCTCGAGACTTGCTCTGCTCCGGTGACTGCAAAGATGTATGCCGGTGATAGACCTTGAGCATTTGGACACAAGAGAATGGCTCTGGCTAAAAAAAAAAATTGACAAGCGGTCATGATATGATTTGCCTATCCCGGAACGCCCGTGTCTTGGGTGACGCTGAAGCTGTGGGTCAATCCGCACCGTCTGAAGAACTGCTCTACATAGTATTTTATATCTGCGCCAATGACATCAAGGTGAAGTTCATCTATTTTACTCTACTATGCGAAGAATACGTACGTCGCAGTACGTCTAATAGTTTAGGTTGAGCGACAAAGCTGAATAGAGCAAGGCCATCCAAATCCCGCCTCATACTGCGTAGTAGGATAGTCTACAGCTAGGTCCCGAGGTTGTCACTATTTCGGTAATAATAGCCACATTAACCATCTATAACACGAAACCCTGATCATAAATGGATCAATCAACTTTATGGCGATGGCCTTTAATCTTGCAAACTGATAAGTAGGGTATAATGGTTCTAGCGGTCGATACCATGACCTTTCCAGAAACTAAAAGACCAGTTAGTGCGAGACCTTACTGCTGTCAGTGCTGTGTATGTGGCAGGTATTGAAAATACGTACGGGGCAATCAATAATTAGTTGATCCGACAGACTGGAACCGATCTGATTCAATGCAAACAATGATCGATTCTGCGTTGGCCAGAAAAAGAAAAGAACAACGGGGAAGTGTCAAAAGATTTACCAGCCTACATCCAAACTCAAATTCGTAGGTAGTCATAAATGACAATGCTCGAATGTAGTAATATACATATTCTTAGACTGTCTTGTCTGCCTTGCTGCCTGGAGACAGCCGTAACAGCGTATTTCGAATACGTATTGTATGTTGTATAGCTATTGGCCCATCCATGATGTAAGAATCTGCAAGGATTTAACCGGCTTACCTGTCGAGGATGTTCCATCTGTGGACCGTGTTACCCCCTCCAGACTCGAATGCAAACAATGCAAGGAACATGCAGTGCTCACAATTGAATTCAAGCTGGCTCGTTCAACGTCGCAGGACGATCGAGACAAATTAATTAAGCTCGGACAGCGGCGCCTTGTGAATTTGTGATGAATCATATCCAGCTGAACAAAGCCTTGACCACATGATACTGTACATACAGAAAGGTCCACTTGCCTGAGAAGATCGCAAAAAAAATTCTTGTTGACTCTTCTCGAATACGTACGAGGAGACGCTAAGCAGCCGTTTTCCATGGAAAGGATACACGACCCCGCTCAACAATCCATGATTTAGTACTGTATGATACCGTATGAAAATTACATCTGTGTATTGAGCGTTCGATCATACTACAAGTTCACCTCCCTTCCCCAGTTCGTCGCCCAAGAACTGAATCGTCCGCTCATAGACTCTGGCAGCCTCCATTTCCCATAGCCCCGTGTGACTACTCTCAAAGTCGCTTTCGTCTATATCCATTCCATCGTCCCCGTCATTCTCGCTATCATCATCCTCATCTTGATATTCCACCTCCTTCTCCCTCATCTCCACCACTACAATCCGACTCGTCTCGGCAATGCTTTTGATTCTCACCTTTTCAGTCATACTAACAATATTCTTTGTATACTCGAATCCGCTGAGCGGTGCACCGGACTCGATGTCTTCGCCGAGCAGAAGACTGGCGAATATGATGTCCAGCTTTTTGAGAAGCCGGAATGTCGGCTTTGGTTGAAAATGAGGGTATTCGGGGAGATAGGTGTTTATCAATCCTGCTAGGGATATGAGGTAGGGTATTTGTATCGATGCTATTACCATTAGTTCTGATCAAGGCCTGGTAGGAATGTAGGTAGGCCGTAGGAGAAACTCACGTGTGCCACTGACCCAAACAACATCAATAACCTCTTCAATATCTTTGACAACCTCTTTAAAACTCTCATATCCTTTAGTCTGCTCTTCCCCACCATCGCCATCACCGTCGTTCGGATCATCAATCACGCTACTAAACTTCTTTGCATGCCGACGATTGATTCGCAATATCTTGCCATCGACGTAGTTGATTAAAGATGACTCCTTCACTCCACCGGGCTTAAGTGGATGCATCCGTTGGCGTGGAAGATGTGACGGTGTTGTTGTACTATTACTGGTGGTGGTTGCGTTTGTGGCTGTAGAGGGAGCTGGAGATGGGAGAGTGGGATTGAGGAAGCCTCCTCCCTCTCCTTGCTGAAAGGTATTGCTCATAATTATAATTATTTGATAGTTGAGGTTATCCGATCTTTGATCCGAAAAACTTGCGTAAGACTACCAGAAATGTCAGTATGATGCGTGGCCATATCAAATATCTAATACGCGAGTGACTCACCTGTATTTTGTTAATTCTACTTGAATTATTATCGAGGTTGAAGATGACTGGTGCCAAATGAGTTTGATGCAGTTTGGATGACATCAAAGGAAGATGTTTCATCTCTGGTTGTGTGATTGGCCAACCTTCTTTTCGGGTAAAGTTGCCGTTGTGGCAGCAATACATCAAGGGAGACTTGACCTATTCCGTCACGTCGACTATTGTTTTTCGATTGTGATCTTATATGCTTCAATCTTTCTGTAGTAATGTAGTCAGCTGAAGCGGTTTGATCACCTGAAAAAAGCCATGCGACAATAAACCTGATACTTATCTCCGCACCATTACATGAGTTGACAGTTAGCCCTAACCCAACTGTTCGCCAAGTATTACTAGCAATAAACCTGGGCATACAATGCTATTCGCTTACAAAGTCAACTTATAGGAATTCACGGAGAAAACTTACGTTGTTTAGAGTCTGACATAAGTAACGTGTCACTCAGGTCTTTCGAAGAAAATCTCACCGTCCTCGATCGTGGACTTTGATTGCCTAATTAAAAAATCCAGACCTCCAAAAAACTCCTTATTCTTCAGACCGAGCTCGAAATCGTGGGAAGTGGGAAGTCCAATGCTAAAATATGGAATTAGCAGATATCTTGAGATTTCTTCGAATTATCATAAAGGGTCGCGATGAAAGCGAGCTCATGATTGGTGATTCCGTGATTGTGATGACGGACTAGATAGTCTTACCACCCCCTACTTTGACATGGGCTACACTGCGCTATGTGTATGCGGGATGTCGAGATGATAGTGAATAATATATAAAATTTGACTCAAGGATATTACGTTCATCAGATGGGAGACTACGATATCCAGGATTCGAAATGTAGAAAGTTCAGCTCGTCACTAGATATATATATGGTTTTAGAAATCCTTTTTACTAGAATCTTACATAGCGTAGTCATGCTTCTGAGCCTTAAGGTATAGCTCAAGAGACGTCTTATTCCCTCTATCTTTAAAGCTAAACAACAATCGTTCAACGGACAAAACATATCGCTGCAGCAAAAGAGAGAATCAAGGATATTTAGTCTCTGAATAGCCATGTTTTAGAAGTTGTTAGTATATCCTTCCTTAAGTGCTTTTCACTTTTAATAGCAGCATTCTCTAAGTTTCTCTTTACTTATCTTTTCTGGGATGTCTGATTCAAGTTTTTCTGGCCCTAGAACTTTTCTTTCTGTTAATTTTGCTCTTGTCTCCATGACTGCTTATATTTCTCTTTTCGCTAGATTACTTCTTCCACAGGGTTGAGACTGTTATTGGTAAACTTATAGTCTCTGAAATTGAGTAGTTCTTTAGGAAGTATAGTCCTGTGGACCTTCAGATATTGATGTGGTTGATTAGCTAAGGCAATTTGTACTACGATATCCTGCTCAATTAGTTATGTATAGCATTCTAATGTATAGGCTCTTTCCATCCTTATATAGATTGGGTAGCATATAGCTTAATATCTTCTTCTCTGTTGGGCTGTTTCCCTTGAGCAAAAACAGCTACACGAGAAGCTGGATCAGTATCTTGAACTTGCCACGCATACAGCATAAATTCTATTTTTTAGGTTTTCAGTATTATCCTCAATTCTAATAGGGTAGCGTTCTAGAACCATACGGATCCAAGCATATAGCTGGGTGAGTTGATTGCATGATGTTGATGTTGATATTGATGCTTTGCTGCCACAACGGCAGGCAGGAATTATTCCTGAAATGTATAACAACAATTTTATAGGAAGTGGAAGGGAATGAAGCGCGGGAAGCAGAAATCGTCTGAAGTGTGGGACTAGTCCATCTGATGTGCAGAAATGATCTGATTCTTGCTGAAACTTAATGATCATCAACAGCAAGGTGGGCGGAGTGGATACTAAGTATTGCCACCAGAAAATCTACACAGTTCTACAAATCTAGATCTTTTGTTCCTTTCCTCCCACTCTGCCTCTTTGTAACTATGGTCTTCCAATGTCACACATCCAATCTAGGGGCCTGCTTTGAATATGAGGTTTGACAACGCCAAAGAACCCATAGAGGGTCTTTATAGTATAAATCATACTATGTAGGAATAGCTTCACACATTGCCTTGTTGTTTATGCTCATGCCAAAAAAAACGTCTTTGCTAGTAGCAAAAAACATATAGACGCCTGCACGAATGACGACAAGTTGAACACACGCTCCCGAAGGAACCAGATTTATTTTAACCGAACGAATCAGCCAATTCAAGTCTGGCGCGTTAGACCACTCCGCCACCTTGCCGTTGATGACCGTTAAGTTTCAGCAACAATCAGACGGTTTCCGCACATCAGATGGGCTCCGCACTTCAGATAGTTCTGCTTCCCGCGCTTTGTTCCCTCCCACTTCCCATGAAATTGTTGTCATACATTTCGGGAATAATTCCTGCCTGCCGTTGTGACGGCAAAGCATCAATATCAACATCAACATCTTGCAATCAACTCACCCAACTATATGTCTTCTACATGACTCGATTGGGCGCGATGGACTGTTTTGCCCATTTCCGCAGTGCGCTGGCAGATATCCTGCACGAAATATCGGAAGTAGACATCAAGGGTAATTCCTTTCGTTGACGACCAGCTTCGAGTCATACAGTACTCTGATCTCAAAACAACCACCCTTTAGCAGGCAATGGCAACGGACTGAGCACTGAGTTTGTGACTATTCGCCACTAATTTCTGATTAAGTCAGAGGTATCGACATGCATCTGGTTCGTGACTAGTGACTAATGCTCCTGGGTGAAATAGCTTGTAGGTAGGGTCTGAGCTCGTAATGGGCTGTTCAAACCGAGGAAACCTACGTTAGTCTGTCGTATCAATCATCGAGAACGGGCCTAGGGTACAACAAGCGACTTTTGGCATGTTCATTTGCTCACCATGGGCGAGATTTCATTCGAAGGTGAGCATGATATCCTAAATAGAGTCCATCACGCGAACCGACTAACTTTTATTAGATCTATCCGAGGCAATGCAAGAGACATTTACCCTAAAGGTTCAGTTGGCAAATCCCACAACGCCGGCGTTCAAGACTCGAGGAGCACAGCACCTACCATGTCTCCTTCTCGATAAGAACTCAGTGACCGAGGATTTCGTGACCGCGAAGATATCTTGAAGCCTCTTGCAGCCAAACTCTCACCTTCCACAAACAAGGTGGCAACACCAGACCCCAAGCTTTGACATTTCGCACTTTGTAGATTCGATAGAATTGGAAAGACAGAGATAGCCCGCGACTTTACGTCACCTATCTTACTTCGATGCAGTGTTTTAGATGAAGGCGGATGAGGTTGCAAATCTTGATCTTGATGAGGAGCGAATTTCGTTGGCCCTCAGGCTTGAAGAGGAATTTAAGTGCAAGAGCCAGGTATCCAGCAATGAGAGCAATGAGTTTGTTAAACAATATCTCTCCAATCATCTTGATGATTCATATATGAGGAAGAATGTTGATCCATTTGTTCCAGCTCAATGAGCAATCTGGCTTGGATTTAGTCCACTTTCTCAACCAAACAGCTTATCTCTATCAATCAGTTCACAAATGTATTCAACAGGCTAAAAGATGATACTGCCAAGCTCTATAGTACCATATCCATTACTCACCTGGTCCTATACCACTATTCTCTCTCCACTGTCTGGGCCTTTAACAAGCCGAAAATCGATGCCCGACTACCTTTAGAAATAATTGCATTTTCTAGTTCCGATGCTATTAGAGAAAACTTGTTGATTGAAAAATCAGCTATACTACTTTCCGAACACTCACAGTTCAAGAAACAGCAACTTCATTGAGGCTCGAACAGATACTTTGGGCGAAATGGCCATCGGATATGCCCAAGCCATTGAAGATGCTAAAGCTAATCCAACCCAGGTCAACTGAGGGCAGGTTACACGTAGAGAGATGACCTGCTTGTGCGGTGACATACCCACATGTATTAACACTATATGACATCTAGTCAACTATTCCAGGCCTCCAAGGCAAGGCTACGAAGTTGCTTTTTGCAAAGCTACCACTTGAGACTGCATGGTATTTATACAATACAATTGTATCTTCTAACTAAGGACATTATTACAGATTGAAATAAGCGTGGACGAACAAAGCAACCTGATGATCTTTTAGACACTGCTCATAGTATCTGCGACCATAGATATATTAGAATTGTCTCAAGCTCTCAGGGGTATTCCATCATACCCCAGCTATTGTTGTCCAATGGGCTCTGTTTCTTCCTCTTTGTTGACGCCCGGCGGAAGTGGCGGCCCGCTAGGTAAGAATCGCTGCTCATCACTTATTCAACCAAGCCAACCTCTTCTCTAGACAACAACCTCAATACTGATCATCGCCATCAGTAGGCACGATGTTTGTCCTCACCGTCAGCCTCGTGCTGTTGCTGTTGTCGACAGTAGTCGGGCATCGCAATGGACTACTCGATCAGTCTCCCATCCTATCCACAACAAACTCCATCTCACCACAACAAAAGGCACAGCTTCAGCAAGTCGCAGACCTCATGTTGGACATTTACCAAATTCTCGTTGACATGCGATACCTTGACCCCGTTGGTATCATACGGGGGCCGCACAACATGACAGCTCTGGAACCTCAATTTGACGAACTGAACATTGATCCTTCCGTTCGTTATCTTTACGGTATCCTGCCTTATGTCGACACCGATGCTGCAGGCAACACCTACTTCATGCGCGATAGCGTGTTCATGGACTTCAGAGATCCTTATCAGGTTGAAGACAGTCGTGACCCTTTCAATGTGTCCCCGCCGTCAGACGGAGATTTCAACGCCAAGGATGGACCCTATATGCACCCATGGTACACGCCATTGACTCAGCTTGAAAATAACGGTAGAGTAATAATATACGATGCTCGTCGACACCTCATCTGGATTATCGATCAGGAGGGATGGTGGACAACGGACTTGGCTCTACGGGATATCGAGCCCAAGGACGGCGAAACGTCAAACCAGAACAGCTTCGAGCACATTCCGTCTCGACCGGCTGGAGAGGTCCTTAAAGAAATTGTCCAGTGGTATCGCAACCTTTACATCGTCCCTGGAGGAGGCGAGTATTCATTGCAGGAGTGGGATCACTACAAGGTGCCATTGCGCGATTTGTACATTGCGAACGGCTGGCCGGACCGCTTCGATGCAGATGCTTTCGAAGTTAGCCAAGCAAGAGCCTTCAGCAGGTCTGTAGCTCAAGACTTTGCCGACAGACCGCTCAGCGAGGTAGCGAGGTTAGAAGAAGTGATTGAGCGAAACAAACATTGGATCGAAACCCAGACTGCGATTTTAGGCTGGTCTACTACCAAGGAGGGCGAGTGGGCTGCGCGCTCCCGAATCCGGAGCACGGAAATTGCTGTCGCGAAGTTTGAGGAGGATCTCATAGTCGCTCAGCAGAAGGCCGAGCAGGAATGCCCGGAAAATGTCTGCCTGCCTCCACAAGAGTGGCCGCTGTGGGAGCTGCAGGCTGTGACCGAAACAGTGGAGCGATTGAAGACCGACATTGCCTTCGCAGAGTCACAAATCAAACTTGAGCCTTTCGAGGGACAAGATCTTGACGAGTGGCAAGAGTATGTACAACGCTGGAAGAACAAGAACCACTTGATGAAACGTAAACTTGCTGTCTACCAAAAGGCGTACGAGGCGGCCCGGGAGGATGTAGAGCGATTGTGTCCCGGCCAGACATTCGAATCCGTCACCGGGCTGACAGAGATGGGTTGGTTTGTGAGAACGAAAGAGGATATACGTCGTATTCTGGTTCATAAGCAAAATGAGCTTGAACTTACCAGGCAGTGGTATGCCCAGCTCCCGCATGATGTTCCTGATACTCGAAGTAAAATTGAGAAAGACATTCAAAGTCTGGAGGAGGGTATGCAGTTTTGGGAAGAGATTCTCAGCGAGTAGACAGCTTATGCTGGCTCATGTACTATTAGGCAACCTAGAATGAGATAAGGATGGGGAAGGAATAGACGAGAAATTGTCCTGCAATATGTGATAAACATTTCTGACTAAGTAACCTGTTAGACGAAGGCCATAGCATGTGCTTATATTCATTCCCCTGTACGAGAATCAGCTGAGGGTTATCGGAAATTTCCTCTTCGATATCTGTCCAAGTCGCCCGGAAGGTAATCTGAATCGCATAGAATCAAACGAGTAAGCACTTCCCATACAAGGACTAGAAGACTTGTTAGCATGAAAAACCTGCGTATACATGTATCGATTATTTGTGAAGCTGGATTTTGTAGGTATAGCACAGACATATGTTCCATTATCCTCTCTCAAAGGAAGAAAGAAGAGGTTACACTAGTCTAGCCCAGTGGACTCATCATAAGAATCGAAAGTAAAAGATTGTAGTTTGAAAGATACTTGCCCTGTTGTGTCTGAGTATGTACATGAAGAAATCGAACAACGCCGGCAATGCAGGTATTTTCACAAAACATAAGATTCATGTCCGTCACTATCACATTCCCTCGGGCTAGAGTTCCCATCAGCATAAGTTTCAATCAATCAAAAGAATAACGGAGAGCATACCATAATCCTTCCCCGACTCATCTTCAACTTCTCAATCTTCCTCTTATCCTCATCAAACCTCCTCAACAACTGATTCTGCCTCTCTTTCCTCTTCTCTCTCGTCTGGAACCTATAAAAGTCGCCCAAACCTTCCTCCCTCTTCCGCTGCTTCTCAACCAATTCTCGCACCTCCTCTTCGCGCGCGATGTCCGTAAACCGCGGTCCCCGCGTCACAGTTATAAAGCCATCCTCATCCGGCTCTGCGGCGCGACGAGACGCTTCCGCGGCACGAGTTTCCCCCCATTGCGTGTACAGAGACATGTAATTATTCACAATACTCAACAGCTCACTGGCCGCCGGATATCGCAATTTTGCGACATGTTTCCTGTACCGTGTCGTTCCTAGCGCGGCAACTCTATCTTCAATTCCTTCACCCCAAATAATTTTACTCCTTTTCTCCTTTGATGTGTATTTCCGTACGGCTTTGAGACTGGCTTCCATAGCCGGTCTATCGACAAAAGTGACAATCGCATGCGATCCGCTGGAATGCAATTCCCGATCCCATGTTGACGGTAGTCCCGCAGCTCGCAGCTGTGTTTCTAGTTCCGCAGACGTTACGACATCTTGACGTTTGCGTTTTTTGCCTTGTTGTAGTTGTTCTTGTTGTGCGTCGGAAGTATCTGCTTTGGTTGCGGCGGTTGTCGTGACAGTGCTTGACCGAAATACGCCTTCGAATTGGACCCTTTCAACGCGCCCTGCCGATAATTGACTGGAGAATAAATGCCGCAGATGCAACTCAGTCGTGTCTATAGGCACATTCACCAGAAACAAAGACCGCGCTGCGTCCGGGTCCGGAATGCGAGGTTCATGCGGTCGGAGGTATACATAATGCGTAACCGGTTCGGGCAGTGAAGGTGATACCGGGGGGAGTGTTATTGGAAGTACGGAGTATCCTGATATTTCCGTGATTGATGTCGTGGATTTTTTTGGCATGATGGGCGACAGGCAGCTCGAGAAGCTGTGGTTCTATTGTTGCTAAATGTGATGTAGCGAGAAGCTTTTGAAAATAAATTTATCTCGAGCGGAATTTCTGCCGCGGCGGTGGGGACCGCTCCAGAATGGCAGGKTTACACGGGCATATCAGCCCTAATTAACCCTAGCCCTAATTCCTCTATCAACGACCGATATTGAAGAATTCATATATATATATTGTCCGAATAGACAAGAAATGTCTTGACAGATATCTCACTGTCAAGCCTGATAGTAGTTGTCTAGTAGATATACCTAAAATTCGGATTCTCTCCATCTGTCAAATCTAAAAAGGCCGTCAACGACATATCTTCCTGTCCTCCTTCAACCGACTCAACGCCCTGAAGACGATCTCTCTTCTTATTATCTCTCCTAAGCATCTCTCTTAACAATCCCACAATAACCAGCTCAATCAACTGCGCCACAATCATACTCCAGATCCCCAGCGTGTAGACCGGCGACTGGGCCGATTTATAGAAGAATGGGCCGGCGATGTTTCCTGTCGAATAACCGAGAAACAAGAACGCGCTGGTTATTATCTTCTTTGTATGACCTGCGACGTTCGCAGTTTGTAGAGATAGTAGGAGGACGAAGGAGGCGTTGATGGGCGCTGTGAGGTAGTAGCAGATTAATCGGCCTGGACGGTTGGTTTGAGCTACAAAGCGGAGACCGAATGCGCCTGCTACATTTGGAAGGAGAAAAGCAAAGAGGAGAAGGCAGCGGTTGTTGGGCGGAAGTTTTGAGTTGAGGTAGACGCATAGACCAATTGAGATGGCGATGAGCGCGCCGTAGGGGACTTGCATGAGTGTTGTGCCCACTGCATCAGTCAAATCGGTCAGCTATATCAAACAGAAGAATGAAAAGAGAACGCACAAGTAGAGAAACCAAATCCTTTGATGATTACAGTCCCAAAATTGGACACCCCTCCATTGACAATGCTCTGCATCAACGCAATCCCAAAATGGAAATAAAGCTTATAGTCCGTTAACGCCTCCTGCACCTGATACCACTTGAAATGCTTATTCTCCATTCCCGTTTGGTCGCGTTCCAACCGACGCACAACAGCCCTTTTCTGTACATCCGAGAATCGACTTGCACTCAAAGGCGAATCAGGGATACACACAAACATAACAATGCCCCACAGACAACACAATGCGCCAATGATCAGAAACTCATATTTCCAACTTGGCAGTGAGCCTCGAATGTGCCCGATTGCGTACCCCAACAAACCGCCCAGGGCAACTCCAATGCCGTTGGCGACGTACCATATTCCGATTTTGAGTGGTTGTTCTTTGCGTGTGTACCACATGCTTGTGATAATTAGGAATGCTGGGTCGGCGCAGGACTCTGCTGCACCACTGAGTGCACGCAGCACGGCGAGTTCGGTGAAATTCCGGGCTGCTGCTTGCGCCATCAGGAGTGCGCCCCAGAGGAAGATGTTTATACCCAGGTATTTCGCAACCGGGAACCGCTGCAGAGCTAGGTTCGTGGGTATCGCCCAGACCAAGTACCCAAAGTAGAAGATAGACGATAGCCAATTGTATTGTGTGCCATGGAGTGCGAGATCTTGCTGAATGCCAAATATAGCCGCATACGAAAGGGTGGTTTTGTCAATGTAGAAGAATGCATAGGCGACGCCGATAAAAGGTAGGATCGCCCAGTCGATTTTGCGGTTGAGGGATTTGATTTCTTGGTCTGTGAGGGGTTCATGGTAGGTTTGGTTGTACTGAGAGAGGAACTTTAGGGCTGCGTCGCCTTCGGAGGTGTCCTTGAGGGTGGGTTTTGGGATGCTTTCGAAGTGCGAGACTTTGCCTTCTGCTTTGGTGTTATTGTCGGACATGGTGGGTGTTCTGGAGATCGGCGAAAGGGAATTGTGATTTTCGATCTGAGGATGAATGCCAGTTATAAATCCGGGGTGAGATATAAGGCTGGAGACTGTCTTCGTTGAGTAAGGAAGTTCGTATTCATCCTCGGATACGTTGAAGAGTGCCACAGGTTGCAAGATCCGAAAGAGCTACCTGTCTGATAAATGTTGTTTAGTCCACAAGTAGTAGAAGCTTAGATGGAGATGTTACGAATCAAATGCCCTTTCTATACAAGGAGATGACTAGTCCATTGGGTTGTGCATCGGATAAGCATGCTGATGCAGGCTTGTGAGCCTTTTCCGGCCCAAAAAAGCCACACTACCCCGGAATCCCCGCATGAAAATAAGAATGTTGTAGACTGTATCGCTCTCGAAAATATGAAAATGTGCGTAATCAATTCAATTACTCAATAGCATGTCTGACATACATCATTCATTGTAAGTGTGATCATTGCCCGAGATACATAAATCATTCTTGTAAATCAAATAACTGAGATCAATCTAGGTAGATAGCTTCCCTTTCCCACGGATAAACCGGCGTAGTAATATCGTTTGATCAAACCTTATCCGGATCGTTGATACCGCCATTGGTAATGACATACGTCGCCTCGCGTTCGGGACAATCTGGCCACCATGAGTCATGTCAAGCAGCAAGTCATTTTCGAAAAGAAGAATACCTGGTGAATCCTGTATCTTGGCAACTCGCTCATCACCGCGGCCTTTGCGCAGCAGGACTCGTGTTGTAGAGGCATGAGCAAGAACATGTCCACCCACAGGCTTGCGGCCATCAGCGCCTGCAAAGAGAGCATTGGCTCCGGGATCACTTTGTACTTGGTTGGTCTATGTGCATAAGTATGTTGTGAGATAAGAGGGCAGAGTCTTGGCTTACCATTAACACGCATACATTGAACTCTATGAGCCAGTCAGCTTCCGAGCTTTCAAAAGAGGAAAGAGACATACCTTCAGCCAAATGAGACAGCCTGATAAGAAACTGATTGAGCTTCTGCTGTCGTTCAGCAAGTTCCCCACGACCTGAGAAGTCAACCCTAAAGCAGTTCATAATACTGTCAATGACAAGAAGCCTATATTGACCTCCCGCAAACTCCTTCGAAAGCGTATTCAGCAACTCAAGTTGATGCTCGCTGTTCAAGGCACGTGCATAAGAGATGTTCTCTTGTGTAGACTCGGCATCGAGACCATAGCGTTCAGCGATCTGCGCTATACGATCAGGTCTGAAGGTTCCCTCGGTGTCGATATACGCCACTTTCCCTGCTCCACCGCCCATTTCCCTGGGTAGTTGAGCGACGACGGACATAGTGTGGGAGAGCTGGGTTTTGCCGCAGCGGAATTCGCCGTAGACTTCGCTGATGCTCGAGCTTTGAAAGCCGCTACCGTTGGTCAGCTATCTTTGTATTGCCTTCTCCGTTGTAGATTGACTTACCCTCCGAGGATACTATCAAACTGCTTACTGCCAGTCGAAATTTTGAAAACCTTCTTTCGCTGATGACAGAGTTCCATAGCAGTAATGAAACCATTTGCAGTTGGCTGGCAAATGTGAGGACTTCATTCAATCTCAACATGAGGAAGATAAAACCATACCAGGCATTTCTGAATCGCCTCCTTGATCTTCTCGACCTTGATCTCACTGAACCCTTTGATCTTGAGCAAAGTCCGGCGAGTCGCACCATGCACAGACTATCAGAAGCAAATTAAATTAGTATAAAACCTCGACGGTAAATAGAAGCTTAGCGTACAGCGACGGTGAAATAACCGTGAGCTTTCAACTTCATGACATCAGCTGCTCCAATGCCTACATGTCATTAGTTGATGTTCGTAATTCGAGAGAGAGAGTGTGTGTGGAAGCATGTACCATGAGCTTCGATGTTGTCAATGTCAATGATGAAGTCCTGTGAAGATGTTAGAAGTCTATCGACTCCGAAGGAAAGCATCGACTCGTACATCAAGGTCTGAGTCGTCGCTGACTTCAGAGGCAGGCATGATGATAGTCGTATCCTGTAGCGTTTGATAGAACGATTCTGAAATTAAATCTCTTCTTGACTCGAGAATAATAAGAAAGAAAGAAGAAGAAGGGAGATGGAAGAGGCAGGAAGGATAAGAGGTTCAGGTGGCAGGTACAGGTCGCTCCTTCCCCTTTTGTCGTCTGCCAGTGACTGCAGTCACATGAATTCTCTTTATGGGACACACCAAACTGCGTGGTGAAATCAAAGACGAGAACAGATGGAAAAAATCCAGGTAAGAATATTCAATGCCATTTCATATTATTGGGAGACTTGATAAAAGATACTTGAATAGACAGTCTCAACTTCCCACCAACATCACCACTCCATCCAACATACATACTCCAGCCGCCCTAGCAATCAGTTCACACGCACATACAGCCCTATCCCTCAAACTCGAACTCTTTACAGTTCACCACAGTCCAACAGAAGACAAATCAATGTAGCTCCTCTCAATTTCTTGCAGTCTTATTCTCCTCTTTCTTTTGTCGCTTTCCGCGTCTCCCTCCCAATGCTGACTTGCTTGTTTTTGTCGTAAGAGAAAAGGTATAACACCGTTGATGATCCAATAGACGCCAAATAATCAGAGAAAAGCTCCGATCTGTTCCGAGCCCAAATGCAATATGATCCTACTCCATGCAGGATCTTGTGAAAGGCCGTCGACGTAATGAGGGGGAGGTCGAATCTCCAGGAGTACTCACTCAGAGAAAAGTGGTGGTTGTGTCGAAAGAAACGGAATCGTAAAGGTTCATAAGATGATAAGAAAATAATAATATAGGTTTGAAAAAGATATTAGGTATGGAAGGAGAAGAAGCAGAAAGACCGTGCCGGTAAACCTAAAGCAAAGTGAAGAATGTGGATGAGTTGGATTCCGAACGGGAAGCCGATCGATCGGTTCTAGGCAGCAGCGGCAGTTGTGGGAGTAGCTGCAGGAGCAGCTGCAACAACGTCCGCGGAGCCTTCGATAACCGTGGAGGGAGCAGCTGGGGGTGCAGCCGGAGAAGCAGCGGCGGCAGCAGTAGATGTTGCGGCGGCGGTTGTGGTGGCGGCAGCGGCGGATGCGGTCTTATCGGCAGATTGTTGGGGCTTGTTCTCGTTGGTAGGGCAATCACGAGAGATATGGCCGGCCTGAGAACACTTGTAGCACACCTTTCCAGCAGAGCTCAAGGGACCACCGTTGGGTGCAGTGCAGTCGCGAGAAATGTGACCCTTTAAGTAATTAAAACCGGCTCTTTTACAGATTGAATGATGATTGAAACTCACCAGCTTGCCGCATGCATAGCACTTCATAGCCTGAGCCTGGCAATCACGGGCGAAGTGGTTGGGACCTCCGCACTTGTAGCAGGTAGCAGCTCTGGGGTACCCTCCAAACCCACCGCGGAATGATCCGCCAAAGTTTCCTCGAGGAGCACCGCTACCCCGACCAGCTCCAGGCTGGGCGTTGGGAGTGGGGCAATTGCGCTATACGGAATGCATCAGTGAATGGCATATCAATTTCAGGAAGTCGATGCTTACAGCCAAGTGACCGGACTGACCGCAGCTATAGCAGCGGCCGCCGTTGGCGCCGCCATTCAAGCGAAGAGTAGGGCAGTCAGCCTGGACATGGCCTAATCCTTGACAGTGGTAGCACTGCTTGGCTAAGAGTTGTCAGAATAGATCGCTTGAGCAGGCCGGATAAGCAGCTACTCACTCTCAGTAGTACGAGGTTGTGGGCAGGCATTGGACTCGTGGCCTATGAAAGGCATATGGTCAGTCTGGAATATAACCAGTAGTCGATAGAAGATACATACCAGGTTGCTTGCCTGTATGGATTCAGAGGTCAGCCACATCCTGGTAGTAAAACAATTATCGGGTAGAAATACTCACAGTTATAGCAGAGACGTTCGGCAGATGAGCACACCTCTGTTCCAGTTAGTCTCAATGCTCCCAATTGAACGCTCGGATAATGAAAGCAGTATCAGATTAATAACCGCGAGGATTACGAACCAGCGTAATGGCCGATGTTGCCACACTTGTAACAGGCACGACGAGACAACAACATTGTGACCTCTGACAAAACTCCTATCCGGGTAAATCAGCTCTACTCTTCGCTGTATCGGTTTACGTAGATGATAGGAAAAGGTAAATAGTAAAATGAAGAGGTTCTGAAGGGATAGGAGATATCAAAACGACGATCGGCGAGATTGGCGATAGTATGCAGGAGAACAGCGGTGGTGTATAGTTGTCCGGCTGGCTAGATGCTGATATCTTGACGTTGACCCTTCCGAACCTTCTCGTGAGGCAATTGATTTTGAAGGAAGGTCCAGTCCGGAAAGAAACCACGTGATTTCGTCTTCACAGAGCTCGATGGACAAGATGCTGGTATGTTGTTGGTGTCATTGTTGTTGATAGTTCTGCGGATGGACGAATTGACGAATCGAAAAGCTCGGATTGTGTAGTTATGGCGGGGTCGCAAAGTATATGCGTGTTTCTCTCCTCTGCTCTGTTCCTCGCGCATCTCGCTCCTCTTCCCATCTCCCTTCAAGTATCGAGATGCAGATTGACGTGCGGTGATATGACATGCTAACAAATGAGAGTCGAACTCACCCTAACTTAATCTAACAGATCTGTTTGATGGTCAGAAATGGGACCAATGAGAATGAAAATTAGAATTGTATAGAGACCACAACCAATAAACATACGTATATCTGACTAGACAGATACATAAATGCATGGTCATTGGCGACAATCTAGTACGAATCACAAAGCCAAGAAGCAAGGGAAACGAGGGAGCTCACACAAGAGTTGAATGTCGACCCCAACACACAAGCAACTCACAATATCCTCAAGACGGATTCGAGGCCCACCCAAAAAGAAATGGTTTCGGTGTATGATATTTCTCTTCTGAGTAGATAAAAGAATGCTCACGTGAAAAGACTAAATATATCAAAGCAACAATATCACAAATAGATCAAAAGATCACAAGCTCGTGAAGGAATGAAGAAAAATAAAAAATTTAGTTTTCCGCGCCTTTCCGTATTGCGTAAAGTGCAAGAAAATCCCCGGAATTAGAGTGGCATGACGCTTGGACTGTTTAGTTCTTGGCCGAATTATGGGGCTCAGCCCTTAGCTTGACCGTTTCTATGATTCTATCAAGTCATTGGATGTCTTGCTTTTTGTTCGCTCTAGTTCTTGGAAATCAAGTAATATCATAAAATTAACAGTAACATAAACACCGTTGCCCCGTCAAGAAGTTGTATCCCCCGGACCATGTATGTAGTAGAATCCACTTTTGAAGCTTACACGCTTATGCATCGCCCTCCTTTTCGATCACTGCTGGTGCTCGGATCTCTTTCGATTTCACGAAGTCTAATCCTTCGCCGCCCTGTAAGAATAACATATTAGTTTAGGTACAAGCACAAGCTAGATCATGCACACTTACATAGCTGATGAGAGGAGACACCTCAACGCCGGCATTGTCGTCTTCAGTGACAACAACAGCTCCGGCTTGCTCGACCCAGCGCTTTCCTTGAAGCATAATATCCTGCTTGCTGGTATCTGGGTCGTCTTGTCCCGTTCCTCGAGCATTCTTGAGCGGAGAGAATTCGTCTTCACGGCGGACCTCAATGCACGCGAATTTCTCGAGAGGGGTCAAGGGGAACACGTCAAAGACGAATTGTTCCAATTTGATCCCATTAGGCTTCTCAGGCTTCACGGAGTCTCCACTCTCCAGGTCGATACAAGGAATCTTCTTGCGCGCAACGTGGTGAGGAAGCTTGTGAACCCAAGATTCAATCGCTTCCAAAAATCGGAAGGAGTAGTAGTGGTTGACAATGTTGGCCGCACGGAACTTGAGCATCTCGGGGTGTTCTGGATCTTTGGCTTCGGCCGTTTCTTTGTCAATCTCCGAGTACTCTACGACATCGGGCTTGCCATTCTTCTGGAGAATCAAGCCCACTGACTCTGTAGCATTACGTTTCCGGACGACCTTGGTGGCGACATCAACGTCCTTGGCGGCAGCAAACCCAATGAACACGGGATCGGCAACCTTGGCGAGGCAGTTGTCCACACAGTAAGTGTGAACGTGCTCAACACCCCTCTTTCGCATATCCTCTCGCACGCCAGATGTAATGAGTGCTTGGTATATACCACCGTTACCATCCGGTGCAACGGCGACCTGTACAGTCAGTCAGCACCCAGAGCAATAAGCCAGATATGATGGAATGACATACCTTGGCTTTACTCTCTAACAGAATCTTTCCGTCATTTGAGATACAGGGCAAGACACCCTGCTGGAAGAATTTGACATTGGCCTTGTCTAGGCCAAAGTAGTTGTTTTTTTGGAAGAATTCCTCGGTAGGCTTATTTGTCGGACCACTGGTCATGACATACCACGGGACGATAGCCTTCTTGTTATGTGTCTTCTCAGCTAAACTCTGAATCTTTGCAATACGCTCTGCTTGTAGCTGGAACAAAGACTTGTGGCTTGGAAGGCCGATATCAAAGCATCCCTTGGGAGCAGAGCTACCGAGACGGGTGCCCTGTCCACCAGCCATGAGCACCACAGCAACCTTGTTCTCTGAAACCAACCTCAAGCCCTCATTATAATATTTCTCGAGATCCTTCTGATCTGAGTCTAGTATCGAAGCTGTAGCGGATGTGGGCAGGGGTTCGAGTTTGGCAGGGCCGTCGGAGGACGTCTGGGGAGGGTGGAGAGCGATCTCGGCAAGCTCATTGATGCGATTGGGGTTGAAAGTGGAAAGTTGTTGAAAGAGTTGGGCCTTTTCAGCTGATTTGAGGTCATCGTAGAATTTGAAAACATGTTCTTGGTTGGCAGTTTCGTACTTTTTTCGAAGTTGTTGAAGCTCTTCGTCGGAGGGTTCGCGGGGGGCATCCACGCCCTTGCCCTGAATCTTGTCAATAATATTTTGAACAACGGAAGCCATGGTGTGTTTGCTCAATTGTAGAAGTATCGGAGGTAATTAAATAAAATGAAAAAAGGTCGAAATGCAATGCAATGACCTTTGGAAGAGTGTATATGTAGAAGGACAAATTGAGAACAAAAAGGAGGAATGGAGGTGTGTATTAAGAAGGAAAGCAGGTACGTAAATACGTAACAAGGAAGCTACCAAGGAGGGCCCTGGCGCTGTTTGTACCAGTACGTAATAGGCAATACATGGTAACGAATGTTTCAGATCGACACAGCCCATACACCGCCGGGAGCTGGAAGCTTGGCCAGCTCTCCGTATTTCGGTACTTACAAAGTATTCCAAGCACTTGTTACGTATGTTGTTTATCCTGTACTCGTATTTACAAAACAAAAATTCATGTCATCATCATTTTTGTTCGAGGACTCGCTGACATGAGACACTGTGACTGCACAATACCAAAAGTCACAAGAAGTAAATACGAATCTCACCAATTGCATCATAACATACCATCAAGTCAACTTGTCTCTCTTTTTGCCTTCCAAAGCTGTCTCTCCCTGGACTCAGACTCTCCCTCCTTGAAGAGGGGCAAAAAGAATCAAGACAAAGCTAACGCCATTTGGTCGCTAGTGCCTATAATTAGTATGCACTAGCGATCTAGTTTGGTCACTAGTCCCGTAACAAGACCTTGCACAGCCATTACTCGCTGCCACAGCTGGGTGTTCTTCTACCTCGTGTGGACACTGGGCTGAGATATTGGCAGCATTCCGAGAGTCAGCGCGCAGTCATAACGACTAAACTTAAAAGAATAGGAGCTGAGATTCTTCAGGCTTCAAGGGCTGGGGATATTGCAGCCCTGGGCCTTCTCTTAATATCTTGATTGAGTTATGTCAAGCGAAACGGCGTTGGTAATTACTTGTAGCCCCATACTAACGGCAGCTTCGAGTAGTCGTGCATGCATTATTGATCAAGCTATATACATATTTCTCACTTTTGGATCATTCAAACATCAAGGACATCGACTGTGTCATCGTCGTCTATCGTAGTCTCTTCTGTCGGAGGAATATCTGTTTCGATCACGCTTAAGATCTCGGTCTCGATCTCGATCACGATTCCGGTTCCCATCTTTGTAGCGGTCATCACGCCGCTGGTCATCGTGATGCCTTGGAGGAGCCCTTCGGTCCGGACTGCGACTGCGACTGTGTGACCGTGGCCGCGAGGGCTTTTGCTCCCGATCTGGTGGTGGGCGGCGCATCTCATCTTTGTCAAAGACCATACCGTACCGGTCAGGTCGGCCACGGTTGTCAGCTGTGCGGTACTGGCGTTTTCGTTCCAGACTCGATATGCCACCGAACCCTCCTCCTTGCCGCTTTTGGACTGTAGCTTGTCGCCAAGTATCTGAAAGTTTGGACACCTATAATCGCCGTAATGATTAGTAATGAGGCTCTTCAAAATGGCAAAGAACAGTACATACACTTTGAGAGAAATCAACATGTATGCGGTGATCATCAATTAGAACGCCTTCCATCTTGAAATAGGCCTGCTCGCAGTCTTTTTGGTTCTCAAACTCAATAAAGGCATACTGCAAGCTATCTCCTGTTTTTTTATCACGAATCACTTCACAGGAAAGTATGGTTCCGAATCGGTTGAAAATAAGGTTGAGATCCTCATCTATCCGCGGTGGTTAGCTGCAATAACAACGTGGTTTTCCCTCTCTCATAAGTGGTAATTACCTTGTGTGACGGGATTAAGCTTGCAGACGAAAAGCACATTTTCTGGAGGCTTGACGTCGGCAAATGGTAGATCGCCTACCATCTCCAAAGTCAAAGCCTGGGCCCGAGCTTCACGCTCTCGACGAAGCTGCTCCATAGCTTCTTCATCCATATTCTCATCCAATTCTTCATCATCAGCGATTCTCACTGTAGCCAATTGAGCCTTTGAGGGAAGCGGACTCTCGGGCGGGACTTCTAAGCCAGGTGGATCATCGTAAGGGTCGTCCAAAATGGCCGTATGTCGGATACGAATATCCTTTAAAGGCCGCCCATTATCGTCGATGAAAGCTTCATTAATCTTTTCCAAAACATCGAATCCTTCGACCACCTTGCCAAAAATTGCTGCTTTGCCATCGAGGTAATCGAGATTATCGCCTAACGTTATGATGAATTGACTTCCAGCGAGGCGCTCGTCTGGGTCTTTTGGGGACGGTACAGTTGCCATGCTCACGGTGCCTCGTTCCGTATGTTTCAGTTTGGTCGACATATCAACGGCGAAGGTTTTGTGCGTAGGTCCCTTCAGCAAACCCCATATTGAAGATCCGCCATCGCTATCGGCCGAGCCTGGTCCTATCGGATCACCGGTTTGGAAGGTGAAATTCTTTTGCACGCTGTGCACCGGGGAAAAGTTGTAGTACTTGACTTTGCATAGCTTCAGGAAGCTAACAGGGAAATGGAAAATCTTAGTTCATGTTCAGCCACTCGACTTGATTTTTTCTTATGTCGGACAAGTAGAACAAACGCAGCCTAAGAAGGCGCGGCAAAGTGATTGAAAAACTGGATGAGACATAGTTGTTTGGAGGGACTTCAAAAACTCACTTCTCACAGGCTTTCGGGGCGACGTCGACTAGCAGGTCAATGACCAAGTCGCCAAGAGACGTCTCAAGTAACACACTCATAATGCGGCATGCTCAAGAGCGTGGCGCAACGTTGGGGGACGAGCAGTAGCAGAATTGAGGAAGGATGAGCGAAAACGTCAATGAGCGATAGTAGTTTGCGCTTTTCTTTATTTCGGATTTAATTTCGCGCTTATTCTGTTGTGCTGCTTGAGACCGATATATTTAGTTCTGCAATGTGTTGTTGGAAGTACAGAGAAGATTGGTGATGGAGGTTGAATGTGTCGATCCATGCAAGAGCTCTAGTTCCGCGCGCAGCTTCCGAGCCTTGGCAGCCTGATTTAACAGGCGCCAACTGGCCGAGCTCTTTTCGCGTTAAACCACATTCGAGAATTTCCCCATTGCTTGCATGACCTTTCCACTTATTATTTGAAATCGATATACAGCCCAACGTCTCACCAAACTGGGTTGTTGCTCCTTCTCTGCATCTTTAATGTCCTTTAGGTGTACTTGCCGTGTTAGCACTGCTTCATGTTACACACACCAGCAAGAGCACTGCCTTTCTACGGCGGCTTTTCCTTCCAGCCAAGTGAACCACTCAGTCGCAGAAGGGTGAACCTTGTCCAATGATGCTTGTCATTTTCTGGCCAAATTTAGGAAAAGCGATCGGCTCTAATTGGAAGCTAAGGCACGGCTGATAGTTGAGAATTTGTAATTCATAAGGTTACCAATAAAATCTCAGTCGGGGACATGGGCTGATGTTGACCACTACAGATGGCTTCGGCCGAGTGTTTCCTTTTAGAATAATATCATGACTACCCATCGTGGGTTCAGCACGAACAAATCAAATATCGACTTTTGTCTTGCGCGCGTGGTCTGCTCTGCGCTGCAAATTCGAGTTGCACGCTGGTGGACTCGGGCGAGGAACACAACCAAACAGAGGCCAGAACAGCATCGCACAATTGCGGCGCGCTTGATATCGTAAAGTTGTGATTAGAGCTTGGTCATGAATCAGGCTCGATCACCAACCAAGAGACTCACTCTTCACTCAATGCCCGGTAGATGTTACTCGTTGCGGTTCCTCTCGCATATCGACTTCACAACATGGGCCATATTCGGCATAGTGTCGTTTCTATAGGAGCTCCAGTCACGTTTCCAATGAGACTTGGAGGCGCTATCAGCAGTGACTCTTTCTAGCAGTGTCTCCGAACATACAATGATTCTCATGCCTCGCAATACAGTCTCTCATCGAATGCAAGGACAGAAACCGGAGCCCCCAATCAAAACTCCACCAAAATATGGAAAATTCCAGAAGTCGACAAGAAACGATCAGTTCCCGTTCGGACGTTGGCCGTTAGATCTATGTAACCGGAATTCGGCCAATTTTAGAGGGTTTTCCTTGATTGGACGAATATTAGACATTCTTTAACCAAATCATTTTATTCATGTGGCTCCAAGGGATCGGTCTGCGCAACAGCATGGAGCCTATATCTCCGGTGGAAGATGACCACTTGGGTGATTGACGTGGAGAGATTAATATCCCCATGTTAGAAGTCCGACGATTTCAAATTAAAGTGAAATTCAAAATGATGGTTCCTTGCATGGATATCCCCACACAATTGCCTTACAGAAGATCATGCCGGCGGGCCATTTCACGATGCCTGGATGGGGATACATAGTCGCAAAGAATTGCCCTTTTACTAGATAAGGATACAATTTCGTCTGCAGCCCACTTCTTGGTGCTCTTTCTTTTTCTTTTCTATTTGCAAGGTGGGTTGGATTTTCTCTGGGCTCTACAGACATTAGAAATGAGACTCAACACTGGTGACTTGAAGGGCATAGCGTTTATCATTTATCTGGCGAGCCTTGTGGCATGGCATCCAAAACATACATCTCATGCTGGTCCCTGACTTCCAGTTACCTTTACTTCCGGCCTCCGACTTGTTTGATCAACTTGCAGCCTCGTACAGACTGTGTACCTGTTGTGCATTGTGATTAGAGGGAACCATAGCACTGATTCGTCGCTTTTCAAATGCCCGTTCTCTTTGCCGCCCATGTCTCAACGCTTGAAGACCCACTTGAACAATAATAATACATGTCATCGCGGCATGACTGCTTGTCTAAGGGTCATCTTGATCGTCTGACACGGCATGGTGGGCCGTTCTGGAAGCCACTCATTCTACTTTTCCAGCTCTGCCATGCTTTATCCATACCCGCTACTATGCGCTAGTACAGTCTTAAGGAGTTTTCTTTGTGAGAACAAGAAAAAGAAACATTTCAAAACCAGCTTATCCTTCACAGTAGTGCGAGCTCTGTTCGTGACACGAGCATCATTCTGTGGTCGTAGGCTGATACTTCAAGCTTGGGCCAAATGTTTTAGCTAGGTAGTCGACAAATCTTGCAAGCACACTTGCTCCACAGATGGCCATGCTTCAAACAGAAGCATGTTAGTCCCACTTCAGTATGACGAGCCACGCCTTCTTCAATACTGCAAAAATAATTTCCCACTCTCAAAGAAGAAATGCGCTAGCACCAACCTCGGATGTACCGTCGAGTGAGTAAGGCCTTAGAACATATCAAAGACCTTCCGAAGCATCAATCTGATTGCCGGGGTTAATGCAGATCATGGGGGTGTTTTACTATCTGACTATATAGTTTCTGCACTTATAAATTCTACTACGGAAGCGTTTCCCTTGAGCAGTACTGCATTGCTCCTTTTATGATATCCTAATATATCCGCTGCATCAACCATCCCCAAAGAAGACTGGCTATTACTGGAGAAGGCCTCTCAGCATGCACCACGGCTCTACCTGCGTGAAAAGTCGAGATCATTGTGTCATGCCGCAGATGTCTGGCCCATCATTTACGGGGAAACAACGCGGTATGAAGCGAGACAGTACACGGACTAGCCCTGCTAGGCATTCAACCTCTACCTCTGATCTGGAAAGTAAGAGCCGAACTCAGGCCCGGCGTCGAATACAACTAGCGGTATGAATTTATCCTTATAATAGTACCATTATGCAAGATAGAAATCTGATCCAATTAGTGTGTCCGCTGTCGAAGGAGAAAAATCAGATGTAGTGGCGAAACTCTCGATGGTGCAGCATGCACCAATTGCAAAGCCGCTAATATTCTTGATTGTCAGTTCTTAAGGGTATGCCATTCTGTTGCAAGATTCCTTCATCCTACATGACCAAATTGTGCTTATTCCGTGGTTTAGCCGGATACAACTCAGTTGCTACCAACACCGGGGAGTGCTCTAGCAGTTCATTATCAAGCAATAGGCTCACTAGCAACTTCAGCTAACGCAGGCTCAATCGGGGGGAGATTCAATCCGTATACTGGCCCCCCAAGTCTGCTCTTGTCGCCTTCCACGTACGCTATGTCATATCCTAAATCGCATTCTTTGTCAGATTTGGGCAACTATGGCCGAGTCGATCCAATGCAGAGAGAGTCGGTATTCGGGAATGAATTCATCGAAGAGTACGCTATGCCGTATAGCAGCATGGCTGAGTACTACAGTTCTCTGGGTGGCAGGGCATGGAATTCTGTGCCAGCAGCAGCAATGGCCACCGACTTGGATCGATCACAAAGTACAATTTTATATAGTAAGACTCCCAACTATTTTTCCTATGCTGGGGCTTTTGTGAAGAGCACCAATTGACCTTGTCATAGCTACTGACGTCCCATCTTTCCCCCCAACTGGAAATACGCTGTCTTCTGAAGATCCTTCTACAAATCGCCTTCTGCCGGTGCCAACTATCACTGCTTCATCATCAATCAACACGATGTCATATTTCAAAGACATTGACATGGCAGCTAACGGGCACCCTTTTATGGCAGGAGAAGAAAGCGGGAATATGTATTCTCTCGGACCACGAAGTTCAAACTCGATGAGAAATAAATCCATCTCTACATCAATGCCATTTTCAAATACTTATGGCTCAACCAACATGATCGCTCACGACCAGAAATCCAAAGTCCTCAATACAAATCAGAATTTGATGATGACATATACAGCTACCACCGATGGTGCTTTTGATACGTTTCCAATTGCATCCTCGACCTTCACTCGATCCAGGACCGCAGACTCGAGTGATATCGAGGAGCCGGTGATGATGTCCATGAACGGAACCAAAAATGCGCAGGGTGAGAGTCATGCTAAGAATGATAAGTCGTCCGCTTATGGGCACAAGTTGCGAATACCTCTGGAGGAATATGTGACACGATCGAATACGGGATTATATTCCCATTCTGGGAGCTTATTGGAGTCCTCGTCCAATACTCGAGGATTGGCTTTGAGTCATCAGGATTTTTGACAGCAAGTTTTTTTGCCCTCATGGTTAATCTTTGTGGGTGGTGATTAGTGTACTGTCGAAGCTTTATATAAATTTCTCGACCTCCTTGTCCTCCAAGGTTGTTTACTTTGTTTCGTGAGCAAATTTAATTAGCTTGTTGAGAGTGGTCTAAGATCTGTCAAAGATTCTAGCAGCTACCAATAGTTTAGTCATAATCATACCTGGATAGGTATCATAAAATCATTTTAGATGTCCAAACGTAGTTCTGGGTGGGCATAGTAAGCAAGTATTAGACACTCCTTGAAGAAAGAAGGGGAATTCAGGGGGGAATTGAATGTAAGCGGGGGAGGAATGTGTAACATCTCTGATGCAGCACTCAACAAGTTCTAGAAATGATCATCTCAAACTTACGCAGTATTATTATCTGGGACTGCAGCCAATATTGTGTAGGCATTAGAGTAGCGGATGGTTTGGTGTCTATCAAATCCATCTGGTTTGCTCTTAGGGTTATGGGACACGTGATGCCGCGTCCACACGCTTATCTTATCGGCCCGCCAAGACGCATTGATTTGACCGGAAATCGAAGCAACTAATTTAGAGACCACGAAAGCAACTACGCTGCGTAGTCTGCATTCAGGATTTCAACTTTGTGTATGCGGTTCGATTGACCTCTCATCAAATTTATATATTTTCTCTTCATATTTGATGGCGAGCCGCATATCAGATTTCTCACAGGTCAGCCAATGATTCACATATCTTGTTGCTGGCGATGCGCACGCGATGCCAATGCCCGAATATACCGGGTCTATCTTCCTCATCCCTAAGATGGGGTCTGTTGCTGCTGGCACTCTGGCTGGTCCAGGTGCAGGCCATGAAAGAGAATGAAATTCGTGATTTGAGGTATGTCTATCTTTTACAAGTACATCGACAACCGCTGACATCCTTACGTTTATTGGTATAGATTACAAACCGAGCAGATGTTCTACCATGGCTACGACAATTATATCAAATATGCATTTCCGGAAGATGAATTGCGCCCTCTTTCGTGCGGCCCGCTTACGCGCGATCGCGATCATCCCGAGAAGATTGAACTTAATGACGTCCTCGGTAATTACTCATTGACCCTGATTGATAGTCTGTCGACTCTTGCCATCCTTGCATCGAGCAATGACACGGGGTCCCGCGCATGGTCGCATTTTGAGAATGGTGTACAGGATATTGTGCGATTGTATGGCGATGGAAGTCAGGGTTCTGAGGGCCAGGGAGAGAGAGCGCGTGGGTTTGATTTGGATAGTAAAGTGCAGGTTTTTGAGACGGTTATACGAGGGCTGGGTATGTTGATATGCTTTTTCCATCTAATCTCGTCTAACGCTAACATGATGCAAAGGCGGCCTGCTTAGCGCGCATCTCTTTGCAGTCGGCGATTTACCGATTCGAGGTTACAAACCGTCCGCGGAAGCTACTCAATATGCGAAGGCTTGGGACAAGAGCGCTTTTTCACCACTGAATTACTCAAAAGGGATTGTTTGGTCAAATGGATTTATTTACAACGGACAATTGCTTCGACTTGCCCGCGACCTGGCGGACCGTATGCTCCCAGCTTTTTACACCCCGACAGGGCTTCCATATCCTCGAGTAAATCTTCGTTATGGGGTTACATTCTATGAAAATTCGCCCTTGAGCAAAGACTACCCTGGTCAGAAAAAAGATGACCAAAGAAAGTATACGACGAGATATCATTCCAGACCAGAAGTCACCGAGACATGCAGTGCGGGCGCGGGAAGTCTTGTTTTGGAGTTTACGACTTTGAGTCGTTTGACAGGTGATGGTCGTTACGAAGACTTGGCAAAACGGGCATTCTGGGCTGTATGGCTAAGACGAAGTGAGATTGACTTGATTGGTGCCGGTATCGACGCAGAAACGGGCAACTGGGTGGCACCATTTACAGGCGTAAGTTGTTCTTTTGGAAGTTTCAGAGCTTGAGACTTACATGTTGTAGATTGGAGCTGGGATTGACAGCTTTTTCGAATATGCTTTCAAAGCATATGTTCTTTTGTCGACTGGAGAACCACCCGAATTCGACACTAGCAGCCCTTGGACCATCATGGACAATTATTTCCTACCACTGGAAGAGGCACATCACTCACCTGAATTTTATTTTCAAGTCTGGCAGGACGCCCAAGATGCCATCAAGCATCATTTATATCGCGGACATGGCTATCAACATCCGCATTACGTGCAAGCAGATTTGCAAACAGGTGCGACGAGAGCATTCTGGATAGACAGCTTGAGTGCTTTCTATCCTGGTGTCCTTACCTTGGCGGGGAGAATCGAGGAAGCAACCGAAATACATTTACTAGCTACTGCTTTATGGACACGATTTTCTGCCCTACCGGAGCGATGGAATGTTGCCACTGGGGAGATAGACAACGGCCTGGGATGGTGGGGAGGCCGTCCTGAGTTTATTGAGTCTACATACTATTTGCACCGGGCTACCAAAGACCCGTGGTATCTCCATATCGGTGAAATGGTCTTACGCGATATAAAACGCCGTTGCTGGACACGATGTGGTTGGGCAGGACTTCAAGATGTGCGCACGGGCGAGCTACAAGATCGCATGGAGAGCTTTTTTCTCGGAGAAACAGCGAAGTACATGTTTCTGCTTTTCGACACGGATCACCCCTTGAACAACATGGATGCACCTTTTGTGTTCACAACGGAAGGCCATCCACTGATAATTCCGAAGAACGTTCCAAAACCGTTGTTTTTGACACCTAACTCCAATTCGGAAGATGTGGTCGCTGAAGTTTGCGAAATTGCTCCTGTATCTCCTCCATTCAGCTTCTCTGCCACTGCAGCGCGGCCGGACATTTTTCACGCGTCGAGTCTCGCGCGTTTGCATCTTATGCCGGGTAGAAGCGAAGCTGGCGGTGCCCTATTTGACTTTGCAAATGACCATCCAGGCGTGACTGTTTCTGATCTGTTTTCACCGTCGAATTATACATTTTACCCCTGGACTCTACCTTCTGAGCTTGTACCTTATAATGCAATGAGCTCTCCGATGTCGATACGACCCACTCTCGACATTTCTTTCCCGAAATTGCCAAGCATGATCATTGGCTCGGGGTCCATGGAAAGAGTACGGGACGGTATTCTACTCAAATCAATTGGGGGCATGCGGCTTGGCATGGTTCAGGATATGCCTCTGGGTGTTGATCATGGCTCCTCCGGATTCTACACGGACTTGTTCCGAATTCAAGTGATCAACAATGTACCGCTTGGCAGAGATGAAAAGGTGTACCTGTCACGTGAAATTGTGTTTGATGTGTTGAGTCCGAATGATCCGCATTTTTCACGTGTGCGCGATTCAATTATGCTGGACATCGTCATTGATGTCGAACCAGAATCAACAAAGGCAAAGAACAAGAATCATACAGAATCATCTCGCCATCAAAGCTACAAACAAGACACAGCTATTATTCGGCAAGAATCACCCACGCTTTCTGACGACGAAACGCTTTTGAAGGGACGAATATCCCCGGCATCGAGCGTACGAACAGCGTTATCCGCATTGATGGATCATATCTCTACTATGCTGAGCGATGATACCAGTAGCGACCTAGACGATGACAGTGAAAGCGGATACTATGGAGGCGTGCAGAGCTCTTTGTTCAAGAAGAAGACATCTAATAATGCACCTACTACTCGGCTGGTACTTCCAGCCATCAACTCCATTGGAGCAGGTTCAGCTCCTTTACCTGATGTTACAGACGCAGCCGTATTTTCGCACAACGGTAAACCATCGACAACACGCCTGACATGGTCAAAAATATACTTGACCGATGAGCTCTGCGATCACCGTTTACCGGTAAACGTGCCGCGCGAATACCAAGTGCTGGTAGTCAAGCGTGGAGGCTGTTCGTTCGCCGAGAAACTGAAGAATATCCCGGGCTATCCTAACTCGGGAAGCAGTAACAATAATAATCGTCTGCAACTTGTTATTGTTGTGTCATATCCTGAACACGACGCAGATTCGGTTTCTCCCTTATATCAAGATGTTGAAGGCTTGCAAGCTAGCGACGAACAGAACTTTTACGAAGAACGATATTATCAGCGGCCATTCACATCCACAAACCCGAACCAAATGCAAGCCAGAGCAGCACTAGCTTCGGAGAGTATGCTTGTCAGGCCACACTTGGACGAAATACAAATGACTTCAAGCGGGCTGCCGCGACGAGAGCCTATTAGTATGATCATGGTTGGTGGTGGGGAAGAGACATACGAGTTCTTGAGGAATTCTACCGGGTTGGGGATTAGAAGGAGATATTTTGTAAAGAGTCAGGATGTCCCGATTGGGAATTTGTATATAATATAAGAGTTGTCAGAGGGGATTATTGATTTTTTCAATGTACATAGTTAAGAATACCATTATTATAAAACATTTTCGATAAGTACATCTACCCAAACATATGATCTATAGATTCGCCGCTGCTACAAGCTCATCTATGATCCCATCAATCCCATCAAAGAGCGAGATATGCCCATGCCCTTCGAGAAGATGGACCTTGACTTTATCCTGCGGCAAATGTTCGGCAAGCCATTTCCCATGCGCAAAGGGGACCATTTTATCCTCCGTACCCTGCAACAGCAACAAAGGCACACGAACTTCACTCAATTCAAATCCCCAGGGCTGGAAAAACTCCAAGTCATCGTCAATCCAGCCGTCGGAGCTGATTCTGAGACCTTCATGGAATGAATCGACCATTTGCTGACCGATTGTGTCTTTGTTTTGGAGTAGAGTGGCATTGTCGCATGGCGGGAGTAAAGTGGACATTACTTCCATGACTCCGTCCAATTCGGAGGCGAGATATTCCTTGCGATGACCGTCGCAGAATTCGCGGAGTTGGGTTTCACCTTCGAGTGCTTTGTTGAATTCGTCGATGTCTGTGTTGTTAGCATTCTGTTTTAAGAAACTGGCACAAAGACTACTTACTATCCTCGCCTTGTCCGGCGAGCCAATCCAGTCCTTCGACATTATAAGGCGCTACGCCAGCGAAGGATACAGCAGCCAGACATTCATGTAATCGCGCTGCACAAGCAAGAGTGGAGGGACCTTGAAGGTTTCAATGTCAGCATGTTTCTTTTTTCCACCTCAATCTGACTTAGATAAGGTAGGTAAGCTAGGTAACGTACCACCTCCACTCCATCCACCGACAAGACACTTCTTGACTCCCAAGTGATCAATTAGGGACTTGATATCAGCTACACTATCGACGACTTGTCGGCCTTTCTTCCTCGTTGAGCCTCCGTAACCAGCTCGCGAGAACGTGATAACTTTGATTCCTTTCCTTGCGCAGGCATCGACAAGATTTGGAATTGGTATACCTGCTCCAGGCGTGCCGTGGATGAACACTAGTGGAAATCCATCTTCGGGACCACTCACACAATAATCTAGATTGCGTCCGTCGGGAAGCTGGTGTTGCTGAAATTGTTGCGGCATAGTGAACTCAATGAGCTGAAGGTATCTAATATCGCAAAACTTGTTCAATGGAAATTTTCTCGGTCAAAGTACGAAGGGATACCTGGGCTATAAGTAGGTAAGTAGGCAACTAGGTAACCAACTAACTTAAATATCGTCGATTAATAATGAGGAGTGATTAATTATTAGCAATTCGTTACCCCACTTAGGATCAAATCGACTACTAATACCGCGTGTAACCGTTGGAGATCCAAAATGCTTGATTTAATCTATGTGGATAACTGCACGTGTGCTGATTAACCACCTGCCTATGTAGAATATGAAATCGCAGATTAATGGCGGAATCTAATCCACGTAGTGCATTTTACTTTAGACTAAAAAGTACTATTGGAGATGGCGATTTGTTTATCAATCGTAAAACTCATCCGAGTGTGATGGATGGTTAGGTACTCGTAACGCACGTTACATCCCGCCAAATCTGACCCCCATATGTCCACTAGCTATACCAGGGTACATGAATAATGAGGCCCGTGCTTACTCCAAAAAACACTGACCTTTACTTGTTGTTTTCATATCGGCGATTCAAGCAGAAGTGCAGCTACAAGCTGGGTAAGAAGTTGAGAAGTTCATCAAGGAAGAGCTGAAGGTGTCGACCAAGGGCTTTTCCTAGAAATAGGAAAGTGGAGAGGGGCTGCAATCACTGAAAGAAGTCTTGTATGATTGTTTGTACGGTCCTATGAACGGATGATCGAAGTCTACACATCCATATAGCCCAGCGAAATGATGCGCTATTATGTTGGGTTTTTTGAGGCTGAGTCAGAGGGGACACGAGGCCTGTGCCGCATGCCCCTTGGAGACATTCTCCACTAGTATACATTAAAGAAGTATTTTAATCGACACTTTAACCTCCTGCGCATTATTAATCCCTCAAGTGGGCATTTGGAGACGGAACAACGTCTTCTATCATTTCAGTGACCTGCTATATACACGCTCAATTTAATGATTAGTAGTTCATGAAAACCAGCGAATTGAAAGGCTTTTATATTCTGTATGTTCATAACTGAGCTTGCCTATTCTGTCTATCGTAAGACTCTCCCCTCGGATTGTAGCGCAGGTTGTATCAGGTTCACAGATTCTGAGGTGGGTCCTTGCTCCTACTTTCCTGAACAAAACAGCCTCAAGTCTATATTCACTCAGTCAATTGCCCAATATGCTTGGATTCCCCAGCGAACGCCACAAGCACACAGTGATATCATAAAATGCCGTCGGTACACCGTTTCAGCCTCACCCAGTACCTTTCGCCTCTCCCACCGTGTTTTCGGACTAGAAGCTTGATTGACAGCAGCGAGAACTCATGCGGGCATGCTATCGCCGGATGGCATGTTCCTGCTGGCTTTTGGCCGGGATGGAATTTGCTTCGCCTTGACAATATTGATCACGTGAAATCCGAGTTGTTCTGCGCCGTCAATCTTGTCGAGCTTTCCTTCGAGCAGCTCCGCGTCTCGCAGAAGCCTGCATATTGGTTAGCTAGCAACAAAATGTTCTCGAGGGGGTGCTCACCTCGCTCTCCCGGCCTCGGTCCGTACCGTCGCACCATTGAAAGCTTTGCTCCATTGCTCCTTGTAGCTCACAAAGACCCGTCCAACGATCATTCTTACGCTCAACGCCGGCAAGTACTTGCTCAGCACTCGTTGTAGTGTGAGCACCTCTTTCGTGAGCGTCTCCATGTGTGGACTAACATTCCTCTGTACCTCGTCTTCATCGTCCCACTTGATCTTCTCCATCTGTCTGATGTAAAGGGTTGCGTGAGATCTCATTATGTCGATGAGTTTGTTGTGGATAGAGGACCGATGGTCTTGCAATAAGTACTTCAGCCGGTCATATTCTGCCATGCCGGAGGCTGTGATAGATAGTCGACGCCGGACACACTCGCGCACGTAGGGTATCAGAGCAATGAAGAAGGACAGAGACTGCGAGGCAAGGGCAAGGTGCTTGGTATTGATATTGGTCAGCCCAGCTGTTATCTTAGCACCGGCACCGAGAATGAGCTGTTGTGTGCAAGAATTATAAAGTTTGAGATAGTCAAGTAAGGCCGTCGAAATCTCGTTAGCCATGCCGGGAATCGATGCCAGGAGGATTGTGTACTTCTCTATGCCGCGAAGCGCAAATGCTGCCGAATCGACAAGCGTAAACTTCTCCTCCTCAATGACTGCCAGTGGCGAGTCTTTCTTGTTTTGCTGAGCAACACTCGTAGGCTCCGCAGGGGTGCGGTTTAGCTGCAAATTGCGTTCACCTGCTTCTAGGCCGATGATACTAGCGTCCGTGTAATCGAGCCATGCCGGAGGATCAGTGATTATAGACTGGACAATGTGCGCCAGGGCCAATGCGTCCTGGGGCTTGAAATCGATGCGCTCCCACTTCTCAGACTCCATCTTTTGCACCAGCTTTTGCTTTTCCACTTCGTGCAGAAGCGGGATAAAGTCATGAAGTTGGTTGTTTACGACTCCTTTGAGCGCCACTCCAGAGTTTCCAGAGACTGCCTCGCATTCATTCACGAACAGGCGATTTAGCGTGAAGTAGCTTAGAAAATCAGTTAATCCAAGGCGAACCGTTTGCTCAGTTCTGACTCGCAGCACCTTTGTCAACTCTGATTGTGTCTTGTCTACTGCCTGTTCGAGGAGGCTTGACATGTCAAGGGCTTGAGTCATCTCTTCCTGCGGATTACATTCCATCGAAAGGCTGGGTGGATGGACCGCTAGATTGCCTGTGCTTCCCTGGCTTTGGACGGGCGTGAGTACATTTTTTGGAGTCTCCTTCATGCCGCTCGTAAAATCGAGGAGAACCTTGACCTGTACACTAAGCCTCCGTAATGCTTCGCCTATTCCGCAATAGACCTTGACAAAAAACGCTTCAGCGTCCTCAGGACTGAGAGCACGCAAATTGCGAGACAGAATGCTCGACTTTTCCTGCTGGGTCGGACGTCGACCGCTTGGCCGCGTGGACGCAGACGTGACAGACTCATTATCGTCGTCAGTAGAACTCGGCAGGTGCTGACGGATAAGAGACTTCATCTCTCGGATGACAGCTTCGCGAAATGTGGTGCTTGCGGCAGCTAGATACTGCGACTGGCCAAGTCCCAGCAGGACAGGGACGAGTTCTTCGCGCAGCTTTTCTGCAATCGTCACGGACGTGCGTGTCGATGGGGAGGCATCCGTTGCGCCCCGTGTGCGCTTTGCGATATCAGCCCAGCGCGCCAAAATGTCTCTCGGAGATACGCCTGATATATGTCGGCGCAGGTCGCCCAAAAGGATATCCAGCAATCGGGCTTCATAACCTTTTCCGATCCGTAGGCGAAGCTGGTTGATGTCTCTGAACAGTCCTCCAAGAACTTGTAGTTGGCGTAGATCGGTAAGTCTAATGGATGGGTTCGGTAGAAGCCAATAGAACTGGCCACCAATTTTCGGATCTAGTGTTCCAGATGCAAGCTGTTCGACGTACGAGATGCTTTGTAAAGCCATCTCCAGCTGCCCAGAGTTTAGGAGTTCCTCGCAGGAACTAGCGCTGCTGAGGACATATTGAAGCTGTTTAATAGCATCGCCCAGCTTTCTTAGATTATCCCGTCTTCGCTTTATACTAATAATCTCAAAACCGCGCACTACTATCTCTTCATCGAGATATACGAGGTCCTCCCTAAGCTTCTTGATCTTTGCGCTAGAGTCGGCGAACGCAGCCTGGAGTCCACGTAGAGAGTGAAGCGCGGCGAAAAAAGAGGCTGACGCTTGCGAAATCGAACGTATCAGATAAATCTCTACAGTGTCCATATACCATGATAGCTTCTCCAGTAACATGGTATTGGTAATAAGCGCCTTCCCACTAGATTGCGGGGTACTATTTGCAGCAGTGCTGTCACGATCTCCGGTGGTGGAAAACGGCTGCCTTATAACCCCCGCATACTCACTAACAACATCAAAAGTACGTGGATTCTCGAGGTGAAAGTTTTCATCGAAATACACAGAGGGAATCATAGACAGCGGTGTAGGCAAAAGCTGGTCGCGCTTCAAAATGCTGGTCTTCCGCTTTCTGTATGGTGCAAGCTCGTCGTTTTTGGCGGTGGAGATGTCTTGATGCAACATTTGTTTGCCGCTGTCTTCGGACTCGAGCTTTGTGCGTTGGAAAGCGTCAAACAGGGGTCCAACCTGACTGAGGTAGTCTTTAAAGGCTGAGGGCTCGACATCGAGGACAGTGGTGAGAGTGACGGGAGGTATGTCTTGGGATGTGGGCGGCTTCTGCGAGGTCGTATAGATTGCGGTGTGAGCAAGAAGCTCGGCCCGTAATATTGCCGGTTGTAGGAGTGTAGATATAGCTTCCAGAGTCGTCAATACAGCTTCATGGATTGTCTCTATTAGGTTGCCCACCATTTTGACCCGACTCTGTTGCCATGGTCTTTCGCCTGTGAGAGGCGCTATCTAGCGATCCACCAATCGAGCGGGGGGTTGTTGCGCTCACGTTCGAATCCCTTCTCGCCGGCGATCGAGGACTTCGCGACGACCAGACGTGGCTAGAAAATTGGTCTTCCGCTGGGGAGCGCCCTGGCTTGCCGCCTGAAGGCGTTGATATGGTCGCGCAGCGCTATGTAGGGTTGGGAGCAGAGGTAGCTTGGGAATTGTTAAGGTGTACCTTGTCTCAGCGGCTACCGTTTAGCCTATCAGCAGTATTTAGGTATTGAAGAAACTAGACCACATCTAGTCTCGAAAACCAACGGACCAATTGCATGACAAATTGGATACAATGCTGATTATCTCCTAACCTGAAAATAGAAAATCAGCCGCAAAAATGGTAGACAGAACTTCAGGAACATCAGGACGATCAGGGATCAGAGTCCTGGCCTTTGGATGTGGAAGAGAACCCGGACCCTGGTCATATTGTGTTGGGGTAACCAACCAGACCAAAAAGCTGCGCGCTAACTAGATGACCCAATATGGTAAGATGTAGACTGAGCCAATGTCCCAACATATTGTCATTAACGAAAGAGAACTGAGAGACTTTCTTTGGCAGACCATGGGATTTTCCCATGTTTTTCAAGCTTATAGTCTTTGTTATCAAGGCGTACAAACAGTCGGTAAACGGCATCTATTCTAGGGGCATGGCTTAGGTGCGCTGTCGTTTAAATTCGATCTACCAAGAGCGGATATCAATGAATTCGATCACCGATGCTGTTGGCAAAATAGATCTAATTATTGGGTGCTTTCTGAGGCTACTTTTCCTCCTCGAAAGCCGCCAAAACGTTACATCACTGGGTGCTTCGAGGAGTCTCTAGAGTACATTTAGAACCGGAAAGTATTGAATGATGCTTCTAGCTACAGCAAGTTTAAGAGTATGCCCCTCCTCGAATTTTCAAATGTAGGATTAGGGCTAGAATCACCACGTGACACATTGGCGTGTTATAGCTAAGTCTTCACTAGATTTGCAGATTTTGGCGAATTTGAGACTTTATTCAAATGAAAGGAAGAAATCGTTGTTACATTGGTCAAGGTGTTTTGATGTCAGTGGAATAGGATTCGATGAAGTCGTATGGTTCATTCTGAGTGGAGTATCCCAGAAAAAGACACTGAGAATAAACTTCACTAGGTAGATCATATCCTAAATATTCTTACATAAAGTCTTTGTCAGCTTGTCCTACCGACTTGAGTACCAAGGTTGGTTCCTGGCAGGCACCATCTACGTCAACATCACAGAGCAGTGGTGCGATGTCTCGGATAGAGACAAGACGCTGACCGAGTCATCATACGTATTAGCTGAAAAGCAGTAGAAAAAGAAAATGTATCCACTCCTATATATTTCAACCATTGCAACGTTCCTAGCACGCAATTCGATGGTGGGGTAGGTTTATGTCGATCAAGTCATCAGCAGCCACCTTGATAGAAATATGCTGACCACTTCAGAGTTGCATCATCATAATCCAAAATCAAAATAACAAAGGAACCACTTTAAAAAAGATCAAAAAACAGGGAGACAAAGACATCATGTCCTCGTTCTCCCCACCACATCACAAACCCATCGTCGCCCAAGACGCCATAGCCGAAGACTCAACCACCAATCGCCTCGTCGACCACAACGATGCCATCCTCCAACAACAAGCCAGCGACAGATCCAACCTTATCAAAAATACGCACAGTGCTTCTCCATCATTTAAAGAAACAAGAATATTCTATTTCGCCTATGGCTCAAACCTGTCACCCACGCAAATGCGTCTGAGATGTGAACATGATCCGTCAACGTCGGGTCGGCCACTGGCCATTGCACGGATTGAGCGGTGGCGATGGCTGATTTGTGAGAGGGGGTATGCTAATGTTGTGCCTCCAAAGGAGTGGAGGGTTGGTAGGCAGATTAGTCATGGAGAGCTGGTATCAGTATCTTCTTCTGCGGGAACAGAACAGGCAGAAGAAGAAGAAGAGAATGATGTTGTGTTCGGCGTATTGTATGAAATGACACCGGAAGATGAATATCTCCTCGACGGCTATGAGGGCGTCGATCATTCAGCGCCAGTATCGCAATACGGCGATAGAATTCCTATTGCTATCAGGCCCCGAGAACAGGAACATGGTGCCTATAATAAGTGGTACGTCCCCGCGAAAGTTACAAAGTGGCTTGTTTCGGAAGAAGCGGCGAATGAAGAGCATGATATTACGGCCTTGGTTTATGTGGATGAAAAGAGAGTTACGGTTGGAGCTCCGAAGTTTGAGTATGTAGGTAGGATGAATAGGGCGATTACGGAGTCCTTGGAGTTGGGCATGCCGGAGAAGTGGGTGCAAAGTGTGGTGAGGAAGCATATTCCTGAATCCTAGGTAATCCGTATCAAGCTTATTATAGTCTTATGTTGCTACTCAAAAGACCTCTTTGACATGATAGACGATGTATGATTATCTACAAAATGACGTTCCTCCCAGCCAAATGGTGTAATGAGAATTCAAAAGGTCAAGAACGCGCACTAGTAGACTAGACACTTCCAAATCGATACTGAGCCCAACTCAAACTCCTCTCCGGAAGAGTCCACAGTCGTTCCCCGACATCATCCCCAGCCGCACCAGCAGCGACATGCAGAGGCAAGATATGCTCAAAAGTGGGATGAGCCTCTCGAGCAGCAGGCTGTTTCATCAATTCCTCCATCTTCGATCGTCGTGCTTCTGGAGGGGCGGTAGTGACTTCTTTAAGAGCTTCGTCGAAGGTATAGGCGTACCTGAAGAAAGCCAATTGTTAGAAGCGTTTGTTTACGAAGATGTAGAAGGTGCTTACGGCATGGTCTTGCCCGATGCCAAAGTAGCCCGGTAATCGCGAAGGTTGTGAACAGCCATGCCCGCACCGACAATCAAGATGCCTTCATCTCGAAGACTTTGAAGTGCCTCTCCCATGCGGTAGTGCTGGTCTGAATCCTCGCTGCCAAATATCGAGACTTCTACGATCGGCACGTTCAATGGGTTCTTTTTTGGATCAAAGGCTTTTCCAGAAGTCAGCATTCGCCTATCCCTTTTTTGATCGAGTTACCATATCATACCAGCCAGAAATCCAACCCATACTCCATGGTCAAGACCTCTCTTCACCGGCTCGACATCAATACCTTTCGTAGAAAGTTTCTCTATAACCCTCGACGCAACTTCCATACTCCCTCTATTCGGGTAGTCATACTCATAGTAATGCGGCGGAAACCCATAAAAGTCATAGATCAAGTCCGTCTTTTCGACAACATTAATCTGGATTGTACTAGGACCTCCTTTCCAGTGCGCTGAGAATACGACTACAGCTTTAGGCTGGACTTTTTGTGTAATTTCCAGACCGGTTTCGGCTAGTTTGTGATATGCTGGATGTTGTTTATCTTCCATGAAGTTGGGTCCGCCGATACCAAGAAAGTATACCGGCATGCGTTTGGATGTCATTGTCTGTATAGGACGGTTTTGCTGTGAATTGTTGAGTTTGTGAATTGCAGGTTCTAGGTGCCAGATGGTCGTGTACGACTGGGCAGTGCGATAAAGAATTGGTATAGACAGGCTCAAAAGGAGTACAGAAAAGTACTTTGACCAGTTTAGTGAGGATATTGGGAGCATTGCGCACTATATCTGGACTTTCTGACAAGTCTGGGATAAAAGAGGGGAACGTTTGCTTAAGAAAGCGTCCTAGATGCTTAGCTGTATGAATTCAGACCGGGCTGACAAATCCAGCACCGAGATGACCGTGTTTACCTTTCATTCTTTACTCAAATCGTGAAATCACTCATGGAAGCCATCACCTTTCAATGATCCAGATTCATTAATTAGTAGTTGCACCGCACGAGATGGAGCATGAGGTGGTAGAGTCGGCCAATCAGCGAGCTTTCTCGACAACAAAATGATCCACCCGCGCGGTTTGTGGGTCCATCTTGGATACAGTAGCCCTAATTTCTTCATGAATGGTCGTTCATGATTATACAGAGAAAAGGATGTGTTGCGATCGATTACCAATCCTCGGACTGATGTCTGAATTACGCCGAGATTTCGTGACCAGTATGTAGTCTTCGTGGTATAAAGGGGCATCATTTCACTCCAAATCAAACTTCAAGATGGCTCCTTCGATCATAACGAAATCCACAAACAAGATCAGATCCTTATTCTCTCAATCGAAAGTCACAATGGCAACTCCTGTCATTCTAATTCTCGGAGTCGGTCCCCGAATCGGTTCCTCCGTCGCTGAAAACTTCGCCAGTCAAGGCTACAAGGTGGCTGTTGCATCTCGGAAGGGGGAGGGCAAGATCAACGAGAAAGGCTACCTTTCGATCAAAGCAGACTTTACCGATCCACAGTCCATCGCACCTGCGTTTGACGCTGTCAAGGCTGAGTTTGGCACCGCTCCTAGCGTCGTCATATACAACGCCGCGACCCTCACTCCTCCCCCAATTCAGGACTCTGCTCTGTCGATTCCATCCGAGCGAGTTGCCAGTGACTTGATCGTCAACACTGTTAGTCCCTATGTTGCAGCACAGCAGGCTCTCTCTGCTTGGGAGACTCTGCCCAAGGAAACCAAGAAGACTTTTATCTATACTGGTAACGCCATGGGTACCAACATCATCCCTGTCCCGTTGATGCTGAACTTGGGTATTGGCAAGTCTGCTTCTTCGTTCTGGGTGGGTGTTGCTGATATAACGTACGCCGCCCGCGGAATTCGGTAAGACTGGTTCCTCTGACTGATGCTTGATTTGGCTGCTGCTGACATGTATCGATAGATTCTTCTACGCTGATGAGCGCCACGACGACGGCAAATTCAAGGGCATGGCGGTCGATGGACCTGCCCACGGAGAATTCTATGCCCTGTTGGCCAAGCAAGAGGAAAAGATTCCCTGGCACGCAACATTCGTGAAGGGCAAGGGTTATGTTGAGTTCAAGTAAATGCTAGAATGTGCTGAAAGGGTAGAAGTCATGTCAGGCTAGAATGCTGTACTACAAGAATGAAGTACCTGGAATCTTGAAATTGCGATAGTATCAGAGGTTGTGTAGAACATGCTAAATGTTAGTTGTACAAAACGCCTTGTCTTACGTGAGCAGCCAAAGGGGTAAGGTGCGGATACTTTTGCCTCAGGCCTTGAGGCAACCAGTGAACTATCGGCCATGATACTTTACTTTCCACTTGCAGTGGCAACAACAATGAAATGACTTGCTAATCGAGTGCATATATGATATGCCTGCTGCATACGGAGTACAGGTACCCGGGTACCCACGGACCAGATACAGACCGTATGATTGATCTCAGGCCACCGCACCCTAAGCATAATGAATCTGTGACACCATACTGAACCCCTGCTCAATGTGTCTCACAGATCCCCACCCTTCAGGGCCCTACGTCGCGTAATTAATCCATGGATGTCTATAAGAGCTGCGCCAACCGCGACAAACCCTAAAATCTAGAATTTCCCGGCTCGGGTCGATGACTCACAGTCGGTACTTAAGTTGGGCACCTAGGTGAGGGTGTTTCATGGCTATCATACTAAGGTAGATAGGTAGCATCAGTCTAACGGACTCCAGCAAATGATAGAGTCGGGKGTGTCCATTCGCTCATCAGTCCAATGTCCACTTGCCATAGAACCTTCACATGCCGACCCGGACAACGGTCCGGCCGATGTGGGAACAGACCTAGACGGAGCAGGCATCAGATGAAGCTATAAAGACGTCCTGTCCAATGATCGGCAATCTCGCGGTCTGTGTCAAAGATACTGGCTGCGTCTGCGATACCTGATTTGCATGCGCAAACCCGGGTTTGTGACATTCTTTTTCTGGTCAGAGAGTCCCTATCAGCTATCATTGAGGGGCAACGTAAATCGTGGCTGATTTAGGGCGGGGCTCTCTGGTGGATAGTAGTGTCAATGGTGGCCGCTCCCTGATGGACTGATCGATTTGACTAATGGACAGACTAAGCTGGTCTAGTCCTGTCTCTTGGTCGACAGCGACAACAGTTGTTCTGGCTCGACCTTTTATATTTTCACTTTTAAGCTGGTACACAGTGTCGAGTCAGAGAGACACGCAATGAGACGTGCAAGAGAAAGTCGAGACTGTTTGAAGAACTGGCCTGGAACTGCCGGTGGATGCGTATGTTACTACTATGTCGCATTGTCGTATTGTGAGTATTAAGAGTTGTAACAGCCAGTCTGTCGCAGCTGAATGGCGTGCTTCATGTTGATGCGGTGTGTACGATCCATTCTGTACGTACTGTTGGCTCGCTCCGGAACAGTACCGTTTCTTACGCACGTCTAGAACAAACATAATACAGCTTATAAGATGAGATGAAGGCATACAATAACATTGTCCATTCGCGACATAATTGTCAAATTATTTCTCAAACTGTTTGAATTTGTTATAAAAAAACATTATAAAAGTATAGGAATATTACTGTATTGTAGTGTACATGGTTTCAAGTACTGATGCTAAAATTAATTACATACATCCATACATCGGATCAGATCACCGACTAACGCGGAAAAAAAATTTAGAACACCTTTGATTTTTTTTCTGTAGAATCTTCCCCTCCTCTCCTATCGCCTCTCGCTATCTCTCCTGCCACCCTAGTCCTGCCCCGTATATTTTTCTTTCCTCTCTCTGTCCCTTCAAATACTCCCCCTCCCCCCTTTTCTTTTTTCGTCGTGCTCCCGCTTCCTCTCAGCATGTCCCAGCAGAACACTGCACAGGATGCCTCCACCACCGCCAAAGAGTCCGGACACGCCACCACCCATCCCCCCCGCACCACCGAACTCGCCAGTCTTAAGATAAGACTTCGAGCTGCTCTTCGTCAATTTCCCGATTTTCCTGAACCAGGCATTCTCTTCGAAGATATCCTGCCGCTCTTCGCCGACCCGACCCTCCACGAAGCCCTCCTCCGGTCGCTTGAGCTGCACATTCTCGAGACATACAATGAGAAGCCCGACGTTATCGTTGGCCTGGATGCCCGCGGTTTCTTGTTTGGACCTAGTCTCGCGTTGAGACTGGGCGCTGGCTTCGTCCCGGTGCGCAAGCGAGGCAAGTTGCCTGGTCCTTGTGAGACCGAGTCGTTTCAGAAGGAGTATGGCGAGGACTTTTTCCAGATGCAGGCAGACGCGGTGAAGAAGGGCCAGAAAGTCTTGGTTGTCGATGATATTATTGCAACTGGTATGTAATTACCCCTCATTATGCAGTGATGCACTCTCCCGTTCGGAGATTTGCTTCGTGTCTAGTCCAATCGCTAACGGAGTCTCAATCAATAGGAGGCTCTGCTGCCGCAGCCGGCAATCTCGTCACCAAGCTTGGAGGTAGCCTTCTTGGATTCGTCTTCATTCTCGAACTCGACTTCCTCAAGGGAAGAGACAAACTCCCTGCTCCTGTGTTCACTTTGCTCCACGGACAGGAAGAAAAGGCCTAAACCCGCTTTGGAAATACTACAATATTCCCCGCAAACACGGAAGACATCATGATGCCTTTCGCAAGCTGATTTCGGCATTAAAATTTTATTTTATTTTCAACTTGCTTTCTTGGTGCATGCATGTCATGGGGATTCAGACGAATATCGGCGGATTTCGAGTTAAATATTGAAAAAATCAACAATAATGTCGGCCGGTGGGTATGTTTACAGTCTTGGTTATTAGACTCCGATATTCAACATCATTCGATACCCCTCAAATCATACCACCGCCATATACCAACTTTCGAGGTGATCTTTGATCAACACTAGAAGATCATCCAATATTCCAGGACGAACTGGAAACAACTAAAGGGATTTCCATCGCAAACAAAAGATCAGGAAAGTCTGCATTCCTTCGAAATGCTATAAACGCAGCGCATGTCCTTCTCCTAATAATACCAACACCACCGCTATTTGTTTCCACCTCGTCTGAACATCTTGGACTCTCTTATCCATTGGGTTGCTGTCAACTGCTCACTAATAATGTCGCTGTGTCGCCTTTGCAAATTAGATAGTCATCACACTTTTGATGTTAACGCATCTTACTTCTGTACATAGATTGCCGAGCAATGAAGAGTCGAAAAGCCGTCAGCTTTAATCGTGCATAAGACCTCTAGTTTGTTAACTCAAGTAAATAATGAGATTAATCAGCCAATACAGCAACGCCCCACGTGACCGACCCACTCGCAGGTATTTCTTCGGACTTTCCAGCGCCGCTTCCGACCTTCTTTTCTTTCCTTCGCCAACACACAACACGAGACTCCATTTCTCGTGGGAAAATGACTTTTCTTAAATTTACTGTCTAATTTCTATTAATCACTAATTCATCTCTACTGCATGATGTCTCCTGCTCGAGTTGTCGAAGCTACCCAGAAAGAGAATGACTTTCAGACACTGACCTCCGCACTGGATGCGTTGTTGGTGACTGTCCACCAGCTGAGCTTGAGAGAGCAAGAGCTCCAACGCAGAGTCAAGCTTGCGCACGACGAGGTTAGTCTCTTTTTACCTTCTTCTACTGTGCCCTTACAACCCATTCTTGTGATGAGAAAATTTTCAAATCTATTAGCTCTAGATCGTGAGCCGCATGTCGGCCGTGACATTTTTGCATGTATTACCTGACAAGATCCTTTCATGTTTACGCCTGCCACTTATCAGCTACGATAAAGACAGTTGCTAACTCATACAAGTATAAAAGACTAGCCGAACGAGTGGAAGGAGGAGTCACCAATGTAGAACAAAGTGTATTGGAACAGATTCGTTCGAACGACTCTCAACCTCTACCGAAACTAGACCCATCGCTAAAACCCTTAGACGTCGTTGATAACCTCCGAGAGCATGGGCATATCCAGCGTCAGTTACTTGACGTCGTAGTAGCTGGTATCATTTCATCGCGATCGTTTGAAGGCGACGTTCGTACCGATGACAACGCGAGTTTTGAGGTCCCATCCAATAATCCCTGTGTAGTGGCCGCCAAAGCGCGACGCCCGTCTATGTATGAACGCGATTTTACAACATCTAATGGCGTAAAGGGGAACCTTCGCTGTCCGTACGCAAAGCCTACACATCCGACTGCGAATGGACATGTGAATGGTACAGCCACGACGACCATCAACAACCTAGATGAACAGAGCAGCGCTACTAAATGCGCTTTTGATCCCATCAAAGCGGATTTGACTGCGCCGCAAGACCGTGTCTCGAGCGCAGGCGCCTCTGTGAGATCGTCAGCGGCTCGTTGTCCAATTCGATACATGGATGACCATTCACCTGAAGAACTGGCCAAGTACTTCGAAGCACACAAACACGAGATTCCTAGAAGTCATGCAATTTGCGTCACTCGGTTTCAAAGGAGTTCGGCGACCATGCGTCAGATTGATGCTAAATACGGTAGTCTTGTGAATATGATACAAGGCCTCAGCGTGAGGCACAAACCGCTTTTACCCGAGTCAGGAGAGAATGGCACCTCGGCTGAGCGGGTTGAGAAATGGGCAGAAGACGTCAGTTCCAAATCACCACATCTAGCAACATTGAGCACAGTGGAAGAGGACGAAGTGCCTGCAGTCGAACTGCCGGATGAAGAGGACAGAATGGGTCATTTTGAGCGTCCTTTGCGGGAGGTCCGGGTCGGCGAGTCACCGAGTCGTCCCTGGGGTATTCCGGTTCCAATTCTGAACCATAATCAGCCTGTACTGGGTAGTGCCATCAACAGTCCTGCTGCGCCAATTCATGCGCCAGAATTGAAGACGCCGAAGCACATGACGAACATCGATTTACCGTCTCCTGCAGTGCATCGTCAGGAAATTCCTTCGCCCACACCGGTCAGGCAAAAAGGCAAATGCCCTTTTGATCATACCGCTTTAATGAAGAAACCCGAAGCTGCTGCTGACGTTGATGGTACACTGGCCAAGGAGGCGGATTCTCCTGCATACCAACACTATGTGAATGGCAATGTTCATCATGCAACAGTCCAAGAGGACAAGATCAATGACTACGCTGAGCCAAAGGTGCAAGCATCGACACCTACACCTGCTTCAGCTCCAGCTCCAGCATTAAGCAGCCCACCACAAATGATTTTCAATGGCCCTGTCTTTTTCGGTTTCTCAGCAGAAGAAACAGCGGCATTCATGCAGCAATTCAGTTCACCGGGAGGAAAGTGAGTTTGTCCTTTATCACCTGGACCATATATATCTGCATACATAATCTGTATATACCTTGATGAGACATGACTTTTGAGCGTTCATTGTATCAAGCGAATGAGCATTATTATTACTTTTACAGTCTGAATATCCAAATACTTTTCTGTCAAGTTTTTGTCATGACTCGTAGTTTAGCCGATACCGGAAGAGGTATAACAGCTCCAAGATTAATCGAGTCGACCACATTCATATACTCAATACCGATCACATCTTGAGTTGATCTGCAAACATTTCATAGATGGTATCCAAAAGTAGCTCACATATGTAGAATATCAAAACTAGCAGGCAGGGAGATTGAACGCCATCACCGACACCGGTGAGGGGCAGCCTGTGCGGAGACTCATTCCCCACGGGAAACTTCATTCTTCCTAACAATCCATTCGATCTCTCCGTCCGCTCTCTTTTCCTATTATTTTCTTTAAACTACTCACGTACGTACCTACTTCATGCAATCCATATCCTCCTTCTCTCGACGAACACTGTCTCAATTGATGTCGTCTAGTATTCGTCCCGCCACCACCACTGTCGCATCTTCACGACTCGCTTTACACAGCTCACATCTTTCGTCGTCAAACAATCGCAATTATTCGCAAAGTTCCGCAATGGCTGCTGAAATGACACCTGTTTTTGCCAAGGATGCCGCTCCTCGTATGTTTCCAATTGTTTGATACAGCAACATGATTGAACGGCAGAGACTGACTGTTAATGTACAGCTGCCGGCCCTTACGTACGTTCCTCCAGCCTCCCTGACCATCACACACAAATAACTAACCTCGACGTAAAAAGTCCCACGCCATCAAAGCTCAAGGCCTAATTTTTGCGTCTGGCTGCATCCCCTGCGACGCTGAGGGCAAAATCCTCGAAACCGGAACCCTTCAGGAAAAGACCGCTCTGTGCATCCAGAACGTGCGCGCAGTCCTCGCCGCCGCCGGCTCCGAAATCACAAAGGTCGTCAAGGTTACCGTCTTTTTGACTGATATGGGCGATTTTGCGGATATGAATGAGGAGTACTCTAAGCACTTTAGCCATAAGCCTGCTAGGAGTTGTGTGGCTGTGAAGCAGTTGCCTAAGGGCGTGCCGGTTGAGATTGAGGTTGTTGCTTTGCAGTAGACCTTCAAAATGAATTAAAAGAAGAAAAATTTTTGAATCTTTCAATACTATCTATATACATGGAGATGTGTACTAAATTCACGGACATAAATGCATAACATCAGAAGACAATTATTTCTATATAGTCTACTCAGCAGCTTTCTCTGTTACTTTGACATGCTGCTAGAGAGCAATATAGCAAATCAAATCCCCCAGATGCGTCATTCTCTCTGTTGATTTGGCAATATCATTACCCACGCCAGCTGCGCCGTTTCGATCCGACGCTTATTCCGGGGATGTCGGACAGCACTGAACCCTACGAGTGTGGCGCAAACATCGTTCTAGGATTGGACCTTGAGCAGCAGTTGTGAAATTACCAAGGCGTCTTCCATGGCCATGGCGGCACCTGATCCTTAGCTTAGCGTCGATAGAGATCTCAAGTCGGGCAATTACCATATGGAGGTAAAATCGTGTCGAATATTCTTGTTGTAAACCAGACACTCCAGTAGCTGGCCGGAAAATACATGAATCCGTAGTACTCGGAATGTACAGTCTCTTGTACTTGGCTAATTAGTATCTACGTATGGGTCAACACTTGGAGGCTGTCGTTCCCATCACATGCCAGGTTCATCTTCGAAGACGCCAGTTCATGGGCCTCCAGGACAAAACAGTCATTACAGTCCTTTGACTAGGAACCTAGAGGTTTCATGTAAGCATACAAGCCAGTCAGATTGCCATGCTAATCTAAACTTTGAACTATTTGACATAACACCTAAACACCTCGCCCATACCTCTGAGGTCCTTTTCTTCAAGTAACAAAAGATTGCAATGTTCTCATACAAGACACGTGCGCCTGGATTTGGACCCAGAAACTGTAAGCTCCCTCGACCATATACCTAAGAAATGGAGGGTTGAGCTGTTCTCAACGAAACCGATCTATAATACATGGTTATGACCCTCTCTACGCTTGCCCCAATACCCGCAACGCCTCGCGTCCGAATCAGCGTCCCTCCAGATGTCCAGTGATAGACACATAGTCATTCATTATCATTGTCTTTCCGTAGTAGTCTGTGCTGAATGTTCCGGAGGACATACGTACGACACGAGGCCATCTACATCATTGACTCCGTCCTCTCTGTTTGTCTTTTTCCCTCAACGAAGAATAATTCTTCCTTGGAGAATTCCTAGATATATTGAAAAATAATGAGTTTACTCACAGTCTATGCGAGAATATATAAACCATGTGGATCCAGCTCAGGACTAGCCAGTCTGGGGTAGGGAGATTTCCCCGCAAAAACAACTCCGGTTTGCCAAGCCGAATGCTTTTCCGTTCTTACATGCACTCTCCATGTAACAGCTGCCTGCCCTCTCTTGCTTGCAACGCGAATCTATATCCGATTGTCAAATTTTCTGCTCCATCGAGTCAAAATGAATGGCAACTCTTCGTCAAAACGCCGAAATCGCAGGGAGCGGGTGCGAGTAACGCGTGCTTGTGATCTCTGCAAAAAGTAGGTCGTCGTTGCTTTTCCGGAGAAGCGAATGCCGCCATTTTCTGTGTCATCCTAGGAGCAAGCTAATTGAATCACCTATAATATCAGGAAGAAGCTGCGTTGTTCAGGCACATTACCTTGCGTTCTGTGTCAACGCTCCAATTCAACCTGTGAATATACTGCTGGCTACACGAGGGGACGGCTGCCGCCAGTCCCTGTCTCAGCGAGCCACCGATTCGTAGACAACGACAATGTGTTGGGACAGCAGACAACGCCAGCTGATGAGAACGGATCAACCTCACCAGTTGCGCCACCAATAACAAACACTGATGAAGGCAGCCATTTGATAGCACAACATGCCAATAATAGAACTGTTGGCCCATCATCCCGCAACTCGCCGGAGCCTCATCAAACTGATTCCGAAGGTCACTACGTGGGTTCGTCCTCCGGCGTCTCATTTCTCATTCGAGCACAGAGAAGACTGCATCAGCAACACATCTCATTTCCTCCAAATACGTCCATCTTCAGTTTTGGTGATGCGCCACTACCGAAATACGATCCCTTGTGCTTGGTAGTACCTTCCAAATCTCAGGCTAAGGCGTTATTGGATAGGTATTTCGCATTTGCTTTTCCTACACATCGGTTCTTGCACCAAAAGCAAGCCGAGTCCTGGCTGGAACAATTCTATGTCGACCTCAACCAGCCGCAATCAAATAATCATGGAGTGAAAGACATCAAAGCCCTGGTATTTATGATATTTGCGCAAGCAAAGCAGTCCCTGCCTGAGTCTGATCCTTGTGGCGTCAATTCAGCTGATAGGTAAATTACCACGCCCCGTTCTAAGAGGTTTTTGACTAACTCTCCAGCAGTGCGGTTTTCTTTGCAGCTGCTGAATACCATCTAGCTGCAGAGACAGGACCTGCACGTCTGACAAGTGTGCAAGCACGACTAGCTCAGTGCTTCTATCTGTTGTCCGAATCTCGAATCAATCACTGTTGGAGTCTTTTCGGAATCACAGCCCGACTTGCTATTGCAATTGGCCTGCATCGAGCACGTCGTCGAGAATTTGGTGGTAGTATGGACCTTATTGAACAGGAGTGTCGCAAACGGGTGTTTTGGAGTGCATACAGCTTGGACAACTATTTGAGCGCAGCTCTAGGTCGGCCACGAATTTTCCATGACGATGAATTTGATCAGGATCTCCCCTTGATAGTCAACGACAGTCAGATAACTACTCATGAAATTCTTCCCGCCTTGACAAATGCACAAAGTATCATGCTGGCTCCTGTCTATCATGCCAAGCTGTCCACTATCATCAGCAGTATTTTGCGTGATTTGTACGGCATCCAAAGAGCCGGTCGGGAGAAAGAGGTGTCAGCTGCTGCTCATCGGGAAGCTGAGCTGAGAGAATGGCGCCATGAATTATCTGGTTTCTTGGACTCACCTAATGTCGACTTATTGATGCTTACTTATCAGCGCCAATACACGGTGTTGAATCTAGCTTTCTATCATGCTCAGATCTTGTTGTATCGTCCATTTGTTCTCAAGAATCTGTCAATGCCGGCAGATAATATGTCCAATAGGGAAGATGATCAACTATACGGGGCAATTGATCGATATATTCGGCAGTGTCTAGAGGCTGCAACTGAAGTCGCTTCGATTGTTCGTAATCTGTGCGAGCAGGGTGGACTGTACCACAATTTCTGGGTAAGATCTCTTGATCTCATTCTGTTCACTGCACCATAGCTTTTGATTTTGGACAACTAATCTTCAGCAGTTTACTCATTACTACGCTTTTTCCGCTATTGCAGTGCTGTATGTTCACTTCATTCATATGTGTTCACAAGCCGTCAATATTGAGCAGTATTCTTATTACTTCCAAATCGGTGAACAAGCGCAGAAAGACCTGGGAACCTGCAGTGAGCGATCCCCCTCTGTTCGGCGGTACCTTGTCGTTCTAGAAGAACTCCGAGAAGAGGCAAAGAAAGCTACGAAGAGATGTCATCAAGCGCTGGGGATTACTTTTCCTATCTCGGAACCACAGCATGTCACCTTTGCCGACAACATCCTAAGAGATGATCAAAGAATGAACGATAATAGGCAGCTCAACATTCCAGATATCATTTCTAATCAGGATGCGGTGCAGCTGATGACATTGTCTCAGGTCCAATCGGATCAATCCGGTTTGATCACTGGTTCTAAAGATGAAGCTTACGCGGACTCCGACATTCCTAATCTGGCGGCTTGGGGTGACCTTGATTCGTTGGCCTTTACTGGACTCGGAGAGCTGGACTTCACCTTCCCTTCAGAGCTCTTACCGCCGGCCTAACAGAGGTAGGGCCATACATATGTTAGTATGGCACATTTATGAGATACCATTCAATTATCTACAGCGAAATGGAGAATTTGCACTTATTTTATTACCCGGAAATTGATGGACTGTCTGCTACATCAATCTCAATAATTCTGCGGTTTTGACTAAATCTCATATGTACTTGTTACCCCAAACAGCTTATGAACAAAGCCAAAGCGTTCACCAGTTCGAGAAAAGGCCCTCGAGAAAATAAACTAATCCGGTAGCACCAGGATCCGGAACCTCACTCCAGCTCTGCTCAGGAACGTAGACAGCTCGCCCAAACGCGGCAGGCATGCCCTTGGTCTTGTTCTTGCCATCTCGAGCCGCAGCCAATGCTGTGGAAACTGTTCTTGTAGCTTTTAGGGTGGCTATGAACGGCTCGAGAGCATCCATCAAGGTCCTATCACCAGCACGGGCTGGTGTTGCTCTTTGCAAGGCTTCAAGAGCTTCCGCTGAGGCTTGGACCCATTGCGTTGGCTCAACAACGATTTCTTTCTTAGCTACCAAGCCAATGTTTCGGAGTGAAGCGGCCAGTGCATTCAGAAAGATAGCATATAATGCTCCCGATGTGCCATCCATATTGTCTTCTACAATCTGCGCAATAGTGTCGAGGAAGCGAACAGCATCAGTGTTTGCGGCGAAGAACTCATCATCTTTTATGCTTTTGATGATTGCTCGAGCGGCTCGTCCGAGTGTTGAGCCACAATCTCCATCACCCACGACCGCATCATACCGATCGATTTCTTGTTCGACGTCAACGATTTTGTGGCAAGCGTAAAGAAGGGCTGTTGAGAGTGCGGTAATGTCGACTGAAGTTATATCACAATCTATTAGAACACCTTTTTCATTCTGTCCCAACATCAGATGAAAATGAATTCTCACCTCGCAATAGGGAGGTCGATGCGTACTCGGCGTGCACCCGATTAGACGACTCGACCTCCTGAGCGGCTTGGACTTTCGTCCCACTAGCCTGAGATCCAGTGCTAGTCCAACCAAGCGTGTAGGCAGGTACGTCTAGATACTGAATGATCTCGTCATTCGTATTCAACAGAGTGATACTGAATCCCTTGTTGTCTAGACTCGTCATGAAAGCCCCGGCATATGTTCTCACTGGCACGATGTTCCTTATCCCTGTTTAAAATTGTCGTCAATAACTTGACTCGCAGTACCAATCAGAAAAGAAACTTACCAAGTCGGTCTATAGCTGTTTTTGTGATAGCGGAGAACTCCAGACTCGATACTCCTCCAAGATTGTTGACTAATAGAACAGTGTTCTTTGGGTCAAAATCAACATAGTGACGGTCGGCATCGTTGACATCAAGAATTTGATCTAGCATTTGATCGATCAGATCCGCAATAGGAGGTTGAGGCTTAAGAATCCGACAACCCGACTCGTTGTGAATACCCATTCCCAGCTCAACTTGATCCTCGCTTTCGACAAAATCTGCTTTTGGCCTTCCCGGGAGATGGACGTGTCCTAAGGCAGCACCGACTGTTGCCAGCCGACCCACAATATCTTCACCAAATTTTTGCAGTTCTGGGAGCGTCACATTGCCCATTTGTGCTCTTGCACCAAGCACCTTCTCAACAAGGATTGTCCCTGCAAGACCTCTTCTACCTACTCGACCACTCCGCTTGCGACCAACAGAAACATCATCGCCAACTACAAGAAGAGCAGTATCAAAGCCCGCAACACGCGCTTTCTCAGCGGCGAGGTGGAAGTGAAGTACATCTCCTGTATAGTTCATGATCACCAAAAGTGTACCGGATGATCCCCCGACTTTGATAACGGTATTCACGATCTGCTGCACACTGGGCGAAGCAAACACATTCCCGGAAACCGCAGCGCCTAGGAGACCATTACCGACAAGTGCTGCAAACGAGGGCTCATGACCGGCTCCTCCACCGGAGATTATTGTCACTTGTTTATTGCCATCGTGCTCGGAGTTGATGATTGCTATTATTGAGATCTTAGTCAAGGCCCAAACTTGCTTATGGTCAAAGACACATTGCCTCTCATACTTCCTCACCTTTGTTTGCTCGGTCATAGATCAAGTTAGGGTTAGTCAACGCCAAACCGTCCAGAGCATCCTGAACGAGAGTTTCTCCATCATTGATGAAATGTTGAGTCGCCATTGGGTTGTTTAGTAAGAGCGAAAGAAGTTTTTCTACCCTTCAGAAAGTGAGAGTAGTCTGATACATCCAAAATTCTTACAATGACTTACAACGCTTGAGAAGCGTGATACTACGTTTACTTTTTATGACTATAGTCCGCATTAGTGATCGATAATTTGTCGGAGTAGATTGTTAGTCTCACGATTCCACTCCAGAGACCTCTCCCAGTTCATTGCATTAGAGGTCCGGAAAAGTGTGTGATTTATCCGAAAGGACAATATAAAGATTGGGGTTTGAAGACCCTTTGTAGCCGGCTCCTTATCCGATGAATGCCATGCTTTTCCGACTCCACATTCAGTTGGGGCAACCATTCGATGTGAATTGAAGTGATGATCGTGAAACTATACATAAGATATATTCTCAAGGCAATTTCGTACAACAAAATTTGAACTAGTAGACCTGTCCTTTTTGTTTCTATACATTATGCTTGTTGAGTCTCGAACAGACGTCTTCGTGGGCGACGGGCCCCGTCATCTACCTCCAAGCCCTCCAAACGAAAAACAAACGCCAACATTATATACTATCAATGATGTTCTGCTCAACTTAGTACGTCAATCGCCGGAAGAACCTCTTGTTGGGTATCCGAAAAGCTCTCATGGAGTGAGCGACTATGTCTACTATTCGGCCAGGGACATTGACCGATTTACGAACGGCGCGGTCAGCGTTTTGAATGATGCAGGACTTGCGGCAGTAAGTAGAACCACATGGAGCTTCATGTGTTATTGACTACTAACTATACTATCAGTGTACAGAATCGACCGAAAATCAAGTAGTGGCCATTCTTGGTCCATCCAACCTCGATTATGTCGTCTCCTTATTCACGCTGTCGCGGATGGGCTACGCTGTTCTGCTGCTGTCATCACGTCTCAGCATCGAGGCTTATACTAGCCTTTTGGCAAAAACCAATTGTACGAACATTCTTTGCTCTCCAAATTTAGAGAAGACCTTTCAAAAGATTCAACAAGAGGTCAAATCCCTCAACACATATACTATCCCACAGCAATCGATATACTCTCAATGGAAAAAATCATCAGACCTTCAGTGCAGTGATACACCGCCAGAAAAGGCTCAGAAATGGGCATTCATCATCCATTCATCTGGATCGACGGGTCTTCCGAAACCCATTTTCCAGACTCACAGGGCTTGCATATCGAACTACGTTGGTAGTAAAGCATACCGGGCTTTACTCACACTTCCTCTCTTTCATAATCATGGTCTTTCAACGATGTTCCGATCACTATTCAATACTAGACCCATATCAATATACAACGCAAATCTTCCTCTTACCGGCAAGAATGTGCTGGAGACTATGAAAGTGACGCAACCGGAAAGCTTCCATGGTGTACCGTATGTTTTGAAGCTGCTGAGTGAAGTCGAAGGTGGTGTGGAGGAATTGGCCAAATGTCAACAAGTACTTTTCGGTGGAAGTAGTTGTCCGGATGATCTGGGCGATTTGCTGGTTAGCCGCGGTGTGTGGCTTGTTAGTCACTATGGAGCGTACATGTTCCCTATTATTCCCCGAATTTGTGATATCCAAGGAACTAATGTCCCTTTACAGAACTGAACTTGGTCAGCTGATGACATCAGAGCGATCCCGTGATGACCTGGCTTGGAACTATGTCCGGCCATTGAAGTCTGTACAGGCTTATATCAAAATGCTTCCACTTGAAGACGGTTCCTACGAATGTGTTGCTCTGGACGGTCTACCTGCCAAGGTGACCTCTAACTCGGACGACCCTCCTAATTCCTTCCATACACGAGACACATTCCTCAAGCATCCCACATTGCCTAATGCATGGAAGTACCTGGGCCGCATTGATGATCGAGTCACTTTGGTCAATGGAGAGAAGGTGCTACCCATCCCTATTGAGCATCGCATTCGCCAAAGCAGATACGTAAAGGACAATCTTGTTTTTGGTGTTGGCAGGGCAATTCCTGGATTGATAGTTGTTCCAAGCGAGGAATGCCGGGGAATGGACAAGAAAGAAATTATAAACCTAGTGTGGCCGGATATTGCAGCGGCGAATGAGAGTGCAGAGGCTTTCAGTCAGATCTCGCGTGAAATGGTCGTGATTCTTGGTGTTGATACTCAATACCCAGCCACGGATAAAGGCACAATGATCCGCAACCGCTGTTACCAGGAATTCAAAGACGTGATTGAAGAGTCATACCGAAGACTAGAGGAAGGTGATTCTGGATTTGTTGAGAAGCGAGCCCTAGATCTTGCTGAACTCAGTCCTTTCCTCCTTCAAATCTTCAAGAATGATCTCGGCGTGTCACTTGATGAGACCACTGATTTCTTTGATGCTGGTATCGACAGTCTACAGGCAATCAAGACACGTGCAATCATCAAGAAGTCTTTGGACATAGGAACTACAGAATTGAGCCATAACGTGGTCTTCGACTGTGGTAACATCACAAAGCTCGCTGCCCACCTGCATTACTTGCGTACCGGAGAGATCCACGAGGAAGAGACTGAGATCGAGGCCATGGCTTCATTGATTGAAAAGTATTCGACTTTTATCAGTCGGCCAGCCCAGAAAGAAACGGTTGTAAGTTAATACATTGAAATTCAAAGCACGTCCAACTGCTGACCATACTTTTCTACAGCTTTTAACAGGCAGTACTGGCTCGTTGGGAGTATACATCCTTTCTCGATTGATGCAACAGGAAAATGTTCAGACAATCTATTGTCTTGTGCGTGCCTCTAGTTCCAGCACAGCATTAGACCGCGTCCTTTCAAGTCTAGCAGAGAGATCTTTGCCCTTGCGAAACGTAACAAAGATTGTTGCTCTCCCCTCTCAAATTAGTTCTGAGGACTTGGGGCTAGCCTCAAATACCATCAATGATCTAAAAGAAAACCTCACCAAAGTCATTCATGTTGCATGGGCCGTAAATTTCACTATTGGTGTGCGCAGTTTTGAACAGCAGCACATCAAAGGTGTTCAGAATCTCATCAACCTCTGCCTTTCAAGCAATCGTTCCACACCGGCCGAGTTCTACTTTTGTTCCTCTATTTCTGCGGCAGCCGGTACCCCGTTGCCCGCAAAGATTGCAGAAGCTCCTATTCCCCAGCTAGAACATGCCCAAAATATGGGCTACGCACGCTCCAAACTCGTTGCCGAGAGAATCATTCAGGCTGCCGCGGTAAAAACAGGAATGGTAGCCAAGGTCTTACGAGTAGGACAAATTGTGGGTGACACCGTCACTGGAAAGTGGAATCCTACCGAAGCCATTCCCTTAATGCTACAAACTGCCGTCACTATGAAGGCTCTTCCAGCACTAGATGAGAGCCCATCATGGCTTCCTGTTGATGTCGTTGCAAACGCAATTCTAGAATTGACCAAGATCAAGCCAGACGCAAACAGCAAAGCTGAGCAATTCTCCCACGACTCACAGGTCGTATATCACGTCCAAAACGCAAAAACCTTCCGCTGGACTGAAGATCTTCTCCCTGCGCTCCGTGATGCCGGTCTAGATTTCGAAGTGGTGAATAAACGGGAATGGGTGCAGCGCCTACGAAGTAATGAGCAAGATCCACGGAAGAATCCTGCAGTCAAGCTGATTGATTTCTTTACTGATAAGTATGATAATGATAACATGGGTCGTTCCGGGTTGAGCTTTGAGATGGGAAAGTCAGAAGAGGCTAGTGCTTCGTTGAGGGGGGGTGTGGATTTGATTCAAGACGGGCTTATTAAGAAATTTGTTAATTCCTGGCGCAATAATGACTGGTGATTGTGCTTGGTTAAATCTATGACTAGTGTATGTACAAATTCGAAGGTTGTTCGGGCTTTTACTTGATTGTATAAACACTTGCCAGATACATTCACGAATAGTTGTATTTGAAATGTATCAGTCACCTTGAGAGAAGGCTAGCCTTTACTCAGTATTAGTTTGCTTTCTCTAAGCATGAAGTTTCACTTCCCGTTTGAGTCGTTGTAGACTCTAAATACGACGCTACCCATAAGCTCCCTATGCAAGTTCTATCTAAATTCTTTAATGACACCTTCAATTACTATCACGTTAAGCGAGGCACGTCAAAGTTATTTTTTTACTGGAATGATGACTAATGCAACTCTCTGATTAATGGGACGAGGGTTTAATTCTATCTAAACGAATTCTATTGCTAAGAATGCTCTACCAGTCGTTCACCAACACATAACGGTACCGCGCCTTTCCGTCAGTCATGTCCTGGATAGCCTGGTTTGCATCTTTCATAGGCCGTTCCTCAACCCAGGGCTTCAACTGTTTGTCGGCAGCCAACTGCAACATCTCTCGAAGATCGTGGGGGGAACCGATGAGAGAGCCGCCCAACTTCACGCCTCTCATAATCAAGATATGGGCAGGGATAGTCAAGGCGCCGTCTTCGGGATTACCTAATTGAACGAATGTACCGCCAACCTTCAAGAGGGAAACGTATTGTGCAAGAGGCATCTACAGAGGCAATTAGTCTCTGGCTAAAACAAACCACGTGGAAAAGAAAACGAACCTTTGATGATGAGACGGTAGAGACAATAAGGTCCAGAGAGCGGTCGTGTTCCTGGGCCCAATTCTCATCATCGTCTGTTGCAACATAAACATCGGCACCGAGTTTCAGTGCATCTTCCCTCTTATTCGCTTTACGGGAAACAGCAACAACCTTATCAGCGCCCAGAGCTTTTGCGAAAAGAATAGCAAAATGACCCAAGCCACCGACACCAATAACACCAATAGATTTACCCGGACCACAACCATACTCCTTCAGCGGGGTATATGTAGTAGCACCACCACAAAGCATAGGAGCCGCAGCCGCAGACGAGAGACCATCAGGAATCTTGACAGCGAAGTGGGCAGGGCTGCGGTTGTAAAGAGCATAACCTCCGTACGATTTGCCCCCATTCAAAAAAGTGCCGTTATAAGTACCGGCAAAGTGTTTGCCGCAATATCTCTCGTTCCCGGAGGCGCATTCCTCGCAGTGGCCCTTGCGACCGAGACATGATTCTCCTTGAGCACCGACACCGACGCGATCACCGACTTTAATGCCGTTTTGCACTTTTGAGCCGACGCGTACGGCGATACCGACGATTTCATGGCCGACGCAGCATGGGTAGTCTGTAGGTCCCTACAATTTATCAGTCAACAAAGGGGCTGGAAGTGATGACGTGGAAAAGCACATACCCATCCACTGCGCAAGGTGTGCAAATCGGAACCGCAAATACCACAGTGAGTGACTTTGATATCGACATCGGTCTCTTCCCACTCCTTGGGCTCAAACTCTTTCCATTTCATGGTACCATTGGCAGCCGAGGCATCTTCGGCAAGCCAGCCCTCGAACTTGTAGTCTTGTGAGCTCATGATGACAGAGATTTATAGAATGAGAATATATAAACGCCAAGATCTCGTTATTGACTTTGGATGTTTTATTGCACAATCTATCAGTAAAGGGGCCTTCCGATGCTATTTTATATCCATCGTTGGCCACGTCGTTCCATTGCCACTCACATCACAATTTTTTTCTCTTTCTTTACCCACTTTCCTCTGTCCCATCATCATGTCGAAACTAGGCCTCCGGACCAAACTTGATTTCTCTGGGACTTTGATTTGCACTAATGTGGCTTTTTTCCTTCGTTGTTTGGTCCTCGGCATTTTGAATCGGGGACCCGCTACCGGCATGGCTTTTAGAGGACTAAAAAATGACCTGGAAATCGGGATTACGTAGGTCAATCATGCGAGAGTCAGCTTTTAGGTTGCGGTAACTAAACTCTATGTTGACATGGGTGATCTCCACTATCCCCTCGGGCTTACTGTGTGTGGCTAGCTCGCGTGGTTTGATATCAAAGCCCACCGTGAACCATGGATATACCTTTTGCAAGTGTTTAATGGCGTCAAAGCCCGCTACGTATGTCGAAGGTGCTAGATTTTAAACATTTTTGATTAGAAAGCAGGAAAAGGTTTCTAAATCCTGGGAAGGGAACCGTGAATCCCGCCCAGATTTCTAAACCCACCCGTATCTAAAAAAAATCTGTTGACCTCAACCGAGGATATTCCTCCAGACAACACAACGAGATATTTAGCCAGAAGCACAGGAATATAAAGATATTGAGCCTCAAAAAAATCCTTACACATCCGTTGCCAAATAGACTTTGTTGATTCTCTATGCATCTTGATTTCAACAAGACTCACCAGGTTTTCATACAATAGCGGCAAATAGTGGTTTGTTGTAAGAGCGTGGTGACGGGTTCTTACCCGGTAATTAATTGCCCAGTGATTGAGAAATGCGTTCTGTAAGCCCACTGTCATATTAAAAACTATCGACACCTCACTATAACCAAAAAAGATGACAGCCCGTTATCATAGCACGGATAGACAACAAGAATTCCGCAACCCCCCAATCTAGGGCACAATCTATATTGTGCCTACGAACGAGCCTACGTACGTACGAGATTATTGGTAGTGGACGTGGTGTTGGACGTGGTTTTAGGTATTATATACATTCAGGAGCGTTAACGCGTCTTATGGCTATAATCTATCTTTATAATTTCACATAAAATACAATATATAATTATAAATATATAGATAATCACAGTAATATTACCATTATATATCAAAGGCACTATTATACTCTTACCTATGGCTTCACCGTCATATTACAGAGATCCATCATATGTCAAATCTTGTAATGATCACATGGATGTGTATTAAATTTTTCTCCAGATAACAGCGCGCTATAATATGGTAGAGCTATCACCAGGCCTTACTGCACCCTTACAAATATCTATATATCTCCGCTATTGTACGTACGTACTAAAAAGCGATAGTAAGCCCCCAGCACATTAGTCTAGCTCACAACTGGAGCTCTCCAACTACTAATATCCTTTCCTAATACTCACTAGGGGCTAGAGAGGCCCATTATAGGCTCACTACAGCGGATTGACTACAGAGGATTCACCGCAGGGGATTCACCACAGGAGACCACCACGGGGGCTTACCATAGGGGGTCGCTTGGTTACCATGGTATGAGGTCAATGAGGTGTATGATGGCTGACTGGTTACCAATTCACGAACAACCTTGAAATGGAAAGATGAATGCATAATCTGGTTCTACAATTCTCTGTATGCTATCTTGGAAGTGTCACTTATGATATTCTTGACGAATTTTGATAAGATCTATGGATTGCCTGATTGGGCGCAACCAGCCTGAATAATTGATGAACCGAAATCACAGGGTTAAGGCTGACCTCTGAACCCTGTTGAAAGCTTGGTGTAGGTTTAATTTAGTGCTGTACAGCTAAGAATCTATTGTTAGTTCGTATCTAATTGTTAAATACTACAAGATCGTACTTACCCCCTGACAAGATCTGGTCACTAGTTAGCGCCGTTGCGAGTTAGCCTATACAACACAAAAGTGCTGGAAGAGTCGACTTGGATGCAAAGATGATACGCCCTAAAATGGTCCCCCCATATGTATAACGCCATAAAGCTAATATCAATGCAACCGGCTTACTAATCCGTGCATGCAACTAAGTTAGGTCAGGTTACTAGTCATGGGTATCTAAATTCGACGTTTCCCGCTCATTTTCAATGTTTTTTACAATCAGCAGCCTCTTTTCGTCCTAGAACCCTCTTTTACAAGACCAGTCTCTTCTACACATGGGTGCGAAGCTCGGGTCCCAACTGCTACAATAAGACATCCATCTACAGTTCCAAGTTCTGTGTCCGTATACATTGTCACCATGCCTGAAGGAATCATCATCCGCGGTTCTACCGTCACCGACCAGACTATCGCAAAACCAACCGCCACCTTCACCGGCGAGGTCTACATGGATCTGATCAACCGCGATACATCCGTCGCAATGGCGAACGTCACATTTACCCCCTGTGCTAGAACGCACTGGCACACCCATGAAGGTGGACAAGTCATTCGCGTCCTTTCGGGGTCAGGGTGGATCTGTGACAAGGGCAAAGAAGCTCGTAGAATCAAAGCTGGGGATACCGTTTGGGCACCGGCGGGAACAACGCATTGGCATGGTGCAGATGACGGGTCGCTTATGACGCATTTTGTTGTTGGGCTTGGACAGACAGTGTGGCATGATGCTGTGAGTGATGAGGAGTATAAGAGGAGGAGTGATGCGTGAGGTTGGTACATAATCATTTGAATGTTGCCACTGAGATGCTTCTAATAAGTTTATATACATAAGATTTGATTGAAATATCTTTTTTGAGGCTTGTGGCAGATCAGGTTGCTTTGATCTTTCCACACCCCATTCTATCGGAATCCTGTGTCCTCTTATGGCCGCGTAGCCTCACAGCTCTTGCTGCCCAACATGCATTTCTCGCAAACCACCCTGTCGATCCAAGTATGCAAGTATACTTGAACATTGAATTTCTTCAGGAATGCCAGTAATTTCTTGAGTATCCGTTCCAGTTGCAAACCATGAGTCGAAATTTGATCCAGAGTTCATCTGATACAATCCATCTCGAATATTCTCGACACCGCATACAAGGACGGTATTAGTGAATAGATAACAATGCTGACCATTGGACCGACGGCTTTTGGAAATGTATTCGTCACATAGCGATCTAGGGGTCTGAGATTCAAAAGCGTCAGCAGCTGCCAGAGTTATAGAGAGCGAGTAGAAATTTACCCTGGTATCTGCAAGAGCCAGCCTGCAATAGGCAAGCATAAAAAGGGAGATGAAGAGCAACATTGCTGCGCGGACAAAAAGTCGCGATATTCTGAAGAGGTTCAAATGGATTTACTGTCAAAACACAGTCCACAATGGATTATCCATCGTTAGGAAAATATAACAATATATCCGATTAGATGCTTTGTCTGAACTTGGGATAATTATGATTCACGACTTCAATATATGATTGCCTAAATTCCTGCAGGAGTCAGCGATATGCATTAGTGCCAGCCTGAGCCACGGTCGTCGTATACACTCGGATGTATCCGTGGTCATCATTTAGTTTCATTGCCGAGTCAACTGCGGATATAGTCTCGGTCTTTTATCGAATCCAAAGCCCTATCAACAGCGCCAAGTGAACCGGTATCCTTTTCGGATCAACTTATCCTCCAGATGGCTGGGTCCTTTTCGTTGGTCAGCCCTAACACGTACTCTGACATAGAAAATATTACCAATTCAGTTTTAGCTCATGTTTTGCAACATGATTTATGTGTGGCGGAGTGCAGATCTAAAAGCCGAAGGTCTTGGTCATATATAAATTAGCCAACGCAAGTCTACCTCACCCAATCATTGCAATGTGCTCACAATGCCATTCCCTTTCGAGAAAAAGGTAAATAACACAATGGATTGATGGGCAAGTAAACTGAAGTAGGCTGCTGTATTTTCGGGTACCCACAATATAGACGGACTAGCTGCAGGAGATCTTGGAGAAAGTGTCAAAGAACTTGTTTGAAAGCTCAATATGTTACTCAAACTCTTTGTACTCTCAAGTAGCCCTGATATATGAGGGATTATTCAATGATCTTGAGACACTGTTTTAAAATTTACTCAATAAAAAATCTCGGCCAATCGGGTTGAAAAACCTCAAGTGCTATGTACAAATGAGAACTGAGTGTCTCTGAAAAACAGTACACACACCTTAATCAAAGGAGAGAAAAGAAAAAAACAACAAGAAAAGGGAAATCCCGGAACTTATCTAATCTGTAAAACAAGAGGGAGAAAAACCTAAGTCGTCACAGGACAAAGTGCATGGATAGTTAGCAGCCGGAGCTTTACCATTAAGTTGCCATTGAACTGCCACCTGATTCCAGTAGGCGACAGTATAGTTACACATGGGCACTTGGAAGACACCAGGAGTCTCCACGCCTGCGGTCCAAGGCACAGTGGCCTTGGTGCCAGAGCCATCAGTATAGTACGACCCGTCAGAGTTATCCTGAATGTTGTAACCATTTGCATTACCATTCAAGACATAACCGTTGTACGAGCTCACGATAAGCTCGCTAAAAGTGAGATTTCCCCACTGGGCCGTTCCATTCAAACTTGTAAGCCCCGGAAGAGCTCTGAACATCGTGCTTGGGTCTGAACATCCGTAGCCGATATCCTGGTTATCGACTTTTGCTTGGCATGCATTGGCACCTACAAGCCAAAACGTCTTGCCTGACCCGGGAATGCTGTATCGAGAATTCTCTGCGTCGTCGTCAGATAGCTCAGAATTCTCAGTAAGGTCGCTTTTAAATGGGTTACTCGTGTCGTCCTGAACATCTGTCATGACGATAACAGGCACGTAGGAGTCGGTAATATTCCATGCATAGGTAAGAACATTCGCCATCAGTTGTTTCTTGATGGTACCAACCAGGTCTGGCATCGAAACACCGTCTCCGATGCTCAGCCATGTCCCGTTGCCCGTTGTGCTTTGCCATTTAGTCTGCGATGTTTTGGTGCCACTAATAAGAGATTCGTAAGAGGTATTCAGAGCCGTCATCTGTGCGTCGACGACTGTGGTAATGTACGTCTGAATATCGCCCAGAGTTGGAACCGATGAAGACCATGAAAGAGCATCAGTCACATCGTCCGAGATAACTCCCCATACCGTATCCCACTGTTCGCTTGCTTTCTCTTCGACGTCCTTACTGGCCGCTTCTGACACCAGTTGTTGGATAATTTTCGTGCCAACCTTTTCCCAGATGGCGGATCCAGCAGCACCGAGAATTTGGTCAAGAATAAAATCGGCGATCTCATCGCTTAACGATTCGCTTGCATCAGGGGCAAAGGTGTCTTTAAACTGTTTCTATTGGTTAAAAACTGTAGACGGAAGGCCGAAGCGCATGCAGAGACTTACTGCAGTTGAAATACCCTCCAAATCGCTGAGATTGTCCTCAAGAGCAGTATACCAGTTAGAGTAAAAGGCACGCATGCGCGCCATGGTGTTCAAGATCCACATACTCGCAAGAGGCAGTGTACTGTCTGCGGTTCCTGAGCAACTAAGGTCTACGTTGCACGAAGTGGTGTCAGTACCGTATCCTGAACAGTCATAGTCCGTAATGTAACCAAGATATTGTGCCATAGCAGATGTCCATGTAGTCGAATACTCGACTGTCACACCACTGAGGGGGTCAGAATTCCACCATTCGATCATATCAGCCACAGCATCGTCAGTATATGACATGGCCCATCGATCGGAATCATATACCTGATAGATAATGTTCTCCGCTATTGTGGTGTTGATGCATTCGATACATCGCCAGTAGCTCGCATTACTGTTGGTACACACTGGCTCGACAACCTCCCCTCTTAGTTTGCTGATTGGCTCCCATGCACCAGTATCAGAACCAGTACCATCAAAGTCAGTGTAGCTCTCCAAATCAATAGCCCATTCTGTGGTACCTCCAAAGGACCACTCTTGATATAGCCCTGCGCGTCCGACTTTTGTGTCATAGGTCATGTAGCCTACCCATTGCGTATCGTTATAGACCAAAATATTCGTGTCGCTCTCGTCATCATACAGTATGGTGGCAGAAGGATTTTCGGATATGATCTGATTGATCTCAGCGTTGGAGATGTACCCGATGGTATTAGTGCAAGGTGCAGCGTCACCACCAGCAGTCCAGGTACAATCCTCCGTGGTACAGCCAGCCGTGCTCATCGTAAATGAACGGCCATAGCTAGCAACACCCACCATCACTTGGCTGCTTGGAACACCGGCTTTTGTTATCATCGACAACGCATAAAAGGTTTCGGTGCGATTGACATGTGAGCGAAGACAATTTCCCGCTGGGCAGCCGGACATCGCACTGTCATTATCCAGGTCCCAAGTACCATGCAGGTCGTAGGTCATGTAGATAATCCAGTCAATAACATCCGCAATTTCCTGAATGGGAAATGCTTTGAGATACCAGTAAGATGCCGGTGCCGCAATTGAGACAGTTACAGTATCTGGTAGAGCAGCTTTCAGAGCTTTCAAGAATGCGAGGTAATTTGCACCATCGTCGTCGCTACCAGCAGGAATACCTTTGATATCAGGCTCGCCCGGGTACTCCCAATCAAAGTCAACGCCGTCTAAATCAAATTCATTAACAAAGTTCACGATATTTTTTACCAGAGTATCCCGATTCGCCTCCGTCACACCCTCTCTGAAGATCATGTAGGTGCTTGGGTCAGTTGAGAAATCCCAACCTCCAAAGGAAACCACTCGTTGGACGCCATCAAGCGCAAGAAATCCTTCAAACATGTCCACAGCGCCGCTGACATCGATTTCAAAATCACTAGTAATATTCCCGAAAGCAAAATAGATATGAGTGTAATTCCCTGTGTCAATGTTCTCCGGATACATATTCAAGCACGGACGCCCTTCGTTGAACGCTTCGAAATATCCGATGCTGAACCACACCTCTTCCTGTGAGCCGTCACCCCACTCGAATCCGCAGTTTGATATGCACCCATTAGTACCAGTCTCTGCTGTTCCTGGATTGCCGGAGGTGGAGTTTGTTACAGTACAGAAGTCAGGCGTAATACCACATTCACCCCAAATGTCACAGCAAGCATTCAGGGGGCAGGGATTCAATGAGGCCCATGAGTCGACGTCGCTAGTGGCTGTTGTATTCGGTACTTGAGGTCCACAGACAGCGGCAGCAACAGGGGCAGGGAAAGGAGGAATGCCTTCACTGAGACAGATATTCATGTCGGCCATTAGTTCGTTTGCGCCGCAGCCCAACCAGCCCCATGTCTGATTGTTGTATTCCAGGATATCATCGACAGTGATAGTGTACGTGGCGGCAAGATCATCGCAGCTGTCATTTTCCTGGACGAGGTAGGTATAACATGTACCATTGGCATATGGCTGAGGCGCATAGTCAGGAAGTGACCCCGACGAGCAGCACACATATTCTCCCACGGCGAGAGTTGAACATAGTGTAGAGGAGGGATTGTATTCATAGAACTCGGCAGAAGTGATCCCGCACTTTGTCACCAGACTTGCGCAGGAATCGCCCGAGATGACCTGAACGTAGTTGCAGGTCATTGCCGCTAAACAAGTCGGCTTGCTGAAGGGAAAAGAAAACTCGAGAAAACTTGTCAAGAGGATGTGATCTCTGCTCTTGAGATTCAAATTGCGAGGATGCAGAGCTCTTTATATACTTTATCCTAGAACCTCGCGCGATTCCCAATCCTTACCCCATAGCCTGTAGTAGGATTTGACATAATACACTTTGCCCTCTCCTTGCGCATTTCCTAAATCACCGAGCCACCAAGCCACCAACACAGGCCGGGTGGGCTCAATATAGTTGCATATTTCAGAGCAACATAGTATGTGAGTTAATTAAGATATATCATTGGCCATTACACACGCAAAAGTTGGTTGGGACCAGCTCTGGTTGGTCATTATCTAGCAAGATCGCTAGGCAAAGACTAAATCTTGTATTTAATTTTAAAGCGTGCTGAAGTCCTCGATACGAATGATCCAGGTTGTTTAATGGTGTTACTGGCAGGAGATTGGCCGTAAGTAGCATATATGGTACGTTATTCGCGGCCACTGCTTCTTTGAATTGATATCAGTTATGACAATCATTCTCGCTGTTCACTCTCGTCTGTGTGGCATAATGTAGTCACCAACGGTATCACCGCGGACTTCATCTAGGGTAGATTAGGTAGTATCCTGACTATTGGTGATAGCCCTATTTCATTCGGGGAGAAAGGCAAGTCAGGTACCTTACACTACTCACTTTCTGCCAAGTACCTGGATGGTAAAAGTTCATTGGTGAAAAATACCAACGTGTAGGTGTAATTTTATAAGCTTACTTACGTGTATCTACATCCAGACAACATATCCACCACTGAACTCTCTTCTAGTTGATCAATTGATGTTGGTTTGTTAGTTTCCAATATCAGAACTGCGATTGAGTGTACAGAGTCTCGGACAACCCGAGATGAAGGACATTGATATCAAGTCAATGATTGGTCAATAATGCACGTGTTGTAACTAAGTATAGAGCTTGATAAACGCTCAAGCACAATAATCTCCTGATCAGAAGGCAATTGCCCATAGAACTTGTAGACTAGGGCTCAAAAGTCTCGTGACAAAGCGCTGCCAAGAGAAGGGTTACGTACCTCACTACCAACAAGTCCGACACTTGCAAGATGTTAGTGGTGCGAATAAGTTGTTGGTTTTACTAAACTAGAAGAAATGTAACATCGTTCCTGAGAAGAATATTTTAGCTCGGTTTGGGGCTTGTGTTCAGAAACTAAAAACAGCCCGATTTTAGATTCTTCACCATGCAGGCTGAGATGGGTGCCGAAAAGCCCATGATATTGCGGCGTTGTCTGCCACTGGTTGGATCTAAAATGAGCTTTAAATTTCTACTGGTTTAGGAGCAGTTACATTGTTTTAGCTCAGCGGGGACTTTTCAGCAGCGGAGATACCAACAGTGAAAAGCTTAAATCCTAAAACTATGAACTCCGCGAAAATGGCTCACATGCCACACTCATTGATGGGAAATCAGCAGTATTAGTAAAAAGTTTAGATAAAAAACAAGGTATCACCCAAGCGGGAAAGTTGTTGGGATCAGGATGATTTGTGGAGTTCTTACTCAGTTAGTAAACGTATTAGATCGGGCCTAGAAGTTCGTGGCTATGGAATCCGCTGCAAGAGCACAAGTCTTTTGTATGAATATGTATAGTACTTTCTCCAATCGAGATTAAAGAGAATGATCAACAAGCGGAATAAAGGTTGTAGTTAGGGAAGTATTGTAGTCGGTATGCTTAGTATATCAAGTTCGGGACACCCAGTCCTGAACGAGTAGAAAACGTGAGGAACACATTCAGCTCAGCAACTCTAGCCAGAGAATGGATATGTCTTCTAAAAATCTGATTTTAAATTGCTTTATTGAATGGCTATCTGGATATCAGGCTTGGGTACCGACACGCTCTACGGCAAAAACGAAAGATTTGGGAGCGATATCGAACTCCAGATGCCCATGTCTTCAATATACATGCCTCTTTTGTGCAAATACGGATAATATAACCTAATTTTCTGTGGGTTAAAGCTTCACTGGAGGCTTGAGAGAAAGTTTGCAAGTGCTATACGTACCTGCATGAATTGATTCGGTATTCGATTTTTGGATATACCTAGATATAAACTGAGAGTGTTCCTTTGAGACATTGGGAATTATATATTTGACTTATTGAAGGTGTTTCATACCAGTGACCAGACTCTCTCAAACAACTCTCAAAACCTCATGACCTCTGCGTGACATGATAGGGTTACTTTATTCAGGTGGCTAGTCGTATCAATAGAAAAGCACCAGCCGTAGAGAACTTCAGGCAAAAGCCGAAGTGGAGACTCACTTGAAAGTGCAACCAAGAGCACAATCCCAAGGTCTCATGCATTTGTCCTTGGACGAGGAAAAAACCAGGTAATTCAAGTGCATTGCTATCTAGGTCGGTGTTCGAGAATGTCAACAACGAATCACAATTTGCATAACCTCAACTTTCATGTTTTTGCCATGGCTTTGTCAATGATGGAAATGTGGATTATTTCGACTAATTTTCGGAAGTCTAATAAAAAATAGTAATCAACAAGGACAAGGTCACATCGTTTCCCCAAAATCAGCCTTAGCTCTGATCGATAGCAAGCTATCGAGTTTCGCAACATCTTATATGTCATTTGAACATCTCAATTACCATAAGTATATAAGACCTGTGAGTGGGGCTCTGAGCTAAAAAAAAAAAAAAACAAGWAAATTYTTTTTACCACTCTCTCCACTCTCCGCCAGGCCCTTGGAAACTCGGACTGCGCCATGCCTTTGCATTCACCGACGCTGCTCGAACCTTTTCTTCATCAATATCAATACCCAGACCAGGACCGTCCATCAAATTGATTAAACCGTCAACAATTTTCCAGACCTCCGGATTCTCGATATATGTCTCAATATCCGCAGACCCGGCATTATAGTGAATTCCCAGACTCATCTCTTGAATAGCAAAGTTCGAAGTCACGGCATCGACTTGTAGATTAGCAGCCAGGGCAATGGGACCCAATGGACAGTGAGGAGCAATAGCAACATCATATGCCTCAGCCATAGTAGCTATCCTGCGCAGCTCCGATATGCCACCGACGTGGCATATATCGGGCTGCAAGATACTGACAGAAGCATTTTCAAGGAATGGTTTGATATCCCAGCGGCTATAGAGTCTCTCTCCAAGAGCGATCGGAATGGCGACTTGTTGAGAAAGTAGGGTAATTCCCTCCGGGTGTTCAGAGAGTAGAGGCTCTTCGATAAACAGGGGTTCATGGGGAAGTAATTTTTGAGCAAGTTGTAGTGCCATGGCCTTGTGTACTCTGCCGTGGAAATCGATTCCGGCATCAATGCCCAGAGCTTTGACGGTCTTTAGTCGCTCAACGGTGCTGTTTAGCACGGAAGGAGAGTCGAGCCAGCCTAGATCCTCAGTGGCATTCATTTTGATGGCTCTAAATCCTTGATCAATTCTTGCTTGTCTGTAAAGTCCAGTTAGTGGAGTTCATTCGAGGAGCAATTGGAGTCTTTACGCTTGTACAGCCACATCATTGGGCCGATCGCCTCCAATCCAAGCATAAACACGTAGCTTATCTCGAACTTTCCCTCCTAAAAGTTCGTATATGGGAAGTCCCAATCTTCTGGCTGTGCGGTAATATTGTCAATACACGAGTGACTAAATCAAGCGCTTAGGAAGTTCGCACATTTCAAATCCCAGAGCGCAATGTCAATTCCAGACAACGCACTCATCAAAACCGGCCCACCCCGGTAAAAGCCCATCCTATAACCATTCTGCCATATATGTTCAATATCGCTATAAATGAGTTAATACCACTAAAATTAGTTATAAATAATTGGATGTACTCACTTGGCATCCATCCCACCAAATCGGGCTGCAAAAGCCTCCAAACAACCCTCAACTGCTTCGGTATGGCCTTCCAGTGATGCCTCACCCCAGCCATAGTTCCCACTGGCATCTGTGATTTTCACAAATAGCCATCTTGGGGGGACACGAAAGTATTCAATTTTAGTGATAGGTGCCATGATATATGGGCTCTACCAAAAGATCCCAACAATAGGCAAGGAAATAAGAAACTAGGCTGGAGGCTTAGTCAAGGACCAGTTAACCGGACAAATAATCGAGCTTGGATCGTGTCGAAGCAAGCTGAGCCACGTTTACTGTCAGTAACTAACTTCCCAAAGCGACATCTGGGTGTGAAGCTATCTTCGCCATCACGAATAATATAGAACGCCTGGGTTTATTCATAGTGCAGCCTCGGGAGCTGGAAAACAAGGGTTTCCGATCATGATATCCAGTGGATCGGATAAAGTAGCATGTTCGGAAAAGGGATCCGGCCCATACGCTTTTCCGTTTATATCTGTATATGAACCGGAAAAACACATAGAATTACATACGGCGTTTGTTGCGCGATGCGTTGCCCCTCACTTGCGATAAAGCTTTGATTATTCAAAAACATCGATCTCAATTGTATTAGTTGCCCACAGTCTTATTAACCCATTCACAAATTACACCAAACAATCGACTACGATGGCTTCAGGACGCACTCTCAAGCTCAACTCGGGCTATACCATGCCCGTAGTTGGTTTGGGCACCTGGGTATGTTATGGTAAATGTTTACAACAAGGTTGTGTAGGGACCTGACTAGTCACAGCAATCCAAGAAAAACGAAGTTCAACACGCCGTTACTGCAGCTTTACAGTGTGGATATCGTCATATCGATGCTGCTGCCGTGTATGGCAATGAAGCCGAGGTTGGAGAGGGAATCAAGGCATCTGGGATTCCTCGTGAAGAAATCTTTGTGAGTGAAGGCGGTCTCATCTCATGCGAACGGATGAGTGGCTTTGAGGTTAGCTAATTCTGTAACAACATAGCTCACAAGCAAATTATGGAACACTCATCACGAACCCGAGCACGTCGAGGAGGCCGTTGACCAATCTCTTCGTGACCTAAAAACCGATTACCTTGATCTTTACCTAGTGCGTATCTTCTCCCAGGCTCGAATCATAACTAATCTCTATCCTGACATTACTTTACCAAATTCTCAGGTCCATTGGCCTGTCGCATTCCGTCATTCCACCACTACAATTCAACCAATCGATGAAAAGACTAGCCTTATTGACGTGGTTGATGTTCCAGCTAACGAGACTTGGAAAGCCATGGAGGCACTTGTCGCCAAAGGAAAGATTCGCTCAATCGGTGTTAGCAATTTCACAAAAGAAAGAATCGAGGATCTGTTGAAGACGTAAGTTTTCCTCCCATTTTTGGGGCTGCTTATCTTATTCTGCTAAAACATCATGACGTGCAGTGCGAATATTCCTCCTGCTGTGAACCAGATTGAAGCTCATCCATATCTTCAGCAAAGAGATTTGCTGAAGTGGAGTCAAGAAAAAGTACGCTATTCAAGATCCTCCAAGGCCAGTCATTTGATGGCAAGACTCACAATCCATAGGGTATTGTAGTGACCGGGTATTCGCCACTCGGAAATAATATTTACAATATTCCTCGGTATGTACATTTCCCCAGAGAAATGTGTTGATTCTTTCCACAAGTACTTATTGAGGGACAGCGCGGTCGATGATGCTCTGGTTATCGAAACCGCAAAAAAATTGAATAAAACCCCTGCACAGATCTTGATCAGCTGGGCAATTCAGCGAGGAACCGTCGTGCTTCCCAAATCAGTCACTCCGGAACGTATCAAAAGCAACTTCCAAGGTACTTTCTGTGCAAACCAATTTAGTTTAATACGCGAGCTTGCTAACGCTTCTCACCAGATTTCATCCTTCCGGACGATGCATTCGAGGCTATCCAGTCCTTGGAAAAGCATCAACGCATGAATTTCCCTGCACGATTGGGTGTTGACATCTTTGGAGAAGTTGGAGAGGAGAGTGCGAAGAAGAGCGCATTGGATTGGGCAGAACAGCAAAGGAAGTTTAAGCAGGGAGCTTAGCTTCATAAATACACAGTTTGCACCGTAATTCTGTAGTTCTAGAATAGATTATGACCTTGAAAAATGCCATCGAACATACTATCAATCCATTTTACGAAGGAAGACTGAACTATTAAAAAAATCTAAGCTAACAGGTGAGCATATGCTATCTTTTCCCTGATCAGTACAGGTTCATTGAGATCGATAGCGATTTCTCTATACAATGGTCGATTTAAGTGTAAAACATATTACTTACCCTCTTGATATCCGGGCGCCGAGGAGTCCAACGCCAAGTAAGCCAACGCAAGGCTGCAACCAAGTGACCAAATAGAGACGAGATTGAAAAAACCTGGAAAGATGACAAAAAGTGGTGACCTATTGAATACCCAGTCTACTCCGCAAATTCTCTCCAGACTTCCCCCAAAGCCAAGAACTCCACATTTACAGGGTGATAGGGTCGGCTTCCAATCATGCCTTATTCCGAGTTGACTTTTGACTTTTCCGGTGCCCATTTAAATGAGTGTATCCGCAGTCGATGAGCCGGAATATGGAGACACTGGGGATGATCGGGATATTCCATGCTTGTTTAAATGACAGATGAATCCTGGAATTATCGATTTCGTCCCACAGCTATCATCTCTCCTCAACGACTAAGCCATCAACCATTTCTACTGACGGGAAGTATCTTTTTGCAAAGAGGGAAGTTTTCTTTATACAACATGGCCGATCAAACAGGCAAGATGGCATCCGATCACGTTGAGGACGCGGTCAGCCCTGACCTGCAGGAAGACAAGATAACAATGCCTAACAACATCCCATCCTTCTTGATTGGCTTGTCTGTGGAGGAAATAAAAGCTATCGAAAAGAAGCTCGTAAGGAAAGTTGATATCAGATTGTTGATCATGATGGTTGTGATGTACATTCTCAATTATCTTGATCGAAACAACATTGCTGCTGCGAAATTGGCGGGTCTAGAGAAGAGTTTGAATCTTAAGGGAGATCAATATCAGGTAAATGATTCACTTCATAATGTTGGCCGATTTAAGATAGAAAAAAGAGACTGATAATACCAGCTTTGTGTCAGCATTCTTTTCGTTGGTTACCTTCTCATGCAGGGTATGAATGCCGCCTTTCTATTTGACGATTCACTGCTCATGAAAGACATTATAGTGCCTTCTAATATGATTCTGAACAAATTCGGAAAACCGTCCATTTATCTCCCAGCATGCATGGTTGTCTGGGGAGTCATTTCGACTGCAACAGCCGCAACCACGAGTTTCAGAGGTCTGTTGGTTTGTCGATTCTTCCTCGGATTTGTCGAGGCAGCATACTTTGTATGTATAGTCGCCAGTCGCAAACTCAACCCCTCTCTCCGTACTAATATTTCCACCAGCCCGGTTGTCTCTACCTTTTGTCGTCATGGTACACAAGAAAAGAACTCGTTAAAAGGACCGCTCTGTTGTACTCCGGATCCCTACTCTCGGGTGCATTTTCCGGTTTGATCTCCGCCGGCATTACTAGTGGTCTCAACGGCGCACGTGGCCTCGCTGCTTGGAAGTGGTTGTTCATCATTGAAGGATCACTTACTGTCAGTACCGCTTGCTCCAACAACAATGAAGGAACAGGAAAACTAATGGAACTCAAATAGATTTTCGTGGCTATATTCTCCTTCTTCATCGTACCCGACTTACCACGAACGACTCCATGGTTGACCGAAGACGAGAAGATCCTGGCCGCTTGGAGACTGGAGGTGGATATTGGTGAGGATGATTGGGTAGACAGCAAGCATCAGTCTATGTTCTATGGTGCCAAGCTTGCATTCAAGTATGTCTCCCATTTTTTTGAGTCTATATATATAGAGGTTGGGTTTAACATTACCGGATCAATAGGGACATCAAAGTATGGCTGCTACTCGGAATGATCTATGGATGTACTGCCTCCGGCGCTGTCACCACCTTCTTTCCAAGGCGAGTCATTGATTATCCATAGTAGTTAAACTGCTACCCTGCTATACCGATAATGCTGACACTTACCAGTGTCATGGCCGGTCTTGGCAGAAACAACATTGACACCCTCCTCCTCACCACCCCTCCTTATCTCATCGGCACAATTTTCGTCTTGATTAATGCATGGCATGCCGATAAAACTGGCGAACGATACCTGCATATCATTTGCCCTCCAATGCTCGGCATTGTTTCGTTTATTTTGTCTGTTTCGACGACTTCTTTTGCGGCTCGATATGTGTTAGTTATTCTTTTTTCAAGGCATGGAGCATGGCTAAGCTGACATCTCTCATTATAGTGCTATGTGTATTATGCTTGCGGGGTGCTATGGAGGTTATGTCGTTTGTCTCGGTTATATTTCGAATAGTAAGTCTAGATTTGCGTCATATATGCCTGATCCTTCAACTTATTGGCGTCATAGTTCTTCCTCGACCGGCTACCAAGCGTGCCGCAGCTCTAGCATTAATCAACTCCCTGAGCAACGTATGCCAGATCTACACACCTTACCTATATCCTAGTACGTTTTCCCTGTCATCTGCCTTCTTCCTATACTCACAATCAGCAGATTCTGCATCTCCACGATACCTAGTCGCATTTGTCGTGAACATCGGTATGTTATCTATGACAATATTCTTCGCAACCATCATGCGTATGCTTCTTGCTCGATTGAATAAGAAACTGGATGACGAGGAGGGTACGAATCTGGGCCGGGATGCGCACCAGCGAGAGGAACATGGTCTGCCGGGTCATGCTGCTGCTCAAGGGTTCCGGTTCTTGCTATAAGCTAATTATGTAAAGGCCTGATGTTTTTCTTATAATACTATGGGATATGAACGTTCAATCGATTTCATCGAATAATAATTAGCGCTGGGAATTTTCATGCTTATTGTTGTTAAAGACGCAATATACACTTCATTATGTCCACTTTTTGTGTATTTCCAATCTTAACCTGAATTGATCAATATCTGTCATTATCATCACCCAAGCTTTTAGAGTTTTAAAGATTTTCTTCTGAATTCCGAGTGTCCTCTCAACTTAGGGCTCGTGAATCCAGTGATACCACGTGATTTTGGTCACGTGTAATATCCGCTTAATCTTCTTCCGAGTTTTCTTCTCATGTTTCTCACCTCCGACACTCACCATGTACATTCTACTCTGCAATATGTGACATTGAAAGGCTCCGTGCTCTTATGAATACCTTTACTGCTATTCCATGATGTCGGAAACAGCCAGTATGTATTAATCACAACACAGTCAATGTTTGCAACAGTGCACCGAGCTCTCTCGTATTTCTACACCTGCACTCCCACACCGACTCGAGTCTGTTTCATTCCAGCAATACCATTGTCTTGTTATGTGCAGACGAACGAACAACGCAATCCTCCCCTGTCCAGCTGTTTCACTTGACGCCGATCCTATCCGATTACTCTGTTCTTGGTTCTGGATACCGGTCAAGCATACAGTGTATACACCATGGAACTCTTTCGAGAACAGTCAATACACCTCGCGCGTTTTGTGCATGTATAGTACTGGAGCTGGCATCGGGGGAAGAAGAGTTCCCCGGACTTTTGGTCTGTGGGATCTTCTTCTTTTCGTATGAAGGGATTGCAAGATTAATATATCAGGGCCTTCATAGTTCATGTTTTATGTCTCGCTTTTTCCGCTCGCTTTACGTTTCGTGGAGCGGGGGATGTTTACTACGAGAGCATGACTCCTTGCGCACTACATTTATTACTTAAAGCTAGCTATATAGATACTTAGCTACAGAGTTATAATTTTCCCTTATCATCCACGATCTTGACAACAACCTTCCCCCATGTCCCCCTACTACCCAACGCCTTTAGCGCCCTGGGCACACTCTCCAGCCCGATGAAGTTCTCGTCCGTATATGCTGTACTCTTGAACTTGCCCTGGTCAATCATATCAAAGATGCCCTTCCAGACCACCGGCACCGTCTCACGCTCAAAGTTTACGTATTGACCCCAATGTATCCCGACAATGCTCACGTTCTTAAGCAGGACACGATTGAGTGCGACCTTCTCAATCGTCCCCGCCGCAAAGCCAATGACCAACAGTCTCGCATTCCAAGCGACACACTTCAAACTCTGATCAATCATTCCCACAGGATCATAAACAACATCAACACCCGCCTTTCCATTCCCCTTTCGATTCTCCTTGCAAAGCTTCTTAACCTGCTCCGGCCAATTCTTGTCCGCACGATAATCAACCACATAATCGGCACCGAACCGTCTCGCAACTCGGCCCTTTTCTTCCGATCCCGTAGCCGCAATGACCGTTGCACCGAGCGCTTTCGCGATTTGAACGGCTGCTAACCCAACTCCGCCCGCAGCAGCGTGCACAAGAACCCAGTCCCCCGCCTGCACATTTGCACGCGTCACAAGACCACCGTATGAAGTCGGCGCGGTAACAAACAGGCCCGCTGCATCTGCAAAACTCCACCCTTTCGGCACGGGGAAGAGGGATGCTTCGGGTGCAAGGATATGAGTCGCATAGGCGCCCTGGGAAGCGCCGAAGACTCTATCACCGACTTTGAATTTGTGTGTTTTGGAGCCTGTAGGAGTGGCGAGGATGGTGCCGGCGAATTCCATGCCGGAGATCCATGGGAAGGGCGGTTGGTGTTGATATTTGCCTTGGATTTGGAGGATGTCGAAGAAGTTTGTGCCTGCGGAGTGAATCTCGATGAGATATTTGTCTGGTGTTGGTGAGGGAGTGGGCAGGTCGGTTATTTGGAGGTCGAGGGGGCCCTATATATGAATATCTCAGTATTAGTGATTGTTCTGACCGTAGTGTAATAAGATGAGATGTACCTTGACATATTCGCTGAGTTGGATAGCACGCATGGTGTAACTCTTCTGGTCAGGTGACACAGTGCTGATTGTATATTTGAATTGTAGACAATCTCTGGAAACGATTGTTGACAGTAAGAAAGTTGACAGCGGAGATAGCTGTTGATACTTGATAGACAGAAGTTGGGGTTGTGGGGAAGCCATCAAAGTAACCTTCTCTGATGCCTCGGCCCATTCGGTTACTCCCACTGAAACACGATCTACATAGTAAACTTGAAACTATCAATACAGCTACAAGATACATCAGTCTGTGATAGTTACTGGATTTACGATTTGAAAGATTTGAATATTGTAGGTCGATACGCACTTAGACATCTCATTCACATCACGGATAAGTACAAGTATCAATCCATCAACGCCTGATCCTTTTCCTTTCTCGACTCCTCCCAAGTTTCTTGATTCAGTGCACGAGTAAAACGAACAAACAACACGAGTAAGACATGTACCACTCAAAGGACGCCAGAAGTAGAGAAAGATAGACAAAAAAACTCCTGTGACCGCCCGGCGTCAAACAAATAGCAAGGGTATATACACATAGATATATTCATATATAACACAATACGTGAATTGATGTTGGGGAAGGTTGACAAGTAACACCAACGAGAACAACAACCGCCGACGCCAACAATGCTCATCAATGACAGACTCCAAAACTAATGCTACAAGGACCGTGCTTGTTCAATGACCGAGAGGCCTTTGTAATAACTGCTCATGACCCGCATAAGCGTAGATATCGTGAGGAATCAATGGATGCGGATGACCTGCTGCGATGTATTGTGGGTGTTGCGGCTGTGCGGGCTGATAAGCAGGGTGCATGGACTGCTGCATCGATTGAAGGCGTTCTTGTTCTTGATGCTGATGCTGCTGAGCCATCAGATCCATCTCTTCCGCCGATTCCTTGGATTTTCGATCCGACACAGGCCTGCGTTGACGGCCCTGTCGATCAACCCGGACAACCCCAGGCGCATACTCGGGTGTATAATGCGACGTCGTTGCCCGTCGCCAAGGTCGCACAGATACGCCCTCGTCATAGCCATGGTAACCCGAGGCTTGTGTCATGGGTTGTGCTTGCGTCTGTGCATGTGCATGTGTTTGAAGTTGGTACGACGCGCCCATTCCCTGTGGAGAAGGCATATGTTGCATAACCGGGTTGTTGTATCCGGCAACGGGATTTACGGCTCGTCCATGGTAGTAGGCCGCGTTTGCGCCTGCTGTATCGTACAAACCGGTATACCAGCTGGTTGGCTGCATGGTCAACGCTGCCGCCGGGTTGGAGTCTGGTTCAATAAAGTCGTTTCCAGTGGGCCAGTGCGTTGTTTTCGGTGGTGCGGGTTGTGGGTATGAGATGGGGGCCATAGCATAGGTTGGAGAAACGTAGGTTGGCGACAGCACATGGGTAGTTTGTGGTGGAGGAATGCTATTTGTTGGCGATGGCTGCTGTGGTTGTTGCTGTGTAGGGAGATCGTAGGCAGGGAGACTATGCGTCGCGAATTGCGCGACAACAGGAGTATTGATCTGACTGATCGAGCCATGAGATGAATGCTGTTCTGGGGTAGTAGTCATAACAGGACTGGTCGCAGAAATTGATCCGGTCCAAGCCTGTGTAGTAATAACTTCAGGCTGCGTGACCATCACGGCCTGCTGTGGGGAGACATGTTGTTGTTCCTGTTGCGACTGAACCCATACGTCCGTCGGGTACCATTCGCGAGTGATTGCGAGGTTCTCACTTTGAGAATACTGCGATTGTGGTGGGGTGGGAATTGCCATAGCTGCGGACGTATTCGGGGTACTATTCTTCATATCATTCTTGTTCCTCGTCTCCACGGGCGACATTCCTTCCGATCCATCCTCCTCGTCGTCTTCCTCATTGTTATCTCCCTGCTCGCCGGCGGGKTTCTTTCGGATCTGGCGGGACGGCTTGGTAACTCTCCATTTCTTCAGACGACTTCGCAGTTGCGTTTCACTATCGACCGGTTAGCACGAACGAAGGTATTCAGCCGCAAGTCGGCGGGGCATACCTAGGATTGAAATCCTCTGTGCGAATCTGCTTGATCACCTGCTTCAACGGCCATTCTTCGTCTTTGTACAAACGAGCGATCAGCGCCTTCTTCTTCTCCCAGACATCCGACGGTATCGATGTTTTCATTGTATCTTCTGATCTCTGTAATCGATTGACGCTGCCACCTATGACTGTCGGGTCGTCGGAATTACAGCAGTCAGCCGTTCAACGTCGAGTCAATGGCAGCTGTAGATGTCGAGAAGAAACGGTGCAGGTAGGTGTGATCACGGTGAAGGTGGGAAGTGAAGGGGAAAGGATTTCTGGGCAAGATCGACAGGCAGGCGGGCGTGTATATAGGCAGTTGATCAGTACGTATGGGGACGGAACTGGTCATATCAATCGGTAAGATTCAAGCGCAGGAACGGAGTCCGTATTATTTGTACTCGATTGCGTTATACTACGTACGTAGTAGAGTTAGCTTAGCTGGAAGTGGAAATACTTCATCCTCGTGGTGGTATGGCATGCGTATTACTATTGAAAGTAAGTTAACTACACTACTACAGCTCGCGGACGGCGAGGACCCAGGGGACTCAGCCGGAGCCCTAACCGTGGCTGCGCGTATGGTTATTTCATAACGGAGTGATTACACTCGATGAGCGTGCGGAGCCAGGTGATAATCAATGTAATGTACCGTAATTACACTTTGATCTAGGCCGGCAAATCTTGAACATCTTAGTGCCGTCGTTAGCACCACTGAGTCTGCTGACTATCCCGCTTTGAGCCTCGGGACTAACCCCTCTGGGTATCCTGATTGGCGGGCAACCCTGACCGTGTCCCCTCCATTGGCCTCCAAGGGTTCATCTGGTTCGCTCTGCCCCCCCCACTCCTGCCGCGCTCTTCATATGCATCATCCTCATTCAGTCGCTACTATCGCCACGTCCCACGCACTATTGGCTCCGCACTGCCACTCGCGGCTTCTCTTCTTTCATTCCGACGGGGAGATAGTCCGCGCTAGTCCCAAACAAGGCCAAACGTACACCACATCTCCTGATTGGTCGTTAGTCTGTTTCTTCAGGGTTTAGGGCCATTGCTTGATCTCGCCCTTCTCTAGGCCTCCGCCAGGTAAGAAGTGGCTAGTCTGAGTCTAGTCGTCTCGCTCTTGATTGCTACTCCTGCCTGATGGAGTAAGGTGGTATGGTCGAGTCTGTCCTTTCTGCATTGCATAAATCGCTGCGCAGTAATCACAATCCTGAGCATAACAGTGAACATGGGGCCAAATCGATACCTTTAACGACATAGTTTCGCTCTCAGACTTGGACTACGTACAATTAGGCGCCTACACATTTAATAACTAAGTTGATGACGAATATAATCGAGTTTAGAATGACCCGTCAGACTGGCTCAGATCCGCTAAATTGTTCATAGCAAATAAAAGTAAGAATACATACAATACACAGCATATACATCGTAATGAACAATTAACCTTCGGCATGTTGAACCTTCTTTTTCTTCAACCTTACCCGAAAAGGACCGTACTCGACTCGACACTAAATGTAGGCGGGATCTAGTTCTCTTCCGGCTCTAAAGATTGTCATGTCTGTGAGTCCAGATTCTCTCAATCGGTGCGGCACCCACTGACCTCGATGAAATCTGTGTGTAAACTGTAAAGTCACGATTCACCACTAAGTTAAAGTAGCAAAGTGTACGCATCGCATCGGTCCTAGAACCATATGGTCCAGCTCTCCGCACCCATACTTCCTATTCCTAGTTAGAGCTTAGCAGTGCTACGAACCTCGGCATCATCTGATCAACTCTTTCTCCTCTTCTGTTCTGGTCGATTGGATGCTTAATGACGATCTCCATGCACCACATCTGCGAGGCTGTCGTAATGATAACACCATTCAGGAATTCTTCACCCGATAATACGTAGACTACTACCCAACTTACTGCCTGAGCAGATGTAGCGTTCGGACTCGCGAGACAGTTGCGCCGGGCTATAGACGGGGACTCCATGAGGTTAACCATATTGTCGGGCTCTGCTAGCCCGTTAGCCGTCATCAGTGCCACGGTTTTATGATTTCCGAGTTATATTATGCATATCGGTCAATCACCTCTTGTGATTTGAACCGATTATTGATGATTCAAGCAGAGCGTAAGCTGTTAAAATCTAGTCTTAACGATGGTTTGTACTGAGCATCCTGGCCGGGCCAGCGACGACTAAACGTGCACGGAGACGGAGTACTCGGGTCTTCAGCCAACATTAATCTAGAGTAAAATACAAGGCTCAAGTATATAGTACGTACATACGTAGATGATCTTAAATCTCGCATCCCACAGACTCTCTCCACCATCCAACACACCAACGGACTACAACTCGAATTGTCAAAGTTCAGTAGTCACCAACGTGGTTTCCAAGATAAGTACATACACACAGACATATCTACAATGCGACGCCATGACAAATAACTCTATCAACATTAAAGTTTCACTTCAGTAACTACGTTAAGTGTCGCTCAAACACATTCAAATTTAGCCGACATGTCAACGCATGAACGATTTCACAGCTTCGTTTCATGTCAAGAGACTCAGTGGGTGGAGGATCTCCGAGGATACATACATCCTACTCGGTACGCGGACATTTCACTCCCGCTACCTGTGGTAAAGAACATGGTACACTGTGCCGTAACGAGTAGTGCTCCCGTATACTTACGTAGTAACGTACGAGGTAACATACCGTGCCGTACTCTGTAATAATGTCCGTACGGGTATGTATGTCGAGTCATGTGAAATGCATAGCAAAGCTAATCGGCTTATCAGGCCAATTGCCGCGTACTTTTCAGGTAGGACAGTGCTAGCCGTTTGGGGTTAGATAGGTGATCCTAGAATTCGTGTGGCCAATTGGGGGTTGTACGTGGTAGTTGGGTCGTGGAGATATTCCTAGTCCGTACGTACATCATATCATTGCGAGGAGAGTTACCAATGTGTAACCGACGGGATGGGTGGTTAGTTAAGTGTTGGATTAATTGAAGATTACCTTCAATAGTCGAGAAACATACCTCTGTCAGCCTCATTTCTGATGTACCATAGAGTTGACCCCAATGCTACTTCCCAAACAGTCCAGCAGAGGGAAGTCGACCAATAACTCGTATCATCAGTACAAATACGTATCGTAATTTCGTAACGAATCGGAGGAAATCCGTCATTGCTTTTTCCCTCAAGTACACCATACTTAGTAGTACAACGTACGATCGACAAATGGGGATGATTGAGGACGAATGAGGGTTTCACAATCCTAATGCTGGTACAACAAACGGACTCTTTTGTCGTGCTGCAGCACGCTGCAGATGGTCTGGGCATCGCATGTCGAGTGATCAGTCGTTTTGCATGGTGAGACGGAAAATAAAACGTGCTCGTTTTGTATGACTTCTTGTATGCACTTGGTCCAAAGAGTATGTACGTATCGTTGTAAAAACAACGCCTAGACCTATTGTGCTGTTTGTGCATGTATCTTTTAAACTCCGTGCGGAGTTTAATGTTTGATTTTGGATTTTACGTACACACCAACTACCTACGTTGGTACACTGTCAGATATGTCTGAATAGAGTCAGTACATCGACTTGTTTGTTGGTGTACACAAACTTTAAAAGAGACTATCTGGCCACGAGTATTGCCGAGTTCCAGATGTCGCCCATAAATACCCGGATAAAGGGCAGACAAAGGGTAGATAAAGCTGTTTGTGTTAGCCACTTAGAAGTGTCGACGAGCTATACCGTCTCCTATATTTTAAATTACTAGGAGGCCTTTCCTGCATGTAGCCAGCGAAGTTAGGAGTGTATGTCCTCTCTTTTTATTCTAACCTATGTAAAGCCCTGATTAACCAACATTAAAAAAGTCATTTTTGGTGGCATTTTACTAAGCATGGCCTGGATCGGCCGGTGGGAGATTTTCCGGTGGGTAAAAATCTCGCTTTAGGGTGTCAATGATTTATACATAGCTCATGTATAATTAGTTTATTGCTGAAGTCTAGATCTGTTAAAGGCGGATAAAAAGTTGGTCTGCCAACTAAGTCGAATCTTCATTCTTCACGCCGAAATACAGGTCAAATGACGATGCAGGACTGGTTCATGCAGTAAGAAGCCTCTGACGTAGGAAGGGGAAAATGCAACTAGCCATGGTGGTTAGTAAGAGGCTTTAGTGATGCGTGATTTCTTGTTATGCTCATTGCTTTTTTGGCTTTTTGCCTGTGACTTAGGCTTATAGTCTTGGTATTGATAAGATGTATGCGATAGCCCTAATCGCCCGACTAGACTGATAGAATTACCTACATAACAAAATCTCCCTTTTTAGTACCTTACATGGCCACTCCATCGTCCAGCGCAGTTCGCCAGGCATCAGCTGGTATATCCCCCTGACATCTTGCTCCACAACTTCATACTCACCCCTCCCATTCGCCCACCAAGCATGGTCCAATGCATCAAGCATAACCAGCATTCTCGCCAGCAGTGCCATCGCAAGTGGATCATGCGATTGCAGCAAGTCTCGATAACCTGACTGACATCGTACGGCCATATATGCAATAAATCGCTGAAGGGTGGTAGCATCTACCCCAGAGTAGAAGGCTCGATAATGGTACAATACGTAATCTCTTGCTTCTAGGTAAACGTTCTTTTCGGCATCTGGCATAGTCCAGACATTGAACTCATAAATCAAGCACTCAAGGTCTTCTTCTAGCTCACGGAATTGCAGCCTGGAGGCAATCGGGAGCTTATCATCTGGTATTACGAGCGGAAGAGTCTCGTCTCCTTGCCAGCCGTAACCCTGCACGTTTTTCTGTGCGAACAGAATTCCAACTCCTTCTAGCAATTTGAATGCTTGCACTGGAAGTTCATATGCCGCGTTAGTTCGCGGCTTCTGATGTTCAAGCAGCCAGCACATATGGCAAAGCACGACTGCAGAAAGCCACAGCTGCTCGGTCGAGGCCTGGCTGGTGGTGTTGTCGTTGAGCGCATGACGGTGATGTGCAAGTGCATGGCCAAAATACCGTCGCAATGCAATACCTACCATCTCATCATGCGGCGAATGAGCATGGAGATGAAGCGCCGAAAGCGCCAGCATCGGATTCAGAATAATCTCAGATGAGAAGCCTAGCTGCGGTATAGTGTGGTTCCACGCCTCTGCAGGAGCACCGTTGCAGCTAGGCATAGTCGAGCTGACGACTGCTGTGTAGTGGTGCATTAGGCGTAGTTCCAAACTGCGCCATTTTATGTTGTATGTAACTGAGCTTGGGTGGAGTTTGAGGGAGGTAGGGTTGCCATGTCCAATAGTTTCCAGCTGTGGCCGGCGGGCATCGCGAGGCATATGAGAGTCCCAGTCGCAGCGCTGGATAATTTTATATCGCCGGCGACAGTTCGAGCAGACAGGCTTCGTCTCATCGCACTAGGGGAATTAGCAGGGGGCTGTAGATCAAGAACATAGACCACTAACTTTGACCTTCCTGCGTCGACAATCACGACACCCCGACCGTGACTTATTCAATATAGGCCCCTGCTTATTCAATGAGGTAGACATGCTGATATGCGAATTCATTGGCTTCTTTGCGACAGCAAAGAAATGCGAAGAAGCGAACTTCCGAGGATGCGAGAAAGCTAGATTGGTAAGCTCAATATCGCGCGGCTGTCCAATCACATCTCGATCCGAAGTTGCGAGACTGGGAATAACCCTAAGTATATTCTAGAAATCGAAACTGATGCCATCTTGAAGGTATAAAAAGGACAGAATATTCCAACATTTTATTATGCTCAGATTAACAAATAAAAGCTTTTTATCAAACAAAATGTCTCCTATTCTTGCTGTATTCGGCGCAACAGGCGTCCAGGGGGGTTCCCTTGTCAACTATGTGCTCAACGACCCTGAGCTCAGCCAGAAATATCAAATCCGCGCCATTACTCGTGACATAACTTCATACAATGCCACGGCACTCCAGGGAAAGGTCGAAGTCGTCCAAGCTGACGTATCCGACCCTGTCTCGATCGAGGCAGCCCTAACCGGAGTCCACACCGTCTTTGCCATGACTGTGCCTTCCTTCACCCCGGACGGACTAGAAGTCGAATTCAGTCATGGCAGGACAATCGCCGACACCGCAGTCCGACAGGGCGTCAAATATCTTATCTTCAGCACGCTGCCAGCCGTCAATGAGATCTCAGGCGGCAAATATTCCCATGTCACTCCCTTTGACGCCAAAGCAAAGATCGAACACTACATACGCGGTCTCCCTATCAAGAGTGCCTTTGTGTCGTTTGGATTCTTCATGCAGAATCTACATACTCAGCCATTTCTGGGTCCCGTGCCGGCTCCGGACGGGACTTGGATTCTTGCCCGTCCCGCTCCTCCTACAAGTCGCATTCCATACATTGATGCCGTTGCGAATGTTGGGAATGTAGTCGGCTCTATTCTCGCCGAGCCTGAGAAGTACGAAGGAAAGACATTCTGCGCTGCTGAAAGACTATACAGCCTGGAAGAGATTGCAGCTCTTCTCTCGCAGTCTAGCGGCAAGACTGTTGTCTATAAGCAGGTTACGCTCGAAGAGTTCAAGAAGAGCATCCCATTTGCGCCTGATCTCTTTGCTGATGGGTTTGGGTTCTCGGAAGAGTTTGGGGGATATTGGGGGCCGGATACGGAGAGATTGGTTGCTTGGGCTATTGAAAATACGCGAGGTAGATTACGTACGCTTGAGGAGTACTTGGAGGCAAACCCTATTCAGCTCTGATACAGAGTTCATAGCGACCAGATCATGTCAGGGGTTGAGTACGGTCGTCTAAGTACTCTACAACCTTGGAAGTAATTTACATAAATACAATCTCGGAATATCCGACTAACGACAAATTTCTAGTTGTACATCGCTTAAAAAAAACCTACACAAAGCTCTGAATAGTTTTCAGAAGATAAACCTTAAAACAGATTCGAGATCCGAGATCTGTATCAAGATCCAATTGCCACGAGTTCCGGCTTTCAAAGCTTTCAGAGACTGTATAACGATCAGACCTCTTCTTTGACTTTGTCAATTAATTTATCAATATCTATCAAAGAGTCAATGTGTTTTCCTAAACTGTTTAATTTCAACAATCTCCTTTCCAAAAAATTATTGAATATTGATTCCACATTTCATCTCGAACCAACAAAAGAAGCCCAATGCAACACCCTCTCAGCCTTGGGGTCTATGTCCGTCCATTAGTTGATGAATAAACCTTGTCAACTAGCCGATCCAAGACTGTGATTCGCCAACCCCAAGCCCCAGAAAGCGCGAAATATTTGAATCAAGAAACATAGTGCCCGTTTTCAGCCTCGTGGTCGACAACGAGGCGATGCACGTAAGTTTTCAATAGCTTTCTTCCTGAAAATTACAGGGTTGTGATGATCATTAACCCGGCAGTCTGGTTATAAAAGTTCTACGCACGTACTTAGCAGTACGGAGTTAGTTTCCGTGGTATAAACTCATGGCATTTTACCTTCAATAGCGTGGATGATCACGCACCCGCAGTACGTACGTACTACACAGTGAGGCTGATACCCTTTCGAGATTATCTTTCAATACACACATGATGATCGCCAGTAATTAATATCCCGTAATTTTCTATTCCGCACGTGAACGTGATATTCTCGGAATGATTTCCGACGGCCACGGGGAAATTGCCAAGTTCAATAGTCTCTTCTTTCGTGAGGTTTTATTTGCTTTATTCCCCTCATCGCGAGAGTCAGAGATGTAAGGGATGGATATATTACCGGCTCTGCGGAGCTTGATGGTTGGTATGTATTTTACGTTATTCCATGGGATAGATCGTCGCTTGAGGTAAATCTGCCGTGCCGAACCAGAGTAAGCTCTACCATACACAACCCCAGGGCTTTACGGTATAGATGCCAGGATAGGAAGTAAGGTAGCTGATATGATCGCCTGTCGGCAGTTGACCTGCATCCCCTATTCCGAGCCGACTGACTACATACATACTACGTACATTGCCTGCGTTATCCATGGATTTGCATGTCTCCATATTGCCAATAGTGCAGATGTAATCTCTTTATTTCACGACAGTAATACGTAGGTATATTTCCCCTCACAAGGAGAGCGGAGACTAGTCTGCTACTACGAAGATCATCGCGTAACGCCCCCCAGTCTCGCGTGATACCGAGTAAACAGAGAACGAATGCCGAATTGTGTCCGTTGTGATACATGAAAGAGATTGGCCATGGCCAATGATACTCGTATCCGTTCGCAGCCTGGTGTAGGGAAAGAGGACCTTGGAAGAAAGCTGGAAAGAACACAGTACGAGAGCGGGATGGGGGAGGGGGTTGAGGGATTTGTTTCATTACTCTTTGCGGCTGTTATGTGTATTGAATAAACCGCTGTTTGCGTGTCTGAGAATATACGAACCCTGGACATCAGCTATATGGGATTTGATTTGATTGACGGAATTGATGGTCCAGACGAGTCGTATGCATCTACGTAGAGTGAAGGGTGAGAAGCATACTGAGACTATGCCCCCTACAAAACCTAGTTCGAAACACCAACTACAACAGTCTTGTCCGGCTTTATATCATCTATCTTGCCATGAACGAAATGTATTTTAACACAATAGAGAAGAGTATCATATATAATTAAGACACCATAGAGAAGTAAGAAGATACCAAAATAAAAATCAAAAAAACAAGTACACCATCCATGCAACAAAAAACACAGAATCCAAGATGAATAATAAAACAGAAAAAAGTCTACCGACGCCGTACTCGGTGCTCCTTTCCTCGTTTAGACTTCTTTTTGGCCTTATCAGGCGGAAGAACCAGTGGTTCATCGCGCACATTCCACTCCATGAATCGCACGAGATAATCATCAATGTGATTCGGTTCAGGTTGTCCTTCTTCGGCCGCGCCTCCGGTCTCTCCTACATTCTCGCCATCAACGACGCCGGCTGCTCCTGCGCCTGACGCGACTTGAGCTGTTGTGCCGGCCTCCTCAAAGTCTCCGTCATCGGCATGCTCCATTTCCTTTTGCGCGTTCTTCGCGGCGTCGATGTCTTCTTTATCTTCGACCTGCTCAAAGACGCGTGTATGTGTAGCGACCAGACCGCCTCCACCGCGGTTGTCGAGTACGCGATCCATGGCTTTACTGGCTTCGTCTTGTTGGTCGTCAGGTGCAGACTCGTCGATTGCTTTGTGCGCGTCGTTGACACGGGTGAAGTAGTCAGTGGTAAACCCACCTTCTTGAATCACCACGTCATCCAACATACGCTTCTGGTTTGCCTTGCGTAGAATGTTGGATTCGATGGTGAATTCCGACACGAATCGATAAATGTGCACATCACGCGTCTGTCCTATACGATGGCAACGATCCTGGCACTGTTTGTCCATGGCCGGATTCCAGTCGAGGTCGTAGAAAATAACACTGTCGGCGCCTGTAAGGTTGATACCTAGACCACCTGAACGAGTAGACAGGATAAATGCAAGAATTCGATTGTCGTTGTTGAACCGATCTGTAAGCATCTGGCGTTGCTCAACCTTTGTCGTACCATCAAGACGCAGGTAGCGGTGTCCGTGGATGTTCAAGAATTGCTCTAGAATATCCAACATCTTTGTCATCTGCGTGAAAATCAAAGCTCGATGACCACCTGCTTGAAGCTCACGAAGTAGCTTATCCAGTTGTTGGAGCTTTCCGCAGTCATATTGTAGCAATCGTTTATCTGGGAATGCAATTGACAGACGCATCTGCGCTTCATGGAAAGGATCATAGTCTTCATACCGCAACTTTCGATCGAAATAGCGCGACTCAACAGGAGTGATTGCTGCTTCGGTAGTTCCCGCAGCCAGAGCAGCAGGGGTGACACATCCGAACCTTTGTATGTAGCCCTCCATAGCTTGAGACCTGTCTTGAATTGAGTTGATCATTGAAGCTAGGACAGACGACTGGTTCGCTAGCTGATCGAGCTTGGAGATCCGGCGAGAATCGCGTGTTGAGACACCATTGTAGTGGCTTTCAATTGTGAGGAACTGGATCAAGCTCTTTCCCCAAACTGGGCGTCGACCATGTCGGTTACTCTCAAAGTAAAGCGCGCTCTCAAGTTCGTTCATTCGCTTCTTCCTTGCAGCGTTATCCATCGAGTCTAGTATAGACCGCACCGACGATCCGTCAAACCCCATCTGCCAGTTCGTCCGCTTGTACTGACGTTCCCGTAAGGTCTTTAATGGCCCAAAGGCCATTATGCGGCTGCTATCTTGGACTAGTCTAGTGGAAAGATCTTCACGCGACACAGGCGCAAGGTTCAGAAAATCTAGATCAAGTTTGTCAAAAGGATGCTGGTACAAAAGACGACGTCGGATAAGTTTGTTTTTGACCTCGTAGTCAACCGACACCGATGTGGGCATTGCAAACGATGTAGATATCTGACGCGTTTCAAACAGATCCGGATGATTGCAGACTTTTCGAAGTTGCATAAGACAGTTAATGATGGAAAGATAATTGCCAGAGGCGAGAGTCTCTTTGGTTTGGGCTCTAGACATAAATCCATCGTACAGGTATCGCTGCCGCTTGGACAAGCGACAGGTGACGACATGTTCGTACTTGGCCGGCATCTGCTTTTCGACATCCGCTTTCATTCGTCGGAGGAGATATGGTCGAAGAACTGTATGCAGTTTGTGAACTATCTGCTTGGCCTCGTCGTCCATTGTTTCCCTGCCGTGCTCTAGGATCTGCTCAACCGGCCGACGAAACCATTCTGAAAAGTTTCGCAGGTCTGCGAATCCATCCACTCCAGCGCCGTCTTCATCCGATGGCATCAAGAAAAAAAGAAGCGACCATAGCTCGGTCAGGTTGTTTTGAAGTGGTGTACCTGTAAGCAAAAGACGAGCACGCGTCCTGAAGGTGAGCAACGCCTGCCATCTCTGAGATCGGAAGTTTTTGATGTTATGAGCCTCGTCGAGAACCATATAATGCCAAGCTCTTCTCTTCAAAACCTGTTGATCCTGCAACACCAACTGGTAAGACGTAATTAGAACATCCCAACTGCTATCATCCGTCCAACCGCGACGCTTTGCTTTTCGCTCTTCTTGATTGCCGTAGTATGTCATTATCTTAAAGCCGGGACACCATTTTTTGAACTCCATTTCCCAGTTGAGAATGACACTGGTAGGAACAACGACAAGGTGCGGACCCCAAACCTCGTGTTCTACCGCTAAATGTGCAAGTAGCGCAATTGTCTGAATGGTCTTTCCGAGACCCATCTCATCTGCCAATATTCCATTAATGTGATTTGTATAGAGTCCAGCTAGCCAGTCTAACCCATAATGCTGATATTCACGAAGTGTTCCTCTGAGCAAGTGTGGAATGGGTGTCTTAAGCCCAGCAGGAGTAGTCGATTCTGCTACAGATTGTTTGTCGCCTTGCCCTTCGTATGATGACATAGACTCGGGTTCTGAAGGCTTGGTTGCAACAGTCCCAGGGGAAGCCTGGCTGGAGGCATCACCGCTCTGATGTCCATGAGAAACATCCTCAACTTGCGCTGGAAAGTCTGGGTCGAGATCCATATGCTCGGCAACGTTGGCTTCATCTTTTGATGACTCGGTCTTGCTGGCTTCATTTTCTTCGGTGATGGCCTTGTCAGCTTTGTCGAATTGTTCAACTGGGCCTGTCGGTATAAGAGAGACTTCGTCTGGATCTTCCATCTCAGCATGTTCTTCAATGTGCTCTTCTCCCTCTTCCTGCTCGTCCTGGGCGTCAGCTTCTGGACTTTTTGTGCTGGCGGCTCTCAATGCGTCTTTTGAAGAAAAGAAGCCTAAAAGTCCCGGACCATCATCGCTGGCATCGCTGCCTTCATCTTCACTGTCTTCATCGCTCATGTTATCCGAGTCTCCCATGTCGTCATCCATGTCAGTAGACACATCACTCTCGTCGAGTAGAAGAGGGTCAACATCATCAAGATCAGGCTGGACTATCGATGGAGGGACGGACGTGTTCAATGAATTGGCGTCTCCTTCCGTACGCCCATCATCGACCGAGGTGCCACGAATTGAAGAGTCCATTTCGGCTTCGTGTTTCGTGAAAGTAGTATCGGGGATATTGGCATACTTCAATCGCAACTCCTCCGCGGTCAGGCCTTCATCGTCATCGACATTGTTTTCGCTTTCATCGTCACTTTCGCTTGAAGACATGTTACTTTCGTCTGCATCGGAGATTGAAGAATCTTCTTCGTCATCATCATCTTCCGATTCCTGGTCGTCATCATCAACATCCTCACTAAACGTGTCCATATCGCTTCCAACACCCAGAATTTCCTGTCTCCGTTTCTCGAAAAGCATGGTTGACTGCTTGATGGCCTGATTTAGCGCCTGTTGGTTTTCTGCTTTTCTTTCCTCTTCCCATCGTGCTAAGCGAACCCTGTCAACTTCAGCGCGAACAAGATCGAATTGTTTTTGGAGATCCCTAATGACTTGTCGGCGCTTCGTTTTGGTCTCCTCCACTTGTTCTCGTATTATATCCTCTGGTCGTTTATTCTTCTTTCTCCAAGCTTCGGCGCACCATTGCGCAAATTGACGAGCTGTGTTGCGATGCCTTCGATGCTCCTGATCGAGGAGTTTGCGGAAAAATAGAGCATGTGCGACGAGGTGATCGTGGTGCGAATACTGTACGGGAGGTTCCTCCTGGGGTTCGGGCAAACAAGCAGAGCAGACTTGCGGGCTCAGCAGGCCACCAGGCTCTCCAGCCTTGAGAACACGTAACCGTTTGACCGCCTCTTGTTGGGCCTCTTCACTGGTTGCGATGACATTTTCGCCGGCGATGGTCTCGGTGGCGTAAACCCAATCTCGAAATGAGGAATAATGCTTTGGACGAACGACGTGATTCGGGTGTTGAACGCTGACCGACCCCTTCTTTAATTTGAGCCGTAGTCGAGGAACTTTGAGATCGCCACCGAAGTCATGCGTATCTTCTTTGACAGGGATATCGAGGTCTCGAGAGGCAGACGTTGATTCGGCGTTCGAAATGGAAGCATTGCGACGAGTGTGTCTTGAGCTAGTGCCGTTCGCGACTGTTTTCGCAGCGCTCTGTGTCCGCGTTCGCGACTTGGCCGAGCTAATAACGGGAGTTGTCTCAACGTTCACAGTGCCGCTTAGAGGAAGCCTTGAGCTGGACTTCCTCCTTGTCTCTTTCCTTTCACTGTTGCTTACTGTCCCACTTGCTCCTGCCTTGGCTCCAAGCGATCTTCGACTACTAGCAGATGTGCGGACGGGCGTTGAGGATAACGGCGACGATACGGCGGGCGTTGTTTGAGCACCACGGGTCTGTCTCTTTGCGGAAGTTGGTTGAAGCTCTAAAGGGATGGCATTTGTTCGCGACGATTTCCTCCTGCCACCTTCCATGAACGACGTCGGTCCCTCGACGCCTACTTTCTTCCATGGTGGCGAAATCGGTCGCGGTGTCGAGCGTTTGCCCTCGGCAAGCTTCCGTTTCTTTGACGGAGGTTCCTCGTTGTTTGTATCGACGATTCCATCAATCTTTTGTTCACCTGGCGTTTGCATAAACGCGACAACGGTCTCCGCTTGTTCTGGCTGAGGCGAAACGCGAAAAGTCTCGTTGGGATCTGGTGTCACGCGTTCATCGTGTTGTGAGGTCCCGTTTGGTGTGCCGTTTTGCATATCTTGTCACCGAGCGCGAAAGGGGCCCTTTCCGCAACAGACCCCAACTTTCCCAGCACAGACGAGGGCAAATTTCGAAAGTCGGGCATCAAAATGTTGGTAAATAAGAGTAGATAATCCTGTGCGAGTTTGGCATAACTATCAATGCTGGTGCGTGGGTGACGATAAAAAGAAGTGGCGGATGGGGKGTTTTGGAGGACAGTTTGATTTTCGCTTTTTGTCGACGCAACTTCTCCCGTGACGGAGGGCGTTGGTCTTGGCGGCCAATCCAGCACTAAGCCAACCCTGGACGACCTTCCGACCTCCATCTCAATCTCTCCCAGCACTCTTCATATCCCGTGTCTTCCACTCTGTTTGCTCGTTCTACCAATTGACCTTGGCGGAACGGTCAGTGCTATATTCTACCTGTTCCTTGATCTGCCGAATACTAACTTATCGAATTCAGATGCTTTCTCGACGCCTCGTGACCGGGCGGTTGGCCCAAACCGCCTCCAGCTACGCCCATCCCCGCGCTGCCTTTTCTCAATTCAGAGCCCTTCGCGCTCAGGCCGAGGATGATGACCCTCATCTTGTTCGTTTTTTTGCGCTATTAGTCCGTCTTTATCGATGCTGATTGTTGTGGCTGCAGAATGGAAACTACCCCAACCCTCCGGCCGTGAAGCGCCAATTCCGCGACCCCAACGCCGACTGGTGGGATAAGCAAGAAAGACGTAACTTTGGCGAGCCAGTGCACGAGGATAACGATATTCTCGGTGTTTTCAGCCCTGAGCAGTATACTCACGTCACATCCAACAAGGCTCTTTTGTCGATTGGAACCTTCGTTGTTGGCTTCCTCGGTCTGTGCGGGTTGGTCAGCTTGTACTATCCTGACAAGCCATCCAGTCCACGAACATTCCCCGAAAATGGACTCGAGAAAGAGCTCGGTGGCCCCGGAGCTATTCGCGTGAGTGTCACAATCTGCTTGTTTCCCTAGTAGCGCTCTAACTCGATGATTTAGGCTCGCAAGTCCGGAGAGGAGACATGGTGATTTTTCGGTGTTTTGTGAATGTACATAAAATGGGTCCTAGATCAATTGCAACTGAGTTCGTTCTGATTTCACTTTGTTCCAGGCATTGTATACGGCTATCTCCAACTTGCCTTGCTTGGGTGTCTTCACGACATCAACAATACTTACACGGCTGGATTTGCTGATTATCGAGGCTACGTAATCGCATGAAGGACAGTATGGTCGGTTTTTACACTATCAAGATTCGGCTGGCTTTGGCGGAATGCCACCCAGAGGCATTATATTAGTGATGCGCATTTTCATCTATCGGCTACCATTAGATTTTATTTATAGAGCCAGTCAACTAGCTCATCTATCTCTTCTGGTATATCTTCTGCAATGCTTGATCCCATGGTCTTCGAACCGCCAGAACGGTCTTCTGCAGCAATAATACACCGTATCTACATGACCGGGCTGTAAGTGCTGTCTAGTTTGGGCACAGGTCATGGTGAAGCCAAGTTGAATATGTATATTTGTATTTGAATATAATTGGTCCCTTGGCGCGCAAGCACCAGCCTCTCTTAGCTGAGTTAGCTTTAATATTCCTGTAACTAACTAAGTTAACTGTTAGCCGCCAAGCMCCCGCCTGCCTACGTCAGTCTATTGTTTCAGATTCACCCCTCACTCAAAACATCAATAAACCTACTACGTAGTACAGTACAACGACCAGCGTCTGCGCCGATATCCTTGCAACGACTAATCTTTTATTGATCTTCAAAGGTACTGCTCGGTTCTTTAAATATCGTCGCAGCGCCAGGCCGTCCCCTATACCACAGGCGCTGTCAGCTTTGTGTACCTGATGGTCTCCCAGTCCCCTGTACAATAAAAGCTTCCCAACCGGCATCAAGGGCTACATCACACACCCATTGCATCACATGTCGACAGCTTCTAACCGGCCAAGCGGTATCAACCGCAAATTGACCGACCTCCAGAATGAGGCCAGACACTCACATTCTCGCAGTCTGTCGAACTCTCGCCGGAGACTTCTAAGCTCCGCCGATGCCTATTCGTATGCTCTCCGAGTCGCCTTTCTGTCGCACTTGCTTCAACCTCGAGCACGACGCACGCAAACCGTTACGCAAGCATCGACCCATACTCGCCGTTCATCTTCTTCGTTCCAGGACCTGCTGGGGGACTTTGTTCGCTTGAGAGATACAAAAAGCACAAGGTTTCCCCATGGCTTCATCGCAGAGCTAGAAAAGAGGCTTACGGGCATACTCATGGGCAAGGAGAGAAGGAAAGAGTATCAGGATCATGTGGTTATACGTTCCTTTGCGGTCTTTCTCAATGCCCTGAAGGACCCCTCTTTCAAGCGGCGAATGGAGGCAGACCGCCGTGTTGAAGATCTTGTCCTTATCTTCTTTTCGAATGCCACAAAGGAGCTAGGGAAAGGTAAAGATCACTCGGATGACAGCTGGAGCCTCATGGTGGATAGACATGTCGCACTTTTCGTCCGTCTCATCACACTCATTCTCAAGGAACACGATTGGGCCAAGGATAGACCAGAACTCACCAGCAGGCTGGCGGTGTTAGAGTCAAAACTCCTATCTCACGACCAAGACCTTGCCGAAACGAACGGATCATCCAAAACAATCGAGACGCTTGCGCCGATCAGCTACGATGTTAAAGATATGCCGTTGGTACAAGTAGTTGCGAGGATATTTGGAATCAGTACTTTCCAAGCGCAGGATGACATCAACCGGAACAAAAATGATTGGACTGGGAAAGCTGCTCTTCAGGACCTGAAGAACTATCAAGCGCACTTGACATTAAAAACGGGGAAAACATTGTCTAGAGACGACTTCCCTGACGACGAGTCTTATGAAATTTGGAAACGGGGTGAAGGGCCGGACCTATCGCAAATGATGCTGGCGATTGTGCAGTCAAATCCAGAACTTGCGAAAAGTACAAATGGTGCTTCTTTGCCACAATTCATATCGCAGGACTCGGTCAACTCTACCTTTTCTGAGCTGTCATCTCCAACTTCCAACAGGTCGAATCGTATCTCGTATGTCATTGATCAACCTATTGACTTGAGCTCTTTGTCGCTAGTCGATGGCGCAGAGCCCGATCACGTCTATACTTTCATTCCCTCAGATCCGAGATCCCTCTATCGGGCAATTTTGTCTCGCGCTTTGATGTATGACCTTCAAGATCAGCAACTGGAAGCCACAGAAGCAACTTCTGATGTTCCATCTCTGAAGCTATTATCAAAACAGTCGACAGAACTACTAAACGAGATATGCTTACGCTGGCGCATTCCGGCTTCCTCTCGGGTTGTTCTATTTCTAGATGTCATTCGCGAGAAGTTTGTGGATCAGCAAATTGATATCAAAACGGTCGATGCTGCTTTCACTTTTATCAAGCAGGTGCCGGCTCAGGAAGGAAAGAAGAGAAACAGTCTACTAGCTTCTGTTGTATTTGAAAGGAATCGTTGGATTCTGCCGGATATCTCGTTGATGCGTGATCTCTTATCCGCGTTACAGGAAGCCCTCTTGCGAGAGCTATATGATGTGATGATGCATTGCTACGATGCAAAGCCTCACCCTATAGGTCCAGTCATGTACATATTGGACAATCACGTCCGACTTGACCCACAGTTTGAAGACACTCCTGACAAGTTGGAAGGATTTGCCAAGTACGTCGAAGAGGGTCTCACTGAGAAGGCCAAAGAATGCTACCAGAGACTCCTTGATGAAGCCATTCCGGCCGATCATATGCAATGGGAAGCTTATAATGTCGCCCAGCTGGGGGAGTCTATCATGCAGCTAGCAAAGAAAATTAAGAAGCGCTACAAGAACAATCCTGTAATCATGGGGTAAGATAAAGACATGATATGCTATCTTTAGTAAGTTTCGCTGACTCAACTTACAGGGTGAATCCACTGGACATTCTACTCAGCTGTATACTCCCAATGTACGCAAACGATGCTCACGAGATTATTCTTCGGCTTTTGGAACGAGAAAAGGAACAAGGCTCAGAGATTCCCGTGCAGGATGGCTTTGATCTTTACAAAGGGTTGTCTGATGTCAGACGTCTCCATATAGAATCACTTCCAGGGTATGCTTGCTCGGATTTTTTTTATAGTAATCTCCTAATTGACGTTAATAGTGTCCCGTTTTCTGTCCCGGTGGAAAGGCTACTTTCCGACTTCGTATGGCGCTGGATTCAAGGTACTGATGCGAAATTTATGGACTGGATTGAACAGGCTGCCAAACAGGACACTTTCAACGTCCGGAGCGATGATCCAAATGATCTTCCACCCGATGACAAGCGACACAGTGTCTCTGCGATTGATATATTCCGTTCGTTCAATCAGGTTGTCGACGACATGAAGAACTTGCGGTGGGAGGATGATGTCCAGTATGCGAAATTCATGACAGCCTTATCCAAATCGATTGGAAAAGCCATAGCCCGATATTGTGAGTTACTCGAACAAGGCTTTACCAGAGAGATGGATCGGCTGTCTCCGGATCAGGAAGCTTCTGCGGTTCAGTCAAGACAGGAAAAGTTTATGCAAATGGCGAAGGATGCTTGGGCCAACAAGGATAAGATCGAGCCGTTCCAATTTCTTCCAGAGGTAAGTGGTTGAACATGGAGGTTATGCAGAGTCTCAGAGCTAATTTTTACCCTTCAGTCACTCGTCAAGCTGAACAATATTGAATATGCCGTCGCGCAGCTCGACAAGTTGGAAAAAGAGATCGACGTGGATGGTTGCGCAGACATAATTGCTAGGAATACACCGCCCATCACACAGCAAAAGATTCGCAAAGCGACCACTTATGTCTTCACTGTGAAAATCGTCGAAGGAGAAGATTTGAAGGCTTGTGATATTAACGGCTGGAGCGACCCGTATGTCGTCTTGACGGACGAATATCAAAAACGTATAGCCAAAACTCATATTGTCTACCGCAATCTGAATCCTCGATGGGACGATACCGTTGATATCACAACCAAAGGTCCGCTGAACATCATTGCCACCGTCTGGGACTGGGATGCAGTTGGAGATCACGACTATGTCGGCCGGACATCGCTCAAACTAGATCCCGCGCATTTCAGTGATTTCCTTCCTCGAGAATTCTGGCTTGATCTGGATACTCAAGGACGAGTTCTAATACGCGTGAGCATGGAAGGTGAACGAGATGATATTCAATTTTACTTTGGCAAATGCTTCCGAACATTGAAGCGAACTGAGAAAGAAATGACTCGAAAGATCACAGAAAAGGTATGTTCAGTCCATCTTTAGTTGCCAGCAATTTTTACTTGCAGTACTGATAAGTGAGAAGCTTTCTGCCTATATCAGTCACAGTCTCTCACGTAGAGCTCTTAAAGCAATGCTCAATCGTGGACTTACCATATCCAGCTTTCTCAGCCGAAATCGTACCGGAAATACCTCGACAATGCCAACACAGGATGAAATTGAAGCAGCCCTGGACCCTCTCTTTACCTATTTTAACGACAACTTTGAAATTATGAACAAGACACTGACTTCCGAGGCTATGAAGATGGTCATGGCTCGACTGTGGAAGGAAGTACTAGTGACTATCGAGGGCCTACTCGTCCCTCCACTTTCGGACAAACCTTCACATCAAAGACCTCTTACACAACAAGAAGTTGATATCGTCTCTAAGTGGCTAGGCTTACTTTTGACCTTCTTCCAAGTCCCCGATGAAGTAACTGGTGAATCCAATGGTGTCTCTTTGGATATCCTGAAATCGCCCAAATACCACGAGATCCAGTCTATGATCTTCTTCTACTTTGAGTCCACAGACACCCTCATTCGAACATCGGAACGAATGGCCTCGGCAAATGCTGCACGACAACAAAGTAACAAGAACAAATTACTGGCACCCGGCGGACCCGGCAGCATCGGCGGACCAGGAGGCATGCTGGGCGTCCCTGTCCGGCGCGCAAAGAGCGTCATGTTCGTCCGTAACATGGGCACAATGCGCAAAGCCAAGGCCGAGAAATGGCGAGAAGCACAGGCCGATCCCAATGATGACATGATCTTGAGAATCCTCCGCATGAGGCCCGAAGCAGCTGGCTATTTGCGTGACCGCAGCCGACAAAAGGAGCGATTGGCGGCCGCCGCGGCTGCAGATGCGATTGTGAAACAGAGTCTGGTAGCTAGTAGTGGAGGACGAATGGCGGGGACATTGGGGGGKGGACGATGGTAAATAATGACATGGTTCTTTTTCCCATTTGACTTTTTGCTTTAATTCTAGGTTTGCATTGCCTGTTTGTTTTTGCTTTTGCCTTTCTCCTATGTTATTGATCAAGCAAGCAAGTTACTGGCCTTATACCCATATCCATAGCAGATGTCAACTAGCACAATATACGGTGTTTACTTATCTACGACTATATGATTGAAATATTTCCAGTTTGTAACTATTTAGGCGAGCAGGTAGGCCATTTCTACGGTATTTTCTGGGCTGTGTACGTCTCAGAAACGAACGAGCCTGCAGACCTCTACAGCTACTTTCATTTCACCTCCTACACCAGCAACGCCAAAGATGAGAAGAGAGAGAAGTTCAATATTATTACTATGATTATTGATAGCACAAAAACAATCCGTACAACAACAAAAAAGTTGATGGCCACTAAGCAAGAAGAGACTTGCTCATGAGCCCAACACTTTTTGGATTCAGATTCGCAAGAGAAGACTCTCAGATAGATAGGATAAAGCTCAGAAGTAAGCAGATAAGTAAGCAGGTAAGCGGGTTTTGCAATGTTGGAAAAGAATTGATTTGGCAAATGGGTCAGTGATGGCAGAAGACAAAACATGTATATAGCAAGATATACAGTCAAACACCGGTTCTGGCAAGGAAAGAAGATCCTGCCAATAAATATCACAAGCAACGAAGAACAAGATCGGAGCAAGCAGAAAGTAGCAATGGCAGCAGCAGCGAAGTTTATCGAGAACAAGATCATAAATTGACAGATAGCCTCCCAATAGCGAACTTCTTGTCTAGCAAAAGGGATTAGAAAAAAAGAAAAACAAAGAGCAAAAAAGTGTCACATGAAGATCATTTCCATGATGAAGAGGTTCGATAAGAAAGAGATGCTTTTTTGCCCTGATACTATTACACGCCAGTACGAGATTTTTTCTTTCTTTTTTGTGTGGTCCGTTCTTCTATCTCGCTTTTTGGCGGACGAAGAAGAGATGGGGATGGAGAGAGCAGTTAAGGGATGTGTGGCATAAGCTGTTCTGTTTGTTTCCAGCTGAGATCCGACGAGATATAGTATAACATCGGCCAATGGGTATGAGTATGGATATGAAGCAGTCGTGATGGTCAATAGGGGCGAGTCAGCCCTGTCAAATGGTGGTGTATAGTCACAAGAGGTTTCCTCGTAAAGGAGGTTTCTCATCAGCTCGCTTTCGGTTCGAGAGAGGTGTGCAAGATGTTATGTATGTATAAGATGTGGAATTGATCGTAGCATCGTGAGTGTAAAGTTATGTACCACACGAGGTCATTGAAATTACAATGACCCGTGTATAAAAAAGAGGCTGTTGTTCTCCATCCATTCATTCATTCATTCATTCAAGATAAATTGGCATAGCAGGATCGAGTCCTACAGTCAAATGTACCAGTACAGCCCCTAGGCAATAGGAGCATACCCAGAAGAAGGCCAAACCACCTTGTTCAGAGGGTATATCGAGGCTAATCTTGAGACATGTTTCTCGCGTTCGATATCGGAACGTTTTCTCATACGCTCGGCATCGTTGGCGTCAGCGCCCTCTCGGCTTCCCCAGGCAGTCTGTTTTCAAAATTTTTGTTAGCTCATTTTCTTCGATCTCTCTTCCCTGAATAAATGAGATGGTGGCGTGGGATCGATTTGTTCGAGAACGCAATTAAAAACAAGGTCTGACGAGCCACCAGCGCGGCCGATGATACACACAAGACCTGAAAACAAAATTTGAGTGCATAACAAGGGGCTTGGGATATTTAATTAGTATGGAACACGATAACAAAGTCTCCGGGGGGACAAAGTGCCCATAATTTGGCAGGTGTGGACAGGAGAGAATCTCGGCCGGTCTCAACCTAAACTAGTAATAAAGCCCTAACGCGGCTCGTGCAGCTTGCAGCCCCTCCCCCTCTTTGATCTTTGAATTTTGAAACTCCGGTAAAATAAACAAGAAAAAGAAATGAAGAGAAAAAGGTATAACTTACCACATTGAGTGTGACTGCCGCGTAAATCTTGATGGCGCCGTGGAAATAACCGAACAGAATCGACACAGGCAGCAAGAGGAAGTCGGCGGGATATCGTCTGTAGTGACCCAGCAATTTGATGAATTTGCTGATGAGCATCCAGATTCCTAGTGCGCGCATTGCCCACCAGTGCACATCGCCATCGAGGGTCTCGGTTGCTTTGTGGCATAGATAGATGAGAAGGCAATCGCCGAGGAGGGCTGGGGGGGAGAGAGTGGTGAGATGAACGGCGTAAGTACTCCATGGTTGACGACTGCGACTTGTTAGCTTGACTATCCTTGCTTGTTCTTGTTCGCGTCTCGAGTATGACAGAGCAGGAAATGATGAGAAACATGATTGTCTTTCCCTAAGACAAGATATGTATCTTTCTCCGAAACAGGATAGACAAAAACAAACGATCGTACCGATCTCATATTTTTTTTCTTTGTTTTTTTCTCCCCCCACACCCCCAACTTGTTGTTACATGCATCTGGCTCCGGCTGATTTTGTCAAAGCCCTGCCGATTTATGCAAGCCAGTTCGTGCGCTGCATCTAGAGCTAGAACTAGGCGCATGCAAGAAGCAGTGCTAATGCAAGACACGACCAGTTTGGCACATACATGTGATTATGAAAAAATTTGGGAGGAAAAAGGATCCGAATGATGCAAAACGAGTGTGGAAAAAGGAATACTTACTACCAGATATGGCGCTCGGCAAACATGCTGGTCAAATTGCTTCGCCAATTGCTTCGCGACCATCGAGCGCACTGCTTTAGAAATTTAGGGTTGTTTTCAAGAGTAGTCTTGACTTCAACTTCTGGATGATACTGGATATAAGTCTCCCAGCCGTGTGAGACCATCCAACGGGTGATGAAGTTATCATCATCCGCATTGAGCTGGTATTTGCCAAACCACCATTCCTCATTGGTGAAATCGTTAGTGAAGACTTCGTCCTGTAAAATCTTGGTCCGATACGCTACTGTTCTTCCGGAGAGGCATGGGACGCCGCCGTCGATATGTGTCGTGGCAGCACAGTCAAAGTTTCGACGTTCCAAATAGAGGGCACCCAGGAAGTTCCAGATCTTTTCTGAAAACGTCGCATTAACCGCCCTACGCAGTCTTTGACATGTAACAACTCCACCGTAGCGTTCGTCGGTGTCGAATGGGGCCAAAATCCATGGCAATGCGGTAGTCGGCCAGCTCACATCGTCATCGGCGAATATAGTGATTGAGGTGCGTACCTCGGGGATAGCTCGAGTCATTTGGCGTCTCTTGTTGGGATGGGTTATAGTAAAGAGACGAATGCGGTCGTGGAGATATGCGGGCATCGCTTTCAACATCTTCTCGGCATCCTTGCGATTCGCTTCGATCGTGACAAGTAACAACTCATGTGGTTTGGTGTCCAGGATCGTGCGGATCGTCTCGACCAATTCGTCGCCACATCCTTCCAGAGAGGGCACAATAACCGTCACGTCTTCAGCGGTCAATTTGGGGTTCTCTGGAATGGGGATCGGTTTGAATGTGTAAAACGACCATAGATTGACTACCAAGCGTACGTAACGGTATAAACTAGAGCATTGAAAGTAGAATGTCAGTTATACTTGCTTGCCTTCTGTTTGGTTTCTGGGCTGAATCTACTACTGACAAGAGCAGAATGAAACTCCTCATGAATGGGAAAGCCATGATGACTGTGGATGCGTGCTCCTTGTTCCTCGAGACTTGATCAACCAGAGGTCTTATTGTGCAGCTAGATTTCCTGTCCCTTCACGAAGCCAATAGTATTGGTTGAGGAGAAGACAAGTGAATGATGTAAAATCAATGATATAGTCATTCCCACCCACTGCTGCACATAAAACCCTTCGGGATAGTCAGATCAATGTGTCTCCGATTTCCAGTTTCTCTTGACACCAGATTTGTTATTTATATCTGCATTTGTGAGATCAGCTTGTGTTATTCAGTGGGTGGCGTGTAGGTTCGTACCGGGTCAATCAACTTCGATTCAAAACGATTGTAAGTCAACCAATATCAATACTGCTGTAGCGAAAGACGGAAAAGAGAATCAACAGGACTTTTTGACAACAACAATGTCCATGATTTTCAAAATCCCAAATCAGCAATTCCAGTAAATGCTAGAGACTCCAACTCTGTCAATTTTTTCTCAATTGAGATGAGGGTTGAAATGAGATGAAGTGCAGAGGAATGCGAAAAGGGAAAAACAGAGAAAACACGGAAACCAGAGAACAGATGTCTTCTATTTTAATAAAAGAGAGGAAGACCGAGCATGAAATAATCAAAAAAAAAAACAGTCGACCTTCTTGTTCAGAACTGCGTCAGGCTTGCCGGGATAAATTTACAAAAAGAGAGTCTTGCAGATGCGCGCGTCATGGGTCCTGGATCTAGATGGGAAAATACACGGGGTGGGTTCAAGAGAAATTCATAATAAGATATTAAAACCATACTTAACCTAGCCAAGTCTATAAGAGCACAGTAATATATCACGGAGCATGCAAAAGACTGGGGGTCTTCCCTTTGCCGCCGCTGATGGAGACGAAAAACAACCAGGCTGAAAAGTGACATGCGACCAGGGGCCAGGGCCCATCTTAGTTTTTGACTCTTTACTCAGTGTCAACTAGTTCAGATGTGCAAGAGGACTTCTGACTGGCTGCGACCCGGTTCTCGTTTCTGAAGCTCCATCTTTTCATGTATGCGATGATACTACTGTATTTAGTTACGACTACGTACGCATTCAGCCCACAATTTTCGGAAGCCAAAATCTGTTGATTAAGTCTGCATGCAGTTAGTTTCGGCTGCTAATTAGCTGAATTGAGAGATAAAAGTAAAGACAGGAAGAGTCTGGGCAAATTCAGGTTTAGGGCGGCACAGTCAATGCGCAAGCTGATACCTTAGTTTAGTAGTTATTTGTCAGTATTGCTGTTATTTTCTAAGCCTCTAGCGGACCTAGGACTTCTCTGCAGGGTAATCAATGATC